GGGCCGCCTGTTCTGATGCTGTACGAGTACGGAGTATGGCAATCTGGATTCGCGACTTCGGATCTACATGTAGATTAGGATATATGTCTAGAATACTAGGTTTACTCGTTGGAAGATGAGGCTTTTCTTATTAGCGTTCGATCTGGCCTGGTAGAGATGGCTCGGGCAGAGGACTGACCGAGAAGAATTACTGATTCTGCTGCATGAATCTGGGACTCTGGGTCGGGGCTAATGAGGGCAAGGCAAGTCTGGTGATGAAAAAGTTTTGGCGCGAGCCTCTGCCTGCAAGCCACCGGTCTTAGTGTCAGTTTTGGCTCGGCAGGACGAATGCTCTACTCGTACCTGCTCGTACGCGTAGTCGTTGGTTATGTTGTACGGAGTCGAAGCAGGATCTGTGCGCTCTGTGGTGCGTACGCGGTGTTAGTTCCGTATTCCGAACAGGAATCGGCCCATCCATAGCCTGTTGCTTGAGCTTGCGGGCTTGGTGGTGCGTGAGGTGCGAATGACGTTGCGTGGCTAGGGGATGAGTCTCCAATCTACCTTGTAATACTGATGCCACCCTCTGCAAAAGGTATAAGTTTGATCAGCTAGAGGAGAATGGAGCCGCGCAAGGTTTGGAGAAAGCCAATAGTCCGGGGTCAATGTCCATGATACTTTGTGTGCACGTACTCGTACTGTGGCAGGTGCAATTCGTACATGACGGGCCAAATCTTGAGAGTCTTAGGCACGCCACACGAGGTAGCGATACCGACGGACGGAGAGGCCAGTATCGGGAAGGGAGCTGGAATAGGCATCAATGGTTGATTTTATCGCATCATGTGAGCGAGCACGACCGCATGTATCTGAGGAGAGAGGCGTGGATCAGGAGCCATTGACCTGTCAACCAGCGTTTGAGGCCGAGACTGCGGGCACTCGGCACATGGGTACGAGTACCGAGTCCTTAGTCCTTGGTGGTAGGACTCTGGTCGTGGCGTCAAAAGCAGGAATTGGGGAGATGTCATTCCAGAAAGTGATCCACCGACTGCAGGATCACATCACTGAGTGGCACCGAATGGGAATTGATGCACGGGGTCGGAAGGATGGGAAAGTTGGTCTGGTTTGTTTGAGTGGCTAATGCGGTTGCCTGGCTTGGGTTCGGTTGGGTTTGAGCTCGGGCAAGCCCATCCTGTGCAGCAAGGTGTAAGTTGTAACTAGAGCGAGGCACGGGGACCCTCGGAATGCTCGGTTTGTGAGATGAAAGAGAACCACGATCGGGGGAGTTGGCCGACATAGCCTAGGGAGATGCAGGGTCAGCAATTCAGGGATCAGGATGAGATACCGAGGGTCCCGAAGAGCAAAGTCAAAGTGAGTAAGCGACGCAGGTTCAACGATTGAGCAAGGCAGAGAAGAAATTTGTAGCCTCGAGGTGGTGGATTGGTTTTGCTTGGAGTTACTACTGTACTCTGTGCTCTGTGCAGTAGTTGGTGGGTTGGTGGTAGCAGTGGTGGCGATTCTACGGAAAACTGCGGCGAGCGCTGTAGCCTCCTACTACTCCGTCCTGCACTCTGTACGACGCACCTGAGTGGATGGCTGTTGGCAGGCAGGGAAGGCACACAATCTCGAAACTCGGTGGGCGCTGAGGAAGCCACCACTGCCACATCCACATGCGCATGCGCATGCACTGCGACTACGACTACGACTGCGACTTCGACTACGAGCACCACAATCCATCATAGGCTCATCGTTACCTGAGTACGGAGCGCTGAAGGAGATGTCACTGATCAGTGACGATCAGATCACCGTCAGGATCAACGCCAGACCGGGTAGTGTCACGCTAGTTGCCTGGCGGTTGAGGCAGTTTGATGAGCGTCGACGCCATGGGTGGGGACGTGGCTAAAGGGGAAGTCGATAGGTGACTGGCTTGGGCGGTGCTAGCGGCCCAGAGCCTATCCGCCAGCGCGACTTACGAGTAACTTAGGCGTTGCCAGCATTGGGGATCGTGGTCCTCCTACCCCCTACCTCCTACCCCCGGGCCCGAATCCCCAGCCCTGCTGGCTAGGGCTGCCTATCCCTGTTCTTGGGGCTGTCTCTGGTGGACCTTGGGCTGCGTGTTGCGGGGCGGCTCTGATGGGCTCCGGCACCCACAAGTTCAACATTGTGGCTTTTGGTCGCCTGTGACTTTCCATATTCAGGATTGCCGCCCATCTCTTTCCCCATCGAGGTCCCCATCGAGGTCCCGGCCCTCGACCAAATTTCCCATGGCCCAAGGACAGCACCATGGGCCCGTCGGGCTCCACCCTTGGCCCCAAGCGATGAGCTCCGGGCGTCGTTTAGAGCCAAACAAACCACAGTCGACATTTGCTCATCCACAGGGCAAGGCCAAGGCCAAGGCGCTGGTGACATTCGACAGAACACATACGCTACTTCGTATTGTCCATTCTTTGTCTCTGTTTCGCGCCCACGATCTGCTCGTATTGCTCCTCTTATTCCAGATTCAGGCTTTTCTCTGCCCAGGAAACGTTCCCCACATGGCCGCCTGGCCGTTTCTCCCGAAAAGGGACGGGATAATGGTTGTACTGTAAGTAAGACTGTCGTGGCAGCGTGGCACCTGAAACTTTCCGTCATCCAAGTCAAGTCGGCGTGCTGCCCTCGCCTGTGCATCGGTGCACTGGGACAGCATTGTCCTAGGCGGCATTGGGGCTGACTTGCACCTTGACCTGCAGGTGCATGACCCCTGGGGCCCCATGGCTAAGCCCATCGCAGCTCTTACAGTACATACTCGTAGTTCTCAGTCCTTGAGTCCTTGGTAGTGCGCTCCCCAGGAAACGCCCCTCGCTCTGCCCAGTCGCCCCTCAGCATGTCGCCCTTGCCCAGTATGATTCAAAGCCCACGTCAGTAGCATTTGGCCGGGCCAGCGAATAATGGACATCGTAAAAACTCAGTCTGGTGGAACTCGCATACCGGTGCCTCGGACCCCTGACCTTGCCCTGGCACGTTCACGTTCCATGCACACGCCCACGCCCACGCCCAAGCACATGCACCGCGTCATCCCGTCACGCGTTGAACCAGGTGTAGTGAAGCAGACTGATCCTTGTACATGCCATCTGGATGTTTCTGTCAGGACTTTAAACAGGTCGACGACGCCACTGTCACGATGCACTGTGCCCTCGGCCCTCGGTCCTCGACACGTGCATCCTCAACAGAACCAGAATCGAGAACCCTGTCGTGTCTGGGACTGTCTAGGACGCCTGGAGCTAAAGTCCACCGAACCCAAACAATGACCCTTTTTTGACACGCTTTGGCTTGGGCCTTAACTGTTGACGCTGACAATCGCTTACTCGTACATAGTGCTGTACTCTGTAGATTAGTTAACTGTGCCGGCTGCTAGTTGGGGGTTAGTGATGCGCTAGGTGGTTTGCAGTTAGTGGCTTGGCCAGCCGGCAGCCTGATTGGTGTACTAGCTAGCTAGGAGTCTGTTAGTTACACGGTCAATTGTCTACCCGTCCGTTCTTTGACGCTCCGACAGCCTTGGTCCCAGCTTCAGCTTTGGTCCCAGCGTCAGCTTTTGGCTTTTGGCTTTGGCGTTGGCTGATGTCACAGGTGTCCCTTGACCGCAGTGAAGGCTCCCAGAATCCCAGGCCACCAGGCAATCCACCAAAGTGTTTCCCGATCCACACTTGCACAATCCTCGTCCTCGTCCCACGTCGCACGTTCCAATTCCATCGCAGATCCAGCGCTTCCCTTGGGTTTCTCTAGCCTTCCAGTTCCCCCACCCTTGTCGCTGCCTCGACCCTGGCTCTGGGCCCTGGCTGCTGCCCTTTGGCTGCTCCACGCTCCACATTCCTGGCTCGGGACTAGCAACCCTAAATTATTCTTCCTGTTTCTTTTCTCGCGCTGGTCTGCTGGTTCTAACGTCTGATTCATGCATGCATTCTTCCTGCTTCTGTACGGAGTACGGAGTAGTGCACGGGACTAATTCCCCTGCTCGTGCTGTAAGCGCACGCTATCGCTGGCACGCCCGTCCCGATGACCTTGTGTCCTGTATGTACACATGCGCCACCAGTCCCTCGTCCGCGACCAAGTACGGGTACTATTTGCCATACATTACTCCGTACTTGTACATTTTCCCAGCAGTGACTCCTCGTATCCCTTCGCTTCCGGCTTCTGGCTTCTGGCTTTTTGCTGATGGGCTGCCAGCCTGCCACATCCAATTCCCGCTGTCACCGCCGCACACCCACACGCACGTCCGGCGTCCACGGTCCACATCGCATCGCATCGTCCACCTCCACCTCCACCGCCCGTTTGACGCATCTCGCCTACGTGCATTCTGAGTCCTGAGTCCTGAGTCCCGACCCGACTCCATCGTCCAAACACCGTTACTGCTTCATCCCAATCACATTCATGATTCATGCCTTGTCTGGTGCCCGTGTCTGACTGTTTGTTTCTCCTGTGCCTCTATCTCCCTTGCGCTTGCACGCTACCCGCCACCCGCTACCCGCTCGTGTCTTGACTCTTGCGCTCAGACTGGACTAACATGACAGGACGAGGAGTTTCGTCTCGTCTGTGAATACCCGACCCTTGTTCTGGATCTTTGTCTTGCTTTGGTCAAACGATGTCCTTGTCCTTGTCTGGTCTCTGGTCAGTGGTCACATCAGAACTAGTCCATGCCACCACCACTACTGTATCCTCTGGTAATCCCACCCGTGCGGACTATCCGTTGCTCCAACTCTATCTCTTTCTTGCCCCAGTCCAACACTCTTTCGGTCGGATGCCATGTTGACCTTGAACTAACTCTGATTTTGATGACCGTTGCTAGTCCTCCTGCTACTGACTTTGATGTGCCAGTTTAATCTCTTGTCTTTCCCCTTGCTGTCACACGCTACAACCTTTCAATTCCACTTCCCTTCTCCTTCCACCCCTGCTCGGTAACGGTAATGAGAGTAGATATGCCTCTCGCCTTCCATCACTTGGCCATTCTTCACCTCTTCCACCACGACTCATAACCCGCCTTTGCTTCCGCCATGGAGAACACACAGCCTTGGACCCAGCGATTTGCAGAACCGGCCTTCAATCCAGCCTCTTCATCATCACACGGTGTTTCTTCTTACTTCGTCCGCCCCAACAAGGTGGTCAAGCCGAGCAGTCGGAACAACAGCCCGCGTACTTTAAAGAGGAGAAAGACCACCACATCCGCTCCTTCAACCACCACCCGTACTAGATCCTTCGTCGATCATCTCCCAACGACCACTGCTGCTCAACAATGGCCACTGGCAAATGCCGCTCGCTCGCGCCCCGTGAGTTGGCATCCAACTTCCATGGATGACTTCTATACCATTTCCTACAACACCCCTCCTTTGGTTCGCAGTCAAGCCTTACCTGCTTATGACTATTCTACCACCAATGTCAACGGACTGATCACACCGCTTTCCCATCCTGTTGCCAATGAGCCTCAGATCCAAGAGCTCATCACACCACTTGACGAATACCCCGGGCACACCTCGACTTATTCGGGCAACAGTGGCCTTGCGGAGGATCAGGCATGGTTGCTTCAATCTCAACAGAAATGCAACCCCTACTCTTTCAATCTCCCCTACCAAGGGAATTTGCTCCAGTCCACATGGCAACCGAACCAGTCACAACAGCCCCCCTCGTCGTTGAATGTCCACACCGCAGCATCCTCGCCTGATTGCCTCCCATTACACGTCGACACCCTGAGCCTGGATACGGTAGACTTGGAGAAAGGCCCCTCGGAGGAACTCGTGGGCATGGGCTTGTACGACTCTCCCGCCGACGTTCAGTCCACTTCGCTTCTATTTGCCGGCATTTCCAACGCGACACGGAAGGGCTTGATATTGGAGGAATCTTTCGTACCAGAGGACCGGGACGATGAGGAGCTTGACGAGGATGCATTGGCCGAGGACGACGAGGACGACGAGGACCAAGATGAAGAGTTGGAGACCCCGTTCGACGGATCCAGGAAAATGGATTACAGTTCTCAATCAATCGCCAACCACATGGGCTTTCTCACCCACCAGGAGCCAAATTCTCTGGCCACCACATATCTTGCAACCCTCGGCCAGCTCAGCAGTGCCTATTATCCCACTGCACACCCCGGCTACGGCTGGATTTAAATCACGACTTACGAAATGCAGCATTTGCATTCTAGCGTTCAACAATGGTCCATTTCTACCACTTTTCGCATGATGAGCAGCACCACTTCACGCCATGTCTTTTTATAACAACGATACCCATTTGTGCTGCCAATAGATCACACGAGAGCCAGTGCATCCGAGCATAGAGGACTTGGAACCAGGCAACTTAGGATCATGTATTACGAACATTCCATAACAAATATTAGGATACACAGAACACACCAAGACAACAATGAGATGAGATGACACAGATCTAGACCGTCGAATTGGAAGTGGAGCGGTCTTCTTACTCTGTAGCCAATGAATGAACCGTGACCATCGACAGATCCGAGCGCATCAGCCATCGTTCATTGGAATGCATCAATCTGCATCAATCTTCTCGTACCTCGTACTTTGACCCAGCCACTTACATACTCGTATGGCCCCTTGGACATTCCAGTGGCACCCAGTGGGACCACAAGCCTCAGCGAAGGCCATCGGTACATCCACACCTTTCAAGGGCTGGTCTTTACCCCACAGCGGCTGGTGCAAACCACACCTAGGGCCCTCATCTCTCTGGCCAACCAACGAATCTGCTGACTGCATGCAGGTCGCTGCTCTGTTGAATATCTGAATCCTGGCAGCAGCTGGAAACTGCACTTTGCCGTCTAGACCTTGATCCTCCTTCACTAGAGTCCTAGCACCGTTCGAGCTGTCCAGTTCGAGCCATTCAGCTGCACCATTGCTGTCCCGATCGTCACAGACGCAGCTCAATTCTTCTCAGCAGCCTCATTTCCTTCGCCAACCCTTCGAGTCCATGCTGGAGCCAGAGACAGAGCGTGACTCAATATTGGATGGTCTGGCCTCTGCTCTGCTCGCAGCCGTGTGTGCCCGCTGAAGGCCGGCCTGCACAATGAGCAAGTGGATTCCACCTCCTCCATGGCGACACGAATCAGAGCTCGCCATGGTCCGAGATTGGTTTTACGCTCAGCATGCTAAGCTTGATGCTTTTTCAACACCACCGGGTGACATGCGCCAAAGAGCAGTCGACACCGTCAATCTCTGGCTATTCAAGGCCGGCCAGCTCCCTCCTGCTGTCTTGTCTACTGCAAACATGACAGACGCCTTGATTCATCATGACCAAGCACGGAAGCGGATGACTGTGTGTGAGCATGGACAAACCCCAGAAACAACGGGCGTCCCCGTCTCCATGCCTGTGTCCGTGCAAGCCCTGCAGAGTATCTACGCCATGGCGTTTGCGAGGTTTGTCAATGCCTTTGTGGACCGTGATGTCGCTCGTTCTCGTGCTACCGAGTTGACGGCCCTGGACTCGGATGATGGAGAAGATATAAGGACGACAACGCTCACAGCTACTAATAGTAGTGCCACCACAGGGGGTCGGGGTGAGAATTCCATGTATGCCCTGGCCGCTACGATTGGGATGCCAGAGGCGTTTGTGGACCTGCGACACCAAGTCACCCATGGCCATCTCCCCAGCATTGTCTACCTGAGGCGGATGACTCTTAGTGCACTGGACTGGTTGTGGGAACGGTGGTGGCTGAAAAATGCAACTGGTGATCCGGCGAGAGCGCTATGGAAGTTGGCTAAAAGAAGGAAAGTCTCAATGGAAGCACGGATGGCTACGACAGACAGCCGAGAGAGCCCCAGTCCGGACAGCTCAGTACCAGTGTCCCCTCAATGACACTAGGTACTTACGACTTGGTAAAGCTCTCTTCTGGTTCGCTTCTACTAGCAGAAGACGATGAAACAGGCGGGTGTCACGACCGGCGAACTCAGAGTTGATGACGGACGACACTATGTATCCAACAGGCGACCTTCACGCTTGCACTTTGCTAATATACATCATCACTAGCACAAGAGTCCTTTCAATCGTGTGCTTCATTTTCCATGAGCTCGTTGCATTGCCCTGGATTTGTGTGATGAAATCATGTGACTTTCCGTGCTGTCTAGAAGATGCCAAGCCTTGCGAAGGGATTCCGACTTGCACATCAATCAAGCGTCCGCGTCCGCTTCTCCGCCTGCGACGTTCGCCCTCATTCACACCGACTATGACCAACCCCAGACCCTCAACCTCAACATCAACGGCGGTTGCCAACCTCCTTATTCGTCATCCCAGTAGCCTTGGCTTCACTGTTTCGCTCCATGTGAACAAAGGGTATTAGTACGCTTTGAATGGAACTCCCTTGCACGTCCTGTGGCACCCTCGACCAAAGACCATATGCCCAACCCTCAGTTCAAACTATTCTCCCATCGTCCTCCATTCTTTCGACATGAACAGCCCCCCGGTTAGGGCATACGAAAGCCCTCTACAGATACACGATATCTCATCCACTACGCCCACATACCTTGCCTTAACCAAAATTGTCTCGACGCTTGCCCTCTTGCTCCTGGGTTACTATACCCTCACTTTTCTCGATGCCTGGCCCGACACGCTCAAGCGGACCATCTTCGAGATTTTCGTCTACCTCATGCCTTCCCCATTCATCTCCATCATGCAGTATGGAATGGTGAGATTGGGGCTTCTGCACCTAGACGAGGCCAAGTTTCAGCAGCAACATCATGGCGACATGTTTGCCAAACAGGCCGCTCTCCATAGAATGTTTGGACAAAGGAAACTCCCCTTCGCGCTCGGGCGGGTCGGTAGTGTTTCAGGTGTCGGTGGATATCTTTCAATCCCACGGGACCCTACGCCACCGGGTCTTGGGAACTGGGACAATTCATGCTACCAGAACAGTGTGCTTCAAGGACTGGCATCACTGCCCGCCTTCCACCACTATGTGCGGACGAGTCTGGACCTCTGCAATAGATATAATGTGGCGGCAGAGACACATCGAGCCTTGGATGTGCTCCTCGAACAACTAGCCGAGTCAAGCTCTCAGCGGACGGTGTTGTGGACACCCTCCATTCTAAAGTCAATGGACAGCTGGCAACAGCAGGATGCCCAAGAATACTTCTCCCGAGTCCTGGAAGCCGTGGAAAAGGAATCTCTTAAATATGCCAGGGCGATCAGAATGTCTTCGATGGCAGGCTTGGAGTGCCTTCGATCTGTAGGACCTCAAACAAAGGAAAATACCGTCAGTGATGAGCCACCCTCATCTGACACCAAGCTCGGTCTCAGGAATGTCCCATCTGCCACTGGTGGTCGTGCCCAGCTACAAGCACCAAATCCGATGGATGGGATGACTGCTCAAGGATTGATATGCAAGACGTGTAGCTACACCGAGGGACTGTCACTTACCCAGTTCACCTGTCTGACACTGAATCTGGGACTAAGAGGACTGTCTAGCATCGAGGATTTGCTGGATGATTACACGGCTCCGGAAGAAGTCGACGGGGTCGAATGTGATCGCTGTACAAGACTTGCATACGGCGAGGCTGATGATCAGCCTGGTGTTGAGCCCGTGAGGAATGACGCGATTTCAACGACGAAGCCACAACAACCCAAACAGAGAAGACCGATACTGCGAACCAAAGCAAAGCAGATCACTGTAGGTAGGTTGCCAAAAGACCTCGTGTTTCACATCAATCGCAGCATATTCGACGATTTTGGGAATCAGAAGAAGAACAGTGCACCCATTTCCTTCCCGGCTACTCTCAATTTCTTGAGTCGATGGTGTGCGCCCTTGAATGTTGAGGATGAAAGAGTCGATGCGGTGTATGAACTGAAATGTGTGGTTACGCACTACGGCCGACACGACAATGGACACTATGTTGCACTTGGGAAACGAGATAAGAACTGGTATTCCTTCAACGACGATATCGTCACCAAAACTACAGAAGGAGACGTTCTGAGTCGGGGTAATGGTTTCATCTTTTTCTACGAAGCTGTAACACAAGTACCAGACTACAGCGTAGCTGGAACACAAGCAGGGGCCGTCGCAGAATCGACACATCCCAGTGAGACTCGTCTGGGTACACCTACCGAACGTTCTGTGACATCCGAGCGGCCAATCCACGATACACAGCCGGCGACCAAGGTGCAGGTTGACGGGGAGGCAGACCACATACCGATCCCTGGGCCGCAAGCCTCAGGAAGCTCGAATACTGCAAGCTCTGACTCGGAGTCATCGTCTCTTTCTAGTGCAGAAGGAGTCATTAGCCCACAGACCGACAAGCCCGTCCCGGTAATGAGGACAGCTACAGAAACCAGGTTGCCGGGGCATCGGCATCGGCAGCAGGACCAGGTTCATAGCATTGCTTTAGGATCTGCGTTCTGAACGTCTGGTTGCATCTCACGAGATTATGACTCACGACTGTACAACATATGATACCCAGTGGTGTAATGGAAAGGCTGTTTTGAGCAGAGGAGAGATTCAAGTAGATGTGCCCATAAAATCTATTCGCGTCGATATACGATGTACCTCGTGACGTCTCTATATCACCAAACGCGTGAATAATCTCTCCCAGTACCAACTTGGCAAACGAGGGGGTGTTTCTCAAAAGGGATGGTTAGTCATCGGGATATTGTTGTTCCCCGCGCCGTCGCTGCGTTCATCAAAGCACAATCATTCTGCTTGCCACTGGGTTGGAAAGCCAGTCTCAACTCGATGCTGCCTACCTTGTTCACTGATCAGATCATGAAAATGACCATGCTCATGCTGGAGATTGCCATTCCCTTCTCGTAGCCTCATCCAGTCTCAAATCTCGGGCACAATCCCATTCACATCAATGGCAGGATCAGGTGCCCCTCACTTGAGCCGAAGGATAAGTGAATGTATACCGGACGAAGTACGCACCTTTGACCACTCCTTCCTACAGCAATTCTAGGCTGACATCGACAGCTACATAGTGGCTCCAGCAGTGAAGATGAGTTCAATCGCAAGATCGAGGTCCGTCAGCCATGATCCCTTGTCCGACAGTCACTCACCCCCATCAACCAGGTCGTCTTCGACCAGGACGTAAATCGACGCCGAAAATCCTCTGTTGTCCTCGCCGAAACGCCTCAAGTCGAGAGACCCTCTCGCCGACACGCGCCCCGTGCATCATCCCAATGCCTCGTCCACAAGTTGGTCGAAAAGACCTCCCTCGGCCAACAGCCCAAAGTCGAATCCAAGCTCGAGCAGATCAACGAATTCGAGCCCATCAAGCAAGGCTCCGGCTCGGGTTCGGCCACCAATGGAGCTGATTATCTGAACGAGGAGGTCCGAGCTACGCAATCACGACTCCTGACGAAGAAGCAGCTAAGCGAAATGGCTATGAGCGTGCGGGCGTTGGCCAAAAAGCTGGGGAATCTCAAAGTCCGTCTTCGAATCCGCACCATTTTTCTCCTGACCAAGGCGCATGATCAGTCATTGATAGCAAAGACCCAAGAAGTAGCAAGGTGGTTGCTTTCGAAAGATCGGGCTGTACCGTACATTGTCTACGTGGAAGACACCATGAAGAACAATAAAGCATTCGATGCGAATGGCTTGATTGCCGAAGATCCCTCTTACGGCGACAGACTAAAATACTGGGACAACAATCTGGCCAAGAGACACCCACATTTATTTGATTTCGTGGTCACCCTCGGTGGCGATGGAACGGTGCTTTACGCAAGTTGGCTGTTCCAAAGGGTCGTCCCGCCTGTTCTGTCCTTTGCCCTCGGCTCTTTGGGCTTCTTGACCAAATTCGACTTCAACGACCACCAGCATATCCTGACACAAGCCCTGCGGGATGGCGTGACTATCAGCCTGAGATTGCGGTTCGAAGGCACCATAATGAGATCATATAAACGCGACGATGACGCCGAGAATCGTGACATCGTCGAGGAGCTGATTGGAGAGGAAGCCGATGACCGAAAGACCCATAAACCAGACCGAAGCTTCGAGATTTTGAACGACGTGGTAGTCGACCGCGGGCCTAATCCTACTATGTCAACGATAGAGCTTTTTGGAGACGAGGAGCATCTTACCACTGTGCAGGCTGACGGGATTTGTGTTGCGACCCCGACCGGCTCCACGGCTTACAATCTGGCTGCCGGCGGATCGTTGTGTCATCCTGAAAACCCGGTCATCCTTGTAACCGCCATCTGCGCGCACACCCTTTCGTTCCGACCCATTATTCTTCCGGACACCATTGTGCTGAGGCTTGGGGTGCCGTATGATGCGAGATCCAATTCTTGGGCGAGTTTTGATGGACGTGAGAGGTGAGAGGATCCACTTCGAGAATAAGTTCCCGATCCGACAATAACTGACTGATGACGTAGAGTCGAACTTTTCCCTGGGGACTACGTGACCATATCAGCCTCGCGATATCCCTTTGCCAACGTGATGCCCCCAGGTCGTCGCAGCGAAGACTGGGTCAACAGTATCTCGAGAACTCTACAATGGAACTCGAGACAGCGACAAAAGGCATTCAACGAGTGGGAGGGACCGAAAGTGGAAGAAGGAGAGTTCCTGGACCAACCAATCACAAAAGAGGGAGTGATCGACGGTAATGGTAATGGCGATGGCAAATATAATGAAGATTACTTCAATAGCCAAGGACGCAACTCTGACCAGGTGAAGAGTGGAGGATGAGATGAAATGAAATGTCATGAGAGGTGAATCTTAAACATGCTGAATTACTCGTACGAGCACCCGTCACCTGGAATCAATATTAATGTCTCCTGGCTTACCATTTAATACGAGTTGGAAGACAAGGCTGAAATCCCCTGACCCTGCAAAATGGGGTCGCCCTCGGCATACCTGCTCTGTTGTCTCCCATCCCATCTCCAACCCAACCTCAATTCACCTTCCATACCTCATGTCCGGCCGTCTCTCGTCCAAACCACATATTCACTGCCATTACCCAGCTGGCCGTCCTAAGGTCCTAAATGCATGAGAACTGATACCTCCAGTCTATAACCCGCCACTACCGCCACCGCCACCGCCATGGCAGGTCTCCCACCAGGCGTCATGTCAGGCGCATCGTCGCATACGTCGTCGCCCTCGCGCCATCTCTCCCAATATTCCGCATCCACCTACACCCTGGTAGGTGGCAGCAACACACCCACCTCGACGATCTCCACCTCAACCCTCCGCTACCCCTCGAGCCGCAAAACAATCTACGACCGCAACCTCAACCGCTCACGGAACGCCGAACTCTCCCGCGCCAGCTTCGCGTACCTGTTCATGGAGATGGTGTCGTACGCCCACCGGCGGGTCAAGGGGATCCAGGACTTTGAGAAGAGATTGAACGAACAGGGATACCCTCTGGGCCTGAAGCTGCTCGATCTGCTGCTGTACCGAGCCAGTCCGGCCGGGAGCTCGAGCTCGACTTCATCGACGAGCAGTTCGGCCGGCGGCGCGGGCGGCGCGAACAGGCCGCTGCGGCTGCTGCCGCTGCTCACGCTATTGACCACCAAGCTGTACCCGCTACTGTTCAGCCGACCTGCTGACTCGCTGGAGCAGAGCACGGCGAACCCGGGCGAGTATATGATTATTGATAATACGCCGTTGACGAATCATTATATCTCCGTGCCAAAGGAGATGAACCAGTTGAGTGTTGCTGCATATATCGCCGGCATTATCGAGGGCGTGTGCGATGGCGCGGGATTTCAGTGTAAGGCCTCGGCGCATAATACTGGCACTGATGTGTGGCCGAATCGGACTGTCTTTTTGATCAAGTTTGAAGAGCATGTGCTGGAACGGGAGAAGGAGTTGGAGAGGCAGGGCATCAAGTGATTGGGAATTGCAAAATTCGCGAATATCCGACGGCAGCGGCAATATCTGGTATCCCCGAACCTTGCTTAAACAGGAACGTCTCATTTTGAGCTTCACGCCGCTTCCAGCTCCAATGTCTCGCCTCAATTCGTCAGCCATAACTGCTGGCTGAGTCTCCAGTAGCAGGCCCAGGTTTATTCCCATTGCACACTCTCACTATCCAGCAACACTCGAAGTTATCTCCTGGCGGGTGGAGCACAATCAAAGTGTAGTTTGGTGAGTACCAACTCCGATATAGCCGACCTAGGTGAAGTGCCTCTTCGGGCACCTCTCAGCAGGATCCTCATTCTCCTTGCCGTCGTCGTGGTCAGAACCATCAAGCGGATACGCTGCCTGCGGGAGGCTTGCATCACTCGGCTCTATTCGAGAGGTTGTGTCAGCAGTGACCAAGTAACACCAGATGTGCTGAATCACAACCAGGGGATCTTTCTTACCGTCATCATCGAAATCCGTCCAGATAGGGTCGCACTGGATGCTAGATCCTAAATATCATTTTCAGCATATTACATCGTACCAATCATCGGAATTCTCGGGACGGAGAAGCCTTACCGCGGAAGTCGTCGGGCAGCATGGGTCGCTCCGGGGAGAAAGGGGGAGGGACTGCCTTGGGTTGTACATGGGGAGGCGTACCTGCTCGAGCGATGGATGCCATGACGATTTGGTTTGTATAAATCATTTCGAAGCTTGAAGGTGGGATTAACATGTCTTATTTACAGCGGTCTGGATGATTATTTGCGACGTGGACATGGATTGGAAGGCAAGACCGCTGCTAGTCGCGGATTTTCCGACCGTCTTATACCTACGCAGCGGGCAAACGAGGGAGTGACCCAGCGAGCCTCGTCATCTGTCTTCATGAGACGCAGAGGGGAGGTAGACAGACACGGCAAACGGAAAACCGAAAGAACTGTCCATGAGATTCACCTGCGCTGCATTGTTGGGCATGAGAGTGGGTGTACTCACCAGGGCCTCCATGGCTTGCGAAGCCATGGATCCATGATACTCGGAAGATCAGAGACGGAGCATCTCCTGTCATCGGGTGAACAAAATTCCCCACGATGATGAGTACGTGGTGAGGATGTAACTCGGCCGAACAGAGGCAGATCGACATGACAAACCATATTACAGGCGCGATTGGAAAAGGGGATAAGCGCTTTGGGCGAGAGGGTGGGATTATCGGGGACTGTATGGCATCGCCGGCACGGCATAGCGTGTCATAGCATGTACGACTGGATTCGAAATGTGCCTGCGGACTCCAGCTACACACGGCTTGCTCAGCGCAGCAACGTACCGACCTGGCCTCAGCTGCCTTTGACACTGGGTGCCTCATGGGTAGACTGTCTACATAGGCAGACTGTCGAGTCTAGGCGTGTATCATTTATTGAGACATAGCTGGCCATGACAATCCCAAGCCATGTTGTGCATGCATTGCCTATGCTTCGCTCACCTGCCCTTCCTCTTCAACGCAGCCCTCTGTGAACTAGTCGCACGCCGTGGTAATTGCGATAGAGAACGTCGGAATCGGCCGCGATAGATTCAAAGTTCCAAGGGCTTATTTTATTTGCACTGCCGTGAGTCCGTCCTACTGTCGCACACTGCTTCGAGCTGCCATGCCATGCCATGCTGCGTTGTATTAATACAGCATCATGCCCGGTGCCGATCTAATGCAAGCATTAATTCGCTCTCGGCCTCTACTCGTCGCGTTCCCTACTCCTATCGCCATCTCTGTATCTACTCCGCGCGCCGTCTCTAACCCGCTCGTCGTCACGGAAGTCATCGACTTGACGCCTCTTCCGCGCGACAGGCGAGCCGGACCGTGAATGTTTGCGTCGACTGCTACCTAGGGGCGACCACGACCGCGACGCCGAATACGATCGGCGACGGTCTCTGCGAGGAGAGTTATCATTTCGATTTCCATCTCGATCTCTGCTTTCGCGGTACCGGTCCCGATCGTCCCTGCCGTCTCTGCCGTAGCTCTCCTCCCTATGCCTATCTCTGGTTCGTTCATGATCTCCCCTCGGCCCAACGGTACTTGCATTCGCACCGGTCGGTCCAGTGCGCACGCCTCCGCGTTGATTGTCGGGCAGAAACCGTTCATCCAAGCCCCTCGTGTCCAACTCCGCCGCTCCTCCTCCAGCTGCACCGCCAGTCCCACCACCACTCCCCCTCCACCGCTTGACATCCTCACCAAAGTGCCCTGTGTCTTGGCCCTTCAGATCCGTATACCTGGTGCGGCCTTTCTTGCCCAGCTTCGTCATGTCCCGCAGGCGCATGTACTCCGGCAGGGCGGATTTATCCGAGACCTGGTCCTCGAAGCGCGCCCCCATAACGTCTCTGCGTTTCAAAAACTCGGCCGTCTCATCGCCTTGGAAGAAGGCGCCCTTGTGGTGGTACCGCGCCAGGTACTGAGCGTCCGACCGGCCTTCGTCGCGCTCCTGTTTCTGCTTATCGAGGTATTCTCGGTCTTCCTTGTCCCGCTCTTCTGCGGTCAGGTTCCTTCGCCGCTCGATCTCTTCGATCTCCTTCTCTCGCGCAATCAGCGCTTCGCGGTCGCGCTTGAGGCGCTTGAGCTCGCGGAGTTTCCACGCCGCGTACTCGGCTTCTGGGTCGAGGCCATCTGTGTCGTTGACGAGGTTTTCGGGCTGGAGGTCGTCGTCGTCGTCCCATGCTTTCTTGCCCTGCGCGCGGGCGATGATGTCACGTTCCAGCTTGTCTTTGATCAGGAGATCTGCTTGGGCGAGACGTCGGGCTTGTTCGTCGAGCTCGGTAGATAGATATGGTGTAGGTTCGGCCAGATCGGAGGTTGCTGCGGTACTGGGCTCGGGAGCAGAGGTGAGCGATGCTTGTGTCTGTGATTGCTTTCGGTCTGATTTCTTGATGAAGGTCGGGCGTTGGAATTTCCGCCTGGGAGCTTCCTCCTCGGACGACGATTCCTCCTCTTCTGACGAGTATTCTTCTGACGAGGAAGACTCTTCTTCTCCTGGCTCATCCTCGTCCCCTTCCTTCGTATCAGGTGGTTTAAGCCTTTGTCGTATCAATGTGCCTTGTGGTGTTCCGGAATGCGCTTTTGCTATTGAAGCTGTGCCTAGTTCCCGCTGCTCCTCCTCACCGTTTTCCGGATCTGTCACAAAGCCATCTTCGTCTTCATCCTCGCTTGCTTCGGACAGCTGAGGGGCATGGCTCTGCCTCTTAGGCGCTGCTTGAGGTTTCCGCTGGGGTTGCCGTTGCCGTTGCTGTTGCCGTCGTTCGTCTTCTTCTTCTTCTTCTTCTTCGTCTTCGTCAGATGACTCTTGCTCAGCAACTGGTTTTCCAGGACGATACCTTGCAACTGGCCGTGCTGGGTTTGCGGTCATGCGCCTGGACGGGTTTGGCATTGGGGGAGGCATTGTGGGAGATGGTCTCGAAGCCGGGTGTCCCGAGGGGAGGGGCCTATAGGAGTGTGAGAGATCGTTCAATTAGCCTCTGGTGGACGCTTAAGGGAGAGTCATGAGCATTTCCACTTCAAGGTTGGAGTGATCATTAAATTCCATGTCGGCGAACCTGCCTGAAGTCCTACCGTCGGGGAAGATTAACGTCGGTGGATTATACGGTGGACCATAGTTACGCAGACACAGTAGTTCAGGCAAGCATTCACCAGAGCAAGACAGCACCCACGAGCACCCTACAGTTACAGTCTCCGCAGGTAAACCATCTACCATGAGATTACTCGTCTTCCTACTTCAAGTCTATCGCGACTGGTATCTATCTTGGTTCCATCCAGCCAGGACATGCCATAGGCGGCTCTTATTATTACCTGATTACCCCCCACCAGGCGCCATTCCGTAAAACCGAAAAACGCCATGCGCTGCAAGTGGTCCACCCGGTTGTCATTATGCATGGTTGGTTTCTTCCTGGCCTTCGACTAGAAGGTAATGCAATATGTCGCTGAGTGACAGAATTCCCTTGAGATAATTGTTATCGTCCACTATCATCAGCCGGTGAACCCGGGATTTCTTGATGGTTTCGAAAATTGTGTCTAGTCCATCCTCAAACGAACAACAATAAATGCCTGGATGATGTTGTGATCGTGCTGAAAGCGCCTTGCCAACTGTCCACGTGAGATTGCCATAGTCACCCGTCTTAAGGATTTCAATGACGTCTACTGCCTCAAATACATTCAACAAAATACCTAAAAGGTTGTTAGCAGGGAAGTGGTGCGGGAGTTGCGAGAATGGCTTCTCACCCTCGGTTGTGACAACCGGAACACTCGAGATGTTCTTGGTCACCATCTCATCGACGACATCGAGTACAGTTGTGTCCATGCTACAGCGCACAATGCTCCCATACGTCCCCAGTTTGATGGTTTCCAGGGGTTTTCTGAGCATATCCGTCTCCTTGACGTTCATGGCGATGAACTTGAGAATTCTGTATTGGGTAATGACACTCGTGACCAAGGTCCGTTGAGTATCGCTGTCGTAAGACACCAGCGGGATACGTCGAGCACGAGAGACGAGTTGTTTGCGCAAGGCATCGTACAGGACTGCCTCCGGTGAGACGGATAAAGTCTCCGGAGCCTTGACATTAAGCACTTTTTCAACATCTAGAATCTAATCAGTGCTGATGTTGGGAAGTGACAAAGGATAAGTAACGACCTTTTAGATCACTCAGGACCAATTTATCAATGTCTTTCAGCTTATCGGCATGAAGATTGTAGTACCTGACCACATTTAGGTAGTCGGTAACAGTCAGGAGTCCAGCGTAGGTAGAGGTGGTTGAGTCCCACAACGGGGCAGAGACGATGCCTGAATCGGTGGTCAGTAATGGAGGGAGAGCAATCAGGACGATCATCGACATACCACACTGGACCAGAATGTTCAAGCTCTCTTTCACTGTCAAACCAACATCGAGCTCAATCAAACGAAAGCTGAGCGGAAGCACTTCGTAACACGTTCGTACTCTCAGGAAATCTCTGATGGCTTTCTACTCCTCCCGTCAGTACATCGGCGGTCCTGGCCAAATAGATATCTCTTACCAAGCCTGCTCTTTCGTCTCTATCAATGGGACGATCGGGTTTCGCAGGAGTCATAGGACGAGAAATGGCGCGGGGTCTAAGTAAATCTGCCGGTCGGACAAAGGTGGCCTCGTGACCATGCGCATGGTGGAATGGAGGCGGAGGCGAAGGCGAGTTGTTGGAAGAAGAAGAAAGCAGATGGCCATTGTGACTTCGAGTCACCTCATTCTCTGCCATAGCGACCGCCCCAACTGCATTTTATGAAGTCCTGGACGGAAAGAGACGGGCGCGCAGGCAAGCGGCGGCCGGTAGAGACGAAGAGTGAGCGAGAGTGTGTGCGGGGAAAGACCCTCTAGCTTAGGAGGTGAGTAGGGCTGGTGAGCGCAGGGCCTAAGTTAGGCAATGGTAGTTGGATGCAAGCAATTCGCAGTAACAAAGATGAGTGAGTGGATGGATGGGATGGGATAGGATGGCATGGCATGGCATGGCGTGGCGTGGAATTGGGTTGGATCTTGGATGGAGGGGTTGCGAAAAAGGTGGGATGGAGGGCCGGAAAGCCTAGGCCTGTTCGGGTTAGTGTAGGAAATCGTGAATGTCAGCACGTGGTACTGCCATGATGGCATGTGACAATCATTGACCACTCTCCTATCCTACGGAGTACTGTATGACCACTCCCCTATCCTACGTAGTAGTGTATGTACTGTAACAACAATAATGTCTATAGTCTGTAGTATGTAGTAACCTTGACTTTCACCTCACCTTCAACCTTCAGCCTTCCACTTCGACCTCCTGCTCCCTTTCACTCAGACTCTTCTCCTCCGTCCCTTTGAGGTATCCCTCGTATTCCCCAATCCGCTTCCCCCCTGTCTTCCATCTTGCCTGTTGCTCCGCCCTCTTGAATTCACATAGTCCATTCAACGCGGGCCAATACTGTTCATGGTCATATTCGAACTCCACCAGTCCACCGCTCTCCTTCAACAGTTGCTCCCGAGGTACATGAAGGCCCATGTCCTCGTTGAACTTGATCTTCTCGCGCGTCAGAGGGTCAATGAACGGAGTGATCAATTTGAAGAATCCCCAAATATAGAAAGGCACATTGGTCACAAAGGCACGGCCCAATCGCTCGGGATAGTGGTTCTGAAGAATGTTCAGGGTCTGCCTGCCTTGTGACAGCGTGGCTCCTTGACCGGACTTAGTCTCAGCAAAGTTGATGAGGAGTGCCAGTGTTTCTTGACCAGGGGGCATCAGGTCAATCGCCCGTTCAAGCATAAAGACCAAGTGCTGAATCTGGCGATCGCTGCGCTCGGTGTTTTGCTTCGACGGTCGTAGATATTGACAAGTGCGTCCGTGGTTATCCCATCCCAAAATGACTTGCTTTCCTGTAGCGTTCTCGATGGAGATGAAGTCTTTAGTGCGCGATTCGACTCCATATTCCCGGCGCCAAACCAAAGTGTTTCTCAATCTTGTTTCCGACTGGGCAATGTCCCAATTGGTAGCCCTGCAGTAACGAAGTAGACATTCTCGGGTGAGAAACATGCGCTCGGAGTCGGTCAGGGGCGTCGTCTTTGCATCCTTTGTCGACGCGTCGGGAATCTCGGTCCACGCTTGGACATTGCTGAGTAGGGTAGCATATTTTGTTTCATGTTCAGAGGTTAATTGTGGTCTCTGGACAGGCTGAGATGTTTCTAGGGGCTCAGAAAGTGGAGTCTTGATAAGGCCATCGGCGGAGGATCGAGGAAGGCTCGGTAGAGGAGGCAATGCGGTGGATGCAGCTGCAGGGGTCGAGTCCTTCCTCGCAGTCGCAGGCTCTGTAGTGGTGACGGGCGCAGTCTGATCAGTTGCAGCCTGGCCGTCGAGTTTGACATCGATTAAGCCATTGGAGAGATCGGCGACGGTCTTTTCAGGGTCATGGGGTCCGTTTGGAACAGACCCAGTGGTAGCTACCTCGGTAGCCATAAGGTGGACATGCGTAAAAGGTCTTGGAGCAGAGAGAGAATGGTGCAACTACACACGGTGGATGGAGCGTCTATCCTCTGGTCCTGGTACGTATGCGGACGGATGGTTAATATCAAAGGCCGGAAAATAAAAAGGGAAACGGCAGGCACGCGAGAAACCAAATGTTGGGGAAGCGACGACTGATGCGCGGGATCGTCATCTCCGGTGAGCCTGACTTCTACTCCGTCCGATTCTATCTGATAACCAATTATTCTTCACCGCCTCCCCTCAGACCACTATACCACGTACATGCGTCTTGGTCTGTAAGTGATGATTGATCTTGGTTCCTTAGACCTTCTCGTCAGACAGTATATACCTACGGGCACAGATACTTTGTCTTCCACCAACAATATGTTCAGCCGCACCAACAACCCTCTGATATCGAGTACTCCGTAATGAATCTAGCCATTCAGAATTCAGGCGGCTCTTGGCCTCCTCGTCCCTGCATCAACACACAATAATAAGGCTGCCGGATCATCGCTACAGTCCGCCTTGCCGTCTGATAGCTAGGCGGCTGAGATAGAAGCCTATTACTGGGTCCGGTTGGACTGTGCTCTCCCCTCCCTCTGCCTTTCCTCAGCTTTGATACCTGATCTGATGGCTCCCAGCCTTCTCCCATCCTCCCATCCGTTTGGATCTTGTATTATAATGTTATTTCTTGGTGTACCGATTCATCTATCATGGGAAGTATGATGGACTCAAGAAGTACTTATCTAGAATAATAACAACTCACTGTTGATAGTCCGCAGCACCACTTACGAATGAACATGTCTGCGGTCACAGCTTCGCCATCCGCTGAAAAGCGGGTATCACGCTCTCATGGCTATTTCTCGTGTTCAGTACTCCCTTTTTCGTACCGAGTCCAGAGTGCGAGGTAGCAGTTCCTGGATGAACAAGCCAATAGAGGACCTACCTACACAGTGGGCCAGATAACACCAACACTCAGCGAGAAGCAATCATCACTGCGAAAGTTGCATTCTCTCGACTTCCAAATGGTGATGCCCCTTTCCAGCAATATCTGACCAGTCCCAACCCAGTCGGAAATCTCATCGATGCACTCGAGCGGAAACAGGTTGAGCAAAGGTCCAAGAAGCACTCTATCTTTCTTGCCAAATTCCAACGATATACCCAGTGGCCGTGCAATTTCTCGCATGTGATATATGTCATTCTCCAGACAGATGCCGGCATCGGCTGTCCTATATGGTCTCCCATTGAGTTTGTTCTTCAAGTATTTCTACATTGCATCTTGTCAGAGGCAATTCCATAAACACACTCTGACATATGATAGGTATCGGAATATCACACTGAAGTCGTCGAACTCATCGCACAAATGATTGACATTCTCATGACAAGACAGCCACGACTAGAAATCTCCCAAAGACTGTCAAATGATTCACTTCTTTAGACCTTCCTCCTGAAGATATTTTCCAACGTCACCAGCGTCGTTATCCTGTGTTTACGGGCTCTCAAGCGCCCGGCTGTGTGCAACGTGACCCACACCTCCTCTGAACAGCCCTTACTTATCAGCGATAAGGAGGCTCGGGCGTCTGATTTCCACTTCAACCACCAAAACACTCAGAGCCATTTGAACAATCTCGAAACAAACGGAGGCGAAGCTCATAGCGGAAACCAAGAGAAGCTCTTCTCGAAAATGGAGAAGCTTTCTGCCAAACACAACAATATTCACAGACTGCTGGGATGTATTGACGCATCTTGGTTGAGAGTGAATACCTTTTGGACAACCTGGACGACTTCATCGACTCGGCTAGTGTAATGCTGATCAGAACATTGGTTTGCCAAGAGCGCAATTTAGAGGCGCATCAAACCTTGCTGGGGTTTGATTTTTCGAAGTTTTGCGGGAAGCCGACTGGGAAGCACTTGTTGAAGATATTGAGGAGCTTGTGGATGAGGATAGTAGTCTCAAGCGGGAAGTCGAGACCCTCTCGAGTGTGTTGGGTGTCGGTCTGCGATTGGACTTTGGTAAAACAACAAGTACATGGTTGTGTCAAAAAGTTAAAGCCAATGTGTTAGCTTTCTCGAGCAAGTTGTATGCAAAGCCAGTAGGAGATCCCAGGTGACCGATCCTTTTGTGCTCAACTAGAATCGCGGCATTCATGCAAGGAAAGTGGTTTAGAGAGGCACAGAATCTGCTCCTCAGGGTGCTCAGGGAGAACAACGATTTTTGTTCAATGCCACCACTTGATTTGCATATTTAGCAATGGTGCCTCCGAGCAAGTGAGAGATTTTATGCCTCTCTTAGGAAGAATGAGGATTCCTATGAGGATTCTCTTTCTAGTACCTCTCATGAAGCTAGGACTGATGAGACATCTGAAGCGACGTTGAAGAAGAGTCTAGCAAAGAGAGTGGCGCCTTGAGTGTGTCTACTGTTACAAGAGGGAGGAGGAGGAGGAGGAGGAGGAGGAGGAGGAGGAGGAGGAGGAGGAGGCTCGGTGTGGACTTTCCTTCTGCGTTCTCAACCCGGGTCAGAAACAATAGTGCGCCGCCGTGAACGGCCCTACTGTGCTGAATGGCTGATCTGTACTATTCTACTCACCTTACGATGGCTTTATGCATTGTTGTATCAGAGGATGGAAATTATGCGCTTGGTATGATGCGAGTAAGCTGTTCCGGCGCAAGGCTGAGTAATTACATGGGGTAGGTCGGTGCAAGCATGAGTTGAGGTGGAGCAGCATTCATACGTCTGGAGTTGTGGAGATATGTCTTATGCGCCGACTGTCGAGGCATGTTCTTACTAAAAAAAACAGTAGTAAATCCCTAATTTTCGGTCCACTCCCCTCCTTTGAGTAGGTTTATGGTCAACCGTTGTGACTTTTACCTAGTCACACTGCGCCCTTGGGGGATATTCCACTTAATCCCTTTTTGGTTAGCGTGTCGCGTCCTCAAAAAGACGCGTGCCTCACGCGTCTCCCTCTCACGCGACCACCCTACAAAACAACATCAGCACAATCATCTCGCTATAGACACGACCATGGCGGAAATCAAAGAGAACCTCAATTCGGTGTTCGACCCTACGGGGCGCGGCCTTGAGCCTGACATCATTGAGGTGCTTGAATCCATACTCCGCTTGCATTCCATCACGCCCGACGAACTCTTCATAAAATGGGAGGTGTACTCACTGAAAATGGGGTCTGAGGAAACCAAACTCGACCTCCCCACTGCGCGCATGTTCGCCAGAGATGTTCAAGACGCGGTCGAACGGGGTGGACACGATCGAATGCAGAAACATATGAGCGGTCGCGTGCCTGGATCAGAGCGAAAGGGTGCGGCGCATGCTACATCCAGGGCAGTGGGAAATGGAGACATGTTTGGAATGTATGCCGCACAGCTAGGGAGGAGCCGATTCGATGGGATAACAGACTGACGAGGGTTATAGGCTTGATGAACTGACTCCGAATGCACTCCCGCGAAGAAATGGAAGCGTGAAACGAAAGGCCGACTTTGACTCCCCAATGCCCAAGAAAATCACACGACCAGATACAGGCAAGACTCCCAGTAAAGGGGGGAAAGGTGAGGGACTTGCGTAAGATAGCAGCACTCTCTATAAACATGACACGACTAATCCAATCAAAGTGGCATCCCCTTTTCGCAGCGACAAAACTCCGGCCAAATCATTGAGACTTTGAACGAGCAACTCACAGCCGCAGAAGTTCCGCTTGCTCCTTTCTCCGAAGCCCGAATTCGATTGATGGCCAACACGGACTATAAGAAATTTGCCTATAAGCCCATGTCCATGCGGCTATCGGAATCCTCCGAAGTGCTGGACGAGCGCATCGACGAGTTCTCCACCCTGATCCAGAAGTTTCACACTCTGGAAGATTCTGCTTTCGGGAATGCTGGAGCTCAGAGTACAAGTGAGATTATTGCGGTTGGCAGGATCGCATCAGATACAGCAGAGGGGAAACTGAATGCTGCATCCCTGGTGCTAGAAATGTCGAGAAAAATCGGGGCTGGAATTCGAATACCGCTGAAACTCGACGGTTTGCCGTCCTATCAGTTTTTCCCTGGTCAAATCGTGGCTCTACGAGGTACCAATGCTTCTGGGCAATACTTTACAGTCAAGGAGGTGCTTTCTGTACCCAGGTTGCCTATGCCTTCGTCGACACCGCAGGCTATTGAGGCACTGAACGAAAGGTTGGACGTATCAGAGAGCTCTTCTTCTCCACCCCTCAATATCATAGTTGCATGTGGACCTTACACCGCCGAAGACAACCTGGATTACGAGCCGTTCAGGGCAATATGCCAAACGGCGGAAGAAACGATGGCAGATGCACTCATACTGACAGGGCCGTTTATCGATATCGAGCATCCCATGATCGCCTCTGGCGATTTTGAGATCCCGCAAACACGAGGGCTAGATCACGAGGCAAGCATGACGGTACTTTTCAAGCTGTGGATTTCAGGACATTTGCAACGACTTGTCTCGGCAGTTCCCAGTATCACTGTTCTGATGGTCCCTAGCGTACGGGATGCGATTAGCAAACACGTCAGCTGGCCACAGGAACGACTGATCAAGAGTAACCTGGCACTCCCCAAACAAGTGAGTATGCTGCCGAATCCTTGTTTCATTTCACTAAACGAGGTTGTTCTGGGAATCTCTTCGCAAGATGTACTGTACGAGCTGAGTCGGGAACAATTCTCTCACGGAGCAGGGTCAGATCTTCTGACGAGGCTGCCTGGATATCTGATCGAACAGCGACATTTCTTCCCGCTTTTCCCGCCGATGTCACGAGATAAGTTGACAGGCAATGGAGTGGTCAAGCCGACAGGAGCGTGTTTGGACCTGGGGTATTTGAAGCTGGGAGAGTGGTTGCAGGTCAAGCCTGATATTCTGGTTCTGCCCAGCATGTTGACACCGTCTGTCAAGGTAAGTGTTCCTTTTTTTCAGCCTTGCGATAGCTTGAGATGAATGCTGACCTTGGTTGCTCGCATAGGTTGTGGACAGCGTCATGGTGATCAACCCAGGGCACCTATCGAAGCGGAAAGCGGCAGGAACGTATTCCCGGCTCTCGCTGCATGCTCGCAATGTTAGTGAGGACGAGAAAGCGGCCAAGACCATCACACATGACGTCTTTAATCGGGCCAGGGTTGATGTCGTCAGGATATAATCGACTGATGGATCGTCCTCATAACGCCAGTGGTAATGGGGGCCTCTCATGGGCGGCGGGGGATTATTCGAACATGATTGTGTCCTGTCCACCCCGCATCGCGCCATGCCTCATCGCAAGCCTCATTGCAGGCTGATGTTCATGATAGTGTTCCGTAATGAAGCGTCCAAACATCATGTCTGTGTTGCGCGTGGCATCACCGTAGAAACAACAAGCCCTCCCTCCTCCCCTCCCTCCTCCCCTCCCTCCTCGCCCCGCCAGCGCCAGCAGCATTCTTGAGCCTCCCTCCATCCCCACTGCCACCGCCATCAGCCATCAACCCCAGCAATCCAAGATCCCTCCAGACCGGCTCTCGTTGCACACCCGCCATACTAGCTTCACCCCTCGGCCCAAAACCTGTCGCTCCTCCAGCTGCACCGCCCCCAGCCCCAAGCCCACCAGCGCCAGCGCCAGCACCAGCCGCACTTGCGCCCTGTCCCAGCGCGCGATCAATGCCAAACGCAGCATGCATGTCCGGCACAACGCCGTCCTCGTCCTCCGGGTTCAGTGGCATCAGGTGCGGCGGAAGGTGGATTTCTTCGAAGGGTAGGAAACTGCCGGGCAGGGTGGTCATGCCGCTGCCATCGTTGAGCGGGCCGGGTGCGGCGCTGTTGGCTGTGCCAGCGTGCATCGAGGTGGATGTGAGGGCGCCATTGCTGGTCATGTTTGTGCTGGACGAAGAGGTGGAGGGTGGCCGGCAGAATTCTTCGAAGAGGTCCGCGTACCGTGAGGATGTCAGCGGGAGGTGGATGTATGTGGCGGAGGAATCGCGGGACTGAGAGCGGCGGTTAGTTGATCGCTGGTCGAGGCGAGGATTGAGGGGAGCGTGGTTGATAGTGGGTTTGCTTACCATCATGAGCGAGGATGAATAGGACAAGACGAGGGAGTATCGTTGAGTCCTATGCAAGAGGCGGTATGTTCTCATCAGCAGTTGAGAGTGGGTGTATATACACAGAAGTGGATTTGTTGTACGATTTACAGGGAAGAACCGTGGTAAACAAAGTCCCGCCTCAGCCTCGTCAGAGAGTGTCTTCGGCCTTGTCGTCTGACGTAAACAAAAAACCACCATAAGTTGTAAATTAACTGATTTACTTTTTCCGCTCCACGTGCGAACACGACGCTCACTCACTCTCTCCCTCAATCTCCCTTCCACTCCTTTATCCCTCGATCATAATGCCTCCCCTTCTCGATTGGCTCGTCGAGCACGAGCCTTTGTTCCGCAGGTAGGTCTGCTCCTTCGTCACCGCAATCTACCACCAACTAACCTCCAATCTCATAAGGACCCGCCTCCCCTCTCTCTACTCGGACCTCAGCGTGCAGCGGAGCACGAACCCCGAAGGCTACGCCGCGAACCTGGTGGCATGGACATCAGCACTGACCCGCCTGACCATGGCCGCACAGCTCCCACCAGAACAACACTCCCTGATCCTGGCCACGTCCAACGATCTGATCTCCGCCCTCGCGTCCCCCGTCTACGGCCAGCCCAGTGGGCTGGGCATCGTGCTGGACGACTGTGTAAGGCACGGAAAGATGATAGACCTGAAAGATTTCATGGCTGCCGACAGAAGTAGCATCTACAGCAAGTCATGGATCCCCAGTCCTTGGGCGGTCCTCAAGTGGGGCCTAAGCCAGGTTGGTGTACCGCTTGGGAACGGTGCGAGTTACGAGTTATCCGGCGGCCGGCTGCGGAGTGGCAATTTGGTGGTTGTGGCTGCGTTGGAGGAGCGGTGGAAGAAGGTGCAGATGATACGAGACAAAGGACCCCAAGGTCTTACGGATCGGATTCTCAGTCGTGAGGCCTTCATCCAAGAAGTCAATGCGACTACGCAACAGCCGTTGTCGGAGCAGGATGTGTCCGTGTTTCTTCGCTACCTCGCACACGACAAGCAGGTCCTGTCCTACGACGCCACCACCGTGAAATTCAAAGCTGCGGCTACAAACAGACAACAGATAGAACCAATTACGCACGAAGACCAGCACATCGCGTCACTGAAACTACTCATCACTAACCTCACCTCGCAAATCAGCACCCTCCAATCCCGCATTTCGACCCTCCAGGCCACAGCCCGCGAAGCAGTTCAACAACACAACAAGACCACCGCGCTGTCCGCCCTCCGCTCCAAGAAGCTCGCCCAGCGGAATCTCTCGTCCCGCTCCGACACGCTGCATCAACTGGAGGAAGTATATTCTAAGATTGAAGCCGCGGTGGACCAGATCCAGGTGGTGCGCGTCATGGAGGCGAGTGCTGGGGTGCTGAAGAGGCTGAACTCGCAGGTCGGCGGCGTGGAGAGGGTCGCGGATGTGATTGATCGATTGAGCGAGGAGATGGGCAAGGTCGATGAGGTCACGGGTGTGCTTGCCGAGCCGTTGGATACCAAGGCGGCACTGGATGAAGATGAGGTCGATGAAGAACTTGAGGTTCTGGAGCGTCACGAGCGCGAGAAGGTCCAGCGAGCCGAGGCGGATGCGACACAGAAACGGTTGGCGGAGTTGGAGATTCTCGAGAGGATAAAACAGAGAGAGCTTCAGGAGACAACACAGCTGCAATCGCAAGCGGCAAGCGATGCGGAAAACGCAGCGCTCGAGCGGGACTTGTCCTCGAGCATGGAGAGACTACGCACGATGGACTTGAATACGCGCGCGAGAGCCCAGCTGCAACAAAACCAAGAACAACCACAGCAACAACAGCCAATCCAAGAGCCTGCTCCATGAGGAAACTATTTGCATTGGAATCATGAAATCGAGATAACATCGACTTTCGATCTATGGATGTGTGCCAGCGTTCCTCTTTCTTCCGCACGCTAGATCCTAGTATGACAAGGAGCATACCGGATGATGAGACGTGACGACACACACATGTACGCATATAAGTCAAGTATGCTACCGTACGGACTACTGCACGCCACATTACAGAACAGGTTGAGGATGCCAGATGCTCCCTAGGGCATTGTGTTGTGACTAGCAACGAAGAAGAATAGGCGACTACGGCCAATGAAGCAAGACAGGCACCATGCGTACATACCATGTGGTGTCTACAGGGGTTCAGTTCGATGTTTGAATTGGCACTTTTGATAGAAATCTAGGTAGAGTCGGGACACTGTACGGACTCCCTTGGAGCATGGGCTCGGCACAGTAAAGGCAACATCCTTCTATGTCGTATGACTCCATTCAACCGTCTCCATTTGAGTTGCTCGCCATCGGCTTACTCAGTTAGGGTGGATCACAGACAGCATTCCTGCCACTACACCATAATGCTACTATCGATATCATATACGTCATAAGTTGTATGCTTCTGATTCGTCGCCTATCAACTCAGGAGGCATCTAGTGCACATGCTCGTTTAACAGGCATCCTTAGGAACAGTATCCCTACCGCCCGGCGCTATTCCCACATGCGATGATGAACCGCAGCGGACCGGGCTGATGGCGCTGCTGGTGGCGGTGGCGGTGGTGACAGGGGCTCTGGAGATATGTCTGCGTTTGCTGCAAGATCACTCAGGTGACTGGCCGGCTGAGACAATATGGGTATCGCAGTCTGAGTCGGGTGTGGTTGGTGATTCAGAGCATCGTCTTGGCACAGTATATTGGTTGCGGACATGGCATCTTGTGGAGGGAGGGAGAAATCCGGCTGTGGTGTGGAATCTGATGGAGGCCGCGCGGATTCAGGAGGGCATTCGTCTGCCGCGACTTGCTGCGGCGTGCTCTCCAGTCTTGACCCACATCCCACAACTTGCCCATCAGGCTGCGGCGCCTCCTCCCCCAGAAGCCCACTGCCGGCCGCTTTCTGCGCCAGCCGCTTCTGCCTCGCCTGACGGATCAGATCGTCGAAACTGTCCTTCTGCTTCTTCGCATGGCCTTGTCGGTCAAAGTCCTTGGCCATGAACCCCGACGAGGCGCCAGCTACCCTGTCTATCTGCCTCCCCAGAGCATCTTCCCACACCCTCAGGTCCTGTAAGAGCCGACGCTTCGACACAGGATTAGTGGAGTCGCAGTTCGCGTTCCACAAATTGACCCACTCTGTATGGCGCCGGCGCATCAGTTCCTTCGAGCCCGAGTTGGGGATCCCGAGGTCTCGGAGTTTCTTGCGTAGCGCATTGTCATTCAGGAGAGAATAGTTGATGAATGGGAGGCGTGTCTGTTGGTTTACGGGTTTGGCCACACCATACGCAATGGTTCCCGGTGGTGCAAGTTGGGGCGCAGGCGACATGGTTTCCTCGAAGGGGGTCGAACTATCCCCCGCGATGCATCTGTCCAAATGCGAGTTGATCTGCGATTCTTTCATGCGCCGGTGGCAACACGGGCAGGCCACTCGGACGTCGTTGGCTTCGGCGGGCCGTCGGGCTGGATGCGGACTACTCGCACCGGCATCTTCGTAGACGCTGCCTTCGTCCTCGCTGTCAAGGACAACCTCTGGTGTAGACATCTCGCTTTGTTGACTGCAGGGCACGTTGCCCTTTTTGCTCTGACTTCGAGTGCTTCGTCTTTCCGCTCCATTGGTGGCAGCCTGCTCAACCTTCCGCCTTTTCTTCGGTCTTTGAGACTCAAAACCATCACCTTCTTTCGACTGAGCAGCATTCTGTGCGAACTCGAGGAGGCTTTTTCTTGAGGCCGTGAAACTGGTGACGAGTTCCTCCACAGCCCAGTTCCGCCGCAGTTTGATCTCTTGGTCGGACTCTCGACAGGCGGGACACTTTCCTTCTTGGGAAAGGTATCTTCGTATACAAAGACTGCAGAAGGTGTGCGAACAACTGGTGATCATAGGTGTTGTGAAGAAGTCCTTGCATACTTGACAGCGAAGGGACGATTCGAGTTGAGCAAGCGAGCCCAAAGGTGTCGTGAGCCAATCAGTGCTGTCCGTGACTTCATATTGTTCAGGCATCACGGAAGAGAACCAAATGCAAAGAGAAGTAAAAAAATGAAGGTACACCCGCTCCGTCAAGGCCCAACGTTACCAATGTACATTACCAACTGGCTGGTCGCAGGCTACACAAGGATTCAGGCAACTAGTTGTACGACCTCGGAATCTCGCACCACATCGCGCCAAGCCGACCGTGAATGCTAGCGTGTCTTTGCTTCGCGTTAAGTGGTCACGTGTAAATACGCGGTCACAAGACCAGTGCACAGAGGTGCGTATATCTAAGTTGTCGAGCAGCATCTTCTACTGTAATTATATTATTCGAAGAGATGTCCATCTATCAATTGTGTGTATTCATTCAAAATCATCGTCCTCTCTGGACAAAGGATCCGGTCTCGTCAATCGCACGGGACTTAATGGGGCAACATCCACGCCACCGACGCCAGTCATTAGGCTCCCCGTCCTTCTATGCGCTCTGCTGTCGAGTTTCTCAACCGTGGCCATCTGCTCGATGGTCTCGTCTTCAATGTCGTCCTCGCCCTGTCCAGCCCCATTAAATGGCCCTGCCGCTCCGCTTAGAGTCCTCCGCCGAGCTTGTCCTAACTTCATTCTGACTGCTAGCCGGAGTTGCGTTAGGTACTCTGCTAACCCTGCGAAATCTTTGACCGCCTGGCTGTTCTTGGTTTCGTTATACAATTCTTGTGCCTCTTCTAGTCGCTCCGAGGCAAACTCGGCCCTTCCTAGTTTCATCCATTCATCCGCCGTCATCACGCTCCAAAGTGCTGCTTTGCGCTTGCGTGTGCCCCAGCTTGTGTTGCCAACTCCTATTCGATCAGCAAAGCAGGATGTGACCCGCTCACTGACGAGTACATGGCCTATGCTACCAAGTAGCCCCAATTCCAGGGATCGTATAGCCCACCTTGCAGCCAATTCGGTAGCCGATCGACCTCGTACTTTCAAGAGTTCGACGCCAAGTAGGATCGATCGCAGTGCCAGTGAAGGAGCCGAGCAACGGGTTGTATATGAGTAGCTAGCTGTTTCCAACATCTGATCGAAGCTTTCAATCTTGAATTTGGAACTTCCGGTCCCAATCAAAGGGTTCAAAAGTGTGGAGATACAGCACATCTCATTTGCGCCGGCGAGATGTTTCCACGCCTTGTCATTTGCGTAGTCAGTTCTCAGAAGCTCATATGTTGACGCGGCAAGTTTGTAATCTCGAAGCATGAATGCATAATCTGCAAGCTTACGCAAAAGACTTTCAGAGCTGTCATATCGATACGATCCTTGGAGGCTGTCGTAGTTGCCACTCGCACCCGACGCCGACAGGTTAGTGGCTGAAGAAGCGTTTCGAGCCGAACTTCCTATACCTGTCCATCTTTTGGATAATGACATGAACCTGCCAGAAATGCCTCGTCGACGAGAGGCTATTTGGTCATTCCAGAGCGCGATTCTCTGTTCCATATGGTATACAATCGATTGTGCTACGAGCTCCCGAACAAATCCGCTGATTGCTGAGGCATCGGAGGAGAAGATATAAGGCGAAGTGGATGTATTCAAATCTATCAGATCCACAGTGTCGTGGATGAAAGACATTTGTTCGGAAGCCGACAACCACTCACTAGTTGGTAATTCTTCCGAATCATCATCTGACTGTGTGCAAGGGGTGGATCTCAGTCTTAGAAGATGGCAGTGAAGCCCAAAGTGCCGTTTCATCTGATCAAACAGTGCTGATGACTTACTGAAGTCGTCCTTGTCTTCATCATGGACGAGGACATAATAGCGCAGATACTCTGGATTGGCGTACAATGGTAACGCTCTCGATCCTTGAGCAGTTTGTTGGTACAAGTTTCGAAGGGTCTCAATTGGCTGTTGTGTAGAAGAGCTGATGGCAATGACGGCCCCAACAGGATGTCGAAACGTTTCATGCGGACTCATGGCTTGTGAAGATAACAGCCGAGTCAGGAATAGCTTGTAGAAAGGAGATATCTCGGTCCTGATGGGGACCCCATCCGTGTCATCCCAGCCATCCCCGATGAAGTACTCCATGAGTTCCTCCAGGTTTTCCAGCGGATTGGCGTCAGGGGAAGGCGATGCATCACGGGCAGCGGCCAGATCTTCAAGATCCGCGAAATGCACACCAAAATCTTCCCATGCTCTGCTGGCTCCGGTACTGTCTCTAACAACCACTTTCCCTGATACTTTGTTGCCAAAAGGGCGGATAAGCCCTGTGAACCCCTTCTTCAAGCCCTTTCGCACGGCTAGCTCATCAACCTCCTCCGCAGCACAAATGGCAATGGTAGGAGAAAATGCGCGAACGATTAAAGACCTCGAGTCGTCATAGCCATCAGGAGAACTGCCAAGTGGGCTGCTCAAAGAAGACTTTCCAAATCTCGAGACCGAAACTGATAATCTGCCGTTTGGAGAGTTGGACCGGGAAATGGTATTAGAGAATGTACTAGTACGTGAACCTAGGCTCGGGGGGGTGGAAGTACGGAGCGGCAGGCTTGCGGTCGATGTCTCTGGTGATTCGTCGGTCGCCGATTCTGTAGCATTCCTGACATCGATAATGGGGACCGAGGATAGGTTTTCGGACTTCTGAGGAGGGACTCCATCACTGGGTGAGTTCATGGACAGGACTGGATCTGGTTAAGAGAGATTGAAAGGATTGTGGTTGTAAGCGTCGCATGAGGGTGGTGTGTCGAAGGTTGAGGGGTATGTCGCTTTCATGTCATGTAGTCTTCTGGTTACTCCTTTGTTGTGCTGCACGGCCACCCTTTCGCAATGCCAGGTGATCGAGTATGAACAAGCAGTGAAGTCGAGTAACTCGTGGCTGCGGCGATTTCAGGAACCGGGATGATGTAAAGCGAGCAAACTGGGCAAACAGTCGGGCCCGGTAATACGATTCTCCGCTAACGGCTCGACAGATTGCCGAGGCTCCACCTCCCTGGCGGTCATCCCTCCCTAAGGCTGGGCACTTCACAACAACCGCGCCACAGAGCCCCTGAAATTCCATTGATTGGCGAGGCGAGTGGTTCTGCATTACGACTGGCTCAGCTTTTCAGCGTCTCCGTACGAGTTCTCCATACTCCATAGATGCTTATCCTTAAATTTGAGAGTTCAATCAAGCTCAAGGAAGCTTCAGGTGTGGATTCATGGAGGGGTCGGCTGCTACAGATCTTGCAAGAAAGAAGTCACGAGAGCTATAGGATAGACAAGGCCCTTGAGCTCTGTGTAGAGTACCCAGTCACTATTCTTTGGGTCTCACCCGTGCGATACTCGTGGTATTGGAAACGCCACATCCACTTTCGCCAGTGTGCAATCTACGAGTAGATTTGGGATAAACCCCTGAGCCCAAGAGGGTAACTGTGGCTGAAATTCCACCGCCTTTGACACTCCCACTAAAATAGGCTCACTCGCGTTCTCTCGTGGAGCCTGTACCAGTAGGCCACCATCTCCTCGTGTTCATAGAATCTTGCCCCTTCACTGCACTCTGTATCGATAGGGGAGAACCACCGGAGAACCACCATTCTGCTTTGCTGTGTGGTTCTGAACACTTGCAATTCGACTCATTGCTTTTGCTCCGTTTTGTTTTTGACCTCATATTCCAGTTTTCCTCCTAACTATCATGAGCGGCGTGATAAGGTTCAGATATTCAGCGTTGAGCGCACTGATACTATGCACATTATTCCTGCTATTTTCGACATCTTCAAGTCGTTTTAGACTTTCACGATGGTCTGACAAGTCCAGCATTGACTTATCTGAGCAATTCAAATATGAGGAGCCTGTCATAGCCGGGGAACCAGTCCAGATTCCAGCTCCAGATGTAAACTCTACAACTAAACCTGGATCCCAGCCGTCGAGCCTCACCCTCGATGGACCCAAAAAGCCATCCCGGAAGATAGTCGGAATGGTGTTCGCTGGGAGAAAAGAATACATCTCCATCTTGGACTGTTACCTTCAACGGAATCTTGTCCGCAACGGTGGTTGGTTGGACGAGGTTATCTTTATCATGCGTGCTACCCGGACTGTCGATATCGTCTACCTGCATGATCTGACGGACAGCGTCCCCGAGTATGATCTACACGAAATATATACCAAAGCACAAGACGACGACAAACCATTCGATGAAGGATACAAACTCTGCGAGCCAGACGTTCTCTACGTCAAAATCGACGACGACATACTTTTCTTGGAAGACCACGCTATTCAATCCATTGTTCGGCGCAAGATCAACGATCCAGATTATTTGATGGTCAGCGCCAATGTGCTCAATCAGCCAGCATCTTCATGGGTCACTCAGCATCACCTCAACGCTTCAAGGCCGTATTTACCAGAAACTGCGAAACCTGATGGTTTTGTAGACGATGATCGACGACATATGGTTGATTGGCGACCATCGACATTACCGTCCTGGGAGAGCAATAGCGCCTACAATTTTAGTGTCGAAAGCCCACCACCCTTCAAAGGTCACAGGTGGCTACCGCTTGGCCACAGCGGAACTCGCTACACTCCAGCCGATGAGATGTTGAGACATGACAACGCGTCTAACACGACCAATGAATCTTCAGAGTACTTGCCATGGACGGTAGCGGCACAGCGTAAGTTCTTCCGTTGTCTATTTTCCTCGAGAGGAACAACCAACTGACAGGGATCACTTTCCAAGAGCATTATTCATTCCTGGACCACCTTGAGCGCGGCCAACTCCAGCAGTACAAATTTGACACGTGGACATATAACCGTGACAGTCGAAACATCAATTTTATGGTCTTTTCAGGCAACGACGTGATCAAATATCCCGTGAAAGGCGACGACGGCTCCTGGTTTACGCAAACCCTGCCTTCTCGATACAATCGAACTGCTATCGTGGACGGGTCTGCCATGGCCGTCCATTTTGGCACTCGCTCTCAGACTTCATCAAGCCCCGGCGTCCCAGGCCGGGGACTACGAGATACTGATTTGCTCCGCCGTTACAGAAGCTATGCCACGGAGTTCATCTGTGGGAAACCTTGGGGCTCGCCAATGGGGTGAATATAAAGTGTAAGATGTGCGAGGTTCCGCGTGTTGACTCTATCGACTCTTAACCGGCGGACTCGGGAATTTGCACAATGCAATGAAAAGACCAGTACTGGCATAACGTTGACTTACGCTCTCGAAAACGACAATTCCACGATACAGGATGTCCAGTTCTACCAGAGCAGCCCAATAGTTCGGCCATCAACACTCACACTACGCCCAATCATCCTGTTCAGCCTTTGAAAGATTAGATAAGCCCTAGTCTTAACCGGTGCATATCAAATGTCAAGCATCAACATGAGGCCAGGGGTCTGGGCTCACTCATGGAGCACCGATAAAAAGAGCAAAAACAGGATGTGTGGGCATGGTAAATTTCCGACGGGTTTTCAGGTGTCAGCATGAACTCAAACAATGGCTTCCCTATTGCATGCCGATTATGGAGATTATGAAGCGGAGGAGATTGTTTCCTTGACTAAACATGATACTCATGTCCTAAAGACTATTGTATTTCAATGCGGGAAAATTAGCATGACTAAGGAAGCGCGTATATACCACCACTCGCTCCAAGTCTGCCCGAAAGGGTCATCCAATTCGGACAGCTTCACGTTTAAGTAGCGACGATCTCCCGGCCCACGGTGTTGTGGATTCATGTTCATCTTCATAAATATCAAGATTTCACCGGCTCAACGCTCCCATCCATTCTACCATAACTACAGTGAACAGTAGACCCCACGCCCTGACCAAAATATGAAATATAATTAACTTCTTGGCATTTTTATCCAACGCCACTGGAGCCCGATTGCACCTCTCAACAAGAACAGCATTTTCCACCAAAGCTCAGCCCAGCAAACGGTAACAGTAATACATTATACAAGGTCTCAATCAACAATGGACCTCCGCACCATCTACAACGAGTATATCTCGACCCTCAACGACATGGGCTACTTACGGCTCTCACCATTCGTCGCCGAGAACGTGGTGCACAACTCCTCCAAGGCCATGACGCCAGACGAGTACGGACAGATGATCCTAGATAGCACCAAGGACTTCAAGGACTTTAACTTCGAGGTGGAGGATCTGGTGGTCGAGGAGGACAGCGTGGCCAGCAATAACGGAGATGGCACCGTGGCCGCGAGGCTAAAGTTGAGTTATGAGCCGCCTGGAATACAGCCCGGACTATGTAGATTGGTCTTTTATGAGCATGTGTTTTATAGGTTTGAGGCTGGCAAGATCTCTAGGGTGTGGAGTTTGGTCGATTTGCCGAAGGATAAATGAGCAATGGAGCTGTCGTGGGAGACGTTTGGATGGTTTGCGGTGCGTGTGCCCGTGTGGTGCGAGCAGGTGCACTTTTCGGCAAGCCGTTTTGAACACGTCTACTATAACACTGAGCAGAAACGGTGTAATATGAGGAGGTGGACAGTCTATCTTGCACGTTTCCCATTTGTATTGAAAATGGTCTGAGTAATTGTTTGGTCGAAACTGCGCCGATAAATGGGCCGATCGAATATAGTCTATACATTTCCAACATCGCACCTCCGCAAAATTTCCAAATGTCCCTTGTCCCACTGATGCTACAGGCCAATCTCCACGACAGCAAATGAATATGACATGATTTCGTCCTTTGCCTTCGCTCAAAATTAAATGCTCTGAAAACAGACGGTGAACCGATCTTGACGGTTCAATGCCCGCTATCCCACAATCCCACAACTGCATTGCTGGCAAACTTGCCGCCCAAGGTGAGGAGCCACGAAACGCTCTTGGACCCAGAAGCCTCAAATTCAGCCTCAAATTCTATACTGGAGGTTTGGTATCGATCCTGAAATCCTTCGTCATCCTCATGTGCTCTTCTGGGACACTCTTACCGATCACGTTGTCATCTGAATTTTCATCATTGCCCACGGCGGTTATGATGCTGCTCTCATGCTCGTACCACCAGCCCATTCTGAACAGCTTGTCAGTCCAGACTTCCCTCTTCTCCCACTCCCTGTCACTCCACCACTCTGCTCCTAGTGGAGGGGCATTACCAGACTTCTCGTCCACTAGTGTACTGCTAGCTAACAAGGTTGCGGTTACGGCAATGGTGCCCAGTGGTTTTGAAAGCACCTTCCTCGCGTCGATAAGGAAGAAGACGAAGAGGCCGCAGACCAGCAGACCAGCAAGCAAACCTTGCAAGATACGAGTTGAGACTTTGGACTGGAACAAGCGGACACGGTTTGGGTTGCTGAGTGTCGCCAGTTGATGTGCTGGAATGGAATTAGCCTGGCTTTGATTCTTGGGCAGATCGTCCCAAGCTGAACGGAAGTCCGTATTGAATATCTGTGCTGCATAGACGCGGTACAGTTTCGTGTATGATGCGATGAGAGTCTTACTGTCCGCAAGCTCGGTAATCGGCTTGCCATCTTTTCCGGCGATCATAGCACTGAATTCTTGGCTGACGCTCCCAGTGGTGATGTTGAGGTCACCATAGGCAGGATAAGGATCGTACCAGTCAGAAAATAAAATGGCCGAGTCCTCATTGACGATTGGAGCTTCGGTGATGGAGAAATCTGGAAGATTGAACGTAGCATTGACCTCCACCATCTCAACGGATGGGGCACAAAGGTGAACCGAGAGCTGCTCTAACTCATCCTTTTCGTTGATAAGAGCATAGGTCAAAGACCAAACAGGGCACGGAAGGTCGTTACCCAAGCTGGATACAGAGCCAAGATACCATGGGGTTTCTGTGTAGCTATATATGGTGGTTCGCGAGTTCTCGTCGCCAAAGTCGGACCCGCAGGTTGGATAAGTGAAATTAGTTGTGAGAGATTTGTCAGTCACGTTGAGAACAACCTCATTCAACAGATCATTCGGAACGAGCGTGCAATTCATGCCGGCGCGAAGCGCCGAAGTCGTCAGCGAAACAGTACCTGTCATGTGAATCGTTTTTCTGCCTCCTGCCAACTCAGGGTCTGAAAATGACAATTGTGGAAGTGCCACTTCATCGTACGTCCATGCCGGGTAAGACATATTGCCTTGGATTATCAACCCCGGGATACTCTTGGCCTTAGAGGTGGTGTATAGAGCGTCACAATCTTCACAACCTGTCGTGTTGAACCAACTTAGACTTTGTAGCTCGGAAGGGGTGATGTCTGTGGTAGCCTGTGGCAAGAATAAGCCACTTACAACAATTGTAAGGAGAGGCGAAAGTATAACGGAAACAGAAGCTGCTGCAAGGGCGAATTTCCGTTTCCGAAGTGCGAGCCAAACGCTTTGAAGCGCAAATCCCCGGAAATGATTGTAGAACATACTTGATTGAGCATCACAGTATTCCTTGGAGAGCGCGTAGTAGGGTGCAGACAGCTCCAACTCAAAGTCGACAGTATTATAAAGCGTTCCTATCAGGACAAAGACTAGAGTTGGAATGTAAATCCACGCATATCTAGTTAAAGATTCAGCGTCGACATCACTAAGCCCAGCATTCTTGTCCGACTGGCGAAGCGTAATCTCAAGGCCAATGATGGCCGCAATTGGCGTAATCAAGCAGCCTACCATGGCACGACGGGTGAGGACCCAAGGACGCCACCACTGGAACGTTTCTAGAGTGCGAGATCTTTCCATGTGACGGCCCTCTGAGTGAGTAGCATCCTTGGAAAGGCCTTGAATCGAGAACGTGGATGTGCCCAATCGATCCTCCATGACGGTTCGGTACTCATACTGGGAAAGAAGTTTACGTAGGTCTTCCATATTGAGATGGCCGACCATGCAGAGCTGTCTTTGTAATGTCGGACTTCGAGCTATTATTGCTGCCAGCGGAGCAATTGCATCAATGTTTCTAGGAACCACTCCTCTAGGAACGGTGAAGGCCATGGTCATGGCGAGAAAGCAGATTGCAGCGGCCAGGCCTTGCATAATCCGAGTTGGTAGTTGGCGGACAACAAGACGGAACTCGTTTTGTGATGTGGTGGCCGGGATAGACGTGGAATCATCTTGACCGCCGACAGGGGATGTCAGGAAAGTATGAGCTATCTGTGCAGAAAGTCTTTGGTAGGTGCGCTTTGCCAGTAGCTCCAAAACGTCAGGATTAAGGAGTTCTTGCATGTCACTGATGTTCATCTCTGCAGCACCCAACTCAATGAAGCCGTCCAACCTTAGATCTAAATCAAGATTAATGGCGATATTCAGAGCCAACTGATTTGTGCTTTCGACACCATTTGTGATATCAGCATCCGTTACCCCTTCCAGTTGACGAGATGTATCATTTGAAAAGACCACCTCTTGGACGTTGTTAAACGAGTCTGATGTGACTGTTGCAGGCTGAATGCTATATTTCGGTATGCAAACAAGTCCCAAGCCCTCAAGGACTTCATTTGCATTTTGCCTGACACCTTTGACGTGTAAAGCAGCCACCATGAATCTCCACTTTTCCCGATCGTCATTGGCCAAATTGGAGCAGTTGACCGGCTGGAAACTTGCAAAGTAACCGTAGTTTGGCTCAGGATTGTCGTCGGAGGTGTTGTACATCCAACTAGGGGCGTCCAAGGAAGCCTCACGGACTTCACATCCGGGGAGAGAAACTGTTGTATTCCAATAGCTGGAGACCGGAGTAGTGTCTGTTAGGGTATTGTAGCCAAGGGTATAATTCATGGACCCAATCTCACATTCAACACTGGTCGTGAAGACATCGGTTATCGCTGTGTAGGACTCTATGTCACTCGTGTTTCCTGATTGAGAGAATTGCTGCACAGCGTACATGTCAGTCGTTCCAGCTGGGTAACTCGTATTGAATGCCTGGATGGCATACAACGTGTAGGCAGGCCTCGAATCAACGACTGAGCCCCCGTCAAAGGCCGAGCCATTGAATATGGTGTCGTAAGAAATTGTGGTCCGAATGGAGTCGATGCGGAGGGGTTGCAGAGTTAACAAGCCAGTCGAGACAATAGTGAGTGCTTTAGTCAGGAAGAAGGTTGTGATGGATAGAGTAATGACATAGTGGCCACTGAAGATTGAACGCCACAAAACTACTCCTTGGAAGGGCGTGACGTAGTCGAGTAGAAGGCTTCTTTCTGCAGAGACTGGACCATTTGCCATCTCAGCCCATGGCTGCAAAGACTTTACTGCATAATCCACCTGACGCCATACCACGGTAAACAAGATCAGAATGGCGGTCGGGCCGTAGGTCCATAGGTAATGCAAATTGTCATTAGATTGAGTAATGCCTTGGTTGCTCTGAGAACGACTGTAGATACCTTGCAAGGACGCAACGACTGCAGCCGAGAGGAAAGCAAAGATAAGAAGGATGGGTCGGGTCAATATTTGCGGGTTGTATTCTGTATTTGTGCGTTGGCTGCCAATTTGGTCATCGATACTTTCTTTACTCGAGCCCTGAATGATGGTCTTGAACTTTCGTTCACGATTGGTGGTTGCCCCCACATCGTTGCTCAACGGAATGTTGTCGTATTCCTGCTGCGGAGGGCGATTTCGTCTGGTCAAGGTCGAGAAGGCGAGAAATTTCTTCATTTGAAGCTCTGGATTTCAGCCAAATGTCATGACTATCATGCTCGTTCTGGATGCGTAGAAAGTGCGATGGCAGTCAGGGCCACGTTCATCACTATTATTTGAAGGATCAAGATTGTGGTGTAATAGGGCCGGAGGCCTCACAGGAGAGCATGGGGCCGAACCCGACTATATAGGGTGGTGTGTTGCATGTTAGGCCGCCACCCAATAATATCTGTGTACTCCTTGACTTGTATATAACAACCTCTGCCAAGCACCGGATGGACGAAATTGTCCAACCCTCGGTGGATCAATAGAATGAGTGGCTTCGGTCAGCCCAGGTGGCGCGACAGATGCTGCTGGATAAATTCTGAGGAGACCCAATCGTGATGGGCTCTGAAGTCCATCAGGCTGTGGAACAGCGCGCAGTCAGTGGTCAGGCCCCCCAAGGAGGTGGGAACGAGGTTTGAAATTGGTAAGCCTCCCCAGTCTCCCAGGCAAGATTTGTCGCAAGGCTAGCCTCGATAGGGACATAAAATTGCTTGCTCTGGCCTAAGCATCTTCAAACAGCCTCTCTTAGTCCCTTGATTTTTGCGGCTCTATTCTTGACTGGCCTTGACTTACTTCAGGCCAAGCCTATCAGTCGTGCCAACTCAAGACTTTACATGATCCGAGTATGGAATGTTTCGTAGATCGAATTGAACAGGCGAACAGGTATTCTTCAACCCTGCTAGTCCATTGCGAGAAAGGATCGGCAGACCCGAAGTGCAGCCATTACTATGTATCGAACGAAGGTGCGGAGATTGATTGATGATGGCGGTGTTCAGCAGCCCTGTTGTCAACTTGGATCTCGAAGTAGGAGGACGTCACGTGCCGATATTCACGTGACTAGAGAAGCTCGGCAAACCTGCCAACATAAACGCATGTCACATTTGGCGCGACTTTTCTTGGGACATTGAACAGAAGATACGCCAATTCCTTCACCACATTCTGCGCTGCGCTGGACCTACGAGCGCAGCTATGGCGCACTCATCTGCCACTCGAAACCTCCTGGGACTTGCCAGGGGGTCCAGTCGCCTCAGTTCCGCAGATCCTTTGATGGTATGTCATCCCTAAGGAGCAATTCCTGTAGCTGTTGAGCTGATCTCCAAGTAGCAATGTCTTGCCCCACGACTCTTTCGCTCGTACGCTACCGAGATCCAATTACCGCTCGCTGCCTCTACAAGCTCGACCGAGCCTGGAGCTCGTCATGTTAACCCCCCGACACCTCGGAGGAGCGAAAATCAAAGCCGACCCCCGCTTTCGCTGAACGCTTTCGAACAGCCCGTTGTTGCGACATTGTATCAATTTCCCTCTCTTGAACCAAATGGCTATGCCTTGTACCATCCTCAGTTCCTCAACGTCCCACTGAGGCGTGACATCTTGCACCGGGCAGTCATCTTTGAAGCAGATGGATCGCGACAAGGGACTGCGAGTACCAAATGGAAAACCGATGTTCATGGCAGTAACCGCAAAATTCTCCAACAAAAGGGTACGGGCAAAGCTCGTGCAGGTACCAAGAAGTCGCCCATCAGAAGAGGCGGCGGTGCTGCATTCGGGCCGCATCCTAGAGATTTTTCCACGGAGCTGCAGGCAAAAGTCTACGCTCAGGCATTTCGCACGGCCTTGAGTTATCGCTATAGGAAAGGAGAACTGATCATATTGGACAATGATATCAGTGCCATGGAGGATCAAACTGATCGCTGGCTGCTGCATTGCTTCTTGGGGAATAAGTGGGCACGTGAGAATGGAGGGACGATGGTCGTCACAGGATTGTCGGAAGAGTCAAATCCCGAGGTATTTAGGAAGATGGGTCTGATCAACCAGCACGCGACGCTGAAAAGCATCAGCGACGTGGACGTAAAGGACCTCCTGGAGAAGAGGCGTGTCGTTATTGAAAAGGATGCTCTCCGGACACTGCTGAGCCCATCCATTACTGGATTGCCCCCAGGCGCTATTCGGAATATGGTTCGTTATGTTGAGCGGGCGCTGTAGAATATATATCTTTAAGGAGTCAATTTCAAAGTGGCAGCACTGTATCTTCCCAAGGCGCTGGTCGCTATGCCACCGCAATCTGTTCAACCAGCGTGCCAACCATGAAGGAGTCGATCGGATTGACGACAATGGTACATACAGAATGTACGGATTACGCGGCCTGTTGATGTACTATACACAATTGTGGATTGATCAAAAGACACGACACACTATCAGATGGAAATATCATCAATTGAATTTGCTTAATGTCTCAGCTCTACAAACCCAAGCATCGCATTGCTCAACCACTGATTTCTGTTCATTACAAGGCCTGACTCCACCAGACTAGAATCAACTGCCATATCTTGGACGCATCTATCCCAGGCTGTCTACCTCTCAGGGAGAGTTACCATTTTCGTCCTTGATAGGCGAAGGACTTTGGATCTCGACCCCATCAAGAGCGTCCTCCGGCCACGATACCGGCTGAGCCAGCTTGACAGATTGCAGATTGCTTCGTGATTTTGCTTTCTTCGGCGTGTTGGTTCGATTGCGCTGAAGCGCACCCGAATTGAGCACTTTGATGTCAATGTTGTATCGTTTCCGAAGGGTTGTGAACTTAGGTGGAATGGTCGATAAACTCATCCCCAGCTGCTTCGCAACCCTCTCTGCATCGACCTGATCGGTGAGCCAGGTTCAGTGGAACACAGGTGGGAATCCAGGACTAAACTCACCTGGACAGGCCCAACGGAATTCTGAATCGCGGCAATGAGGATTGCAATGTCGGATTCCTTGATTTCAATCTTCGACATTGCTGCTGTCTTGTTCTGAGAGTCCTTTGAACAAGGACTGGCTAGGACCTTTGCAATTGGAGTTCTTGGAGGACAAGACATGATGATGAGAGATCGAACGGCGCTTGTTTGTCTCTTATTTATACCGTTGATTTGAAGTGACTGAGGTGTCTTCAGCCTGACTTCTCAATAGCCCCGTGGGCAGAATCATACAGCACAGGCGTCGTATTGTCATTACATGAATTTCACAAGTCACGCAGGCACTACCCAGGAGACGGCAATGGATCGAACCTCAAGGCGTGGTGGCTCCTGGCACACCGCTGGACCTTCGCTAAAATAGCTTCGAGTCGGACAGTTTCCAGCGTTCCGTCCTCTCGAGCTTGAGAGGCGTGTATATTTGTTCTGGCTTGGGTTCTCCAGGCCGGATTTACACCTTTCTTGACAGCTCAAGCTACAAACGTCTCTTGCTTTTCATCTCGGGCTACGAAGATCGGCAAAACCCAGCCACTCTCTTCTACTTTCCCGTCCAAAAGGATGTCCCTTCCATGCCAGTAGTTCCCAGCACGCCAGGTGTGACATTCCCAAACCTCCGCTCCCTCCATGCAGCGTCTAAGGTTGCCCCGTTGATATGCTATGCTTCTCCTTGGAATGATCCACACCCACCTTCTCGAGTGGCTCCCAAGGACCGGCCTACTATTTCTTCTGGATTTACAGCATTTTCTCTGTTGTTTCCCTCTATTTTTCCCGTTCGTTTGTGTCCAGCTCACCCTCCATATCGCGCTCACTTACCGAGTGTTTGGGTTGTCCTTGTTTGAACTGTTCAAAAAGATGCCTTACCAATGGACAGCTGAGCGAGAGCGTCAGATGCTCCTGCTGGCCATTTCCCGGGCCAATCTGAGACCCTCGGCTGACACTTGGACTGCCGTTGCTGCCCTCTTGGGAGGAGGTCTTTCGGCTTCTGCAGTCAGGTACGCACTCTGAACTTCGACCTCCAGACAGCATCAGGCCCACTGACACCGAAGCAGCCAAAAGTATTACAAATTGCGAAATGAATCAGACAAGAAATTGCAAGGAGCTGGCCAGAACCTCTCGGCACCGTCTACACCAACCAAACGCAAGCGAGAAGGCGAGGTTAAGACGCCAACGAAGCGATCTAAGCAAGCGGTCAAACAAGAAATCCTTGATGGCGAGCCATTCTCAGATATGAGCAGCCCAGTCTCGGAGTCGCAAGGTGTCAAGGCGGAGGAGGAGCCCAAGGTAGAGATTGACGCATATCCCACCGACGAATCTTTCTATGTGCCGGTTGATTACTTCAAGAATGGCTATGGCCAGATCACCCCAGAGAGTAGCATGGCCAGCAGCAGTATGAGCAGTTATGCCAGTGGAAGCTACCTGGGACGAGTTTGAGTGTATAGGACCAAGGTGGGACGGAGTCCCGGTTTTTGCAATCGGCGTGAAAGAACAGGGCAATTGAGGGAGTTCGGATCGGGAAGATGGGTTGAAAATCGAAAGGAAAATGAACAAGGCCCAAGCTGGTCAGCTAGACTTTCTCTCCTGACCGGTTTTAATTTCAGGGTCTGCAGCAGCGAGTGCGCGGAAGCCTGGTTCCATCTGCACCATTGGCCTAGCTTCGAAGCGTGAGTGTTCCCCAGTATAAATCCTATATCAAGCTGATGCCTGGCTTCAATGTGAGAAGATTTGTCGTCCAATTGTACATTTTTTTTAGCGCTGTTTCCACCTGCATTAGCGCTTTGGGTTGTATGCAAGGGTGTGCACGGGCAACACCTCCAGTCGGACTGTACGAGTACTCTGGAAGTCAGATCACCCACCCCTTTCAACCCAAGTATTCCTCTCGAACGGAGCGCCAGTCTCGGGCAATGCTGATGTCTCTGGTGCCCATTGCACCCTGACAGAGTCATGGCCCGTCTGCCAATATAACCAATATAACCAAGGCTGGCCCAGAGCGAAAGCGACCAGGGTGGAACTCTGGATGCCTCGCTTGGCTCTGGTCTTCCCGCGAAGAGCTTCTGCAACCACTTAACACGAATTTGATGCAGGCGATGTTCTTTGAGGAGAGCCCATGCACGATGTTTCCGCGTAACATAGAAGGAACATAGCCTGCATAGCTCCGCCTGAGGATGTGGGCAGAATCTGGTTCGAGTTTCCGAACTTTCCTCGTTTTCTACGGATTTGCCTAATTTCTCGCCATTTCGTACTGAGTCCCCTGTACGCCAGTGACTGTTTGAACACAAACTCTACAGAGGACCAGAGTATCACACGTACTCGTAGCTCGACACAGGACCATCGTGTCATCTACGCCCCGCTCTAGCCTAGAAAATCCGTCGTCATGCAGCTTTCCCCTCTATTGAGTTTCCCAGCCTCCCGATTTTTCCCACCAGTCTTCGTCAGCCTACCACTGCTGACTGAACAGGCAGCAGTTGAGACACGTCAATCAGAGAGGGGCGCAATGCATGAAGGATGCTAGGATTGAATGTAGCAGACCTTGCGACTGGACTTTGCGACAACTGCATGCGACTTCGACAATCCGGATCGCTGTTCTTCTGGCCCAGCGGAAGGTGCCCAAAGTTCGCCGCCAGGTACAGCGAACTCGATCTGTGATGGACCCCGGGTCGCATGTTGGCCGGGAATCACGGGGCATGTAGACCTGGCAACACGCTAGCTTGTCAATATGCACTTTGCTTCTACATACGGTGATGCTACGTGCATGCTGGCGAGAACCTCCAACAGATTCATTGAACATGTGGCTTGACACAAATCGCGTGAGTGACTGACTGTGCACCGCGAATGCTATACGCGTCAGAAGGTAATGCTACAGCCGGGTTGATTGATTTTCTTGCATTATCAATCGAGGATGACTACATCCACGTCCATAGCCGTATTCCTAGGCCTGGCTCTTTCCCCTCTCCTCCCGGCATAATCGTTGACTTGTTCACACCTGTTGATGTCCACCTTACCATCTCTCGCGCCTTTAATCGTTGGCTCTACACTGACCGAGCCCACACTGGCATTTACAGAGGCTGAAGCCGCAGTGAATTCGCGCTGGACTCTTCCCATGGTCTGCGCGATCAAATCTGGGTGCTCTGCGATGTACTTCTCCGCAAGGCGAATGCCAGTCAGCCGGAGGATTTCCGCGACCTCTAGAGGACGCAGACGGGATGGAGGTTTGGTGGCCCGAGGCTTAGCGTTTGTGGCTGTGTTTGTAGTGTCGTTTTGGTCAGCATTTGCTAAATTCGGCCTGATGGATTCATCTTCATTGAGTGGGTGTGCGGCCTGTGATGTAGCATTCAGCGGTGCTGTCTGGTACGATTGAGCCGCGGAAGTTGGATAGGGAGAAGCACGCCGTTTTCCCTTGTCGACCATGTTCTCCACTTCTGGCTCAAATTCCGATGGTTGCGCAGTATCGTTGCCTTCTGCTGCCGTATCTATCTGTAAAGGCGGTGATCTTGATGTCCGAGGGAGGGCTTCAATGGTATCCATGGCTCTCGACGAGTTCGCCATGTTCTCCCGGCGGTGTGGTGGATGATCTTGGTCGGTGAAGCCCCTTATGAGACTTGGACCGATATTGATGTGTCGCCCGCCTCGGTCACCAAAGCCTCCCAGTTTCAAGGGTCGAGATGCTGTTGGGCCGTCCGATGATTGATGAGGTAGTGCAGCGACTTGTCCAAGTTTTGCTCTGCCCTTGGAGACAATGGCTGGGTTTTGCAGGTTCCGCAGGTGTAGCTGACTCCTGGCCTCATGTCTGTCTAGTGCGTCTTGAGTGGGGAGCTGACTGAAACACAGTGCACAGCGAAAAAGGCCGGCATTGGACACGTAGCCGAATGATTCGGGCTCCTGTGTCAAGTCGGAAGCGGGCTGCGAGGACGACGAGACTGTCTGGTACCCAAGATTGCAACCTGGGATTTCTTTGTATGGTCGTTTTTTCGGTGCTGCTCCGGTTCGTTTTGGCGTTGCAAATATTGGACTGGGTGATGGTACGTAGCTTGGATCTGTCGAGTTGGATGTGAGCTCGCGTGGTGCTGTGGGCATTCGGCGTTCGCGTTGCACGGACTGGTTTCGCACATTTGAGTTATGGTTCTCATTAGTCTGAGCTTGAGGAGATGTATATCGCTCGTTGACAGCCTGGAAACCGTTGTGCACGCCGTTCGTCATCGGTAAAGGTGAAAACTCTGGTGCTGAATGGAATTCTGCTGGTTGGCCTTCTTGTTCTCCTAATTCTTCGACATGCGGTTGGGGATATTCCGAAATTCGAGGGCGCTTTGGTGGTCTCTGCAATGCATGTCTGGAATGTACCTCGACCTCTCTCTCACTAACGAAGCTAATGTCCTGCTCGTTGAAGTCAAGATGCATAGTCCGCCACGACGACCGTGAAGCTGATGATTTCTGCGCCAGAGGTCTATTTGTGGGTTGGGTGCCTGGATTTTGACGATGAAGGTCCTCGGCAGCCCTGGAGATCTCCTTTGCGAAGAAAGATTTGACAGCATCGTAGGTTGCGTCGTTGCCATAGAATTTGGCAATGCTAGAATATCGACCTTTGAACTGGGCATCGATCAGTTCTGCCAATGGGCATGCATCGTGGCCCTCAGGAGCACTTACAGCAGCCTCACCAAGCTCCGCATAAACGGCAGCAAGCAGTCGAAACACACTCTCTCGTAGTTTCCAGTTGATAGCCATTAGTCGGTCTGAGGAAACCAGAGTTTTGTTGAGGGTGCTGACCAACAGAAGAGGAAGAGAAACAGATGGCTACAGGCATCTAAATCAGGATGTTTCCGATGGACTAAGGACGTGCAGGACACTTTTGCAAGAGGAAAGGCAATACGAGCTTGAGTGGGCCAGACGCCAACTAAGGCGATGTCCTGTCCCTACTGGGACCGGAAACGGCGGATTAGAGGGCGGGAGGGAGAATTGCTGTGCGAGATAAATTGATCTGTCTCTAATTCCAGCGTCACAAGTATGAATGGCCTATGTCGGTATGTTGGTTTGTTGGCGACCAAAAGAGAGACAGGAATTGTTAATCGTACACCATTGTGGGCCCTATCAAGTTTGTCGGTACGAAGTACACCCTACCTCTTAAAGGAGTGACAAGCCGTCTCCCTGATTTGCGTGAGAGATCCACGACCAATGGTCTCACCGTGCTGAGATAAACTCCTGCCCTGGACAGCCTGGGGGAATCCGGAAGTGTTTACAGAGTCAAAAGTGCCAGAGGTGGGGGGTCGCAGGTGGGCGAGGCGGCATTAGTGGTATTGCATAGGTACTGAGGCTTTCATGTCATTACAAGGAAGGGAATCACAGGTCCCGGAACCACTCACACCTGCTCATCACGAAATGTGCGGGTCTTCGTTTCCCCTCCAGGGAAGATATGGAATGCTGGGAGAATAACCTGGTTCTCAATCGCCTTTGCGATGGTTTGGTGCTGACGTCCTGGACAATAGATTTTCATCACGTGACTGGCAACTTCTTCATTGTACCGAGTACTAATTTCTAAGCTAATAGCAGGAAGGACAATGTAGCGGCGAAATATTGACTAACTTGTTACAGACTAGGTGACTTGAATGGTTGCTATGTAAGGACGAGCCGCCTCCGCCTAAGGGAGCAAGTTAGGCGACACAGTACGAGGCCATCCTTTTTAACTTCCTTGATAGATCCTTCTGCCCTCCCCTACCACAGGCTAATATGGTAGAAGCAACGCCCTATGAGGTCAACGGCAGAAAAAGCAGGCGAAAACCATGCCCAACAAGCTATTCCAAGCAAGTGGTAGCTACGTACGGGCACCACCCCTGATACCACTCAGCAGGCCAATTTCAACCATTGCGGCGACCAGGACTGCTATATCATAGAGGATCAAGTTTCGAGAGCTTCTCTGGGCAGGGAACGTTTGGCAAAAGCTTCTGCTGCGCCCAGTGCTTCTCATAAACCAATGCCATTGACGTTGGGCCCTCGAGCCTATCAGGAACTTTGTTGTCTAGCAGAAGCCCTCTTTTTCCTCACAGATCATGCTTTAGAGCTGCGGCGCGAATATCTTATCTTCGTCAGCGAACCATCAATGGACGCGAGATCTAGAGTCGGACGTGCCGAGGTCGCTTCAACCCGCATGCGGAAAGAGCAGAATATCGGCGGCAATGGGCCGAAGGGATGAATCCGCTGCAGTACAAGCATACAGCTATCCACTCATCGGTCGGTAGGCTGCCAGAGAAGCGACTCCGATGATGTGCCCTCCTTTGCCTTGCAGGAACATCTGACGCGCTTGACTTGACCATTAGAGTCGACAAGGCGGAAAGACCGTATACGACTTACCTAAGATGTCAGGAATCCCGCTTGCACATTGAGAATGAGACTGAACTCGTCCAAGTGTGTGTCCATCATTACATTGATTTGGGGATTATATGAATACACTGTGAGATCTCCCAGGGAATCAACTGTCTTTGTCACCATGTCTCGCACTTGACTTTCGTTGGTTGATTGGAAAATACCTCATCCTCTTTTGTCAAGATTCTTACCCACGCCCGTACCACTCCGTCGTCGTCTGTTCAAAACTTCTATCCAGGAATCGTGGAAACATTCATCATCTGAACTCTTCGGTGTCTCGCTCTCTGAACGACCAGAGTATATCGGCCAGCAATGGAACAATCCCCCAACCCCTTGGTTAAACCAGCCCTCGGTCATCAGATAGTGAGGAAATTTGCGGGGGCCAAACACGTCCATGTAGTTGCGCCAACCAACTTCAGTCTTACTCAGTACACTCTTTTTGGCTCCCTATAGAAAGGCGTCATGGCTAACTCACCGTTGCAGAAGAGGGACCATTTCTCCGCCGTGAGCAAGGAATTCATCTCGGAGGTTTGTCGGTCCTGGTGCTCGGCAGGGGTTGGATTTCTAGAAAAGCGCCTTGATGAACATCACGATGTTGATGGCATTGGGTAGAGCCGCGAAGTGGCGCATCCATATCTGTGCGCCGTTTGCAATGGTTTCAGTGAAGAAAAGTTCGCCGAGGCATGTCGACACGCGATGGCCTATTGTGGGGTTCCTGCCGGCCGAGATACTTTCATCATCGCCAGCGAAGTCTTCCATGAATTCAAGGAGTCGAATGATTAACTATCTGAGTCATGCCCAGCTCTATAGCCTGTGTGATACAGCGGTGACCTCCGCGTCCATATGAAATATAGCTACATTCTGCAACGCTTCCTTCAAAGACAAGCTCTGTATCGAGAGTGCGACAGTCTTCCTGGTTTCACTCTGTGTGGCTCACATATCCTGCGGATGAATCTAACTCACAAACCACTTACGAAGGGTCGATATATGCGCGGCGAGACGAGTCGGATTGGAATGGTCGAATGGTTTGGAATATATCGCTCACCAAAATGCACCAAACGACAGAAGGAGCCTCTGATTCTCTACTTGACGTTGGCTATTCTTTGTTCTGTATAATATTGGCTGTAAAGCCATCTTTTTTCTCTCTTTTCCATGGTAACGAGCCGCGCGTCGTTATCGCTATGCTGTTCCTCGTCAAAGTGGAATACCTCCTTGGCGCCCAAAGATCGTCTATATGTGCGTGGTAAAAACTCCTAAAATCTGTCGTCGGCGAGGTGCCAGATGTCGGCAATACTTATTCAAATAGTGGAGATGGACTCTGCTATTGATATTGGATTATTAGACGCCACTTTTTACGTGTGAGTGGGATAGTACAACTCTGAGGGTGGGGTATAGAAAGAGTCCACAAGGAAGGGCGCACGCGGAGGAAGAAAGGCCCAAGAGTCCAAATAGTAGATTTCATACATCGTCTCATACTGTGGGACGGACGACACCTATAACACTGAGGGACACTGATTTCGGTCTTCGGTCTATATCCAACAAAGTCTCAAAGAGTGTTCCCTGCATTGCTTATCAAGTTAATCCTGGTTCTCATGCTCACTTGATTTGAGAGTAGCGGAGAAAGGGCGGAATCGAGGGCAACAGCCGAGTCACTCAGAGCAGATATCTCCAGTCGGGGTAATAGTCACAGAGGGTCTCAAAGTCGCCAATATAGCTAGAGAGTGGTGATGCCGTTCCTTCGCGACGGGCTTCGGCTGTTACATCACGCTTGCGGCTTTGGTCTTTCAACCGAAAGTAGAGAATCACAGTCGAGGTGAGGGTGATCAAGAAGACACCTAGCAAGATGCCGTTGCCCTTGTAGAACTTGGGCGGTGTGTCGAACACCTGGGTGGCAATAATGATGAAGCTGTTGATAGAGAACTGCTGGATACCGTAGACCGTGCTTCTCTTGATATAGCCACCGTGCATGGTGCAGACCCAGGCGACTGCGATAGGGTTGCCCGGATACATGCCCGAGGCAACGAAGCAGGTGCCCACCATAGATACAACCGGGAAATGATACGGCTACTAGTGATGGCATCTATAGAGGTTTTTATAAATGCTTGTCGGCGGATATTCAGCAATGGGCGAATGTTCGATGGTGGCACATGCAGAACGGCGGATGGCATTAAGAGTAGCAGGCCCAAGCAAGGATAAGATTATTCTTGATATACTTTACTTAGATTCAATCTTTCCCTTTCTAGAAAATACGTAGCATCTGATCTACCTCTTTATCGGCTACTCTGTAGCCCCTTCGTCGCACGCCTACAATCAGGCCAGTCGTAAATCTTCATGCCATGCGTCTCCGCATCATATGCGGTCATGTAATTACCACAGCAGCGCAATTGCCAAAGCCAAGCAAAGCGGTACAGTCCACGCGAGGCCCAGCCTACGGCTCATGTCGGCGTTGACACTCATGCCAGAATTGGTCGAGGTCGCGATCGCGGCATTGGCCGTGACTGTGACTGTGGCTGTAGCGTCAGCGAGAGACCCGTCTGCGTCTTGCTGGACAAGAGGATACAGATCGAGGCCAGTGGTGTTTTGGCATGCGTCGCCGGAGAGGACTGTCGCGTTGCTGCTGAAGGTGATGTCGGCGCACTATGATGCAGCAGTCAGCATTTTCAGGTCAAATGTATAGATTTCGAGACCCCTGGTCGGGGCTGGCTTTCCCCCTCTTCTGCGAGGAGTTCGACAACAGGAGTGAGAGCGCACATTGTACAAAGCAGTGCCACTGTCTCCAATGGTGATGACCTGGAGGCTTGCCTCGGTACCATCCGTGATGTCGAGGTCAGCAGGTAGGGTCCATTTGGGGATGCATATCGTTCCGTTGCCCGTCTCGTTGAGCAGCATAGGGTTCAGAGAGATATTGAACGTCGTGATATTGGAGCCGAGGCCCAGGTTGAACGACACGTATGTCCATGGGTGGTGGAAGTCGATTACGAGCGAGCCGCCGTCCAACGGCCATAGCGTGCGGTTGGCGTTGGATTCTTCGGTTGTGTTGACGTTTGCACCTGGAAGTTGGAGTCAACATGATGCTCTGCCATTTTCTAGGGACTGGACATGGTTAAAGGATCTCTGGTTGAGACATACATGGAAACAGATACTGAGAAGCTGGCGGGAGGAAGGAGTTGCCGCGCCAGTAAGGGTATTGAAGCTCGAAGTGAGCGGCAGCCAAATGGGCTGTTGTGAGAGCGAGGATAACAATGGTAGATCGCATCGTCACTCAAGAGTTTTGTGGACTTCAAACGTTTCAATAGATTCTTCTCACAATACAACCACAAGGCGTCCGCAGTGAGAGCGAGCGAAAGTGTGAAAGATTGCTCCCTTAGTGGGGTGTTCTATACGTAGAACTTCTGCCACGCATCTTGCAGGATTCTTTGCAGTCACAGCTACAGCTCCCCATACAAGCCACCAGTTGATAGAAAGCAGCCACAAGAGATGCCCAAAACCCGAATCACGGTGCCATGACACTATTGCGTGTCAGTCACTGTTGGGGTGTCTGAGCAAACTTCGCCCGTGATTGGTTCGTTCACATCGCTAGCAGATTATGGTGGGGCTCAAAACTTGCTCAAAGCTTGTCGGTCATGCTTCGCGTGCTTAGCCTCTCTGTAAGGTGGATCCTTGTTCAGGACTAGAAATGGCCAGCAAGAATCGGGATAGGGATGGTTGGCATCGCTTTATTTTACTCCACACGGGCAAGGGCCGCAAGGCAGGGCATTGGGCTTTCTGGAAACCAGACCCTTCCCAGGTTGAGAAGGGAGAAGACTGCTCAATTTCGTGCTCAGAGTATCTAGTTTCCGATTGGGCTGGTCGAGATCATCCATTACTCTCTGTCTACCAACAGTACGTCTCGCAGAACAAATACAATCCCTGGGCTCCCGTGCCCTTATGCACGGCTCTCTCGTCCGACAGGTTTGCTACATAGTTCCTGATCGATCCCGTAAATGCGGCCCCTCCGCAGGCAAGAATACCCGTTTCCCCCCAGGCTTCCTCGACCACCGGGAGAATGAGGGGGTCGAGAGCAGGTCGACCGTATCCCAGAGTTATAGCACTGAGGGAATCGGACCAGTGCGTGGAAAGCGAAAGCCCATCCAGCCCCTCTGTCTGGTCTTTGTTCAGTGATTCGTGGGAGCCCGCTGCAGCTTGTAACAATGCAGAACTTGCCATGTTGGTGTGGCTCGATCGCATTGGTGAATCCAAGTGCTTGTTGAGGAGTGGCGTCTTCCCAGATTGAGACAGGCTACTGTCGCGACCAGTCCCTGTTATGAACACAAGTATCGATACCTGGACGTTTCGACTTTGTGCAAAATTCCAAGTCGATATCAATCTCTCCTTGAACCAGTCTAGCTGGTCTGTATTGCGGAAAATCCAGATAAAGCGGATTTGTCGTATCGAATTCTCTGTCATAGCTGCTTGTTGAAATATCGGAAGTGTGAAAGATGCCCCATTCCCGGTCGATAACAGAATCAGTGACTCGAACCGGTCGATCGAGGGAGGATTTCCCCAGGGACCGCTGACAAACGAGAAGAAGGATTTATGAGTAGTAAGTTCTTGGCAATGACGATGGAGTCGTTTCGTAAACCCATCATGAGCTTTGATATAGAGCTCTAGGTCGTTGGACCCATGAGCACCGAAGCCAGATTTCGAGAGATTGGCAATCGTGAAAGGATGTGCCTCAAGGATCCCAATGCGAGGAATTGAGAGATACACATGCTGTCCAGCCTTCCAGTTGAACTTTGCATGTTTGATAATGACCTGGATGAATCCCGACGAGACACATTTGACCTCTGCTTCGTAGCCAATCAGGCGCGTGTTTAGGCCACTTTTGTTGAAGCCAATATTGCTTGCTGCCATCTTTAAACCCCTCACGAGTCTGTCAAATACGACGCTTCCGACGGCAAACCAAACGTTGTATTGTGCATAGGATGGGACGTGCAAGTAAACTAGCCACAGCAACACCATTGCCGACGCAAGGTGCTGAAGGAGCCACAGCTCGTAGGAGAGAGACCGAATGAAGCCAAAGCCAGTTATTACCATCCACCCGATGACTGCCCAGGCGCCGAACCCGTATTTCACCATGGGCATCATATCCATTTCGAATTTTACAAAATTGGCAATGTCCCATTCGGTGAAAAAGTATGACCAGTGGACGATGAGTGTGAGAAACATTGTACGGGACACCCATCGATGAAGCCAATTAAGTCTTTCATAGGAGATTCCGGTTAGGAGGGTGATAATATTCCCTTTACCGGAGAGAATATATATCAAGGGCAGCTGGGTAACGGATACCCATGCGGCTCTGAAGCCGATGATCTCCCATTTGTATGCATAGTTGGGTGATGATGGTGTGAGGATCGTGTTGGACCAAAGCATGGTCAGGATGACCACCCAGTATGTCAAAAGAAGGAGAATTCTCCCCAGAGGTGGTGGTGTGAGGTGTCTCGAGAATTTTCCTTGACCCGTCCATATCTGCGGATAGGTCATCTCTCGGCAAATTGCTGTCAGAGTATCGTACGACTGTGCAAAGATATTTCCGAGTCGTAAAAGGATGCTCTCGGGCTGTGTCTGGCGTTTTCGATTCCTGTTGCAACGGTTCAGTCCCAAATTCACTGAAAAGATCTCATGCACAAGCCTACAGAAGTCGTACTCGAACTTGATCGATAGCTCTCTGGGCAACAAGAACACCGACAACCGCAGCGACAATGTACCAGTAGGTGTGTGCAACCAGCTTGTTTGTGGGCGTAAACATGCTCGCGCTTGACATATCCATCCCAGACATTCCAGACATCCCACTCATGTCCATCTTTGCGGTGGCTGTACTGCGGGAAATAGATTCTAGACTAAACTAGCCGTGCCCAACGGGGGAATTACAAACCTCTAGGGGACAATATGCTGATCTATCGGTGAGCACCAGGAGTCGGAAACCCCTCCCACATCAGAGCGACAACGCGGTATAAGAGTGAGATGAGGACATCACCTGCCCGGTTCGTTTCAGATGAACGTTTGTGAATCGGGCGTGTGCAGGTGGGAAATGGGTGCTGACGAGAAAGACGACCTGCTTGCAGGGGTTTGCCGTTTTAGGATAGGCCCCGGTATTGCCCACTTGAAGGTGGCGTCCAATAACTGAGTCGAGGGATTGAGAAACTTGCTCATTTTCCCATCGGCATGTAGCCCACTTCCATAAGACATGGGGATTGGAGAGACAGAGTTATAATCGCGTGGAGGGAGGGACCCCGAGGTTGAAGTAGAAATAGATCGGGTCTTGGCCTTCAATGCTTGGGTCTGCTTCGCCTTTGCTTGACATTGATATTCAGACTTCAAACGCACTCTTACCAACCTGCCTTCAGCCCTGTGTACCACTGTTGTTCATATTTCAAACTATGGCGCTATCATTCCGACTTTTGCTTGTCTCTCTTTGGGCGCTGTGCTCCTCTGCACATTTCATCCTCCAATATCCTACCTCCCTTGGTTTTGACGATGACGCCGAAGGTAACGGGCCTTGTGGGGGCTTCGATGTGGTATTCAACACCACCACCGATGACAGTGTCCCGGTTGATAGCTTTCCTGTCTCCATGTTGAGCACTCATCCAGCGACAGACTGGCTCTTCCGGGCAACTCTCAGCAAACAAGCCCCATTTAACTGGACAAATCTCCTACCTGTCGTCTCTGAAACTGGACTTGGTCAATTTTGTCTTCCTAATATCAAGGCTCCGTCTGCATTTGTCGGACAAAGTGGTCTTGTTCAAGTCATCCAGAAAGGGCCAGATGGAATCCTTTACCAGGTATGTAAAAGTTGTTATTGGCTCAGGTTTCTAGATGGTCGCACTTTCGTCCGGGTGCTGACATCTTTGGGAATCCCAGTGTGCAGCAGTCAACTTTGTGACCGGTGTCAACAGCACAGTTGGCTCTAGTTGCACTAATGTCACCGGCCTCACTGCGACAGTCACCAACGAAGATAATTTCCCAGAGGATTCTTCTTCATCAGCATCAGGCTCTATGACCATGTCGATGACGATGACGGGGTCGAGCAGCGCTTCAGCTACCGCAGTCTCAGCCACCTCCTCCGCCTTCGCAGCGCCTAACGCCAACTCGCAATTTGTACAAAAATATCTTGCGGCTGCAGGACTTGCAGTTCCATTCTTATTGTAGGCAATATGCGCCGCGATCAAAAACGGGAGGTTTGGACATAAGCGCTCAAGAGTGAAAACATCTTTTCTCATGCACAACTAGTTTACCTATATACGGTGAAGACCAGCCAAAAGAAACCTAAGTAACCCAAAGGACCGCGGAGGATGTATCCAATATAACTAGGTAGATGATCGAAGAGATCAAACCTAGTTCGACTCATTCCTAAATAACGTAGATTGTAAGCGAGCAGCCAACTTTCCCCTCGACGTGTCTCTTTGCCCTTTCACAGTAAATTATCGCTCTACAACAGAATCTCCGGACCTATGAATTCGTATGTCGCCGGCAAGACATAATATATAAAGAGATTCTAGTTATCATTCTTCATTTTTTATATTAAATATATGCAAGTTCTATAACCTTAGCAAGGATAAAGAGAGTTAGGAGAAATACAGCTATATAATATAGCTATCTACTATACCTATTCTCGTAACTTAGTATTAGCTTTTTCATTTCTTTTATTCTTTTGGTAGACATTGTATTGGGGCTCGAGGCGCTTAGTCATGAGAGCAGAGAAAAGGGGCCTTAGCATGGGAGAACAAGCAAGTGAGGAGATAAGCAGACAAGGCAAGCAACGGAACAAGCAAGCACGAAGGGCAACGCACTCATGGGAGCGTGTGTCGAGTATAAAACAGCAGTCATAAAAGCATAGTTTGCAGAATTGATGGTATTTTCCTTCTACGAGTTCGGCTGTACAACTGTACAGCCCAAGTTTCAGTGGCAGTAACCTATAAGAACAAGGCCATTACAGCTTTATACACGTCTATTACGAGAAGTCCTGAAAGTATAGTCCATTGGCGGGCTCAAGACCATAGAGATTTACTGCGTTACGGTCCCCTCACCGACGCAGGTGAGTAAAGGGTTTGATTCTAGACGTAGCTACTATAGCGTTCGCTTTAGTGTTGGATGGTTCTTATCCTACGGTCCTGGAAGAGAGAGAACCCCTAGTAACGCAGCCCTGCCCCTTTATCCAACCTACAGGATAGGCGAGAATACATGCCAATTCAACCTCTATACAATAGCAGTTAATTTTACTTCCTAATAAGCAAGTAAATCTAATACAGTGTATAGAATAGTATAAAATGCCTTAAAAGTGCATAAAATAATTCTGCGAGGCCGGCGCCTACACAGATTAGTGGCAAGCACCGCTAATTCGACCTTCTCCCAGTCAGCTCGGTTTGAAGTCCTAGGTTCAGTTTGGGTGGGTTCTGAGCTCTTGGGGAGCTTCTTCCACATTGCAGTTTCCGTTAGCCTGCATGAAGGCCATGTATCTTTCGCGCCAACGAGTAACGTCTGTCGAGTAGAAACATGGTGACTTATATCCCTAGCGAGGATTAGGTGCCTACACCCTAGAAGAGCCTACTCCAGTTTGCCCTTGAATCATCCAATCACTTGCGAGTAATTTGATCTAGATATTGACCAATACCATGTATCTTCTTACGACTGTTGCCAGGTTGGAACGTAAATTATGACTGGTAATTAAGCTACAAGTGAATGTCAAATACCGACAGTCAATGATCTGGTGACTTTGGCCAATTGCTGCCGGATACTGTCCAACAGACTTGGTGGCGAAGAAGTCAGCCAGATGGTTGACGGATAGCTAGAGCGAGAGTGATCGAGATCCTAGCAAGCCCCCTCATCAGCAAGTGTCATGGTATTGAAAGGCCATACTCGCTGTAGTGTATGGATCTTGGTGCACTTCGGTGAGTACCTTGATAGCCACTTTGCCCTCTCATGGCTCAACGCTCAATTCTCTTCCTTTTCGTCGAAGCCGCACATGATTTGATATTCTTCAAACCTACTCGCGCTGCAACAATTCCTCCGATAATCATGAGTTGATGGGGCAGTATCTACGATATTGGGTCCTGACTGCTCGTAATGTATGGCCTACTGGTTGCCAGCGCCACCAACAATGGTGTCAGAATTTTGTTACCTATCCTATGCCTAAGGCCATCCCCTCTGTAGCAACAAAGAGTTTCCAGATGTAGATAGAGTTGGAAGCGAGCCCAGCGAGCAGACCAAGCCCTATGCCGCCGTAGAATCAGATATTATCTGTCTCAGCAATAAGCAAAGGCGTATCAAGAGTGCGCGTAGTTATTGGGTTGCTGGGTCCGAAGGAGCCGTGTGACCAAGTATAACGACAGGTATCCTCTCTACTAGCAGTCCCGATACACTTGATGAACATTCTCTCAATCTGGCATCAATTTAGTATCGCTCCGCAATGGGTGGCTAAATCCCTTGCGGGATGACTCGACAAATCCTGCCGTAGCTACTATGCTCATCAATGAACCTCTTAAAATTTGTTTCACTGACATTGAATCTACCCGCTTCTTGGACCAAGGTAATGCGTCGTGCAGATTGCTGGCCATGCCGTAGCACATATTCCCGAGGACTAGCTTAGAGATCAGCCCTTATCGACCTGATCATTTGTTGGAAAGCTAAGCATGCCGATGACATCTGTATCGCCAACTATAGTCGTCTTGTTTTTGTGTGTGTTGCCATTGTTGTGATCTAACTGTTGGACTTCATCGGAGAAGGGTGAAGTATAGCCAGAGTGAAGGAGTGCAAGATCGTTGCTTTCTCGGAGGAGTGTGAGGTAGTGGCAACAGGAGAGCTTTCAATTTCATAACCTTGCTCTTCTGTAGGATCCGATACTACAGGCAAAAGGCAATAGCTTCCAACGATTGGCACAAAAGATGAGGTGCAAGTGTGGCGAGTTGATCCAGAATGCTTGAGCCAAGCAGGAGATGTCATCCTGGCATAGAAGGCAGCGCATTTATTGGCCCACGGAGGGTTTCGAGCCTGTCCACTGGTCACTCAACTAGAACGAATCATTTGACGAATCACTTCCGTTTCCGTCTGGGAACACCGTTAGCCGGTTTGTTCCACTACGCTCTTGGGCACACTGAAGTTCTCCTGCTAGGTGAAGGACTGACACGAATGGCAGAGCATCAGCAAATTTTCTGTGCACGTAAGAGGCTTTCAAGACTAGGTTATCCTTACTTTACTGAGATTGCAACATGGAAAAAAAACTACGATCCGATGCCGCTGCCAAGCGAAGCTAGCCTTGCACTTCTCTCCTCTTCCGGAGTGCCAGAATCTATTTGCAAGGAGATTAGGTACCTTCGATATTTCAAGCCGGGCCTGGGACTTGGCAATGGCCACTCACAAAAAGGACTGTTACCAACGAGGGATAGAATACTAGCACATAAGAGCGGGAGCCGCGATCGATATACGATCGAAGCGAGACCAATCTTTAGACTGGTCTCTTGATGGCCTGATGGTAGTAGTAACAGGGATCCGGGCACAACACAATTCAAATTCCATCATCTTGGGGGTTCCAGCTCTAGGGCTAAGTTGTCAGTTTCAGGCGCAATGCAGAAGCCGTCGAATCCGAAAAGTGTAAGATCTGGTTCAGCATATCCGATCAGTGACGGGTTGTAACTGGCCACATCTTCACAATCAAGCATGAAGCCAGGCGAGGCAAAATGAACAGCAGGATTTCGAGCCGATATCGCCGGATCTAACAGCGGCACTTCTTGTCGAACGTTGCGTGCTGAATGACGAGTGCGCTTATGCACGGCCATCTGGAAGCGCTGAACGAGAGATAGAGCATCCTTAGGGTCTGGATTGTCGAGAAGCAAGGAGATGAATTTGGTTTCGAAGGATACACAAGTTCGCGAAGTAGAAGGATGATGATCGCTGAACTGCAAGAACGAAGGCCAGTGAAGCAGACCTTGGCAAGGCGATCCTGGCTATGTAGAAGTTTGATGATCTCGAGCATTCTGGTGGCCCCGTCCACACACTTGGAAATTAGCTGCTGCGTGCCAGTATCCGCATTGGCTTCAGCCTCGTTGGTGGCGCGAGACGACGGCCACCGCGTTCGAGCCATGGATAGCAAAGGAGAGAAACCCAGATTTGGTTGTATATCAAGTCTAGGTGAGCATTTGACCGTAGTGAGTTTTCATCATACACCATTAACTGATGCGGGAGAGACCGTTTCCATGACTCGAGAAGCGAGTATGCTCGATCTTATTTTCCCGAGTCTCGTTTCAAAGAGCTATATGGCTTATAAGCATACTAGTCGCCCATAGTTTCACATCTGGCGCTCGTATATACATACCTTGCGCTGAGGGCTTGATCCCTGATTAGTGTCAACTTGGTGAATGCCACCAGTCGATCTATCTTGTGTGGATTACTGTCATCCAAATCGACTCTCCGTTGTGGAAGAGGAACAGTAATCTCCTTCGTCTGGAGCATTGTGGGTTGAGCCATCATGCGTGATATCCAGCTATGAGCGTGGTCAATCACCCGTGACGATTTGAACGTAGAAGCTCTTACCGCTCGATACAATAAGTGGTCCAGAATACTCTCGTTCTGATCTCACGATCCTGTGCCACAACGAAACAATTCCTCGCGTTGCGATGTAGTGAGAGCCCGATTGCCAGGCGCAAGGCAATGCCAAGATATGTATAGTGGTGAGTGGAACTTTGAGTCGGAAGTGCGTACAAGGCAGTCAAAGGCAGCATTGGACACTTTCCAGAGCACCTTGAGCCACCACCGCAGGCATCAAAGTCATGGCTGCTTTATAGTATCCAAGTCCAGGCACTCCTGGTCCCGATATTGGTCTATGAAGGTGGGCAAAAGAGCTACTAAGAGAGATACCAAGCAAGAGTAGACAGATCTGCGAGTATTCGACTGGAGTTGTAGGTGCCAGTTCGTGGTACACTTTTAACAGCATGTCACGAAATCTTCGCTCGTCGAAATCATACCAGTTTGACTCGAGATATCGAAAGAAAATGGCAACCAGGTACTCAGCTCCCTTCAGGGGAGGTATTTCAGCTTTGGCGTCTTCGAGGACTGTCGTGTCCTCGAGATGCTTGGAAGAGTCGAGCGCATAAAAGACCTACATTGTATCAACCCGAGAATCCCATTTTGACGAGGAAGGAGGGAGGATATTGAACTCACTTGATCGTCTAGAGTCTGTGAATTGGGATTTCGATGGTAACCCGTAGTTATGGCCTCGGAGACCGCGTCGATGAAACTGTGTCTGGAGCGCAAATTATCGCCATCTAGTCAACAAGTCAGTCTTAGACCACAGGATGATAAATGGACCATTCTGCTCATATCGTCGTCAGAAGCTGATGCATGGGGAGATGCTTTAGCGTCGTCTGTATTGACACGGTTGATTTGCTCACCAAAGGCCCCAGAGCTTCCGATGTGGCTTCCCTGGTATTCTTGCTTGATGCTAGCAAGCAAGAGTTTGGAGAGCGCGATAATGTGCTCCTGCTGCAGACCAACACCGGGATACATCTTGGAAGATACAATCCAGCCGCATTCGTGCACAACTCTGGCATACAACGCTGGAGCCTGGGAGACATCTTCTTTTCCTGCTCTGACATTGAGTACAGGCGAGAGCAGTTCTTTCCGCAGATTCGGCGGCACGTGTGGACGATGGTGTTTTGAGGGCCGGAGCTCGCCGGTCTTTATCTTTAACATTCGATGGTATAGCACTTGAGAGGACTCCCCGTCTGCAGTGCTCTTAATCGTGCCTTATCGGATGTGGAAAATGTGCCAGTCTCAGATGTAAGTGTACAATTTAAGGGAAGAGCAATTGAAGATGGCGTTGTATGTAGTGTAACACCCGAGTGGTCTGGTTTACTACGTATGAGAGTATGAGAGCAGGGGGACCAAAGATGAGTAGTGCCAAGGCACTAGTTACATAAGGCCCGACAGCCTCGATATCTCGTTTACTATTTGATATTGAATGCTACATATAGATGAAGCCCTTTTCTTCGTCGTTGGCTAGGAAAAATACCCTAGCCTTAATCAATATATGCGAGGAATGTAATGCACAGCCTGGATGCTGCAAATCCAGAGGAATCCGCTAGCTCTCTTATAATTCATGATTTTAAGCCAGCTTTGCTAGCCCCTTCATGTCAAGCTTGGTCCGTGACCATCGAGATGCGACCACTCGTCCATCGTTGATTGTGACTAGCAAGTGTCCTTCTGGATTGTCCAAGACCGTGATATCTTCCAGCGAGGTTCTTTGCAAAATCAGAATATCCGCGGCAAATCCGGGAAGATTTGGCCCAGGAATTGTTCTTGTCCAAGCATACACGCCGGATTAATGGTTGCACTTCGAAGGATGTCCAGCGGACTCTGGACCTGGCTGCGTAGCCCGAATTCGTGACTCTGGGCGAAATGCAATAGCTCAAGAAGGTCGGTACCAAAGCGAATGGTAACACCTGCTTGGGATGCAATAGTGGTAGCTCGCAATCCCTCTTGCAGAACCTTCTCGTTCTTCTTGGCTGAGGCTGGAGGCAGAAATCCTGAAAACCTGGCCATGGTGGCATAAGTGACGAGAGTTGGGGTCAAGAAACAATATTTTTCCGCCATCAACCTTGCGGTGGCTTTGTTGAGGAGATTTCCATGTACCACGTACACTTTGCTGGAGAGCTCGTGGGGTATATGCATGCGAAGTGACATAAGTGCCTGCATTGTTCGCCACGGTGACAATGGCTCTGATCTCCTCGTCTGAGAACTGAATATGTTCGATCTTGTCCGTGGGACTGGCTACACCCCCGCCGCCCATGATCTTAAAGAAATCCGAACCTTGGCGCAGTTCTTCCCGAACGTATTTGAGACAATCCCCCACGCCATCGACGATACGTCCTATACCTAGGACTGTGCCTGCGCAGCACTCGGGCATCGTCATGCTCGAGCCGCATATCTCCTTGGCCGCCTGTTTGTGACAGTGTATGTCCTGCTATGAAAAGTCTCGGTCCAGGATGCACATTCTGATCAATAGCCTGTTTCAAGGCCAGATTGGCACCTCCACAGTCGCGAACAGTCGTGAATCCTCGTTCCAGCATCGATCGGCATATTTGAGGTTGACGGAGCAGCGAAACAGATTTGCTTAGGGACTGGAGCGCGCGTAGATCTTTTCGCCCGGCACTGCGGAAATGCGCACATGACTATCAATTAGTCCAGGGCAGACATATATACCCCGGAGGTCAATCTTCACGGTATTAGGATCGTTCTTCCATTAGTCGCTGCTGCCATTGGTGGAGACGATAACCCCCCCCCCCCCCCCTCCCAGAATAGATGGATTGTCGTGGTTTTTTTTGACTTTTCCTTCGACAGGATCTATGAAGTTCTCCCCCGAGAAGACATATCGGGGCTGAAGTGGCAGTTCCCAAGGAATAGCGAGATCGTGCAAAGTGCCCATAATGAGGTCACAGGTGCAATATTAGGGGCAGTAGCCTCTATGCTGCGTCTCCACAAGGCATATATTCTCACCGAAGCTTGACACATGCCTAAGTCAACGGACGTGCAAGGGAACTCGTACCGGCAGAACACATTTTTGTTATCTCGGCAATTAAACTGGCAACGCAAAGTGTGTTGAAGTGGCAGCAAGGAATTCTCCGTATCGCATCACAATTCTTGACGAGAAGCGGACGCGGGTACATGTACCCGTTCCATCCAGATGATGGGCGGGTACGTGTACCCGAAGCTATCCAGGACGCGTTCGCTGTCAGCCGATATTGAAATGCCGATCCAAAGTTTGAACAGTGTAGAATGGCTGATATCTGGGGGATAGCTCCACCTATAGGCGCTCTAGATCCCATTCATCAGAGATAAGATGCTAAGCTTAATGCTGTACAAATACGCCAGAGATTCGAAATCTTTGAGGACCTGGATTTCCGAAGCAGATCAATTCAAATCTCAAAATACATCGAAGACGCCCACTAAGAACGACTACTGTTATGGAAAAGACATCCTCGGATATGGAGAAAGGCGAATTAGATTGTGTTTCTCGTCAATCAAATCCGACAGAGGCAGGAAATGCGAACCATCTGCTCTCTCCCAGTGAGGAGCGGAAGCTTGTGAGAAAATTTGATCTTCAGTGAGAATTCACGCACCGTCCGTGGGTCTGTTCTTGCGATGACTGGCCATAGTATGATACCCATCATCTATACCTCTTTCAGTACCTCGACAAGACTTCGCTGGGATATATTGCGATTATGGGCATTTTCGAGGACACGGTATATTTCATGCCGTGTGATATGAGATGGTCAACTATACTAAGTTCTCGCAGAAATTGGTGGGTACGGACTACTCCTGGGTCTCCAGCTTCTTCTATTTCGGATTCCTTGTTTCCAGTCCACTCTCAGTCATTGCACTGGTCAAATTTCCCGTCGCCAATGCGGTCGTGGTGACGGTGTAAGTGGAACGGAGCCCATGCGAGATGAGCACCAGCTTACAATGGACAGTCTTATTTGGGCGGCGATACTCATGCGCATGGTGGCTGGCCATGACTTTGGGAGCCTGGCTGCACTGCGCATCTTACTTGGAGTTTTCGAAGCAGCAATAAATCCCGGATTCACCGTCATCACGTCTACGTGGTACAAACCCTCGGAGCATGCTTTGAGACATGGTCTCTGGTATGAGGGCGCGAGCGTTGCGTATATCTTCGGAGGCATTCTTGCGTATGCCATTTCACATGTCAAAAGTGCGATCAAAAGTTGGCAGGTATGTGTACAGCTTCGTAGAGGAATATTGTGCGAACTGATTTCTTGTAGTTTTTATTCGTCATCTTCGGGTCTCTAAAAATTCTGTGGGGTATTGTGATGCTCTTCTTCTTGCCAGATAATCCACAGACAGCATACTTCTTGAACTCCGATAAAAGAAAGCAGCCATTTGCTCGAGTGCAAGGTATCCGCCGCTTCGCCGACACACGGAAATGGCAAAACGCGCAGATGAAGGAGACTCTTCGCGACCATCGGTCCTGGCTGCTTTTCTTACTCTGTGTGCTCACCACGCTCCCCGGTGGAGGTCTTACAGCGGGAGGTCAGGTTTTCTTGATGGGCGAACCACCAGCTGACGGTCTTTAGTTTGGATCAATTGTCACCAAAAGCTTCGGTTACACCTTGTTCCAGACACAGATACTGGGCATGGCGACGGGCGTTTTCCTCCTGACGATCGTCATCACTGTCTCATTATCGATGGGTTTCAAGAATGCCGGCTGCTTGTCCATCGCCTTGCTTAATTCCATCTCTCTGGTGGGATGTCTGATGATCAAGTTCCTTCCAACACGTCAGAAAGGGGGTCGCCTAGCAGGCCTGTGGCTTATTAGAGCCTACGCCAGCGCTTTCCCGACGATCCTCGGTTTGGTCTCTAGCAACATTACCGGACATACCAAGAAAGCCCCGGTCAACGGTATGCTCTTTCTGGGATTCTGCACAGGTTATATCATTGGACCTTCGACCTTTTTGGCCCATGAAGCTCCAGGCTACGCGGTAGGTCAAACCCTGGAGTCATACATGCTGAAACCATACTTACGTTGGCGACAGACAGCCTACAACATCATGATTACATGTTTTGTCCTCAACATCGCTATTGTTCTCACTATGAGGCAAATAATGGCCTTGTGGAACAAGAAGCGAGATCAGGAATTAGACTCCGCAGATGTATTGAACGCAGAATCCGCTGAGGACGTCTTGGTGGAGTTGGATGAGACAGACTGGGAGAATAAGACCATTCGCTATTCGTTGTGAACGAAGGTTGGATAATTTACGCTGCGCGAGATTGGCTCTAAGCAAAATAGAGGTCAAGAATTGGGGGGGGGGGGGGGAGGGTCAAGTGGGCTTCAATACGACACCAACGGCTGTGTGCAAGCAATAAATCGTTGCCAATACAGTAATACTTCAATATTAGGCCAAGTGGTATATATACTAAGAGATTGGAAAGTTTAATTTCTCCTCTCTCTCTCTCTCTCTCTCTAAAGTCCCTCATACTAGTTGTATCTCCTTTCCATGCTATCTAATCCGAGAAAAGGTGCTCTTATATGGTTATTTGTTGAATACTCTTGACGTACGGAGCCACAATATTCGCAATTTGACCAGCAAGTTCCAAATCGGCGGTATCGTAAGCTTGTTCTGATGAATGTCAAACCTTATGAGGCTCTCACGAGGCTCACGCAAGGCACTCACGAGGCAGAATGTCTTCCGTTTCACAGTAGATAGATATCTACATAATCGATGCTCTTGCACGTCCATTCTGCAAGAACAACAACCAGAAGCAATAGTTAGAGCTACGGGACTGGCAACCAATCATAATTCATCCAATTAGTTCATATACCTTCTTTATCTTCTTTGTCGAGGATATTTAACGAGCCAATGGTCACTCCGTCAAGCCGAACAGGGATGTTCAGAACTGAGCCCAAATCGACACTCCATAGCAACTCCCAATCCTCAAAAATAGCTTTCGAATCATCCTTTGTGGAGAAAAGCCAAGTTCTGCCCTTGATCACAACTCTTAGAAACCAGTTTTGGCGCTGAACCGGAACTCCCTCCGGCACTGACGATACTTGTCGTCGCCCAAGAGCATGTAGTTAGGTCTTGTACTGTGAATTCTGAAGACTCCTTGGGTGGGCGAGTATGTCAAAATCGTAAATAGCATGAAGCCGAAGTCGTCAATAAGGGTGTCTTCCAGTTTTGACCAGACGAGAATCAGGTCGCCGTTGCAACGAACAACATCGGTGAGATTAGAAAGGGACGGAGCTGGCATGCTCATCTTGGAAACAGGGACTATGCCGGACGCAATGCTTGAATAAGGCGTGATTTACTGGTAAGGAATTGAAGGGGTTGGGTAGAACAAAATACTCTGAACCTTCCAATATCATTTAACGGATCAGATAATGGGACGAGCTGGTACCTGTACCCGACCGAGTACCTCTGTTCAGGCGCAGAAGGTGAGGGAAAGTTAGCAGAGTATCCTCGCCGAGTTTTGAGCGACAGTTTCAACCCTTCATGAACGAGTCGAGACGCACGATCCCAAACTTCGCACGATCGAAAGGTGAAACCTAAACTGTAGATGTTGGCGTTGCCTTTAACTCCATGAGAAAGAGCACTTTCAGTACTATGAAAAGATTTCTTGTGTACAGGGTGCCACAAGCTCAATCCTATTCATCGTCCAATGCACCAAATAAAGATCCGACACTCAGGTTTTGCTCTCCTTATTTAGGACCCTTTGTCCACAAATTCCATCTAGGGGAGTACTTATTGAACGTTGCTTTATCATTTGGCTGTTTAAGAATTGACCCTACCTTTCGACTTCACAACTAATGTAGAGACGCATTAGTGATCTTGACAGCATGGGCGAGAAGCGGAATACCTAGATCAAGGTACAAAAGCTGGAAGATGACGAGAGTAGAGCTCAGGATATCTATACAGAGAGTAGCCTCAAGTTTGTCGTGACAATAATAGTGTTACAAGATCTGTGTGGGCTGGAAATCTTCGTTATAGTAAGGTAAGCATAGTTACTTGGTTGCCTACCGTTGGACCTCCTTTAGCTCCGTCAATGCTAATTCTACTCACGGCATCCAATATATGATAGATCAATTGTCTTATCTGCTGGTAGAAATTTTGTTTGCAACTCACTATTATCAAGTGCTTTTTAGTGGTGCGGTTAATTGTTGTGGATCTCTGCTTGATGGCAACGAGCTCGACCCTTTGCAAAAATCCGAACTCATCCTTTCAGTCTAAAACTTTCTCCAGCTGTAGAGGGATGGCTGGGCTGAATCTGTGATGTTCCCTCATAGGTAGCACCATGCGGGCCAAGATCGCCGCCTAGGCTCCTGTCTCAAAGTCTTCATGAATATTAGTGTTTGAACGATAACATGAGAGACGCCGTTTAGCACACCTACTTGAACCCCCCTTATTGAAATTCCTCCGATAATTTCTTCCACCAAGACCATATCTTTCATGCTTGTTGATCGGTTTCTGCACGTCCCAGCATTCTTCATAATTATTTGCAAAGCTATCGCAGCCGCTACGATAGGGACGGCACAGAGAAAGAAATATGACGTATCCGTTAAAGAATTTAAGTCTTTAGCTCTTGTAGGGTCGGGCGGCTCTGCTCTCACCATTAGCAACTACAGTAAGGCCTACGCGATGTTCCGGTCAATCACATCTAATCATATCAGGATGATGATACCACCGTTTCTCGAGGCCTACAGTGATTTCTGCACCGCGAAGAAGCTTATACCCATCATAGAAGACATTCCTAACACTGAAATCAAAGGCATCTGGCTGGGAAGCATTGATTTAGCTAAGTACATGATGGTGTACTACCATGGCAGAAGCTTCTTGATTCCTGGCACGGACTCGCACCTTGACATGATACTGAATAAAATCAAGTGGTCTAATGGAGTCCTAGCGGTTTTCTGTCCAAGTTATACCTTAACTCCAGGTGGACAGTATTCCCTTCAGATCGGGCAATCTGTGGAAGCACTTCGACATGTACTGTCGTTGCCCGGCCGCTCTCCTGACACAGTATTGCTAGGTTATCACCGATAACTCTGCAGACGGGAACCTAGTTCTATTGCAATATTGCAAGGACTAGGGCGTTATGAGGCGGTATCGAAGCGATGCAAGAGGTTGAGCTAATTTATCGAAGAGGTAAAGTAAATTGATGTAGTTATTTGAAAGCCGGCAACCTCATGGCGGCAACGGAGTGATACCTGGAGGATCTGGAGAGTGTGGCTCCGTTCGGTCACTGCAAATTTAGTTGACAATGCTTATCAGTCCATCACAATTGTTTTACAATATTTCCGAGCGCGATACAATACGGTAGAGCTAGATGTATTCGTCATGCAATAGTGCCGGCCTAAGAAGCAGGCAGTGCTGCGCCCGCCAGGTCAGCGTATTCAATTCGATATAACGCCCTTGAGAATATTGATGTTAGGCCCACGGGCCTACTGGCAGAGAATGGGTTCAACCTGTTGAAAACTTTATGCTTAGGTATGAGCTCCATAGAGAATGTAATTCTCGCGTACTCAAAAGCAAGTTCTTCCCTTGGGAAATCACTAACTTTGAAGCTGTTCTAGTCCATGAGCTTCCAACTTCTCTTGCATTCCCTCTATACTATCTTGCTCATATTGATCGTGAGTACATTTATGCAAGATCTTTTTCAGCGGGTCTGCCTGTTGCGAAAAGAGGCAAAAGCCTAAGCCAGTCGGAGAAAGGATTTGCTCCAGATTAGGATCTGGTTTCCTTGTGTGGTGAGGCTCAAGGTCGCCGTTCGGTTGAAAGAATGTTCCCCGGCGGTCCCAAGCCATTTGGAGCCTCTCCTTGCCGTCAATATCAGCTTCTTCATCCATTGTTGCCCGATCTGAACGGTGTACGTTGCCATTCCATCGATCCTGGAAGAAGTTGCGAATAGTAATCGCTCTTTGAGCAAATGGGCAGGCCCACGAAAGCTCACCAAGGTACCCAAAATTATCTGTGGTGTGTGTATCTGCCTCCGTTTCGACACCCCACCAAGCGTTCTCTACCAATACGCCGAGTTCAGCGTTTAGTATCAGGTACGGAGTGAACACTGGAACTCGTCGTAGCCCGTACAGGCTTTTGTATGCCTGAACCAGAGCTAAAATGTTTTTGGATGCTTCTGTACAGATGAATCGAGGAGAAATAGAACTAGAAATTATGTTGAGCTTGAGGAAAGGTCGGAAGTGGATTAGGAGGGTGCAGTGGAAATACAGGCTGACGCCATTAGCTTTTCGGCCATAATAGTTTGTTAGGAACTCACTGCACGAACAGCACCACCGGTGTTGAATTATTTCCCAGTCGCAATTGGTCCGGCAGATTAGCATACCATTGAAGGTATTTTGTGTAGATAACAAGTATTTCATGGCTAGTCAAGGGTAGCTCATTAGAATAAAGAAGCATGACTGACTGGTGGACCAGCTCTGACAGGTCTGAAAAGGCCATGAACACTAATCGCAGATTCGCTTCTTGTAGAGAGGACTCAGTCGACTGACAGCCTTCGTCAGTGTAAGCAGTCCACTTCTCATGTTCGATTTCGTCTACAATGATAGGCTTGTGGACTTTGATGTCTTTGAGTTTGATTTGGGGCACTCGCCCGATAAGAAGTGCCCATGCGCTTGCAAGGTCAGCGATATGAAATTAGCTATCTTTTATGAATAGACTTACTGCTCTAAAGCAAAGCAGCCCCAGAACGTAGCCACGCGCACTTGGCATTCCGCCCGGCTGAAGCCTGTGGGATTAGGGGGCTCCTGGTTCAGATCATCGTCCGGGAGGTCGAGATCAAGAGCGATTCTCATAGCATATCGGGCATAGTGCCAACCGCTTCCATCGTTACCGGAGCTCGCTTGCCTGAGAGACATCAAGTTTAGAGCCTGAATGGTAATGACCGTTGGCGTGACCTCATGACTGAGCAATCTCTGAGCCTCATGGAAAAATTGATCTCCAGCGCTATAGCGATCGTCCGGATCCATTCGAGCTTCCACCAAGTCACTAAGCCTAGCTCCAATGGCAAGAATGGCGTTTACGAGTAAAGATGAACAGAATCTCCCAGTTCCGGAATTATAATCGAGAAGGAAATGCTCTTTCGAAAAGCTGGCAAAGGTTGGGTACTCCCAACAGAAGTAGAGCGCGAGCAAATGTTCTACCAGAAAGTCATTCGTCGTGACGTTTGTCCATGCTGAGGGCCGATGCTTTGTGCTACCGATATCTTCGTCCCCGAGCATTTGTAGCTGAGATTGGTAGGAAAGTCGAAAAGGTCCGGCCAAGGTGGATGGCAATCGGACGGCATTCCATGTAGGCCGTTGGCCCTGTACCACTCGTTGAATGTGTGAATGGTCAGAATTCGTGTCCTCCTCCTTCGACCGTGGAACTTGGTTGTCAGCATGCTTTGACGAAGCTCTGCCTTCTTCGATAGCCCTCTTCGCTGCTTTTATGTAGACATCTCTCCCCACGTCGGTCGACTATAATACGAAATTAGCCACCAAATCAGGCAACAGACCAAGACATCTAGAGACTTCAGATAGCAGAGCTTGCACCTCGGACTGCAATTTTCCACGAAGGGTGGTACTTGATATGACCTTCCGCAGAATATCCTGTAAATCGTGAATATTCCATTCTAAGGCGCAAATACGATCTTGGCTTTCGGCGAGATCCCTGTGGCTCCTTTAGTATGTTTGCTACACTTTCCGGACAGGGCATCGATGAACTTTTTGTTCTTTTCTCGCTTCCTATCCCCATACGTACAGACGGTATCATCCCTCACACATTTCTCACATCGTGGATCGCCAGAGCACTTCGAGCGCATAGAGCGACATCTATCGCAGGCATGGGCTGTTCGAGCTCGACGCTCCATCGCGAAAAGATAGCTGGCGTGGACTGATTATGGATCCTGGATGTCTTAACTGGCTTCTAATCGACTATCTACCACATTCTAAAGGCACTTCGGAGCGCTTTCTTGCTGTACTGTTGATTTGTTATGAGCGTGGCAAGGCCACCCTACTACTGAGGTGTAGCTCGAGTCTATGCCAAGGACGAGTGATCTGCTCAGTGCGACTCGGGCTTCGTGGTGGAGATCTCATCCGGCCTTCAGCGCCACTAGTCATATCCACGAATAAAATCCAAGGACCGGAAAGGTAGTCCTTTCGCCCTAACCTGTGGAATGCCTGCACAAGCATGGATATTCAGGCTTAATATGTCAATCCATGCGCTTCCAGAGAACAAGGCAATCTGACGTGACGTAATAGCTGCGAGCTCCTATTCTTTTCCTAACGAGGTCCTCAGGTAAGATAAGAATATCGCATATGGTCTGTACAGTTTCTAGCTCCTTTCTACTTCTAGCCACGTATACATTGAATGAACAGAATAACGTGTCTTTACATCCTACAAGACTGAGTTCTTCACGTGTCGCTGTTTGTCGCATCTACTAGCTATTCACAGCTCATCGACGCTAACACCACTGAATATACTGTGATCTTAATGTGGCTGATCATTGTATTTAATTTCGGTGTTGCAATGTAGGAAGCGTTGAAAAAGCTGGATTGCGTTTCGGCCAAGGTATTTGAACTTTGATCGCGTGTTATAAGTTTGTACTCGACATCTTTGCTATACACCGGCCTTTTATAATCCTATTCTCTTCTGCCCGTAACGCGGCATTCCTTACTATAAAAAGCTCAGACCTATAGTTTTGGATGTTCCTGCATTAATTATGTTGTTATGTGGATTACTAATAGATGTCACAGCTACATATAAACAGTAGCATCGACGAGCCAGAGGACGGAGAGCATTATATATTTAACTGGACACAACTTCCGGAGCTATTGTCGGATGGAGGTGAAAGCTTTCACAACTACCGAAAAGCTTGGCCACTTATGCGTACTGAGCGTCTGTGTTTCTCTTTGGTCTGATTATTGGAATACCTCTAATCTCTATCCTCCTTTGAATGGGATTTCCTATTGGGTTGAGCCTCTGAAGTTTTAGAGTTTTGCAATCGCTGCGAGACAGGGTATATTCTAGCGGATTGAAGTAAACGAATACTTATCATTTCTCAGACAGTCAAGAGTGTTCGACAAACCAGGGGGCCGATCCAAGTTAATCTGTCGAAAGAAGCGATGGATATCATCAATAATGCCTATGAATCTACTTTCCCATGCATCAGGAAAACGTCAGTTTCGGCATTACATACGATGGACGCACAAGTTATGTCTCAGCATTAGACCTCTTGCTCGTACCGGTCGATATTACTATTGAATTTCACCCAGATAGAGATCCTTCAGTTTTAATTCCACGAGAAGGTAAAACCCGCTAAATATTGCGTACCATTTTCGCAGCAGTGCAAGACCCGCACTGTCTTTACACCTATCTAGATCCGGTCCTTGTGACGAATGCGAACATGCGGCAGATCTTGCCTGGCTGCCCACTAGAGGGGTTTCCGTGCGCATTAACAGAAAGCCAGATAGGTATCAACATCCGGATGAGATCCTCAAGGCACCTGCCTCTTAAACTCAACTACCCAAGTAAGGTGAAACAAAAATGATGTAGTACCGTTCGCCGGCATATCAAACCTCACTCCGTGCCCAACTGCTCCCCTGTAGATTCAGATCCATCAACACAAGATTCAAGTATTGAGTAGATGGAACCATAGAACCCATTCTTTTAAATCTATCCACATTTCTAGTAACAATATTCCAAGGAACCCTGCCATCCGTCCCAAGGAAGAGGTTCAAGAAATTACAAGCAAGGGTGGTTAAGCTAGCTGTGATAGCGGCTACGCATCCATTTTTGAACCCCGATACGCAGGTAAATTAACATCTCACTCTGAAATAATGAACATTCATAATCTCCTCGCCATCCTCACAATACAACTACTGAAGTACTTAGCTTAGCGCGAGATTGCATCCAATGGCGGTCAAGCTTCTAGCGGCCCATTCGGGCGGGGAAGTGAGAGGGTTAGTGCAGCTGGCAGAGGGAGGCTCTGCCACTAGAGTAGATGGCCCGAACCTATCGAATCCAGAAATTGACCACTACCACCAAAGACCAAACCAGGATCCCGACACGTATAGTGTAGTCTTCGTCAAACTGGGACTGAAGCGATAGCATGCTACTCAACATTCACATGCAGCAGGCGGGAAAGCCCCAAGAGCCAGTGACTGAGTCCAGGAAAATAAATTCGGCCTGCCGCAAGGCTGAGAAGGGACTGGAGCGGAGTCGATCGAAGCCACGGCTTGTATTCTATGTGTGGGCTCACTAAACTGGTAAGTGCCTAACTATAGAGAGCAACCATACTCGCTTTGTCAAGGTCATCTGAAAGCCAAATGTATGGGCTCAGATTTTGACAACACTCTAGACTTTCGGCATTGTGAGCAGACGTGGATGCAATTGTCGGAGACATTCAATAACGTAGTTGCTGTTGTGCCCTGCCAAGAGGGGAGGAAGACATTGTGAAGCGCCCTGGACACTCCTGCTGTAGGTTAATACTGGAAGTGAGATTCTACGTACAGCTTGCGTGGTGTCATGTGCGATAAGGATACATCGCTTGCTACCGAGGGTGTGTGCGAGTCAACAATCCTATAAGAGTCACTGACTGGCAAGCTTTGTCCCGACGCGGTGGTTGGAGGTAAAATGACATTCTGATACTGAGACCGTCGTTCCGGGACGAATGCCAGAAACCGTTCGCACATATTCAGATCTTTTGAGCTCAAACCTTCTGAAGGTGACGTTTGCTGACAGTACGTTGTAGCGCCAAACCTGGCTGTTTGAAGTCCTGCTAGTCTGCGTTTTGGATCGAAGTTCCTAATAAAATATCCGCCGTAGTCAAAAGTGTGAACTGAATCTGACGAGAGTAGAGGATTTATTGGAATGCTGAGGCTTTCTTCCGCTTGAAGCAGGTGGAAGCATCTCGGGTGCTGTTAGGAATGCCCTAAGAGGCTTCCTAGTAAGCATATAACTAATAGGTCCGAGAATACCTCGTACTTCGTACGAGATTCTAGTCTTTTTGAGCGATCCTCAAGGGCTTACGGACCTATTGCCTGACAGGTGCGTTGTCTGATCTGGTCCCCGTTCTTGGTGTCACTTTGCACCCTCATAGCTGAGTTATGCAGCACTAGACGTGAATGCTTGTTGGGAAGTGTAATAAGTCTATGAAGACTACTTTATTTCGTAAAGCGAAAAGAGTAGAGTGCTTTGCCGAAACCCCTATCGTATTGTAAAAGTTCGCAAATACACCAAGGTAATTTGCGACTTGGGCGAGTAGTATCGAAAGGATTTATTTATTGGCCATGGAAGTACTACGGGGGAGGCAGATATAATGCGACACAATAAGATCGGTGATTATCGGTCATGCATGGGGGATGGAAGCGATATTTTGCCGTATTTACAAGGATGATGAATTTAGAACGCTCGGACGTGATCAAGCATGAACTTCTTCCGTAAATGGAAGTTGAGGGTAGCCGGTACTACCTTGCGAGTTTGCAGCAGCCAATAAATATACCCCGGAGATATCATCCAGAGTTTAGGTACCTAGCTCCAAACAGGCCCAGCGGTGAGAATCCGAATAATAACTTTGCAAAACAAGGAAAATAAGCTCAGAAAAACTGGCCAAGATCCCTGCCGTGGCTTGCCCCTGAGGAAACAAAATTTCAATGCGACCAATGACTACAGGACGATGGTTCAGGTGTACAGGCAAATAAGCGACATTTGGCTGCAACAGGATTTCTACGCCGCATTTTGATATTACTGAGCTGAACGTAGTAGGTTATTGTACCTCATAAGAAGCTCTCTTTAGCAAGGTCTCGAGATTCCCCACGGCTAGTTTGGATATTGGGCTTATCTCTAGGTGATAAAGCAGACCGATAGTGTCGCCGAGCCTCTCGGCGGTGTTCTCGATGACTGTCGCAATCAGGAGAAAGTATCCGGGAATGTACCCCCCCACTACGAGGGTACAAAACCCGATAATTCAGACCATCGTTGATCTGCATAAGCTCTTCAGAGATATTCCGCGGGCGCTCCTTACCCCAAATGGGTTTACCAGGAGAAAAGTTCCGGGCGCTAACTTTGACCCACGGTAGTGTGGGTCTTGTGCGATGCGATTGCGAAGAAGCTGCTTCGCTTTCCAACTCCCCTAGAGATTTGCATCTGCGAGGATGAGATTCCTTTCTTGGACGACGCTAAAGCTTGTGTTGACTCTTTACCCATGCATGAGCTCATCTCCAGCACAACTTACCACCAGTATAATGACGATTTTGGGCAACTCCTATCAATTGACTTCTGGATATGACCTGACTTCTACCCTCAGTCGCACAAGAAACGGCGCATCTTACAGAGATCTTGTTGGGATGGTTGATTTCTGCTACTCATATTGCACTGTATCCTGAGAGAAATAGTCTTTCCATCCGCCATCACTTAATCGAACCTCCTATCAAACATGATGGCCATCCCCAGGACAAAATCAAACCATAACAGCCGGAGCAATGATAGGTCCAAGCGGCGGACGCCGCGGGCTTGCGATCGATGTCGTCTTAAGAAGTCTAAGTGTGACGGTACTACGCCCTGCCAAACATGTCAAGCAGGCGACGTTACTTGCATGTATACTATAAGAAGGGGACGAGAAGCCAGAATCTAGTAAGCCCTCTGAAGCTAAAGGTATCAACCACATTTAACAATATAGTTACTCTCAAATGCGCGAAGTGACCGACGAAGCCCTTCAACGCCTTTACAGGGCATGCCGAAGTAATTCTGGCTTTCCTGGGGAGATTCCTGATGAATCCCAAGGCCCACCATCGACAACTGCAATTCTTGATGCACTAGATTTATGGCAGCCATCTCTCGAAGACATGGGGCAAACAGAGAACCTCCGAGGGTCTATTTCTACTTCGCCATTAAAGTGTACGACTCATTGGGATCTATCTAAACCACAGCATCAGGGAAGGGACCCTTCAAGCGAGGAACCATCTACTAAAGACGAAAATTTACATTCCTCTAACCATTCATCCGTTAATGTGAGGTGGGGAGCACAAAGCCTAGATTCAAGCCCATCTTTAAACGCTGCACCCACTCTAAGTCCAGCGACCCCTCCCCCATTGGATATTAGCGAGCAATTTCAATACGAAGTTTCAGGAAGCTCATTCCCTGGGCACAACTCGGGCACGGCGAAGGAAGAACATCCTTGTGGCGATGATTCAGCCAACCCAGCGTTTGATATAGATGCATACCTAGACACGAGCTCATGTACAATTCCTAGCAGTGGACCTCATCCGGCATACAACAACATCTACGCTTCGATGCAATTCGATATTCCGGCAATGATGGACACTAGCCGCGCCACTCAGCAGGTCGACACTGACTTCTCAGAGCCAGGCGCCGCCATTTTCATGGGTGGCCCGGCTCATTGGCTGCAGCTAATCAGGCCGCAACTATAGCAAATCAGTGGTGTGAGTATGGTCGAAACTTCTGGGAATTCTGGGAATTCTGGGAAGTATTCTGAATGCGAAGAGCATCCCCTGGCAAACTCAAGCTAAATTCTCAAATCTTATAAATCAAGGCAAGTCCTGCGGCTGTTAGCCTGCAAGAAGTGGTGTTCAAATAACGTATCCCATATCTGACATGGTCCGGTGGAATGAGTACATGTACAAGCTAGCTATCTGACCACCCTCGTCAGCTGACCCGCACCCTAATCTGTAGTGGCCTAATCCGTAGTGGCATTTCTTAGTGAGGCACCCTACACGAACGGAGATTGATTGGCTCATGGCTCTATTTTCCAGAGGCGAAGAGAGACTACTTCGTCCATAAAATATATTTGAGATGTTTTACGACTGGTCAAGGAGCAAAATTCGTTTGAACACAATTGTCGCATCGAAATGACTAGCAAGGTGTGGAGAGTGGTAAAACCGGAACTTTCCGCTCTAAGCATATCTAAGCACACAGTCACAATAACGGCACCCAACGGTCAGTAGCAAAGGAGCCTCACCTACGGTGGAGATGGCATCTTAAAGAAACTGGGGGACGCTCGAACGATCGCCAGGGAGGGACTGAGACTCCGACATCAGTTCTGCATGGCAGCTGGTGGAATTTCGGCCATCCAGAGACGCACAATCCACAACTGCCTTGAAATGGAACCCGAAGAATACAAGTGACCCACAAGTTGGCAATACCACGTTTTGGTCCAGGAAGATCTCCTCCTTCGGATGCGACTGGTCTGGTTATTGTGGTTTCAGTCGCTTATGCGGGGGACCTGAAACAGGGATATTCGTCTGTATGACGTCATGTCGATCTGACCGACTCAAAGTTATTTCACAGGGTATGACGTCAACAGAACTCAACCACATCTGCAAATCTATTCATGCAATAGTTGGCTCAGTCTCATTCATAAAAATGAGCTATGGTAGGCATCCATATATCTTCGATCTGCATGGTCGAAATGGTCGAACCCCATGCGGATCAGTTCGACTTGGGCAACATGCTAGTCGTTCCATCTATCTCAAAGACCCTGTCCAAGTAAATGCCCACCCATTCAAAGAGCCGAGGTTTCTCCCTATTGATGGAACTTTGATCCCTTACGCCCACTTGGTTAGAAACTAGGCTTCTGAGTGGACACCATGTTTCACAAGTTGTGTGGATGATTCAATGTACACCAATTCAGGAATTCTAACCATTGGTAGTGTCGACAAGGTCGCAATATGACCTTTCAGGATATGACAGGAAGTATCCAGTAAACGGATGGTGGTCTGCATACTTTAGATGATCAAGGAAAAGCCAGACTTGTTTCAAAACCATCTACATATCCGCGGGTTCCTTACCTCATCATTTTACTCATCTCGATCTTAGACTGTTTCAGAAGTTTGACCTAATGAGTCCGACAATTAAATCGTTGATGTTACAAGTAAGGCGTCTCTGAGTGCCTCTTGAGCTTCCACGTTGATGAGTAAGAGGACTCGCTATAGTGCCTACTCTTGTCACTGCAAATGAGCAAAACAGATAGCACGTGATACAATTGCGTCACCTGTAAGTTCAGCCAAGCCAGGCTTGTTAAAGAACCTGGCAGCACCCGTTCAGATTCGTACTGCCCTAGGGCAGCTTTGACTGTCACGGAAGACAGTTCCAACCGATGTGCCGGTATAATGCTCTCTACTCTGATCAGCGTATGCTCTCTATTGGATTGGTTTCATGGATGAGCAAGCGTCGTCATATTCAAGGAGGATTTTCAAGACAAAGTATCTGGGGACAGTTTATTAGACCAGAGTGGGCTCGACGAAACTCTCCTCTCAGTCATGGAAGGTGTCGCGAATTGCTGTTATAAACTGGATGTCCTTTAATCAAGAATCTCCAGTGAGGATACACTACGACAGTCAACCTCTCGACCATTGGGCTATTATTTGCGGCCTTGTGTCACTAGTGGTTAAGGACTAAACATTGCTTCCAGCTTGAATATCTTTCTGTACTTTGGCGAGGCACCCAAGATATACCTTCTTTATTTAATTTAGCTTAAATACAACGATGGCTTCCGTTCATGACAAAACTGGCGACATAATCAGGGAGGGAGATACTGTGGTAACAAAGATGCGGGGAGGGAAGCGGGAGGGAGAGGTAGATGTTCTTTCCCATCTTTGGGGGGGTATATGGATGGCTAGCTGAAGCTCAACGAGCCTAGGTCGAAAGAATAGTTACGTCGAGAAAAGAAGCAGAGCAGGAGAATGTAAAAAACCCGCCAAAGGTCAGTCATGCTCATGTGGCCGCTCAACTTCGTCGGATTCTTCGGTCAGCAGACAAAAGTAACCCCGACACGGAGCTGAAGACATAGTAGGTTATTTTCAGTGACCAGCATGGTCATCGAGTTGCCCATAATCCAGGAACATTGGAGAAGGAATGAGGACTCTAGGAGATCTATTCCTTCAACCCCATCGTGGAATCGGCAAGGATATAGTCACTGATGCCTTCTCAGATGATCAACTGTTGGTGGCCGATTTTTGTCCGCCACAACTTGGTATCAAAGAAATGAGTTCTCAGTTAGGTATATTCGTACCGGGAAGCGGTTGCGTCTCAACAGAATCTGACGGCAGTGATCGCTACATTGAGGAGAGAGAATTGCTGCTTCCAGGGCTATAATAGTTAATTCAAGCTAGACCATAATTGCCCTTTTTATTTTTCCTGTGGCTTTCTCAGGGGCTTCATTAAGTGGAGGCGATATGTTCGCTCCAGCGCGCTTCGATACATCACTTAGCTTCCCGAATACGCTATATAATTCCCTCGGATTTGTACTCAGTCTAATGGTCGACTCGACGGTTTCCAGGGCACAAGGCTAGCCACAAGTCACGGTGAGCGAATACAGAGCTTCAAGACGCGTAGCGAGAGTACGAACTGAAAATTAATACTTCCAGTCCTTAAGCGTCGGAGAATGTCTGGTATTATTCCATGTCCCTTTGTGCATACGGACTTTTTGCCCTCAATTGACTGCCGTAGTACCGAAATATTAAACGGCGCTGGAGTCAGCACTGCTCCGATGCAGCCCAAGATTGCGTTGTCCAATGAACTCCTATTCCCTCGTACATTGGTCTTGCAGCCATGACCATCGCGCCCGCAATCAGATACCTGACCATGGTGATACTTGCTAAGGCCATCGCTCCATGTTCAACGTAACTGTCAATGATGTACTCATAGCTGCTGACATAGATGGCCGTTGTGGCGACATCGAAGGCAAAACAAGCGGCAAGACCTGACAATGGAGAGATCCCGGGATAGTTGGTCCAACCTTGCCACAACAAGAAACAGGTAGCAGAGGCGCCGTCGCAATTTCTGGCCACAGTCTCGATTCGGGCTTGACTGCAGCTCCGGAAACGCGATCGGTCACCCTTCGTATCCGGCCGTAGAAGACCGGGGCACAGAGTGTAAAGCCCTTTGAGCCAGCAAGCAATGGAAGCCAAGTAGGATCCAGCTAAGCCATCCGATAGAGTATACCTCTGCTTGAATATGTAGTCAAGCACGGAGAGGAAAGAAAATAGGACATATAAAGGTACCATATACCCTCCAAGCATAGCAATAACGGGTTTAGTCCTGAAGAATGTTATGGGCATAGGGAGAGGAGTCTGTAGTCGTTTTAAGGATATCGATTTTGCATGATTGGACACAAATTCTTGGCTCCCTGGGACGCATCGGAGATGCTTTGCTTTCCAGTCGAGCAAGATCGGAAGGTAAGACTCCGGTAAGAATAGGGACGTCATCAAGAATGCCATCGCAGAAATAATTTATAGTTACCCATTCGCACCACCGCCAACTGAGATGCTGATTTGACACGATCCAGCCTCCCGCAATGGGTGCCATCATCGGGGCTGCCGCGTAGGGTCAGCCTATATTGCTAGATTTGGCGCATTTGGAGTTCAATACCAGCAACGTTGGCCCATGCAATGACGGGAAAAGCAAATGCCCGTTTAACGGGCCTGAACTGATCTCCAACACTTGCAAAAAGACCAACGAAGCACTGACAGACAAGCTATCCACCAAATGTGGATGTCAAGGCTGAGCCAAGGACAAAGAAATTACAGCAAAAGCTGAACAGCAGGACTTCCGCCGGATGTCTCGGCAAGGGGTCCCACAAAGAGTGAGCCGAACCCAATACCGAAAAAATACATGCCTTGGAAAGGTTTTCAGCGACTTTGCTGACTCCGAAGGCTTGCCTAATCTCCATATTGGCCATTGAATCTGCTCCGCCCGCCCAGGCTTGTACAAAGATGAGGAGTGAGGGGATCGTCATCTCCTAGAATGTCGACAATGCCGTGCCAATCATCGGGGCGAATTGTCCTAGACCTGCTGGAGTCATTCTGCGATGGAAAATCTGAGATCGTGTTTATGTGCATGAACAGTGTTGGAGATGAGAGTTCCCTGAGCTCGATATCCCAACGGTCATTGTGATTGCCGCTATGCTCCGCGTTCCTGTTTTGCCATTCTTCCTCTACTTGTTTGCTAACTCGTCTGTACTGAACTACTGACCACATATTTACACGTTCAGCCTTGAGAGCAGTATGAGTACCAATCAAACCCTGCGTGTGGCAAAGACAGTGTATAATAGAAATCTCATGACATCAGATCCGGCATACTGACGGCTAGGTTGCTTGTCGGTGATGTAACTGACGCAAATCTGGAGCAGGGTGGGGGACCCGACGCGAAATCCTTGCATATCAGTTGTGGATATTCAAAGATCGGCCAACACTCGCTTGGTTTGGTCAAATAGTTGTGGGCGACCCCGGCGCGGGTGGGGAGTTAGTAAGATGTCTTTGTGAACTTGTAACGTCATACCGGATATGATTACCGGCAATAATCCCACCAACATGTGCGACCACTTCCAATTCCTCGGCGTACATGGAATTGTGCTTCACGGCACGATCACCTCTGATGTCAAAAGCTATCAGGGATTTCTCGTTAATTCTCAAGTGCGGAGCGTATCAGGCCCCTCCATTGCGACGTTGGAGCGCTTCCAACAACCTCTAAAGCCAGGGCCTCCGCCCTCGATTCGAGTTCTACAAAGAGAAAATCATCTTGTATAATTCATGATGGCTGCAAAAGGTGCAGCAATTTCTCTCACCAAACTATTTAGACCAGTACGTCGATCTCTGGTACAGGACCAACGTCGGCTTTTATCAAGTAGCGTGGTCCAGAAGCAAAATCAAACACTGCTTCAAGACAATGAGAATGGCTTTGGGTTTATTAGACACAATCCGCGGACACCTAAGCCTCGAAACAAAGGGGTGACTGAAATTCGGGGACCATACTATTCAGCATATGGGAAGCGCCATCTAGAAGACGTGCTGGAAACAATGGGATATCATGTTGATGGCCTCAAGTTTGCGGGAGGAAGCTTCTCAGTGATGCCCGAGGCGGCTGTGCGAGAACTTGTCGATGTAGCACATCGGCATGATGTTTATGTCAGTACTGGAGGCTGGATGGAACACATCTTGACCCAACCTGACTCGCATGCCATTGTGGAGAGGTACTTGCAGAAATGTAAGGACATTGGATTCGATGTTATTGAGCTCTCATCAGGATTCTTGTCGTTTCCACCTGAGGACTGGCTCCGCTTGGTGGACAAAGTGCACAGCATGGGCATGAAGGCCAAACCAGAATTAGGCATCCAATTCGGTGCAGGAGGTGACACCGCTGCCGAAGATCTGGAAGCAACGGGAACGTCGGATCCAAGCAAAGTGATCAATCTAGGCAAAAAATTCATCGAGGCAGGAGTGGAGAGACTGATGATCGAGAGCGAAGGGATCACAGAGAACGTGAAAAGTTGGCGAACGGATGTGATACAAGCCATTCTTCGCGATCTACCTCAGGAGAAGGTTATGTTCGAAGCCGCCGACCCGGCGGTATTCAATTGGTATGTTCGAGAATTTGGAATTGATGTCAACCTGTTTGTGGATCATTCCCAAATTGTGCAATTGACCTGTCTTCGAAGTGGAATCTGGGGGATGGCCGACACATTTGGCAAGATTGTGAGCTATCGCGACTGAGCTAGTCGACAGCAGGGCTCCAGAGATCACTAAGAGCTAGGGCGGGGCTCCTGCGAATTCAATTATGTTGGCGTGCCTGAGCAGAACGAGAATGTAACTTGCTAGAAAGCAAGAGATAGTTCCGATGTCAGAGACCCCATCAGCGGCACACCCTACGTAGCGGGACGGTGTCAATTTATTACCATTTTCTATACGGCATAAATATATTGTTAAGTTATGATTCGAAACACTAGGGTATTAACTAGGGCATGTTTGGTAATAAGTAGATGATAGAACGGGTTATAACTAGGTTTCAACGGACGAGAAATAATCTAGTAGGCTAATTAGTAATTACTAAAATATAGGCACAAAATCATCGATAAAGTTAACTATAAATAGCGCTGTCTAAAGTGTAAAGAGAATACAGATAGCCCTCAATAGGTTGTACTAGTACGGTAGTATAGTAGTGTACTCTAGCCTTGGACCTTTTCAGCTAACTTCCCACCCTTAGGCAGGCCGCCTAAGCTCGGCGGCCTTCCAATTAACCTGACTGGTAATATAGATCCAGTATAACACCCTAGGATAGAATATAGTTAGGCAGCCATGATTAATACTCTAGATACCCATCAATATTACAGAATACGAAATCGATTCGACTGGAGGGCATCTATCCTGGCAGTCTTTACCTGCTGGCCTTGCCTTCCCCTTCTCGTTCGTGTACACTTGATGGACAGGTCGATATTGGCTGCGTGGCTTATTCTAAGATGCTGTGTTTGGCCGATAGCTTCAGGGCACCATAGCGGTAGGAAGATTGCCTGTGTGTTTCTTGCGCTGGGGCGAGACGCAGACTGATCACTATATTCCAAACGTTCAAGACACTCCTCTACACTCGACTCTCATGCTGGTCAAACTTCTGTGTACAGGGAACACAGATCACCCCGAAACATTTGGGACATGATTGAATTTGGCGTACTCGACATCTGCCTTTTTCGTTGGACAACGGCCGTAGGATGAAGGCGCATTGGTGGCAGCCAATTGCTTCGCCTACCTTTTGTTGCGGCTCAGAAAGAGTATTCTTCACGACGCGATCCATAGCCTTACCAAAGACTGAAATGGAAAAGGGTCCTGCCCATCCTTCAGTGCTATGGCAGATCGATACCGCTAACGAAAGATGATGATTTTTGCGTACAGAGAACCCTCTTGAAGACCTCCAGCTGCCTCGAGAATGCAGGCGTCCTGACTATCCTAGGCTGGACTGGCGTGCCGGCGTTTCCCCAGACACACGGAGTGTTCAATAATCTTTCGAGTACAAGTTGGATAATTGCATCGCAAAGAGGCTGTGCCGCGAGGGGGCCCCCTAGGCAATGGCTTGCTTGTCCGGAGAGATCGATAATGGCATAATAAAATTGTCGGATTCGTCAACAAATGCCGAAAAGTCGAAATCAAGATGATTGCTTTGATCTGCGGAAGAGAAGGACTCGCCAGCTTCCAGGCTTTGATCGAACCCCTGAAGTTCAATTTCATCTCCGAGGTCTAAGCCGGGATCCAAGTGGAGGGTGTGTTCGCTTACATGATCGTTTCCCCCAGATTTCGTGCTCAACTGCGCGGTCGACCTATCCACAGTGCCCTTCAAATGCATTTCAGGACCTCCGGAACGCCCAGGTGAGGCTGCCCGCGATTCAACGCTGATTTTGGTGCGAACACTGACAACCAAGTCAAGCAAAATTGCATACTTCTGGCCGGCTGACGGCCAAAGCCTTTGTGACCAAGAAAAATGCCTGAGACGGCTCAAATGTTTGTACGCTTCATGTGCTTCACCACTGCCAGCGGTAGCTGATAAAGCGTGTAGTGCCACCAATTCCGCCGCCGATGTGTACAAGCCCCAAGCTGAGAGGATCAAATGGAGGGTAGGGGCGAGGATAGTACCGTGCTCATGTGCGACCAACGAGCATATGCCACAAGCGGCGGCGAAGAGAGCATCTGAACAAGTTCGCTGGCGATTCGTAGTCACTCTCTCCACCATATTAGCCGGGCTACCACCGGGCGCCTCGGGTTTCAAGCGCAAAAACGGCCGGTTTACCAGGATTATGACATGATTGATGAGCAGGTCAAGACAAACGGCCTGCTGAAGATACCTCTTGTTCTTCTCGGTTGCGACATTTGTCACCTGCAGATGAGGTGGTATGCATGTTCCTAACTCATGAAGGTCTTCCATCACAGACTGAAGCAAATCCCACTTTTCGCGGTCGGAAAGGGTGTCTGACTTCAAAGATTGGTGGGGATGTAGCGGATTGAGAAGTTTTCTCGCAATCAGGCAGAGATGGGCTTTCAGGAGGTGAAACTGGGCGCTGCTAGGACGAGAACGATAGATTTCAAACGGGGTCGGCGGTCCCCGCCCAGATAGTTCGACATCGAAGTTTGGATTGAAATCGTCGGCAAAGCTCAGTGGCCAGCGCTAGCATATCAGCTCCAGTCTGATGACCAACAAGGAGAGTTGGTTGACCTACAGTATCGCAGTGCTCCATCGCTATAGCTGGGGGCCTACCGTAGCAAATGCTTAGGAAGGTGTCTACCGTGAACAGACTGACCCAAATCGACCGGCGTCCTTCTTTAAGAAAGCTTGGCATGTCCTAATCAGGTAGTTCCCGATGCACTTGAGTTTGTAAGTACTTCCATTCAGTAGAGTGACCCGAGATTGACTCACATCGCAGAGCCTGCGCGTGTCGCATGCATATTCCAAAAATTGCCCAGGCGGTTTCAAAACGTCGGGTCGTTTGCTCATAAAGTGTCAAGGATATCAAAGATGTCAGAGCACCGATGGACGACTGTGATATAGTGCCAAATGTAATATCATGGGCAGACTTGTACAAATGTTCTCCCAACATAGGCTTAGATGAGTCTGCCCAAGGCAGTTGTGGTTGTGGGTGTCCGGGGAATGGCGCGGTCAACGGACTCGCCACCATGCTTGCATGCCAGCCGAGAGCAAGAATCGCAAGATGGGTTACTCGATTACCATCGCTGATGGCAGTTACGCCTGTCACGAAGAGCTTCGCGTAGAATTGACGGCAGAGATTCTACTTCGACATGAGCATCATTTCACTGGGACCTCAGGCGAGGACTTGAGATCTTACCGCGTGCACGGAAGTGAAAATAGTGTGCACTGAGCTCAGAAAACTATCTAGCAATGCAATAGTTGTGGTGCGATCTGGGAAGCCGATGGTACAAGGGTCAATTAGTGGCACTCGCCCTGGTGCGGTGACTGAATGCTCGTCCATTCCAGGAAGACCGGTTCGATGGGTTGGACGTAGAAAGGGTGCCAAAGGGAGAAATTTCGCCGCTGTCAGCACCTTGAGAGAAAACCGTATGTCTCACTGAGAGTTTTACACTTCTAAAGGATACCGCAAAGCAAGAGTCTCCGACCCAACGGCAGGCCAGTTTATCGGTGAGCAGAGCCATGACAGTCAGCGCTTCGGCTGGGTCATTGGCCTGTGCCACAGGTCGGCTACTTGTCGATGCCGCCAATTGTTCAGGACCCGTCAACCCGTCTTTGCTCGACTTGTCGATGTGGTCGTTGTGAGCCAAGTGTTTTGGGGGCGCCACCAACGAACATGGATGCTGTGCTTTCCTACAATGGTAACAGGGATTCTGCTCATCGCACTGAATATGAGTCGGATCAGTTGCTCATCAACCCATCAAGCAAGAGCCCCGTCGAGTGACGTACCCTAACCTTCAGTCTCCTGCACCACTCGCACGCCCGAGCAACATGTGACCACCGCCCGAGGCCTTTCTTTTTCGACTTGCGCGACAAGGGCGATTGGTTGGAAGATTCGTTCTCGGCAGAGGCAACTTCGCCTTCCCTGCTCGTTTGGCGAGATTGGGAAGATATTGTGCCGTCTTGATGCCGTCTAGGTAGAAGGTGCAGAGGAGTGAATCAGTGACTTGAAGACCCAAGAATTGAAACGAGCGCTTCCCCACGCCGCCCGTTTTGGGCAGGATGGTCCCTGTACTTATGCTCTGTTGAGGGTACTCCGCGCTGATGGCAAAAATTTATTATTTGTAGATGCTGGGTCCTAGTGCCTGTACGAGTAGCTCGCGCTGGAAACCATTGGCGCTGCCATATACCTTCGGAAATGCTACTCACGTGCGCGGCAGCCGCTCGGAGACATCCTGGTCACCTGGTCTAGGTAGAGGCAAACATAGCAAACATTGGGGGTAGTGGATTATCTAAAGCTCCGACGCTCCGAGGAGTGGCTCTCCTTTTGGCAGGCCGTGCCGTCCACTTGTTGCTTGGGCGTAGGGTGGAAAGGAAGCTAACTTGGATGGTGACGTGGACTCTGTACGAGGGCATCAGAGGGCATCAGAGGACTTAGGCTTGTAAAAGAGGGAACAGAGATTGGTGCAGGGCAGTGCCATGGCATTGGGTAAGTGATTGACAGCAGGACCCGAGGTCCTGGACCTGTAAGGCTGACTGGTGAAGTAACGCCCGCCTATCCATAGACTAACAGCCTTGGCGCCAAGGGACCAACGGGGCTAGCTTCAAGCTTGAAGGTTCAAGCCGCCAACGCCTTCGCCTTGCCTGATGGAATCCAGTTTGGCATTCCAGAGTTGACTCTTTCATGCTCGCATCTAGTCCGGCGAGAATGGGTTACAAAAGCAATCTTTCTAAGTCCACTCTAACATAAATGAGGCGTCAGCTTTCTTTTTTTTTAACAGCCTCCGGGAGAGGGATCCCTGCGCCCGACTTTCAACACCCTTTTGGCTCATGCCGCCTCACCACCGCCACAAACGACCAAGTGTGCTGTAAAATGATTGCGATTGACTTTGCCAGAAGATTGTCAAGCATTCCGGCAATCGACGTTCGTCCACGTCCTCGCCCCCTCTCCTTCCACGAAACGCCGTCCCAGCCACGTCTTTGGCCTTCACAGCACTCCGAACTCAGAGCGTTACTTCATGACGATGATGGCTGCCCTATCGGCCTTGAGGAAGGATATAGGGCCGACGACACAGATCAAGTCTTGCTCGAAGTGGGCAGAAGTCATCATTCCATGCGCTCTGACGGCGGTATAAGCCCTGCCTGACAGAAAAATAAAGGAGCGGGTCCAAAACGCAGGCCTCATCAGTGTTCCATGTGTGACAATGCCTTCGCTCGTACGGAGCATCTCGTGCGCCATGAGCGATCCCGTAGTTCATGACACTTGGTTCTCAAATGGGTTTCAATCCTTGCTGACGCTGGAGACACATTAGATCGCAATGAGAGACCTTTTCCTTGTCCCTGCCGCGACCTGCAATTTACACGAAAGGATCTCATCGAGAGACACGCGGCGAAACACCACAAAGAAATCCTCGCCACCTCCCAACCTTCAGTGGAAGCAGAAAACAACCTGCGTACATCCGATGATACTCACGCGCTCGAAGAACAACAGGGATCTTCTGGGCAGCGCCTTGTTGATGTGGCCAATCAGAACACAGCGAAGCCCCACGGGTCGCACACGCCAGGCAGCTCGATCGAAGCCGATTCATGTGTTGTCCCCCGGGAAGACTATGCAAGGCGCCCAAGTTTACAAATTATGGAACCGGCGGAGCCTCTGCCGCGCAATCCTGAAGCAGCAAGCCTAGTGCCTTTGCTTGATATGTCTGACACAGTATTCATCTTCGATCTAACATCCGCCAACATGACCTTCAATATGATGGACACTTTTAGCCCTTATTTTCTAGTAGGCGAGGTCAACAATGGAGGAAGCATGATTCTGGACCCCGTCCCCACAAACGGATCACACCCCATGCATGATACAGGGGGTGTGGCAACGTCTTCCTTCAAGCCGTCGTTTGCAACGCCTGGTCTCCCACCATCCTTGGAGAGGTCCTTTGGTATAACCCACAAGAAACACTCGGAGCTAGCAGCCGAAGCGCATAAGATTATATGCTTGATAACTCTGTCCAACAAATTGCTATGCAACTAGAAATTTGCTCTGCCATGTCTATGCTCGAATCGACCCTCACTACAAGCTTCCTACTCGTCTCGCGTTCGAACGGTATCTAATGACTTTTTTCACAAGCTTTCTAGTTCACATACCCTGCATCCATGTACCAACTTGGGATGCCAACTCGGCACCAGTTTCGCTATTGTTAGCCATTGAGGCCATTGGGGCTGAGTTGTCAGGCGAACCCGAGTGTGCCTTTGGTATACAAAGGCTTGCTCGACTGTCGATCCTGAATGTGGTGCGTATGAACAGATCTTCAGGAATTTGTGTTCAGTCTCTCGCACCTACAGATGGAGCTGTCTGCTTTCACCTCCCGACATCGGCCAAATTGGGTCAGCCAAGCTCTCTTTCTCGTCATGTACTTTAGCGTCTGCAGTGGCAAGTTCGACATTGTGCAGGAAGGCCTGGCTTGCCAGTCGATCCTCTCCCAAGTGGATTAAATGGGAAGGCTCTTTCAGAATCAGACTGACCGTTTCCAAGATTGTTCGATATATACCGAACCCTCAAGACACGTGGGCAAAGAGCTCTGAAGATCCCCAACTGCCATGGACGGACTAGATAGAGATCGAAACAATCAAAAGGTACCCCCCTGCACACTTGGTGGTTGCTCAGGCAAACAGGCGTAATTTCTATCCAGGACAAAGCTGCCCGTCTTTACATTTTTCGGCACTCTCACTAACACATTCAATATTCCTCCCATCCTATGGAACTCAGAAGTCAGTCTAGAACTTCCTTGTAACGAAGATATTTGGCAAGCTGCAACAAGCGAGACCTGGGCACGCCTGGTTGAGCAGAGTCGCCAGCCGCACATTTCTTTTTCGGACGCCTTGACTAGCTTAGTCTCTACTCCACAACCCAATGCTATACTCAGGCAGCCCTTTTGGGTGTTATATCATGGTCCATGCGCTTATGCAGCACATTTATTATGCTCGCCAGGACTGTGGGATGAAGGACTCCTCTTCTGGGTTAGAGTCGGTTGGCTCGGAGCTGCGCCAGTGGCGGCCTGACTGGGAGATGGACCCCAGGCTATCATTCTCACCACTCAGTCCGTTTTCGGCGCTTGCCTTGGATTCGAGTGCGGTTCTCTGCTTGGCACATGTCTGCCTTGAGGGGGACCTCTCTCACATCAGGAGAGCCATTTATAGCCACGATATGGATGTCATCCTCCGATCATTGACGGAAAATCCGAAATTAATGCCAATCGCGGCGCCGAATATGGAAGTGGTCTCCTATGCACTGTCCCTGGCCCGCACACTTGTGCAAGTAGGACCATCCTCGAATCTATAAAGAGGTATGAGATTCTTGAGCTTAGAACACTATCTGGCTGCTTTTGAATGTGGTGAGGCTTACCCGGTGTCCATCTCTAACCTACCTCACACTCATCTTGTGGTTTGCTTAGGCGTCTCTATCTCTCGATGGCTCTCCACCTTAGAGCAAACTTCTTCCAGCGAATGGTTAGACTCTCAGCGTTATATCAAGTCACTAGTGACTGAAATAACGGCAGAAATGGACTTTGATCCTAAAAATGCAGGAAAACCCGTAAGCGTCATGTTTCTACTGACTAGTGCTACGGTTCTTAGGAGTTCTAGTAGTTGGGCGATTTTGTCGGTCCTTGCATTAGCCTTTAAGCAATATGCCGATAGTTGTTCAAGTGCTGCAGCGGTGTAGCAGAGAACTGGAAGGAGACGGATAATGGTGCGCCTCACGGGTCGAGACAACAACCCTGGTTCTTCCCGCCCGTTTACATCTCCGAATCATTCCTACGTGAACCTTGTACTTATCAGGCTCTAAACCCCACCTTTAATGGGTAGTTGTCCCAAAGCCAGCACAGCCCTCTTTACGATCTCCATAGACTCCCCCTGATTTGCTTTTCAACGCCAGTATAGAGAGCAATTCGAGGACAAGACTAGAGTCTTGCACTCTCTTCACTTTCCCCATGGCGGAACTGCTCGATGCAACCATGATCTTGGCCCTGGATAATGTATCCCTGCGGTGAGGAGCCATTGACAAAGATGGATACCGAAATTCTTCTCAGCGTAGTCTTTAGGCAAGCGCGGAACAGCTTCTTCCACAGTTCTAGCATTAGATTGTCGGAGCCATAACCCATGTTGTATGTAATAGTCCCTTAGTTCAGCTAATTGATGTCATCTATAGTGGCCTCAGCTTTTAGGCTGCGCATGGTTATACATGTTGATGATCTTCTTGCGTCCTCGCTGCAATGTCCAATCCGGAAACACGCTCATATCATAATGTGTGTGTATGATGACCGTGCCTGTTGATGACGTAGCGAAGCATTGGAAATAGCAGGATCTTTCGCGTCAGAGGGAAGAACATGAAGCATCCAGGTGCTGCGAGATAAGGCTCGGTGTCTTACTCGTGCTTTGATGAAGCTTGTCGAGCTTCCCAAGAGCAGTGGGTTATCTTTGACACTGTTAGCCATCTGGTACTCGGAAACCGGATCCTAGCGACTATATAATCCACCCATTATGTTACCTCGTGTAGCTTGGCCGTGGGTAGACGAGTTCGTATTAAAGAATGGCATATGCTCAATTGCGGTGGTCACCACTTTTCTGTCCTGCTCGCTCCAAGAAGTGTGGGATGAAGCGCTAGGCTCGTTGCGTAGGAATGGCCAGGGACACTCCTGGTCATCAAGCCCTACCAGGCGACCGTACCAATAATTGATTGGGGATAAAATTGGTGGTACATAGAGTCACAAGGTTTCCAGGCTTCGATTTCAACCCAATTAAGTAGAATGCAACTTTCTGCTGCAGCGTTTCTAGATGTTGTCATCCTTCCTACCGCCATGGATGGCCATGAGAGACGAACGAATGAAATATTAAGTCCCTTCATATTAATAGAGCCTACTCGATCGCTCTTCTTCCTTATCATCTATATACGTAACAAGTATTATATTCCGGATCAACACTGCGACCTTCTTATTCCTAGCTAGTCAGGGATACCAGGCAAAGGCCGAGAGGGCTATAATGCGACCGGGGTGCTTATAGAAGACCAAGCTACATCACGTGCACGACAAGGGAAACGGGGCTATTGGGACAATGGTCTTATACTAGAGCACTCAGGCAACCATACGGCCCAGTCAGCACACATAGTAGCGGTTATTGCACCAGGCCTTCAAAGACTCCTCCTAGTACACTCATATTTCGGACTGCACTCTGTTGTCCTAGGAACTAATACGTCAAATCTGTTGAACCTTAGTCCTCCATAGACCTTCCCGAGATGTATCTAGTCGTGTGTAGATTCTTCCCAAGATCAACAACCCCATTGACCCCATATTCGCCTTGGTAGACTTTGACACAAGTACCCCTGCGGCTCGAATGCTGCTGAAATACTCTCACTTGGGCAACCCAATATATCGAGTTTAGGAACTTAAAAAGTCTGTCCTAAGTGTAATTCCTTCTTTCACCCTAATCATTACGATATTTTTGAGCAATGGTGGCCTCAGAGACAAACGCAACTACCTTTCCACTACACCATGGATTCCAGCCGATCCTAGCGCAAGCACCTGGCATCGTTTCATTACCCATGATGAAGCGTATGGGTATTCAGCCTGGTACGACGAAAGTTTGTCAGGCAAGGCCGATTGTTTCATCAGGGGCTGGTCTCAGCTTTAGAAAATTAGGGTAAGAGGCGAAGAGGCTTTGGATTTTCTGCACTGAATTTCTATAAACTACTGGCCCAAGATTAAGCGAGGTTAAGCAAAACACGGCATCTTTTGCAACGACGATGGCACTGTTATGGGAGAAGGCATTATACTATGCCTCGTAGAAAATGACTTGATTTTCACTAGCATCCCAGGTGTGGACTTGACCGGTGTTGCAGTTTCAAGTTAGTCGGAATAGATTCAATGCTACTTTAGACATGGTAGCTGATGATTGGTGCCTCCTGCAAGTTCAGGGACCAAATAGCGTACCTCTTTTGGAAGAGATGACGAAAGACCATGGTGGCGTTCGCGACATTCAGTTCATGCAGGCAAAGAAGACTACCATCGCTGACTGCGATGCTCATCTCCGTCAAGGCATCTCAGGAGACCTTGGCTTCGAGGTTTGGGGCCAAACAAAGGACAGCCTTAAGATCTATCGTGCAGTCGTGGAACAGGGCAAGGACTACGGAATTCGCCAAATGGGCGGTCCATCAAAAGTAGTCCACCACGTAAGGCCTACTCTATCCATTTATCTCCCAAAAGGTTCAACTAATAGTTGTGTAGGTTGAAGCGGCGTTCGCGACACCCACTCTCGACTTCATCCCGGCAATCCACGGAAGTCGAAGGAACTAGTAGCATATACCAAATTTCTCCGCGGACTTGGTATTAATGTGGATGGATTCTAGTCTCGATGGGAAGGTAGCATAGCAACGACCCTACCAAGTTCGACGTGACCCCATATAATTCAGGATAGGGTTGGCTTATCAACTTTGAGCACGACTTTATTAGAAAGGATGCGCTCCAGAAGATCGCAGAGAATCCTCCTTCGAAACAAGTCACTCTAGTGTAGAACTCTGAAGACGGTATTGATGTTTACGCATCACTTTTCCGTAGCAACTCCTTCGAGGTTATGGAGTTGCCACGGTCCTAGGAGGTTGTGTCGTTGCAAGCTCTGTGATGAAGGATGGCCAAACGGTTGGCTATGCAACATCAAGATGCTATAGCTCCTATCTTAAGGAGATGATCTCACTTTGTGTTATACAAGTTGAGCATTCATCTCCAGGGACTGAAGTTAGGGTGATCTGGGGTCGGGAGGGAGAATTACAGAAAGAAATCCGTGCAGTAAGCTCAGCATTGTCGACATGTCTCGGTTTTTATCTATAGCTAATATCTGTTCAGGTTATCCAGCCAGCTCCTTACAAGGAGGACAATAGAAAGCATTGTATTAAAGAGGCATAAATTTTAAGATACATTGGAAGACGGCTTACGATATAAGCAAATCGATGAGACGTAGTATTCATAAAACATCTAAACTGTATATCGCTTACAGTATGCGTTTACTATGTCTTTAGGTTTGTATTTTCGTTTTATATAGACTCTATAGACCTGGAGATAACTCTTAAGCGGGATCGAATTCTTATACTATGCTAGGTGGATAGCTTATAACTATTCTAAAAAGTATGTCTATTATAGCTGGTCTCCTTACTTGATATCAAGATAAAGAATTAGAACTTGACCTAACTAGGCTGCGTGAGTAGGTTCGCATGCAGCAAAGCATTTTGCAATGTTCTAGTATTGAGAGTGAACCTGGATGGTACTCAAATCCTGCTTTTCATTCGTCGCATCAAAGTGGTCTTCTTGGACAGCTCGGGTATGATCCATCTGACTGATAGTCGTTAGCCCCACTGGCGGCGGCCCTGAATTCGGAGCCCCTGTTTACTGTGGCCTCTATGCCTCGATCGGAAACGTGGTGACTTACGCGACCGGTGTGTAACTCAAGGGTCTTTCCCGTCGGGACCCACTTCGAATGCAGAGATTCCGCCCTGAGTATCTGAATCCTATTCCCAGCCCACTGAACCATTTACCATGATTGCGGATGTCTGAGAATCTTCGCTCGAGGTGGTGTGAAAAGTGTGGGCCCCAATGCCCAAGAAGTGAAGTTTTCCAGTCGCCCTAACCAGGACATACTTTGAGGAGAATGTTGGGGCTGGGTTTTAATCATGCTTTGCTATTAGTGTGACGAACTTGACCCGTACGCATTAATACTGCTGTATGTGATTTGAGATTTATTTCCAGAGTTTGTATGGATGTCAACTCACGTAGTGAGGTGCCTAGCACGTAAACGATGACTTGAATATCGGACTTATATCGTTTCCACATGAGGAACACCAATGCTGTATACTCACTCCATTTTGGTATTTACCAATGATTGTGTGCGTGCGTCGTTGGGCTGAACGACGTTCTTGACTAGACCGTTCAAGGCTGATTCCCTCCCCAGAAACTCTCATGAGCTTTTAGCGGTCAAGTAGACACAAAGAAGGTGACCGTGGTCTCAGAATTGCATTATTAGTGCTTATACACGCAACGACTTTATTTCAAGCTGACAGTTTCAACCTAGTCAATGCTGATATCTTCGTAGCTTCATTTCTACCCGCTTCGCAAGACAGGGGCTAAAAAAATGTTCAGTGCTCGAAATCTTCAAATTCGTGTTCACTGAAGGTATATCTGCTACCTTGGCGCATTTAGCAAATGACCCTACCTTTTAGGCAACCAGATTGCGAGCCAATATTTTTATCCTTTGCGGGACGCCTTGTTTGTGTATTCTCGCAACGCACGCCTTTCTCGGCAACAATCTATATTTCTCGACTTGTCCAAGAGATGCCTTATTTCTGTGTTCTCGCAAAGCACGCCTTCATCGGTAACACTCCATTTATCTCGACTTATCGAAGTATATATTCTTTTTAAATCTTCAAACGGCTTCCTTGGCAGGGATATTAAGGCCCCGAACGATCTAAAGCCGTGTATCGAATGATCTAAACCCGTATAAGCGGCTTTAACCCTAAACTATCTAGTACTCTGTAAACTGAGACCTCCTTCATTTCGTACTGTCATCTATTTACAGTAAAAGTAAATTAGACAGATTACCCGGAGATCGCCTGTAGAGTGGTAGCATAGGGTAAGGTGAAACACAGGGGACCTGATGGATACACATTAAGAATCCTTCGGCTTAGATATTGCATTGGTACGGACCATGGAGATATCGCGGTCACAGGAGCTTCTACGCAGTATAAAAGATCTCAGGTACTTTGAACTAGATCAATACCATAGCAGTTCTTGCGCTTCGGTCTTCACTGCCTCAACATCAACCTGCCTTGCAGCAATCTCCTTCGGAACAACCTCTTCTTCATAAAGTCTGTCAGTCCCTGATCAAGAATCACATCACCATGGCTCCCCATAAACCAAAACCCCAGATTCCACTAGATCACACCGGTCCGATGGAAGTTGTCTGCCTCGGTCTACCTCGTTGTGCGACCTCGACACTCAAATTGATCCTCGAAGAAACCCTCGCCATAGGCCCCTGCATGCACATGTCGCGCTGTCTCCTCGCCCCGGAGAAGATGGCGCTTGTCGAACGCGCTCTTCGCGAGCTTGACCAAACTAAACGACGCGCTCTCCTCAACGAGCTTTTTAAAGGATGTGCCGCAACCGCCGATTTCCCCGGACATCTCTTTGTGGAAGACCTGGTTGTAATGTACCCAAATGCCAAGTTTGTGCTCAACATTAGGGGCAGTGGTGCCAAGTCATGGAGCGAGAGTATGCAGGAGGCAATCGCGCCGTTCCTAAGTCTCAAGTACCGAGTTGCGTGTTGGTGGAGCCTCGCGGATTGGCAGCACTACCAGGCTGAGGTGGCTTGGGATGAGTTCGTCAAGCGGAAGCTGGGAGGAAAGAGTTTCTGTCACGAGGAGGTGTATCGGCTGCATAACGATTGGGTCCGACGGACAGTGAAAGAGTCCGGAAAACGGTTGTTGGAGTGGGAGCCCGGAATGGGTTATGAACCGCTTTGTGAGTTCATTGGCAAGGAGGTGCCAGATGGCGAGATTCCGAAGACTAATGAAAGGGGTCAAATGAAGCGAGTGTTGGCATGGAGGATAAAAATAGGGCTGAAGCTGTGGTTGAGAAATGTTATGTTGCCGACAGCACTCATCAGTGGTATCGCCGTGGCATACACAATCTCTTGAACACCATTATTGCATGGAGCCAGGTGAGTCTTAGCAGTATGTAGTAATAAGAGCGAGCAATCATTGTTACCAAGTCCATCTAGCTTAGTAGTATGATTGAAACCTCTACCTTTCTGCCGTACAGCGGCTGACCAGCACTGTCACTCTGCCTTTTTTACAACGACATGTGTTGTCGTCAACGTACTAAGGATTGTTCCGGTCAGAGCTAGAATGCTATCGACTCGCCAAGAGAGCCAGGTATTCGCCTTTTTCACAGGCGATACCTGTACGCCGTATATCCTGTCATCGACTAGGCCTATTAGGGGATTACCTAGGCGATACGGGGGATATAATGTAGCCAAGGCCGTAGCGCAGGTCAGCAAGTTTAACGTGGGCATTTATTGGCGCTAGCGGCTCTAAAATAAACTATGGAATACCTTTTAGCATAGTAACGATGGATTATGAACACCTCCTACCGATTCCTCCTGCTCCTCCTGCTCCTCCTCCTGCTCCTCCTCCTGCTCCTCCTGCTCCTCCTGCTCCTCCTGCTCCTCCTGTTCCTCCTGTTCCTCCTGTTCCTCCTGTTCCTCCTGTTCCTCCTGTTCCTCCTGTTCCTCCTGTTCGTCCTGTTCGTCCTGTTCGTCCTGTTCCTCCTGCCTCTCCTCAGAATAGTATTCATTTAACGTTATAGGATCTTACTAGGTATAAACTATTAGCGCTGACAAGTAGACCGCCACTAGCCAGGGGGTGCTTTTGATGCTGCATAATCCATCGCAATTCTGGCCCAACCTGGTCAAATCGTCGAGGGGCTGCCTGGTACTGTATTTCTTATATCGCTGAGCCCATACGCAAATCAATGCCGCCGTACAAAGATAGGCGGTAAGTTACTTCCATCTCGTGGTATTCGTGCCTCGTCCGGAACAGGAAAGCCGTTGGCGAAGGATTGGGTCTTGGCGCTAATAGGTTCTTTGCAGAGACGTTGGCCGGGATAATTGGCGACCCTTTGATGATGTTCTAGAGTAAATAAGAGTATCCACTATTTATTACTATCAGCGCACTTGCAAGAGTCAATCATTGCGGTGGCGATGGGCAGGGTATCAGAAGATCTAAGACATCAACTCACCTCTTAGTCACAGAAACTTCCAAGGGCAGAGATGTCGAGCCTCAGTCCACCAAAGTGGACGGTCGCTCAGTAGTCCTTCTTATTGACGACGAGATTGATCCCAATCTCCCAAAGACCCTCATGACGCGCGCTAAGTGTCGCTACGTAGCTGTCCACAATGGCCTCAAGGTAGTGCATGCCTACCAGTGCGCAAGAAATCACCCGCTTTCGGCGTTCACGCATGTCCTAGTGGATTTAGCATGCCGGGTATGGATGGCATCACAGCCGCAGAGACGATCTGGAACTACGAGAGAGATATTGCATTGCAGCAGCCCACAATGGTGGTTGCACTAGCAGACGGGCGTCCGAGATGACATAGAAGGAGATGTTCGGGGCGGGTGGTGATTACTTTATGCCAAAGCCCATACAGCTTAAAGATTTAATGAAGCTTCCAGATAGATAAGGCTTGTTAAATTTGGGCCACCTTATAGCTCAGATTAGCTCGAATAATTCTGATAGCTACTATAAAGTCTCCGCAGTTTCGGCCGCCCGTGGAGGGCGACCTTGGGACGGGCACTAGGTTAGTTGCCTGACCGTCTTGTGAGCCTTCACCGTGCTTGCCGGTATCAACGCATGCCTTGCCCCACCCAAGAGCGACCCACCAGAGTAAGCATCGGTAGGCGTCAAGCCACCAGCGGCAGGGCGGCCAGGGTATTACGGGCCCGTGACATTATCGTCAGCTTTCTTCCTCTTGGCGTGGCGTGAATGTTTCTAATAGGTGCAGGGGATTCTGATCACCTTCTACGCTATGCTGTCATGTTTTGTGACAGTACGCTGCTATGATTTTGGAATTTCTACGCTCACTTACACACTACATGATTTGAATCACTCTCCCGGGCCCTCGGAAACGCTGGCGACATACTCCGGGGGCTATGACGATGGGAACGCTAGCCGCATGAATTCAAAAAGACTACTTAGGATAAAAGAAGTAGATCAGACGAGTGCAAGCTGCATTGAAGGTAGAAGTACGTTCGACACTCGATGTTTTTGATTGAAATCCCCTAGATCAAGTAGGCAATCACGCATGCCCTTTTGAAGGAGAGAGCTGGATTTAAAGCGATCCCAAATCGAAGAGGTCGGATCTGATGACGTGTTCAACGATCAACACAACCCTCGCGCCTGAAAAGGATCTTCATTGGCCAGCGTACTCAACTGTCATTACCTTACATATCTTGGAAATCGAAGTCAGTCTAAGGCGAAATCACTGTTGTATGCGCAAACACAACGACAAGGGACTTCCATCACCAGAATGTTTCGCAATATTTTCTACCCTGCAGAGATCGGCCTCATATTGCGAAAGCAGCGGCCACCACTAGCGCTCATGACACTGTTTTCCCATACGGGAATACACGACCGACCCGTCCGCTGCCTATATTGTCACCGTTAGTGGTAGCCATCATCGCAGCACTCTTCTAAGCCACAATACTACACGTTATACCTGTGTCACCGTTATTAACTCCTGGTCCACCCCAAGTGAGGTCTTCAGGCTCCTGTCCAGCTAGCAGGTGTACTCACTGTCCAGTTTGGTCAACCCAGTGATCACAAATCGCATGGTACCGGGGCTAGGCGATTGCTGATACATCAAAAGAGAATTCAAAGCATTCTGATATTGGATGATAGTAAACTGTGCTGGTGAAAATGCCATCTTGCCGGTAGGACTTACCTGTGGTATAATCGAGTGTTGAGTCGCGGAGCGATGAGCTAGAAAGGGTATTGCGCTCGCCGGAAGACGAGCAGGCCAGTCAGTTAATTCATGAGTCGCCTTCAAGCACCGGCGTGTGACTGATGGGAGGACTGGAAGAGTGGGCACCGGTATTACAGACCAGGGGTCACGGTGAAGGATGCCGTGATCTGGCCGGAATAGAAGTCAAACTCCAAACTTGAAATAGAGAGAACTTAAATGGCGCAAGAAATGATGGGATTTTCATACCTAGAGAATTACTGGTGTTGAGTGACCATATATACGAGTATTTGGTCTTCAGTTTAATCTTCGTTTTGACCATTTGCAGCCTTTTAATGTCAAAGAAGAGTGCGAACGCAGTGAGATCAGCAATTGGCTGGAAGAGCTTACTAAGTGCCTTAAATCCCCGTGGGATTGCTTCCTTTCCCATTCCGCCGCCACGAAGCTCAGCATCTATAAGCATGCGTTGATTTGCTAGGATAGAAAATCTCAACCCATCAATAAACTCGGTTGGACAGAGGGGAAAGGGGCAATTCTTTGTGCTAGTCCTCAAGGGGTCGCGGGGAGCTGGGTTGCATCAGGGACGTACCCTCTATATGGAAAGAAGGGGCGTCGAACTGCTTCCGCGTCATTTCGCGGGTATTGACGTATAACGCCAGATGGATCGAATTATATCGACGTTTCCTTCTCGGGAGCCTCCATTAAATAAGTGGTTTGTATTCATTGTGGTACGATGAGGGACTTGGAAGGCGTGAGCGGATCGAGATCTAGTTATATGAGAAGCTGCGACTGTGCTCTACTGTCATTCTGGTAGGCCATGTCTCGCTCATTGAACGATTTTTTACGCCGAGACGGTAACTTTATCAACGCCTTCTCCACTCTATGGACGAATATTCAGAGTGTAGAGCAACTGAGTCGTGAGCCTTGCTCTCATTTTCCCTATGCGAGGGATGGAGCCCCATACACGCCGCTTCTTCGTCTTAAGTCTTTCAGCTAGTCTCCTAACAATGGTTAGCAGCCACCTGACGGGGGTCATGATTAGTGTTACAATCACTCTCAAGACAGCCAAACAAACATAAAGAAATTAGGCATATCTCGGGCCGCAACAGATAACTATTCGAAGCCGTGATTAGCAAGGATCCAGCCAATTATTGGAGTTGAGCCATTCTCCCTAGCCAAAGAAAAAAAGGGAAAAAGAAGGATAGAAGTGTGAGTACTTACATAGGATTCGGGGTCAACTTCCCATTCCTTACGCAAATCTACGTTCTTTCTACCCACCATGTTCCACTGAAGTCGGAGAGACACGTCAAACCCGGTAGCACATACAATCACATCGACGTCAAAGGTCTGGCCATCTGCCGTAGTGATAGAATTCGCAGTCGCCTTCACGACGGAGCTGTTGACCAACTTAACATTCGCCCTAGTAAGTGATTCTAAATAGCCTATACTTAATTTTTAGAATTTTCGGACAGCAGTTGAATATTACCAAAACACCATCTTTTTGTGTGAATGACTTACCTTCTCCAGGTGTGATACGGCGACAACCAAGTCCCCAGTCCGGGATCAAATTAGAGCACAGGTCAGCGTCGTTCTTTAGCCTCATAGTCATCTGCTTGCGCGCAGCGTCAGTGATAGCCTCATTTGCCGTGGAGCCCTTGAGAAACTACGACTTTATCAGCTACCTGACAGTCGACTCGACAGGATACAAGCCTCACCATCTTAAAAGCGCTGTTGATTTGATGAATAGTTCTGCGTCTGTAGTCGCGGTGAAACTCTGTTTCGTCGCGAAATCGTTTCTTGTCTTCTTCGGTGAAGGTAGGGTTGTTGCTGACATCTCCTTCACGCCCCATTAGATTCCCAGGCGGAAGCGGTGTGGAGACATAGTTTGGTGTTCGCTGGAATGCGATAACTTTGGTTTTTGGAAGCTCTGCAAGTTTGGGGATAATTTGTACACCAGATGAGCCATTACCAATGACAGCAATGGTTTTTTCCGAATAGTCAAAATCATGGTCCCAAGCGGCAGAGTGACACTTGTCGCCTTCGAAAGTGCTTAGACCCTCAATATCGGGCCACCGCCAATTGTTCAACACGCCCTGGCCAGACACTAGTATGTCTGCATATTCCACAAAAGTTTTCTCGCTATTCTCTATAGTGACCTTCCAGTTGCCTAGATCTTCTTGCCACATCGTCTCCACAACCCGATGATTGAGCTTTACATTGCGATCCAGGTTCCATTTTTAACGGTGCTCTCGATATAGGCTGGAATGTCCGCACCAGTTGCGTAGAATTGGGTCCAATCTGGTTTTGGATCGAATGGAAAAGCCTAGTCACAGTAAGTATGTTATTTCAGCATAGATTCATGAGGTCAACATACATATATGTGCACCGGCACGTCTCATTGGGCACCAGGATAGTTGTTCACCAGCCAGGTTGCCCCAATATTTTCTCTTGCTTCATAGATCTCGTGGTCTACTAACTCGTGGAATTCCCCGTGCTCATGTTGCAATTTGTGTGCAAATATGAGACCAGAAAAGCCAGCTCCTATGGTTATGACCTTGAGCTTTCTTTGTGGTGTCCAAGAAGGGGCATCACGTATCGCAGTGTCGTTGGGGCTGGCATAGGATTTGACATCTGGATACTTTGCGACTGCGGCATTGACCTGAGCGCAGTCTGAGCTCTTAGAGCCGTCTTTAGTCTCCATCACTTGCACCTCATAAGGCTCCAGTAACCCATTTTCGGTAAACATGGTTGCTCTTGACTGTTCGAGTGCGTTCTGTCATTCCCCTACAAGTGCGCCGCCACGAGAGGTCTTCACCGCTGGCCAAGTCCCCTTTATCAAGGGAGTCTATATTCGGCACATTCGGATGGTCTCTGATGTGACAAGGGTTCAGCATCTACTCACATGTGATAGGTCATTGTACCAGGCATTGTCCTGACTGTCGTTCCGAGCCGCATGCCTCGGACAACTTTCAAGAGTTGAGAACTCCGACCGCACATTGATCTGTCTCTTAACTTCGGTATCTGGAAGCCCTTCCAAGCAATTAGCAGCGGCCACTCTAAATCAATGATAACGGTGCGTTACTCTCGACTAAAAGGTGGGATAAATAAGGGATGTCGTTCGGGCCGCGGAGTCGGTCGATAAAGGCAACTTCTCAATACTCCTCCACCCTACATTTCCCCATATCTACTACCTAATGCGCCCTTCAGATTTCGACATGCAATCAGTCACCTAATCTCAAAATGTCTTTGCAATACCAAGATCTAGGCCCAGTCGATTGTTCCAGGGCGGTGGAATTCGGAAATCTTCGAGGAAAAACCGTTCTTGTGACAGGGGATTCGACTTCTTTCTTTCAGGCAATTGTCTTTGAGCTGATAGAATGCAGGAAGTAGTGGGTTGGGATATGCCTATGTCACAGCCTTCAGCAAGGCCGGGTGGGCATATCTATGGGGTCGTGTTGTCTAGCTTTTTCCTGACCCTTTTCAGTGCTATCGTAGTCAATGCTGACCTCAACCCCACCCCCGAGGGTCTTGCATTGCCCAAGTCCGTACCTTTCCAAACATAGCGCAGGGTTCAAGGTTAACAAAGACAGTGTTTATTTCACAAAGTGCGACATCTGTTCCTGGCCGGACCAGAAGACGGCGTTCAAATCAGTCGTTGCGAAGTCCGTTAACAATAGCATCGATATAATCGTCGCCAACGCCGGTATATCCGGAGATGATCCGCTCCTGATGAATCGTCAGTTCGCCAAGCTGAAGTTCAACTACCTATTTATTTGATGCTAATGGCTTGCCGTAGTTGATGCAGATGTCGAAGAACCAGACACGCGAATTGTCCAGACAAATCTGATCGGAACAATGTACACGACTGGGCTGGCTTTAAACCACTACTTACTACTTCCAGAAATCCCTCCACAGAACAAATGTCTCATTCTGAACTCGAGTCTTGCTGGCTACCTTGACTCGCGTCCCTCCTATGGCTCCGCCAAGTTCGGATTGAGAGCTGTGATGAGGGCTCTAAGGCACAAAGGCGTTTGTCAGGTGAATATAATTTCCCCCTGGTACCACTCCGCATTCGTTAATCAGCAGAAGCTGTATCTAACGGAAATAGGTTCATCCACACTCCTATATTGAGTAAAGAGGCTGCGAGTCTGCTGACTACACAGCTTGAGGAGATAGGCTCGGACTTTGGTCTAGCTGAAGATTGTGCTCACTGTGTTTTGCGAATATCGGTAGACAATTCCATCCATGGTACAGACAGAGCTTTTCTGATGTATATACGGCTCGCTGACTATATATAGGACGTGGTTTTGGAATATTACCCCGGAACATGGTCAAGGAAGGTTACTGTGATCTTGACGAGGACGATTATAAGCCAGGCACTCTTTGCCATCAGCTTCGGAAGGACATCTTAAGAGTGTCGCATCGCAAGTAGATTTCATGAGACAAAGACTGTCATAGTTGCCCACCAACTTAGTCTAAGCCTAAAATCAGGTCAGCTTTCAGCGCCACCATTGAAAATGTCTAGAACTTCTACGTAGCCCTTGGCCAGACCTTAAAGGCTCTTGAGCCACAAGCTCGTGAAAATCAGGCCATGGACCCTGTGACAGTTTTCGGAGATACACCATATCCTTGTGCACTGGCTTCTGATAGGTCATGCTTTAAGTGAGCACTGGCACTACCGTCATAATGGCGATGGGATTGCAGATTTTTAAACTAAATAACCTGGAGAACATCTGTTTTCAGTATCATATTCGGTTCTCCACGCAACGTTGGTCACAAGGTGTACACCAATTTCTCTCCGCTGATTTTGCCTCGTCTAATCAAGTCTAGTCCCGCGAATATATTTTCCAGTCTGGGACATACTCTGACATTATGGACCCTTAGCTTATTTTCCTTCAACAGACCCTCAACCTCAACTACCCATTTCTTCATGAACTCAAAATGGTCTGGTTGAACCGGGAGGGATACGTTGGGTTTTTCAACTGGTTCCCCCATCGACAGTATATTCAAGCGACCTCGTCGATATGATATCTGATCGAGGTGACTGTATTTTTAGAATAGCTCCATATGATCCGCCAGAGACAAGGACATCCGCGCACAGCTTTGCCGTCTCGGCAGAAGATATGGTATCCCAAGCATATTTCAGTTCGTTATCAGTATGTTGCTTGATTTTTCCGACGCAAGCTGGATCATTGTAGTTAAACGTAACGCCCCCTAATGACCGCATTGAGTCGAAATTGCGAGGAGAACAGGTGGTAAAAGGTCTGTATCCGGCGCTGTTGCACATGGTTAGATTTTGAAGTATGGTGTTGCACTAGTGGAAGTTGCTTATAGTTTGGCGAACTGTATGCCTAAGAACCCTGTGGCAGAGCTGCCTCTATATATCAGAATGGGTTCGCCGTTGCTATGCTTTGCCTGACTGGGCCAATTCAAGCCCATCTCCTGGAACATTCCTTGACCACATGTGAAGACGCCTATTCCGAGTGAGGCAGCTTGGTTGAAGTGCAAATGGTCCGGGATTTTAGGCGTAATGTCGGCCAAAACACAAATTGTTTCTGCAAATGCTCTATCCTCATTCTGCAACTGATTACCACCATGAGCAAACCCACAAACTCGATTACCGATCTCCCAGCTTTTGGTGTATCCAATGACCAGTCTGGGCGACCACACCGGCGAAATCACAGCCGGACAATGCACCCTCTTTTGTATTGGCAAAATCGATGTGTTTCCAGTCTGTAGGGTTCAAAGCCACAGCTTTGACGTCGACGAGAATATATCCTGGGGGGATTTGAGGATCAGGTTGATCATACACGATGGACGCTTTACCAGGTTCTCCATCCAGCACAATGGCTTTCATTCTGGTTAGTAAAAGCTAGAACTGTCTTTCGAATGGCTGTGCTGAGCGATCTTTCCTCGCTGGGTATGCTTCTCCGCGATCGTTTTGTTTAGATTTGAGGACCAGCAGTAAATACAAGCTGTGCATTTGTCGGTGCATTCCCGGAGATATATTCAAAAGTTGAAAGTTCTCGTCACCTAATTGCATCGTCGATGATGGATATGCCTGCATTGGAATCAAAGCTTCTTTGAAACCGCGGAACCATCGATCTGCATAGTATTGTCCTATATTATTTGACTCACTACAGCAGAGGATGACTAAAATTATCCTTCGGTACCGCGGTTCTCCGGAACGTCGGGATGCCACTCGGGCCAAAAGAAGAGATGTAACAATGTCCCGAAAATCTCGGGAAGATGCTATAATTTTGAGATTGCGTTCATCAAGGTCGCGAAGTATTGATCTTTGGGACTACCGTACGATGCGACATGCGACTCTTTTACAGCGATGGCCCAGACCACACAAGCTCTAAGTATTTTCTACGAGGGCAACCGATGAACAGTAGATCTGGATGCGGATGACCGATAGCTTGTAGGACCCTTGGGTACTACAATCCCGAGCACACTTGCCGGTGGGAGTCCGAATTCGTAGGTTATCTTTGCTATCAAACTTTTGCAGACGCCGTGCCACCCAGCAACCACCAATGCAACCATCAATTGAAGCACCGACGAGTGTGTCTAGGTTATTATCATCCAGGCGTTCAATCAGCTAGTCAATATGTGAGAGCATTACTCCGGCCAAAGGATTTTCTGGGGTGTGTAGTGACGACCCAAATTTTGATCTTCACATTTCCAGGTTGCAGAACGGGACCAAATAGAGGATCAACGTCCCAATTTCAATGTCCCCACGAAGAAGTCCTTTCGCAGACCAGCTCCCAGGGAGAAGTGGGGGAGAGTGGGAGGGTCAAACATCACGAAGAAGGATTGAGCTACAAGCGCGATGCAAGGGCCCAGAATCTGTCCATAGGCACAACCTGTTCTGGTTTCCACTGCTCTGTTTACCACTATCATTACTCATCAATGTCACAGGAGGTTTAGGGTTCCTGCTTTTCGTTGAACGTATAATCGCATTCAACCTTTCGAAATTATGCGAGCTGGTTTCTTTGATGCGGTGCAGGTGCGAATGGGTAACTGGTCACGTGCCGGCCTCGCAATGAATTGGTAGAGGCTCAGAGGAAAAGGGACACTAGACGGAAGCGAGTCGAGCTGTAAACAGTGACTTACACACGGAAAGAAAGAGGCCAAGCGAAAGTGGGTGGAGCACGAGCGGCAAAGAGAACTAGAGAAGAAAGATAAAAGGCAAAAAGCCTCGGGCTTATATAGTTGCCCCTTGGAAGTGCGAGAGATGGTTATGTCTGAGGTGGCTAGAATACCTTAGAGTAAACTACTGTTTATTGCAAAGCAAACAGATAACCCCGTTCATCTTTATCAAGATTAAGGAGTCTACTATTTAGATCGTTCTCTCGTGCAAGCTGCGTGAGGATCAGTATTTAATGTGTCTCGACCCGTATTCATCAATACATCATTTTAATGATGGGCTATTTTGCTTTGCCTTCGGCTTTATCAGCTATCCCCGTGGCCAGTATTACGCACTGTCGCCTTTAAGATGGTTAGTGACTCCTACAAGCTCGCTCGCTAGGCTGAGGTTTGTTAAACACTATAAGATCATCGAAGGCGGCAGTATACGACATCACCTCTTACCAACGTATGAGGCTCAACACCTAGGCGTAGTTAGAAGCGCGAAATGGGCTCTAGAGGCCTTGAGATTTTCATCTGCTAGGGGTATTCGCGACTACTGAATTCGATTTACTTCTCTCCGTAGGACCGTAGCCATCATTCTTACCAGCATGACAGCCCAACAATCGCAGACGCGATTCAGGAAAGACCGAAGAATTAATCGATGTAGAATGGTGAGTAGCCGGATCAAGCTTAGCGTACTTTAGCTGCGGTCACGTGATAGTGACGTCAGTACAGCGATGACTAACTAGCTCTTCCTCCGATGTGGCATTCCCGCCTTTCGTCTAACGTAGGAGAATTTTTCAGTCCCGTACTCCGTACTCCGTACTACGTACGAAGTACTTAGGGCTTCGGATGTTCACTAATCGGCCCCTACGTACGTCAAAAATCGGTTTGTCATCGTCTAGCGGGGCCTACCAGAGACCCGCGGCGCGGTAGCACGTCCGCTCAGCCTTGTCTTCGAGGAATGCCGCCAGCCGCCAACGCGGACGCATGCATTTCAAGCTTTTGCTGAGACAAGATGCTAAGTAAGCCAAGACAGGTCTATCCTAAAGCGCCCATGGGAAACAATCCCTGGAAGATCCAAACTTTCCTAATTTGAAAGGCTGCGAAGTTTAACCCCTGACGCCTGCGGCCCCTTTGCCTCAATTAGGAATTTCCCACGGCCATAGGCTTCCACTCGCTTCCAACACACCCTTGTCGCCCAGCACATGGTAGTTCCATGACAACTTCTGATTACCAGCTATTTTCGTTCGGTTAGCGGCAGTAGCTCCTTGCGCTGGACTTTTGTCATTAGCAGGCTGCGAGCTTACGCTGCTTGAATAACCTTGAATGTTGATAATCAGAATGCCTAAGCAACCATTTCTCTGCGCGGGGACTTTAAGAAGTATATATGGATGCCAATACTGCCCCAGGAATGGTTGCCAGCGTGGCACCTCCTGTAATCTTTCCCATCTTTTCTCTTAGCGATAGAAAGTTAATTTTCAATTTGGCGACTCAAAATGAAGGATATTGTTAGAGATGCCTGGTTGGGCCAGATCATCAGACTACTGTCTAAAAACAGACTTCTCCAATATCCAGAAGAAGTAGAAGGATTCACATGGCCACCATACGTAAGTTTGGTATGCTATGTCCGAGTTCGTACCTAATCAAGCTCACAGGATCCCACCGAGAAGTCCGAGTCCGAGGTGGCAGGAGCTGGTTCAAACGTGAATGGTCAACCAACCATCCCTAGATCCGGCTATGAAGATGAAGCCCTGGAGAAGGCCACAGAACCTTCTCGGAATCCGGAAGACCTGGAAATTCATCGACCTGTGTCGAGAACGACAGTCCGAGACCAGGAGAGAGGTGTGGAGCGCGTCCTGACAAGAACCTCTACGCGATATTCAGCAGAACGATTTGAAGAAGAACAACAGCTAGCAATGACTAAAACAAAGAGTATACCAATTGCTCCGAGCACTACATCCGATGGAAGTATTCTCGTCACTTGGTACAAGACCGACGATCCGGAAAATCCCCAGAATTGGTCTCGGATTAAGAAGGCGTTGGTCCTCGTACAGCTTGCGTATGTTCGCCCTTCCAGCTGGCCTTCAGCCATAGCTAACGCTCTCTTCAGTTTGTATACTTGTGCTGTCTACGGTGCTTCAAGTATGTACGTTAGTGGTGAAGAGTACGTAATTGAATGGAAATTCTGTTCATAGAGTCGCTGTCGCTGATTGGATTTATAGGGGTATAATGCGTGAGTTTGGCGTCGGCCCAACTGCGGCTGCCTTGGGTCTGGCAATATATGTCATTGGATGTAAGTATACTACTGGCACCCCTCGAAATCTGCGCGCCTAACATAGTTCAAGATGGTATCGGTCCTTTATTGTTTGCTCCCATGTCCGAAATTGCATTGTTTGGAAGGAATTGGGTGTATCTCCCAACTTTCATCCTTTTTGTCATCCTCTCCATCCCGACAGCGTTGGTGAAGAACTACGCTGGTCTTTTGGTCCTGCGATTCTTGACAGGCTTCTTTGGTAGCCCATGTCTCGCAAATGGTGGGGCTACTGTAGGCGACATTGTAAGCCATACCAGCTCTTAGAAGACCGCTCTACTCACACTTATACAGTATGGATTCTTGGAACTACCTATCTACTTGTCATCGTGGACTGTTGCCGCCTTTTGGGGCCCGGCTCTTGGTCCTGTAGTAAGTGGCTTTGCCGTGCAGGCAAAAGGGTAAGTCCTAGGAATATTGTAGCAGTCAAAGATAAGAACGCTAACAATGTGCAGTTGGAGGTGGGGCCTTTGGGAAATTGTTTGGCTGACTGGCCCGATCATGGTTCTTTTCATCATTGCTTTCCCTGAAACCTCTTCGGAGAATATCCTACGCCGCCGTGCCCAGAGACTACGCAAGATCACAGGGAGAGATGACCTCAAAGCCCAGACCGAGATCGATCAAGCGAATCTCAAGTTTACTGAAGTCTTCTGGGATGCCCTTATCAAACCAATCGAAATCTTTATCAAGGATCCCGCGATTACGTTCACCAACATCTACACTTCTTTGACTTACGGCATCTATTATTCCTTCTTCGAAGTTTTCCCGTTGGTGTATCCTCCAATCTACGGGTTCAATCTCGGAGAAGTCGGCCTTACCTTCCTGAGCATTGGCGTTGCATGTATCGTCGGCCTTATTATCTTCCTCGTGTACCAGATCTACTATTTGATCCCCGACATCAAAAAGAACGGTCTTCGAAGCCCAGAGCATCGACTGGTACCCGCTCTGTTTGCGGTAGTCACCCTCCCTATAGGGTACTTCCTGTTTGGGTGGACTGCTCGCGCCTCTGTTCATTGGATGGCCAGTATCATTGGTGTGGTGATTTTGGTAGCATCTAATTTCATCATATTCCAGTGCATCTTCGTCTACATCCCGCTATCGTACCCTCAATACACGGCCTCTCTTTTTGCGGCGAACGATCTCTCAAGAGCGGCATTTGCTGCAGGCTGTGTTCTCTTCTCTCGACCTATGTTTATCAACCTTGGGATCGGTGGTGGCGTGAGTCTGTTGGCTGGCTTGGCCGTTGTTGGCGTTGCGGGTATGTTTGGTCTGTGGAAATATGGCGGGGTCTTGAGAGCGAGAAGCACCTTTGCGACCAAGTAAAGAAGAATGGTTTCGTTGCGGATACTCACAAACATTCAATTTTATTTTATTTTTACAACTCTCGGCGTAGAGGATGGGGACTGAGAGAGGCGAATGAGAGATACTAACAAGGAGTATGGGCCTCGAATAGTCAGTTACAGATCTCATAGGCTAGGATATGTACGAGGGAACTCTCTCTTTGGAAGCCTGGTTGCAGATCCCTGTGAACTTGTAGAGCCCTGCTTGGGATAACACTCTACAAGAGACACCAGTTCCACGAATCGGCCGCATTGTTTAGTATGCATTCTAGTCCGTCATGCGGGCCAAAGACGATCCCACGATCATCTCAATTTCTACAGACCAGATGTCTTTCGCACATGCTCAGAGTATCTGCAAGCTCGCATGCTTACATGTGACGCAGTAGAAACTGCAAGCTAGTAATTATCATCAACAAAAGGGGAAGTCTTGCTGACATGCAGTTCCAGGCACATAAATCCTTGTCCCTCTGATCCGCACCAGACAAGCGCCACGCCACCAGATAATTAATCACTAATTGACAATGTCCTGTGCCGCGTAGGAATGATTTTTTTGTCTTGAATCCACAGTTATGAGGTTTGCTTACTCACAACTTCATCACGACTCATCGCATAGTATTTGGTGAAATACTTCTTCCAGGGATGTTCTTCCTCAAAGCCTAGCATCTCTCTGATCTTCTTATTACTGATTGGAGCCTCGAATTCATCCATCTCTCTAGTGTGCATAATCTGCGGATACATTCTTTTGAGAAATTCCACAGTCCGGTGGCTGTTGGTGATGCTGTCGTTCGTGGCATTGAAGACCTGATAGCCAAGGCCTGAAACTTCGATTCCACGATGGCACATCTGTCCAAGATCTCTGGCATCAGTATACGACCAGCCATGTGGGGCCCACTTTTCCGGTTCGTGGAAGTATCCATAGAACATATCGCTGTCGTACTCATCCGGCTCAAACACCCGTCCGATCCTCAAACAGTAGATGTCGACACCAAACCGTGCAGCAAAACTCCTCGCAATCCTCTCACCGCAGATCTTTGACAATGCGTAAGGGTCCGACGGATTTGAATCGAGGTCTTCAGTTATCGGGAATGAGGGGTACTCGACATTACCTTGGCCAAAGGCAACACCGTAAGTGGTGACACTGCTCGCGATGATGATTTTCTTGATGCCCATCTTGCATGCGGCCTCTATGATGTTGTGCATCCCGAGGATATTGTTTTTGAATGTCTCGCCGTCGGAATAGATCATCGGGGTCGGGATACCTGCGAAATGAACCACTGCATCAGGTATTCTTGGCGGCTCGGCCGGGAAAGGCTCGCCGAAGCGCATATATGTGTTCAAACAGCTGAAGACCTGTCCGCTGTCCGTGACATCACATTTGATGGTGTAAATTCCCAAATCTGTGGGCCGAGTGATGTCCAGGTTGAGAATCTCGTAGCCGTAGGTGAGCAGCTGTCTTACGACGTGCTTCCCGACTTTGCCGCTGCCTCCTGTAAATACGATCCGCCTTTTGCCCATGATTTTTCTTGATTCCTGGAGATCCGTGGTGCACCTGGAAGTGATTGTTTCAGGACCTAGTTCGGGTTGAGAAGGCCACGTTGGCTCGCACAGATGCTGAAGATGGGTTTTTCGGTCAGGGATGTGAAGAATGAATTATCGGAGAATCTCCCTCCGAGTGTTGCGGGGATGGGCCGTAACAGTGGGGCGGATCATATTGCATTGAGGGACAAGCAGGCTGTCTAGCAGCTGGTTCGGCCTCAGCTTCGGAAAAATAGGGTTTAGAATCGGTTTCAAATGTGTGTATGATCATATGCCCTCTCGTAGATGATCGCAAGCAACTCTGCATCCTCGAGAGCTCGTTGCTGACGAACTCATGGGTGGAGTGAGTTATAAGGGTGAGGTAGATGGAATCAAAATAGAACATTAAATCAATTCTGAAATGGATCTTGGCCAGGCAAGCTTGCATCGGTAGGTTTCGGCTTGTGGTGAGGAACCAGGAAACTAGAGTGTATTTGACCTCATCCAGGAGTACTAATATGTGAAAGTCAGCGGGCTCAATGTCGGGAAGCAGCGAGAGGAAGGTGTTGACTTCTTGCCAGTAGGTGGCATCGCCGACGCTCATGGTGCTCAGATCCATTTGTGTATTTTGATATCGTTCACACATCAAGTTTTGAGTGGTTCGGATGAAGACATCTGAAGACATGAAGTGGAAAGAGAGCTATAATTGAGATGCATTCGATAGTAGTGAATCAGCGTTCACTTTGCGACAAGCGTTTGGAATATACTGTCGCACGAGCTTTGTTTGCATGAAGCAGGACCCCTTGCGCACGAAGTTTCCATCGAGCCGCTCTGTATATTGACAGCCATCCATCAATGAAGGTACAGTCTCAGACAGACAAGCATACCTGGCGATTACATATCCGATCATATTAGTCATTGAGATGACAACAAGCCTAAAGGTTCAAAGCAATACCTTTTTTGGTACCATGATGTCAAGGTATGGTTCAGTATTAGGACCCCGAGTGCTGTCCTTTCCCCTAAAGTACTCAGCCTCGTGGTCCTTTCTGCCACCACGTGACCAACTGCCGATTCTCTTGCTTGAGGATCAGTGGGACTGTGAATTTAGGGTTGAAGATCAAGTGATCAAATCAGATCATGTTACTGGATAATCGCACTGAAATTTCGTCGCTAGTATTTTGGCTGTTCTGATCAGGTCTACTGCGCATGGCCAACGTTGACGAAACATTCACTGGTGACCAGACCATTGAATCCCACACAATAAATGCTCTTTGAAGGATGGGTTCTGCATCCAAGGATCACAGGGCTCTCTTGCCAATGCTCCCGAATGGCGATACCAAGCTGAACACGAAAGAAGGCTGGGAACAGGCCGCCAAATCTAAAGAAAGCGGCAGTGGTCTCCATGTTGGCATAGCTTCCTACTAAAACCCCAATTGATGTGGCCGCTGGCCAGAGCGGCGTGGTTTTCTTCAGGGTGCAAGACATTACGCTTGAACAGCAACACAGCCCCAGCAAGAATTATGACATTGTAGGGCTTCGCGTTTCTAGAACTGAAATGTACACGACCTAGACTGACTTTGTGCTCTACAACGAGATCAACGATACGTCAGCATCTTTGGCAACAACAAGTCGGGGGCAGACCGAGTTCACTTAAATTATCCTCTCAAAGTGGACGACTTGGTTGAATCGGGAACAGCATGCTTATATCAATGCTCTCAATCATGGATACGAACCATTCCTGGCCCTGTTGGACGTCAAAATCCCCTTCGTAAGTGCAGATTACAATCAACACTGCAACGAAGAAGGAGCTGTGATCATCATCGTCGTGATTATCAGATGCAAAAATGTCCGGTGACGAAGCTGAAGTCACTCATTTACAATCCTTCCTTAGTCATTCATATATCGGTGTTCAAAGGTCAGGAAGGAGTGGAGTCTCTGAATTTCCTGCGGGACCATCTACATGCAAACGACGACCTAAATGCGGGATGGGAATAGGTCAGGGCTACCACAAAGACCTTTCAGATAAAACCGCACAGTGTATTGACCAAACTGCAGGAACCTGGCAGAGTCGTGGCCTAGGACAACTGAGTCGTCGCGCACACGGCAATCCCTGTAGGTTATGACCCCACCACAAGAGAAGGCAAGTGTACCGCCATTTACGGAGAGAAGGCATCCTTTGATCCAGAAAGTGAGAACTTGAATCAGCGCATCGCTCTTGTTGGAGGAGACCCTGCAGAAAATGATATTGTTAAACTCTGCTTCAAGAGCCCATAAGTGTAAGTCAAGTACAGCTGAAATGTGAAATTCTGGATAGTCAAGCAGAAGTCTCACTTGCAACAGGAAAGATCTAATGAGCGCAGTAGTGAGAACTCATACTAGGTTGTGAGGCTTTAAGTAGGATGGCTAAGAAGCATTCCTTAGATGATGTCAATGTATTCCTCCGTGGCCTTTGCAAGGAATTGAACAAACACGACCTGAACGACGCCTACTCTCTTACAATAGGCTCTTACAGTAGGCATCCTTCGTTGGCTTGAGCAGTATAGCGTAGCCGAGTTTAGGCTCGCAGTTAGCATAGTGTTGACAATCTGTTGTGCCACAGTCAATCTTAGCGACATAGAGTGCAACGATTGCTTACGGCTGGGCGCTGCCTCGACTGATTGAAGGATGGAAGGGTCTCATCCCATATCTTGGCATAGACCGTCTGTGTAGACGACATCTCATTCTTCTTCACTAAGAATTTTAGTACTCAAGTTTTATGCAAATTGACGTGCTAAACTCATGATCGCAGGTAGCTTGTCAGTGTCATGTTTCATGGCTCCAATTGTATACTGTTCCAAGAGGCAAGACCATAGGTTGTAGGGCTTTCTTTCCCGAATTTGCTGCATTTGGGGTCGGTCATTGCATGCCAGGAGTCCTGGTGGAGCCGCTCGTGGGGTCGGTCTATGCATAATTTGCTTATCGTCCGTGTTCATGGACTGAAACACCTCCCTGAATTTAAGAACTTCATCAAGAGGAGTTTGCGCCGAGGCGCACAGAATAACCCTCTGCCCATATACCAGTACAGCACATCCAGGATAGTTGATCCTTGCCCAAGTGAAGAATCTCGAGTAACATTGCACGCTTCTGTAAGCACCAGGCTCTTTAACTGAGGTTTCCATTCGTCAAATCTTGATCAAGGTCAGTACATCGTCGACCAGCGACAAATACCTCGCAAGTTGGAGAGAGGTCGCAGCTGGTGTAGTGTAGCATGACTTCGTCGACGGGGGTTGTGGTCTTTGAGCAACCTCATTTCCCCCGACTCAGAGAGTGAGGCTGCTAGCGTTAGTTCCGCATTGCTATATATATGACCCATCCGTCTCACTTCTTGGGCAAGATCGTCAGCACAGTCTTGAACTATGCAGAGTGCATCAATCCAAATCTACCGATACCCAACCTTCCGCGCAATATCGATAGCATCAAAAAACATGTAGCCAGGGCCTTTGATCTTGATTGAATGTTGGAATGCTTTCAAATTGGACTTTTTGTTGGACAGTCGATGAGCAGGACTTTCAAAGCCATTTCTCTTGAATTTCTCCGTACAAGCTTCCGAACTTTAAATCGAACGAACACGAGTTTGCAGTTCCGGTGATTGGTTGCTTGTCTTGAACCCCTCGTATCCGGACAACCATCAGAAGAAACAAGAGTCGATGGCAGATAAAAGCTAGTTTCTTGCGGTAGTCAAGCTCTTTCCTGCTGTCGGGTTGTTCGATAGCTAGATGTAGCATTCAGCCTTCAATTACAGGATACTCGCTGAAAAGACATCGATCCACGCACATGAGATCTAGTCAACAGCCCAAATTCCAAGAGGGTCTTCTTTTCCTCCATCTGGGCCAGGTCCTTTTTGTTGAAGTCGTCGCACACGTCTCATAAGAAGGCCTAAAGCAAGGGGGCCAGCTACTGTGCAAAGCAGAATGCCCCAAGTTACAACTAGAAATATTTCGGATTCGTTGGCTGGGGCATCTGCATCTTTGTTTTCGCCGTTGAAGATGCCATTAGTCGCCGCGAGCGCGGAGATTAAGAAGCCAATTTCACCCCGTGCGATCATTGCAGACCCCAGAATAGATGCAGGATACATTGATATTGGCCTCATGACAGAGACTGCTGTTCGTTTCTTCTCCGTGGTGCCACTGGGATTGTTCGACAGCTTTGATAGGCGAAGAAGCCATAGACCACAGGAAAGTTTACCGAACGCCATAATAATGGCATATGTAACACCCCGCCAAAGGACTGGGCCGCGACACATCTTTGTTATTGGTATTGAGAAGCCAATTGATGCCTATCGACGTTGGTCAGCGCCAGTATTAAAGATGTAGCAGATCGCGAAGCCGATGGACACTTACAAAGAAGAAAGGTTTTAGAAGGCGTTCGACGGAAGGGGCATAGTAGTCATTATACATACGCAGACTACGGCTGCTGTTCTCGACTTGGCCCCTTTTCAAGGAATGCAACTCTACAGAACCTGGAAGAATACCTGGGTTCGTCGTAGTCTCTGGCTCCGCGCCCTCAGGAGGCGGAGTGGGCTCTTGTCTAGCCGGTGGTTGCTGGAAATCAGCGCTGGGTAACTGTTCGTTCGAGACTTCTTTCACTTCATCAACATCTTCTTCTCTTTCGGATCGCCCCTGCTTGTTTACGTCTGGGACTAGTTTCCCCTTCTTAAAAGCAGCAGTGGGATTGTCTGGAGGTTGTTGACGAACGTTTAGATTTTCTCCGGGATGATTTTTTGATCGGGTCTGGTTTGCGTCAAGCCAAGAGATACTGGCACCGGCGAGGTATGCAGCAAAGAGAACAGAGGTGCCTGCATAGCTTGCAGAAGTAATGAGGGCCAGAAGAAACACTGTACACCCCAGAAAATAAGCCACAGGCTTTGCTAGCAGGCTTCTCGCCATTTGCGGCATCGATATATGATTCATGATCGGTTTGCAGGCGTACTTGCAAATAAGGATCAAGACTACTGCAAAGCCAAATGACACGAAAACTGGACGCACAACTGAGATGGCCTTAAAAGAATTAGGGCCCGAACCTAAGTTAGAGATAACCTGCACCATAATTAGTCCAACCACATCGTCTAGCATGGCGGCCGATGTTAAGACAACACCCAAGCGAGTCGAGGTCATATCAGTAGTCTTCAAGAGGTTGAAGGTGGTCCCTAGACTTGTGGAGCACAGAGCAGCCCCTGCCGCAAAAGCCTGAAGATTGGATGCGGACGCAAGGGCGCATAGCGAGTACGAAAACCCGACGGGGAGGAGAATCCCGGTCAGAGCGACGCATATTGATAGTATTAGGTTTTGTTGGACAGCCTTTACAGACGTAGAGAGCCCGCCTTCAAAGATGATGGCAATTAAGCCAAGGTAGCCAAGTTGGGTAGCGACTTCTTGGAAGTCATTTGAGAGCAATGCCGCCCCAGGTGCTCCCCATCCCATGCCAAGGAGAACCTGAGCAATCAGACCACAGTACAGATAATAATCGACCGTTGCTCCTGCGACATTCAATACGATGAGGAATGACGATTGAACCAGAATGAGGATGATGCCTGGTTCATGGTATGAGAGAGCGGCCTCCGACATGGTACAAAAGCGGCAAAGATGCTACTCTATGGTTCAAGAACGGTTCGGTATATTTTGGGTCCAGCTTTTAATTTACCATGGTGGAAGTTCTCCGTGATCAAGCGGCGAAGTCAAGACAGACCAGGTTGAGAAGTGGGAAGAAAAGCCAGTGAGCTTCTTAAAAGCGGCAAGGAATAAATCCAGTCACGTGATGAATGGGTCAAAATCAGGCACAAGGCGGCGCTGCCAAGATATTTGATCTGAAGCAATGTGATTGGCTACAAGTCGACCTTAGGAGCCAGGCAGATTCAGCGAAACAACTTTTGGGAATCTCCTGCACATGCTCAAGAGCCTCCAGTTGAGGAAGACTTGAAGCTCGTATATCGGCTACCCAGAGAACCTGGTGTGCTAGCTATCGCAAAATACACACCATGTCCATGTTATGTGCAAGTAAGAAATCAACCCGGCCCCGAAAGATGCTTGAAACTGATCCCATCGCAGTCTCTGGAGAGGCACCTCAGGCGCCAGTGGTGTCGCGTAAGAGTGGTACGTTGTGTTCTTGATGTGAATACGAGTCAAACTAACGTATTGCAGGAAATGTATATGAAAAGCGCCTGGTGGAAGCCTACATTAGTGAACATGGCACAGAACCGACCACTGGCGAAACCCTTACAACCGAAGATCTCGTCGACCTCAAATCACCGACTACCGTTCGCCCGCGACCACCTACGTTGACCTCGATACCTGCGCTACTGGGTGTTTTTCAGGAAGAGTGGGACTCTCTTGCGCTGCAGACGTACACACTACAGCAGAATCTCAATCAAGCACGACAGGAGCTTAGCGTAGCTTTGTATCAGAATGATGCTGCGCAACGCGTCATTGCCCGATTGCTAAAAGAACGGGACGATGCAAGACAGGCGCTTGCAAGGGTGGACGCGGGACGATCGAATACAAATGGAGATGCGATGCAGGTGGACAGCGCGCCTTTACCAGACTCAATTCTGGAAAAGATTGAAAGCACACAGCAAGCACTGATGAAGACACGGCGAAAGAGACCAGTACCTGAGGACTGGGCAACATCTGAGTCTATCTCGTCATACACGCCAACCGTCACCTCAGGGCAGCTGTATCCTGGAGGTGGCGTCCTTGCAGTGCACGAAACCGGAGACATTGTCCTGGTCGGTGGCAATGACGGGGTGGCAGGAATCTATTCATTATCAGAGAAGAAGCTGCTATCTTCCTTGAAAGCTGGTCCAGGTTCGGTGACAGGTGGAGTCTGGGCTGGGTCGCGGGCAATTGTCTCTACCTCTACAGGTGCGGTCAAAGTGTTCGGGTCGGAACAAGAGGTCGCATCCTTCTCGGTGCACGCAGGCAGCGCTAATGCAGTTGCATTGCACCCCAGTGGCAGCATCTTGGCTTCGGTGGGCGAAGACAAGACATACATCCTCTATGACCTTGAGTCAAACCAAGTTCTTACCCAGGTTCAGAGCGATTCAGGTATGGTTTGTCCAGCAAGCGAAACGGAGGTGACGGCTAACATTAAATTAGAACTCCACTGTGCACAATTCCACCCTGATGGCCATCTACTGGCCGCAGGAGGACTGGATCAGCAGATCAAGATCTATGACACCAAGTCCGGTGCAAAAGCTGCAACATTCGGGCTCAGTGGGCCTGTGGAGGCAGTGGTCTTCTCGGAAAATGGCACATGGCTTGCAGGGGTAGCACAAGGCTCAACCTCGATATCGATCTGGGATCTACGCAAGACAACTCAAATCAAGGCAATTGAGACCGATAGCCAGATCACCTCGATCAGCTGGGATTACACAGGCCAATTCTTGGCTGTTGCCGGAGTGGGCGGAGTGAGTGTTGAGCAATATTCCAAGTCCTCGAAGGAGTGGTCGACCATTTTGAAGAATGCAACGGCCTGCTGTAGGATTGCTTGGGGACAATCCGCTCACAGCCTCGTCACACTGGACAAGGCTGGCGTGGTGGCTACTTGGAGCGGGCACAGCTAGTGACAGTGCAGAAGGAGAAGCGGGTAGAAGTGGGTAAGAGATGACTAGGACGTCACCGAGAGGTCACCAGTATTGCTGGTTTTGGATGTGTACAATAAAGGCCTGTGAGTAGCAGGCCTTGCAGGGTTCCTCTTAGGCTTGGGGGGAGACAAAAGGTGGCATCCAACCAGACGCCCATGTTTTTACCAACTAGAGGAACAAACAAAGGGCATGCGTGCAAGGAGACATGATGTAAGCACAAGGAAGAAACCTCAAGGCCCAGAGAAGAGAGTTATACTATTGTGCTCCTCGTAGTGTACATAAGTTTGCTGACCGTGGCCCATATAAAAATTGATAATCGGAAATAAAGCCAGGCAGGTGGCGCCTTCCGAACTGGGCACTTGATTTGCTCCTTCCTTCCCGATCTTTTGCTCCCCTCCACGTCTGGCAGCCGCAGCCGCATGCACACCCACTTCTTCTTCCACTTCCACTTCCACTTCCACTTCTACATCCAACAACCAGACCAGAAAACAATCACCTCGCCTCCTCCTCTATCTACACATCTCTGAATCGGCCACATACATTAGCTACCGTCTATCTCAGTCTACTCGTTCAAGCCAGGCTCAGGCTCAGGCACAGCGTCGCCCCCGCCCCCGCCCACTCGCTCATGGTCTGGTCCTCTCCTGCGCTCTTTTGCCGCTGCCGGCCCTCAGAATATGCCTCAGCCTCCTACGCTCTCTCTCAGCAACTTCCTGAACTCGGCTGCCTCATCCAGTCGCAGTAGAAAGGTAGGAAACACAGACAACAGGCTGCCGTCCACTCCACCTACTGACTCCTTCACAGAGATCCCACGCCGAAATCAACCGATCCGAAAGCCGATCTACCAGTCCATCCATCTCCTACAAACGTCGCCGCATCAGTCCTTCGCCGCATTCTTCTCAACATCTCTTCTCCCCTTCACCCAGCCCTCAGCCTGCCCTAACAAGATTTCACGGCGACGGTTACGATTATCGTCGGCCTGTCATGTCCCAGCCTCGAAGCCACCCATCTCGCAATCCCAGTCGGACCGCCATCGACCTCACCCTTGATAGCGATTCCTCTACTGATTACGACTCACTCCATCAGCCCTCATATTCCAGTCGACGGCAGAGCAGACATGTCTCCCGCTCGGAGAGGGGAAGTCGAGCCCCTCCCTTCATTCAAAACACACGCGAAGAAACCCACGAGGTGATAGATCTGTCAGATGATTCGGACTTTCAGATACAGGAATTTGCCCCGACTGCCGACCGCCGACCCACACCTTTTCAACAATCGTCGAGTCCTGAGGTTGAAATTGTCCATGAGAGACCCGTCCCGGGAGGCTCCCGACGTGTCAGCCCGGAGCGACGACAGAGACCAGGGAGACTTCCCGCTCTCTCTCCGCCCATACCCTTCCCATCTCCTCCTCCGATGGAACGAGGTCCATTTGGCTATTTTCCCGAGATCATCCGGAGATCGACTCAGTTTGTGCTTGGAAATATGTCTACTCCGTGGCAAGTGCCACAAGACCATAGGGAGCAATTGCGGCAAATCAACGAGCAGGCTCGTCAGCGCCATGAATTCCGAGACGACGTCATCATCAATTTCGATTACCGCCAGCCCGCCTTCGCCCTAGGAGGACTTGAAATGTATGAGCGCAATTCAGAGACTCCTCAGGTAGTACAAGAGCCATACAAGGCTCCAACTCCCGCTAAAGAAGGATTTATCAGGACTTTCGCCGAGGACTCGGTGGTGTTGTGTCCTATGTGTGATGACGAGCTGGCCACCGGGGGCAACGATACCAAGCAACAAGTGTGGGTAGTCAAGGGCTGTGGCCATGTAAGTGCCCCCATACTACTTGTATGTTTTAGAGGAGGTAATGGTACTGATATCATCTATAGGTGTACTGTGGGGATTGTGCCACCAATCGCCACGTTTCAAAATCGAAGAAAGACAAGAAAGCTGCATCTCTGAAATCAATCCCTTTCAAGATATGTGCAGTTGAGGGGTGCGACACCAAAGTTGGACACAAAACTGCAATGTTCCCTGTTTATCTATGATGGAGGTCACGTCGTCTCCTTGTCCAAGTCATCAGACATCGGCTCACTGCTACCATGCTACCCTGCCACCCTGCAGGCCCATTTGGTCCCCCCTCTGCTCAGTGGAGGCGTTGAAACGCACAATACTCACACCCCGAAACTTCCACCCTCTCACGCTTGATTGTGTTCTGGCACTGGCATTTGGGGTTAAGCACGGCTGACGGCCATGTCTTCTTGACGAAGGTTAAGATGCTTTGTTCATGAAACGAAAGAACTGAGTTATTATGAAATTGAGGTTTCAGATTCGCAATAGCATGGTGCATCAGACGTCTTTTCAGTTTTGACTGGTCCACACAGACCATAGACCACAGTTTACACGGCATCAAGGAATCCTGTGCTTTCCGTTTGGGGACTTTGTCTGGTTATACAGGATGGAAACGAAGCGTGAAAGCAGCTTTTTCTGCATAAGGACCTCAACAAGGGGTTTGCACTGCGAGCCATCTGCTGTATTTGCATGGGCCCTGAGGCATAATGATAAGTCGAGTTCTCCGAGTGCCCTCCCTCATCTTAGATTTGTACCCGTACCTTGATACCGTAGCTAGGACAGCTGTAGTTGCTCGGTGGGCCTCTTCTACGCCAGGGATGGCGTGTCCGAGCACCTTTTGATCAGCGGTTGCAATCTAATGTCCGTGTAGTACTCGGCGGGTTCATCAAGGACAAGTGCCGCCTGATTTAAATGTGACTGCATGCACGCCCACCCATGAGCATGAATGCCTTCCCAAGGACGTGCTCAATCCAATCCTTTCCCACGGCTAGAATTTCCCACCCGATGCCACAGTCAAACAGCCTTAATCCCACCATGCAGCGGACTCCAAATCCCCCTAACGTTCACATTGGAACTAATCACCTTCCGACTGCCCACCTTCTTGACCTTGTTCCCTGAATTGCTCACCAGATACTCGGCCATGCTGCGGATCTGCTCTTTCTCGAGGTTGCGCACGCACACGCTCTTCTCGCGCCCGTTGATGTAGTACGCCCGCATCACGGGGTGTTTGGTCGGCCGCGGCGACACCCGGAACTCGGTCTGTGGGTATTGCGCTGTGAAGCGCGCCAGCATCGGCGATGAAAGGAACGACTTCATCCCCTCTGACGATCCGCCCTGGTTGCAGTAGTGCAGGTCCAGCCGCCGGCATTGTAGGATGAATGCGCCAACACCGTTCTGTAAGAAGGGCAAGAGAGAGTTTGGGTTAGTTTGTAGGCCTTGCAAGGGGGGCTACGTTTGGAGGATTGGCTCGGGTTGATGTTGGGTTGGGTGGGAGTGCTGGAGTGGGAATAGATGACTACGTACCCGTGCCGTGGCGACGGTCTTGAGCCCCAGCGCTGGCATCTTGGACGAGAGACCGCGCCCGTGGGATAAGAGGAGGAGATGTGGTACGGTCAGAGACCTTTCGGGGGGGTCGGGGTCGTGGTCGTGGTGGTTGAAAGTGGTGATGGGAAAAACAAATGAGGCGATGAAGCTGCGGAAAATCAGTGGTCAGATCACGTGTTCTGCGAGGCTGAGCTAAGCGGGTTTAGGATGGGCTGTGTTCAAATGACATAGAAAAATGACACAGACACCACCCCTTTCTTCTCTCCCACTGCACTACAGTGACCGAGCTGAGCGTGGATTCGTCGTCTCCAGGGATGGCTCTACGATACAGTGAGTCAGTGGAAGCAGCAACTAAGGATCTTGTGCTATATACTAGATTGAGGGTCCATCAGGTCTCGAAACAGATTGACCGTATATCATATGTCGCGTCATAGTTCCCAGTTAACAAAAGTTCTGCCTTGCAGCCATCTCCCCAATTGCACGACTCTTCTATCGATTCTTTCAAAGTAGTCGGCCACCCAAAGCACTACAAAGGCAGTGATCACAACCGCTGGGATGCGCGCCCAGCCGGAGCTTCCTATGTAAACCAGGCTATACGGTTCCAAGATGGGTAGATACAGTACCCAGATCACAATGGGATGCATGGCGTACAATCCGAAGGACAGGTCGCCTAGATAAAGTGAGAATTTCCACCGGAGAGGTGTTTGGAGGACCGGGTAGAATTCGAGGGAGAAAACGAGCAGAAAAGCGCCGATGCTGAGCCAGAAGTGTTCTTTCGGTTCTCCAGGACCACCATACCAGCTGGGAGTTAGCCGAGTGAGGTACTGCCAAGGGAAAGGGCCGTCGCTGCCAAAGCCTGGCTCGTGCGGCTGGCTGAGAAGGAACAGCGAGAAGACGAAAATGCAGACGAGCATGGCGTTAGGGACACCTGATCGAGCCAGTCGTCTTCGTGCTGTCGGGAATTCCAGTCTGTTATGGTGTTGCACCTGGCGTGCTGCTTTGCTCCATTCCAACGATAACTCTGCCACAAACAACCCCAACAGGAATAGCGCCACGTATATTACATTCCAGCAGTAGCAGGCCAGTATTGCGATCCAAGTGAAGATCATCCTTCCTCTCACAGACAGCTTACAACTTGCCGCACAGAATGTGAAAAGAACCATGCTACCCCGAAACTCGACAGGGATGGTCCACATCTGGTCCAGGTATTTGGTGCGGAAGAGTCCCGGATACCACCATCCCTTCAGATCAGCAAACGGGCTGCTGGCGAAGAAAGTGTCGATGATCCAGTCCCAGAGCTGCAGCTGAAAGGTTGCGAGCTTCGCGGCGGTAGGGATTCTACCCATATAGACGCCCAGCATCGCTATGAATGTAGCTATGCCCGTGGGGACATACAGGCGCAAGAACCGCCGAAATGTAGATGACGCCAGTGTCTGTAGAAAATTCCCAGCGTCTCGCTGTCGCATCATCTTAAGCATCCGGAAACTCAGCACATAGCCTGAGATGACGAAGAACAGATCGACCATGCCACGGTTAGATGTGAGAATTCGGATGAACGGGTACTGTATCGCCGCTGGATAGCCGAGGAGGTGGCCTGCGAAAACGACGCAAGCGGCATAGCCTCTCAGGGCGTCAAGAAAAGCTGTGGAATGGATTTTGTCTGTCTTTCGAGACATCCCTCCTGGTTGGAGGAAGCGAGGTAGAGCAGAAATAAGAAAGGAGGACCCGAGCCAGCGGTATGATTGGAGTCTTTCCCATCGTGGTCGGTGCGATAAGAACGCAGGTTTGGTGTGATAATCACATTCAATATCTTCATGATGCGGCTCGGAGTCTGTACTACATTCCTCCAAGAGGGGCATCGACTGCTCCATCTCCCAACACTGATGCTTGAGAAGGTGAGAAGAAGATGCTGGAGGAACAGGAAGCCTATTTCAGTCTGAGCCTGGAGATGCCATGGGCTGTACAGCAAAGACCCGTAAATAAGAACGTGAAGGACGGAATCCTGCCAACCAAGCATTGAGATTGCGCTCAGCCATTTCATGAGTGTCCAGGGAATGTGACACAGGCTATGATACATTTTGCATGGCGCTATCTAATCAATTCCTTTGGGGTCGCTTTATACGTATGGGACCAGGTCTGAGCACAAGACGGAATGTGATTGGAAGCGATAAACGGGCGCTCTGTCATGTACTTAGTAGTCGCAGTTGGTGACGTTCTGCCAAAATGGGGATGGACGTCTTGCAAAGTCCATCGTCAGCAATGGCATAGTAGATGCAGCACTGGCAAATATATGGGTTCGATACGATCTAAGCTTCAATCCATGGCTTTCTTCACATATCTATCAGCCCTGATCGATAAAGTTGTACGAATCGTCCACTCATCTGCTATTCTTTTGAGTCTATGGAGGTCAACGTGGACCTACCACCCCTGGCTTGTTAGTAGCAAAAGAACAAGAGACATTGCTCGCCGTGTCAAACTGCCGTGCAATCTAGCACTTAGGCGTCCGTTAAGATTTGACTTCGGATTCGGGTGCCATCCTGACTGACAGAAAGGATCCTGCCAGTTAGTGGCCCCAGGGCGACTGGTGGGCGGCTGTCACCTGTCAAGGCGGTTGCGGGACCTTAGAATCTGCATAAGTTCCCAAGCATCAATTATGGGAAAGTGACTATGAAAGAATCGCCATGCTTTGGCCCTTGAGGCAGTGACTAAAGACAGCGAAGAAATGAGGAAACTGTTGGAGAGCGTCTGCCTCCTCCGGAACGAAATGCCCATGTTGGTGACCCGTATCAGCAGCGCGTCGTTCCTACCATTTCTCGCGGGGAGCTTGTGCGATGGTCTGTCCCTGTCCTTCGCCATTCATCTTTTGCAGTTTAAATGCTCTCATTATACATCTAGGTATCTGTGCACGTCATCTGCACTGCTCTCTACACCAAACAGAGGTACCTAAACTTACCACCCTCACAGTCATAATCGAGCAATAACGATGACAATAGCGTACAACCGGCTGTGACCCTGTGAAGATGCTTGTCCTGAAAAGATCGACATCGTATTCCGAGGACGCGACAATAATGCTATTACTAGTACCAAGAGGATGCGTGGGATAACACAAGGGGAGGTTGTCCGACGAGCCACACCCTTTATGTTCCCACCGCCGAGCTTTACCCGCGGCTCATTGTTGCCTAGGTTTCAAGGATCGGCTGGTATACCTCGCTCGACCACGGGGCTGTGGTTAGTCCATCAGAGCAACAAGAGAACTTCTCGCGTGTGCTGAGGGCTAGGGAACACCAAGGTGGCTGGGTGGTCCTTAGCATCGAGCATGCACAGCTGCATCATGATCAAAAGACTCCAACTTATACATTTAGTATCGCTGGCCATCATCTTGATTGGCTGTCTCCCCTTTGGCGAGCTAGGCTTGGTGTCAGCGGCCAGCGTTGCAATTCAAATGAAGTCGCAAATGCCGTTCACTAGATCGGCTTAATGGTCGGTATCGGCGGTCGAATGCCTAATGAAAATGCGGACATCAAGCTAGTCGATGCAGTCGTTCGCCTAGCCAGTGGACAAAATGAAGGAGTTGTCCAAACCAATTTGGGCAAGACACTGACTGGAGGACAAACTATTCGGACTCTATCATTGAACACACCTCCTCAAATTCTACTAACGGCGCTGGCGGTAGTCGAGCTGCAAGGTAGGGAGCTAGATTCGACCTCCGGGGCTCTCCCGCGCCACTTGGAATGCTCTTATCAAAGCTCGCGTATCCTCAAAAGCTCCAGGAGTGCTTGTACAAATCAGCATACGCTCACTCCAAAGGCGCCACGTGTACGCAATGCAGTAAAGATCAGTTAGAGGGGCCGATCCGAGCGAGATGATGCGGATATTGCAGTCCACTATGGAACAATTGCGTCTGGTAATCAAACGCTGATAATGGCGTTGAAAGAGAACGACTAAGCAGTCAGCTGGCCAGAGTACTCTACTTTGAGATGGAGGCCGCCCGTTTGATGAACAAATTTTCTCGTTTGGCTCTTCGAGGAATCCGTGATTATGCAGATTCACACAATAAAAAAAAAGGGCTGGCAGTCCTTTGTCGCAGCATTCACGAAGATTGTTTGGAATTAGGTAAGCGACAGAAGTGGTCAAGAAGCCAACAGTAGAGGAGACTGTAAAAGTCCCGGTTTCAATGGTAGCTGAGAAGACGGTGTTGACTCAGAGAATCGAGAAGAAAGATCTCAAGTATGTATCAGGGCAGTTCTATATGGAATTCGGGATGCTTTGAACGAATCTTCTCAAACTCCTGACCAGCCGGAAAGAGCGAAGGTACTTGTCCTCGTTCTTAATATTATGGGTAAGCACATCGAGAATCTTGTTGGCGCCAAAGTGACTAGCGCAGGCAACCTCATGACGACGAGCAATGAGTCAGTGCTACAGCCTCTGGAATGCTTTGGAATCATGGAAAATAGGCTCCAGGAGGTCATTTGCCTAGTAATTTTCTATATAAACCAGAACGGTGACCATAGAGTAGAAGAAGACAGAAATCTCAACTTCGCTGACTTGCCTGTATCGATTGGCCCGTACAGTTGTACAGTTCAAATTCTCCAACAAATCTACATACTATGTGTTCGTATCACGGCTCACGAGCAGACCACAGCATGACAACCATTACTCATGTCATCATCTCCCCCGATCAACTTAAAAACATTTGTTGCTAGCGGTGTTAACTATTTTGGGCCGACCTCTCTCCAATCAGACAATCTGAAAGTTTGAGATGCCGGGATAAGGCTAGAAATTGAGGATTGAGTTCTATATAGAAACCTGCCCAGCTTGAGCTTGACCCCCAGTTGGTTATCTTGTGTGGGTATTATCACTTGACTAATTCCTGCGAAGCCTCGGGCAATTCCGGCTGTGGTTCACGTTTACATGTAAGCAGATCACCTTTCGTGCGGCCTCATCACATGTAGATTGCTGGTGGTAGCCCTTCCTGGATCTCTCAGGAGACAGCGACCCCAGTACGTTTGGGGCTTATCTTTATGGCCTTTACACCACGATAGCTAGTCATGTCACGTCCACTGGCCCATCGAGAGAAGGCGGCCCCCAATACTATCTAAGGACACAACATCAATCTTGTACACAATTTGAGGTCAGAGCGCTGGTAATGAGTACATCTCGTCAATTATTTCTGCTATCATAGGGTACTTCATCTGGGGCTACTTCTCTAAGAAGCCGGAGAGACATGATATAGAATAAAACCTCAGTTAGGTAAAACATGTTCCTCTGTCGAACAAGCGCTGACCTCCCTCCGTGGCTCCAAATGCCTATATACCAGTTGCCGTTTTCATAATTTCTCTTTTCTTTGGCGAATTTCGTGTCTCGGTAGAAGCCGCAAATGGTGAGCAAGTACGCATAAGATGAGCGACAACAGAGTTCTCTGTCGTTATGAAGACGCTCAGGAAGATTTGCTTCGTCTTCTTTCCTTACTGGTGTTGGATTCACCATTTCACCATCACTCAAGTTATGGGTCTCTACGCACATATCTATTCATTCTTACGCGTTCTCTTAGTGAAAGTGTACATTGTAACTCCAGGCACAGTGTCAACCAATGACCCCGGATCTGGCAATAAGTACGCCCTAAGCATCACCGTCCTCTTCCTGTGATGGGCGCTGTCTATTCTTCCCTTCCAAAGTTCCACTGTGGAGAGCATTGAGATAGTATGCGAACATGGCGTGAGAAGGAGACTACTCTCCATGGTATATGAAAGCAGATCGTAGCATGCACGAATGCGCCCAGTCAAATGTAGGCTGCATACTGTTGAAAGTAGTTCAATCATATTAATTGATAGTAACCTGTGATATCTAGCTGGGACGATAGCCACCATTGCTTCACCCAACGATCCCATCTTCGATCTTACGCTCGACATGCCACTATTATCGATCAGTCTCGAGATATTATCCTTAGACAGCGACCTAGACACTTACCATTTGAAACGGTGCATTCCATGCCAACAGTATACGGATGGCCTCCTTGTAGTATTCATTCTGCAGCGATTGCTCGAAATACTCGAACCTGTCCCAACCCCTGACGATGACAAAAGACATGGTGCTCTCGCCCTCGATGTCTGGATGCTCTACCTCCTCCAATGTCCAACCCATCGTAAAGCCCCGTTGCCCCTCCGGTTTTCCCATTTGGTAAATCTCGTCAAACTTTAAGAAATCTGTTTCGATCTGTTGCTTGAATTCCGGCGTGAGGCGAGAAATTGCGAAGAAGTTCCGTACAAACTCGACCACGTTGGCTGTCGCAGGCCCATTCGGCCCAACAGCCAGCTGATTGAAGTGGACATGGAAACAGTCCGTCGGTGCTCCAAAGAGCTCGCTTACACTCCCAGCAAAGGATGTACAGTGGTCAGTAGATGCAAATTTTGTGTATTCCCTATAAGCATCCAACTCAGACGTGATTTGAACGGTGCTCTTGTTCTGAACCTCTGTACCGAGGACGTAGTACCGGGGCGTCTTGTCGTTCTGCAGTGCCACAGCAGCCTTCTGCCATATGCTGCTATCTAATGTGCTTGGGAGATTTGGCACAAAACGTGCGATCTCAGTAACAAACATTTTTGCGGTGTACGGTATTCTGTAGGAGTAAGCTGTTGCGGAAACGCCTAATATAAGGCTGATCCAGATATTGATACCCATCATTCTCATGTGGACTATGATCTTGCCCATTGGATTTGCAATACACGGGAGAATTTATAATTCGGGCTTTGGTGCAAGTATCAATCGACCTCTCGGAAGCAGAAGCTCCGCTAGTCTATCACAATAAAAAGGAAGCCATACGGCTTAAGCAGAATAGAGGGTATATTTAGTTGCGGAACTACCCGACATAGATTATACTTCTTTACGAACACCGCACTTGGAACCAGAGTAGCTGTAGCAGCTGCTTCGGCTTGTATTCCGATTGCTTAAACCCTTTGGTTAGTATGATCCGATATGTGGGACACCTTGGCTTCGGAGAAGCTTCGTATATCATGCCGGTGGGGACATTGAACCTGTCCCAATATGGGACCTCCTTTTCCATGGGTGTCTACGAGTAACGGATCAACTTGCCGGTTTGACCACATGGTGGGACAAACTTTCCGCGGCAACTTTCCGCAGCATGTTCTCATACTCATCTGAAAGCTACCGCCGGATCATCTTTACCTCCCCCCAGCACTCAAGTGATAATTGTAGGGTTGGTAGAACCTCTGCGAGTGCGGTAATGGAGAACTCAATCTCGGGAAAGTGGTTATGCTAGGCGCCAATACTATGTACCTCTACAACAAGACTGTACTTCAATCTATATAAATATTGACAGTCCGATTGGATATCTCGCTCATCGGTATCTCGAGGCACATGGCATCAAACTTAAAGATATAACAGCATGGGTGGGGAGGTTATTTCGCGAATCGGCCAGAAGAGTGCTTATTCCCTTGTCACGCTCCTAGCCGAGGTTTCACCGCAGTACTTCAGGAGGCTTTGACGACTCCATGGTGGAGTGACCTTGTCGATGGTCCTGGCCAATTTGTCCCTATTCCTGGCGAACAAGAGGCTTTAGCTAAAATGGCGGAGATAGGTCTATCTCCCAGGCGACTACCTCCATTTTGGTTGAAGAGTCAGCCAGACGAAGTTCCCGCAATCGACTTCCCTGACTTCATTGTTTTCTGCAGGGAAGACATGCCTGACGACGTCGCGTATCTCCTGGCATGGATTATAACAGAAACTAAATTCGTTCTTGAACGCCAGTTTTACACATCTCTGGGAGACAGAAGCCCCGTGTCGTGGCCCATGGAGCCTAAGGAAATGGCGAAAACTATCATACCATTGCATCCTCGGGTTGAAAAATAGTACCATGAGCATGGGCATCTTTAAGCCAAGACAAGGCCGTAAATTGCTTAGAAATGGATGATATTGCCACGAGAGCGAGTCTTCAATCTCCGAATCAACTTAGGCATCCTATATCTTTTTAGCTCTTCACGCCTATACAGAAAAGCAATGTCATTATTGATCTCCGAAACCCACCTCTCGTAGAATAAGCATTCCCGAAAAGGCGAGCTCAAACATCGTTAACACTTTTTCAGCGCCCTGGCAACCTCATGTTATTCATCAACGACACCTTGTCATCGTTGCCACCAGCGGACGGTTGTATGCGGCATCGCTAATCCTACACTGATTTCACATTCCCTCTAAAGTGCGAGACCACAACACAATCGGAGTCAGACTCTTCCTTCTCATTTCGAGAGCGAGTCTTGGTTCTCGCGTAGCCCTTTCGGCCCAAGAAACTATTTCAAAGTCGAATCGGAAGGCGCCTTCTGGGTTTGGATCAATTTGTTCAATTTGATTCAATTTTCGCGTCGAGGACGGAAAGGCAATGCTATCCTGACTAGTATCAACATTAGACATACTCAATGGTTACTTTTGGTAGAAGAGACACAGATAGTACTATTCAAGGACCCCAATGTCCATTAGTAGCCTTCTACCCTTTGGGATAGTCGGGCCGCGATCTTCCATTTTCATGTCAAGGTCGGTCATTTCCCCATTTAGGGGTGACTTCAACTTCGGATGATTCCACTCATTGCAAAGTAGATCTCTGCTTTTGCAAGGTTTTGGCCGATACAATTACTAGTGCCTATCGAAAAGGGCTTAAGGGCCTCACTCACATCGTTGGTGTTACTCTGCCAAGGTTGTGGCCACCATGTATCGGGGCCGTGAAATAAGTCGCGGTCTCGCTGAGGTGCAAAGCTGGTCATAGATGCAGTAGCTTTCTTAGGTAAGTTTTACTTTCCGATTGCAAAATCCACCAATTAAGTCTGCTTGGAAGAAATCCACGAAAATAAGATAAAGACAGTGATTCTCTTTGATGACAACATTGAGAAAGGGAAGACGTTGGAGTTCACTAACTGTTGAGCCAGCACCAAGATGCTCGGCACGGACGGACTGGTCCTGTACTGAGGCGTTTTTGGCGAGGCTCCACAGAAGGGAAGATATGCTCCTCAAGCACTTCATCTAGTGTAACCTTTCGACCCGGTAGTTTTCGGTGTTGCAAAGCATTGGTGTCGTCATAAATCTCATACAATTGGCGTCTTTCGCAACCTCGTTTTAGATCAACTAGTCCAATAGCTCCATTGTCATGGCTTCCCATAAGTGCCACTGTCCGAAGCGTCTCCTATTATTCCAAGAATGAGATAACCATTCTTTCTTGTGATGAAAGGCAGAGCTACACCGGTTGCCATTTCCATGATACTCTTTTCCATCACAGTCAATAGAGTTAGAGAATCCTAACACCCCATAGTTGCCATTGTAGGCACATTTCAGAATAACTCCGAGGCTGAACAAGCGATTCAGGGTGAAAATGCCATATGTTTACCCTGAGGGTGGTTCCCCAGCCGCTCTCAATATTCATTGCACCAAGGTATCGCCTTGTCAACAATAAGATCCTCATTCTGAAGAACACTCTGCGGAGAATATGATTGATTTTGTAGCTTTCAGCGGGCTCCATGAGCCTGTTTATTTCGAATGCCGAATATATTTTCAAGTTGGCCAGTTAGCTGGGCGCAGGGATATAGCATTCTAGTCTTTGCCCTTGTCCCCGATAGACGGACCAGTTAGACACCCAGACTTCGTCAGGCCCAACACGAACAACTGGGCCATATTGTCGATGAAGCTTTGGAAGCACCTGTATGAAATCAATATAGCTATTGCTGTGGCTTGATAATACGGTTGTTACCTACGTGACGTCTCTGCAAAGTTGCTGCGTATGGGAGAAGATAGTAGTCGAAACATTTCCCTCTCCAAGGCCTAGGGACTGGGGAGGAGGGTCATACATAATCTAAACAAGAAAATGAGCTTTTTACTATAATCTGAGGTTTCTGAGTGCAGCGAACTCACACGTACCATATATATGACCCAGACCAAGGGAATACAGTACATATTATCATTGTGGTGAGAATTCCAAAGCTGATTCGAATGATATGGCCATTATCTGAGGTCTCCCCGAGGTGGTTTTTAAGTCATGTGACCGACATTGAATGCGACAGGCGAAATTAGGGGTTCGGTTGGCTCCCACTGTAACGACAAGCCGTCTAGAAAGATCCCTACACAAAGCTCGTGGCCAATTAGCCTATGGAAAGTCGCTCTTATCCCGCTTTATCAGGTACCAATGGAGCTCTGCTCACATTCAAGGTCATCTAACTACTGGGTTACCAGCCACTTTGACCTCGTCCTTGATTATATACACACTTTCAGAAACTCGCCCCATAATAAGTTGAGAAAACCACAAAACCAGTCCAAATTTGAGGCGCCCCAAGTCCATTTGGACACTGATGGGACTAACTTTGGATTTTGTGATTTTCTATCCTCCAAAAAAGGAGCCAGACAGAAAGGTTCCAGAGATACGTTACTTCCAACGGGTTGGATAGTTTACTCCAGTTTCGCAAAGTGTCCAGAACCTTTGTGGGGCAACCCATGGACAGTGGGACAGTTGAGTACAGATCCACAAGCAAGAATCACCAATCTTGATGCCACTACCGTCCACGCCTCATGCTTTATTCCAAGAATACGAGTTTCCAGACTGATCGTTTTCCATCCCGGACTAATACACTCAGTTTGCGAGCATGCTCTAACTCAGCAGCTCGATTCAACTGGTGCGAGCGAGCAGTATGCCTTCCACTACAACCCTACATCCTTTTCAGGCACATCACGCTTCGCGCAGCCTTATCGCCGAAAACTGATTAGAGATATAACTTACAGTCATGGGAATTTAGGAATAGAGTTGTTCTAGCCACAGCTGGAACAATAGCCTTTCACGATGTTTGTGCTTTGATCGGGACAGCAGTCACAGCATTAACGCAAAAATAGGTGTGAAAAGATCTCTACTTTTATCGTATGTTGTATGTTGCTGTTGCTATATATATTTGGAACGAGCAATGGTTTCTCTCTCATTTTCCATCTTCAAGGGGGGCCTGACTCGTTTTCAATGTATTTAGAGTCTCTGTCAAAGTCGTTCCTTTGCTGACATTTGGCGGAGCACTTGTCAGGGAGTGCCTTGGCGTTCACACCTCAGTCTGACGGGGATCCGGTCATGGCTTGGATATTCAAGCCTTCAGGTACAGTATGTCACTTGCGGGCATGCAGAACAAGACTTGAGCCACACGGTGGGGGGGAGCAAGGGGAATAAGAGGCATATCATCTGTCCTGTGTGAGCGGCCACACGTCGGAAAAGCCTCGATATAGGACCCTTAAGGCCTGGCCATCAACCGTCAACATTGAACAGGTGCGCATAATCCACGAAGGGGGGCTGGAGCATGAGTCTCACTCGACAGTAGTCCGCATAGGTCTGACAGTCGGCGTTATAACTGTGCAAGAAGCCTGTTGACAAGGCCTTGTCCCACTGCGTGATTCGGTCCCCGGCTAATCCTCCGCGATCCCGGTTGCTACACTGAGTCTCAAACCATTCTCTCTTCTTGCGCTGCTCCTCAGTGGGTGTCATCCGCTCTGTACGTCTCGGCCAAATCCATCCACCCACGGAAACCACCAGCATCTTCTGCACACGGATGTCCCTCCCCATCAACGCAAATGAAGTGGGCGGAATGCACGGTCCGACCCGTGATCGTGATTCTGTGCGTCCAGCAATCACCAAAGTCATATTCGTATTCAAGGTCATTTCCGCGGTACTTAGCATTCTCAAGAACTTCATACAACTTCAATATGTTGCTGCTCTTCTCTGGCGTTCGTGGACGCGATCTCCTCCCGCTGTGCATGGTATCTACGGCGCTGAATAGACCTGGCGGCCCTGAGGCTTCGCAGTGATGCGCAGGAGATTTTCACGTGGCGCGGTTGTCGATTGTTGGCCAGAATTGTAGGCTACGGTCATTCTCTGAAAATAGGAGGTCATGTCCTCTTCAACCTCTTCAGGTTCGTAGTTAGGATCCTTGACTGTAAAATCATATGCACGTGTTGTGGCCCATCAAAAAGCGATCTGTAGTGCGCGGTGCAGTTGCTCGAATGTGGCCACAGCAGGACAGGAGAGCTTCCGCAAATCGAGGGATTTTCAACGTCCCCCAACATCAAATGCACCTTCATCAGATAGTTCTGGGCAGAGGCGGCTTCCTGCTCTGCTTTTGATACACAGAGTTATTTGTGTGAAGGCCAATCCGTTCTTTGACACTCCTGAGTGTAGTAGAATGCGTTTTGACATTTTGTACACCGCTTTATGACTCGGGTACCTCCGACTGTAGCTTTTTGCAAAAGCTACACGAGCGCTGCCGCACCATTTGTCGCCATATGGTTCGGACTTGAGATCGATCGCTAGATATGTCTTCTAGATTTCTAGCTCGTTGCAATATCAATTTGCAGCTAAAGAGTCCAAAGTGTCTATGGACGGTGATGGATGCCACGGAGGGCACGCATGAGGTGCGACGTAAAAAATAGATACACTAACTGGACTAGGCCTAGCCCCGGTAAAGGAGCTCCGAGCCTCCGACTCTCCGAGTTTATTCTCAACACGCAGGTGGTGGTGCCAAGACGGAACATCAGATAGTCCGCTCCGCTGTTGCCGGCATGTCAAGTTTCCGACTCTCGCACCTACATACGCAGCGGCTACAGCAGCTATCCCGAGAATCCTCTCCCGCTTCATACACAACGCCGCCAGCAGCATGACACCTCCTGCGACGGGGATTAGCACAAACACTTTCTGCATCGCGTTGACAAGCGCCACGATGACCTCCTCGCGCAACGCTCCATGCACTTGCTCTAGCACCTTGCTCTGAACGCCTGCAACAGCGCTCTCGATATCTTGCTCTGAAAAGTTCTGGCCTGACAGAACAGGCCGTAGATTTCTGACTGCGATCGAGTGGAAAATCTGGCCCGCGACCGCGAGTGCGATGACCTGGCCTCCAAGCTGCGACACGTTCTGCATGCTGAGCGCCGCCCCAGCGTTCTCCGGTTTCGTGGTAAGCGAAGCGATCGAATAGCCAGTCAACATAGCCAGGCCACTGCCGATGGCTGTGATCACACACAAGCCATACAGGGTTCCGACTGACGTGTGCGGGCTACGGTAAGCTGTCAGAAGGGCGCCGCCGATCGTCAAGAAGGCGCCGCCGATGGTGTAGATCAACATGTACACTTTTACGGCGCTAAGAAAATACCCCGATACTAGATTTGTCGAAATAGCAACGATAACGAAAGGAAGCAAACGAACAGCAGCCTTCAGGGCGCTGTCGCCGTTTGTGAACTGGAAATAGACGGGAATGAAATATATTGCGACGTAGAGTGTCGTGATGCCGGCCGCTGTCTCGATATAGAGGAGTATTTGAGTGCGTTCGCGCAACAAATGGACCGGAAATGCACGGTGAGCTTTGGTCGTGCAGAGGGCAAAGTGCTGCTGGAGAACATATGTGACCAAAGTGACTCCAAAAACCACAAAAGTGGCGATGGCTCTTCCATCGTTCCATTCCCACTGCCCCCCTGCCATCGATAGCGCCAAGAGGAAAGTAACCCAGACGCCAGCACCGAGGATGAAGCCGACAAAGTCCAGACGGGCGATCCGTGCTTGTACACTTATTCCTTGCGAAGGATGAATCGAGGGAAGGCAGAGGCCATAAGCAGGAGCCGAAACGGCAAAAATGACAAGATTGATGTAGAATGCCCAGCGCCAGGTTGCTGGCGATGTTGCAAATGCTCCGCCAATGACAGGACCTAGGATGGCACCGACGCCCCAACAGCTCCCAATCAGTGCCATGTACAAGCTGCGTTCCTCTGGCGCCGTCATGGCCAAGAAGTAATTCAAGGAGCCAAGGTAAATACCGCTACCTCCCACGCCGGCGACGACACGACCGACAATCAAAGTACTCATGGTTGGAGCGGGTCCACAAAGAGCAGAGCCGACCTCGAAAAGGACGACCGTTGCGACGAAGACCCATTTGATATTAAAAGTGTTGTACAGGTTTCCAAGGGGAAGGATGACGCACACAGATCCAAGAGGAAATCCTGCCCCAACCCACACAAGCTGTTCAACGTGACCGAACCGTTCAATGACGGGGCCTTGCACATCTGCTGCGATGGTGGTGTCAAGACCATAGAGAATGCAGCTGATGTAGAGAGCGGCACAGATGACCAGCCAGCGAATACCGCGGATCTGTCGGCCTTTGACCTTCTGTTTGGGATCGATGTTATTGTCAGATGAGGGGTCTTCCGTGTCCTGGACGCCGTTTTTGTCAATCTTCTTCTCGTGCTCGGCTTTCGTATCAGCACATTGGCCCTCTTGCTGTTGGAATGAGATGGCAGACTGAGAGGACATAGCGTTGGCAGATGGAGAACACTGATATTCTATGGGAAGAAGGTAGATTACGGCAGCTCAACATTTTTATACCAAACGAACAGAATAAACATATTCCAAATGTTATAGTAGGAAAACCTCATCAAACGCGGAAGCTTTACATCACAATTGTGGGTATATCATCGATGTATAAGTTTCATCAGAGCCTTACCCTCATCGAAGGAGTATATGGAATTCATAGAATTCAAGGTTGGCTAAATATTTAGTCAAAATCGATACGAAGGCCATCCAGAGCGGTGTATTATGTGTCGATTGTCGGCCCGGAAGCCTCCACGGAGGGTTCAGAAACTGTATACATGGTTGCGCTAGGGTGATTTCATGGGCCTCAGAGAGTTTGAGCTTAGACCATCGACTAATAAGTGGGTATTCAATTTTCATGTTTGTCAGCAACGGAGTGCAGGACGCCTCCGCGGAGGCTCTGAAATGATGTGGAATCAGTCGACAACCTGAACTTGTAATTATGAATCCAGCACAATCTGTGGTACCATGAATGACAGCCTCGTGTTCATCTTCGTTAAGCTCGATCAACATCGTCGGGACCACGATGGAAGGCTCAAAGACTGGTAGGAAGGTAATGACCTGCGATTCCCACTTCTTTGCAAAAGACGTCATCAGCTAATGCAGAAAAAGTCTTGCGACTTGTGTTACCGGCGAAAGATGAAGTGCGATGGACAGAAGCCTCGCTGCTCACATTGCATCACGTATGAAGTAGAGTGCACGTCCACAGCACCCAGCCGCACGTATCTGCCGAAGAAACAACGGAACTATGCAAACGTCGAGGATGGTATCAGCAACATGGAAGGTCGTTTGGGACGACTAGAATCTCTGGTCCAACAGGCTACAGAGCGTTTACATATTGCTGATAGGAAAAATGAAGTTGAGGCTCCACTCCAGCACAAGGAGTTAGCTACGATTACCATAGCGACACCGTTCACGGTCACGAGAAACGAAGACGACAATAACTCTCCCAAATTGATGGGTCTACCTTCTCTGCAGCAGGCCCTGCCTATCATAGAAATCTACCTCCAAGGCTTCAACTCAGTATTGCCGCTATTTCATGCCGAGACTCTCCTGCAGCTGGTTCACGATTGTTACAATGTCGGACCTCTACAAAGAGACCCAGTCGTATGGGCCGCCATTAATGTTGTTTTGGGTCTCGCACACCAATACAACCCTTTGGCGAGTCGTGACATTCCATCTTCGGCTGCATATCTTAGCAGAGCAGAATCAGTGCTGTCGAGGGTGGTGCTAGGCGATATCCAGCTACTCAACATTCAGGTTTTGGTGGGCATGGTGACGCTACTTCAAGCCTCCCAAGATCTTCAGCCTGCGCTACTCTTAATTGCCACAACAATACGTCTCGCACATGCGATTGGCCTGCATGACCGAGCCTACTCGGCGCACCTAGATTGCCTCCATGCGAAGCAGCGGGCTTGCGTATTCTGGTTAGCGTATGTCCTTGACAAAGATCTCAGCATGCGCTCCAAACAACCGTCAATCCAGATTGACGACGACATCAACCTTGACATGCCTTCGCCAGCAAGCGTCGAATATCATGAGGATGGGATTAAAAGCAACAATACCGTCGACACTACTGGTGTAATCACCACCACCGACGGAGCCGTCGGAATGAACTACTTTGTGGCTCGCATACACCTGGCTGCTGTTGAAGGAGGCGTGTATGATTATATATACTCAACGCGCGCTCGAAAACGCAGTATAGAAGAGCGGTCCCGGGCATTGAAGAGTGTAGTTTACGCCCTTGAGCAGTGGAAGGCTTCTATCCCGTCCGAATTCCACGCCTCTGCGTGCTTAAGCAGAGTACCTCCTGGTATACTATGCTTCCTTGGAGCACTGCACTCCACGAGTATGGCTTGCACAACTCTTATCAACCAAGCCAATGCCTGGGACGTTGATTGGATTGCCAGTATACGCAGGTATGGTAGGCAAGGCATTGAACCGCTGCTGCCACCAAAGTGGGAGATTTTGGTGGGTGAGGCGCGCGATTTGCTGGTTTTATTTGGGGCATTAGGGAAAACAGATCGGTGGAACTTCTGGTAAGTATTCGAGGCTGTTGTATATACATCTGCCAATTACAGTTCCCGTTCACTCTCGCTTGTATTCTATGTATCGATTGCTGTTTAATAAAGCTAACTAGAAATGACATGATGATAGGACAACAGCGTGTTCGCATATGACAGCCATGGTACTTTTAACAACCAATAGCATGCACAGACCGAGACACGAGAACCAGTCTTTGGATAGCCACCTCGTCGAAGTTGGTTTGAAAACACTTGACGAAATGGTGAAGGAGACCGGGAGTGAAATGTTGCAGTCCTTTCAGGGTACTTGCACTGAACTCCACCGGCACACACAACGAAGGCGTGCTGAAGCAACCATAATGGCCAACATTATCAACCAGTCTTTGTACTTTGCAGATACTCAGCATTGATTTGAGGTGAATAGGCATCATGATGACTTCCAAAGTATACAAACAAGAGTCTCATGGATGATCTAGATCAATAGAAGCTGGAGAGTATTCTAGATGTGACGACGATCTGAGATCAACGTCCGCGAGCCTGTGGCAGAGGTCCATCCATATAATCTCTGCTCAAGAGGGGCGTAGTACTATGATTGACTAAGCGGAAAGCCACGGAAGCTCTTCTCGTGCCGTCTATTCTGAATGAATTACCCGTGTGGCAGATTTTCTCCAGTGCTTGTGTAAGTTACTATTACTCAATATCACCATAAATCTCGGACGTTTCCTGCCCTCCGTGGAACCACCCCATGATGCAATTGCCAGAGCACTGCGCCAAACAATATTTGAAATGATTTTGCTACCCGTGGGCACAGGCCTGAAATTCGAGTCCGGAACTGTATTTCTATATGTGTATTTAATGAGCTTCGATCGTCGCCGATCAGATATGGTCACTCCCTCAGCAGAGCATAAAACGTCTTTGACTACTTGATCATACAGTAGATCATACTTCTTTCTATCAAGTTCACTATCAGCGGCAAAGCAACAATCCATAGCCTTTGCCCAGACATTCAAAGTGTGATCAAGCAAAGATGGTTAGCTACGACGGGCCTTTCCAAGGAAATGAGATGTTCAAGTCCTTCACCAGGACTTGGCATCGTAAGTCTTATCCCGCGATCTTCCCTTCCCGCGCCGAAGTCAGTGCGGCTGGAAAAGTCGTCTTCATTACCGGTGGTGGTAGCGGCATTGGCAAGGCCACCGCGATCGCCTTCGCACAGGCCGGTGCCAAAGTCATCGTCATCTTCGGACGTCGCCTTGAGAAACTGCAGTCGGCTGCTGACGAAATCAGCAAGGCCAATCCTGAGGGAACTACCACCGTGGTTATTGAGTGTGCTGATATCAGCCAGCGCGTTGTTTTGGAGGCTGCCTTCTCCAGCGCTAGCAACAAGGCTGGCAAGGCCAAGATTGACATTCTCGTCAACAATGCCGCTCTCCTTAAGCCGATAAACGCTCTCACTACTTACGGAGAAAAGGAATTGCGCGAGAGTCTTGAGGGTAACATAATGGGCTCGTTCAACGTGGTCCAGGCGATGACGCCCTTGCTGGCATCTAAAGCAAAGATCTTGAACATCAACTCCGGCATTGCACATATCAACCCGATTCCCGGTTTCTGGGCTTACGCATCGCTCAAGATAGCCCTTGTCAAGATGTTCGACTACCTCCAGGATGAGAATCCGGACCTCAGCATTTTCAACATCCAGCCTGGCGTAGTTACAACCGAGCTCAACGAGGTCTCCGGTATACCCGGGCAAGATGACGGTAGGCCAATTGCTCCTTAACTCCCGGATACATCCCGTCTCAATGAATCTTTTCACCCCAGATTTTAATCCATACGTTACAATAGCTGATTGTGAATTAGTCGCACTCCCAGCCGACTTCAACGTCTGGCTTGCGTCTCCCGAAGCCGAGTTCCTCAAGGGGAAATTTGTCTGGGCAAACTGGGATGTAGATGAACTAAAAGCGCACGCTAAAGAGATTGAAGAGTCAATGCTCTTGAGGGTCGTTTTGAATGGCGTGCCAATGTAGAGCTAAAACTGAGAAGAAGCCCATGTCCTTGAAAAGCGAAGAGACGAAAAGCTCTCTAGGCGCGCACGACAACAGCGACTGCATCAAAAACTCTGAAACTAAGTTAGAAACCTGAAACTCGAGCACTTGATTTATACGACTTCGAAGCACATAATAAAGCTGCGATTTGGCTTAGTCTACGTGCTTTGCTCGCTGTGAGTTACCTGCGAGCATGCTCCAAGTCAGCAGCTATACTCAAGAGTGTAATAGGACAGAGCAAGGATAGGTGAAAGAGCCACTCTCAATGAGTAACAAGTATTATGACTGTGTCATCTTCTATGTTGTCTGGCTAAGAGGGAAGAGAGAAAGAGAGTAGTGAGGATTAAGTGAGGGGTGGTAATGAGTGGGTGGCCGGTGCAGAGCGCCTTGGCGTCGTCATGTGATAAAGAGACTGGTGCGAGCGAGTAGAATGCCCTCCACTACAACCCTGTAATCTTTTCTCATCCGCCGCTCTGGTTACCCATTAAACAAACGCTGTACCAGCCCTTTTATGTTGGTAGTCCGAATGGAACTTCCAGCATCTCGAGGACTAAACGCTGTAGGTAGCTCCCATGAAATACAATACGATCATACGACTGTCGCGATTCACCGTAGGCACTCATCCCTCGGGATAACGATATCATCACCCTTCTCCTTGAATCCCTGATTGGAGATATAATGTACAGTTCGGAACTTAGAAGTGGAGATATTTTAACAGCAGGTCATCGCGACCGCTTTCTTAAAAGGTCACTGGTTCTGGGATCTCTTCCTTGCCCTGTGCCTCAGATGACCGAAGAGCGATGCGCTTTTTTTCTACGCGAATGTCCTTCCAACCAAGACCCCAACTGAACGCGAAAGTTGCCACACTGATGGCAATACCGAGGTACATGACATGGTCAATGCTGTTGCTGTAAGCGTGCAGGACGGCAGCCAGCGCATCGCCTGAGACAAGTTTGCGGAGAGAGCGGAATCCAGTGCCGATGATGATATCTGGAGCGATCTTGATGGCCTCAACGCGCTGCAGCAGTTGTTTCCGCAGGCTGTTGCTGAAAATCGCATTGGCGGCAACCAAGAATACTGCACCACCCATGTTCTGGGAAAATATGATTATACCCATGGCTATAGGGATCTGCGGTGGAGGGACCAGGTTCTGGACTGCGACGTATGTCTGTTGTATGGGGTAGAGATTAGCTGAATGTGGGACAGGGCTAAGGAGTGGGAGCATTCATCGTCTCGGGAAAGGTAGGTACTCACTCCTGAGGCCATTGCACCACCGCCGACCCCATAAAAGACTTGGTATCCAATCCATTTCGCGGCTGGTGTGGTAGGTGCCAAGAGTGAGAGAAGACCGTAGCCGATGGCCGATATCGAGCTTCCAGCAAGAAGCCATGGGAGATAGTAGCCAAGCACTCCAACTGCGTGGCAAGGTTAGTGAGTGAAGACACTTGAGAGGCTTTACGAGATATCGGGGACTTACTCATTACACCAGAGGTCATGGTGAACAGCACCATACCTACTGTTGTCGGTAACATATGCACACCACTCATGACGGGGGAATCGTCATGAACAGCCTGGAAGTAGATGGCGAGGTAAAAATCTGCGACGAGAATACTTCCCAGGAGAAAGAACATCGTCCCAGTGGCAGACCAGATGATCCGGTGCTTCAGCATAGCGAAGGGGACCATGGCGTCGTCACCCTTGCTGTACTCCCAGACGAGGAAGAGAACAAATGCGACTGCTGCACCGACCAGCAGCCCAATCACCGTTGAGCTGTTCCAAGCGTACTGGTTGCCGCCGTACTGCAATCCCAGAAGGAACATGATCGCTGCTGGGCTGACGAGCATGAATCCTGGCAGATCGAGAGATTTTATCGCCGTGCTTAGGACTTCTCGCACTGTTGGCTTTGGTTTCGGCTCGGGGATCTCGCAGAAGAATAGCAACCCAGCCACCACTGCCCCGATTGGGAGATTGATGTAGAAGCCTGAGATAAATGTCATTCACATCAGACAGGAATTGTTGCCAAGAAAAAGGGTAGAGAAAGAACAAGTAGAACGTACACCAGCGCCAGGATAGGTACTCTGTGAAGCAGCCCCCGACAATAGGACCTAGCGCGAGACCCAACTGGCCTAGCCCCATATTGAGGCCCATGAATTTCGCCTGTGCCCGCACTGGCAAGATGGCGGCGAGGATGGTCATCGCGCCGTTCCCGATGCCCGAGGAACCTGCACCTGCTATGGCTCTCCCTATGATCAGCATTGATGATGACTGGGCGGCGCCACAGAGCAGGGAGCCGAATAGGAAGACGAAGAAGAAACCGAGGAAGGTCCACTAGCGAAGAATTTTTTTGTTAGTTGTTAGGAACATAGTGGACGCGGACGGCGTCGACGTACCTTTGTGGAAAAGTAAGTGAACAATTTCCCCGTCAAAGGCTGGAGTGCTGAGCTGCCGAGCTGGTAGGCCCCGCCGTACCTAATGCACCGGCGTCAGTAGAATATAGCATGGGATAGCGGAGGTTGGCAATCATACCAACCGACATCGACGAGTGAGCCGAACTGAGACGTAATGGCTGGAGTTGCTGTCGACACGACAGCGAGATCGAGGAAGAAGAGGAAATACGTCAGCGTCACTGGCCCTATGATGAACGCCTTTTTGAATCCAGTAGGGTACTCATAGTTCCGTTTGTCCTCGAGAGAGTCGTCAGGTAGTGCGGGTATGTCTTTCTTGGTGTTGTCGTTGTTTACTCCTGACATGGATAATGGATGCTCCTCTGAGAGCCTTAGGACAGCTCGTTCAGATATCTGAGTTCCATGGTCGAGATCAGTGGCCTTCTCGGTCATGATTGTTTTATATCTCGCTGCTGTCTCACTCCGGCTTGTTCTGGATTGAGAAGACGAAGCAACACGGGCTGTTGCTTAAATATGACAGAGTGCTCGATCTAGGACCGATGTAGCTATGTTGACTCGTCGGATTTTGTAAGTGCGAGCTCTACACTCTTTGTATGTTCCGCGCCCTCAACAACCATAATCTCGGATTAATATCCTTCCGCGACCCTTTAAATGGTCCTTCAGAGAAACTTTGTTCGTGTATTATTGCCCCAATGGGGCTAACACGGTTGGTAGCCTTGCGAGACTGGCCAGCTATGCCCCAAACGGCATATAAAAGACTCTTGGCGGAGGGCAGGGACCCACATCTTGACAGCCACATCCAGTCTGGAGCGAGGGAGAAAGAGGTGATTTGACAAAGTAAATGCTTTGTATGCCCTGGAAGCTTCATCTCATATTAAACATGACTTAATTGGAATGTCGGATCTATGTGAAGAATACTCCGAGCTGGAAAAGTCATTGGCAAAAGCGACAGGCCTCCTTTCAGTGTTCACTTCCTAGGATGTAATGTCAGTTGTTCTATGATTATAAATGGATCATTGTACTTCATGATGAGGTTGTCGAGATTATTAATTTGCTGACAATATGCCTAAGTAGTATAGGCATCAATTTGGAAGGTTGGTGATGAAGCGTTCACTGTTCAGGGTGGGTCTCACCATTTTCAGTCGAATATGGTTGAGGAAATAGCCTGAACAGCAAGCAAAGTATACATGAGTCAAGTATGTCTATTAGTGTGCACAAAACCGTCCGATACCTTCATATAACCCTGGGACCTTGATTATAACATAGGCAAGTTCCTTTGCGTATTTGCCAATGCTTTCAGGCGCGTCAACAATAACACGGCCCATTATCCTGTGGACGCCATACGCCACACCCAGACGCCTAGCAATGAGCCTCATGAAGTCCGACAAATCTTCCCAGGGGTCTGACCTATGGCACCTTCGACGCCAAAGTCACTCGTCACATTCCAACGGCCGTGACCAACACAGGGCACGCACCAGAACACTCCGGTGGGATCCCAATAGTCTTTTAGCTCGAGGAGTCTGGGGTAATTGGCACCCCAAAATGTCTGTCGCCAATTCGGCTCCGTTGGATCAGCTTCGTTCACGTAAGCCCCTGAGTCCGGAGAAATCTGGCGAAGGGCTTCGAGCTCGATTTCACGGAGCACTGTCGTCATCTCCTCTTTTGCAGTTTCGTTTAGATATGGCCATGATCTCGGAAGAACTGTTAAAAGTCAGCACTATCACTCTAGGTGCACGCCCAGAGGCATGCATTGGAGATCACCTACCTAAATGAGTGATGGCATCACGCCATGCAGGAAGGACAGAGTTATTCCCACCTATAATATCTGAATTTTTGACCCCGTCACCAGCGACAACATGGCCTAGGATAGAAAACTGAGGGATCAAGGTGCTGTTCTTCAAGGCTTGCTTTAGGCGCTCTGGTTCAATGGAAAGAGCATCTCGACCAAGCAGTCGAGAACCAAGACGACCAGGAAAGCCAACGGTGCCTGGTTGATTGAACTGCCAGAAGGTGCTAAAATCGGAGAACTCATCCAAGGTAACATAGGAATGTACCGGATCTGGCCAGGCGGATGATTCCTTACGAATCGCAGTTTCAAAGGGTGTCATCGTGGCGTTAGCCTCTTGCGCTGATTGTTCAGGCAACAGCCATATCCCAAAGAGTTTCCCTCGAATTGCTGGATCAGGCTCGTCCTCTCCTGTATCTGGAGTCAAGAAGTAATAGCCCATTGCTCCGCTATCAGAAATATTTGGCAGTTGACGGTGGAAGAAGGTTGCTAGATCCCAGAAAGTCTCACTGTTCGCCGTTGTGTTGTAGTAGAATCCATAGATACTGCCTGGGAGGCTTGGGAACGCCCGGACAGTTACGGAGATGAGAATACCGAAGGTAGATCCACCACCCTAATCGAACAGATTAGCCTAAACTATTGCGCTACCGGTGTTCCACACGGGAAGCACTTACACCTCTCATGGCCCAATAGAGGCCTGGATATGAGGTTTCATTGACGGTCAGTAAAGTCCCATTGGCGGTGACAACTTCCATCTCGATGACTTGATCTGCCCCGAGACCGTATTTAGCGCTGATAGGGCTATGACCAGCGCCAGTGACCCAGCCACCAATGCCGACATTAAGATCTGCTCCTCCAACAATAGTAATGTTGTTTTCAGCCGCGACCGCATATAGCTCACCCATCTGTGTTCCAGCAGCGATCTTGACTGAGGCGGCGCCCCCAGCTTTTTTGGCCCGTTCATCATCGTGGTCGACTTGAATCCCACGAATATTGTGTGTGTACACTGAAATCGCATCTTGACCTGCAGATCTAGCTCCATGTTAAATAACAAAATTGCGAAGGCAAACAAGGGATTCTAACCTCCCAGGGAAATCATGCCCGGTGCCCTTCACGATGAGTCTAACTCCTGTCTTATGCGCGAACTTGACACCTTCTTGCACATGCTTCGCGTTTGTGGCATTGACGACATAAGCAGGGTACCCTGCCGCCGAACAAGGTGCTCGAGCATCAGGCAGGCACGTGTCATCATTGTAATCAGAGGTAAATGGGTTCTGCGCATGGAAAGTGGAATTGCTCCATTGGCTGTACAGAGATTGGCAGCTCTGGTTGTTAAAAGCGGGACTCTGTGGTTGACAGACCAGTCCCGGAGGAACAGGCGCAATCAGTCGGCCAGAGATGGAGTCGTTCAACGCTTGCCAGTCAGACTGAGACGGCCAGTCTGGTGAGCCTGGAGTTGGCTTGCAGTACGAATCGGCAATAGCAAGGCCAAGCCGAAAAATCAGCATGGCGAAGAGGGTTCTTCTGAAAGATGTGGAGTTCATGGTGGTAAAGCTCATGTGTTGCATGATAGCGAGGGACAAAACATAGTTGCCATCCCCAGCTTGGAGGACTCCGCTGCATATACATAAGATACCAAGCGCGGGTTTTCTGACCTCGAGCCACACCAACCAATCTATCATCTGCTGAAGTGCTGAAAAATGATAGCCAGATATTCGTTTATGCTAGGCCATGCATCCAGCACAGCTCAGTGTGGAGACAGTGCAGCCGACAGCACGGCTCCATAACATGCAGATGTCGACACCGTTTTGGATGATTTTGCGAACACGAGTTGGCGCTGATTGGCTGGAGAATACGTCGTTTACAGATCTCGGGGTGTTTTAGCCGGAGCATGGCAATGATAGTTCCGTCCCTGTTACGTCAGTGTAGGCGCGAGGCAGACAGGCACTCCTCAAGGCATTTTCGAAGGCGTTCGGTAGGATACCCATGTCGATCGCATTTGAGAAATTGCCGGCTAGGTGATTGTGTAAGACGATATACGAATACGTCTTGGGTGAAATGGAGTTTGTGGCTGAGCACGCGGGAAACGCCACATCTGGCTACAATGGTGGTGCGATAAACCTAGCAGTTTATTCTGCAGCTCATGATCGCCATGCCTGCTGTCCCACATTTCGATGTGAGCTGCCACTCATATCTCGCGTATTCGAGGATGCCTGGACGATCTTTCGTTCCTGAGCACTGCTTTTTATCATTTCAGCAGATGCAAGGCTGACTGCTTCCTTGATTAGGACTACCCAGTCGCTGGTAATTGATCCCCGAGGTGATAGTGTATCACGGATTCCAGAGGCGGCCTCCTGGAGCAGCTTCAATGGAAAGAGTCCAAGATACCTCCGCGATGTTGCCATTTGAGCATTGTATGGTGGATTTGTGCATATCTATCCTTGGGCTTTGCACCTGAACTATTACGACTTTAGCTTGATCGCCCTTTCACCTGGGGTTGGTAATGTTGCAATCCTCAAAAAGTACCGCTATTCGCTCCAAACATCGCGTTGCTGGTCTTGTTGGCTACCCCTGGCTTGCTTAATGACCACATCATCGATCGATCAATCGATTTCAGGATCAAGCCACATTGATATTTCCTTCAAATGGGCCTCACGCTTGGATTCTTGATCGCCTCGAGCATCTTTCCTTTATTTATGGTTATTTACTTGCTAGTAAATGATTCAAGAGCTTCGGAACGACGTATGACAATAGTTCAGGAGCTTACCTGCCAACAAAGCCCCACTACGGCCTCTTGAATTGTGTTCAATGTCCCTTAAGGCTATCTTGGTGAACGGGTCTCATCGTGATAGATTGAGGTCATGGTCACATGGCAGTGGTGAAGCAACCAAGTAGGAGGAACTGCGGTGGAATTGGAAAAGCATCCAAAAGGAGCCCATGATGGCGGCTTATGTAATCTTGCTCTGGTCAGGGGAAATGCCAAGCCTGGGTGAATTGCGACCCGTGACCTTGGGAATCGTTCGATTTCAATCACTTGCATCATCAAGTCCGTTCAGCAGGACCGCAGTCATGGTTGCTTGATCGTTGACTTGCCTTATTACGTGTCGATGATAATCATCAATAAGATCCTCCATTCTACAAGCATCGCGAAGCAAAGATGACGGACAAGCTCCCTCCCCAGCTCCTCGCCCTTTTTCAGCCACGACCACCCCTTCGCTATATTCCTCCCCAAGACTCAGCTCCGGAGGAGAAAGCTGTCTCAAAATCCCAGCTCTCTGGCATAGCCGCTTTCCTGCCGCAGCTCCAGGAATTCAAGGACACCGATGACTACACGCCGACCGAGTCTTGGCTTCAAAAGCGCGACAGATTGCGACTAGAGAAGAAGCATCGTCAGCTAGAGATTCAAAAGGAGGATTTTCCTCTGTACAAGCCAGCTGATGACCCCAAGATCAAGGGCGATGCCGTAAAGACCTTGTTTGTTGGACGACTAAGTTATGATGCTAAAGAATCAGACCTTGAGCGAGAGTTCGGCAGGTTTGGCCCGATTGAAAGAATCAGAATAGTCAAAGACGAAACCCAACCTCAAAAAGGCAAAAAGGCGCACAGGGGATACGCTTTTGTTGTCTACGAGCGCGAAAAGGACATGAGAGGTAATGATTCCTATGCAAACCCCTACCCCTTTGAAATCCTCCCCTCGTGCATTTTACATGGTAAGATGGAGAAAACTAACACAGAGTTCTATGATTATCTTTAGCTGCCTACAAGGAAACAGAGGGCCTGCGCATCAAAGATCGAAGAGTCGTGGTTGACGTAGAACGAGGCCGCATGGTACCTGGATGGAGGCCAAGACGATTTGGAGGTGGCTTAGGCGGCCGCGGGTACACTAGGCAAGCTCCTGCGAAGCCTATATTCGGCGCTCCTGGATTTCAAGGCAACTTCCGAGGTGGCTTTGGCGGGCGTGGTGGTGGTTTCCGTGGTGGCTTCCGCGGCGACAGAGGCGGCTTTGGCGGACGTGGTGGCATCGGCTACCAAGGAGGTGGCGGTTTTGGTGGTCGACAAGGTGGTTACCAAAGCGGGCCACCGCCTCCTAATGCACCCAGCGGGCCCGGGGGAAGAGGTGGGTATGGCGGCGGCGGTGCTGGTGGTGCTGGTGGTTACGAAGATCGGAGAAATGGTGGTTTCGGTGGAGGCCGGGACAATCGCGGTGGAACAGGAAGTAACCGAGATCCAATTGGTGGCCGAGATCGTGGGTATGAGAATCGCGACCGTGACAGAGACAGAGACCGAGACCGAGATCGAGACCGCGACCGGGACCGATATGGTGGAGGTGGAGATCGACGCAACGACGACTATGGTTCTCGCAAGCGACATCACGAGAGCGACGGGCATGACGACCCCAGAAAGCGACGGTATTGATATCCTTCCTTCCCACCACTGTATTATTCGACGAGACTTGCATTACTTGCATTATTTGCATCATGGTTGGCTGGCTGGTTGGTGGGTATTCTATGGTGACTGTATTACCATTACTTTTGGGGGGAACCCATGCGACCTTCCACTTCTCCTCAGATGCCATGGTAAGGACTTCTTGATCCTCCCACGTGTACAACTGGGAGTGCCGTTGAAAAGATGTTCCAACCGCGCTCAGGGGCTCGCCGAGCCTTCAACATCCACCTCACTCATCTTTGAGTGGAGTGTTTAGACTGAGTCAGATTCTGCAAACCGACTCTTGCCATGCACCTTGTCTGGCTGCAGTTCAAGGCCATGGGCTTGACAGGTTGAGGTATATCGCGAAGCTGAATTCCACCAGTCCAAGGGCTACCCCCTGCTGGTCAGGTGACATCCATCGAGTTCTTTGATATGCAGAGGCATCAACAGGATGTGAAGACCCTTTTGACCTGAAATGAGAAACCAAAGTGTAAGGTAGTGTAGAAGTCTCACAGCTGAGCTCTATCTTTATCGAGGTAGGATATTCTAGTCATTTCTTTGAGCAATTTAATTTATTTTGGGGATTGCAACGGTCAATGGCTCACGCGGGTTCACGAGTTCAAGGCCATGGGTCGGCAATCTGCCCGTAGGGTCACGTGGTAACACTACATCACGTGGACCCAATTTGTTCTCACAGATACTATTTCGAGAAATGCCTCAACCTCAGCCGCCACGCGAACCGTCATTCACTACGAGCTTATGTAAAAATAACACGGCTGGACACGGGCTCACACGGCTAGACGTACACGTTTCTTGAAGGGTTCAATCTCCCCATCTCCCCCTGGCAGCCAAGCCCTCGTTCTTTCGCTCTCCACGCCCTCTCACTGGCCCACTCGACTTTGCCATTGGAGGGATTAGTTAAGCAGAATTTTCACCTGGGTGGATGCTGAGGAATCGAGAAAATTTTGCAACGTGGTTGGCTATGACACACGACAACCGCTAAGAGAAGGTTCAGACGCGCCCTTGACAAACGCCATCTGTTAATGACAACCGTACACGCCCTGGAAAGACATGCGGTCCCCAACGAGCACCTTGATTGGCGGCTCGGTGCTTCAATTACTCAGACGGAGTACGCTGCCCAGCAGGGCCCCTGGTGGACATGACTGTGGCATCATGACAAGCGATGTTTCAATGCAACAGGGCGTGATGTTGGGACACTGTTGACATGCGGGACTTGAATTGTATCATGGATCAATATAACTTTTGAGAAATTTTCATCCAAGGTAAGGAGTATATAAATGTGGTGGGTTGTGCCACCCAGAGCCTCATACCCATTCTGCATCACAATCAACAGAACAAGACCAAGTAAAAAGCAATTCCTATAACATTTCCGCCAACCTCAATTCACATCACTCGACCCAATCAAACACGTCACCTCGATTCAATATGCTCTACGCAGGATTCCATAACCTCAAGGAGGCCGACACCCAGGCCCAGAAGTCGGCAGAATCATCTCGTCGCACTTCACAAGAGTCGAGGAGCAGTGACTCTACATCATCACACAAAGTCAAGAACTTCTTCAAGAACGTCCTTGAACAGCTGAAGCCTTTCGATCAAAACGAACTGATTCAACCCGCGGGATTCTACCAACCCATCATCGAGCGGGGACCACTCTTCCACAGTCGCAAGTCTTCTGTCAAGACCAACAACTAGATAGGAACAGTCAGACATCAGCATACGAAACGAATCTCCTTTGAAGCGCGCTCAGCAACGGCATGATCATATCAATTAGCATATGGGGTTGTGGGACTTTTTTCTTCTATTCACCAATCTTCTTTTTAATACTCCATACTTTTGTACTAGCACCGGGCAACGGGCAACAGATATATCTCGCGAAGTACGCTTGAGAGCGTCGGATACCCAAATAGATCTGAGCAAGATAGACATATTGCTATGACTGGGCGCAATTAATGAAAAGCTGTTTTATCACTGGACAATATGTGTTCGCGTTCTTTTGCTTTTGGTATTATTTTCGGATATTAGGTACCTGGCACAACATCTTCTACAGTGGCAAAACAAAAACAAATGCAGGAGGCAGAAGTGACCGATGACGTTTAAAAGCATGTGAAAGTCATCCCACCTCACCAGCTCTGTCCTGGGGGGATCCCACGGCGAGTAGCAGCACTTGGCTCTCGGCTTTCTCTCCTTGAATGTAAGTTCATTCAAGATGAACTGCACATGAGATTATGGAGGATTCTATTCCTTTAAGAAATTGATGCTTGATAATGGAAGACTAGTGGTGAGAATGTTGATGTCCATTAGGCAAATAAATGTTCTTTTCGCGACGTGGGAGAAGAAGAAATGCATCCCCCCGGACGATGCCTAATTTGGTCTGGGTCTCCCGGTTGCTGCCTAAGCATCCCTGTTAACACAGAAGCCGCCCAGCGGCTACACCGCTCGGTGGCACCTACTCGTACTCGTAGGATTCGGGTTTGTCAGTCACCTTAGTCAAATGACCATCAAATGGCAACCAAGGACTGACAGAGGATATTTGACGAGCGTCAAGACATTGATATTTACAGGCTTGGCGCTGCATGGGGTATTTGCTCTAATAGAGCGATCCTAGTACATCACATGATTACACTTGAGCCTAACTAGTAAGTAACAAAACGCCGTCATTTTGGCACAAATAGCTGCTTTCTTGGCGCATAAACAAATGACAGACTTGTCACTTCCTGTCTGTCACACAATTCCTACCACTCACGGGCGGGGGAAAGCCAGAAGTACTGAGCATCACTTACCAGGGAGTGCCGAGTACTTCGGGGCACTAAACTCCGCCTAAACAGCTAATACAGCCGCTCCTTATGGGAATAAACCCCAGCCTGGGCCGCCTGTGGCACGAGGCATTCGCCTCCGCCTACGCCTGCGCCTGACCTACGCCTACAACGCCTCCTACCCAACCGCACCTGCGTGACTTGCGTATTGGTTGCTATGACCGAGATTCCCAGAGCTTGGGATTCTCTGTCATCAGTGCCACCACAAGCAGCATCACCACCATTCATTCCTCTTTCTCTTCGATCAGGCTGCTCTCCCGACGACGGGGATCTTCGTTGCAAATGACTCCAACAGGCGAATTGTCCCCGTGATAGCCATTGCGGTCTGGTTCCTTCTTGGTAGATTTCGGCATCGGTCGTTCCCGCTGTGCCTGCTCGCCCGGTGTTGCTCCTGCCGCGGGTAGAACCCTGCGTCAACAATCGTGAATCGTGCCTTCCCAGTTGGACCAACCTGCACCAGATCGCCCGCACACAGTTTGACACCCACCACCAACCACCACCACCACCATCTCTCCAAAGCTCTCATCCTCCGACTCCAAAACATCAACCCAACGACAATCAACCCATCCTACAATTTTACACAGCTGGGATCCCGCTGCATTCTTCGTCGCTGCATCAAGAATTACCCTCCCTCTTTACACCGACATCAGATGAGCTTCCAAGCATCACCCATTCCATCTCTGCCTACATCACGCCCGAGCCTGCGCCTGTAGCGCGTTCCCATCCATCACGCACCCCCCACACCTTTCACATACCTATCTCTATTCTTCTGTCCCCTTGGGGGCCTGCTCTTATCAATGGGCAATGCTATATCCTCCTGCTGCAAAGGTACCTTGCCTCTACGATATCTATCCCGCTGAACCCTCTGCTGATGACACGGCTTTTTAGGGCGACCCAAGGATAACCTCTACGAGCCTGCCCTCGCCGACAGTGAGCGTGAAGCCGTTGCAGATCTTTTGCAATATCTGGAAAATGTATGCTGGTCATGCTCATTCCTTTCATGCTCCACACCTACTAACCTCAACACCACAGCGTGCCGAGACAGATTTCTTTTCCGGCGAACCTCTACGAGCCTTGAGCACGCTGGTGTATTCGGACAATGTCGATCTTCAAAGAAGTGCCAGCCTCACATTCGCTGAGATCACCGAACGCGGTATGCTATCCTTAAATCACACCACAGGAGAGATCAGGTCCTAATGTTGCAACATAGATGTAAGAGAAGTCGATCGCGATACACTCGAGCCCATCTTGTTCTTGCTCCAGAATCCAGATATCGAGGTCCAGCGAGCCGCAAGTGCCGCACTCGGTAACCTTGCAGTCAACAGTACGCTTAAGCCTCAAATTTCATACATCGGCCACTGACCTTAAGCTAGCCGAGAACAAAGTTGCCATTGTCCAACTCAGCGGACTCCCTCCCCTGATTCGACAAATGATGTCCCCCAATGTCGAAGTTCAATGCAATGCTGTCGGTTGTATCACAAATTTAGCAACTCACGAAGATAACAAGGCCAAAATCGCCCGCTCAGGAGCACTAGGGCCTTTGACTCGATTGGCAAAATCAAAAGACATGCGGGTGCAGCGCAATGCTACCGGCGCACTACTCAACATGACACATTCAGGTGAGAGTTCATGACACATCCAATTGTGCTCTTTCCTAACACGCTTCCCAGACGACAACAGACAGCAGCTTGTCAATGCCGGTGCAATTCCAGTGCTCGTTCAGCTTCTCTCCTCCCCCGACATGGACGTCCAATACTACTGCACCACTGCCTTGAGCAACATTGCTGTGGATGCTTCAAATCGAAAGAAGCTTGCCCAGACCGAGTCACGCCTAGTTCAGTCCTTGGTTCAGCTCATGGACTCTGGAACCCCCAAAGTCCAATGTCAAGCCGCCCTTGCCCTTCGAAACCTTGCTTCTGACGAGAAGTACCAGCTGGAGATCGTCCGAGCTAGAGGCTTGCAACCCCTTCTACGACTTCTTCAATCTTCATATCTACCACTAATTCTATCTGCTGTCGCATGCATTCGGAATATCTCCATTCATCCCTTGAACGAATCCCCTATTATCGACGCAGGCTTCTTGAAGCCCTTGGTGGAGTTACTTGGATCCACCGACAATGAAGAGATTCAGTGTCACGCCATCTCAACTCTTCGAAACTTGGCAGCAAGCTCTGACCGCAACAAACAACTGGTACTAGAAGCTGGGGCGGTGCAAAAGTGTAAAGAATTGGTTCTCTCTGTTCCACTGAGTGTCCAGTCCGAGATGACAGCTGCCATTGCTGTTCTGGCATTGAGTGACGACCTCAAATCCCATCTCCTGAACTTGGGAGTCTTTGAGGTTCTCATCCCATTGACAGATTCGGAAAGCGTGGAAGTTCAGGGCAACAGTGCCGCTGCCCTAGGCAATTTGTCTTCCAAGGTCGGCGACTATTCAATTTTCATTCGCGATTGGTCCGAACCCAATGGTGGCATTCACGGCTACTTGAGGCGATTCTTGGCCAGTGGCGATCCTACCTTCCAGCATATTGCAATCTGGACGCTATTGCAGCTATTGGAGTCTGACGACAAGAAGCTGGTGAGCCTGGTCGCCAAGGCCGAAGACATCATTCAGATGGTCAAGACGATTGCTGAGAAACATGTCGAGTCTGATGATGAGGATGGCGAAGAAGGTGAAGGTGAAGTAATTGCATTAGCCCAGAGATCCTTGGAATTGCTTGGGAAAGGACCGAAGCAGACTCTTGTGGAAGGCTGAAGTGCAGAAGAGAATTGGTTTTGTTCGACAAAGAATTGAGATTATTATATACCCCTTAGGAGATTGAGCACGGACTGCTGCATAGTCCGCATTGCATATGGAGTATGCGCATTGGAACTATCAGTGTCATAGCAAGGCGTTAAGGGGAGTTGTTCCAAAGATTTGAAAGCGTATGCATGGAAGCAGAGAGCCATGGGAATGGAAATGGATTTGGGACTTGGGACTTGGGACTGGACCGGAACTGCAGGCGGCGAGCGAAAAGGCAAAGGAGCTGCGAGGCCTAATCCAAGGACTCCCTTCACTGATTGTTTCAAGCTCGCATGTATGATTGTGATTGCAAAGTCACCGTTTCAAGGAATATGGACTTCTTCTACCTCTCAGCCGTTATTGGCATAATCATGACAGATCGTTATAGTCGTTGTATCGGCTGCTAATACATATAAGGGACCAACCAGAAAGGGGCCACAATCAACAATGCATTTCATACATACATTATATTGGATATACCAGGAATAACGCAGTCTCAGGGCAGTGTTTGGAGACGAAAAGAGGTACGGAGTACGGATTACTGTCGAGTAATCGATATACGTGTTCGCTTGGCAGGGGACGAACCTACGAGTACCCCATACCCGATTCTTTCTATCAACGCATTCTAGCATTCGACGACTTTCACTCTACAACAGGTGGCATGGCCTCGAGACCAGCAGGTCACAGGAAAGGCCGACTCGGAACCGCTAAGTCTGCCAGTGGATGCATTACTTGCAAGATTCGAAAGGTCAAATGCGATGAACAGCAACCTTCCTGCCAAAGATGTCTCAGCACCGGAAGACGATGTGACGGATACAGGCCCAATTCAACAAATTCAAGACCCATGACCCCTACCTTGGCTCAAGCCAACCCAATGAGCATATTTGGGGTCTATGGCTCTGCTAGTCGACAGGAAACCCGGTCTTTTGAATACTTTGTCTCTCAAGTCATACCTGGCTTCACCCGGATCGTCGATGACAGTTTCTGGCATCAGACAATACTGCAGCTCAGTCACTCTGAATCTCTGATATGGCATGCGGTCATTGCTATGTCATGCCTTATTCAGTACCCGCAATATTCTACGGCTCCTGTTATTCCAGCTAGCCCCAGAGCTCCAACTGCCATCTCGAACGAGCATCACCGCAGGGCTCTCACCTGGTATGGGTGGTCTATCGCTGGCCTTAGAGATCGTCTAACCCTAGAAAAATCACGCTCTGCGGTCGCAGTCATTGCTTGCATGCTGTATGTATGCATCGAATGTCTACAAGATCATGTCATTGAAGCGGTGGTCTTATATCGACACGCTGTGGGCATGGTTGGTCTTGCACCTCCAAACAATCATGAACAATCAAGCATGGCAAAAACTGAAACTGAAATTGAAATTGACCATAAGATCCGCGCTATACTACGCCACGAGACTATGTCGCATGGTCTCTCTGTCCCCCGACCGAAATTGACCCTAGACTCGACTTCGGGCTCATTCCATGCATCTTCCGCTGCTAGAGAGGAGCTGTACGCCCTGATCACCGAATGTCAAGTTTTCATCCAGAATGTTGGGAGGATCAAGGACATGCATGGCAAAGATTGGCTACCGTCGTCTGATCTGATACAACAACAAGAATCCCACCAGGCAGATCTATTCAGGTGGCACGTTGCCTTTTCCAACACGCCCAGCAGTCTTGGTGCAATTCGTAGTCCAGACGAACTCGAGCTAAGATCGGTTCTCTTCATTGCCTACGCGCAGTACTTCATCTGGCTGTCGGTTTGCCTGAGCACCTTAGAAACCGCTTTCGACAGCTTCTTCCCATCCTTTGAGTCCATTGTCCAACATGCTGAAAGAGTCATCGCGAGCAAGAGGCCAGAGAATCGACCGGTGTTCATACTCGAAAGCCGGGTCATTCCATCCTTGTACTTCGTCGCAATCAAATGCCGCCATCCCTGGATTCGCAGAAGGGCATTACTCCTCCTCCGTAGCGGCCCAAAGGTGGAAAATATATGGAAATCTGAGCCCATGGCACTGGTCGCTGAGAAGTCTATTGAGGTGGAAGAGTCGGGGGCCATCCATGCTGAGCATCTCCAGGCTCAGTCATCTGCTTGGGCCCAAACCTCGCCCGCTGATCATCTTCCTCCAGAATGTGACCGACTGTATCAACAGGAGGTCGTCAACACCAAAGACACCAACGGCCGAGCCACTCACGGCCTTGTCCTTTGTGGCTGGCGACAAGAGAAAGACCTTCGGTGGTCAAGGACGAGCTTGTCATTGACCCTCGATTTTCTCTGAGTCCTTCCGCCTTTTTATCGACCTCAACTGGAACAAGCTTCTTGCTCGAAGGACTTAGTGGTATCGGATACCATTGCCGGCCATGATCGCTCTTTTGTTGATATCCCGGACGGTGCGCAAGTATTCCTTCTGCTCGTCCGGTACATCGAAATTGCCTTGATGGGAAGTATTGCCGTTGAATCCTATGCGCCATATCGCGTAGCCCATCACCGTCGCCACGGCTGCTCCGAGGATGATGATGAACACCCAGAGGGAATAGGGCAGGTCGGACATCTTAGGATTGCTGGTCGGTGTGGACGATCGAAATCGGGCGGTCGTCTCGAGTTCTGTCTTTCGAAACAAGTGTTCTCAGGAGTGAGAAAGCTATAGTATGGTGTCCGAGTATTATCTTACGGCCAGCTGGAAGGATATAGGACGACTTTGTTTCCAGAGTACTTTGAGCAGGTGGTAGTACGAGAGCAACAATAGCAGAGCCGGACTGGCGATACATTCCCTCACTTTGTTATATACCCATCTTACTCATGTGCTGATCCACGATCCCTTCAATACACCCTAATCAAGCAGGTGCGGCTTAGCCGCACAATCATACTGTCCTCACAACCACGTCCTGGATCCAACAGCGTCCTCGACTCCGCAACTGGACCAATAAGCCCATAGCTGCTACAAGCCACCCCGTCTCCACAACCCGAGCGCGCCACTCATGCGTCTTAATTACACGGCAGCCATGGTGTTGGCACGTCTCATTCTGCGATTGTCGACTCGGGACGGAGCACCTCATCCATCGTATTCAAGGCTCGAAATGGTGACACGCAGCCAGACAGGTTGCAATCCACGTCACAATTTGCGCTCGGCACAGTACTCCGTACGGAGAAGTTCCGCTAAAATTGATTAGGGGGGCTAGGTCTTGAAAAGGCCAGTGCCAGTGATAGACACTCCGGCGTAGGCTGACCATTCAAGGAGGAAAATCGAAATCACACAGGCACGGGAGCAGAAAACGCCCTGATCGGGCTTGTCTCGCGGGTCCTCCAGGGCTCCACAAACCGAGCGGTCCAATCACGCGCAACGAGGCTGTGCCATTTTTCGGCAAGCACGGTAAATTAATTACGAGTAGCACAACGGGCAGAGTCGAAGTAAGTTCCAAACCACGCGGATCCAGCATACCGAGGATGCAATAATGCATGCCTGGCCCGTTCAACGATTCTCTTGCTGGCACACTGGCGGTTCAGGAAGCGCTCCACAACCCGAGCGGTCCAATGGGTGCATGGTAGGAGCGCGTAGTGGGAGATATCGTGAGACTTGACTACAGTGGACGGAGTTCAGGGGGGGGGGAAGACGAGGTCCTCGTAGAGAGGGTGCTTGGCTGTTTCTCGTCGATACCACGTGTGGTTGATTGAAGGGTTGCACTACTTGCTTACTGGATTGCTTTGTTTCTTAAATGCCAGGCTTGCTTGTTTGCTTGCTTCCTTGATTAAATAGCTTGGCCATGGTTTAATCACCCAGCAGACGGGGACGAACAGTCTGATTTTAACAAGGAGTTCGCGACTGGGTTTACTCGATAAGGCAGTGCTGCTCACCCCTACAATATCTATGCTCGTCCATGCCGAAATCTCAGTGAGTCATAATGAGTTACTGCTAGGCGTGCACATCAAACGTGAATGACCTTCCCGGAACACACACGTAGCGTGGAACTGACGCACAGCACCGACCTCATACAACCGTCTCGTACCTGCCCCCTTGCGAGGATGTCTCCGTCCCGGAATGATCTCTGCCGGAATCGCATTGTTGCATGGCGAGGCCAGACTTGGAGAATGGGGGGAACTTCTAAACGGTCGTTTCTTCCTCCCGTGACGAACACAGTCTGACATTGAAAAGGTGGTCGTGACCATGGATACTGGAGAGGTGTGCAGTGGGTGGAATTGCGAGAAGAGAAGATATTGGACACACAATTCACTCAGAGGTTCTTGGTGGCTCAAGAAGAGCCGGGGTGATCTCTCACTATGTACCTCGAGTTTCGCGATTAGGGGTTGAAATACCTTCACAGGTGTGCTTGTGTCAAATGCTGATTCATGCCCCGTTGTATGCTCAACAAGTTCGAAAGAAAGGAGGCTCGGGCATCAAACCTACCAGGAGCGGCCATCCTGGTAAGGGATTGATGCCACCGCAGATCGTGACACATTCCGGGGTGGTTCCTTTATTGGTGGCCAGACTGGGTGCCCATTCTGACAGCTGAGGCGACCACGATCGTTAGATACAGAAGCGCTCTTGCTACCAGTGGTGGACTGCGTGCCACGCTGCGACGCATGGTGCCACATGCATTGCTGCACTTTCAAGTCCGAAGGTTCGTCTGATAGATCAATAGAAGCCTGTAGTTTCGTAGCATTGGCCGCGTTCGAACCGCTTTTCTTCACGTCGGTTTTGCGACCTTCCTACTCTCGCCCTTGGAAGTCACAACATCCTTCATCTCTTTCCAGCTTGCAGGAACCATGGCATTCCCATCTTCGCTGGTGGCGACCACGACGCCAAAGTCGTTGCCCGCGGAGCTGATGTAATAGTTTCTTTCATCCCCAAGGCTGACGACGGTGGCTCGTAGAATGTCTCCCACTCGGTACATGTCGTTGATCACAGCCTTATCTTTCTCATGGGTACGGATGTCTTCCTTTCGAAGAACAGCTTGGAATTGCAGGTCGTCATCGGTGATTTGTGTGTACGAGAGGATGTCATGGGGAGACGGGTCAACGCTCAGAATGGAGGCCGAGAGCTGGCGTTGTTGCACGCGGGTAACTCTTCCAAGGATGATGGAGCCAACCTTGGGCAGCGTGACCGTGGCTGTGTTGGCTTTGCCTGCACTAGATGCATCGTAGCGAGGTACCGAGATGGTGGGCTTGCTGGATTTGCTGGCAGCGGGTGTGACGAGGCATCTCCCAATGATCGAGGCGAGGATGTTGCTCTCAAAGACATGCGTTCCCGCGCCGGGCAGGTGGGAAGCTGTGCTACCAAGCACTTCGCCTGGAACAACAAGAGAGCTCATAGCGGACCTGCGGGATGCTCAAGCCAGTTATGGAAAGATGCAACGATCGAGTTGGCGATTCGAAGTGCCAAGCGGTGGAAAACTAGAATCGGCACGTGGAACAGAAGTTACGTCACGTGACTTCCAGAACCGGGTCCGCTTAGTCAGCGGCTCTTCCCCCAGCCGAATGACTAAGCGGATCCGCTTCAGGCGTTTCGGGCACTTGGCGATGGGTCACGATATCAGACGGCGAGCACCGAGCATGATAAGTTGAGTTGCCAGCCTAGCGCAACACCGCCTCGATGGCTTCCAAGAGGATTGGTCTCGATTTCTATTCAGCACATGATTCCGTGCATTGATGGAACTCACAGCTGTCCCATACCTTTTGCGAGCTAGTCGTCGCGATGAGCAACACCATAGGCCGCACCGCTTCTCGCTTCGGTTCCTTGCCATTTTCAATGGCTGAGGATACGTGAATATTGCCATCTTATGGGCAGATTTATTTTTTACTGTCGGCCACTTCTATTATCTGGCCTGAGCAATGGAGCAGTCGAAGGAGAAAGAAAAGGAGCAATTCTTATGGGTACACAAGGATGAAGCAAGCCTATCCTTCTCAAGGAGTGACCCGTCTGAAAGTAAACGCATCTTTCAGTTCGTGCAGCACCAAAGGCCAGATATTTCTACTAGGGCGAGAGATGGACAAGCTGGGTGCCACCGTCTTCCACCACGGCTGCCACATCGCGCATCAGCTCGATCAATGCAAGGACGGCTTCGCTTTCCAAAGCTTCTGGGTAAACGGTGAGACTTTCCCAAGTATCTGCGAAATCATGATTTCTGTCCAAACCCATACTTCGAATGGCTGTGTCCCTGGAATCTACTTGGAATCAGTCCAGCGCATATGCGCCCCAAGCATCTCCTTTAATGGACCCCCCGGGCGAATCGTCTTGTCCCCGAACACTCGATTTGAATTGCCATACCACAGAACGAGAGCTAATCTCTGCGGATTTTCCAGATTTTCTAGCGCTTCACAAAGTCTTAGATCAGCCGGCCTCTCGCAATCTCGTGATGGGTCTCAGCAGCCTCCGGCGAGGACTGCCTCAAATGATTCTCCCACTCCGCTGCCGATTCAGCAGTTGATTGCAATATACCGACGGAATTGGGCAACTATCCCTTCCACAAACTATACTCCAGGCTCTGGAGTAGATCCTTTCTCCATGACACCTCTCCCTATCTCTGGTAATGCAGAGATATTGATAAAGTACCATATGGTGATGGCTTCAACTGGCTCTCATGTAGACAAGGTCGAGGTGCTCCCACCACACCTTCAACCCGTAAATCGATACAACAGGGTTGTTGATACAATGCTACGAGAATGCATGCAGAATAAGTTGAAGCTAACATCGCTGCTAATGATAATGTCAGCTAGAATGGTCCACCTCTCGCGGATACCTTTAGTCGGCTCCGCACAACCAGAGCATTACATGCAAATGACTCTAACCTCCGTACGTCAGAAGATGCTTGAGTGTCAGCAGAAGGGCATTCGAGCCGATCCACTTCTCGTGCAGAATATTCATGGCCTTGCTCTTGCAGCGTGGATCTGTCAACACTTCGAGGAGGCTTCAACTCACATACGGGCTGCGAAATCTCTGCTTGGGCTGTTAGATATGAACGACCACTATCACAAATTTACAGCACAGGGGCTGGTTAACATCGATATGATGATATCAATTGAGACTGGATGCCTCCCTGACCTCCCATTAATGTTCGATCCAGGACCACTGACGCCCTCTCGGCTTGCAGTGATCAAGGAGGAGATCGCAAACCTCGCTGCCGGTCGGTCCCAACCAACTGTGTACCTGCAGAGCCCTGGACCACGGGCAGCCAAACTCTCCAATGCGCTCATCAGTCATCAGGTCGACATCCTTGCCGATGCTTCAGCTATTCTAGATTCCAGGTTAGGGCGCGGCTTTGAACAAGCACTGGAGGCCAACTTCATAAGTCCGGCATTGGCCTCCATTCTCCGCGACATGTTAGATTGCGTTGCTGTTGCAAAATATGTATGGCGAACCTCAAGTGCGACTCGAGAGGATGCTGAATGGATGTGCAGGCGGATGCGTGCCATTTGTCATCGTCTCCTGCATTTACCAGCCGAATCACCGATGCTTGCCCGTAAGGACGAAGCCTTACGTCTTTCTCTGCTTCTCGTAGTCCTACGGTGCACAAATAGAATGGCCTTTCGATCTGCTCAGCCAAACATGCGACGTTTGCAGCGAGTGTTGTTTGGCATCCACACGAATTGGTGCCCTCCATCTTTCTTGTCACAGTCGCATTCGCAGACGCCCGAGTATGAAGAAAATGCACCAAATCAGTTGCAAGACCCTACAGCCTTTCGACCTCTACCCAAAATTTCTGGTACTATCTCTTCAGTCTCATGCTGCGAGTACAATGAGAATGCCCTTCTTCTCTGGACATTGATGACCGGGCATTTCAACGCCCAAGGCCAACCAGAGGAAGCTTGGTTCTTGCTGTGTGCAGCTTTCGTTGCGCGTCAGCACCTTGGGATCTTCAACTATGGCGGCCTAGAGGAATTCATGACAGATTTTCTCTTTTCCAAGACGCAGCAGCGTCACAGCCTCGAGGCTGTGGCCTTGTACCTATCGAATTGATTCACTGGAATTCAAACTAAGCATGCCCACTAATCTCAAGGTACATAACTTTACAGCTGTATATCTCTAAAACCTGTACGTGGAATGTACCTGCACAGGCCTTTCATCCAGCAGCTTTGATCCAAGAAACCAATCTATCCAAATTTGCGAATGGACCTTCATAAATTTACCATCCTCTTCTCTGACACAACAACCAAAAGCTAACGATCGGTTGCAAGAGCTTTTGGTCCCTTATTTAACTTTCTCCTCTATCCACTTGTTCAAAACTGCTGCAATTTCCAGGTTGTTCATTTCCAGCATCTGCATATGGCCATTCCCTTTGATACCCAAGTCTTCAAGTCTGATAAAGTCGCACTCCACACCAGCTTGTTTCAAAAAAGCTACTGTTGCGTGGTCATATGGGGCATGATAACTCGCCTCACCCACTTCCACCAAGACCTGTATGTGTTGGAGATTCTTCAACTTATGGACGACATGATCACCACTCTCATCCTGAATCACGATAGATTCCTTGTCACTTTCTGACGGTGGGATAGTAATGAGACAAAGTTCTGAAGGATCTGATATCGGTGGGGAGAATTGAATTGGTACATCAGTAACACCCCAGCGTCTCGCAATCGACCCGTCATGTGGATGAGTTCCTGCAAATGGAGGCCCATTTGGTTCAACCGCAATGATGGCTTTGACCAGCCCCGGACGAGCATCGGCTGCGAGCCATCCACCAGGAGCACCTTGAGAGTGTATAATTAGGATACTTGGACGTCCAATCCGATCGAGCAGTGCAGAAATGCCTCTCTTTTGCGCCCGCTGATAGGCAACAAGGTCGAACATACTTGGAAATGTTGACGCATAAAATTGGTCAAAAATGCTGTCACCAGCCAAACCACTCTAAGCGAAAAATCAGCGCGAAGATTTCTAGTTCACTTCACATGCTTTGGACTCACACCAGGCCATTGAGTGTGCAATTTAGCCTGTGGCCACTTGGCCGCAATCCTTGTCGCCGTAAACTGAGATTCTACAAACCCAGTGGGATAATGAACATGTTTTTTCGAGAAATCAGGCGCAGATCTTCCCCTTGATGCAGTGTCAAGCAAATACACCATATATCCGTGATCGAGGAAGTATGATGCCCATCCTTTTCGACCATCAGGTGTGTTCAGCCAGTTCTAGGTCATGTCAGTTTCCAAAGTTTGCGCTGACCTCAAGTTGGATCGCATACCAAGCCACTTTGACCCCCTCCGTGGACAAATATCATTGGAAACTCTTTTTTGACCCCGTCTATCGGTGATAAGCACTCAACATATGTCTGGTCTTTCATTGTGTAGCCACCCATTGGAGAGCCATCTTCCACGTAGGTTCCACTGACAAAGAAATACTCACGATGGCATGGCGTCTCCATGGCGTTTGCTTCGATCGACATCTTGAGCTCCACTCAGATCACTATCACGCCCAAAGGATCAAGACTATTCACGATTGCCTGGATTCCTTCGCAGAAGCACTTACCAAGACGCAGTCAATGTTGCGAGAATGTTGTATGCTTTGCCCTCGGACATCAGTAAGACTAATGGTCGGCGCTCTTCCGTAGGTTGAGATTCCGCCCGCCGCACAGTCCCCGCATTTCTGCTACCGCTCCAGGATCGAAGCATCCAGATGATCTTCCCGCAAAGGTCGGCTCCGAAGTTTTCTGTTCTGACTCTCTAGAACACCAGTTACGGTTCAAGTTTGCACAACCTTGTGGCCCCTAAAATCGACAAGTAGGAGCCGGCAATTAGCCCCTACGTGCTTTGAACCAAAATAGCTGCTGCTTATTGCTGCCTAATGCTTCTATCAATCTAGCTCTTGGCAACCAAACATTCATGCGAGCCTATCCCATGAGAGTAGGTGTGGCTTTTTCGACTACGATAAAGGCCCTAGGTCTTTCAGCAAACCAGTTGTTCAAAATCAAATCTGCCCAAGGAGAGCAAACGGAACAAATCATAACGAGTATGGTCGTCAATCCTCCCTATAGAGTTGCGTGCTACTAGGGGCCTCGCATAAACATCTGCCATGCATCCATCACCTTGTCAAGCGCTCCCTTGCTAGCCACCTCATGGAGGACTGATCTCTGCCTCGTATGCTCTAAGCTTCGCTCGTCGACAAGTTCCGATTTATCTTCCCAGCCCTCAGCCTCTGCAAAATAAATCATTGAGGTAGGCTTATCCAGATCATAGCCTTGCCAAGGCTCGTTACCGTTCACGAAGGTGATGATATCCTTCGCAAGTCGCTCTGTGCTTCGACGCTGGCCAATTGACAGGTGCTCGCGATAATTCTGCAAGGCAAATACTATGTCCAGACCATGCGTTGCTTCACCTTTCCACGGCCCATCCCACGGATTTGGACAGTTGAAATGATACAGAAAGGCTTTTGACCCAGGAACACCCGATGCTGCCCATGTCTGAGCAAGAGTACTAGTAGCCTGTGCGAAACAGATATCATTGCCAAGCTTCAGAACCGCAAGGGTTGTCTCTGGTGTATTTACTGTAGCAGCTACTGCTAGGTCATAGCCTGAGATAATGGCGGGAGCAAGCTGAATATCAATAGGGTCGAGGATAGTGTCCAGATGTTGGGCAAGAGTTTTGGGAAAGACATCAGTTCTTCCGGCCAGACGAGAATTCCAAATCATGCCCTAGTCCTTGGGTTAGAATACTCAAAATCGAAGTGGGTGGTGGTACTTCGTACTTACATCGAATTGGCAGCCACCGACTAGTATTCTCTTGCAGTGATTAATTCCAGGGAACATTTTAAAAGCATCAGCCGGGTTCACGAGAGACTGATACGTTGTAACGCTTGGGATGATGTCACCGTCCACGATTGGGCCGACAGAATATTGGCGAGCGAACTTGGCCAAATAGTTTGCATTTCCGGGCTCCAACAATTTCTCAATCTGCAAAGCGGGAGCAGCGTTGCTGACACCAAGTTCTGACACGATCGATTTGAACGACTTTTCAAGGAGCTCTAGGCGCCTGGGACGAAGAAGGGATGATCCACTCATGGAGATATACTGATGAAATAAGGCTTCCTTGGAATGAAGATGATAACACCCAGATGCTGTCCAAGTCAGCGAATGCGCGTTTCAAGAAGGCTAGGCTCTACCCTCCCTGCAAGGGTTGCTTGACGTACCTGCTCCAGCACTTTCTCCTATGAAGGTCACTCTCCCCGGATCGCCCCCAAACCCTGCTATATTCCGTTGGACCCATCGCAATGCCAGCCTCTGATCATCAAGTCCATTATTTGGCTTATATCTAGCCGTCTCCATTTCCGGTGAATAGAGAAAGCCGTGCATACCAACACGGTAACTGCAAAGTGACAAGAGTGGTCAGCAGGTCATGGTCGCGACCGATATTGTTAGCATCGCGAGAAAACTGGAAAAATCCTTACTTGACACCGACGGAGATCATGGGCATGTTTATCTCATGGCTCAGCTCTGTGATCAATCTCAAATCGTAATGTGGGTATGAGCTGCTACCATTGGTAAAGCCGCCACCATGCACGAATACCATGACCGGCAATGCAAAGGTATTGTCAATTCTGTCAGCCACGGAAATATTGAGTGTGAGGCACTCCTTATCCGACTGCTGAAAGTCTAGGTGTGGAAGGCTTTTCTGAAACAGGGCATGCTCAGTGGCACAACCATTGGCTGGATTTGGAGCAATAGGTCTAACACCAAATCTCATGAGCGAAGAAATAACATTATCGAGTCCACTTGTGAATCGACAAGAAGGACGCAAGCATAGGGGAAAATATACCCATGTTTAGTGGCGTCCAACTCGACATCCGGGTTGATTGAATGGCCCAAAAGCTCTCCACGAGAAAATCGATCTTTCAAAGTCGCATACTGGACCCCCAGATATTGAACGACAGTCTTGGACCGCCTAATACCAAGTATTCGACCAAGCGTAGGGTGAGACAGGGGTACCAAGTCGGTTTCGCGAGCCTGCGGGGACATCATTCTCACCCTCGATTGGGAATTTCTTCCAGGAAAGCAAATTTGGTGTGTTGCTCGACATTGTGGTATGAGTTTTGAATGTAGCTATATTAAAAGGCTTTCCAGAGCACGTTAGAATGGGCAATAGATCTCAGCATGCCAATTCGTTGTCAATTTTCACCAAGATGGCCCACGGATTGAGGGGGCCAAGGTGCAGCGGGCACCCGCCTTATCGCCGCCCTGCAACGAAAATGACACCATAGCCAACACCTCGACGCATGTCGTATACCAAGCTGAGAATTAGGATTCCCCGGACTGCTCGGTGTTGGTATGTGCGGATAGTGCGGACATAGTCTCCAGAACAAAATGCATAAATGGTAAATCTTCGCAGGTCAGCCACAAGGCACATGATTTTAGGCATAGTTCCTGCTCTTGAAACGACAACTTGCGAATTGAACATTCCTCTCAACTCACAAAATGGCAGCCGACGAGTCCACCGAAAAATTGATCAGCCCCACCTCGATGGGCCATTTTGGCGTACGAACGCCTCCAGAGCACTACCAGGCTATGGTGAAGTGGCACTTGGACTTCTTCGGAGGGAAGACGGTTTGGCAGAACGACGTCGCAACTATGATCACATTCGATGATGAGCACCATCGGGAAGTCATTGTGTCAGATGCTGCGTACAAGCTCATTGAAGACCGACGGCACGCCGCTGGAATCTATCATATCGCATTCAATTTGCCAACACTCGCGGACCTTGCAACGAGCTACGAGCAGAAGAAAGCCCGCGGTATTGTCCCTCACTGGCCTGTCAACCACGGAATGACAACGAGCATGTACTACTTTGATCCAACTGGGAATGAGTTCGAGTTGCAGGTCAATAACTTCGACACAACTGAGGAGGCAAGGCAGTTCATGGAGAGCGCTGAGTTTAAAGAGAACTCAATTGGTGTAGACCTTGTCGTGGATGACTGGATCAAGAAAGTTCGGAGTTGTGAGGACGAGAGCGATCTCAAGAAGAGACCGATCATTGGGAGGAGACAGTCCAGGTGGGAGAACTCAATCTACTTCAAGCTGGAAGATAAGTGAGCTGCGACGGAAGGGGTCAAGTGTTTGGTGAAGGGTGTTTTGGCACCGATGCCCGAGGCGACTGTTCACAGAAGGCGTCGGAGCTCAAGCTCGCCAAATGACAGATCCATGAATGGCAGCATTCTTATCAAGTAAAACTCCCGGCCGTTGACAACAATTTCGTTGTCAAATGCTGAGTTTAACCCCCTTGGGGGCTTACGCCGCCCCGCCTCACTTCTTAATTTTGTGCCCATCTGTTCCTCACCACACTGATCTAGGGCTACGTGCTCTGTTCTCGTACACCTCCTGGAGCAAAGGGGATAACCACGGTCTTGACCGTTCACCGATTGCGGTGCCAACGTGTTCGGTCAAGGGATGGATGGGCAGTGGGAGGGTTCCTCTCCTCACATTCATGCCCTTGCTAACCGCTGACTCATTGACGAAGCACTCTGGTAGGCTAAATAGTTTGGTCTGCGCTCTTCCAGAGCAATCGGCGTTCTGAGACTCGGTCGGGCGGCAGGAATCTCTGGCTGGGAGAATGTTTAATAGTTCAATAGGCTTCACTTTCATTAGGCCTCCTACCAAGGCCCGAGGCGGGCCGCTACTGCACCGTGTGGCCCGAAGGCCCGCGGCTGTTCCTAAAATGGCATCAACTTATGAAGGATCTTTCTCAGTTACTCCTCGAAAACCCTCAGTTGGCACTTAAAAAGATGTCTGCATAGTGTACAATTAGATGAGGGCAACCTAGAGAAAATTATAGATTTACTTATAAGGACGAGGTTCGAAGTATGGGGAACTCCTGAAAGAGATGAGCTACCTATGTCAATTATTTAATCTACCCAACACAGAAAGTAGACCGAAGCAGAGCAACGAGGTGATTGATGCAGCTGCAATCTTGAAACAGTGAGCTTTGGGACTACATGATGCTTGATAATGAAGGCCTTAGCTGAGACAACGCATATTGCTTCCCTTCATTCCGTGATGCCTCACGAGAACAGGCCGAAACTCTTCGAAAACATAGGGAAGGCTGAGACCTACAGGAAATGCGGGCTGGAACAGCTCTGCGTAAAACCCAACTGATCATCAACTAACTACTCCGTACTTAGCTGGCATTCGTCTCATGCAGCATCGGCCCCACACGGCCTGGCAAGGGTGACCCGCTTACCATGTTTTGACTGAGGGGCAGGGTGCTTCCTGCGAGGGAGGATGGCGGGCTAGGCCTACTTGACCGGTAAGTCCTAGAAATGCTACGTTGGTATCGGCAAGAGAACTCGATTGATGTGCGATTGGGCGAGGACCCCTCCACAGCCTCACCATGTGAAATCATTGAAGAGATTCACTCAGGGAGTTGGCGCAGCAGCCTTCTTCATCGTTTACACCCTTCACCGTGAAATTGCCTGCGGCTTCCGACTTAGCCTTATCGCACAATCAATGATACCTCCCCTATGCCGGAATAACATGCGTTTCCGCCGCGACGATGCCACCACAAGGCCCACCAGATAGATCGAAATATACTGTCGCATGGATATCGGCGATTCAAAAAGAACATGTCGCCTGCTGCGCCGTGCTCGACAACGAATACGATGCCCCGGAAGACCTAGTTGACGATGACAACTGTTATTCCTTTGGCAAGATTGGAGCCCATAATGTGGTCATCGCTTGTCTGCCGGTAACAAGAATGGGCGTTGCGCAGGCTGGCATGACCGCAACCAAGTTGTTACACTCTTTTCCCAATCTACGCTTTGGCGTGATGGTTGGCATAGCCGGCGGAGCTCCTACAATCCGCAACGACATCAGGCTCGGAGACGTTGTGGTTAGTGTGCCTAACAATGAGAAGAGGTTCGGCGGCGTTGTTCATTATGGCTATGGCGCAACAATCCAAGGCCAAGGCTTTCAGCAAAGGGGGACTCTCAATTCACCACCAGAACTGCTTCTGAACGCCGTTAATAAGCTCAGGACTGTGCACAGCAGAAAGCCTTTCAACCTGGACTTGTCCATCCATCGACTGATCGAAAAGAAGGGTCCCATCTTGGATGAATACCGCAAGCCTCCCAGCACAACAGATATTCTCTACAAGTCCACGGCTGTCCACCCGCTGAATCCCAGGTGCTGCACCGAACTAGTGCAGCCTAATGTTGCCGATATAGTCACGAGGCCTCAGCGTCTTGCCGGACGCGAGCGTCTCGTCCACTATGGAACCATTGGATCAGCCGACAATCTCTTGCGCGATGCTGTGGTCCGCGATGAAATTGCTGATCGGGACGATATCCTATGTTTCGAAATGGAATCTGCTGGACTGATGAATTGCGATCTGAGGTTCATAGTCGTACGCGGGATCAGTGACTACTCAGACACCCATAAGAACGATAAATGGCAACACTATGCTGCCATTTCCGCAGCTGTGTACACTAAGGAACTGTTAGGAGTTGTTCGAGCACAGCAGAGATCGACCGAATCTGCGACAGGGATCATCGATAACCTCACTGCTCGAAATCGAAGTAAGTAATCATTCTTCGCTAGATATCTATGCCTGACTTCTATAGGCCTCCTCGATCGACTTCGATTCGAAGATATGGACGATAAAAGGCAATATGCAATGCCGGAGCCTTCCTACGATCACGAATACATCTGGCAAACTTCGTTTTCTACATGGCTAGAAAAGCCTGACCCGCTCTATTGGATTAGTGGGAAGCCAGCTTCAGGGAAATCAACTATGATGGCTTACCTGGCAACAAGCCGACGCACGATAGAAATGTTGGAATCTGGAGGAAGAACATTCAAAATCCTCCACTTTTACTTCGACTATCGAGCTGGCGATGCTTTAGGCAACAATATGCTTGGTATGTTCAGAATTTTTCTTTATCAAATAGCTTCCAGCGACGACAATGTTCGGCATCGACTTGAGAGGATCTCAAGTGAAGGAAGATTAAAATTGGACTCCCAAAGACACCTCTTTGATGCAACGTCTGAAGCCTTCGACGAATGTGGAAAACAGCTCTGCATTTTCATCGACGGCCTGGATGAGTTTAATGGTGACCTCTGTGAGCTACTTCAGACTTGTCGATCCATGGTCGATCGCATGTCTATCAAGTTGTGCGTAGCAAGTCGACCTGACAGTCGAGTAGCTCAGATACTAAACGTCCACGAGACAATCACCATACAAGATTTTAACAAAGCAAGCATGCGATCATACGTGGATCGAAAGATTCTGCAACGGAGCGAAACCGACCTGGACATCAGCAAGAGGTTCTCTAAACAGATGGTGGACGATCTCGTGGCCAAAGCCCAAGGGGTATTTCTGTGGTTCAAATTCGTTGTCGACGAGATCATCAAGAAATTTGACCAAGGCCGTTCGGATAGCCAGATTTATACACTGATCAGACGAATGCCAGTTGGGATGGACGCTGTTTACGGCCGTATATTAGGCAAAATATCTTCATCCCATCGTGCAGAGGCAGCCCTCATCCTATATTTAACCTTCCAGCTTAGATCTCTTTCGAAATGGACTGAGCAAGGCGTGGCACCGGGTTTAGACTTTGCTACAACCAATTTGGACCACCTCTGGGGTTCTTATGACTTCATCGTCGAGCAAATGCGCGGGAGGTGCAACATATCGCAACTGGAAGACCACGAAGAGCTTCGTTCAAGAACGCAGGATTTATTACGAGGTCTGATCGAGTTTGCGCCATCCACCACAACCGATGCCCAGCAAGTAGCTCTATGCGGCATCACGGGTATCAGCGTTCGGCCTGTCCACGAGACATTCTGTGTATACATGAATGATACTGGCTGGATTGAGCAGCATTTGCCGCCACTGCTACACCATTACTTCCCAGAACCATTTTGGCTCGGGTTTTGCTCCAAAGTCATCGAGGAGGCGACAGGAGATCAAGTCGTCAAACCACAAGTTTTGGATAAATGCATTCAAGACTGGGTGGCGATCTTACCACCTGTCAATAACATAACACCAAAGGAGCTACTGAAGTGGGCGTATCTCAATTTGAAACAGTTCAAGAAACGCGACCTAACAGTCTTCAATGTCCACAACGAATTCTGTCCATTGCGTGCATCGTGGGTCTCTGATGTGAGAACTGGGCGTATGTTCCAAAAGGTCGTGAAGTTCTTTTCCGCTAATGCACCAGACGTTGCATTCCCTGCTATATGGAAATCACGACACGTTGTCCTAAGGACTTCGTTCTTTCTGCTCATGGACCTAGCGCTAGTGTCTGAAACTCCAGAATGGTCCTCTTTCCCCGTCATCGCAGAGGCAATGCAGTCTTACCTCAATCCAATTCTGTGCTATTCATGGTGGACTTCTGGCAGACCTGTCGATATGTGCCTCTTAGGTGCACTGTTCCAAAGCCCGGAATTAATGGATATCGTTGATCTTTTCTTAGCAGTGTGTGGAAACCTTACACGCTATTTCCGCGATCGCATCACCGGGTTAACACTGTCCGATCTCCAACAGGAATTCTTGTATCAGGCTATATTGTGTCAACCTAGCGAATATCACGATCCCTCTATAACCGTGTTTGAGGAGTTCGTATCGGCCATGACTTCGAACGTTCGGCCCATCCACAAAACCGATCTGTGCTTCTTTCTCAAGAACATCAAGTGTTGGCAAATAGCAGCTGAATTTGCGGACGTAATGTTGAAGTACATCTCCCCAGATCCAACCGAAGAGACGGCATTGAATCATAGCTGTCGATATTTGAACAGAGAAACTGGCCTCCTGTTTCATTGGGCATCGGCAACTTGCACCTTAGGATGTGCCTGTGGTGGTGGTTTGGCGACGCACTCGTACGACTTCGACGTAGTGCTCGAACTTCTGGTTGCCTTTGGTGAAGACGTCAATCAACCGTGTTACGCCGGTGGTACAGCCCTCAATGTAATCCTAGACCACTCAATCCAGCCGCCCACAGGCCATGGTGCCATGAATCGGGGCGTCAAATTTCTAGCTCTGGTCGATAATGGTTGGGATACTAAGAGCACCCCTGTGAGAGGGACTTGGATACAACTCGCCCAGACTTTCCAGCAGAAGCTTCCGCCAGAGGCTAAATTGCAACGTAAAGTACGTTCGTCCTCCAAAGCTAAATACTGGTTTATGAATGCGGATGCAGATGATGTCCAAGCTATCATCCAAGATTTGCGACATCATGAATTGCATGGAACTTGGCTAGAGTATCCAGACAGCGGGGATGATTTGTGGGAGAAAGCCAATGGGCTCGATGGAGATGACACCGATGATGAGAATGAAGGATACCTTATAGATGAAGCAGAAGCGGGCTGGCCTACAGCAGACGACAACTCGTCTAACATTGAGCCTATGGATCAAGCTGCGACTGACGATGAGACTTGGAGCGACAATGCTGAAGATCAGGTTTTGAAAGATGACAGGTCAACCAAAGAGCAATTCCACAAATCTATGCCAGAGAGCCCTAGCGGTAATGGAATTTGGAATGATGCCTTAAACGAAAAAGCCATAATGAGAAAGCAAGGGCCTACTCTGTTTCAAGTTGCACAAGTCGGAACTATTGAAGGTACAGCATCTTTCGTACCCAGCATTGATCGCCCTTCATCATCCAGCGAAAGGGCATCACCAACGCAAGAAGCTTTTCAATCTGACCCGCAGTCTTTTCTCGATGCAGCCTTGAATGTAACATGGCAACCACCTTCACTGCATCTGGTATTTGAGGCAGTATCGCGCGATGAGGTTACGGACTTCGCTCCAGAGAAGCGTGACATTGCAGAAAGCGTGGGCAAGATGGAGAATCCGTCTGTCAAGCCGATCCAAGCTCGAATGATACGACGTAAGCCTGTACCCACAAGGTCAGACTCCCCCATAATGGGTACCACTTCTCAGCATATGCATGCAGAGGCCAGTCATTCAGACAAAGGCTCCTCCTCGAATGTGGACACACCTCTGCCAACAAAGTCATTCGAGGACTCGATCAGTGAAAGCAGTTTTGGTAGCATTAAGACCTCGGAATACAGCAACGAGACTACCCGATCGTACCTAAAAGACGACCCTACGCTCTTCGACGATACACCGCCCGATCTTACTCGTCACGTTTCTGTGGACCCGACACAATCTCAATCCCGCACTCCGAACCTGTCTCCGCTCCAGCGAACCCGCTCCCAAAATCAGAGCGCCTTTGTTCTTCAGGCCGAAGCACGGTTCCGAAACAGTTTCTCACCACAGAAATCCCCAGTCATAGGCAGTCCAGCAAGCCTACCTCAGTCTCCGTCTTCGCCACTATACTCATCACACTCTCGGGCCGCAAGTATTCCTGCATATATCATTCCGGATAGCCGCCACACAGCTAGCCACGCCAGCCTGCCTAGCCCGCGCATACGGTCCAGGCCTCCAGTTCCGCGAACTAAACCGTTATTTGAGACTGATACTTGAAACCGAGGGTGGAGAGAATAATGGAGAAGCAGACCTCTCTCCGAGTCCATCCTCTACGATGCCCAAATCTCTCTGGCATGTTAGAGGAGGGAATGGCGCCATAGTCCATTTCCAGGGAGCCCGTTGAGTCTTCCTTTAGACTCTGGTGAGTGATGATCTCAAGATGAGACGATCCTAGGACAACTATCGCGATGCAGCAAGCGGGTTGAGTGGTTCGGGTCGATATCCATCGCCGAAGTTGAGCCAATCTTAGGCTAGTCTGAGTGACCCGAGGAGAATAGTTGGAAAGCAACCGTCAAAATTCCGGCGGTGAAAGAGCTTGCTTGTAGTCTCTATACACTTCGCCACCGACTTCAACGGAATGCCGCAGATTACATCCTCACGCTGATGGGTTCTGTTTTATACCACTCACGTTTCTACACGCCTTGTCATTTGCGGAGATAGGTAGGTTCCCCTCCCGAAGATGAGGCTGAGCTCCGCATATTCCCCGCCATGCTCAACGGCAGACGCTTATCCGCCTGTATTCGACCATCACGTGGACTATTGCTGGATCTTATATCAATGTGTATTTGTTGAGCGAAGTGACTTCATCTATAGGACAACCACTTGTTTGGTAAAACAGGCGTATCAATAAGCAATTTCCACTTCTACCGCCTACTGAATATGACTCCATCTATTGCTATAATTGGTGGAGGCCCGTCTGGCCTTGCACTAGCCGGCCTCCTTGAAACGAAGGGCATCAAAGACTATATTATTTATGAGAGGAGCGCAGTAGACACCCCGCCACGAGGTTCATGTCTTGACTTACATCCGGGCAGCTCGCAGAGGGTCATCAGGGAAATTGGAGCTTTTGACCTCCTGAAGAAGTATGGAAGATGGGGCGGCTGTACACTCCACCTTCTCGCCAAGAAAAACCTTGAGCGGGTATTCGAGTTTGGAGAGGGCCGTGATGCCCCAGAGGTTGATCGGTCGGATATCAAAAGGATCTTGTTGAGTGCCATTCCTCCACAGAAGATATGTTGGAGAACTGCCGTCGTTGGTAGTAAGCGAGATGCCGACGGAAAAATTGTCATCCAGTTAGGCGATGGTACAGAGGTATCCGGCCTCAAACTTGTTGTTGGTGCTGATGGCTCCATGAGCAAGGTCAGGCATCTGGTAGGTATTTCCAACGACGACATTACTATTATAGAAGCACGCGTCATTGACCTAAAAACAGATTCACTCTGCTGTACCAGTTTATTCGGGCTATGTTTCCGTTCCCACGAACCTCAGTCCTTCAAATGCTCACTATCATGTGATGGAAAAGGCGGCTGGGGAGGCGAATCTCGTCGCTCTCGGTGATGGTAAGGTTATATGGACCGCGCCTCAAGGCGACGGTACATACCGGAACGAACTTGTCATCCCAGCTCCCGAGGACTTTCCAAAGAACACAGGGGTCGATTTCAACGATGACGAGGCTGCCAAGGAGTTCTTCCTCCGAGACGAGTATTTTGGAACATTCGCCCCTGAGATTCGAGAAGTCATCAAGTACAGCGAGGGGGACTGGAGGCCATGGAGGCTCTATCACATGCCTGCGAACTGTTTCAATTGGGAAGCGTCGTCTGACGTTACTCTGATTGGCGACGCTGCTCACGTCACCACGCCGTGGGTCGGAGACGGAGTCAACTGTGCTATTCGAGATGCGCTCATCTTGGCGAACAAGTTGGATGAGTTCGGGATCACGAAGGAAGCCGTTGCCGCATACGAAAAGGAGATGTTTGTCTGGGCAGAGGACCTTGTTCGGAGAAGTATACAGAGTGCGGAGCTGTTTCTGGCAAAGGATAACCCGAAGTCACTAGTGGAATTTTTCAAGACTTCGTTCGCGACGCTTATTGGGACCACAGACAATCTATGATGTCTGCCAGGCTTTTAGTGGCGCTCATCATATATGAGTAGGATACTTAGTATGTACCCTTGATACTCGTAACATTTTCAGACTGCTTTACACTTGTTAGTTACCAGCGCACAGATGTGCTGTGCTAGTAGAATTCCGGGCTTACATCTTTCCCAAAAGTCATTGACAATGCTATAATGACACATCATCTAATCGGTCAGCACAAAGCCATCTGCATAGAGTCCTGAGTACAATGACGTGCATACCAGTGAACCTGAGTTCCTATGAATCAAAAGTCAAGTGGTGGAGACATGGCTTCCAATTGAGAGAGAAACGGCAGAAACGGCCAATTGAGAGTTCCAAGATCACCGCTGCTGAATTCGTCATCAATGTCTGGTAGGTGGTCAAACACCAAGTCCGAATCCAGCAAGGGCAGCGATTCGTCCAGGGCGACAGTGAGCTCCAAAGACGGACCGTCATTGTCCGACTGACGTGCGAGAGCCTCGGTCATCGGTGCGCCATGGCTTTCCGCAACTCTAAGCACTGATGCTGGATTGACTTGTTCTGTCGATTGCTGCATTCCTTGCACACGATTTGGCTGGGGGAAATCCGTTTCCTCTTGCTGGATGCCGGGTTCTCCATGACTGAGAACATTCATTGTTTGTCCAGGAATCAAGCGCTTAGCGCTTAGATTAAGGACGTAGCAAGACTTCTTTGCAATACTACTCAGTCCGTCATAACGAGCCAGGTTCTTGAGACACATGTTCCACGTTTCTAGAAGCGATTCTGCGGAGAAGCTCGCGTCGTTGAAGGTGCATAACCTTCCCATCAGGAGAGTACTACCGCTTGTATGCAAAACTACGTCAGAATGACTGTCAGCTCTATTCGACCGGGGTCCACAGGTATGACCTACAGCTAACGTTGAGCCACCAGGCCATAAAGTCATGCATTTTAATGTGAGCATTGAGTGTCTCAACAAGAGTCACCGCAGACATGACACATTCGGCAGCAATTCTGCCAAGCATGAGATCCTCTAGCCCAGTATCGCCAGACATCCTATTGTGGAAGCCTTGATTGTTTTGCTGCTTCTTGAAGAACGCTTCTAGAGCCGGTCGAAGAATGAGTTGGCGGATGTAGAGGAATCTGAATGTCATGAGAAATGAGTAATTCGACGCAAAGTGGCCATACCTTGCATATATCTTCCTGCCGTGGTTCAACATTGAGGGCTGTTGCATACACGGTTCCGATTGGGGGAACACACTTTTTTCTCTGCTATTTTGATCGTCAGATGGGTCATATCGAAGGTATTGAGGTAAGTCATCTCTCCATTTGATTATCACGGTGTCGAGCTTCAAAAGGAGATCAATGTGGGGGCCGTCGTCAGGAGCGTTTTCCGGTCCAACTTCATCCTGGTCAAGAAGAGGCCCCGGGATATCGTAGAGTCTGATGATTTGAATGTATACTTCAAGTACACTAGGAGCATCCGCTGGTTGTGTATTTATCTTCCCAACTTGTTCGCTAATGTTTTTATCGTCGATAGCTTGCGGAAGCTGAAATCTTCTGCTAATAGTTGCACCCACTGGGGACCGTCCGAAGGATAAAGCCATTTCTCTATGCAAGTATGGCAGCGTCAGTCACTATTACGGAAGTGGTGAACGATGTATGTCGTTGGGTACCTGTAACTGAACCTACCTTTCAAGCATCACACACCCTTGCCAAACACGTGCTCGCATTTCGCACTCCAACTGATTGCAGGAGGATGGGATCAAGCCCCGTGCTCGAGCTTCACTGGTGCTATACTGCAGTCCCATGTTCTGTGCTAGACGGATTGCCAGGCCAGATATGTTCTTGCATTTGGAGAATCTCTCCGTGCTTTGAAGATATCTTCCCATGAGGAGGAGAAGCTGGACGAGCTCAATACCCACCTCGTTGTCAAGTATCTCTAGAAGGTCCACTTTCTGCGCTTCTCGAAAGAAGGCGTCCGCTCTGGTGGCATTCTGCTCGAGCTGCGCAGATTCAAATACTGAGACACCAGCGAATATGGCATACAGTGTGGCTGGAAATAGCCGTCCTTGACTCTTCTGCTTGCATAGCCCAGAGCAGAAAGACGAGGCTCCGCTGGTCTTGGGCGCCGCTTCCCAGATTCGAGCGTACTGCCTTCTGAATGTCTCTTCGTGTAAGATCGGAAACACAGAGTGGTTTCGTCCGAAGTATAATGTAACCAAGACATCCGCACGTCTTCGTAATGGAAGACACCATTGGTGTGTGTTTGTCTCGAAGATATGATCGCATTTACAGTCCAACATTGGCAAAGTGATTGGTGGGGCAAGGTGTGCTGCTTGAGGAGCTGCAGAAAAATGTGCGCGATAGGTCTTCTTCTCGATCATCTGATTGATGGGTTTCATCAGCTTCTCAAAACTGCTTGGACCCGAACACTCCGTGGGACAACCTTGGTGTAGACCAGCTAATTGGTACAATAAGGGAGAATGAGGACCTTCATTGTCTTCTGCACACCCAAGTTCAAACTCGTCTGCAAGATTCGGAGCCGGTGAAGAGGCTGCCATTGAGGTTGAGGCCCGAGATGTCACCTTCCCAACATCCTTGGAACTTATGGATGCCCCAGCCTCTGGTGATGCCTCTGGGCGGGGCTGTAACTCAGCTACGTTTGTTACGATCGGTGTTCCTGTTCTGCTAGAGGAGGAAGGTCCTAATTGCAGTATCTGGTCAGTCCTCTCGAGCTCTGCGAGTTGATTCCTCAATGATCGTATCATGCTGCAAGATGTTAGAGTCCAATCCAAAGATAAATCTGACGAGGCTCAGTTGTACGTATCCCGCCATCGCCTCGTTTCTATTTCTGAGGCATAGATGCATTTTGTCATGCGTTTCATGCAGGCTCCACACGAGGGCCCGGCACCATCACAGCGTCTCTTTCGCGCACGACACTCTTCGCAAGCTACGGTAGCTCGTCGCCTCGTTGGTGGTTCTCTAGTTCTCGACTTCACACCATCATGACCATCTAGCTGCATTCGCTTGAGAGTTGATTTCTGCATAGCAAAGCGATGAATCGAGGACAGCTCGGGGACTCCTCTTGGGTAAGTTCAGACCCAGGCGTTATTTATCGCAGAAGCTTGCTCCTAAATCGCAAGACCGAGATGGGGAAAATCAGCGACACTCCCAACAAAGGATTGCTAAAGACATTCGTAATAAAGATCATGCTGTGCCAAGCTAACTGAGGATCCCGAATACATCATGGGGGAACACTCAGAATGCGGGGCCCCTCACAGGGGAGCTTCCTCACTCCAGAAGCTTGCGAAAAGTAGGTCCTCCGGTGCAGTTGGATGGCACCTGATGGTCAAAGCAAGCTGGCTTAGCTAACCCTGGGTCTCCTTTCTAACGCAAAGTACTTGTTTACATCCTAACGTAGTGATGGAGTGACTCCTTTTAGCTGTAGAGCAAATCTCAAGAATATTTTCAACTTTTGGGCGCCGTGTCTCCCTTGCTTGAAGCCGACAGACCGCGGGAGAACTGCTTCCTGACGATACTAATGCTTAGTTTGACAGGATAACTCTCTAGGCCGGTAAAATTGTTCTTGGGATCTACAAAGCGTTGTTCCTTTGCGACGAAGAGTAACAGATGGAATTGGTTTCAATGGGCGGACAGCTTTCCTATTGGTAAGTCATCCGATCGCAAAACAAGCTTCAGGCCACCACCCAACAGCAGTTTTAGTTGCTTAGTTGCGCCCAGAGAATCTCGCGGGCTGGTTGCTTCTCCGTACGCCTTTTGTGGTAAGATTATTCGCAAACCAATCTCTCATCGACGATTTGAAATCAAGTTGAAATCATTTCGGGGTGCTCAGAGCTGAGGGACCAATCGAGGCTGACTGAACCTCTGAGATTGAGCGAAGGACACTGACAGAAAAGCTACTCGTGGTCCGAGCACACAAGGACTATTCTGGAAATGGCCGAGACACCAACGCAGAAAAGCCTGCCTGGCTCACTCGTCTCCACGCAGACTCAATTGGAGGCCTACGATCCCAACACGCCCTTCACTTTCATCAATACTTTCATCCTCCCGTCCTCCGACGTGGAGGAAGCCTTTCTCAATCAATGGGCCAATGTCGCACGGTTCATGAAGACGCAGCACGGCCTGATCTCAGCCCAGCTCTACCGAGGCTGCCCTGATAAAGATAATCGGAACAACATCTTCACAATGGTCGTAGTGTGGGAGTCGGTCCGCGCGTACAGGGAAATGTTGCAGAATCCCGAACTGCTCAAGGTGCACCATGGCTTCCCTGAGGGGACGGAGGAGTTTTATGTCATGGCCACCAAGGTCGCCGTTCCTGGTGTTTGCACAGCCTGATATCATTTCGAGCAACACGACGCCATGTATATACCGGCCCTATTGCAACTAGGTCTTTTTGGATGTCGAGAGGATGCACATATGAGTCTGGGGTACCTCGTACTCCCCAGTGTTGAGTCATAAGTGATGGAAAGCAATGACTTTCGTAAGCTAGACCAGGGTAGCGCTAGCCTGGGAGCAGCCACCCTGCAAGGCTGAATCATGTCCTGGCTGCGAGTAGCTCTCTCCCATTTAGATCAGTACGAAATATTGATTCAACCCCCGGTGAAGATGCCCTAAAGGACTAATAGCACGCTATGATCTGTGATTGGTAATTCTTCAAACCGACCGTGCAACGGAATCGCTTCCGAGACCTTCCAGTTTCATCCGATGAGAAATCGGCGGAGTTAATGCGGAATGGCCCTTTCGGCTTATTTCCCTACCATCCATCCAACTGATTGTAAATCGAACAATGCCCTCCCATATCTACCTATCTTCTGAGGCTTCTAAGGTGTAGTAAGGCGAAGCTGTAGGGTGTAAGTCCCAGTATGGATTGACTTCGGCGGGCATGTGGAACCTTGAGCGAAGTATGTAAACAAGCAAAGTGACGAAGGTCGATGGCTTCTCTTCGTTCGGCCAACTTCCACTCTTGTGTATGACCTTTGGAAGAAGTACTGCCCTGGAACACAGGGTTCCAACTGCACCAGGATGCCGCCGAAGGGTCCATATAAGCTGGTGACGGTCAACACTTCACCTGAACGAGCATGGAGGCTAGTTGGGATCGTTGTCGAGGACCTCAAAGCCCGGTACTCCATTCAGCACCAAGCGAACTGTGCAAGTAAGTCTTCTTCCACCAATTCGAACTTGGAACCACAAAGACTCTTGGTCAAAGCGGTGGCGACCAAGGACTGCTAGGATAGTCAGAGGTCGTTTGATAACCAATGACTAACGCGGAATCACTCTCCGGCAGCAATTGACGAGGTCGAGCAGACGGTGGAAGAGATCCGACCCGACGTTCTGGTACTGTCAATGTTCTCATCATCACCTCTCCGTCCGAAGAATCCCAGTTGCACACACCGTTTCCCGTCCTCATCTGACACAGACACATCGTACTAATATATCTTTTCACAATGGATAGTTCTGCGCCTCGATGTGGGCGCCGGAGGAGAGCAAGAGGATTCAAAACATCGCTAGAGCAATCGTACCAGATATCAAGATACTCGCTCTTCCTTATGGAATACAAGTCGCCAAGGGCCCGGATGCGGTGCTTGACTTTCTAAAGCAGCAAATACCAGAACTTTTGGGCTAGCTATGGGCGAACGGAGTGCTTTGCAGAGCTGGAGGGTTCTGGGTCGGGAGGGCGAGCACACTCGTTTGAAAACGAGCGCCATGTTCCCCATCTGGCATATCTTGTCTAGGCACACGCAGTATTAAGCCTCTGGTGATAGGGACAATTTGGTGCTAAGTGGGTTTGCCAGTACTCCGTATTCATCTCCTACAAGCTCCTATCAGCGATACTTTCAAATCAAGAAACAGTAATGTTTTGCGCTTCAGTCAACCACATTAACCTTATTAAATAGGAACAAGTGAATATCTTTTGGACCATATTACTTGATAGCCAGTCTGCACTGATCTGCGCGACTCATAGGTCAAGAAGAGCCACTGCCAAGCTCGAAGCCTTCCACGGATCGGAAACGGTGTGAATTGACAGGAGACAAAACCTCCAACAAGTGCAGGACGGTATAATGCTTGATCCAATCATCCGAGCTCATCACTTCTACAGGGGAATCTTCAGGAATCAGGAGAAACAACATCTCCCTGCTCTGCTCCTTGAAACAGATCACGATTGTAACATGGAGTACGCTCCTACTTGCACGATCCGGCTTAACCACTCCTGTTATGAGTAGAACAAACTGGTTCAGTCAACCTCCGCCGGCATCCTCCAAGGCTACCTCAGAATCTTATCAAGGTGCCACGGGACAGGTGATGTCGGAGAAGAAATAGCCCGATTGACTTCGAGCTACATAACTTTCCACGTTTTGACCGTAACAAGCACAAGAGTAATCATCTGGCCCAATGTCAACGCCGTATCCGACCGAGACTGCGCCAATGTCCTGGTCGATACACCATTTTCGACAAAAGGCGTAGTCGATTGGCACACCGGTAGAGTCATAGTAAGCGAAAACTGGTGCGGCCATGTTGAAACCTTCAACAGCACAGGACGATGGGGTAGGTGTAGATGTGGAAGTTGTTGTAGTGGTAGTGGTAGTGGTAGATTCCGTAGTCGTAGTAGATACTGTCGTCATAGTTGGTGTGGTTGTTTGCGGGGTGTCTGAGGTGCCAGTGCTTGAAGCGGTAGTAGAGTAGATGTGAGAGGTATTACTTGTGTCAGGGAGGGAGGTTGAAGAGGCGGCACTAGCTCTGGACCAAGAGTGGGAGTAGGTTGAATGAGTATACTCATACGACGAAGACGAGGTGCCAGTGTTTACTGGGCTCCAGCTACTGCTCGTCTGTCTTGGAGTGCTCGAGCTATGTGTCTGCGACTGCCACTGACCTCCGGATGTTGGAGAGGTGATCGCAACAATAGTAGTCTTGAGTGTCTGGGACCAGTCCAACCATGGCTTCTGTCCATCTAGAACTGATGTACTCGTTGTCTTTGCAGTCTGATGACTTCCGCCTAGCCAAGGCTTCCAAGCAGGACGTCCATTGCTTAGTGTGACGCCAGAGTTTCCTCTCGAGCTATCCTTAATAGGAACGGTTAAGGTCGCCACAGACGGCGCGTGAGTGGAGGATTTCCACGGCCTCTTCGAAGTTGGTGTCGAGGTCGAAGAGGTTGTGCTTGGAACCCATTCCAACCAAGGCTCCAAGTGGTCAGATACCGATGTGGCGACGGGAATCCAAACAAAATCGCCATAGCTTTCTGTCACAACGACCTTGCAAATGCGGTCATCTCGACGCTCAAGATGGCCAGCAACGACTCCGAGAAGGGCGGTCAAAACACATGTCCATGGTTGGGCGCGCATCTTGTAAACGAAACGAGTGGAACAGGCTGAAGATGCCTCAAAGAAGTCACAATAACAAATTGCTAAGAAAACTGAAGCAATGGAGGAAGAAGAGGCACATGGCTCGGCGAGGAAATCGAGGTCATCTATCTACCTTTGATCATTGGAGTTATCGTTGTCGCGGGTGCTCTCTGCACCATATGGAGTGTTGTAGATCCTCATAACCCTAGGCAGGGCTATAAGAATAAGGAGAGCAGCAAGTTTGCTGCTGGTGTTGCTGGCGTCACTCTTCATCATTAGCTCTTCCACCGGGTACCAGGTCCTACTCATAAGTTGAGATGGGGCCGTGGGAGCAGGCTTATGGGAAATTGCGAATTCGGTATCATGATCAGAGAATGCCGAGTAGAAAATAGGCGCAATGTGAGCAAAACAACCCGGATGCAGCGAGGTTGCAGGTGCTCATTTCGCTTCACGGTAGCAAACCATGTCTTGCCTAGTCAGTAAGTATCTGCAGGAGTCGCAGCTATCCGTTAAAACATATACACCGCTGAACTGTCTCTGGGAGATTTGTAAAAAGCTGTGTGCGGCTCGTAAATGTATCATGATGTCGTACAAGGACACTCATCCAAGCTTGCAATAACTGCGGCGCTGTGAAGACGTGACGAGGAACATCATGGATAAGATACACCAACGCGGCCTATTTCTTTGTCCCTTCCATATCGGGTCCGGAAATCACAATTGGCGCTGAGCCTCCGCATTGCTTACTTTCCGTGACAAAGGACTACGGAGTGCCGGCTATCGGGTATCTGTTTGGAGTCCGGGAAAAGGATGTATCTTATGGATACTCCGTATGGAGTACCGAGGTGTCCTTCTCAGGTGTCTCCGACGGTTCTTGGGCATCCAATTCCACCGGACGGCACGAAGCAATTTACAAGTTAGCGATGGCAAAGCAAGATGAGGAAACCGAAAAAAAGTACTCGTGGGGCCTCATCTGCCGGGATTCATCGCAACCAGTCAAAGTAACTAGGTAAGTTGTACAGATTCGACACTCAGCAATCGAATCATGAATTCATTGCTTGATCATCGATTCATCGACTACTGGGTAACACTTGACCTGGGATTCAATCGCTCTGACCTAAGGAGAATGTACGGCGTACTCCGTCGAGCACTCTTTCTGTGATTATGTATTTCAGTATATATACTAGAACTTCTAGCGTCAATAAAAGGCTCAACGATTTGAAGTCCACGTAGTCCTACGACTGGGGCCACCCGGACCCAAGTGATCCAAGTGCGAGCCGTGGATTGAGGGGCGATGATTTCTGCTCAATATCGAGGGGCTGATGCTTCTGGCCGAGAGCCGGTTGTCTGCACTGTACAGCGACGGGGGGCGATTGTCATGCGGAGGTGGATGTTGTGCGTGTTCTTCGGCAACACTAGCAGCTGGGCTAGGTGCTGGGTTGTCTCTCGCCTTGATTTTATTGTCGTAGAGGTGCATGGCGTATTTTTCCCAGAGTAGATACAGTGACACGACCAGGAACGTTGTAGGTATCGTGAACGCAAAATACACCCACAGTCTTCGATTCACCACCTCATTCCCATGCAGAGCGTCCCAGTCAAAAACAGGGATGGCGAAGAGGGAGCTCAAGAAAGTTCCAGGCAGGAAAAACATGGTGACAATTGCAATGGCCTTCATGGCAGTGCTGTCCCGCTTGGACTCTTGTGCGAGTATCTGAGTGTCGTTCGCAATCCGCAGATTTTGATTCTGATCACGTTGAGTGATGAGACTGAAGAGCCCTTGGACGACTAAGACAGACTTGTGCTCCCAGCTCTTTGCCTGAGTGAGGAGCTGGCCCGTCAATCGAGCACGACTGATGGCGTGTTGTCGAATGTACCGGCTTGCTTCGGCCAACAATAACTGTTCTTTGGTGGGAGGGCTGCCGTCATCTTTGTCACAGTCCAATTCCATGCGATTGCATTCTGCAATGGTGAATTCTGCCAGCTCGCGAAGTCCCGACAGGTCGTCACATATCGTACCGATATTGATAGCCATTCCCGTGACTCTTGCAGAATAGTCTCCGAGTTCCTGTTCTGTGATGACGGGCTTAGCCGTGTTCCAGTCGACATTGTACCAGAAACCTGTGGCCTGCATCACGGCCTCAATGTCGAGAAGGGTCGGGCCGAACATATCTCGAATCGCTAAAAAGCCCTGCCAGTGGGCCAGTAATCCGAGAAGCATAGGATGAGAGGCATAGCGGCGGTGAGACTGCAGATCATCTAGTAAACGCCTCGCCCATACAGCATATACAGGTGGTGAAGTGCTAGGGCTTCCAATCCACATGAAGGCGCACACTGCCCCTGAACGAGGGGAGTACGCCCATGCCACTTCAAAGATGAGACAGGCACAACGTTCAGTCATGAATTTGTTCTTCCTAACGATGCCGTCTGTCGACCCATCCTGCTGATAGTTTTTGCGATATCGTGGGGGAATGCTGTGAAAAGTGACTAGGCCTGGTGGAACGGGGAAAAATGTCAGATCCAGGCTTTCGAGGATGTTGTTGATTATGTAACCAGTGTCTGGTGGAATTGTGATCTTGGTACCGGCATCGAATGCTAATAGTGTCAGAGACGGAGGCGACGAGGGCGTATCCTTTTCTAGGTCTTCCAAGACTTGCATAAACTGAGGGATCACTTGGTCGTTTGCAATAGGATTCTCCGTGTACTGCCACTCTGCTTGCGCATCTTCCTTGACTTCGATAAGGACAAAGTCACTGGTCGACTGTGTTGGCAGGTGGACTGGAGGGGGCGCAGTAGGCGTTAGGTCATTCACTTTGTTGTCTTCGAGTCTATCGATGTCAAGAACAACATCTCTGGACGCAGATTTAGACTCGGCTTCTGAGCTTTCAGGGTACATTGGTATTCTCAACTGTATGTTAATAATCAATCAAAATTGTGGATTGGGAATGCGATCAAGGGATGGACAAGGGAAGGATCGATAACAATCGAGGAGGATGCGAAGCGAGAAGAACAACGAGGAGTTTTGGAGGATTCCTGATAGCGAGTCGCCAGGCGACGGTCAGGCTAGACTATGATGTAGGCTTGAGGAGATGCGGCTCAGATCAGGGAAGAAAGGCTTCATCCGGGCTCAGCCCCGGTCCGTTGGCGGCAGTGCTGGGCTCGGCTCTACGCCAACCGCCCGCCTTGTCACCCTTTGGGCCAACCATGTCGTGACAAGTCGACAGCCGAAGCCAATTCAATGCAAGGTTGGGGGAATTGGGGGGGGGGGGGGGGGCGAGAGGGTATCTGGAACCTCGATCTCAGCCTTGGGCCTTTTTGCATGACTGGTGAATTCGCTGTTGACTTGAATTGGTCATGATTGCAAGACCAAACAGGCATACGGAGCAACTGGCCCCCATACTAACAGCCTCTGTGCATGTTTCTTAACAGCTGCTGTGGTTTGGTGCCTGGCTGCTCCGTACCTCGGCCAGGACGCCGTGAGACTAGACACAGACTGCAACTGGCGATCAGGCTCTCCCGTCCAGCTCTGAAACAGGGAGGTTACATTGCAAGCCATACCTACAAGCTTGCTAGTCTTGAGGAACTACTCTGTTCTTCGATAAGAAAATTGAAGGCTGTGAACGTGATTGATCTTCGACAGGTTTGATAACAACAAGAGCAGTTCAAGAATCAATAAAGGGGGGGAGGTCTCAATGAATCCTCGTAGTCGCGAGTCCCAGAACGAAGTGCAGGGCGTTCTTAAGTCTTGACACTTTTCAAAGCCTATTTTAACCAGCCCACAACATACAGAAGCCCATAGCACGCTGGACGTGTACAATCTGCCGTCAAAGCACAGTTCTGACAAGCTCATGCCGATCATTCGCACAGACCTTCAGTTCCTTGTAACTAAATATTGGGTGAACGGCACCAAGCATGCGGTGTAGCATGGGAACGGGCCGACAGCAGTAATTGAATCACATCTAGGATACCGTACCAGGTAGGAAGTGTGAATCTGTGTCTGCTACCAATCTGCAAGCCACCAACATTGCTAGCATTTAGACTGAGTTGAAATAGGCACAAGGTACTCCATCCATACGGCTACGTAGAGGATCGAAATGCCCCGAATAACTACCAGTATGACTGTAAAGCACAAGCACAAACATGTGTCTGCCTACTCATAAGTATCGCGCCTGTTGTTTTGCCTGTGTTCAATGTGTAACCGGTCTGTGCCTTGCCAGATCACGCTTCTCGCAGCCATACTGTTATTGATCCCTGGTGCAAAGCGCCTCATAGTTTCGAAGCTTCGCATTGTTGGACCGCCCCGCTCGCCTCGCAACAAAGATGGACCTCATTTCATCGAAGTTGTGTTCCACAATTTCATCCAAATGCTTCCTGTCAGTGAGCGTGCCACATGGCAACAGCGCCGCAATAGTGTTGCAATAAACGGCTGATTGCGTGTGCAAGCTACGGAGGACTCGGTCCTTACCAAATAGCGATCTGTGGAGTTGTATGAAACAGCAAAATTCGGTGCTCCGTATCCGGAGAACAGGGGCAAAACAACACGATGGAAGCAAAGCCCTTCCTGGAAAAACGTGCTTCAGCCTCACGAGCCACGAGCCACGAGCCCGTCCACCACACGAACAGGCTACAGGTCTCCACGGATCTCAATCTCCCATGATGCCAAAGTCAATATGTGGAGCATGGAGGGAGCCCCAATCTCAGTTGCAAATTTGCTTGTGCGAGGCTGAGGCGAAGGGGAATTGGGGAAGCTGGATGGGGGATGGGCAATCACAACGAGAGATTGGACGAAGGACCATTAAATCTGCGGACGTTGCGTGTCGGGTTGCCATAATAAAAAGTAAACATCTCTAACCAAGTCACAGCGCCAGGCTCGATAGTCAGATAGAGAGGGACACAGTCCCGCCGGCGGCCCTGACCTTAGGCGTTCGGTGAACACCAAGTACGACGAGGAAGAAGGGGGCGGGGGGGAGCGTTAAGGCGAGAAGTCCCTAATTTTCCCCCCCACAGACGCATATTTTTTAATTGATTAATTAATCAAAACAAATTGGGTAATTAGGGTGACTAGCAAAGACACAGACACACAAGAGTCAACAGATTGCGACGCCCAGGAGCGCTGCTCATTTCCATTTTTGATTGGTTTTCTTATTGCATTTTCGAAACGAATGAACGGCAAATCTTAAAAACAGATCGAAAACAGGCTAGAAATAACGTGCTGCGCAGATATAAACAAGTCGACTTCGTCCCCGTTCCATCGACGCTCGACCTTGGGGTGTACCTTTGTATGTCTTCTCCTTCTGTCCAGCCATCGACCCATCCATGTGCAAAGCGCACTCTGCTTTCTCTTCGCCCATCACCAATCGATTCCTCCTGCCTTGGCTCATCAGACCATAGGCTTCAATGACACCGTACGCTCAGTTGGTTCTTTGAGCCTGACACTCAGCTTCCCCCCATCGAGCGGATTCAATTGCAATTTGGTAGCCCGACGGATGGACTGCGCCGAGGTCACCAACTGGCAAAGAACCAAAGCAATACGGTGTATGAAAGAAATTAATTCGCCCGGTGCTCCAGTCCAAGGGCCTTTTTTCATCCAAACGGAATCGAGCAAATACTAAAAGGGCTTTCTCACCAAGAAGCGAGGTATTTTTGCCAAACTTTTGTGTTGTGTGAGGAACTAGGATCCACTGTTGACCTATATTCATTCCACCATCGACAAGACAGACTTTTTTTCGTTTGGCTCCTCCGTGGTGTTTGTTCTCCCCCAACCTTGCTCGACTGTGCCAGACCTATATCAAAGCGGAAGTAAACACAAAGGAAGTCCCGATATCCCCAACAGACGAAAAAAGCAAATGTCGTTTCTGATGCATAACCACGTTACTAGACAGATTTGAAGCAGACAACCTTGAACAGGTAAATAAGAACATAACCGAACAGCTATCCACGCTGTTCGTTCGGCAGGCCTCCTAGGCCGCAAAACACTAACAAAAAATATTGTATGTAACAAAAGGTTTGGAGAGATGATGAGCGCCGTCCGGACAGTGCTAAGAAATTGAAGACCATATTGGCAATTTCTGTGGGAATAGAGATTGTATAAAATGATGAATTCTAGGGGATGCGTAAAGGTCGTTCAAGTTGTTACACTGAGCTGGAGTACTCAGACATGATGTGAGTGATGGAGGCCAGCTTGCAGTGAGTGTGGATCGACGGTCCCAAACGGCGTCATCGACATCTGCTCTCTTGGCGTCTGGAAATCTCCCATGTCGTTCATCAGCATCAAGCCATTTTCATCAAATCCTGGACTAGGCATTGGCATGTTCAGGTTCTGTTTTGAGTACATCTCTCCCAGCATCAGCGTTTCGTCCATCATGCCAGTATGGTCATGATGATGCATGTTGAACATATCAGCTGAAGCGCTTCTGTGTAATGCTGATAGTGGTGGTGATTGATCGGCAATGACAGGATCATGGTGTCCCATATGCGACAGCGGCGAAACTGATGTCGGCACCATGTTGGGATCGAGCATAGGAGAAGGTGAGAGGAACGGCATATTGAACTGCTGAGGTGTTCCGAAATCGGAAGCTTGCATGGGTTGCTGGGCTGGGTTGGTCGGGAAAAAGCCAGGGCTGGCAAACTCTGAGGGAGAGGTTGCTGTTGCTGACATTGGTATTTGACGGAAGTCCATTCCATACCCAGCAGATGTATCAATTTGAAGATTCGATCCGACGGCCGTTTGGACCGGATGCTGAGGCATGGGTTGAAACAAATTGTGGTTCTCCGGTGCCATTTGTGGCGACGGTTGCTGAAGATGGAATGTGGGCATTGGACCATGCAGCATGGAGAAATCAATAGCAATGGGCACCGACCGACTTCGCTGTCGTTTGTGTCCAGGGTGCATGCGACCAGGGTGAAGGTGTTGGTTGACACCACCGAATTGTTCTTGGAACATGCCTACATGAGGAGGATGTGGGCGTGCAAATTGCACCGAGGGTTGAGAAGCAGGGCGAACTATTCCCATGTTCGGAGAGACCGGTGCGGAAGCTGGCAGGGCATGGACGTCGAAAGGATTGAATCGGTTCTGGAACGATTCTAGGGAAACCAACTTCGCTAGTTGCCCACTGAGGACCTTGGGATGTCCACCCAAATGATGGGTCATGATTTGTGAAGCTTGTTGATCCTCTGTGAAGTCGCCACACTGGTAGAAGCCACCAGAGCCGGACGAGTCCATGAAGAAGTTAGGTGGCCTGTTCAACTCAATGACAAGACCGCCAGGTCTGGGAGGAGAGCCATTTGCGTTGGGTGCTGTGTCACCGGACTCCAATTGAATGCTCTTGATGAAGGCGAAAGGGAATTCGATCTTGTAGCCGGCAGAGTCATTGTTGATGTAGTATGTGATGCAAGCCTTATCTGGGGAATAGAAAATGACCAAGTCCATAGCATTTTGCCCAACTCGTCGCCACGTACCAATGCTCAAAGATCGACATGTGAAGTGGTGAATGACTAAGGACGCACATATTAGGAGACTGGTAGAAGACATATGACGGCACTGTACATACCAGTTTTCCCTTGAGCATTAGGGTCACCAATCAACATACCGCCACTTCCGTACTGTGCCATTGGGCCTTCAGGACGTCCAATGAGTTGACGGGGGAATGGTCTTCCAGATTCCATGGCCTGCATGGCCAGCAGCTGCCTCAAGGATTCTGGAATGTTGTCACAATCCTCACCGCTCTCTATTGTCTTCTTGGCCAGCATCTTTATCTTAGCTCGGCGGCGGCTAGAAATCGCGTCAGTACATATCCAAAATTGTTCTATAGAGATCAGTATCCTACCTGTTTTGAAACCAAATTTGTACAGATCGTTCGGTCATATTGATCTCGGATGCAATGCGCTCCCGAGTGGCAGCAGTGGGCGTTGGGTTCTTGTTGAACTCAGTTTCCAAAGTGACTAATTGATCTTGCGTGGCCCTTTGTCTCTTTTGGTTCTTTTGTTGTTGTGTCAATGTGCTTTTCCGTGGAGGACGGCGAGCAGAGGAAGAGTTCTGACCCGAGCTACCAGGTGTACCCTCAGTTGGCATTGGAGATGGTGTCGAGTCACCATCGAGATCAAAGTCGATATCGGCTGGGTCTGACGAATCCATCGCGCCCATTGGTTCCATTTTCACAGGAGTGTCCATGGTGTGTAGGGCCGCACTTGTCGAGCGAGCCTTTTCGATCGAAAGGAATGAAGTGCACGTAGGCAATGTATCGTGGAGTGGTAGTGATAGTGTAATGTGCGAGTTCGCTGATCCGAAGGTTCTCTTGAAAGGCTGATCCAAGCAGCTGCAGTCAAGATGGTCTTCGTGATGCGTACGCGGAAGCGTTTGATTCTTCAAAGGGGGTAAGGACCGGATTGGTTGAATGAAAAAGCAACAAGCTTAAGGAATGTGGTCGAGGGCCTTAAAGGAGTGAAAGGCACGCTCGAAGAGAGCTGTTGAAGAACAAGACGAGATAAAAGGAAACCAAGTGAGAGAGATAGAAAAGACAGAAAATGATAAAGCGACAATGAGGTTAGAGAAGAGAAAGAGGAGACGAGGAGAGGTGTAGGGCAGGGCACGGGTAGAATAAAGGGAGGCAGCCCGAACGAACCGAAGACCCAGCAAGACCGCAGAGGCCACCCAGCAGACCAAAGACCAATGGGGGTAGCGGTGAAGAGCGTCACCACTGTCCGGAGTCCTCGTACGGAGTACCAAGCGGCTTCTGGCCCATCGAGCCACACAGATATCGGGGCTTTTGGGTCTGCATGGCCTACATGGCCTGCACCAAGTGTCGCCAGCAGCGAGTCAATAGCGGCCAGTGAAGCATGATGGAGACCTTGCAGAAGCGCTGGCGCAGGTACCCAGTGTGTGGACCCATGCCAAAGGAAGCCTTCAGGAGCCTAAGGAGGCCCCCCAGCTGGTTTCAATGGGTCTCAAGCTTCTGAGCATTCGGGACAGGACCCATTTTCAAGGCACCGCATCCATTCTTGGTCTGGTCTCCTTTCCATGGGCGTCATTAGCCTGGAGAAAACCACATTGACCTCCTCGTAAGCGTTAGTAAAGTCTTTGGGCTCTAGGATGTAAAGAGCTTAGGCGTTCTTTTGGGTGGGGTCCTTCTTAACCTTCTTTGCTCCAGGGCACCCTAGTCTTCCATAGCAAAACACCCCCTGTCTGAACGCGCCGAACACCCTCCCAGGGAGGAGTCATGTCAAAACAATCCATGTCACAACATGGATGATGGTGTCCGTCTCACTCTTTTCACGCTAGGATTCGTTCAGGGAGGCTAAAGCTCGCTCGTTACAGTATTCTTCCGAAGGCTTTAGCAGCGTGACCTTGATGGGGTTTTGGCCCGGGCTAGAGTACACGTAACCCGCTGGTGGTATTGATTGTTCTATTCCGACGAAGGAAGAAATGGTAGGTCAAGAACGGAGGTGCGTGTTCTAATGCCCTCATGAAGGTCGTCGGTACTCCGTACAGCATTATTGCAGAAATCCAATTTATCTTTGCATGGTGGTAACCCTGTCTGCACGCGTCCGAGACACGAAGTCACGCTTCGATGCAGGCGCCAGAACAGGAAGAAGGCCAAGGGAAGACCACCGCTTGAGCGGCCGAGTGCCAAATGCTCCGGGATGTCTTCAACGTAACCATAGGGCCAGGAATGGGTGCCAGGGACTTCGGCCTTGCTACAATCTGGTTGAAGATGCCCCCTCCGCTCTCTACTCCCACTAGCTGTGACTCGGTGTGATTTGACAATAGCCTTGTAGACCATAGGCAATGCCGTTAATGATACAGCCAGTCAGTGTGACGGGCTCATACCTCTTGAAAACTCCGGGCTTCCCACGCTGTTTGATCAACTGTTTTCTAATAGTTACGATAGAACCAATAAAGGCGGCCGATAACTTTGGTTGTTCGCCAGCCTCAGCCAGGCATGGTCGACAGCGAAATGATTGGACCTTTGGGGCAGGCGGTTTCGCTGTCAGGTTGAATATGGCAGCGGCTACGATTTGCCACCAGCAGGAAAGCGGTTCCAGGCGCGGTCATCGGTCAGGCAATCTTTCAGTTATCGCTTGACCAGTTTTGAGATGGTGCCCCCGTGTTTTGGACGGGAGCCTCCAAACCCAGGCATTGGACAGCCTGACAGTCAGCTGTGGTCAAATCGCCAAATCATTAAATACGTGGCGTGCCTACAACTGTCACACGACGCAGCGCTGGTGATCTTGAGCAAACAGCTATTCGAGAGGCTGGAGCTTTTGTGCTTCATCGATGCAGGCACCGAGTTTCAGAAGGGCCGTTGGTGTCGCACACGTGCAAAGAGTGGTGTGTCATGGATCGAAATCTCCTGAAGATCCAACTCATGTTCAGGTGGACTAAGGATCAGGGCAAAATAGGCCGAAGCTGCATGTCGTGCATGGGTAGTGCAACAACCATACCAAAGCCACAGCCAAGGCCGAGCTCGCCCAGTCTGCACTACTCGTATGTGCTCACGGCAAAAGCTTCAGTTTGACCTGAGGGAAACCCCCCCCTCCTTTGCGGAGATGCTGACATACTCGCACTAACAGAGGAGGATGATCTGAAGGCAGCCTGTTGTAGTCATGTTGAAGATGTCACATCATTTCTGCTGTAGCTAACAAGAGAATAGCGACTGGTGAAGACTGGTGACAAGCAGGCACGAGGCCGCTGGGTGCCCCAGCGTCCATGGCCAGCCTTGAGCCGACCGATAGGGACAGATAGGAGAGAAGCAAAAGTGGCGCGGAGCACGGTGGTTTTGCGCAATAACTAGAAGATCGTGAGGAGCCGGAACGCGCTACGGCCAGCGAGGGGTTCCTCGTACTGGAGCGTGTAGCCTGGAGGCGTTCGTGCTGGATCATGGAGTGCAAGACGGAGTCGAGCAGCATATCGTCCGATCCTCTTCTCGTAGCCGGCGACTGGGCTGTTAGTGTTTGCCCAGCTCCAGGAGTGTGGAAACCTCGGTGGATGTCATCGCAAATGGTGCTGGGCAAGCTTCTCAAGTCCCCCAAGTCAGTCGAAGTCAAGGGAAAGTAAAGTCAGGGGTTGTTGCCCCAATGAGGCATGACCTCATCGAATAAGATTTCGACATTGACCGGGGAGGTTAAAGCAGGAACAACGCAGGTCCCAGCCAGCTCTGATTGGCTCGACTCGGATAGCGCCTTGGCAGAACGGGATAAGAAGGTGGGGCTCTAGTTGGTTCGACGCGACCTCGCGACCTGGACCATCGCGTGAGGAAACCCGTGCAGCTACAGACAGGGGACAAGGGTCATCATAACATGGAAGAAACTGGTGGATTGAACGGCAAATGATATGCAGTTCACAGCGTGGCCTTCCATCTTCAACAGTTTACGATATGCTATGTCAAAGTAATACTGATATGATGGAATGGTGGAAATGTTGTAGTATGGAGGGCTCGTACGAGCACGAGGGAACTCAGTCTCCATGGCCCTTTCCCAAAGCCGTTGCTCCTTCCGGTTCTTTCCTCGGAGAACGGAAATCACGAACACGTGCCAGGTGCGTCTACTCACGGGTATGTGTGTGTCTCTGTCTCTGTCTCTGTCTATCTCTGTCTATCTCTGTCATCGACATTGCAGCCGCAGCACGCAATCTACCGCGACTCGCACTTGGGCTTTGAACGCTGCCATGCATATGCCATTCATCTTGTTTGATGTTCTCGGTCTATCGGGGCTGACTTTGCACTCTTTTTCTGACCTCGTCTGACCTCGTCAAATCTCCAGGTGACGGGATTAGCATAGAAAAGAGAGGTAAAGGCTCCAGACCTCCAATCATCCAGACATAATGGCTGACTTGAACCCAGGAATCCAATCCAATCCTGCGGCCGGCCGGCCGCTGACACAATTGCTCCGTACTCCTTATCCAAGAGCACATTGCCGTGATCTGGACAGCCAATGACCGGTTTCCACACATGCAAAAACTGCAGAGGCTCATACTCTGCCGAACTGAAACTGCATATCGTGAGGCAGAACTGTGTCACAAGCACGCCACAGCAAAAAGAGGAGGCACCAAGATGCTTTCTCTGCTGCTTTGTTTCCTCTTTTCTCTTTTTGGCCTGCCTTTGGCGAAACCCCAGTCGGGGTTGTGCTTTGCCTCGTATGACGCAGGAAGCGGCCAGGAGGGTTTCGCAAATATGTGAGACGCGAACCTGGCCCCATTTGCTCACGACGCTCACCCCTCCTCTGCAAGATCCATAAAGTACGGAGTAATAACGAACATTCGCCCCAAACAAAATGTCTCGTGAGAAATCCTCAATCGCCTGAGATGGAGAAGGAGAAGCCTCCACCTCGTGGGCCGAGTGCCGAGCGGGTGCGGCGTCCCACGAGTAGACTCCGTACTCAGCTGGTCGAACAAAGCACGTGCTACAACCTCGGCCTCCTTTTCTGGGTCCTTCGGTACCCTCGCCCTGCGCTCCCCCTTTCGCGCGGGACTTCGTGCAAGAATAGAGAGGCACTTGTCTCACCCGGGCATGCCCCATCTGGGATCAAATCTGGATTGGTCATACATGGATACCCAGCCGCATCGCTGACAAGCGGGCATCATTCCTTCGCTTATCCCCAATGTATTGCCTAGGCTAAAGAGCCTCCCTGCTGTCTTACCTGCTGCTGCCCATGTACTCCGTACGGAGTACCTACACGTAGATACCTACTTGCCGCCAACCGGTGTTCCTAGACCCTGTCCCAAGGGAGAGCATTCCCTTGAAGTCGCAAACTATACAGAATATTCCTTCCTCTGCAGACTCCTCGGCACTGTGTACATGCTGCAAGCTTGTGTGGGCAACCGAGACAGACCGAGACTTCAGTAACTCTGGCGAATTAGCGACGGCACCACCAAAACTACGAGGTATCAAAGCATGGGACAGTGCAGCAGCTCAAAGTCAAATGCAACACGACCGAGCCTCAACACTAATCATCCTGCCAGCAGAAAAGCGATGCATGTTCAAACGAAAAGTGAAATCCCACGGTAGGGGACGGCCCATTCAGAGCAAAATAAGCAAATCCCTGACTAGCTTGGAGACACCGATATGAAATGATTGCCGGGCTTGAAATTACGAATCCTGTACGAGGACGTACCCAAGAAGCATCTTACTTTACTCGTAGTAGCTCGCATGCATGTTCCAAACCTTGACGCTGTTGGAGGTATAACGATGCGTACTCGTCCTGTGCAGACTGTGCGCACAATCATTTTTCTCATGCATCCGTGCATCAAAATTCCGCACGTCTATCGAGTCGAGTCGAGTCTTTGTTTCTGAAGTGGACACACTCTATCGATAGGGGACGGGATATTTTCTCTCCTCCCGTGGCCTGCGCGGGCCCCGTTTATGGCCTCTATCCCATTTACTCCCTTGTCCTGTGCCTGGGACGACCGCATCATCGTAGCCCAGGCCCTTTTCGCACAGCCCCAAACCCTTTACTGAAGAGGTCCGCGACATCCACGGATTTCCTGGGCGTTTCTGCCATCTCGGTGCCGTCTTCTGCGGTAGTACTCGTAGCGCAGGATGGGCCGCCCTTGCTGTCCTTTCCAGCAACCGCCGTCGCAGGGGAGGAGGCAGAGTGGCCCCTCTTGAGCCAGGTTCTGCCCTTCTCGGTGTTGGTATTCCTCGGCTTGTCAAGCAGCTGCTGGACATGTGCTTCTCGTTCATCTTGCGCCGCTGCTTCCTGTGCCCATTCAGGACTCGGTTTGTCTTTCGTTTGCGTTTTCTCATCTCGGTCCCATCCCTGCTGGAGCAGCGGAGCGGCTGACTCGTCAAACCGCCTGCGCACCTCCGGGTCCTTCTCGAGCCCCTGGAAGACATCGACATCGGACGGAAACATGGTGACGCTGATTGCTTTGATGGAGAACTCCAGGACGCAAACGGCCAGGACAATGAGCATGAGCGTGGTCCACCACAACAAGTTTCGTCCAAAGCGATGCAGGAGAGCACCGTGGACGTTGTAGATCGGACTGTCGTCGGGATAGACAGCCGAGAGGATGAGGTTCCAGAGCCACCATCCTCCCACCGAGAGGAAGATAGCTTCGACGGCCGTGGACGACTTGTTATGCAGCTCGATGAACTGGAGCTTGATGGAGATGAGGATGACGCAGGCACTGTATGCCAGGACACCGAGCGCGAAGAGCGATTGATCCCGCGTGAACATAGCCTCGCCATAGACTGCCCATACAACGAAGTAGACAATCTGAGCCTCGAATCCGCCCAGGATCGCCCACCAGAAGTACAGCTTGAAATTGAAGCCGCGGTTCTGCCGGCCGATGTTGTAGAGTTCCGGTACCGCCAGTAGGGTGGAGGGCGAGAGGTCCTTCTCGAAAACGCCCATGAAGATGACTGGCAGGGATGTGAACAACGTGTTGAACATGGACAGACTCCAGGGTTCGTACAAGCTGGTTCCTGTGTATCCGTTCCATCGTTGGTAGAGTGCTTGGACCACGTAGAAGATCATTTCCTTCCAGAATGTCCCAAGGGTATATTTGCAAATCCGAACGTAGTTCCAGCGCCCGTGCACCAACAGAAGTTTCAACAAAAATCTGAACTGTGCTATCGAGTAGTCCGAGGTACGGGCTGCTTGAAGCCCTTCCTTGCCCGCGATGCCGATTCCAAGATGTGCTTCTTGAATCATCGCAATGTCGTTTGCGCCGTCTCCAATGGCGAGAGTAACTGATCCCTTGACTTTGGTGCGGATCGTCTTGACCAAGGACGCCTTCTGACTGGGCGAGGCCCTACAGCAGACGACAGAGTCCGCTCGGATTGCAATATCTGTAAAAAGAGCTCGCGAAGCAGCATCGGCGTCGATGATCGTCAGCGTCTGCCCATCAATCACCAGAACGGAGTGCGCTGTTTCACTATCGTCCATCGTTGAGTATGCATTGGCCATCCGAGTATAGAGATCTCCAAGTTCATGGTCAAGCACTACAACAGTTGAGTAGTCTTTGATGAGTCGACACGAATGTCCAATGTTGATGGCAGTCTCGCGTTTGTCTCCCGTGAGCATCCACATCTTGATGCCTGCCCGGCGGAATCGGTCAATCGCGTCTGGGACACCCTTCTGCAACTTGTCTTCGATGGCAGTGGCACCAAGAAGTTCAAGTTTCGTCTCGATCATCTCACCCGCTTTCTCCAACTTCTCCTGTCGATCAACAATGCTTGTGGCAGCGGCAGCATATATGTTTTTCCAAGTTGTGTACTCATCTTCTGTTAAATACCGATATCCATATAGAAGCGTACGTAGGCCTTCAGTGGCAAAGTCATCGATGTGTTGGAAGCAACGCTCAAACACAGCATTGTCGTCCACAACGAGGCTTTCATCGACAAGTCCATATATACCATCCAGATGGATTGATGCACGAGGGCTAGCTTGGAATGATGGTCGCCCAGCATTATTCTCTGACATGCGTGGCGAGATGATCTGGACAGATGGCCTAGGTGAATAGAACTGAGAGCTTCTTCGGCGATTTGAAGCTGAACCAACATCGCTCTCTCGTTCTCGCAGCCAGTGATCAATGCTGTTGCGCGTTGATCCTGTTTTGTCAATGGTACCTGCGTCCAGCGTGTGTATGGAACTGCGCTGGCTCATCTGTGTACTTCTCCGGCGTAATGCATGCCGAGCGTCGATACTTCTTCTCAGACTGGCTCTTTTCTCCACATCCTGAACATTCGACGCTGCTAGATCAGCCAGCCGCAGCAGTTTCCTAAGAGTTGAGTCTGCACCTTTACTGAAGAGACAGATGCGAGAGTCAGGGAGTCGTACAATGATCGACATCCTCTTTCGGATGCTGGAGAACTCAATGACGTCGAGGATCTCGTAGGTCTCATGGAGTGCATCCCCATCACTACCAGGGTACGTCTTGATGGTCACAGTCTGCGATTGCCGATCCAACACGACAAATCCCATATCTTGGGCAGCAGTGACCAAGGCCAGCTCGTCCGGAGACGCAGCTTGATATGTGATCGAACCATTTTGATCTGTCTCTGGAAAACAAGTATGGCAGAGAGCTAACGAAAGAAGAAACAGCTTGGTCTTTCGTGCAAACAGTGTCTGAGGGTGGCGCTGTATATAATTTAACAAGTGCTCAGTCCTGGGGATATTACCATCTTCATGGATTGCACTGGTGGAGGGCGACCGAGGATCTTCTGCCTTTTCTGACAGCACAGCGTTGGTCGAAGAAGCTGAGATCGGGGATACCTTAGATATCGACATTTCTGGCTTCTTCACGGCTTCCTTTCCTTTGTCGTCCTTTTTAGGCCGCAGTTTCTCGTGTCTTGCGTCCTCTTCGGCCTCCTTCTGAAGATCGGCATCATGGAGCCAGGCAGTACCGGCTATGCTCATCTTTCGGAATTTCATCGAATTGTTGGTCAGAGTTCCAGTTTTATCTGAGAATATGTAGCTGACTTGTCCAAGCTCCTCATTGATCGTCGATGTGTGCGGTTCCATGGGGATATCTGAGTCCGGGTCATACATATCGATATCATTCATAAAAAATATTTGAGCGACCTTGACGATCTCAAGCGAAACGTACAAACTGAGTGGAAGCATTGTGTTGAGCATGATGAAAAAGGAAGTCAGAATCTGACCATATGGTATCGTAGCCGACTCAAGATACCATGCGCTGCTTTCAAATGTGCGACGCCAAATGATGTAACCGATAGACATCACACTGGCCATGAAAAGTACAAGTAAAGCCAACAGAATGACAATTCGATTGACTTTACCCTGCAGAGCAGGCGCCTTGACTCGAGGGTTTTTATTCGCGTTCATCCGGATCTTGCATTCTTCACCTGAATAGATGACAAGACCGATCGCCTTTGGTGTGTTGCGCAGCACGCTGCCTCTATAAAGAATTTCAGAATTGGTCAGTGGAAACGTCTCGCTATTGACATCCACTCTACCATCGAATTTGTACAGATCCAAATTTGGGTCTTCGACCACAAAGGTACCGGCGAAGCTGGCGATTGAGTCGGAATCTCGACATGCTTTGCTGATGTCGGGCAATGGCTTTTTGGATTTTAGGTTAGTCTCACCATCCAAGCTTTTGGTCTCGACGTAGGCCGTGCCGTTGGGTTCATCAGCATGAAGAAGCACCAGGTCAGCAGGCACGGCAGAGTCTCGCTCTAGGAGCACAATATCTCCAACCTTGATCTCACGCCAGTGCTTTTCGTGCCATTCGACAGTGCCAGTGCCATCGTCTCCGGTGGAATGGAATTTCAGGACCTTAGTCAGCCGTTCGTTTTCCTCTTTATCCAGGCGGTGACGCCTGATATCGTCGTATCCTTCTTTGGCCATGGAAATTGTCACAAATATCATCAGGGGTACGATGGTAGTAAACGTGCCAGTAGTACTTAACCCAGGGATCATCTGCAAAATTGACACCACGAGGAAATAAAAGTTGGCTAGCTTCGAGAATTGCGCAACCAGCTGACGTGGTACGAAGTTCCATGGTGTATAGCGACAGGAGATAATCAAATTGTCAATATATGGTTTGCTCGTGCGTTCATCAATGGGCCCGTCGTCCTTCCGAACATTGACCTTGACGTGCCTGCCATCAATACTGTGCGGAAGAGCATTGGACCGCAGGATCTTGTCACGGAGATCGCGATACGTCATTGATAGCCTTTGTTTCAGCGATTTTCGAGAGCTTTGCTTGGAGACCCAACGGCGATATAGCGGTAGCTCGAGTGCTGGGTCGGACAGGCGTGTCAGTTTGACGGAGTCTCCTTCTCTCACAGGTGCTGCTTCAGCGATGGTGACTCTCGCCGGCGCATCCTCGCCGGCCGCCTCTTGAATGTCACCAAATTTACCATTGGGCCCAGCCATTTCAAAAGCACTTCCATCTTCGGGGGTCTGTTTTTGAATGTTTTGAGAAAAGAGCGACCGTCTAAGCGAATAACCCCGGTTGCGGGCTTGACTTGGTGACTTCAATATGCCAGGTCTCGATCCGGGCACACTCGAACCGGTCGGAGGTTGCTTGACTTCTGCTGCAGGTGGAGCATTGTTTATTGGCTCATTATTTGTCACCTCACACTGCGAGTCCAGCTCGGGAGAGTCGCTCTGCAGGCGACCGGCGCCTCGTGAAGGGTCGGAAGGCATATTGCGCCAGAGGGGATGTGGCAGGGGGCGCGAGGAGGCTTCGCTTGTTCATATCATCATCTAGTTTTTCTGGAACATTGTTAGACTTAAAGTGCATGTTTGCATGTCGCGAGAAGATCCGGAGAAAATGTGTGCCTCACGGATCCAGCTGAGAGACACAAAGCAAATTGGTCTCAAATGTAAGGATCGAAGTGCAGACCAGCTGTCTCGAGAATTGCGCGGCAAAGATTTGGCAGTGGCAGTGCATTTTGCTTGAGGGCCTCATCGAGCTCATGGGAATCGTTGCAAGAAATGAGGGGAGGAGGCGGGATGGGGTAACCAAGATCCGCACCTGAAACTTGGATTTGGCCCTTGGGGATTCCTTAGGACGCCCCTTGTCCAGGCTGTCCTTTAACGGGAAGACGTCTCCTGTCGCCTGAGGAATACCTAGACCACAACTAACCCTTGCCTAAGGATCCAAAGACGGCGCCCCAGCAAATAAACGTGACTCGACCACTTAGTGAGACCAATGTGCTAACTCGATCTAGTTGCCGCTACGGAATATTAGCCCCTACTAGCTCCCGTCACGACATACACGGAAGGTTCTCCGATGGTCGAGGTGCCTTCCCCAGCGAGGCTAAGTTGAGTCATCGAATGACGTATATCGTCAGTCACGTGAGTCGCGTCACAACCGTTTGTGAATCTTTTTTCGCAGTTCCGCATTCCTTTTTGAGCGTCATGGCCATCGGACTGAGTGATCAAAAGAGGTGGGTCGTGGAGTTATAGACAAGAGAATATCAAGCCATCAAACGCTTTTTCTCATGTGTTGATTCATCTATTGCGCTTGCCTACAGTCACAGCGCTGCGCCCTGGCACATCTCCCACCATCGGCGTCGACATGCCCGCTATCCCACCTTCACGGCTTATTGCCCTACAGTCCAATGCGGACAACGTTCGCAATATCTGCATTCTCGCCCACGTTGATCATGGCAAAACCTCCCTCACTGACTCCCTCATTGCCACAAATGGCATCATATCTCCTAAGATGGCAGGCAAGGTCCGCTACCTAGACTCGCGACCTGATGAACAAATCCGCGGCATCACAATGGAGAGCAGTGCTATCAGTCTGTACTTCAGCATGATGCGGAGACAGCAAGGAAATGCCGATCCGAAGAAACAAGAATACCTGATAAACCTGATAGACAGTCCTGGTCACATTGACTTCTCATCAGAGGTCAGCACCGCCTCACGGCTTTGCGATGCTGCAATTGTCCTCATCGACGCTGTTGAAGGTGTATGTTCGCAGACAGTCACAGTTTTACGGCAAGTATGGGTTGAAAAGTTGAAGCCATTGCTAGTCATCAATAAAATAGACAGGCTAATTACAGAACTCAAAATGACCCCCACCGAGGCATATTCGCATCTTGAAAGAGTTCTTGAAGGCGTGAACGCTGTCATTGGGGGCTTCTTTCAAGGAGAGCGCATGGAAGAAGATCTCCAGTGGCGAGAAAACCTTGACCGGAAGAGGATGGCTCGAGAACAGCAGAAACAAGACGCACTCAGCGACAACGCTTCCGAAGCGGATTTAGACCAGCAATATGAGGAGCGTGATGATGAGGATTTATATTTCGCCCCTGAGAAGAACAACGTCATCTTCGCCAGCGCCATTGATGGCTGGGCACTGACCGTGCGGCAATTCACTGGGATCTATGAGAAGAAGCTGGGCATCAAGCGCTCACTCCTTGAAAAAGTGCTTTGGGGAGACTTCTTTCTAGATCCCAAAACCAAGAAAGTCCTAGGCCAAAAGCATCTAAAAGGGCGGAATCTCAAACCAATATTCGTTCAACTTGTGTTGGATCCCATATGGCAAGCATATAACGCCACAGTTGGTATCAGTGGCAGCCATGGAGATCCAGTTCTGCTAGAGAAAATTACAAAGTCTCTCTCCATTAGTCTCCCAGCCCATATTGCTCGATCAAGAGATTCCAAGGCTGTCCTGCAAGCTCTCTTCTCTTCATGGCTACCCCTGTCAACTGCCCTCTTGGTCTCTGTCATCGAATATCTTCCAAGTCCACCCCTCGCTCAAGCCACTCGCTTGCCAGAGATGATTGAGGATTTAGTCGGTTCGAAGAGAGTCGATCAAGCTCTCAAAGATTCCATGATCAATTTCAAGGCGGACGCGTCTGCACCAGTTGTGGCATACGTCAGCAAAATGGTAGCTATTCCAGAGAGCGAGCTCCCATCAAAACGGCGGAAGCTGGGCACAACTCTGACGGCTGATGAAGCACGAGAATTGGCTCGTAAGAAACGAGCAGAAATTGCCAAGGCTCAGGTGGAAGCTGAAGGCGGAACAGACGTCGGACACATCACAAATGGTTTGAACGTGACGAGAATAGGAGAAGAAGAAGATGAAAGTATGATACCAGAGCAGCCTGAGGATCCCGAACACTTGATAGGATTTGCTAGGTTGTATTCTGGAACTCTGTCTGTGGGCGACGAGGTGTACGTCCTACCGCCTAAATTCAACCCTGCATTTCCACATGCATCTCCTGAGCCAAGGAAGGTGCCGATCACCGCCCTGTATCTCCTAATGGGCCGCAGTCTAGAGCCCTTGGAGAAAGTACCCGCTGGAGTAGTCTTTGGGATCGAGGGATTGGAAGGGCACGTTCTCAAGACTGGCACCCTTTGCTCTCAACTAGAAGGAAGTATCAATTTGGCAGGAATCTCAACGTTCAGTCAACCTATTGTTCGAGTTGCGCTTGAGCCCACCAATCCGATGGATCTGAATAAGATGATCAATGGGTTGAAATTGCTTGAGCGGAGCGATCCGTGCGCCATTTATGAACAGATGGAAAGTGGCGAACACGTTATCCTCACTGCTGGTGAGCTTCACCTCGAAAGATGCCTCAAAGATCTCCGAGAACGCTTTGCCAAATGTGACATCCAACCGGGCAAGCCCATCGTGCCGTACCGAGAAACAATAGTCAGTGCAGAGGAGATGGAACCACCTAAGCATAAAGACCTACCCAGGGGGACAGCGGTTGCCATCACAGCATCAAAAATGGTGTCTGTTCGAGTCCGCGTTCGGCCATTACCGGCGAATGTAACAGAGTTTCTCATCAAAAATGGTGCATCAATCCGTCGATTATACGCGGAGAAGCAAGCTCAGGAAGATGGGAGCAAAAATGCCGATGATGGCGATGTAGGGGATGGGGCTGGGGACCTAGCAATCGGCACGGGTAATGAGCGAAGCCATCTTTCGCTGCAAGAATTCCGACAACTGCTGCAGGCGGCATTCGACGAGGTGGAAGAGGAGAAGGAACTCTGGCAAAACGTCATCTCGAGGATTTGTGCCTTTGGCCCCAAGCGCGTTGGGCCGAACATCTTCATCGACTCCACCGGGACAGATACATGCAAACGGTTTCTGCTGGAACAGCACGAGACCCATGACGACCATGGCACGTCCAGCGTTGAGACCAATGGTCTGGACTCTATTGCAACACCAGATTTCTCCGATACCATTGCATACGCTTTCCAACTGGCGACCTCCCAGGGACCATTGTGCCGTGAGCCAACCCAAGGCATCGCTGTCTTCCTGGAGGAGATCACACACCACCAATCAGAAAACGGCGAAACAGGCAATGGAGACCCTTCAACAACAACAACGGTCGAGCCTGGCCGCCTGACGGGCGAGCTTATCACGTCGGTACGGGAGACGATCCGCTCTGCATTCCTCGATTGGTCCCCTCGCATCCTCCTAGCCATGTACAGCTGCACAATTCAAGCAACCCCAGAAGTGCTAGGGCGGGTATACTCCGTTTTAACACGGCGACGCGGGTCAATCCTCTCCGAATCACTCCTCGAGGGAACCCCCTACTTCACAATCGAAGCGACCTTACCGGTGGCCGAGTCATTTGGGTTCAGCGAGGAGATCCGCAAGCGCACGTCCGGGCTCGCGCAGCCGATGCTTCAGTTCGTAGGCTTCCAGATGCTCGACGATGTCGACCCCTTTTGGGTGCCCAGGAGCGAAGAGGAACTCGAGGACCTGGGCGTTCACGGCGAGAGGGAGAATGTCGCTAAGAAATATGTTGATTTGGTCAGGGCTAGGAAGGGTCTACTCGTTAGAGGCGCCAGGGGCGGTAGGGATGCGGAGAAGCAGAAGACGTTGAAGTCAAACTAAGTTCGTATCATAGCATGCAAACTATGCTGTTAAGGGGAGGACCATGTCGGCATTTGCATAGAGAAACGAGGGACGAGAAACTAAATATCACGACTGAGCACGTAAGACTTTGATTGAGACTGTCAATACTTCTTCATTGAGATCGTGTTGCATCGGTGTAATTAGAGCACACACTGCAGAGAAACACGCATCGCAGTAACAAGCAAGACCCAAGTCTGAGCATCAATCTGGCGCGATCCAGCTTCTTGGACAGACACTACAACCTCAAGCCAACTCCGCAGCAAAGGATGCTGACGAGACAGCTCCATGGTGGCTGTGACACACCCTCCGAAACCCGAATATAAATAAATCGCCCAAACTTGGGTCAGCCCCGCCAAACGATTAAAACTCTTCAGCCTCGCGCGCAGCTTCATTAACTAGAACAACACGTCGAAAAGAGAGAGAGAGAGAGAGAGAGAGAGAGAGAGAGAGAGAGAGAGAGAGAAAGATAAATGTGAGAACGTGACATTTGGTATCTGAGAAGTAACCTTACCAATTATTACTGGTTCGTTTTCTTTCATAATCACCACCGTGTGCATTCAACCCGGTGTGTGAATTCCAAACACGATTAAAACAGGTCATCCATCTCATTATCGAACATAATCGCTATTGGCCTTCAAATTCATCTCTTTGCGTGCAAAGGATATATATAAACATGGCTTTCAAAATCAAAGTTGCGCATCATACTAGCCCCATACGTATTATCATATTCATCCCTGGAGTTCATAGCGGGTCTGATTCGGCATTTCGACAGGCATAGACGCGGTGCGACCTTTCCATTCTGCACCATAGCGATCCCGACCTGGTTGGGGAAAAGGTTGCGGCCGCTGCCTCTCTCTGGACACGATGCGCTGCATGGTGCTGCTGCCTCGGTGCCTCCGCCTTCTCTCCCCAGGCAGTGAGCCATAGGCGAGATCTTCATCGGAGTCTGAGTCAGACGAATAAGAGTCGGAGGAGTCACCTCGTCGACGCTGTTCGCGTAGGCGGGATGGCGGCTGGGGACTGGCGCCGCGATCGCGAGAGATAGATCCTCCAACAGGAGAACTTCCGTTTCGAGGCATCTCCGGTGGAAGCATGTCTGGTTGCCATTTACCTGTCTTCATATCAAGGTGCATGGTAGGCCGGTGTGGAAGGTTCCCTGGGCCAGGAGGGGGTGAATGAACTTGCATTTGCGGTGGCATTTGCTGCTGCTGCTGCTGCTGTAGATGAGGGTTAGGAGGGAAGTCGCTAGCCACATACATTGGTCGTGAGGAAATAGGCAGGATCTGTGAATTTGGACTACCGCCCGTGGGATGTGGCCAGGTCTGAGGGTGTGGGATCTGTTGCTTCTGATACTGTTGCTGCTGGATGGGGATTTGGTTCATCCATGGTCCAGTTGCGTACGGTCCTCCTGGCCGTGGTGGGAATGTCTGCTGTGGCGGGGCACTGTTTGGTCTGACTGGGGCCATCATCGGCGGAGCCAACGTATCTGGTCGCGGTGGTCGAGGTCGGCTATCCGAGTCGCGGCGATGATGGGAATGCGAATGTGAATTACGACGGCGGCGGTGTCGACGTCGCTCTTCACTACTGCGTGGCTTTTCTTCGTCTTTGTGGAGCTCATGTAGGACATAGCCCGCGGCCACCAGTTCAAGACCGCCAAAAATGACCATTGTAAGGCGTACTTTCCCTTGGAGTATCGGATTTGCGGGCGACTGACTATGGAGGTATGTATACTGTCTTCGAGGTCTGAGGGATGATATTGAAAGAAAGACGATAAAAGGCTGAGGCGGCATCGCCAGCCTTGAGTCTTGAGTCAAGGTCTAAAGTTAGTTTTCAGCTAGGTCATGTGACTTGAGGCTGAACAGCGGGCAGGGCCGGCAAGACCGGCTCTCGGATGCTCCTTCTCCATTCAGACCCGCAGGTGTCGTCATGCCATGCCTGGCAGCCGGTGCTGGACACCACTCGCATTATCTAAGCGTAGAAGAAATTTACTCAGTCTCAACCGCGGAGTGTGGGATGTTGCTTGGGAATGGCCGCTATAGTGGGTTTTGGTCTGTTGCGAATCTCCTCGGGTAATCATTTGCACCGTCAGGCCTCTGAAGCAACTCCCCGGTTGTACGTATGTAGTACACAACTTGCGGACGAGTCTGGTCATGGGGTCGAATGTTCATGAATTAGAAATATCTATGATGCAACCGTAATGCATCTTTGGGGTGTATCAAACAGGCTATTAAAACAAAACGACTGAAGCGATGCACGTTGCCATGGCAAACAATACCGGCCATGGATGCACAGTCAACCCAGCCCCGCCATTTGGCTCTTTTGCATCGCCACTTGCATTCCCATTAGAATTAGCACTAGACTGCTGGCCTGATTCGTTAGAGTTTGTTGTCGATGTATTGTTAGAGGAGGTAGAGTTGGAGGATTTTGAGACTGGTCGGTTGTGGTAAGCCCGAATGATCGTGCTTGCTTGCTCCGCTAGGCCATAGGTTGAGGCCATTAGATGAGCCGAGAAGGAGATCGGAGGGACGCTGGCATCGGCGACACGAACGTTGGCCAGTCCATAAACGCGTAGGTTGGCATCGACCACTCCGCCTTGCTTGAGAGGAAGCATGGCGCAAGTTGATGAAGGATGGAATTCAGTGAAGACTGAGCCTCGTAGCCATTCATCCCATTCATCATCAGTCTGGACATCCTTTCCAGGCCAAATCTCCTCCTCCAGGCTGACTTTCAATGGACCCGAAGTTCCGATCCGACGGACGAGCTTGAGTCCTTCACGTAGAGTTTGCACGTCGGCTGGATGCACCAAGTAGTTGGGATCGATGACAGGGTAGTCCACCGGGTTCGACGAGTTGATATAAATCCGGCCAAAGCTGTAGGGATGCTGTAGAGCAGCGCCAATATTGACTGTACCATTGTTATTATTTCCAATAAGAAGCTCAACCAGTCCAAGCGGGCTTGTAAAGATTTTGTCGGCTGTCGTGGTGTAGATTGCCTTATTTCCGGCCACGACACCTGCATCTGTGGTCATGAGAGACGTGAACGAATCTACTTGACCTTTGATGCCGGAGTGTAGACCGTCGGCGCCGTCACCGAAGAGAACGCTGGCGTTGACATAGGCCACAGCGGAGTTGATGTAAGAGAGAAAAGCAGGGTCGTACTGTTGTCATTAGCCCACAAGAATTATAACAAATCAAGACGTGACAAACCGTTTCTGAGCCATTTGAAGCATACAGCGAGCCAGCTGTTGCCTGATCCGTGCTGAATTGAATTGTCGCACTCTGGTCAAATTAGCAGGTTTTCCTGGAGACAGATGTGAGCGAAGCTTACCAGATGATCTTGCAAATGTTGGCCAACACCGGGAAGCTCTTGCACGAGCATAACCCCAGCACTAGACAAAACATCTTTGGGGCCAATACCGCTGTGTAGGAGGACTGCAGGGCTGCCGATAGTGCCACCTGCCAAAATAACCTCCTTGTTGACCTTGACGATCATTTTACTGGCTCCATTGTCGCGAGTGTATTCCACAGCATTTGCCGACAAGTTGCCCTTCGGGGAGCTGGAGTTGAAAAGAAGTCGCGTAACATAGGCATTTGCGAGCACGTCGTAATTTGGACGAGGTGGGAGAGGGTCAAGGTAGCCCGACCGGCTGTAAGAACGGGTCCAATTGGTAGGATTGATGGCAGATGTTGCAACGTAGGCTCCCCAGTTCTCACCACCATAGGTGTCATCTGAGTTGGCTACACCTTGGCTGTCTGTCGCTTCTAGCCATTGTTTGACAAGCGGGAATGTGCTGGAACTAGGTCAACAACAGAAACCAGGCCAAACACCATCAACATACTAGCCAGGATATGACATGTGGATGGGCCCTTTGGTCCCATGGCTGGCAGCATTCCAAGTAATGCCAGCCTCTTGAGCTACGACGTCGCCGGGAGGAGAAAAAGTTTCGCTCTTCTTCATAGCTGCATAGAACGAGTCCCAGGACCAATTATCGGCGCCGGCCATGTCCCCTAGCATATCTTGCCAGGCGTTGACCTCGATTTCACCCGGTCTGTTCATGTATAGTCCGTTTATGGCAGAACTGCCTGTCAGGTCCACCGAGTCAGTATTCAGGTGTGTCACGAGTCAAAACGCTGAAATACGAACCTCCGAGCACCTTCCCTCGAGGCCATGGCAGTTCACTGTTATTGGCGTGTGCTTGGGGTGTGGTGTTGAAGTTCCAGTTCAATGGCGTCGGCCACAACGATTCGAAATATGAATAAGCAGGAGTATCTATCCAAATGTTAGATATGCGGACATAGCGTATCGCTTTAAGCCAGTCAACTCATACCTATACGTTGTCGATACTCATCGCCGTTGCTACCAGCTTCAAGGACGAGCACGGTGTGATTCTTATCCTCTGATAAGCGTGCACCTAAAACAAGGCCAGCCAGGCCACCCCCCACGACAACGAAGTCGTAAGAGTCGTCGATCTGCTCGACAATGTTGCGTGTCCGCAGCACATGCGGCATCACCGACTCATCAGTTACAGGCGCGGCGAGGGCGACTGCTGCGCCAAAGGCCAGCGCAGTGAAGATGTCGCGCCGCATTTTGTCTCGTCGCAGGTGTGAGGTTGACGTGGAAGTGTTGAGCAGAGGTCAGAGATGCAGGTTATCATAAAAAGCATACACCATTTCTCGGTTGACAGGCTGGTACGCGCTAACGCATATGCTACGGTATGGTGGCGATGGATGCAGCATTCTTGGATTCTGGGGCTTGATGGACATGGGATGGGCAAGACAGTCGGCCAAATTGTGTTTGACGCGTCCAAGGACTGTTGATTGATTGCCCAGCGAAAATTGATTGCTGGCTAGTAAAATTGCCTTCTGGTGGCTGGGTCCACTCACCTTATCGCTAGCGACGTGCAAATCACAGTGGCGATGACAGAGGGTGGATCACACAGGGGGAGTCCATTTGCGGAGGACTGGCGCTTATGGAGAGGATCATCCTGTCCCATGATGAGTGTCCTCCGTACAGGCTTTCTGAATATTTTCGTCTTCGTTTGCGTTGATCCTGGTGCAAATGTTTTTCCCTCTGTGCGAAGATAGTCATAGCCCAAGGGGTCCTCTCGAGGCAGACGCAGGGATCGGTGTGGGTCCGTTCGCATTTCCCCTGAAACTAGCGCCGCCTTATTTAGGCGTTGAGCACGTGCGAAGGCCATTGGCAAACATGCCAAGCCGGGTATAATGACCCACCGATCGACTCCACCCGCCCGCCAAAAGCTTGTTTTTGTCTTCCTTGTTTTGCTGCACACGAGTTGCTCGGCTGTGTCCCAACCATCCTGCAGACAACGGCTGGAATGACAAAACACCGTTGGTTTGCGAGTGCTCCGTAGAGCTCCAGATGGACCGAAGTTGAACCATCAAGGACTCGGTCAAAAGTTCACAACAAGCCCGCAAAGGCGGGCGTCGAGTGGTCGAAATTGTGGATCTGGGTTGCCGTCAATCGTATGATCTCTCTTGGATGTGTTCGGCGATGTCCATCCACATTGAACGAGGACTTGTTTGCCGAATCACACAGATACTCAATTTAGAGTGGGCTGGTCCCGGATGTCCGAGCTGCATCAGGTCTCTGCAGGTACGGGCCCCAGTCACTACCATCACAAATGCAGACACGATGATTGCTTATTGTCTATAACTTACGAGTCCACATCGGGTGGTTCGTACAACACTTCCCTAATTCATGGAGCCGGAACTCCGTCATGATGGAGATGCAGGATCAATAAACTTATCGTCCCAGCTTCGTATTCCCAGCCCGGGGTAGGGGCGATATAGTTCTCACTCATGCAAGATACAACGCAGGCTGGCAATGTGCTGCGTCAGGGGCAAGGTTGGCTTACCAGATGCGATTGCCAGACTTTTCTTACGAATACTGTACTGTACTCCGCACCACTCGGTAGAAGAAAATTATGTTCTTGGGTAATTTGAAGCGCCCAGCAATCAATGCGGCCTTCGCAGCCGTTCAAGTTACTCCCAAGTCTCAGAGCAAATTCAGAGTAAAATCATTGTTTACCTGAGAAGAAGCCTAAAGCGCCAGGGCCCGTCTGGGTGGGACGACTGATTGGGCAGGAAAGTATTGGCGAGAATCCCCGTTTTGTGGCTTGGACCAAGGCCCATGTCTCGCCCACCATTGTCCAAATCGCCTCGATAAACAAGAGCTATGTTCATGCATACAGCACAGATGCGATATACACCGAGTCCTCTACCCGCATCGCGGACTTCTGCTGGATTGCGACCAGATACCAATACCAGTATTTGAGTCTTTGCTCAAATCCACCAAGACCCGCTCTGGGTTGGATAAGCTTGACAAGCCTTCGACACGCAACGTTTGAGAATGGCCTCTAAATTCATCCCTGACCCAACCTGCTAATCATCATCAAACAATGGTAAAGTCATCTTCAGGACGACCGTGGAGTCAGGATCGAGTAAGGCCAGGCCTGCGCATAGCTCGGCTATCGAGCGCCCGCATGGCAAACGGAACTTTGGATATGGAACGTTTCAAAGACGACTCCTTGTCCACTGTTCTACTTTCATAAAGCTGTCAGGAACCCGCTGTGATTTCGAGCAGTCAGGCTCCTCACACATACCGATCCTTTTCATTCCATTGCCTGTGCTGGCCACTGCTTCCTAGACGTTTTCCGTTCGTTCTTTTTTAATCGTCCTTCACATTCTTTCCATTGCGCTGGTCGCCTCATTTCTAACTTTCCGCTGAAGCCTGTTAGACATCCAAAATGTACTTTCAAGGGATTAGCATTCTGAGCATTGCTCTTATGACATCCATAGTCGTACCGGGAATAGGTAAGGAGACTAATCAATAGTCCATGCAGTCCCAGAGACCACCGCTGACACCACCCTTAAGCTGCCCCAACACGACAAGTCAAGCGTCAAGCAGCCTGCTTCCTCGTCGGCAGTGAGACACTACCAGCCGAGACAGCTGACATCGCCGCCGCAATCCAAGGTGGTATCACCTGCGGCACCGCCACAACCATCGGCAACGTCCCCGACGTATCATCAAACGGCGTCTCGTTCTCGGACATCAACTTCGCCAGCTCATCGTCCACACCGCTCCAATTCGCACTCGACACCTTTGCGACCGCAACCCCGCTTGCGTCAACGGATCTCAGCGTCTTCGAGACGGACTTGAATTTATATCTGGCCACTGAAGCGGGCATTCGCAGTGAAGGGGGCAATCTCGCGATTAAGGTGCCGAAATTCTTCCTAGCGTTCCAGGTTGCGCGGATCAAGACAGCGCAGGGCATTGCTATCACGGATCCCGGGCAGACGGTCGACCATTTACTGGAGAAGGTGACGAAGAACGCTGCTGGGGAAAATAAGGCGCTCCTTGACCAGGTGGTCGCGCTGTCGACGCAGCTCCGGTAGTGGTTCATACTGAGCAAGTTCCAAGCTGAAGACTGGGAAAGGAATCTTCAAATTGAGCGTTCAAGTGTGCATGAGACTCTGCACGAATCATCTTCTGTTCTCTTCCTTTCCGTGGTACCTGCGTTGATTATTGTGTTGAGCCAATCGCCATTCTGACTCGACTATGTGCAAAACCCAGCAAACAAGTGGAGTGAGGGCCTGCTTAATAAGCCTAGGCAGACATATACTCCAGATCAGTGGTCTGCGGATTCTAGCTCAGGACAACAAACCCGTGCTTCCTTTCGTCCTAATCATATCACGATCTGTCTACTTGGGAGAGAGTGCTGCTGGCACACCCTTGGCTTCCGTACGAGAAACATGGCCTCCAATGCCTTGGTGATGAAAGCAGCGGCTTCAGGCCTATATTTCCTTGGGCTTGAATTCATTTCATCACTTGATCCATTTGCAGGAGGCAAGCGCTGTCTACCGAGCAGTCTACCGCGCGTCCGACTGGGTTCATACAGGATAGACTCCATACACATACTTGTACCTCGTACTGCTCAAAATCCATCGCCTTCCCTGAGTATAAGACTAGCAATCTTGCACGCGTAAGACTGTATTTTCAAGACATTACTACGTTGGCTGGAGAGGAATGTAGCCATTGCTAAGTTCTGGAAGAGCCATTGTAGGAGTGCTCTCATCCACAGATATATTCCGAAAATTGATTAACTACAGAATAGGAAGATTTATTCGCAGGACTGCTTCGAGCCTTCCTTTTCTGGTCTCCCCATGTCATACTTGCAATATCGACGTCACCGCGGCTAAATACAATTCTCGGAATTTCCATCTCAGAGATGGGGGAAACAATGTTTGCTCGTACATCAGTGGTGTCCATCTGCAGTGCAACTTGTTCCACTCCTGCAAGCACGTTAGTTGTCTGTCGGATAGTGTGCTTTGCTGTGTGCTTATCTTATCGCTGAGACTCTGCACTGGCATGGTTTCTTTGGGTTGCTGGGGCTGTGGTGTAGTGGTTTCGTGGCCACGCAATAGACTTTCCTTGGACCGAATCAGATTCACAGCACCGCGGATGCCATTCTTCCCACAAGGTGTTCTCCAAGCTGGTTGATCGAATCCCGCCTCCTTCGGCCATGCTTTGGTTGGTCCTCGATCAGGCAAGATGCCATGTCTGATCAAGGCATCACAGACTGGAGTCTTTGATATGGTCGGATGCAACCGTGCTTCTTTGACTGCCACCCAAGACAGAGGGCTGTGATTGGTTGTTGGAGTGCCGGTGTTCCTTGTTGCAGGTGTGCAAAAGCCTCGAGACTGTGGAGTATTTGTTTTCTCGCTGCGCGGAGTTCTGAGTATCCTTTCTGGAATCTGTGGATGAGAGTGCGCCGCAATGGATGATCGACGGTATGTCCTCCGGTTTCTGGCCATGGCAATGAGACACTGTCTCGCCCTATTCGAGCTTGGGTCTCTGTGCCTAAATAGAGAGCAGAATCAAGCTCAGGATGTACAGATGGCTGTTGAATGCGGCCGTGGCCGATGAGAACGAGAGTACAAGGTGGTATGGAGTTAGACGATAGACAGTTGCAGATGAATTAATGACTAGACTATGTGTCGACTAACAAGACAATGGCTGAGGATGAAACAGCGGATGTGAGCAAAGAAGAGAAAGCAACGAGTCGACCTCAAGGCATGTCTTCAGGTGGATCGCTTGCCAGTCAAAGAGAGAGCGACGGCCAAATCATTAATATCATGGGAAGTCACAAGCTGAGCAGGAGGGAGGATATAAACATCGGTGGTAAGGATCGCGCCTGCAAAGGACCAAGTCTCTTGCAAGTGCAGATTGCCGCTTAATTATGAGTGGTATTTGCGAGCGGTCCTCTCGCGGCCGTGCGGCTATATAGACATGTATGTGTCACACATTCCCGTCGACCTGAGTAGTAATACAGTAGCAGGCTAATGGCATACCTTTGCGTAGATCAAAGTCTTACAGTCGTCCCAACTTCCATCTCGCAATTCTTGACTGTACATCTTCCCAAGGTATCGGTTTCAAATACCTTCCATTGGCAGGCTCTCCTTCCTGAATGACAACTGTTGGGGCTCCTGTGCCGTGGCCCTTGTTGTCAACCTTGCCAGTAAAAATCTGTCTGGCAACCCTTCTCAAGTCGGCGACCGTTAGAGCATCAATTTTGTCGCACATCTCCTTAACGCCTACCTTGCGTCCATGAACCTGCACTTGTCGACCGAGGTCCTCTAGCTCGACCAATCGTGATTCGAGATTCATCAGTAAGCTGAAACGCAGCTGATTCTTTGCCCTGTTGACCTCGGCAACTTGCAGACTTGCAAAGCCGGATTCAAGTGTCAAAGCCTGCAGTTCGCGACAAATGACATCGACCATGTGGCCAACTCTCCCTGGTTCACAAGCAGCTGCGACACCAATGAGACCACTGTCGGTATAGCTATGATTGAAGGCCACACAGCTCTCCACCCATCCATGCTGGTTGAGCACGTTGGTGTAGAGTCTTGAATACATACCCTTGCCCGGTCCGCCGGCGGAGAAAGAGCCTCCGCCACCTAGCAAGGTCTGGAGGGTGGCTTGAGCGTAGATATCATCGGAAGAGATGGGGAGAGCTTCAAACCCAATATGGACATGTGAGAGCGGTATTGAAAGATTGTTCTGGGGCAGTGGAAGTGTTGGAAGAGCCAGATATCCACCAGTGTAGTGAGATGGCTGTGTAAGTAACGAAGTGGGTGTTGGTTGGAGAAGGGACGGATCGAGGGGAGAGACCGTGGCTTGATGTGGAGCAGAAGTCGAAAAGCTGGTGAGCCCTTTCCAGAAGGACTTTGTTGGGGTCGACTGAGATTGAGATGTTGGGAGCTGCATAGTAGGTGTGGAGGAGAGATGTGCATCAATTGTCGAGGTGGTTGATTGGGAGTGAGCTTCTGCAGGTTCCATATCGGCAAAGAACTTCTCGGTCATGCGCACAGCTGCGTCATGTTCAACTCCAGCAAAGGCCACAACTATCCGCTCGGGTTTGTAGAATTGCTGCCTGTATTTCTCGATCAAGCTGCGGGTAATCATAGGCAGCCGTTCCTTTGGGCAGAGCAGTGGATGTCCCAGGGTATTGTCTTTGTAGGCCGCCATGTGCATCAGCTCTGGAATAATCAGATCGGGCTTGGACCAGATCTCTTGGATCTCGTAGTTTGCAGTTTCCAGCTGTTGTTGCAATTCATCTTCTGTAATGAGAGGGTTTCGGATGGTATCGGCGAGGAGGCCAAGCGTGTTGTCAACCGAGGAGTTGAAGGTCGCAGACTGGTACATCAAGGCCTCTCTCGAGGAGGCACATTGTATGTTACCTCCCAAAGTCTCTAGAGAGTTGACCATTTGATCGGCGGACCTTGTTTTGGTCGACTTGAAGGCTAAGCGATCAACAATATGGCTGACACCGCGGAGAGATTCATCCTCGTATCTCGAACCAGCATCGATATAGACGCCGACGCCGGAGAAAGGACCAGGTAGCGATTCCGTGGCAACTCGAATGCCATTAGGTAGCTTCGTGATACGATCTAACTCGACAGGATCCTGTAGTTGACGATGAGGGTTAGATACAAGTCTAGTCGGTCCAGAGAAGGACAGGGCTCACCTTTTGAGCGGGATCTCTGACGGTTGCGTAGCTTCTGGCTAAGGGCGTTGATGTCTTTGAAGCTAGCTTGGCGTTGCGCAGGGCTCTGACCGCTGCAGTCCGCATCTTGGTGGTCAAGGTAAAGCAAGTGGTGACAAGTTGAGTTGATGGTGTTGGACCACACGGAGGATGAACGAAGGGTGAAGTTTTTGGAGGCCGGTACCTGGTGATCACGTGCGCCAAAGATGAGCGACAGGTGAATTATTTGTCAGTAATAAATCACGTGAGTACAGTGCACGTGACTGCGGGCAAAAGTACATGCGAGCAACACCAAACATCTCGGACTGCGTAACTCCAAGGGAGCGACTTCTTCCGACTGCGAGACCAGGCCTAGGGCGTTGGCATAAACGGCTTGACAAACTTTAGCTCGGCAATCCGACACTCAGAGTGAACAGTAGGAGGAATAAACCCTGGAAAGTCTATTGGCACCTCGTCCTGACCCCGGCCAAGGCGATGCTCCATGCCCGATGACATCGATGGCTATCAAGCACCATCTCGATTCAGACAAGCAGCCAGACGCAAATGAGATCGCACAAGCAGTAGTCGAGGCTAAAAGAGATGATACATCTCCCCTCGGTGGGCTGCGGCTGTCTCCTTTGATCCTTTCTTCTGGATTCTAATGGTTGTTAGCAGTTTTGTACAGCAGAAGAACAAGTCCGCGTACCCTCTAAGCTCAGCCAGGAGATCTTCTTTCCACTTAAATCCCGCGCGTAGACTCCGGCCTGGACCGCCTAACCCACGCCTAGAACTTGGACCGCCTTGGTGCCAAATTGCGCCCACCGCCGCCTGGGAGCCCGATAGAATCGGAGCCTCTCGCAGCCAGAATTCGGTACTCCGTACTCAATCTGCTCACGAGGCAGAGGCGGCTTTCACCGTCACCAACACCAACACCAACACTAGCACCTACACTGATACATACCAACACTCCAAACCTCACAACACTGACCCCGTTAACATCTCAAAACCTGAACTCAAACATCAAACATCCCTGACCCTCCTCCTCCATCGCCCGTTGCCCATCGCCCCTCTGCCCCATACATCATCTCTCCATTTTTCACTTCCCACTCCACGTCCACGTTTTATTGCAGCCTCCTTTGATCCCATGATCTCCCCACCTGCCCCTGTCACCTCCCCAGCAGGTGCAGCCACTTTGAATTTGGACCGAACCTCATCCCGCCGCCGAGGCTTGTCATATCTACGTACCTTGTCTCACAGTCGATCGGGCAATACCAGTCCCAACGAAGCCTCCCGCTCTCCTCGACACTATTTCCAGAGGTCTCTCAGCTACAACAACGACCAACGACCAAGTCCTCCCCCTCCCCCTCCTCCTGCCGTTACTTCTACAGGAAGACGAAGAAGTCACTCTCGCCCAAACGAGCCAACAAGCCCTCTGGCCTTTCCCTCCGAACCAGCCGCTTCTCGTCCTTGCACACCTCCACTGCCCGCCGGCCGAAATTCAGATCCAACCCTGACCACAAGCCCAGCTGACCAAAACGGACAAGAAGAAATGGCTAGGCATCGGAGTTCCACCTTTCGCAGGCACACAAGCAGCAACCAGCAGGCGCCAGTGAACGACACCACCACCGTCGCCGCCAACACCATCGCCAGACCTCCAAACCAACGTTCGCAGTCTGCAAGAACAAGCTCGGGCACAAAGGATCCCGCCGACGAGCCCAAATCGTCTCTGCCTACTATCCGCTTTCACCCCCATCAGGAGATAAGAAATGGGAGGCCTTCGTTGACGTTCTCTCCCGTCTCACGAACATTACCGAGCGAGCATTCTATTATCAGAGTCGGCCGTTATTCCGAACGTGAGGGCGTTCCCAGTGCGAATCCCCTTGCTCCTTCCGATGCCCCGGTTGGGTTCAAGTCCAAGGTCGTCAGTCGCAAACATTGTGAATTCTGTTTTGTGGAAGGCCAGTGGCAGATCAAAGACGTTGCCAGTTCCTCCGGGACTTTCCTCAACCACATCAGGCTGAGTCAGCCCAATACAGAGTCAAGGCTATTTCCAATCAAAGATGGTGATATTGTTCAACTCGGTATCGACTTCCGTGGCGGCGAGGAGATGATCTTTCGATGTGTTAAGATCAGAATCGAGTGTAATCGCGCCTGGCAGAAGAAACCAAACAACTTTAAGTAAGACTTGTCCTTCGCTATCATGTGTGCCACTCTAAATCTAGTCTGCAGTAAAACTAGACACCAGCAACTCCAGAGCCTTGCCAAAGATCAACCCTCGGCGGATGCGAACAGCGGCGAGTGCTCAATATGCCTAGGCTCAGTTCTGGTAATGTTTATGCCGCTCTATGTACGCCCCTTGAGAACTAACTGGCAACACAGCCTTGTCAAGCTTTGTTCGTCGCTCCTTGCGCTCATGTTTGGCATTATAAATGCATCCGTCCCCTCCTAGAGGGCAAAAATAGCACATACCCACAGTTTCAATGTCCAAACTGTAGGGCCTACTCCGACCTTGCGGCTGACGTCGATCTTGCTCAATCCGACCTCGATGAATGGATGGAAGGCACGGAGGACAGCCATAATCAGCAATCTGAAACTAATGGTACTGCGCACAACGACTCCTTGAGCACGGACGACTCGTTCACCAACGGACAAGTCACAGGCCAGCCTGAAACCAACGGGTCAGCCCATGATCAACATCCCTCTCGGCCTTCTGTGAATACAAACCCTGCTCATAGCACTTCCCCAGCGCCCCGACCGGTATCCGCGACAAACGAAGCCAACCATTCTCCAGCTTCTCTCAGAAATGGTGGTTTACTTGCTCGAAGGCAAGCCTCCAACCCTTCTTCATCAGAGGTACGATCTATGAATGGCAACATTGAAATGCCCGATCAGCCGGAGGCGAATGAAGTGAATGCTCAACTAGAACATCAGCGAACACGAACCCAAACTCCAGATCATGAACAAGCGGTTGGTTCTGGTGAAGGGCCATTGACTCCAAGGAATAATGCTGGTCCCTTTGTTTTTGACGGAAGCGCTGGAAGATCCGATGCGGTGCAGCTACAAGTACCTGGTATTCCCGAAGTGACTGGCGATAACGAGCCGGCTCGCTCATGATGAAAATCATTCTTGCGTGCTAGAAGTCCCCAATTTCACGAATGGTGATGCGGAAAGAAAAGAACTTGGCATCTGCGAGCGTATCTGTCTCGCTTGATGCCTAGGTGAATGTTGGTTCGAAACAAAAGCATCATTTTGAGCGTTCAGTTTTCGCGAGCATCTTTGTAGCTCTGCCTTGTACAGAGCTGCATCTACCCACTTAATCTTACAGTGTATGGGTCATGTTACACCCTCCACAGAATCATATCATGCTTGTTTCCCCATGTTCCTCTTGTCTGCCTTTTGGCTCCTTGTAGCCCAGGCGGACATTCACATCTTTGTCTTGTACGAGTCTCACGGATCATCACTGAATTGCGAGGTGCCCCACCTCTCGTCAAAGTTTGCAAAGCGGTTCCTCTTACTTGGGTTTCGGATGCAGATCTCCTCTATACACCGAAAATCTTCCATGGACAGCTTTGGGACTATGTGCGACAAAGTAAGTGATGTGCTACAGCCTGGTAAGAGCATGCTATAAATGCTTACCATTGATATTCGAAGCAATGCGACTAGGGGTTGAGGACTTGGGTATGGGGATAGTCCCTCGTTGCACTATACCGTAATCTGGTCAGTATCCGGGCCAAAGTATAGCACGCCCTACGAGAAAGCCACCTACAAGCCCATGCGATCAAAACCTGGGCGGGTTCGACCCTGTTCTTCTTCGCAACTTCCACCACGTCGTCATCATCAAGCAATATGGCGTCTCTGGTGTGCCAACCTCCAGGTTGAGTCCCGAGTGGGGAATATGCAACCAAGACAATTTCTTTTCGCTTGCAGTAGTCGAGAAGCTCAGTCTGTGGGAGCCAGGGATGCGCCTCAACCTGATTGCACACTGGCTTGATCTCTGCGAAAGAAAGGAGCCTGTCGAGTTGTGCGATTGTGAAGTTTGACACACCGATTGCGCGTGCTTTGCCCGAGCGCACCATTTGCTCCATTGCCCGCCATGTCGGCTCGTGGTTCTCTGATAGCTCGTGATCGATGACTGGCTACGTTTGTCAGTGTCAGGTTGATATCTTGCCCGGACTTTGGGGATCAAGCACGTCCACAACCGGATCAAAGAGAGGATAGGCACATCAACTCGTCGTCATCATAAAGCGACATACCTTCCCATCAGGGCCAGTGAGTGTCTCATAATCCTTGGTTCGCTTGAATGCCAAAGGCCAGTGCATGAGATACAGATCCACTGGGTTAACATAGAAGTTAGTAATACTATCCAGCTATCTCAAACACCACTCCCTCCTCCGCAATTGTGATCTCAAGCCTACCGTACTCAAGCTGCAAACGGTCAAGACTCTCGTCTAGGCTTCTAACCACGTCGTCAGGTGCATGGCAATGCTGCCAACTGAAATAAACATATCAGCGACGAGGACCCTTCTAGACGGTGCCTATGCCTCCAGGCTTCTTTGCGGATACTGACAACTTCGTACAGACAAGCAATTCCTCTCTCGCGACACTGCTGGCTCTAATTCCCTCGCCAACTTCGCCTTCACAACCGTATAATGCAGCAGTGTCGATATGGCGATATCCCGCGAGGATGCCTTCCTTCACCGCTTGCATGCACCGGCCGTCCCCGGAGCCTTGTGTGTCGAACGTTCCGAGCCCAGGGCCGGGAATCCTAAAGCCCGAGGCTGACTCGATAAACCAAGGGTTGGTTCCCGGGATCATGACTGCTGAGGTACTCAGGAGGGGGAGCTGTCGGTCTAACACCTCCAAAATGGGGTTGGGTCTCTGTTACTCCGATATCTAGATGTCTATTACCAGTTTGAAAGCATGAGATGCAGCGATGAGATGTGTTGTTGGAGTTTCCAGATAAGATACACTGAATTTTAGATCGTAGAACTCAACGCCTTGCGGGTGTGGCCTTCGGCCCCCGCTTCAGATTATCCCCCCCCATTTTGCTCCATATCTCAGCCTTGCTGCTCCCACATTCCCGAGCCTTGTTGTGAGGACGGACCATCATCCTGCCCTCGTGGTAATCTGTCAACAAAGGGGAGAGCATTCCGGGATTGGATTGTCGATGGGACCACGTGGGATAGTAATAGGGACGGAGTGTCACTCTCCACATCTCTGGCGATTCTATGCTGGGTAACAGCTTTACCCCATGGGCAGGGCTGAATCCACACCTAGTCCTCCAGGTACGAGTCCACATTCGCGCTATGCAGCGCACCGGAAACAGCAGTTCCCGTACCGACACTACCTGGTACTCACCTCGGTGGATGATCTAGCCCCTGCAGTACTCCTGGCGATTGTTCTAGTCACTGCTAAGACTTTGGCCGGACAAAAAAGAATTACCTTTCTTTCCCCATCAATTGGGGGAAGATCACTTCCAAGAGCCGTGCTTCATTTAGTAGGTGGTCCTAGATGCAGCCGAACCTCTGTAGGCTCGGTTGCTGCGTTTCGCCCCTGGGCAGGGAGGCTAAGGGGATATCTACCGGCTCCCTACCGTGTGCTTTGGTGAGGAACCATGACTCTTCTTCATGGCGCCATGCATCTCATACAAAATATAGATAGCTAACAATAAGTAAGAAGCAAAGAGAATAACGGGGGATGTTTGTCGCTGCTGAGCTCTGGGTTGCTGTAAGAACTTAATCGCGCACAATCACTCGGTTGAAGCCCGCTCCTGTCACCGTTTCCAGCCATTTTTCAGCCGAGACTTGACAGTCGACATGATCTATTTCCCTCCATAAAAGGAGACCACCTATACTCCATGACTGTGCATGCTCAGCTCGAATGTTACATCCTCCGGGTAGATGAATCTGCGGTCCTGTGTATTAGTGATGAACGCTTGTGGCTGTCATCCCGACCGTTGTGTTGAAGTCTGGCGCTTATCCGGTGGGCTCAGCGGAATCTCGGAAACCCTAAGGATGTGCATTCCGGTCTTTGATAGGATGCAGAACTGGTTGTCTTAGATGAAATAGGCTGGATTCACACAGAGACCAGAGGAGCTATGCAATATCCAAATGACCCCACATTGAATCTACTCGTAAACATTCGAGTTTGGGGATACGCATAAGGCTGGGGTCCTTCCCCGAGCCCCACTTTTGCACCTCCCGCTTTCACGTGGGGCAAGGCTACGCAAAGGGGAGGAGGGGACCCCCATGCAGTCCTCAACGATGCCCCGACAGATCGCACCCTCCTCGTATATACTAACTTCGTGTACAGCGCTGAGTTAGTAATCGGAGAGATAGGTCCTATCAAGAGATTTGGGACATGATCATTGCAATGGATCTAGGTTATCCCCAACTTGGACTGCGTCTTCCGAGCGAGAACCCGTTAAGATTTTCGATCCCACTTTCACGATTCAAGAATGGATAACAATCCCCAATTTCAGGACTGGGTCCAACTAAAGCCCCCTTAACAAGCCTGCAGCAGCTTGCTTACCCCAGATTTCCCCCTTGGCAACGGGGCAATTCGTAGCCAGCTACCATTATTTGTAGTTACGACCTGTAGCTTTGCACGCGTCTGCTTTAGAAAACCTGCATCTCTACCTTGGTCATAACTAACTGATCGACGGTACGACGAATCTAAATTAGCCCTTCCAGCTCAAGCTGATACAGCAACCATGGGATTTGGAATTCTCGAACCCAACACTACCGGTCATGTACCGGGAACAGTACTCCTGGACCAGAAAGCTGCTCACTCAGAACTGCAGACTGGTCAATTGAAGCATGGTACGGGCAAATACTCACACATAATCCTCGCGCCGCAGCCTTCTGAAGATCCAAATGATCCCCTGAATTGGTCATGGTGGAAGAAGCACATCATCCTTGCTATCATCTTCTTCGGAACCATCGTTCACGGTGTCGTCCCAGTGAGTATACTCAAGCCAGAGGCGGAGAGGATATTTTTGCTAATCATCCGACCTGCATAGGGCCCACTTCTCAATGCGGGTATTGTTGAAATCACAGCTGATCTTGGTCGTTCTGCTACCGACGTCGCAAAGCTGTCAGGCTATTTACTCCTGGCCACGGGAGCGGTTGGTCCATTTGCGTCGTCTTTTGGACGAAAATACGGGAAACGCCCAGCGTACGTCTTTTCAAGCGTCATCGGGACAGTTGGCATTATTGTGTCAGAAGTTGCATCGGATTACAACACTCTCCTCGCCGGACGAGTTCTCCAAGGCATCTCGGTTGCGGCGTATGAATCACTCGCAGTTGCCTCCATTGGTGACCTGTTCTTTGTTCACGAAAGAGGTCCCATGGTGGCGATCATAATGTTCCTCTTGGGCGCTGTGTCGAATGGAATCTCCATCATTGCCGGGGTCATCACTGCCAATCTCGGATGGAACTATAACTTTCACATCTATGTGCCATTTGCTGCGGTCCAGACCCTGATGGTGATATTCTACTGCCCGGAGACCATGTATCGACGCAAGGCTATCTACGAGATCGACACGCTCGGCTCGGAAGAGAACCTCGAGAAGCTTGCCGGTCTTGAAGCCCGAGCTGCAAGACATGTTGAGGACCGCGACGGGCACCGCGAGGTGGAAGACCCAGAGAAAAATGCACATGTCGAGCTCGGAGCCCACCCTGATGGGAGTCAAACTGATCAACCCGGCAATATCCACCGAACCACCACAGCGCAATCAGCGATCCCTCTACCAAAGACCTACTGGCAAGAACTAGCTCTCTACAACGGCTCATTCGTGGATGACTCGATCATCAAGATGACTCTTGCGTGCCTCGCCATCGTGTTCAACCTGGGAGCGCTATATCAAATCATCATGACCGGCCTCATCATCGCTTGGTACGTCACCATCGCCATCATCTCGGGCATCATCTTCGCCTCCCCACCGTATCTGCTTACCTCCGCTTCAATTGGCTACCTATCTGCTGGTCCCCTGGTTGGCGGCCTCTTGGGATCGGTCGTCTCCTTCTTCCTATCTGGGCCTCTCACACAAGGTCTGACACGACGCAACAAGGGCGTCTACGAGCCCGAATTCTGCTTGATCCCCATCGCCCCTGGCGCCGCCATCATGATCGCAGGTCTAGTAGGCTGGGGATTTGCGGTGCACACATTTGCCAATATATATGTCATCTGCTTCATCTGGGGTCTCCTCCTCTTTGGAATCATCATCACCGCCACGTTTGCCACTCAGTGGGCCCTCGACGCCTACCGCCAGCACAGCACCGAGCTGTTCGTCATGAACATGGTATTTAAGAACTTTTTCTACTACGGGTAAGACCTGTCCCTGCCTCATCCAGTCCTTACAACCCCGAGATTCCAAAACGCGCTGGCTAACTTGTTGTTTTCCCTTCTAGATTGACGAATTATATCATCGACTGGTATTTCAAATACGGCACTGTGCAAATGGGAGGCATTATGGCTGGAGTCACGGGCTTCTGTTGTATCCTCGCCTTGCCGATGTACATCTTCGGCAAGCGCTACCGCCACTACTGGCACCATCATAATATCATTACCAAGCTGCGCTTGGAGACCGACCATACTGGTGCGGAGTAGTGTCTGCTTATAAGGGCTTTGTCAAAGATAGAAGGCAAAAGAATCAAGGGGGATGAAGGTCACCTATAGCCTGGATGGGGGATGATGTAGTTTACTTTCATACCATGGAAAGATCACTAGCTCTCCTCTCGGTACCAGACTGAATAATATGACCTCGTGGCTGCTACCGAACTATGCAAACAGGAGTAATGGTGTACACTATGATCCATTGTGAGACGGGCAAATGCATATCTACCCTCAATCTTCATTCTAGTATGCCCAGCGTTGCCCAAAAACAGAAAGATGCAGATATAGGCCTATCAGCTCCGGGAAAGAATCGCGGTAAAGACGGCCTCTAGCTTCTCCGCGCTGTCAGCCCCCCACTGCTGAGACCTCCAAGCGACAAAATAATCCGGCCTTACGACGACACAGCCAGATTCTTCAACGCCTCGAATCTTGGCCCAGTCGAGATACTGATCCTCCCACTCTTGTCGGAATCCGATAGAGTGTACACTAATCGCAACACCAAGTTTCGCGGAGACTTGCTGTGCTGCCGTCCTCCAGCCCTGTCCCCCAATGCCGGTGAATAGTGCGAACTGACTCTTTCCAGCCAGATCGAGGGTAGATACCGGCTTTTCGGGGACGGATCGAGTTAACCAGACATGGGGTAGTCTCGCACCGGGATAGGTCGTGGGATGATAATGTTCCAACGAGTCGGTCGCGAAGGTTGGTAGTGGACCTTGGTCGGACTTATAAACGGCCGACGAAGTGTACCGTTGGTTCATCTCGATTCCTAGGCCGTGCTCTTCGCGGTTGATGAGTCTCAGCCCGTCTGCTAATTCCTGGCGACGCCGTCGCCCTCGCTCGGAATCCTCTTTCAGGACGTTGAATCTCTCCATACGGCTTGCGACTGTGGGTTCTAAGTTGCCCAGGATTTCCCATATTTTTCTGTGATTCCGGAGTGAGGCGTTTGCCCTGTGAGAAAACGGACTGCGTTTAGCTTTCGTATTTACCCCGAAGGTATTAGAGGATCAGCTTTGGTGAGGCTACTTACTGTGTGACTACATCTAGCCCCACAGGTTGACGTTCCACGCTGTAACTATCCAACAGCTCCTTTCCAGCAATACCTACAGAATGACAATGCAATTGATCAGCTCTTTTCAACGTTGAATGCATTTTGGACTGGTAATGTGTACTCACCTTTGTCAACAAGTGCGACTTTCCATGCTAGGTTGTGGGCATCCTGGATGCATGTATTGGATCCCAAACCATGATTTGGAGGGTGTCGGTGAACAGCATCTCCTAGACCAAACACATTGCCCTTTGAATACTCTTCGGCGGCTGTCTCGTTGATGATCCAGGTAGAGATGCCTTTGATCTTAAACTGAACTGAGTCGTCCCCAATCATCTCATGCACTCGTTTGACATACTCTGACTCGTGTCGCTGTTTTCTTTCAGCCGCGGGTGACGGAAAAATAATACAAAGCCACTCGTGCCAGGGTTTTACCATTCGAAAACATCCAATCCAGGCGTGATCTGGATGCTCTTTGTCTGGTGTTAGAATCCAGTGCAGATTACCCATGCGGTTCTCCATCAGATGTGACATGTCGGCTTCCAGTAAGATATTGATTGCAAACCCTTGGCCAGGGCGCTTGATCATTGGAACCTCCAATTGCCGAATGATTGGACTTCGTGCGCCATCACATCCAAAAAGATACTTGGATCGAACTCGATAATTCTGGGCAGTGACCTTGTCAAACAAAGTCGTCGTAACTCCAGGGCTATTTGGGTCTTGCTTGAATGAGACGAACTTGGTGTCCCATCGACACTTAAATCCGTTCAGTGTGGCGTGTCGGATAAGTAAGGGCTCCAGTAGGGTCTGCGGCAAATCCAATGGCTCGGAAGGGCTGGCAAGTTCGTAATCGCCCTGGAGAGCTTGGAGTTAATTGCTGCCGCATAGTAGAATCGACGATTTGCATTGATATTTCTTTCAGCAACGCACCTTTCTTCTTGGGTCGTTTCCCCACGAGTAGATTCGGGCGTACTCCTCCCCCGCCATACTGTTGGACCAGCGAGTATGGACCATCGTATCCCCCTGTGTGCCTATTTTGTAGCATTCCTTGTCGACACCGATATCGCGTAAACAGTCTGGTCCAACGTTAAGCACTGACTTTCGCACTCAGATGAGAGGAGTCAGGGAGTGCTCGCCTACCCAAAGCCGCCATATTTGTAATGTGAGCTCGCGGTGTGTCCGCGTTGCCGGGATCTTGGCTCACAATCAAGCCGGTCAATCCTGTAATGATATCACGATCAGGTCAAAATACTGGCTATTACATAAACCACAAGCCTTGCATCGCTCATGGGAATGGCAGTTTTAGTCTTACCATGTTGCGTTAAAAAACACGCCAGCGATGCGCCAGCAGGCCCGGTGCCAACAATCAGGTAATCTGTGTGGATTTCAACATTGGTTTCGCTGTCATGGACTCCGTTGACTTCGCCGTTCTGCGCCATCCTTTGATGTACAATCTTCAGACCTGGAGTAACTTGAAGGATAGTGGAGGACTAGTGACACGCTGTCGCGGAAGAGGTCTTATTCTTTCTCGAACAATATGTTCAGAGACTGAGTCCGAGAGCCATTTCTGCCTTTCTAACTCCACCAACAACATGGACATAACTATGCCGTTCTGAGGAGCGTACTCGCCGGGTGGGTGGGATGTATCCGTGTGGAGAAAGTGGGATGGGGGCTGTACGCGCGCAAACTATCAACTCTGCTTGAATGAATCCGCCGAGGATCGCTGGGGTTCCGGTGCGGTAGGAGACGGTTGCATGACCCCGTAGAAGATCATTCCGATTGGCCTTTGAAAGTCAATTTAGAAATGGTGATGAGAAGTGTGCGTTCCGTCTTTAGTAGAGCTCGTGCCTTTGGTTTTAGGAGAGTATCCTCGATGTAGGCAGAGGCGTGTATCGGGTACAATGCCGCAATTGCGGCTTCTACCCGCAATAAAATACATCGGAATGAGGACAAGGAACGAACCTAGTAATGGACAAGCCCCGGAATGAGCCACTGGCCAAGTTCGTCCCAAGTCGGGTGCATTCGAGAATTGCGTCTCCTGACCTACCACACTTGGTAACCCCACGAGATCCGGGCTTCTCCAGGCTTTTGAGCTTCATGCCCGGGCTGCGCTGAACGATCCGGAAGATGTCACTGAAGAGTTATACGAGCGAGAATCGATGGGGGCTTCTCCTTGTTGGGCATGCGCTTCAGCTCTATGCTGCGACCCTTCAACATCGTTATTGCTTCACCCAAAAAGCTGTAGCTGTTCATCAACTCCACGGGAACTGGTCTTCAAGATCGAAGAGTAAGATCGCTAGCGAAGAAGATCAAACCATTAAGCCCAAGGAATTACTGAGATACGGTGTAAGAGTTTGTCATCCCTTCGCCGGACAAAGCTGGACGTGCGGCAACATTGTTGAGCTACACACATATGAACAAGGCTTGGAGTACCAAGCCCACCTATGCTCTGCCACGGCCTCGACTGGCTTTTCCTGGCCACTCACTCCATTCGTCGTCTCTACCGTTTTATGTAAGCGAGGTGAGTCTGCACTGTGACATCAGGGAGCGCAAGGCTGCGATCGGAGGCATACACCCTGCAGCGTCTCGCACTGATGCCTCATAGTTGCCTGTCAGCGATCAACAGCGTTCCAGAGGAGAATATGGAAAGCCAAGCAGAAATTCTTCGCATTGTGAACCAAGTTGGGCATAGTTATGCATTTATCAGTCGAGGCCAAAGGGGCTATGTCGCCTGGCGTGGGGGCGATCTACAGGGTCATTCACGTGACTCTACCTACACGGGCACTCCTGACATAATTAGGCTGCAGAGGTTCCACGTTTAGGCCACCCGTGATTGTAACCTAGTGAGTTGCACAATATTAGCAACGCAGTATACTGTACGAGGCAATGTTCGCCTCAGGTCACCGGTGAAGCAGGACGCCATGACAAGGCTCAGAAGCGCCAGCCCCCAGGCTCAGTCACGCGTCTTGAGACATTCGAATGGCAACACATCCAGCCTGATACCCTTCGCCACGCCATCATGTTGTCTTCTTGATAACTACATAATGCCACTTTTCTCATTACTGGTGGTCTTTTCTCCACAAGCACCGTTGGTATGGTGACAAATATCGTCGATTCGGGGCCAGCGCGGCCAGAGCGCAACAGTCTTGGCCGTGAGGTGAATGAACCCCCCTCACCGCAGCAAACAATTCAAAATCTACGAGCATCATCTACGGAAAAGGCACGCGCGAGGCTGCTCCCAGCCTCTACCGTCGAGAAATCCGCCAAGGAATCAAGCAACATCTCAAAACCCAGCAGGGCGCAATGGCTCCCTATCGCGTTGAGGTGGCCATATTTGTGCACAATACTTGGTGTCACTCTCATCGTTTTGGCGGTTGTCATTGCGCTTCATGTGAGGTCTAAGTTGCACTCTGGACTCGCAGATGATGATGGGAGCAATGGGACATATTTCCTTTCAAGGTTCCTGCCCACTGTGGTAGCTGTTTCGTACGTCTTCGCGACATCGATCATCCTGGAAGATGTGAAACGATCTGAGCCGTATGCCCGTATGTCCTCACCAGCAGGTGCACCTGCGACCAACACCCTGTTTTGGGTGGCCAGAGCCTGGTGGACTACTCTTTACGATAGTCTGCCTAGCAAGAAACGAGGCCAGAGATTTAGCTGTTCCATGTTTTGCGCCTCTTTGGTACTCATCCTTGGATTCCTCATACTCTCACCTTTCTCCTCCACATTTCTAGTCACCAACGATGTCGTTTTCTCTAAGGATCGCACATTTGGGCAATTGCCACTATCTTCAAGGCTACCAATTCAGCCAACAGCCTCGTCAACTACCTACTTCCGCACAATTGGGAACGTGCTCCAGAACGTGACCACGTCGTCATGGATCACTGAAAAGTATGCGGTTCTCCCACTCTGGCCGGCAGACCAGATTGTGGAATCCATGAGTGCATTTGTTGGCCAAGGAAGCGAGATTTGGCATGCTGAGACTCTTGTGGTCAGCACAGAGCTAGAATGTGAGCCATTGGATCTCACTGATGTCTCTTGGGTTCAAGGTGTCTTGCAACCGGAATACACCGACCCATCTATAACCTTCGCGACTGAATCTGGGTGTACCCTGTCGATGATTGTGTCCAACAGTAGCGGACTTTCTGCCTTTGCATCATGGACCGTGCCAACGGATTTTGCCTCGGACGACGCACACGCCTTTAACTCCACCGGTTGCATCGGAGACGAGGTGATGATGTTCGCGACCCCTCCACTTGCGGGCAACCTCAGTGTCTCCAGCCCGGACCCGAATATACAAGCTAAAGGATTGCTTTGTACTGCTCAATATTTCTACGCTAATGCTACAGTGGCTGTCACTGTTGGGTCGGGCGAATCGGTGGTTACAGTCGACGAGCAAGAATACATGGCAAACCGTCGGCCGGTTCCTGAGAGTTTCTTTGATGTGATCGGCGCACAGAATGTATTCCTCACCAAGACATCCTGGCCACAGCGTCTGTTCGCAGGAAATGACTACATCGAAATACGTGGCCCTGGAGCACTCCTGGCGGCAAGCTACGAATTCTCGGTTGAACGTCTGGTTCAAGACCAACTTCTCCTGTCAAAAGCTCAGACGCTGAAGCAGCGCTTTCTCGGCGAGATGTTACGTGACACTTTTGACTCGGCTCTGCTCTCGGATGAGCCCAGAGTCCAGGTCGATGGAAAAGTCTCCTCAAATCGTCGGAGAGTTCTGGTCGTGCCCGCCGTGGCGATAACATTGGAGGTAGCCCTGGGTATCAACTTCATACTACTGCTTCTCACTCTTATGAACTCACGACTTTCCAAGCGTCCATTGGAATTAAACGCTGATCCAGCCACGAGTATTGCCGTTGCTACTTTTGCATCGCAGGAGCCCCATACCCTACGGCAGCTCAACGATGCGAGCATCGCCAATCCTCTGGAGCTTCTAACCCATCTGAAGGACCTATGGTGCCGGAACATGGACAACGGGCTTTATATCTTTGATCCTGGGCACAGATCAGATGGCCAACAGACAGCTAAACTCATGAAGAAACTCAAAACCAGCAGCAGTTTACCAACTGTACTTCACCTAGTACCTGTACTCTGCCTTTTCGTCTCTATGTTGGCCGTTGCTGTGACGATCTCAGTTCTGCTCGGCTTTTCTGAGACGGACGATCTCTACCAAACTGCTTTCGTGTACCAGATTGACTTCGCGGTCGCTGGGATGCAACTTGATGCCATAAATCCTGCAGCTGTCCTCACTACATTCCTAGCGGCCTGCATTACGCTCTGGTGGGGTGCAGTGGAATCGAGCATTCGAAAACTACAGCCATTCCTAGCACTGGCGAAAGGACCTGTGCGAACTGAGGACGGGACTGGATTATCCTATGAAACGTCCTATCTCCTTTGGGCTGCCGTCAAGGCCATCAAGCGTAGCCATTGGCTGCTCGCTCTGGTCTCTTGTGGAGCTTTCTATGCAGAAATTTGTAGGTGACAGAAACTTCTCAGACTCCAAGTAACTATACTGACTGCTGTCCCAGTTACCATTTCCATGTCAGCTTTGTGGTCAAGAACGCATAGCGAGAAGAATTTCGTCTCTCAAATTCCTGTGTCCTTGGAGATTCGACAAATACCTTTGGTTTTGGTTGGTCATCTCAACAACAATGACTTTTATTCTAGTGCATATAGAGGCGAGGCTCTGAGAGAGTCATTCACGAATCAAACAACATCTTGGATGTATGGTGCAAACATACAGCTTGCATTGAACGGATCACAGCCTCCGTGGAGCTCAGACGGATGGAGCTTTGCTCCGGTGGACCTGAGCGTGCTTCCTAAAAAAACGCTACAAAATATTGGCGACGACTCAGCGACAAGCGACGAAAGCGGTGTTCCACTCCCTTCATCAACGCTTGCTACCCTTGATACTGCTGCTATGCACGCAAGGATCGAATGCATACCTTATGACCCTTTTGAGGACACCAGCATTTGGACTACGGAACAAGATCTCACAAACAGTACGTATTGGAACACTAGTTCAAACCCCAGCTCTCTGGAAACGGCCTACGAACTGGGCACTATTGCCTGCTCTACCGACAATCCCAACATCGGACTCGGATATCTTTGCGGTACCGCTGGAGGTATCAATGTTACGACAACGTTCTACGTGCAGCCTCCACAGCTCTCCTGTTGTGAAAATCGCACCGAAGACGAATATGGACTGGCATCTGTGGGCTATTGGTCAGCAAATCGAAGCCCCGGTGTCTTGTTTCCTTCGGTAACTGCCGATTACCCTTTCAATTTCACGGTAAAATGGATTCACGGCACACCCCAAGAGGGTTTCGTAATGGCGAACGCTTCATCGGAATCACGGCGACTCCTCTGGCACGAACCGCCCGAGATGACTGCACTTAACTGCAGGCCCATCATCGAGACCGCTAACGCTCGAGTCACGGTTGATATAACTTCCCTCAAGGTGCAGCACTACTCCCTGACCTCCGATCCTGTCCCAGATACTAAAGCCTGGAATGATCTCTTCACGTATCACGTCGCAGAAGAAGATTTACCAAGCGACATAAACGGATACCCAGTTAATGTAACAGTCAGCCATGGCGCTTACTTTCTGGCTGCTCTCATCGGTGCCAGCGATATCTCTGCTCTAAGTGCCACTCCACGATCAGGCTACCAGGATACTGAAACCCTGGACGACCAGACATTCAATATCCGGAAACAAGGACTGAACCTGGACTACATGTCTTACAGTATGCTCTCGCTCGTTGGATTTGATCCTACCGCACTTCTTAATCCAACTACAATGGAGCGAACAGCCCAGCAGGTTTTCTCTACGTTCTTTCAGCACTTTGCAAGCAGCTCTGTGACCACTGCACAGGGTGGCTGGGCATTCCAGAAGCTCGACGAACGCTTGCCCGCCGATTTGACAGATGTCGAGGATCAGTCTACGGTGGATCCACCCGCAAATCCACGCGCAGGCGAGTTGGTGAGTGTTGAAGTGGTACAACCAGTTGAGGTTCTGAAGATGTCGAGAGTTGCAGCAACGATTGCCCTTGCGGTGCTGCTTTGGTTACTGGTCTCAACCTTAGCGCTTGCTTGGAGGAGTAGGACCTACAAGGCGAGGCTACGGTGGCGCGTCGAAACGATTGCTGATGTTCTGCTCATGGTGGCCGGCAGTGAAAGGCTGCTTGGTATGCTGAAAGCAAAAGACATGGTGAAGACGAAGGTAGATCCACACGCCACTGCAATGCTGGCAGATTTCACGACGAAGGATCGAAATCTGAGATGGGGCATCGAGCTGGCTACTGCCGACGTCACCAAAGATACCAGGAGAGAATCTGCACCCGCGGTTACAACCGCAATGGTGCCTCTTTCACCTTCGCACACTGTTTCGCCCACTCCAGTGCAGGAACGAGCGCCTCTGATTCCGACCAAAATAACAAGTCCTCCTCTTTAGAAGACACATCGGCTAAAACGATAGCTTTTTATAGTGACAGACCGTTTGAATGAGCTAGGTTGTCCGCCGACCTCCTATTTCTCACGACGCGCAGCCATCTTCCCCGGAGTAGAGACTGGCTGAAACAACCTGAGAGACAGTCCCGCCAGAACCACTTGAGGGACCAACGGCGAGAGTACCCAGTTCAACGCCAAGTTGAGTGAATGAACGATGTCTGATTATTCCCATAGAGAGAATCCTAATATCTTGGCTTCATGGCTTAGTGCCCTATCGAATGTAAGGCTCGTGATTGAAAAAGGCTCGAGGCAATTGCCAGTAATAGTATTAAGCGCACCCGCCTTGGCACCTGTGGGGAACCCTGATGTCTGCGATGGTTCCCAAAGCTGGAGTACTGGGGTACCGAAATGACCTCGACTTGATTGGAATTCATTAGATGTCCATGGAACCCCACCTAGCCGTAAGGCGCTGAACACCGGAACAGGGCAGAATGGCGATGCCCCAGGATATATCTTCTCGCAAATATCAGCGTATGCTGATCGCAAACCGCCGTGTCTAGAACACCATTCCAGTCGACCTCTGCCATTTTATTATCATATTGAATTCTTTTCTGTGAATTCAGTCTTTCAACTGAGTATCATTTGAAGGGACAGCCAGTGAAACATAATGGCCACAGCAGTCTCCACGGTAGTGGTCGTTGCCGTCGGTGGAACTTCTCCGCAGTTGCGGGACTGCACCCTTGACAAGTTGTAATCCGAAGTGGTGACATCCCGATTGGAGCAGCAAGGTCGACAATGGTTTCAAAAGAGTACCAGTTGTGATGGAAATGCATACTAGCCAATTCAGCGGCAGCACATGCCTCACTGGGCAGTTAGACAACATAATCGGCCATCGAAATGTCGGTTCTGCTGTCTCAAGGCCCCACCATGGAGCCGGTAATTAATATGTTAACTGATGTCGATCCCCCAGCCTGTATTGTTGGCTTGGAAATCGCGAAAAGGCATCTACCTATAAACCAGGAGTCGAATGCACCAAACCAGTTGATCCTTCGATCCAAATACATTCATAGGTTCTACATCATTGAGTACTGAGGAGGCATTGCGAACAAATATGACGCTGTTGCTCCAAGGCGCAGCTATTCTATTAGCGGGGCTTGTGGTCTATGCTTTCCTCTTTGTCGGTAGAAGAGGTCGCAACTTTCCCGATGGTAAGTCATGCTGGTTGCAGAAGCTCTATCACGACTGAGAGAAAAAAAATTACAGGCCCACCAACGCTCCCCATCATTGGGAACCTACATCAGCTTCCAAAGCAAAAGATCTACTTTCAGTAAGTTTAGAGTCGACATGTCGGGCGAGTAACAAGGCTGAAGCTTGTAGGTTCACAGAATGGGCGAAGAAATACGGAGGAATGTACTCCCTGAAGCTCGGACCTGGAAATGTGGTTGTCCTCACAGATCGTCGCATTATCAAACAAGTACTGGAGAAAAGAAGTGCAATTTCCAGCAACCGGCCAGTAAATATGGTTTCTCAGAAGCTCATCACCGAGGGCGACCACATGTTATGGATGGACAACACTCCAACCTGGCGCCTGTTTCGGAAACTGCTCCACCAAGACCTGACCGAGAGCCTTTGCAACAGCCAACATGTCAAGCTTCAGCATGCCGAAGCCGTTCAGATGCTGTATGACATGATGCAAGACCCAGATCATTGGACGAATCATCTCAAGAGGTTCAGCAATAGCATCATTATGAGTATAGGTATGGTAAATGAAGCAGTATACGTTTAGCAGACACTGAGCATGATAGTCTATGGAATCCGTTCTCCATCGATCAGCGCACCTCATACGAAACAGCTTGGTGAAGCGGCCGAGATATGGGCCAGAATCAACGAATTCGGTGCTACACCTCCAGTTGACATTTTCCCATTCTTGAAGTGGATCCCCCAGCGTTTCCTTGGAAACTGGGTAACCCGATCGATGGAAGTCCATGATGCCCTGCACAATCTATATGGAGGTCTCCTAGAATCAGTGATGCGGCGAAGACAGGCGATAGGCTCGGTAGACAGCATGCTGGACCGGATTCTAGATCAACAAGAGAAGCACGGCTTGAACAAGCACCAGGTCATGTTATTTGCGGGTGTTACGATCAAAGGCGGCTCAGATACAACCGCCTCAGTACTCACATCTACCATTCAAGCTTTGATCACGAACCCCGAGGTGCAGAGAAAAGCACAGGCAGAGATCGACTCTGTCGTTGGTGAGGACCGGATGCCAAGCTGGGACGACTATGAGAAGCTACCATACATCGCTGCTATTGTCAAGGAGTCGCATAGGTGGCGACCAGTTGCCCCTCTCTCAGTTCCACATGCTCTTTCTGAAGGTATTTTGTCCATTACATTGCATCTACCCGAACCAGCACTGATTCCTTTTCAATATCTAGATGAGATTGTGGATGGTAAATTATTGCCAAAGGGCACGGTCATCTTCGTCAATGTCTGGGGTCTCCATCAAGACGAATCCAAATTTGCGAATCCAGATGTTTTCGATCCTGACCACTACAAAGGCCGCCAGCTTCTGGCTGCGGAGTATGCAAACTCGGCTGATTACGAAAATCGGGACCACTACGGCTATGGTTCGTTTCAATCATCTTTGATATGCATCTAATCTCACTAACATGCAATATAGGCAATGGCCGGCGACTGTGCCCCGGGATCCACCTTGCGGATCGAAACCTTTTCCACGCGATCTCGAAGCTGCTTTGGGCGTTTCATATTGAAAAAGGGATTGATGCAGAGACGGGAAAGCCAGTGGCACCTGATACTAGTATGGCCACAGGCTACAGGGAAGGCCTCACAGCCTGTGCGTACGAGTTCCCCATCAAACTCACGGTGAGGTCGCAAACTCGACATAAGACAATCATGGGGGAATATGCTGCCGCCAAAGCGGATGTTTTTCAGAAGTTTGACAAATCGGACTTCTTCAAGTGACAATCGGTGGAAGCTAAGATTGGGGAACCTGGTATGTCCCAAAACTAGCATCTTCTGATGGTTGTATAAGCAACGAGGAGTGTAACGTTGGAAGTAATCTTCATGAGAAAATCATCTTCCCTTTGGCCTTTTCCAATGGGAAACCAAGGTATTAGGTTGGCAGAAATATCTTATTAGTGAGACATAATTCATTCCCAGTTCCCAGTCGTGCTTTCAGTGCTCAAATGTGACCGCTTACAAGGCTTTCAGCTCAATACAATTCACACGGTTCCTGAAAACTGTACAGTATCATTGAATCTGACTAACAAACAAATTTCTAGAAATTGATGTGTTTCGACATTCACATTACTTACGACAAGGGATGGTACTATATTGAACTCTAAGTAAATGTATATGATTGAAGGAAAAAGTGGTAGAATTGTCATCTCCACCACGGATGTCCTATCCTCCCATGCTGCTGCCTTAGTTCGTCCTTCCCTTCTCTAAGGTGGCTACGGTTAAAGCATTCCCGATTTTGAAGACGGCATCCTCATGATCGCTAGCGGGTTCGGGATTGCGGCGCATTTGCATGTCTGATACCCACTAGTAGCGCATGTGATGGGAAGGGGACATAGTCATTCCTAAGACGGTCCGAGGGACTCGTCAGATTATATAGTATCCTAAGTACGCACTAGACTAGCGCCTGGGCGCTCTCGGGTCCGCTTCGGATAGCGTTCGAATAGCTCTCGGAGCTAGTTCGGATGCGTCGAAGCGATATAGTAGACCACGGTCTTTACAATCGCTTGGCATCGCTAATCACACGCACGCGTCGAGTTGGTCTAGTTTGACAACTCTGGGACACTAGCGAATCTCCACGCCACCATTGACTACGTGAGGAAGGCTTCTGACGAAGCTATTCGTCGACGTGAGCTCGAGGGTTAGGGGGGGTTTTCAAGCAGATGGAAATCTCGAGTAGGTGGAAAGGTGAGTGGGCGCCGGTAGCCCCGGAATCACTTCCCCGCAATGCCTAACGAGTTTGCCCTTCAGTCTCTGCGCGGCCCGGCCCATGTATACTGTAAATCATGATCGACCCCTACCCGCTGAGCCGCATCAAACCTTGGAGGGGGGGGTTGCCTACTGATCCTGCCTCATTCTTACGGTAACCGCAATCAGAGTCCGCAAAGCAGATGATAATGAAGGGCTCTGAAGCCTTGAATGTGACAACGCATCCCTGCATGGATGTTGTGCGACCCCAGATTGTGGCCCGCAGCCATCATAATTCAAGGCTTCCCGAAAACAGGGCCTGATAGGTTCGTTTCAAACGTGGCTATTCCCTCACAGCTAATCAACCTCGAGGTTCGCGACCTTTGGTAGAATTGCTTCACTGTGCACGGACCATGCGTTTGCTTCCAAGCTAACAAGTGGAGGGGTACCTCCACTCATAAGGAGTTCGGTGCAGCAAGGCCAATGGGCTCTGCATAGCACTACATCAGCTTTAGCGTTTGTCAATGTCAGGCTTCAATCCTTCATTCACAGACAGACACGTGGGAGGGCCCTCTGCGGGGTCTGTCCGTCATTTAACATGTGATTATGGACGAGAGGATCTCATGGATCTCATGGATCTCATGATTCTGGTAGTGGAATGGCGACTCGTTGTGGCATCAGTCACCAAGTTTCTTCTTGAAACGCAATTTCTTGCAAAAACCTGCTCCGATGATCTATGTTTCACAAAACTCCCAACTACATCTTTTCTCGCCAGCACGATCGCGAAATCTCAAGTACAGAGGCTCGATTAAACAAACTCTTTCACCCAGTATCCTTGATTAGAAACAAAAGAGGAAGAAAGCAGGTATGCTATTCGTTCATCCATGCATCTGTGAGGATCCCTCAAAGTTGTGACCGTCATCTTGCAGGGAAGTGCAACTATCATGTCACAGCCAGAAATTTCCCAGACTGAAACAAACGAGCATGTCGGAGAGGCTTCTGGCAGGACACCAAATGGGGTTGAAAGCACTGACCCCGAGAGTGGTCACATCGACACGGTGCATTTTGGCATATTCCATGACCAACTTCAAGCTGAAGTGCAGAGGCTTCAAGAAGGCATGTCTATATCTCACAACGCGGTTACTGAACTTTCGAAGACTTTCGGTGAGTACAGTAAAATCGTTAGTACCGTGGGTGAACGCCATGGAAAAGATCAAGTCCTGGAGGACAAGATTCGTGATTTGGAGGCGACAAATGCCGGGATATGGAAGAATATCGAGACAGATAGGAGCTCCCACAAGAAGGTTCTATCGGACTTACGGAAGAAACATGATAAGGAACTATCTGGACTACTAGCGCAGGCGGAGGCCGGTGAGCTGGAGAAGGAGAAATACGAAGAAATGGAAAGAAGTCTGCAAGAGGAACACGACAGAACCAAGCAAGGAATGGCTAGAGAACTCAAACACAAAAAGAATCAGTTAGAGAATGAGAATGCCGAGAAAATTGCAAACCTGGAAAGAAAACAAGAGGAGCTGGAGAGTGAGAAAGCTAGACTTGAACATGAGCTGGATAAAAGGACTGCGGAACGTGACCAGGAAATGGAAACTCGCGAAACGATGCAGAACAAGGCGCGAACAGACATCAGGAAGTTGGAGAAGTCACTTGCTGATATCCAGGCTAAGTACCAAGTGGACCAGCGACCATCGCAATTCTAGTAAGATATCCTTACTCCTCTCCTCTTCCTTAAATCTGAGCTCTATGCCAACTCATCACCAACAGTGAGGACCGATATAAGAGAATTTTCGACGGTGTGGGCAAGATTGCCTCATTATTCTTCACAGAGCTTCCAGATAAAGCGATCGATGTAAGTTTAACGGCTCGGCGCTGACTTCTAGGGTCCCGTGAGATTGTGGGAGTGGGATTGTATTTGATATCCTTCTTATAACTTACTTGTACAGGATCCTGTCGGTACATCCGCTCGGTTGAAGCGGAAAGCGCCCAGTTTTGCAAGCGTACCGATTGGGAACTTTGAATGCTCACAAGTTCTCCGACTGGCCAATGCCCAACATGTTATCTTTGACTCTCTGTGTGGCTCTGTGTGGCAACCATTTTTCTCTCGGTACCTATGGAAATACGAAAGAGCAAAATCGTCTCTTCCTGAGATCTACTCGCGTCTAGCCGCCTATGGAGAGGATTTCCAGCAGAATTGGAAGGTGTCCACATTAAAGATTCTGGAAGAGCTTGACGACAAGGTGGACGTGGGGGAGTTGGTGGACACCCTGATTGAGCAAACCGTCATTGACATTCTGCAGCCATTACTGGACGATAGCCAGCTCGGTCTATTCAAAGATGAATTGAAGATCGTATACAACGACGCCATCGAATTGGGTCGGATAGGGGAGCGTGATCAATCACCGGTGTATCCTGATACGACCGCATCTGTGAATGACCGCGCGGGCTGGAAGGAATACTTGAGCGAGGACTATGACATGGATGATGCGGCAAACCTGTCTCGTACTTCGTCAACCTCCGAAATTTCCTTTGGGCCGCTCTTTGTGAGTCCAAAGATGTGTCGTAAGAGCGAGAGGGTGTCCCCAACTCCAACAGCGGCAACGCCTGTCACCACCCTAGGAAACGGAGCAGAGACCGAGGTGATTCTACCCGGAGTTGCGCTATTCCCTAACACAGGCATCTTCCAAGAGGGAGCGATGCACTGGCGGAGGATTCAAGGGGCCGGGAGAGAGATAGCTAAGAACATTAATGGCGTAGGGAGAAGGCCAAGTACCAGTACGAGTATGAAAAGCTTAGGGAGTGCACCGGCATCGCCACGCGAGCCGTCCAAGAGGTGGCCACGGCAAGGAACGCGAGACTTTGATTAGCTCAGATGGCAGTTAGTATAAGGAAGAATCTCCAGGGGCTGAAGAGCCCCTGGGATTGATTTTCACAATCGCTAGAGGAGGAGATCCTCCATTGAGACACAAGCGCTAGCGAAATGCAGTCGCTACAGACATTGTCCCTCAATAGCCTAAGGTGAACTCGGCCCGGTAAAAGCGAACGATTCAAGAGTCCCTGCTTGAGGAAAACAGGAAACAAGAACTAAAAGTTGATCGAGGTTTCGGCTCCTACTATTTGTGTTTTCGACGCTTAAACGGCCACCCACATCTCATAGGCTTCAGCTCAATACAATTTCCGAGGTGATAGGCAACTTTACAGTATCATTGATCCTACTTAATGAGCCATTTCTTAAGGAAGTTAATTTGCGTCACTACGTTTTTCTCCATAGTTTCCCCGGCGTATGAATCAAAATGTCCACCAGGCAGTAAGTTCAGCTCTTTTGGCTCCTTGGCTCTGGCGTACGCTGCGAGAGAGAGATCTGGAGGCGTCAGGGTATCCAATGTCGGAACAGTCATCAGTAACGGCGTCGGGGAGATCTTTTCGATCAGCTGTTGAGGCTCATATCCGCGGAAGAGTTCCATTCTAGTATTGAACGTTAGATTATGAGATTTAAAAGGCCGAATAGTAGGTAGAAGGCATCGAGAGTCATCCACTTACGTTCTGATGGTGACCTGGTTTTTCCATGTGGATTTCTTTTCCCACTCCGTGAAGAAGTCATAGACATCCTTACCATTAAGAGCACAAACGCCAAAAGGTTCGGCATGAACTATAGGTAGATAACCTGCCTCTTTACCCTCTAGTCTTGCTATACGATCTATTTTCAGTCAGTAAGAGGAGTTTATGGGGCCTAGGAGAAAGTCGTGAATACATACCTGCCGCGAAGATTTTCTCGAGAGCTGGTCCGAGATCTGGACGGACTAGGCGATGGAAATTATCCCATCCACTTACACAAGGACCTTGACTTAGAACGACCTTGACCCTTCGGTCAACGGCGGCAACGACCAACACGTGTCCCCCGCTATAAGACGTGCCCCAGATCCCGATCCTATCTGCGTCCACTTCCGGTCTAGTCGAGGCATAAGTGATCGCATCCGAGTAATCGGATATCTGGAGCATCGGCACGATCTCGCCACGAGGCTGGCCCGGTAGATGATCGCTTTCACCAAAACCGCGGTGGTCATACACAAGACAGTTCATTGAGAGGGCTGAGGTAAACTTCTCTGCGTAGAAGTCCAAGGTCATCTCCTTTAACGCGGTGAAGCCGTGAGCCATTACCAACGTAGGCAGCTTGCTTGAGCTGGGGTTTCAGCAGTATAGAACCATCCTCGCAATGTGACGCCATCAGAGTTCTTGAACTCAATATTTTGCCTGCCCATTGTTGGTGACGAAAGCTGTCTTATCGTCAAAGGGTAATTTTGGGAACAGTAACTAATTTCAATCAGCAGGTTGTTTGGAACCTCCTCTTTCCTCCTCTCGTTCTCAATATTGAGGGAATAATGTCAATATTCATCAAGTTCACAATAGATTGAGCCGCAGCCTTCGCCTTTATATCTTCCTATGAATGAGCTTCTCGAGCTTCACACAGCACTTATTCCACCAATATTTTACTTACATCCTCCCTGGCCGTTTGCCGATTCGGAGAACCGAGCTGTCTAGAAACAGTCGCAGGTTGCCAAAGTTTGGCAAGTTCGGTCCCTCTTCTTTTGGCCATAACACCAATTGAATGAGGCAACAAAACTTATCACCACTCCTCAAAAGGAATGTGTTTGTTTCGGGGTGGGGAATGTCCAACGCCATCCCCAACTTCGCCCATCGGCTCCGCCGGAACCGAGCGCGAAGGACAGACAATAGCCCAAGGTTTTGCATCATTCAAACCTGTCAGGCATTCTGTTTTTGAGCTTGCCTTATTCCGAAGTATTGGATCCTGCGACCCACCGGTGCCCTTGAATTGATGCAGTTTCAACAATGTGGCAAACATGTTGGGAGGCGCAATGCGCTGTGAACACCATTGAATGTAAGCCAACGAAGTCGGATCGGATCAGGACCACGGATCAGTCCGAACATTTGCTCTATCTCCTTTGACATGGACCTCTCGGACACTCACCTTGCATCCACCCTGCCAGCCCCGTGCCTAGTGCCTAGTTCTTGTTTCCAGTCAAGGTTGTGATTTGTAAATCAATTACTTCATCATTGGCGAATGGTGCATAAGTCTGCGCATAATTCGATCTACAGGTTGGCGATGACCATATGAACATGTTGGGTGACAAAGGCTGCTTCCAGGTCTTGCCAGTCTTTAAGATTGGCAAATCTGGGCGTCCCACCGTCCTCCTAGGTACGTGGGTAGTCAATACAAGTTTGGATGTCTAATACTGGGGATGCTAAAAGATAGGGAGGGCAGGTCGCAAACGTCTATAAGATACTAACAAACGTTGTTTTGGCATACCATTGATTCTCCTTTACTTGTCCGAATGTCTTCGATCCAAATTGCGCTCGCTGGTGCGACCGGCAACCTCGGCGTCCCAATCCTCAAAGCTCTTCTTGAAGGACAGTTTTCAGTAACAGTTCTCTCGAGAAGAGGTGGAAACTCATCAAAATTGACAAGTCATCCCAATCTCAAGATCGAGGAAGTTGACTTTGATTGCGTTCAGTCCCTTACAGCGGCATTGCAGGGGGTGGAGGTGGTCGTATCCTGTGTCTCTACCCTGGCGATCGGAAATCAGAATTCTTTGATCGATGCCTCTGTTGCAGCAGGCGTTAAGCGTTTCGTCCCGGCCGAGTTTGGGATGGATTCCCTAAATCCTCTCTGTGCCCAGCTGCCTGTTTGCGCGCCGAAAGTAGCGACGCAGAGATACCTCCATGAGAAATGTCTCGCATATCCCGAGTTCTCTTGGACAGGTATTGCCAATGGACTGTTCTTAGACTGGGGCATGAAAGTGGGATTCATCGTAAATCCATATCGGCACGCTGCAACGCATTATAACGGCGGTGATGTCCCTTTCAGCGCCACAAAATTGGCGGACGTGGTGAAGGCGGTCCTTGCCATTATTCACAAGCAAGAACAAACTGCAAATCGTCTGCTCTATATTCAATCGACATTGATTACACAGAACCAGTTGATCCAGTATACCAAAGATATTGACGGCAAAGAGTGGCATACACAGGAGAGAAACACCGAGGAAATCAGGAAAGAGAGCTTGGTAGCACTGGCAAACGGGGATCTCATGGCTGCTATGGACGGGTTTTGTGTAGCTGCCTCTTGGAACGCCGACTATGGTTGTGACTTTTCCAATCACTTGGACAATGAGGAACTGGGCCTGAAGCTGCTGGATGAACCTGGCTTGAGGTTGTTGGTACAAGGTATCTTACAACGGGAAGAACAGGTATAGATATTGGCGAAGAAGGTCATTGCAAAGGCAGCGATTTCTACATGGCTAATAGCTATCGTTCGATTAATCTCCCAGATCAATTTGAATTTGAAAGACCGGAAGACTTGTAACAAGAAAAGTAATGCAATCGGGTAGCGTGGTCTACGACGAAGAAGTGGGAGAAGTTAGGCCCGGGGATGGCCGTGATACCATAGGTACCTATCTTGATCTAATGACTTGTACCAAGACAGTATGGTACGGGGCATCGGCTATCGAGGACGCCTCCCGAGGTGAGAGACGCTTAAAAATTGAGTGTCTGCCGCGTATCCACATCGTTTCCCACGTATTACTGCTTGGTTTCGGTAATAATTTGTCTAGCACCAAGCTCCTCCCCTTCTATAGTGGGGAGCTCCCTCATCCATCTCTGATCGCATTTTGCCACCTGAATATTGTTATATCCCGGCATTTCACGCTACTCGGTACATTGTTGAGTAGAACAAACAGGGCGCCGTTATTGCCAGCATCTCCAGCAGGCCAGATTACAACCGGCACCTGTGCACCCGTTTTGGCGCAGAAGGTTCACACCAGACCATGCAATATATTCCAACAACCCGTAGGACACAATTCTCTAGCTGTGATGCTTGCCGACAGTCCCGTGTTGCATGCGATGCTTTAAGACTTGGCTACCGACCTGGAGAACTAAAATGGAATGGCGCATGTTCGAGGTGCTCCTTGAGAAACCGACGATGCACATTTGAGGTAAAGGCACTGTCGTCAGCTCTTTTCTGTCGCTTGGTAGATCATCCGGACCATGGTTTCTAACAACAGCAAGACAAAATAGTGGATTAAAAAGACTCCCGCACGACAACGAGAAGTCCCAAGGCTGTTTTCAGCTTCCGCGGCTGCACGAGCCAGAGATTCTGGGGAGTCCCCGGGCCAATTTGATCCCGCAATCGCACCTGATCTTTCCACCAGCGTGCATGAGAATTATGGTTCCGATGATTTAGGGGATCCTGGGTGATTGTGCCTTGGATCCCATTGATTGAGACTACGCTGACGATACACCCAGTCTGACATTGTGCGAGCTAAACATCTTTGACTCAGCGTTGACTTCCACAGATGAATCCAGTCCCTATGTAGAGTATGCAGACCGCCTGCTGTCACAGTGTTCTGAATTTATCTTTAACCATGGTATCGGGCCCATATTTAGTCGTTGGGTGGGCAAATATGGCTGTCCCTTCGTGTAAGTATCGGATCTTGTAAGATCTCGGACAGCAAGGAAGTCTGACAACTGCAGTGATGAACCTACTGGCGACATCTGTATACCTCCGGCGAAACTATTCAGTGAGCTCGACAATTACATGGAGGTTCAGTTTGACGATCGTACAGACGAGGCTTCTACAACAGCCGGTAGAAGACAAGACTGGAATGGCCAGACTGATGAATCCCTGCGCCGTGCAATGCACTCCTATGCTGTGCAATGGTTGCCGGTTCTAGAGCAGAGAAATCCCACGACCATGATTCCCGTCGAGCATATTATTAGGAACAGCTGGCGCGCTACTAGAAGAGACATGCTCAGAGTCATGAATCGCAAATCTTATCGGTCTGTTCTAACGCTATACCTTTTTAGCCAGACTCCAGTCCCAGCAGGGCTGTCCGAGGAGGAGGAACAAGATGGTATCAGCGGGCTGGTATGTGTTCAGACGGCCCTAGTGCAAATACAACAACTTAGAGAGCGTCTACGGAGTTGTCAATTCGATGGCTCCGAGGTTTTGGCCTGGCCAGACTCAGTGTCAAGTCCCAGTCCAACTCGGAATCTTTCAGAGGCATTCCTCAATTTAGAAAGTCGGGCTTATTGGGCAGCAGTCACCTGGGACACTTCATGCTCAATGACCTTGAACTTTCGATCATCTCTGAGCTCTGGTCTTAAGGGTGCATGCTTGGAGACATCGTGGCGCCTGGCAAGAGGATTTCTTGTCGGATCATTTCAGCCTAGAACTGAAGAGTGGCGGAAGAAGGGTTTCGAGGTATCTGATGATATTGCCCAAGAGATTATGTCTGCCGTGGCAGTGTGCAGGATTTACACCTGGAGGACTATTGCAAGTGTAAAGGAAGCCTTGAGGGAGGGAGTAGAGGAGGACAGTGTGCTCTTCTCTTGGAAAGCTCTTCTCGATGCACTGGGGATTTTCAAGACCACGATCCACCCTCTTCTGGACAGTTGTGAGAAACAACTCCACTTCCTCAGCCAGGTAACCCGGTTATACTGGTACGAGATGGTCCTGCATTACTACCTTGGGATCCTGATGTTAGTTGACGCACTCGAATTCGGCCAGCGGTCCGATCTACTTTCTCAAATCACCGAAATGAGACTGGAAGCAGAACATGGCTGCTTCAACGTCCTGAAGTTTGGTGTCGAGAGCAAGTATGTCGTGAATGGCTCCCAATCAGACGCAAAAGATGCTTCCGACCAAATCTCCACGACTCTTCCCTCTGAGCATCCGATTGTTACGTCGTTCGTCGCGGTTGATCCATATCCCCATCACGTGGTCGCCTCCGTCAGGCTGGTCAACAAAGTTATCAGCCGTAAATATCGACAAGGCAACACCAAGTACGAGGCCTATTCCCACCTCTCATCTACATTGCTTAAGACTCTAGCAGAACTGCCGCCAAGTTCTAAGGCTGTGCTATCCGCCCGTCAGAACCTACAAGAGTCAATAGATCATCTTGAGACAGGCTCTGTCACTGATGTTTCATGTGCAGACTAGTACGCATCATGTACTAGTTAATCAATAGCGCAATATTATTCTCAACACTCGCCCTAGCACAAGAAAAAGGAAGCATACCTTACAGCCTCTTTTGAACGGTGACCTCTGAATTGGAGGCACAAGGATTTAGATATGGGAGCAGAGTTGTTCTCGGTACTTGGTACGCCCAAGCAAAGACATGCCAATGGTGGAGCTATGGAATTCTGCTCACTGAGTTCCCTCGGACTAGTCCACATAGGCCACATCTGAGCATTGCGATAAAGGTCACATCCTTCAACTAGTTCACAGGCGCAAAACAGCGGAAATTGTCATTTATAACCTCTTGCACGCACTTGCGATAACTTCCCAACCCTCCAAAGTAAAAGTTAGTCGTAGCTCTACGTCCGGGGACATTTGCTCCAAAAATCTAGCTTCTTGTCTTCTTGAACAATAAGCCTTCGACAAGCTGTTCACACAATATTGACCATTCATTTTTGGCCTCTTCGGTAAGCTCCATGACCATCGGCCTCGACTGTTTGTTCACTTCAACGACGTTGTGCTTTTCTGCACGATCAATGCAAGCCATGATGAACTCGATTTCGCTTTCAATGACTGGGGGAAAGTTGGCGAATGGTGCCTGGGGCCCAGAGACCAAAAACATGTTTGGAAAACCTGCACAAGCAATGCCGCCATAGGCTTTTGGTCCATTTTGCCAATGTTCTTGGATCGTTTTGCCTCCACGGCCATGAATACTGAGATGTAGATAGTTACCCTCGATGGCGTCGAACCCTGTGGCGAACACAAGGACATCGAGATTTTGTACCTCGCCATTGAGCAAATTGACCCCATGCTCCGTAATCTTTGTGATGGGATTAGTCTTTGTGTCGATAACGTCGACGTTGTCACGATTGAAGATCTGATAGGAGCCGGTGTCGCATAGAGGCCGCCTTACGCGAATCCGTGACGACCTCATCTATCTTGCCACGGATGAATTTGCAAGTTTCCTCGTTGGCGCTTTCATCAGATACGATATCTCCAAATGTGCTGAACATAAATCTGAAGCCATTCCCACGCTGCCACGCTTTTTGAAATGCAGCTTCTCTTTCCCGGGGAGTCGTCTGCATGGTCTTCCGGTTCACTTCAGGGACGCCGAACCCAACCGCCGACGACTTGACGCTTTCCCAGATGCTCTTGTACCTAGATTTGATATTTTGGTGATATGCTGAAGAAATTGCGTCTTGACCACTGGGGACTGAATACTGGGGATGACGCTGGAAAGACTTAAGATCCGCAACAATTGGGGCAATTGCTGTCATGACTTGAATTCCCGTTGAGCCGTTGCCGATGACACCAATTTTCTTCCCTGATAGCGTAATTGTGTCATCCCATCTTGCAGTGTGGATCAACCGTCCCGAAAAAGAATCTAAGCCAGGAATATCGGGGTAGTTAGGCTTTGAAAGGACGCCCAAACAGTTCACCAGATGCCGTGTCAAGAACAAGCCGTCGGTAGCGGTGCTGACCCGCCATCGATGAAGTTCGTCATCCCATGCTGCCGAGGCATCTCAACATAGAACTCCATAAGCTTTCGGAGATCATGTTTTTCAACCACGTGTCGCAGATAAGACAGGATTTCTGGCTGATACACGTAGTGATCCGACCAAGGGTATGTTTGAATGTCCTCGTAGTCCCACGAGTATCGGTAAAGATAGCTTTAAGTGTCGCTCATTGCACCGGGATACTTGTTCCAGTACCATGTTCCTCCAACATCCTCTGCAATGTCAATACATTTGACATCAAGGCCTAGTTGCCGAAGGTGGTACGTTGCATAAATCCCGCCAAAACCAGCTCCAACGACCAACGCGTCGACAAAGACATGCTGGGGCATGCCGATCGCACCAATGCCTGCGATGGTACAATGAGGGTATTCCAGAAATGGGGATGTATGTTGATTGAATTCACCTGAGTGTCATCGCTTGAAATGGGATACGGTAGTCAAGCTCATGTCTTTGGTGCTTTTCACCTCTCTTTCAAGCCTATTTACCTCAACGCGGCATTTTGTCTGTTGCGGTTCCGCCCGGCGGCTGCCATCAGAATGAAGATGAGCCTGACGCTCCGTCCTGTACTCCTCTTGCGGTTCCGGCGATGCAAACGGAGGAAAGAGTGGTGCACTGTGCTCGGTGGAAATGGACAAGATCATGGCAACTGATATGCTTCGGTGGCTGAGGAACTTGCGTTCTGAATTCGATCTCGGCCCGTTAATGGAGGGCTTCAAAGTAAGTACAAGGGTTCAATGCATGAAAAGAAAAATCAAATGCCTATTCTAGGTCCCAAGCATCCAAAGCACGCCACGAAGTGGAGTCTGCTGGTGGAAATTTCGTGTGATCTGGAGTCTTAGGATATAGTGATCGCAAATATGCGGGACAGATGCCTTGAGCGGCTCCTCAACCCCAGTCACCCACCATATTTCCACCTCAAGTGACTAGATACCTGAAATTTCCTGTTAGACCCTCCCTTTGTCTATTAATTTGTCTGTAGATGGCTAGGTAAGGACCAATATTTTGGACTAACAAGATCCACCAAGTCGAGACTAAAATCGGAACCGATCCGGTAGGCGAATCGAAATCGAAATTTGTGCTAAGGGGGCAAACAAAAACCGATGGCATTGGTTCAAAGCCTTCCTACTCTCCGCATCTCACCCACGCCCTTTATAGCCCTGAAACCGGTCATACTCGGTACTGTTCGGCCTTCTAGCATGAGTTCGAACCCAGTACCAACACCGTCAGCCGCGTCTCTCGAAACGACCTCGGCAACGTGAGCTGTAGAAAGACTAACCAGAAGATCTACCCACAACTCGGTCCGGTCGGATCGAAGGCCACAGCTCCTGGGGTCTCTTGAGGATTAGGGAATCTGGGGTATGGAGAACACCATTTGACAGCGACGGGATGACCAGGGCTGGCCATTTCGGCTTGCTTGGAATATTGAGTATATGTGTATGTATATAATGAGAATGAAGAACTTCTCTTCTCACCAGCTCACATTTAAGAAACTGGAGCTTTATACCTCCCAGGCACAGAATCCCCTCTCACATTGACTTTCGAAGACAATGGCATTCAACAGGGAAGGTCAATGGACCTGGAAACAGTTCATTATCTGCTTCGTCATCTGCCTGGGCCAAGTGGCCTTCGGATACCCTGCATCTGTCATTGGAGTCACACTCGCAAAAGTCCAGTTCTTGAGCTACATGACCGTCATCGATGAGGAGGGGAACTTTACGTCCCAGGGAAATGCATTGATCGGGGCTATGTCTGGGGTATTTCAAGTAAGGCAATGAGTTATAGATGCAGACCATAACAATCGCTGATGAAATGTGCTTACTAGGCTGGGGGATGCTTTGGAATACTCGCAGTGACTTATATAATGGACAGATGGGGTCGCAAGGCCGGGGTCATGTTCGTCTCGGGAATAGGTCTCTTTAGCGGAGCTTTGGTCTGTGCCTCGCAGGGAGTTGTCATGTTTCTTGTATTTCGCTTCTTTGCTGGAATCGCTTCATGGGGCGCTCTCACCATTAGTGAGGATCCAACCCCGAATCATTTTAGTGACACGTTTTGCTTACTTTTCATAGCACCCGTATTCTCGTCAGAGCTTGCACCTCCCGCTATCAGAGGATTCTTCGCTGGGATGAATGGCGTCTCGGTGGCGATCGGGTACAGCTTTGCGACATACATGGGGCTAGCCTTCCACGATACAAATGGATCGTCGCTCGAGTGGCGAGGTCCGCTTGGTCTCGCCGTAGTGTTCAGCTTGATTCCCCCCGCCAGTTTGCCATTCGTCCCGGAATCTCCTCGATATCTCCTCATGGCTGGTCGTGTTGATGAAGCCAAAGCGGTAGTCAAAAAGCTTCACGACGTTTCGCACGCAGACGAGCAACATTTTGTGATGGCTGAGTTTTATCAGATGCAAAGACAAACCGAGTTTGATAAGACTTTGGATGCGTCCTGGGCTCAGATGTTTCGACGGCCGTCGTACCGCCAGCGCGCGATTGTTGCTGCAGGGTTTGCATTTCTGTCACAGAGCACTGGGATTCTTGGTGAGAGGACATCGAAAGCGCATTTTACTTTGCTACAGGCTAATCTTGCAGTCATTAATAATTATGGATCGATCTTGTATCGAGCGTTGGGCTATGGTCCTCTAGATCAGCTCAAATTGCAATGTGGATGGATCTCTATGGGTTTTGCTGGCAATATCGTTGGTAGGGATGAAATATTATATGGACTGCTGGGTTTTCTAACAACAGAACAGGGTCGTTGATTCTTGACAAAGTCGGCAGGCGACCGTTGATCATCCTAGGGTTTTCTGGATGTCTGGTCGCTCTGTGCATCGAGTCAGCATTGGTGGCAATTTATGCAACTCCAGTGCCGCAGGTCGACCCTAACATGGCTGGAATTCGTGCCGCCGTTGCCATGCTGTAAGTCCTCGGGATCCAACCTGGAGTGTTTTACTGAGCAGCGATCTAGCTATGTCTTCCAGGTGTTCTATGGAATGGGAATAGATGTGCCACTGTGGCCTTACTGCGCCGAACTATTTCCCAACCACGTGAGAGCCAAAGGAATGGCGGTCTGCACCACAACGGTGGCCCTTCCTTCGTTGGTATATCTTGAAGTCGCCAGTACAGCTTTTGCAAACATTGGGTGGAAATTTTATATGGTACGCAATCTTACTTAGTGCAGAGATGGTAAGCTCACTATTTTTGTAGGTCTTCATCAGTATATGTTCCGTGGGGTTGATATGGATATTTTATACTCTGCCGGAGACAAGTGGCCTGCCTCTCGAGGAGATTGCCGCCCTCTTTGGTGACCACGACGACGTCATGGTCTTCAGTGAAGATATTCAGTCCGGGGGTAATTCTGGCGAGCTTGTCATCAAACAACATGCCCAGAACCAGAATCTTGGCGAAAATAACGTGGAGACGAAAGAAGCATCAACCCATCGCGAGGTAGTGGATCTTAATACCTGACAAGGCTGGCAAAGCGGAGCTGTCAATGAGAATGGGCCGCTGTATTGTACTGATACAAAGATGTGACTGTATCAGAGGACAACAAATATGTTGCTGAGCAGATGACTGCCGTCATGTTTAGTTTGGACACTCAACGGTGTCCAATACATGTTGAATAACTTTATCTGGATCAAGACCCCTTAGGAGATCTCTCGCTGACTCTATATCTGTTCCGTATAGCGTGCTTCGCTCCCGGCTAGGACTCGCTATAACGATTCGGTGTGGAAAGACTTTCTTTGCGGCCAGTGCGACTAATGAAGGCGTAACATAATCGATTCCGTGGAGGGGGGCTAGATATCTGCAAGAAGATCAGTACATCGGGCCATTGTACTATCAAGAGAACATACTTTGACAAAGCAAGCAGCAGAGTAGTGGCATAGGGCGAGATACCACCATCCACCCCTCGTTCGATCCGTAGAAATACAACGATGTCTTGCAGATATCTTCTTATCTCGGGTGTGATAGTGACTGCTCTCCCTCGAGTTCGCAGCAGATCAATCGTCTGTAATTATCAGGATCTGCCATGACATAAGAAGCAAAACCGACCTCTTCGGTAATCGAACGTTCTGCAAGTGGGCCTTGCTTTGCCACACTTAGCGCTTGATCCACTGAATAAGTAGATCCCTGGTCTTCGAAACGGCTGTCTAGCTCTTCCAGATTTGGAAAGCCGTCTTCCGAATCGTGATGGTGCGAGATGAATATGCGATCATTCTATACTTGTGAGACGGGCTGAGGAAACAAGACCACAGAGAGCCTTACCAGGTGTTTAGTCAGTCTGATTTGCTTCGAGGTAGTAGCGATCAGTGGTAGGAATAAGAACACTTTGGGCGTCGTGTGAACAGTAGTTCGGCTATAGATGCGTCGTTTTCGAATCAGCTGTTCCCACTTAGCTAGGTACGGCGTTTGGAGAGACAGATTTCCACCTCAAGGACTTGAATTTGAACATCCTCCTTAGCAAGATTGAAGTCTTTCGCTATAATGACATTCACCACTCTTCGACTGTCAAGCTTTTGTTGAGATGGCGTATTCGAGTCGGACCTTCGGAAGCTGATACTAGCAAGCTTTGAGTGCAAGTTCCCGCCCTGCTGGACGGTGAGGTTAGGCTTAACTCAGAAGTTTGGTACGACTAACAGTATCATAATCACTTTCTGATGCATTGCTCGGGACACTGCAATCCGATTCTTGCTCGAGGATAAGTTCTCCGAATCTGTCGACCGACTGTAGATCGTCTCGCTCGAGAATGACATACTTGAGCTTGAACACGTGAGACACAATCTGTCAATGGTCAATCAATGCGGTCTGCCGCTCTTTCGGCTGGTCTTACAAGGGCGAGTTCCGCCGCCAAATCATCCAAGGCGTCGTCTCTGGTCTCAAGTATGCTGTGATGCTGCGCTATCAGACTTAGTAGAACAGCCAATTCCAGATCCGTCAGGTCCTGGATACGCTCAACAAGTCCGGGGTCATCCATAGTTCGGGGTGGGCGGCCAGAAAGCTAGCATTGTAGAGGGTGCCTCCGTTCGCCTGTTTGATTATGTAACATCTCCTGTGCCAAGTCAGATTGTATAGACTGAATGGAATTGCTGCTGGTGAAAAGAGGGATGACCTGAAGTTGAAGTTGGAAGGCACGCGTTGACGGCGCCAAGGTGCCTGCCAAGAGTCGGCCTCATTGGCCGATGTCAGACAACATCTGGCGCCTGGAGACACTACGAGCTCTCCTACCCGAGCTATTTCAGAACATAATGTGCTAATCTTATGGAGAGTCATTCCAAATGACCGGCGTCAATCCCAGGGCAGGCTGGGAAAAAATCGGCGACCAATTTTACCAGAAAGCACAGGTCTACGAGTCAGTGTTCGACCAGGATCTCGAACTCGAGAACTATCTCGTAGTCGGTGCACCTTACGGTGGAGCTCTTGGTATGTGCTTGTTTTTATTCACGATGCTCAGTCTAATATTCTCTAGCGCTATGGCGAGACGCGAACAAGATCACGCGCTATCGGACAGGGCAGTCATTGAAATCAACGATCGACATATATTCCTCGTCAGGCCGGCTTATCAGTAACATCAACTGGGAGAAGGGATCCATCAAGGGCCTGGGCTGGTTAGACGATGAGAGACTCATTGTTGTAACGGAAGATGGCACGGTCCATTGTTACTACGGGCTTCATGGAGATTTCAATCCGTTTTCTCTTGGACATGGTGCGGAGGAGTACGGTGTGAAGTCGTGCCGTTTCTGGTCACATGGATTTGTCGCCCTTCTTACAAACAATAGCCTAGTCGCAGTGTCGTCATTCGATGAGCCAAGGCCTCGACTGCTTGCACGAGCTCCGGATGGCGAAGTCCATTCGTGGTCATTGATTCCCCCTGCGTACACGCTCTCCAGATCTGTCGAAGTGCTGCTTGCCATCGATAAGACAATATTCATGGTAGATGCCAGTGAAGCCGAGGACCGAGGCCTCTCAGACGGGCCATTCAAACATGTCAGTGTATCACCAAACGGCCGATTTGCAGCACTATTTACGGAAGACGGTAAAGTATGGGTGGTGGGGAGCGACTTCCAGAATAAGTACAGTGAATATAATTCGAAAGCGAAGACGACCCCTAACCAGATCTATTGGTGTGGCAACGACTCTGTCATTTTGGCATGGGAGGACGAGATTCACATGGTAGGGCCGGACGGCGCAGCGGTAAAATACTACTACGACGATCAAGTCCATGTCGTCCCCGACATCGATGGTGTACGTCTGATCACGAATGAAGCCTGCGAATTCCTCCATAAGGTGCCCGATCCTCTCGAAGAAGTGTTCAAGCTCGGTTCAAACTCGCCAGCATCGGTACTTCTCGATTCGGTCGAGCTGTTGGAGAAGAAGTCGCCCAAAGCCGATGAAAACATCCAACGTATCAAGCCGAATCTCCCCGAGGCCGTTGAGACCTGCATCCGTGCTGCTGGACATGAATTCAATCAAGTCTTACAAAAGTTACTCTTGCGGGCTGCGTCTTTCGGGAAATCCGTTCTGGATCTCTACAGCAGCGATGAATTTGTGGACTTGTGTGAAGATCTTAGGGTTCTCAATGCTGTCCGCGACTATCAAATCGGGCTCTACATGTCATATGAGCAGTATGTTCGGCTCACGCCGGAACGGCTGATTGCACGATTGGTCAACCGGCGCGAATACCTGCTTGCCATCAAATTGTCGGAATTCTTGCATCTTCCCCTCAACAAAGTCTACGTACATTGGGCCAGCCAAAAGGTTCGCGGTTCTGCGGGAGATGACGACGCCATCCGAGAGATCGTGGTTGGTCGACTACGGGGCAAATATGGCATCTCATTTGAGGCAATTGCCAGAGCGGCCTACGACGAAGGTCGCAGCCATCTGGCAACAACGCTGTTGAATCATGAGCCAAGAGCAGGAAAGCAAGTTCCACTGCTTCTGAATATGGAGGAAGATGAAATTGCATTGAACAAGGCCATTGATTCCGGAGACACAGACCTTGTCTTCTATGTGCTGTTACAGTTAAAGAAAAAGCTGCCACTGGCGGCATTCTTCCGGACGATAAGTGACAAGCCTGTGGCAGGTGCTCTAGTCGAAAGCTCAGCCAGATCACAAGACAGGGAATTGCTAAGGGATCTATTCTACCAGGACGACCGGCCTGTGGAAGGCTCAAATCTACTTCTTGAGGAAGCTATGCAGCAGCCACAAGTCCAGGCAATCATTGACAAGGTTAAACTGGCAATCAGATTACTCACAGATGCCAAGGATCCGACTGCCATTTTACATTCCAAAGCACTGACAGATGCCATTCAGCTGCTCAAGATGCAGGAGGCATTTGACAAGGACATCACTGATAGCAGTGGCAGTTACGTTGGGTTGAGTGTCAACGAGACCATGTTCCGCCTCATCAGATCAGGATATAGCAAGCGGGCAGCCAAAGTCCAAAGTGATTTCAAAGTTCCAGACAAGACTTGGTGGTGGGTTCGACTTCGTGCGTTGACTGCTGCCCGTCTTTGGGGAGAGGTGGAGGAAGTTGGAAAGGCAAAGAAGTCGCCAATTGGATGGGAGGTAAGCTGGCCCATGCTGCAGAATTTTGTGCAACCGCTGATTTCTTTTCGTAACAGCCCTTCTACAACGAAGTGCTTGGCGCAGGTAACACTCGTCTGGCATCTTCATTCATTCCCAAGTGCACCACACTACAACCAACCGAAAGGATCGAGATGTGGGTCAAATGCGGCATGATTGTGAAGGCGGGGGAGGAAGCATTGAAAGCTAAAGACCTCTCCGCTCTCGAGTCGCTGCGGGATAAAGCTAATGGGCAGCAGTCGGTGGAGCTTGAGAGAATGATCACGCAGTTGCGGCCGAGGAGATAGGGATGGATCACGTAATGTTGTTGATATCATCCTCTGCATCGGTGTTGTTTGAAGAGGCAGTACGGTTGACGATGACCAGCTTCGTCGCCGGGGCGAAGGCAGGTAGTTTGACACCATCCACAACCTTGGTCTCTGATTGTTCCATATCTTCATCTTCCCAGCCATCGCTGTTCATTTCATTGGCACCTTGATTCAGAATCCTCTTCGCTCTGTCGAAGGCTGTCGCTGCGCCGTTGGTCTCGTCCCACAAGGACTTCCTCTCTCGAATCTTCTTCAGGCGCATTTGGGACACGTCGGCCTTTTTGGCCAACTGGTCCTGCACCACCTCTGCTCGAGCAAGCCCTTTTTCGTGCCTTTTCTTCTGTCCTCGAGTCAATTGTTTGTGCTTCTTCTTCGCTTTGGTGACGCCGCCATAAGGTTTTGCAGCGAGAACCGTAGTAGTGTCGGACACACGAGGGGCATGTTTCAAGGATTTATCCGTGTCGATGGAGGGAGAAGAGGCTCGTTTGGAGGCTCGGGATCGTGGGTTGGCTGTGAGTGAGTATGTTAACCACGGTCCGAAATGGTTTCAACGCCCGATGGGATTTTTCATACCTAGCGGGTTCTTCTTGGGTTTAGCTGTTTTGGCCATAGCTGCAAAATGTCCTTCAGCCCCTAAGAGAGGCTGCTAGGCGATAGAGAAATATGGCACTCCGTAATAGAACCGGTTGTCACAGCCACGAAGACCGAGAATCAAGAATCGATATTCGAAATGCATGCAACTTTTTTGTGGGGCGAGCATGCGGTTGTGCTGGGCAGCATGTGATGACGTAACGGCAGGCCAGAGCCAGCAGGCACAGGCACGAGGGGAAGGTGCAGCCTGACACGTGACATAGCACACACACCTCCGGTTGGCGGGTTGGTGCCCGGTGGTGAGTTCAATCAAGTTGGTGACAACAACATCCATCGAAGCCTGATCTCGAAGTCGGTTGTCACTATCTCAACCACCTTCCCACCTGTTCTGCTGTTCACAGACACCTAGGGCTCATGGCGCCCGCAAGACCATTGAAACGTCAAAAGACCAACACAGCCGAAGTTCCTCAGACCTCCCAAGTACAGGCTGCCCAAGTGCCTCTGCCTCCAGTCACTCCATCCGAGGCTACCATATCAAGCCCAACGGCCCCTACTCCTCCCAAGCAAGAGGCTCGTTCAGTAGGTTGCTGCCTAATCTGGCATCGAGGCGATACTAATTAAACAATAGTCCTTCTTCAGCCGTACATGGCCTCGCAAAGCTGCCCCTCACACCGACGTCGCACGTGAGAGCGCCACTTCAACCACCAGCACTGCTCAGGAAACTGCCGTTGTAGTCAGGGAAAAAATAAGGCCTCAACGCTCGCCCTCCATTGCTATGACCTTAGGGAAATCTTCCTCATACCGGTCAAACCGATCACTCCCCGCCGATGCTACAGCCACCCTCGTCAATGCTACCCCCAAAAACCCAATCGAAAATGGAGCTTCCAAGTCCCAAGCCGAGCCCTCAGGAGAATCCAAGGACGAAGAGTCGGTGAACAAGGTGAAAGCTGATGTAAAAGGCATTTCTGAGCCAAAGAACGAGGTCCCAGCTACGCTGAAGCCCGAGCCACTACCCGCAGGCCAGCCTCAACAACCGCTGCCACAAGAAGGCCAAGCCGGCTGGTTAGCCTGGCTCTCGAGGAGGGATATCCCTGCGAACAAACCTTCGGAGTCGCAACTTCTGACCCAGCAAGAGTTGACGGATACACCCAAAACTCCGATCAATGGATCAGTCAATCCACCAGATAAGATGCGTGATGGATCTTCTGCAGCCCAGAATGCTGTGGAACAGCCACCGGAAGAGAATACAGAACAGACAGTGCCATCACCGCCGCCAAATAATAAGCGGAGTTGGTACCAAATGTGGAACAGCGACACATCTACTGTACCTGGAAAGACCGAACAACCCAACAAACAGCCTCAGAGAATCGACGCGGCAAGTCAGATGCCTCCAAATACTCCAACGCAGTACCTTCATATTCCAAGTACCCCAAAGTCCAAGGAAGCATCACAAGCATCATCCCTCGAAACCTCCCCGCCTCCACCACTACCTGGCGATGCTTCCAAATCCTCAGGATGGGTTTTCTGGTCGCGAGACCGGAATCAACCTGCTACTGCCAAGTCTGATAGCGACCCACATGTGGGTGAGATTGCCATCTCGGATACCCCATCACAAGCCAGACCCAAAAGAGCATCCATAAGTCTTCCGGATGAGGAGAGGAAGCCTGTTTTTCAGCCTGCGCTACAGGAGCAAAAATCCAAAAAGGGCAAGGATCCAAAATCAATCCAGGCAGATACCGCCAGTGCCAAGAAACAATCAGAGAAGGACTCGGAGACGAAAGAGCTGTCAACACTCAAGTCGGCGAAGAAAACGACTCGAGGCACATTAACAAAAGCTGAATCTTCTAAGGCCGCTGCCACGGCAAGAGAACCAGTAGAAGTCAGCACACCAAGGGCTGCGTCACCTGTACCTACAAAAACGGAAGTCCCTAATTTGTTATTGCCGCAATTCACAGATACCCTTAGCCCCGAAGAACACCCATCGATCTTGCAGCAACTTGCCAGGCTGTTATACTATACAAAAGAACCGGACTTTAAGCACCTCCATATCGTGAAAGACCCGCCACGGATAGCGAATGCCCTTGCTATTGGAGTTCATGGGTATTTTCCAGCTCCTTTGATTCGAAGTGTTCTCGGTCAACCAACTGGCACATCAATCAAATTTGCCGACATGGCCGCTTCAGCCATCAAAAGATGGACGAAGAATCGTGGGTTCAATTGTGAGGTCAAAAGTGCAGCTCTTGAAGGCGAAGGGAGGATTGCCGAACGCGTGGAACTCCTCTGGAAGCTCCTCCTCAACTGGATCGATGAGATTCGCAAGTCTGATTTTGTCATGATTGCTTGCCATAGCCAGGGAGTACCCGTTGCCATCATGTTGGTCGCCAAGTTAATCGCATTTGGATGCATCAGCGGCGCTCGGGTAGGGATATGCGCGATGGCTGGCGTCAATATGGGCCCTTTCCAAGAGTACAAATCGCGATGGATTAGCGGCAGTGCTGGCGAACTCTTTGAGTTTTCTGATCCAAACAGCAAGGTTTCTACCGACTACATGGCGGCAACCGAGGAGATTTTGAAACACGGAGTCCGGCTGACCTATACCGGAAGCATAGATGACCAGCTTGTATCTATGGAGTCCTCTATCTTTGCCCCCATCACTCATCCTCATATCTACCGAGCAGTCTTCATCGATGGCCGGATTCACGCTCCCAACTTTTTGTCACATCTCGTTGGATTTGCGCTGAAACTGCGGAATGTTGGTGTTCCTGACCATGGCCTGATTCGTGAATTATCCCCTCCCCTGGCTGGAAGTCTTTACACTGGTGAAGGACACTCCCGAATATACGACGATGATACTGTTTACGATCTAGCCATCGCATTCGCCTTGGAAACCAACACGCTGAAAGAAGTACCAGTATCCAAGCGACCAACAGCCAGCAATGCAGCAAATCCCTATATTCTACCCTTTGCTATGCGAGGCATCCTAGAAGAGGACTATGTCAAGACCGAGTTACAGGCAGAGGCTAGAGATTTGCTCGCGCAGTTTGATGACTGGAAGCCTACCACAAAAGCGCTTAAAGACGTTAAGTTTCGCTTGGAAGGCATTAGATCGAAATTGTAATACTATTACGAACGGTAATCCAAGAATCGGAAGAACCAACAGAGCACAAGTCCTATATATAGCGACAATCATGAATTATTGGCCATCCAATACCCGGAATCTCAGGACCTACCAACATCATGTGGTTGAAACAAGAGTTCATCGACTACGATTCTTGCTCTTGTGTCCGGCCGTGTAGCTCTGCAACAATGAGTTGAGTCTCCCCGATAAATCAAACATCCCACGCACATCAATCGGCACCCCACAAGCACTAACTGACTACTAGCGTTTAGGTTTGGCATGGAAATCTGGTTGCATTACATGAACTTCAGACGGATTCTGCCAACTAGAATCTGTGTCGAAATGACCGACTGCATCTCGCTTCGGCCCCAGACGGACTCACCCTAGGTGCCGAGACGAAGCGCTTTTAGTTTTCCACCGATGTAAAAGGTACCCAACGACCGGTGAATCTCTGGTTATGTTTGACTCACTGGTCATGCAGGAGACTTTTTGTGGTGGTGACAAGTTGCATCTGAGAGTCGCCCTATCCTTTTTCTTTATGCAGAGCATGATTTCGAACTCTGTGGAAAGGTCGATTGAGGCACGAGGACATTCATTGATCGCTATATAGGACTTTCACATGTTTTCCAGACAGCTTTCCGTTCACCTCCTAAGTCTAAGCAAGTGAAATTCTACTGCGAATCTGTTAAACAAGAGAGAACCAGTCTATTTCGGAAAGTAAAAGACCATGGCTGAGTTGGGAGCGGGAGCAGTCCTCGGCATCAAACAATTCTCCGTGCAGTTGACAGGGTTAAGCATGAAAAGTTATCGAGCCTATCAACGAGCGAGAAACGAGCTGGACTATTTCTGCACCTCGGTTTCAACGTCCTCCGTGACACTGAACCTCTTCTGCCAAAGTATGAAAGGAGCGATAGATCAAGTGATCGGTCTAGGAAAGGATTCACAAACGATTGGGTTGCTAGAACAGCTTTCTAGAGCAGTCGAGGACCGAATGGGAAAGATCCATCAAGGATTTATCCGATTACGAGCACTAGGACATCCTAAAGCTTCAACTATCTCACATCTCCAGACTAGAGTGATGTGGGTCATCGTGGATGAGCGGGAAATGAAGGAGCTATTGGCGAGCCTCGAACCCATCAAGTCGACGATGAATCTGCTGGTCAATCTCTCGGTCATCAGATCATCCGCCTCAATCTTCGCACTGAAGATATTATTAAGCAGCTGTAAGTTTCAATCCTCTTCGCGAATACTCAATCAACCTAGGTATTCAAGATGAATAGCTAATGATGGAGTACAGAAAGTCCTGCGAGGCGCGGATAAAAATGCTGAAGGGCGAAGCTGAGGAGAAACAACGTCAGTATGAAGCATTGCGTACAGTTAGTACCAGCGACGTCAACAATACTTTCTATGAGGAGACCATGCGCCCCCAGCTGGTGAGGGAAATTGTTGAACGCGTACATGTTTTGGCGACGGATCGCGTTTCAGCTTCAAGGGTCATAATGAAGGAGGTCGAGCGAGAGCAGACATCTTCGACACGGACTCGAGATAAGCTTCGACGAAGCGTTGCACGAGGAGCCCAACTCATCCTCCTCCAAACTCACCCTCCTTCATTTTCACGACCAGAACAACCTGGACAGGGCATGGATCGATCACGCCCTCGACCAATTACTCGAGAATCGGGGCAAGTTATCGACCATACTGCCGAGTTATTCAGAAGCCCCGGAGATGAAACCCGACAGACTTAGGCGGAAATTGCCGAAGTTGCGCAAGAAGGGTTTATTGGCTCGGCCCCCCAGCAGTCTAAGGAGATCTCCCACAGACCAACCTCCCACGCTTTCTGAAAATGTCTCGATTAGAAGCTTTACACAAGATGGTCCCGAAGTAGGGCCTTGTAACGATGCGGTTCAGCCAATACCTTCGCCGCGATCACAATATTGAATGGTTATCCGCGATGGAAAGATGGTCTCAAAGAAGTGGTGGCAGCCAGGAGCAAGTTCCGACCCGGATGGTTCGTCTTCCTCAGCTTCCGATAGCAGAGGACTTGTATCAAGTAAAGCTGCCCCGGGTCAAGATCGGAATATGCGGACGACATTGATAGTCCTAGAATTTGGATTCCACATACTGCGCCCATTTCAGGCTCCAGCAATACGGCAACGGTGATAATACAATACTAGACTGTTCTGTGACAAATCTACTAAGAACCCTCTTGTCGATATCAGTCAGGTCCCACGAACTAGGGATCAGTGCCTGCCTCACTTGATCATCGTTCGGTACGTTTTCTGCACTACATGCGCCGGGTATGACCCTCATTGATATTCCCCTGCGTCAAGCTGATCAGGGGTCGTCTCGAAGGGGGTCATTCAGGATCATGGCTCCCGTCGGTACTGACTGAAGGCAGGGGTACTGGCTTGACGGAGATCCATCAGCAGCGCTACGTGCGTATCCTTACAGCCGGTTCCTTGCACCTTTAGTAAACCATCCCCAAGGCCAAGATTCGACTAATCTAGCAACGAAGTCTTATCCCACAAGGGTCCTTCTCCACCAGCGCGCTCTAGTATATCAACCATTTCTTAGCTGGTTTGGACTGGGTTGGCTTATTTGTAAGCCTGGTATTCTCTTCCGCTGAGATGTGCCTCCTACGTGCGAATGATTCGGATATTATTTCCAGTATCAAATATCATAGAGATGGAAAGATTATATAAGGTGGATACCTACGAGGGCGTTAGTTCATCCCTGAAGCAAGGATTCCTTCTAGGCCCGTCGTCGACTGGGCTCTGCTCGTACACGTCATAATGGTTGGAAACAAGGCTGCCCCGTTGAGTGCCCATCCGAGGTTAAAGAGTGGGTCAATCAGCAGAGATGCTCGCATAGTTCTTGGGCCTCGGTGCAAGATTCAATCCGCCCCGGACGGGGGAAAGGCACCGCCGACGCATAGGTGGCACCCGGTGGTCCTAGATACGAGGGGCTACAATTTGACATGAGAGAACTCTCGTTTGCCCCTCCTTTGTTCTTTTAAGGTGACTTAACACACAACTTCGGTCTTGGAAATAATTCAGAATTATGGCACCTCCATATGACCCAGAGTTCGCCAAGGCGATTGAACCACTTCTCCCTTTGCTGGCATCTCGACCTCGAGCGGCAGTTCATGATGTTCAATCACGACGAGCTACAAGCAAAGAGGCAACGAGTGCCCTCGTCGGCCTCATTCCCATGAACCCCGATGTCCAGATCACCGTGCACCAGGTCACGGCACATGACGGGTATCTCATTACAGTTCACGAATACCGGATGAAAACAGTATCTTCTTCAACGCCGACCTCGGCTATTGTACATGCCCATGGCGGCGGCATGATTATGGCAGATGTAGCGACTTTCAAGAACACCACTGCTTGGCAGGTCGAGAAGTCTGGGGTCCCCTTCTTCAGCGTCGACTACAGGCTGGCACCGGAAGTGTCAGGGACGTCTCTAGTCGACGACTGCTACGCTGTCCTGCTATGGCTGCACCAGAATGCAAAGGAATTCAACGTTGACCCAGCCAGGATTGCAGTGGCGGGGGAGAGTGCAGGCGGCGGCATAGCTGCTGGGGTTGCGCTCAAGGCGCGAGACGAAGGCCTCAGCCCACCTCTTGCCAAGCAGATCCTCATATATCCCATGCTCGACGACCGGAACAACAAACCCATCGAGGCGCTGGAAGCCCTGTCTCCGATTTGGGCAGTCGCCGACAACATCACCGGCTGGACGGCTCTTTTGGGGAAGGATAAGGCCGGAATTCCCGACGCAGATGTGCCCGAGTATGCAGCCCCCGCGCGCGCAAAGAGTGTGAAGGGCCTGCCACCGACTTACATTGATGTTGGGACCTTGGATATCTTTCGGGAGGAGGACCTCCTCTACGCCAGCAGAATCGCCGCGGAGAACATCGAGGTCGAGTTGCACCTTTACCCCGGTGTGCCCCATGGCTTTGAGCTTTTAGCTTTCCAGAGTGAGATTGTGCAGCAGGCTTTTAGAAATAGAGCGAAGGCGCTTCGTTCCATATGAGCTGGCAGGTGAAAACGCGAGGAGCCGTGGATCAGCTCCGCTAAAATTTAAAGCCTACAAATATATATATATATATAGATCATTTGGAGCCTCCAATAGGATGGCGCGTCTTCAGCGGAATCCCAGAAGCAATCCTACGACCATCCCATCACAAATAACAGAGTATCAACCGTGAGGGACAACCTCAATCTCCATAATGCATGATTCTGATTCCTGATAAACGTGAAAGGGTGAGGCATGAGTTCTTGAAGCGCACTTCGCCAGTGCGCCGCTACGGCAGATCACAAGATGGCCAAAACGTCGAGGGGAATTTCTCCGAATCTCCGCATTTTCCTCAGCCTTGCCAACCTCGCGCCTATGTTACCCTAGCTAGCATCACCGAATACTGTGGTACGCATACCTCGTGCAGTCGTCATGATAGCCAGCGCTTCCGTCGCCTATACAAATCGACATGCGTCTCTCGCAGTGGACTCATTTTCTTAGTCTGCCGGGCTGGCTACGCGTCGCTTGCGCCGAGGCAACGTCTCCAAACAACCACGAAACACCCGTCTACCATGGTGGTCTTCGGGATGATCAGCAATCAATGCTAGGGTTGTGTCCTGACTACACTAATTATGCCAGGCGCAGACAGTATGTCACTGTCTCCTCTACTTTCCCGTTCCCGCTAACATTGTGACAGCAAGCCCTTCAGCGAGGGCCCTCTAGAACTTCCATACCAGCGCCCGCACCCAGCATGCCGCAAATTCAGCTCTCCAGCTGCCGAGAAAGTGATAGATGATCTCTTCCCACACTTCAAGGATCCCGATCTGGCACAGCTCTTCCGTAACGCTTTTCCCAACACCCTCGATACAACCGTCCTCTGGCACGTCGACGGTGTGAAGTCCCAGGCGCTGCCCTCTCGCATGCTTACCAGGGATAGAAACATATGGAAGCAAGACCGGGCATATTCGTTTATTGTGACTGGCGATATCAATGCAGAATGGCTACGTGACTCAACGAATCAACTCCAGCAGTACCAGGGTCTTGCAAAATCGGCCCCAGACATCAAGGCTCTCCTACTGGGAGCGATCAATACACAAGCAGAGTTCGTCATAGCTTCGCCATATTGCAATGCTTTCCAACCGCCCGACTCTTCGCGCCTTCCGCCTGTACACTCAGGCCAGGACGACTATGTACACCCGGCATATGAGCCTAGCATAGTCTTCGAATGCAAGTATGAACTCGACAGTTTAGCAAACTTTCTGTCCCTGGGGAACCAATACCACGCGGCAACTGGTGCGCTTGACTTCCTAACCGCACGCTGGTACAAAGCCCTTGACAGCGTGCTTCGTGTGCTCGAGGCTCAGTCGACTCCTACATTTGACCGCGAGACAGGGAGGTTCGAGCCCAATGAATACTCGTTCTCGCGCTCCACGCGACAAGGGACGGAAACACTGAATCTCGGCGGAAACGGGAACCCTCTAGCTGGTAAGACCGGCTTGGTCCGCTCTGCTTTCCGCCCTTCAGACGACGCGACAACGTTTGGCTTCCTGATCCCGAGTAACGCGATGATAGTCGTCGAACTCGCACGGACAGCAGACGTTCTTGAGAAAGCCGCCAAAGCAGAGTCGACGCCCGAGTCAGATGCGAAGTTCATTGAGCAAGTCGCGGCAGACCTCAGGCGCAGGTCTGAGACCATCAAAGAAGGTATCTACAATTACGCCATCGCCAAACACCCGGAGTTCGGCGACGTGTTCGCGTACGAAGTCGACGGGTACGGAAGCCATCTACTGATCGATGACGCAAATGTACCGAGCCTTTTGTCCCTGCCGCTCCTAGGCTTCGTCAGCGCCAACGACCGGGTCTACCAGAATACACGTCGAATGATCCTCACGCAGCGAGGTAATCCGTACTATCTCTCCGGGCCGAAATTCCACGGCATCGGCGGCCCGCATATCGGGCTGAGGAACGCATGGCCGATGAGCGTCCTCGTGCAGGCCATGACGAGTGAGAACGACGAGGAGATCTTGGACTGTCTCGCACGTGTGAAGAATATCAGTGTTTTTGGGCTGATCAACGAGAGTGTCGACGTCCATCGTGGTGTCGGCAGCACGGGCGACGGAATGACGCGCAGTTGGTTCGCGTGGGCGAACAGTGTTTTTGCTAGGACGGTTCTATGGCTCGCAGAGGAGAAGCCGGAATTGTTGTTGAAGAGGAAGGGCAGATACGTTGTGGGTAAAGGGTGGACAGAGCTGGACGAGGCACCACGCAGCTGAGGGTTGGAAGATGAAAGCGCGGACATGTCGGCGGCTTGATGCTTTCCTCCTACTATGAGGCGATGGCAGAAAGCTTGAGCCTTGTCATGACGACGTCCTACAGTCAGCGTTCACGCAATCAATAATTAACGAGTAAAAAATCCTAGATCAAAAGAAAACGAGAGCAATCAAGCAAGTATCACCTGTATTTATCATTATGAGCGAAGACACTGCTTCAGTGGACGGTCTGGCAAGGCACCGCTCATCCTCGCTTATCCAGTCTTCGCTTCCTAAAACTATGCGATTCGAGAGGATACAGACAAAGGCTCATCACAGCTTCACTTCGTAAGACAGACAGACGTTAGATAATCTACGACGGTTTCTTCCCGAAAAAGCTCATGATATTCCCGCCCGCTTTCTTCGCGGCGGGCTTGCCACCTCCCTTGGCTTGACTCTGAGTCGGTTGAGACTTGCCGAAGGCGGGTTTTGCTGGGGCGAGTTTGGAGGGCGGGGGCTCGGGCTCGTCTTCGCTGAAACTCTCCCAAACTGCTTCTTCTTTGGTGACCAAGTAGCCGTCTTCGTCCTTTGTAGTCCGCTTCTTCATGGTCCTGCGTTTGCCGCGGCGGCGTCGGGGTCCGGTTGGTTCACTAGCGGCAGGAGGGTTGGAGGGTTTCGTGGCGTTCTGCTCCGTGTCGGAATCCGACCATGCCACTTCGTCTTTGTCTTCGGTTGGTGCATCTGCGTCTGCCGCTTTTGGTGTTGCTGTCACCAGCGCATTGTCTTTGACCCCGCTAGCTTGGGACGCAGCACCGTCACTTTCGTCGTCACTATCCATCATCCTACGCAATTTTGCTGCGCGGTCGTCGCGCTCTTTCTTGACCTCGCTGGGTCGTTTCTTTGTTCCTGCTCTGTTTGTCCCGGTGTCGAGGAAAAGAGCGTCGTCCTCCGACTCTCCCTCGTCCTCGTCTGCAGCCACATCTGTCATCTTGGTGTCCTGGTCTAGCCCCTGATCCCCTGAAAGTGCAGACTTAGGCTTCTGCTGTGACTGCTTGGCAAAGGCTTTGAATAGATCAGAAGAGTCACGCTTGAGGGTGGGTTGTTTGGCACTCCCGGTCGTGGAAGCGCTGTCTCGTGAACTCGGCCGAGAGGGGGTATTATCCCCCTTCTCTTTTTTTGGCTCTGTCGCTGCCGCAGATTGCTGTGTCTTTGCCTTTGAAGGGAAAAATGAATTTGACTTCTTTGGCTCATCCTTCACAGGTTGAAATTTCGGGGCCGGTCTGGCGGGTTCAACAGGACGCTTGCCCTTCCGTCTTCGAACGCTGGGGTTCTGCATCACTCCAAAGATCTTGTTCTGGACTAGGGGGTCTTCCTTCATAAAAGAGTCGGTGAACAGGCCACGACCGATGTCAGTTAATGTGACGAGATCCTCTATCCGCCCTGGTGACAGGCTGTAGATGTGTATTGATGTGATAGTCTCGTACTGTTCTTTCGCTGCGGCCAGTCCTTCTTCTCTCACCAGTGTCACGGTTCGCACCGGAATCTGGGGTCTAGAATCTTCAGCAGGCTGGCTGCTTTGCTGACTAGGCTCAAGCATGGAACTGGTGAACGGTGGAGGGCTTGAAGGAATCGGTTCATCTTCGTCGTAATCATCCTTGTGGCCATTTGTTGTGCCATTCTTCCCAGGGGCAGGCTTCTGGGTCTTCTTTAGCCCAGATATCAGATAAGTAGCGTATAAAGAGCCAGGCTTCTTGTCCTGCTGAGCCTGGTAGAATTCATAGAGCATGCACTTGGCTGCATTTACGTGGACTTTGAGGGATCGTGAGACATTTCTGTATGATATTGTACGCTGTTCTGAAAGAATCTCAGTTACCAGGTGCTTCTTGAAATCCTCAGCCATGGTAGTTTTTGATGTTTGGCTCGCAGAAGATGAGCAGGTGGCCTGGAGAATATCTAAGCCAAACGGGCACTCTGCGACTCGAATTCAAAGCCGCAGAGGGACGCGGAAGCGCACGCGACGAGAGCGCGTAAAGAGGCTTGGCGAAAATTACGGTGAGCCATTCACCCGGATACGTCAAGGCTCAAGAACATTCAACGCAACCGCCTGCTAGTGTCCATGTCTATCCAAACTGAATGGTGCAGTCTCGGTGCTGGCGATAGTGATAGTATACCTTCACCCACTATACATACATCTCGGGACACTCTTCGGTCATGAAAATACGGTGCCTCAGAATATACGGTGCCTCAGAATATACGGTGCGTCAGAGGACATGTTTATCACCACCAGCACGTTAATCTTTATATCCATGCCTCGGCATTGTCTTGTGCGAAGCAGCGATAAAGCCCGTACATTTATATTTCCCGTACTATTTGCATTATTAGATTGCTTTTCTTTTAGTACTGCTACCATAGAATTACATTCATAGACCGCAGATGCGACAGCTCTTCTACGGTTTGTGCATGTTTGAATACCATCCTTCCTAGCAAACAGGGGACACCTCGCACAACGCGAATTGCTTGCCTATTTTTTCTGCGAGGACACCTTGATTTTTTGGCGCACATACATTGACATAACGCAATATGGAATTCTCAGGCCCGGAGCCCGAGCTTCAACCAGTCAAACTGGATGCCGACTCACACCTCCCGGACTTTCAACGACTTGGAAAGCAGCTTTTCTACTATGTACCCTCGACGCCAGCAGCGGAGACCCAATCATGCAAATCGACAAAGGGACCAGACCTTCTCATTGTCTGCTCTTGGATGGGAGCATCATCACGAAATGTGCGAAAGTACCTTTCGACATACCAGACTTTATTTCCAGCTACTCCAATCCTACTTCTCAAGCAAGATGGAGGTGATTTCTTTTGGCGCTCGAAGAGCACTCTAGCTGAAAACGTACAACCCGCTGTATTGGTTATTAAGGACATCGTTGAGGCAAAGAGGACAGAGAGCCCGAGGATACTCGTGCATCTCTTTTCCAACGGCGGAGCTTTCAGTGCTATCAATCTCACGACTTCATATCACACTTCAATGGGCGAGCATGTACCGATTTCAGCACTCATTCTCGACAGCACTCCATCGCTTCCAGATCCCAGACGTGCGCATGAGGCAATATCTGAATCGCTACCAAGATCGGGTCCATTTCGCCTCCTAGGGCAGGCTGCGCTGTGGGCGTACATTGGAGGTGGCATTACGATTGACAGCATCTTTCGAACCGAAAACGTTACCCTGTGGCTGAGAAGGATGCTGAACGATCCACAAGGTGCATTCATGCAGGGTGATCTCAAGCGAGTCTACATATATTCCAAAGCCGACAGATTGGTGCCTTGGGCGGATGTAGAAGCCCATGCAAGGGATGCTGAGGCAATCATCGGACCGGCGAGGGTTCAGCTGGAGGATTTCATAACAAGCAGACATGTTGGACATATCCTTGTGGACGGACCGAGGTATTGGAATATTGTGGTCGACTTTTGGAAGGAGACTATGAATGGCTGAAGACACGGAGTCTGATGATACACAATCTTGTTGGTTTGTGCTGGAGTGCTTTCTGGCATCTTCGGCCGCATGTGGTGGATTCCAGCGGACAGACGACGAGGGTTACGATTTTCCTTTTTGTTTGAATATTCTTCAATTTGGTGCCATGCTGACTCCCCTTGGATAGATTAATTTGGGTTTGGCCATGGTGTTGCAGACAGCATTCTTGTACGATAATACCCATAGAAGTTCCAATATTTTCTTGAAGTCCTCGGCTGATCTGCGTTCTCGCCGCATAGGTAACAGCATTTTCCAGATCCGGTGTGTAGCCTTGCTCAGCCACGATTTTATGCAGCTATTTAACATCGCAAGTCCCTGGCCACAAGAATACCGATTCCTTGACGAGTCAGCCTGACTTTGGAAATGCGGATGGATATTCAATTACTCCTATCTGACGGAGAATTCCTCTGTATGACAAGGAGACATGGCTATGAGATAATCTTAAAGGACAAGTTCGAGATAGACGGCCTCCCGCTCTATAGAGAGTAGAGAAGGAGAGAAGGAGAGAATAAGATATTTGTACTCGGTATAGCTCTAGAGTAGATAGTTGAACGCTCGCTCGACGGGTATCGACTTCCAAAAACGCCTTACATCAACTATATAATGACCATAACCCTATCAACACATTCATGCACACACGACCTCATCATCAACCCATCAACCCCCACAGTGCATGATTTCATACCGAGAGAGATGCTTCTCCAAATACTCCTTCGGTGAGGACGCGCCCTGGCGATCCCCAACACCACTGCTACCGACCATGCCATTGACCTGCTGCGCGAGGGCGTTCAATAGCGGTTGCTCACTGCTCCTGCGCAGCTATTTCCGGTCCCATGCGCTGGAGGTCTCTGACGGAGCTCGGGAGGAGAGCTCGTCTGGCTCGACGAAGCCGTGCGTCCGCTGCGCACCATGCGCCTGGTGATATTGCGGCGGTGGCCCTTGGGCGTGGTGGTAGTAGTCGTTGTTGGCCCCGCTGAATTGCGGGAGCTCCTTGCTATAGTCGTTGTTCAGACGCATGGACATGGGCCGCGATTGCTCCTGCTGCTGCCGTTGCGGCGAGCGGCGGTCGGTGAACTCGAGAGCGTAGGGGTGGACTGGTAGTTGTTGCTGGTTAGTGCGCTTCTCGGATGGGTAGTCCTGGTAGTAGTAGCCATTCTCGTTTGGGCTCTTCTTCTCATTGGGATAGTCCAGGTAGGGTGGCTGGTCGTTAAACTCGCGGCTCTGCTGTCCCGGCATGTTCTGCTCGAATTGCAGGCGATTCTGCTTCTTTTGCTCGCGTTTCTTCGATATCTTGTTGATCGCGTAGGCACCGCCGCCTACGATGATTGCTGCTTTGATGAGGCCCATGATTTGGTCTTGAGGTATTGTATTGTTATGATTTTGTTGCTGGTGGAGTTATGGTATGGGGAAGGTATTGGCAAAAGGGACGTGGGTCTAACCAATGTTTTCTGATGACTGCCTTACTGATCAATATGGAAGCATGGTATGGGAACACCAAGCATCATATATAGCCTCCACGAGGGGCAAGCTTGATGTACTGAGGGATACCCATCTATAGGTTAGCGTATACGCAATCCGCGGCCCAGCACATCCTCCGATGTGTTAAAGCCGCAACCCCTACGAGCGAACGGAGATCGGTCGTCCGACGGGGCAGAGGCACGGGGCCGAGAATGCGTTCAAGCCATCAGTCAAAACGCCAAAAGCCAGTCAGTGAAAAGAACAGGGGCATCGAAAGCTTACGCGGAAAGCAGAGTGGAATGCTCTCCTAGCCTTTGGGCCAGGCTGTGTGGTGAGGTTGCGGTGTGCTTACGTAGACGTGAAAACGCACAGTGATTTCATCGGACCAAACCCGCCGCATGCTAGCAGGCAACAGAATTAAAGATGAGAATACTCGGTCTCGGTGCCAGACAGGGAGTTAGTACGAGTGAAATAGAGGGCTCTGCCGCACAACTCAATTCTCTGCATTAGTATGATCGCATCTAGGTCCAAAGCGTTAGACTTTGACGACGCTTTGCTCCCGGCACGCCTGAAACGTTCGATAGAGGATATCATACGGACCACGAGGAGAGAAAGAGGCGCGGCGGTAGTTAGGTTTGTGATCTGCAGGCTGAAGCGAAGGAGCACCGCAAAGCTACCTCATTCCAAAGACACTACTTTGTAGTAATGACTCCGTCCTCCGTACCGGGGCAGCTTCAGCCGGTTTGTGTGCTGTACTGCGAATTCGACGGCGCAGCAGCTTCGAGTGGGGTGCCAGGCTGCTGCTATTGATTAAATTATTCTTTGTTGCCCCCGCAAACGGAGTAGATGAATGCAATCGGCAGAATATTGTTCCGCTGGTGTAGACGTGGCCGAATACTCCACCGTACAGAGCAAGACCTGGCTAAGCGCTGCACCGTACGCTCCTGCACCCTCCCCATGAATCAACAACAGCAAAACCAACGGGAACCGGCCATGCTAAGTAAGCTACTACTCCCTGAAGCCTTGTCTGCCCTTGGAAGATGTTCAATGGACTATATCTCGGTTTCTCCCGGTCGTAAATGCAACTATAATAGGCCAAATGTAAGTATGGCTGCGTTAGACCGGCGTGCTAGCAGCCTCTCGTCTCGATGGAATATTGTTTAATCATGTTTCGATGTCGAACATCGCGCCACGCTTTACGGTGATGACAATCCTCAACTTCTCCTTTCGAAACACTATGCGGCTACTACTCAGACACTGCTCAAATTCCCCTTGCATCATTATGATTGCCTGTCGTAGCCCATCCAAGCTGCAATGCTCATTTCGTATGCAATCGGATCCGGCACGAAAGTGAGAACAAGAACAATACAAGAACAGTACAAAACAGGTTGAAGCGTTCCAGTATATCATATATTCATTGAATACGCGTGTAAATATATTCAAATCCTATGTTCAAGTCGTGCCGCCACCGGTGTTCCGTGCATCAGCATCCCTTGCGTTAGTTTGGCCTCCGTCATCTTGTGGAGAGGTTTGGCGCAGATTTTCCCCTTGGAATGTTTGCAAGTCTTCCCGGGAAGGTGCCGTCGCCTCAGAGTCAACCAGAGGCGTCGTCATGTCAGTTTCTCCTCTTTCCTGTGCATGGTCCAAGCCTTCAACAGCTGTATCAGAAGGTTCTTCAATCACGGTGCTTTTTGGTGGCCGGCTGTATGTTGATCTCCGAGGAGAAGAGACTGCTCTAGATTCACTTTCTGATATTGTCAGTGAGCCCCTCGACGTGTAGACATTTGGTGGCATATTTGCACCACTGGAGGAGCCAAACGAGTTCCGGGTTACCACAGATAGAGGCCTTTGTACACTTGAGCCCAGCCCACTTGGAGCAGTTTGCCTTGTCGTCTGGTTGTTCAAGGCATCTGGGGACCAAGTCCGGCCGTGTGTTGGTGCTGGGATAATCACTACGCCACTAGCGGGTGGTTCATGATGTGCCTGGCCAGAGTGTTGCTGCTCCTCGGAACTAAAATCGGCCCCTGCCGCAGACTCGTTGGACGATCGGACGTCTCGGAGATCGTCCGGAGACCAGGTTCGATCATTCGTCTTCGGTGCAGGAATGACAGTAACAGGTAGAGGAGCAGCTGGGATACCACCTCGATTTGTGAAGCGATCTCTTTGAGCAGCAGCAAATGCGCCTAGACGACCTCGCATATTCAATCGACTATCGATCGGTGAACGGCGAACACCACTAGCGATTTGGGCATCAGCGACCTCCGCCGGTGGCTCTGCTCGTCGCCGCTTGAACGGATTAGGTACACCTGACCAGATTTGGCGTCCTACATACCGCGAGTCCGAGTCTCCGGCAGCCCTGTTCCTATGTTGTTCTACACCTATCTCCTTATCGGTGCTGGAAGGAGACAACTCGGAGCCTGACGGATCGGAAACTGTCTTTGGAGCGTCGACCATGGTGTCTTGGTGTGGCACTGGCTGCTGTGGGGGCAAGTCTTGCTGCAGATTGGGCGAGGGACTAGTGAGATGATGATATCGAATAGCATAGACCGTGCTGGTTGCACTACCAGTATCACTTCTGTTGGGAGTGACAATCTGTTCGGTGGGAACCACCAGCTGGGCATTGGGAGGAATTCTTGGACCAGCCGCACTGGCAGCGTCGGTGCCTGGTACAATTCCGTCCGATGGGCCAGCTCTGCGTCGCTTTCGTAGCGGGAGGCGTGCGTGCAGTCTTCGAACTTGGAGAGTGACCGGCACAGTGACACTCTTCCGGAAACCGCCATCTAATCCCGACTTTGGGTCACGCCCACGCCAACTGGCGTCTTCTGATGGCGTCATGTTCAACATCTCATCTCCATCAAAGAGTTCTCGTCCTAGTATACCGTCCTTCCGCTGGTCTCTCTCTAAGGATTCAATCCTTTCCACCCACTCCCAAACCACCACGCTGGCGGCAGCCGCACCCACCCAGCGTATATATTCACCCCATCCAGCCAGGTCTGGTTGAGAGATATCTAAAACGAAGAAAACCGCGGGAATAGCAACAGAAGTAAGGGAAATGATAGCGACCAAACAAATGTTCTTCATCTTGGGATGCCAAAAAGCAAAGCGGCGTTTGGATAGACAGTAATACACCACACAAGAGGCGTAGATGATAGATATTGCTAATTCGAAGAGATAATTCAGCGCAGGGATGACGTCTTGGAAACTTCTCGGTCTTGTGCGTGGATTGCGGCTCACGAATGAATCGAGAATACTGAAGATGGTGTCCGATGAAACCATGGCGAAACCCAGCCATTTGATCGTAACCTTCTCCTTATGTCGTGGAAACAGTCGTATAAGCGTTTGGACTTGGGCCAGCCATAGGAATGTGTCCGAAATAACTCTGATAATGCGGATCTCAAGGCTTCCAACAACACCGTCGACCAGAAGACTGGAGTCCATATATCCTTGATTGTATTGATCCTTCGCGACACTGAATGTGTCGGCGGTAGCGATGGTGAGGGAAATGGCTACTGTGACAGTGGCGATCTTCTGGAGTAATGGTCGCCGTCCCACCCCAATGATGTTGGAAGAGCCTGGGATCATTCCACGTCGTCCTAAGAAACCAGCTCCTCCGCCAGGCCCTCCAATGACAAAAGTTCTCGGGGTGATGAAAATGAGAATGACAAGAATATAACTGATAACTGTAGCCGCGGCCAGCGCAAATATTTGGGGCGATATGGAGGCATAAAATGGATCCTGGAAGCCAATAACGGACGAGTTGCCGGTAGTATCGGGGCTGATAATCGACTCGGGATTCGCGCAGGGCAGTTTGAAAGTGATGCGGGCGGACAGTGTCGATGTGTCGTTATCTCCAAACACGAGCATGCCTCCACTGGGTAGAATTAGAGGTGTGCACAATGCGGCCTGTTCTGTTGCAGAGGCCGTGGAAATTTGACCCCATAGCTGGCGAGCCGTGACTTGAGCATTGCTGGTAGCGGTAGGGGACATGGCTTGACTACCGAGGGGAAAAATTGAGGAGGAGCCTCGAGTGCGACATGGCTATTGCGACAGAACAGCAAAACGACTTTATACAAGGGTGGACACGATCAGAGTCTCATCCTTCGTCGTCGTCGAACAACAGCTTTGTGATCAGGAATCGCAGAGAACAGGATGGAGTCAGTTTAGAAGCACAGAGTGTAGCATGACAATTTGAATCGTCGTCGGGGCGTAAACTGGGATGTTTGCGGTAGAGGTGATTGAGATTGCACATGAAGACTGCTGATTGTTCGGATGGCGCAGTTGCTTGGATCTGCTCTGAGGGCGGGGGCACCTTCAATCGTATGCCGAAAAGTCAGACGAGCACGGAACGGAATTACTTTGCCCCTTTTTAATTTAGGCGTTTACATAAGCCTCGGGTCGAGGCTTAAGTAACAAGCTAGTCCAAATGAGTACTAGTATCTACCAGTGAGCATTATAGTAGCATTGTGTCTACCACCTAGCTGCCAACCTCATGGTTTAACCCTCGCAGATGTTGCAGAGGGCGTCTTTCATGACTGTAGCCCATTGTACCCACCAAGCTGATCGGCCTTCCATTGCATCAGACTGTAGTCCTGGTTCGTGATCACTTCCAGCATGTCCTGGTGACCCACAGTTGGGCCGATACCCCCAAAGCCATGGTCGACCGTGGCGTCAGAATTATGCCAGAGGTTGTCCAGTGGCAATGCAAACCAGTCAGAGAAATCGGCGATGGCGGGATCAATGTTCGAATTTACTGGCAATGCATGTTCCAAGATGTCGTCCCCAGCGATCATGTTTGGAGGGGGAACAAACATCTGCGATTCGAGTTCTGCCATTGGCTTGGCTTCAATATCGGCAAGAGGATCATTCAAATAATACCCAGGGCTGAGTTGTTGAGCTAGTGTTGTTGCATGGGCGGTCGCTGCTGTCTGTGTGTCGGTTGTCGACTCTTCTCCATGTGGTGACTGTGGTCTCGAAACCTCACGGCTTGGCCCCGCAGACCCAGTCCCAGGCAATTGAACCCGGATCAGTGTCTGCTTTACATTCTTGACAATACTCGTCACTATGCGGGCGGTTGATGCACTAAGATGGACATCATCCACCACTTGCTTGGCCATCTCGGTAGTGATCTTCTCAAGCTGATTGAGACAATCCCGTACCATGGTTTCGTGCGTGCCCAGACTGAAACGCTAAGAGGAGTTAGCCAACCGGCCATTGCAGCAATACGAATTGAATCACAAACCTTGAGCACGAACATTATAGCGGATAAACTTCGAAGGAAGGTCCGAGTCGGCGCGTCTCGGAGATATCCCTTCGGAGAGATCCCCTCGGTCACTTCTCGCAGAATGGCAAGAGCTGCGTCTGTCACCTCGACAATGTAAACTTTGTTTTCCTCAGCAACCTTGGCAAGACTTGACTTTTTCATGTTGGATCCTCCCTCTACCCAAGTCTCGACGACTTTTTGAAGGCCCAGAGAGTTCAGGTAAAGTCGACCATACTGGTATTCCATCATCAGAATATGCTGCATGACTGGGTGTATATGGGCTTTTGCTTTCTTAAATACGTTCAACCAGTTTTGGAGTAGTGGTTGGAACTGATCGATTGAGTCCTTGTACCGTCCACTCGCTGTAAGCTCTCTCGTGAATTGATGAGATGAAAATACCTCGCGATTGGCTCGATTCATTAATCGTGCAACGTGGATCCAGCAGCCTTGCATGATGTCGATCGGATCTTCAATTTGCCCATAGCGTTGGGTTCGACTGGTCTGGTCCCAAATGGTATCACTTTCCCAATCTTCCACATTGAGTGAGGACTGAATCCCCATCCGGCCGCTAGTCTGGGCTACATAGACAAGCACAAGGTGCCGAATCCGTCGCTTCCTTGCACATTCGGAATCAGGCCCATGCTGATGTCGACAATTGTAGTGGTTGGTATCAAATACTCCTAACTCGAAGGCAAGATTTTGGGCTAATCCGAGCAACATCCAGGACATGCGGTCGGACCTCCAAGCCGGTTCAAGCCAGTTTGCGTAGGGTGCAATGTCGTAATCTCGCCCGCGTTTGACCTCCCCGTCTCGAGCATATGGTTTCTCTTCATCAGAGCCAGGGACGAGACTACGGTCGAGAAGACCATTTTCATCATCGCTTGGAGGGAAATGAAGAGCGCGGGGTTGCCAATCGGTCAAAACTAGTAGAGCCTCAATGGTCCCCAAGGTGCGTAGACTACCTTCCCATGTCAACTGTCCAGAAGCCGATTCGTGTAGGCCTGAACCATTCCCGCCGCCACAAAAGCCTCCACCAAATTGTTCTTGGGCCCATAGCAGCCGTTCTATCTGTCGGCGAAGATTGTTCCATAATTTGTCGTGGATAAGATACGATCGAGATACCCCTGCATGACCAGAAAGCCGTACATGACGGGAAGATATGGCGAGGATGGCGAGAGCTAGGATGGGTTCATTGAGCAGAAGAGAATGATGTTTCATAGGCGATCTGAAGTCGGGAAACACCACCGGAGTCATTGGCGCCAGTTTCTCATAGAAGTACTCAACATACTGCATAGCTTCCCAAGCTGTGAACCAGCCGTTGCGTACAAAGCGCATTTTAGACCATGCTGTGAAGCCCGCCTGTTGCTCGGCTTGCTCTTCTGGAGACTTTCCCACGTCACTGGGGACCTCTGGACCTCCATGGCCCAGAGAAGACAATGTCCTCTTTCTTCCAGCCCGATCCGAGAGTGGGCTTTCCTTGTAGTCTGGAGTCGCATTTTCGGAGAACGCCTGTGCCGCATCTACCAGGAGCATGATGTTATCTTGTGTACTTGACATCGGCGCATTCAGGGTCGCTGCGGCGACTGGGTTATGAAGCTGTATTTCCGAGGGTTTCAGTGCATCGCTAGCCTTCATGCGAAGGTAAGATTCATGTGGCTGTGAGGTGACTGACGGTTTGGACGAATGCGGGGACCAGGTTTGGCGAGGAAAGCCGTTCGTCGCGATTTGAGGCGATATAGTCGCTGACATACTTTGGGGGGCAGAGTTGCCATTGTGTGACAAGGGATCGGGGACTGATGTATGCACAGGACGAGCTGTGCCATCGGATCGCTTTTGCTTCTTTCGAGTCGGGGCAAATTCACATGGTAGTCTTTCACGCTTGCACCGTTTACATGGAGGTTCTGCCGGCGCATCAACACCTGATAATGTGGTCAGTCATGTAGTCGCGCACAAGCCGTGGTGAATGGATCATGAGTGTGACGTACTTCCAAGATCACATTTGACCTTGCGCTCGCGACAGCGCTGGCAGGCTTGGTAACCACGACGGTGTGGCCCACGGCCATCGCGGGGCTGCGAGTCGGAGCCGGGTGGCTCGGCTGATGATGAATCTCTGGAATAGCTCTCGGTCCGAGTCAGTTCAGGGGAGAATTGAGAAGAAGCTGTGTAAGCCATAGCCATAGTTCTATTGGTATAAGGCACGCTGGCTGCCACGGATACAGTCTGGGGATTTGCTGTGGGCCGAGATGTGTGAGGTGGGTGGACAAGATCTGGTTCTGGGGTTGGGGAACCGAAAGTAACCGCATCGAAGTTTCCCTGGGATTTGGATGTTGGATCGATCGGAACGGAATATTATTCTTCCGTGAGGTTGTTTGTTCATCGTTTGCTCTGGCAAACTAACTGCGGTCATAACTACGCCTGCGGGCGCGAGGGGTGGTGAAATGACCGGTCTTTCCGACGTTAAGGGAAGCACTACTTCCCACTGCCTGGGCCATTTTGCTAACCCGTGAAGAGGCCCGCTGCCTGAGTATTCGTAAGGATGCTTGCAGGCCAAGATACCCTGAAAAGAAAGAGCTGCGATCACAGTACTGGGGTCCATAGTGAGACTACGTCAAAGCAAATGTAATATTTCACCCTCCGCGACTGTCATGCGGGCAAGCTAGCTTACCCTAAAGGTTAATAATTACGGATCACCAAACGAATTGGAAGTGCTGCAGCTGGTGAATGAGAAGCTAAGCAAATTCTTCACACGAGGCATAGAGTATATTACTTCATGATCCTTCTATACGCAAAAGGCTAGCCCATTGTCCCCGATGCACGATTTCTCCAATGGCGACAAAAGTGATCATAAAAAGTTTGAGCATGCGACCATGGTGTTCATCAATCGATGTCATTTATCCTGCAATCTAGGAATGTGGAATCTGGGGGGAAGACCGTGAACAGGAGACGTACTCACAAACGGATCCTTCGCCGCTGTCTCATCTGCTTTCTCCTTCGATAATGCGTCTGCTTTGACTTTCAGATCGGCCGAGTCTCGTTGGACAAGCATGGGCTGACTTTGAATGTTGTCTTCACTTGTTTTTCGTGACATGGTAGGTGTAAGTCGACCACCCATGAGCAAACCTCTGACTCCCCCCGCTCTTCTCGCTGGTAATTCACCTGTGCCCGCAGTGAGCACATAAAGCAAGTATTTGAGATTGGGAAGCGTGTGTCGAATATCAAGCACTCGGAGACCAGATTTGCTCATGAGGAACTCGATATCCTTGTTCAAGAGAAAAACCCCGTACTCAAACTTGTAGGGTACGGTAGTTGGATGCAGGGGATATCGTCGTTGACTCAAGCCCACAGAGATAGGGTCTGTTATGTATGACCGGGATCCGTATGGTTCGATGGGATATGGTAGGGGCACCGACAAGTAGAGTGAAAGCTGATATATCAGTTGGCTAGTAAAGCCAAGGGCGGCCGCAATCTCATCGCGATTGGTATCATTATATACAGAGTTTGGAAGATGAATACCTCGGATGGTGAATTGTAGCGTACGGTTCTTGATTGGTTCGATGGGGAAGAGTGTGAGCAGGCTTTCACAGATGCGTCGAATTTGACCGTCAGATTCCTTCTCCACTTCTTTCCGTGTGGCTTCGACCTCTCTTTGAGCCACAGACCTCTCTTCGATCAATCTCTTGGCCTTGGCCTCAGCTTGCAGACCTGCTTTGAGTGCTTCGTGTCGCCGAGCTAATGAGTCGCGAAGTTCGTCTCTCTTCTTCTTCAATTGTCGCAATTGCTTCTGTTCAGCGGCCAAAGCAGCTTTGACCTGCGACTCATTAGCGTCAAGCGAGAGAGTATCTTCATCGATGTCGTCCTTTCCATCTCGGTTATCTTCGAGGATCTTGTTGATATCTGCTTCCAGTTGCATCCTTACTTTGACGGCATCTTGGATGCATTCATCCAAATTTGCAAGTTGCATCAGAGAGTCGAATGATGAGGTAGGCCGAGCATTGCCGTCCGTATGCTCGTTCAACTGCAGGACATTGGGCTGGGTTTCTGCTGGAAGATCTGTGAAACTCGTGTAGATACCGTCCGATAGATGTAGTAGAATACAATTCTGCGGTAGTGGATGGTGAAAATTCTCCAAGCTTCGTCCAATGTATTGCAAAGACCTTAGGTTTACGTCCAGCTCAACAAGAAGACAATATTTCTCGGTTATTGTAGATCTCGCCCATACACGTACAACACATTGGTCTGATCGCGACACTGTGGGGCCGCTGCTATCCAGATCGAAAAATGCGAAGCTAGGATTCATAGAGCGTTCAATGACCTCGGTTATGTAGATAGGCTCGTCGACGCCTGAACAATGTATCGATATCCATGTATCTGCCAGGCGGTTGACAACCATGTCCTCCAGTTTCGACTGGCGCACCCGAGGGCTTGCTGAGGTCCAGTGAAGAGTACTCCTTCTGCGCAGAGTGCCCTCAGGCCTTGCTTTAGTATTGATGTCATTCTTTTGGTAGGACGTTGCCGCTTTCTGACGGTTGAGCGGACTTGGAGGTGTATCTATGGATGTGACCAGGTCTGAGAAGGAACGTGAATGGTGCAAGGGAGCCGTGTCATGTCGTAAGGCTCGCTTGGCTGGGGAGACGAGGCCGTAGGGTGCGTCATCATCTGCGGCGGTCTTGCCCTTGGTTTTGGGACTTGGGGGGGTGATATGGAGGTTGCGCAACGAAACCCCATGGAGGTGCCGGAGACGGCGGTTCTAGAAGCGCTCGGTCAGTCGAGCAAGGTGGTCGAAGAATGCAGAGTAGTGATAGATGGGACTCACCCATGGATAGAGGAATGGGCGTTCATTGCGACTGGATTGATCCCGCTCAGACATGGTCTATTAAGCTAGACGGATGCATTTCGAAAGGGCAAACGGCAACGATGACTCTGTGATTGGAAGCCGACGAGTGAGAGGAGGGGGGCACACTGTCTTCCGCCGGCTACATTGCCAGTGAGAGAGAGGGTAGTGAGTATGATGGGTAAGACAGACTCACAACTAGAGGGGCTGGTGAAAGTATTTACCTGAGGAGTGACAAGTGCACTGAAGCTGTGGCTGTTGATATGGAGCCAATCGGAGCGGGGCAGGGGGGTTGTTCCGTGCCTTCCATTCTTGATTTCTACTTTTCCTTCCTACCTTCTTGAAATAGATAGTGACAGAGTTTCATCTTCCGCTGCCAACCTCACCCTTCACATACCAGTATTTCCGAGAGTAACCTACCTGTGTACAATGTTCTTCCTTCGAAACAGAGCATAAATTCCTGCTCAGTGCAACTCGTTAGCCTTTGCACCCACACTACACCTGAGACACGGACGATTGTCATTCCAGACTCTCCCGCAAACTTGTTTTCTGTTTGATTACTACCATGCCTATCTTGTTTGTACAGAGATGTGACGCGATTCCGCTCGAATAACTGATTCTTCTCCAATGCATCCGGCATGACTCCTACCCCTGCTATAATGTCGTATCGATAGATCGTCATGCTTATCGCGGTTGTGAGACTGGATCATTTGCCCACAAAATTGGCATCTCCCCAGATGATGTCAATACCATTTTTCATCTTGTCTACTTTCCACATGGGACCAGCAATAGCTCTGATTGCAGCTGCTGGAACGCCCATTACTAAAACTTTTCTGGATCAAAAGGAGATCAATACGAGCATGACACACCCCCCATGCACAGAGGGCACAGATTAAAGTCCTGGTTTGACAGTTTTGACAGCCACTTCGGACCAGAGGTGTTCATTGTGGCCCCGCTACCACGACAAAATAACCACCTCTCTTGCCATACTTTGCAATCTCTGGTATTATTCTTATTGTCACTTGTCACCACCTCTTCTGCCGGAAGGTGATAGGTAAGTTCAAGTCAAGGTGTCAAGTTGCACCATACTGGTACACCTTTGGAGCCATGTAACAGAGCAACTCCCCTACCTCCTTTATCTCCCACTTCGCCTTGAATTGGGCTCTATTCCCGCCTCGGTTCACCCTGGAGCAATCGGCTCTTTCCGTACCGCATCTGCTCAACATCTCCTTTTATTATTCCCAGCGCCACCATTCCCTGTCGGGCATGCCACATGCTGGAACGCTTTATTCGTGAGCCACGACGTTCTTTCACTCGATGTCAGCCATGGAGGTGAATACCCGCTCAAAAGTGGATCCCTGCTCTCGGACTCTTTTAGACAGTGCACTGTTGGGATTTCGGCTTGCTTGAGTTGCAGTGACAGCAGTCCATCTAACCTGTCTAATTTCGTGAAGCTAACCGGCCAACACACACTTCACAGGCCTCAAGTTGGACATGGCACTCGCATCAAGCAATATCAGCCGGAAGGGTGTCTGGGAAACATAAACCTCCAGACCGCCGCAGCAAAGCTGAGTCTCTGTTCCTCAAGGAGTCACTCTTTTTCTTCACCTTCACAGCACAGACGTACTGACCATAGTCACTCTCTTACTATTTTTGTGCTGTTTTCATATATTACCTTTCTTCTGATACTGACGCTCTACTTCACACCACTGCTCTGATCTACAAAACAACGAACCAACGATGAAGTTCTCTGCAAGCGCATTTGTTGTGCTTGCCAGCAGCGGAACGGCGCTTGGCTCATGGGTTGATTGGATCCCCTTTCAGAAGGATGTGACCGTTACCGCTACCTTTACAAGAAGCATCCAGGTCTGCCCCTGCAATGGCGAAGTACGTGTTACTCAGCCGTATCCTGCAGGTGGCAAGCCTACCGGAACAATTGATCACTACACTGTAACCGAGAACATCGATCCCCACTGGGCAAAGCCTCGTGAGACTATCACCAAGGCTGGCCCGATCGTGGTTGTCTTCTCTACTGCTGGCTCAATGACCACCAAGACAGGTGTGATGATCGAACTGAAGCCTACTAATGGTCTTGTCGTGACCAAGACAATCTGGACCGGCCCACAGCCTTCTGATGATCTTGCATGGGTCGACTGGGTTGACAGTGATGACAACAATGGCGGGACCCTGACTCGATCTCACACCAAGACTGAGACTGTCTATGGCCCTGCGCCGACTGATCCGCAAACGAACGAGCCGTGGGCTGATTGGGTAGCCACTTCGAACACGAAGAAAGCGACCACTACTAAGTCCTCAACAAAGTCTAGCACACTAAAGTCTAGCTCGACCTCAGCTGCGAGGACCTCATCCCGCTCGGGCGGCTCTAACGGCGGCTCAACATCGTCTCGGTCTTCTAGCACTTCGACCACTTCCACCTCCACTTCGTCCAGCAGTGTGAGCAATGGTCCCGGCGGATACAGCACGACATCTAGCTCGAGCACCAGCACCTCGACATTTAGCTCTTCTAGCAGCGTCGCCGCTGGGCCCGGCGGTGGAAGCACCACAGGCGCTTCGACACCAACAAGCACTGATGGGACGACGTCGACGACGACGACCGTGGCCACCGACACTACCACCACCACCACCAGTAGCTTCAGTGTTGGACCGATTGGACAGAGTACCAGCAGTTCTTCCGTAGACAGCACCACCTCAAGCCCGAGCACCAGCACTTCGTCACTTGCTGGTGTCCAAACCACATCCACCAGCACAACCAGTGCTGCCGTTCTACCCACCACAAGCACCACTAGTTCCGCCGCAGCCACTACCACTTCCGCTGGGACGGGCTCAGTTGTTGTCGATGATGTACGTAACTTGGACTACATCACCGCCATTCTGCAACAACATAACGTCCATCGTCGCAACCATTCTGCTGTTGACTTGACTTGGTCCCCCAGCTTGGCTGCTACTGCCAACACAATTGCCTCATCTTGCATTTACGCACATAACACGTAAGTCTACCATATTGTATCGAATTCTCGCACCTCAACCCCGCCTTCATCATTGTCCAGATCCCTTCAAGGTAGACACAAATACAAAAGAGCCGTTGACTAACATATTCCCTGCCCCATAGCGCTGTCGATGGCGGTGGTTACGGACAGAATATCGGTGCAGGATACACTCCCAACCAAGTGGGCGTGATGATCACCAACGACATGTATAACGGCGAGTTCAGCAACTACCCCGGCCCATTTGACCAGGACAACATCGATCTAACCAACTTCAATAACTTTGGCCACTTCACCCAGATCGTGTGGAAGAACACCGTTCAGGTCGGTTGCGCCACCGTCACCTGTCCTGGTGGTCTTCAGGGTGCCAGCTTCACCCCCTACTTCACCGTCTGCAACTACTACCCGGCTGGAAATTTTGTTGGTCAATACTCGAACGTCGGTGCCCCTCTTGGCGGGCCAATTCATGTCGTGCTAGCAAATGCAAACTAGTGCGCTAAACTCGGAATAATATGCCTGTATCCCATAGAAATTGCATGCAAAGGCACATGGGGCGGAAGTTCAGCGATGAGGTCGTTGACAGTGTAGTTTGAATTTCCTGGCATGCCGGGGGTCACGCCGGAGCAAGTCAGGAGTTTTTGGAGATTTGATTGGATAACGAGGTCAGGTATGCACGAAGCTCTTGGGAACGATCGGCAGCGAAGAGGGCAATGAGGAACGGGAGGGAGGGTTCGGCTTCAGGTAAATAATACTACTTTCTGTAATTTCTATAGGCACGACAGCAATACCAGTACCCAGATATTCATTGGACGCAAATTCTGGTCCATCCATTTCAATATTCTCGAGCTGTCTGTCATGAGGAGTCTCAGGCAGATTCAAGAGGCCTTGAGCCGTGACTTGTGACTCCGAACGCCGTGCTGATGATGTATTCAAATGCGTCTCGATGGGCAGAAGGGGCTCCAAGGTGGCGGCCGAGGGCGCTTGGCTACCGTCTCAGACTGTCAAGCCTTGCTTGTAAATCATCGTCCTCGCCGCCTCCTATGGCCTGAGCGACTCGGCCTTCGGGCACAGCTGCTTTCTGAATACTCGTTGGAGTCTCGCCGAGCTGGGTGGGAATCAAGTCAACAACACCATCCAACTACCAATTAACACGGGGCAAGTGGGTGAACTCACAGCATGGTTCAAATCAACACCAATCTCGTCCAGGACCTGGTTGACGACTTCCTCGCCTTCCTCCTCGTCTTCCAAGCCAGTGACGTCGTCGATGGCGTCGTCCATCATCTCCTGTCGCTGGTCCATGATGTCGTTCTCGCGCTCGAACTCCATCGCTATCCGTTGCAGGGCGGGGAGGTTCATCTGTCGGTTCATGCTGCCCAGCAGCATCGTTGCGCCTTTCATGGATTGCATCATTTGTTCGTTGCTGCGGACGGTCTGTTATGGCCGCACCAAGTAAACTGCGTCAGTCTCACTAGCACCAGTGGCCTGGAGGTTGTGTAGGGATTGAAGACAGGACAGAGGACAGAACCATACGGGGGACAAACGCACCTGAATTCTCAAGGAGATAGCCTGCAACTGGGTCCTCATCTGGTAGAACTTCTGGATATATCTCCTCGTGCGGACGAGATCTTTGGCCTGGATCTTACAGGCGCCGATCTGGCCGCTCTTTGCGCTCTTCTTGATATCGGCAACGAGTTTCTTCTCCTGATTCTCCAGCTTGACCCGCTCACGGTCCAGTTCTCGCTGAGTCTTCTCGAGTGCTCGCTGGTGCTTCCGCAGCCGCTCCGCCGGCGTCATGCGTTTGCCGAAGGCCCATTCTATGATCTGTTGTGGCGAGAGAAACGGTGGGTTAGTGGGGCTTTGGTTGGGTTGGTTGGGTTGGGTGGTGGGCTTACGTTCATGGTGGATGGTCTGGAAGGACGGCGAGGAGGGTGCCGAGCTCTGGTGAAGGAGTTGTAAGGGAGGAAGCAGTGCTGAGAGTGTTCTTGCAACCCTGAAGTCGATGGTCGGTGTCCTTTTTGGTTCCTTTGGGTACTCCGTACCGTCGATGTCGCCGGGATACTTGGGAAGCCTGCCACTGCCAACCCGTGACGTGGGTGGGTAGGTAGTGCTTAGAGGGCAGGAGGCGCCCATATTGAGTTAGTACCCGCCTATTTGTTGGCTGTGGGAAAAGCGGCCAGGCGCCAGCGGATAAGGATAAGGGAGGATCAGGTGATCTTGGACTTTCGCTTCGGATCAATTTACAAGATCCTGCTTTCTTAGACCATTAAATTGATTCATCATTGTTTTGACTATCCCACCTACCGCACCACTCCCAATTACCGCTCGACCACCTACAGACGACCTTCTGATGGCTCATCCCCTTGACATTGATCCGTCATTCTCCGCCAACCTTTATTGATCCCTGTATTATTATGGACCAGTCCAACTCGCCTGAGAAAGGCAAGAAGAAAGCAAAGGAGGACAACGACAAAGCTGACCAAATGACCTCACCTCAACCTATCCACCCTATTTCCTACCAACCCAAATACATGACTGTAGGCTCTGGAATACAGCCTTCACATGCTACTGCTTTGATGGAACAGCTGGAGCGAGATTCAGGATATGGAAGTATGGTTGGAGACAACCAACAAATTGGTGGCGAGATGCGCTCGTGGGAGGACCAACTTCTAGTCGACCGTCCCACTCCTGCCCATACACCTCAGATCAACGGCCAGCCCGCGCATATGTCTGACACCGAGAAGAGAGCTCTTGCAGGCCATATCCACCAGCTCTACTACAATCAAAATCGTGTTGCGCTGGCAAAAGCCATTGGCCAGACCGTGGAACTTCTCAAACAACTTCAAGATATGAACGCCCAATGGCCTGCCCATTACCCTTCAGTTCAGAGATCCGAAAACGAAACGCGAACGAGCCGACCCTCACTGGCACAGACCCAGTCCACGCGAGACGCCTCCGAGCTCCCCCACGATCTCGCATCGAAGAAATTAGGAAGACCGGGCAGACTCAGAAGATTTGGGACATCGATCGGAGAAGACTCTTCCTCTGCTGAATCGAGTCAACAAGTACAACACACCGCGACGTCGGAACCTAGACTCATCACGCCGCAGATCGCCCAAGAATTCTCCATCCTCAAATTAGATCTCAAGGTCGGAGCTCTATCACAGACCGAGCTTGTACATTCGTTGGAAAAGAAATCCATCGCATCTCTGCTTGACGGTAAAATTGGGCAAAGTGTCCGCCATTTACTTGCTTTGCGCGACCGAATCGAGGATACCTCTAGCAAGGTTCTGGTGACAGGCGATCTCAACGCCGGAAAGTCGACCTTCTGCAATGCACTTCTACGGAGGAAGATTCTGCCTGAGGACCAGCAACCCTGCACGAGTATCTTCTGTGAGGTTTTAGACGCCAAGGAGAATGGTGGTCTTGAGGAAGTTCATGCTGTACACAAGGAAGCGACCTATGATCGAAATGATGAGAGCACATACGATGTCTTTGCCCTACACGAGCTGGAAAAGATTGTAGTTGACAATGACCGCTACATGCAATGTAAAGTTTACGTCAAAGATGTTCGAAGCATCGACCAATCACTACTCAACAACGGAGTGGTTGACATCGCGCTGATTGATGCACCAGGCCTCAACTCTGATTCGGTCAAGACAACGGCGGTATTTGCCCGGCAGGAGGAGATTGACGTGGTCGTCTTCGTCGTTTCAGCCGCCAACCATTTTACCCTTTCTGCAAAAGAATTCATATGGCAAGCTGCCCATGAGAAAGCCTATATTTTCATGGTAGTGAATGGTTTCGACAATATCCGAGACAAAGAACGGTGTCAAAAACTCATTCTCGAACAATTAGGCCACCTTAGCCCTCAGACATTTAAAGAGGCAAAGGAACTGGTTCACTTCGTGTCCAGCAATGCCGTTCCCGTGCAGCCGGCATTGCCATCGAATGGCGGCGGCGGTGATGGGGGCGGCGGGTCTGGGCCGTCTCCACCTGATGATGATGACAACGATGATTCAAGTAAAGGCAAAGGCAAGGACAAGGAGAAGATCCAAGATTTTGAGATGCTGGAGAGTGCGCTTCGCAGATTTGTTCTCGAGAAGAGGGCTCGGTCGAAATTGGCACCCGCCAAAACATACTTGATGAATTGCTTGGGTGACATGAACGTGTTGGCCACTGTTAACAGGGATGTGGCAAGCTCGGAACTAGATCGAGTGTCCAAAGAGCTTTCTGAGATTGAACCTGAATATGAAGAGCGCACCAAGCAAAGAGGGCTCATTTCCGAGCAGCTGGAGAAGGACATGGATTCTACTGCGACGGATGTGTATAATCACACTCGCTCAACGCTGTCAAGCACGATAGCCAACGTGGGCAGCGGCGACCTCGGGGTCGAATATCCGGGTCTCTTGTCAGCCTTCCAATACGCTGAAGATTTGAGGATAGCAATGCTCGACCAAATTTCGGCGGCAGTGACGCAGTGCGAAGCATATGGCCGATCCCAGACGGTCAAGAGCGTTGACATGGTCAAATCGCTTGGTCTGTTGCACGTCGGAGACACCTACGAGAATCTCACATTCCAGGCTGACAGAATGTTCCAACGGCGGAGGGATGCTCTAGTACGAACAGTTGACACTGATGTAGAGCTCTGGGACTTCTTCGATGTAGCTGGGCTATGGGAGCGACAGGAAAAAACGCTCGGAACCGGACTGGCTCTCACAGTGGTTGGAACAGTTGGATCTCGTGCTGTTGGTGGTATTGGCTGGGTCGACGGAGCATTCGGAGCGGCCAAAGTGATTGGAAGTCGAAGTCTGCGGAGGTTGTTTGTGCCAGGTGTTGTGGCGGCTGGTAAGTTTACCTTTTGTTTATTTACGAGGGTTTAATTGTGGGTGGTAAATCCATACTGACTTGCATTGGCAGCAATGGTAGCCGTCGCGTACATTTTGTCGACAATCCCACAGACACTTCCGCCCCGGCTAGCCTCGAAGCTATCAGCGACACTTTCTCAGATGGATTACACACACAGCAACTCGGCCCGGATTGCTTCTGAAGTGCGACGAGTACTGCGATTCCCGGCGCAGAGACTGAGTGGAGATCTACAAAGCGGTGTCGAGGAACTGAGAAAGAAGAAAGAAGACGTCACGAAGATCAAGAAAGAGAGCGAGGTTGCGCGAAAATACTTTGGAAATCTTGTCAGAGACTCGAGCGAGACGCGGAGACGGGTTTCGGCCATTGACCTGGAAAGCCCGATCCCTGGGGCAGCAGCGGCGTATGTGTCCTGAGGAAAGGCCAGTAGCGGCACAGCACGAAGAGCGGAGCGTCATGAGGGATGACACTGAGCCTGAGCGAGGTTGGCCGAGGATTACGATTGAGTGATTGAGCGCATTCTTTTGATCTTGCACGACTTTCGCTTGTCCCCACTTGTGCTCATGACGAAGAGGAGAACAGAGCCGACAAAGAGAAGAGGAAAAGAGGAATGAATCTACTACTCCTTGTTTTAACTATACCCCTCCCCCTGGAATAAGGATTTGTAATATGAGAAATCAGGCAACGAGTGTATATACATAGCGGGGAATGAAAATGTATTGACGTGCCTCCCGCGCTTCGGTGTTAAGAATACTCCGGATTGGCCGGGGTGCTCGGATGGGCTGGAGTATTCCTCGTACCCAGATGATGCGCAAGTTACAGATAAAGTACTGACACAGGCAGCTTTATGCTTGGATATCAGATTGCCCTCGGTCTCGGTCACGTCGAGCAAAAAGGATGAAGTTCTGCACCTTGAAGCCTGAAGGACCCTTCAGCGCCCGGTCCGGTCGGTGGGGAGAGGAAGACATTTAGTGGGGAAGGGACTGGTGGCCCAGTGGGAGTCTGGACACTGGGCGCCGGGTATGGATAACAAGGGCTCGGTGCCTTAGGGTCAAGGCGCCGCTGGACGACCGCCTTAGGGGCGCCTTTGTCGTTCTCACTACCCCGAAGTTAGGGAGGCCCCAAGGCCCAGATCTGCCGCCTAGCGATCCAAGACTCGCCCACAGTTCGTTAAGGACTTGACTAACTCATTAGCCGTTAGTGAAGCTACTGGTGCTCCATATGTCGTACGGAGTAGCTGGCAGCCCTCACGCTTTCCCCTCCCCCACCGCCCACCGCCTACCGCCCACCAGCCTGGTGGGTGCCTGGGTTAAAGGAATGAATGCGAATGATTGACAAACTTGGGCACGAACCAGGAACTACAGTAGCAGATGAAGGACATGAATTGGAACGCAGTCAAACACTAAACACACCCAACCTTTGCACTGCCTCCACCGCCCTCCCACAAATTGATAGTTAGGGAGCAAACTGATCAATTGCGGATTGCGTGGTAAATGACATAGTGCTACGAGGAGTACTAATTACTACCAACTGAAACCACACATCCACTGCTCCCGCCTATATCTGCTAGTGCTTCGCTCTCTCTGCCTGCTCCCTCCTCCCGCCTCCCCTCATTTAGCTACTCCCAGATACAGCTACGAGTGCTCCTGCGACCACTCACGACCTCGTGCTCCGGACTCGGTGGTTCCTCCTCTTCTCCTTCCTCTCTGCTCCCTCACTCGTTAGCCGACGACTTCATACATCATAACTCATACCTCACACCTTACACCTCAGCTGCTCACGACCACCTCTGCTCGCCTCGTACCTCATACCCCAGACTTCGCAACAGGCTCCCCTCCCGGCTCTCTCGCCAATCTCAACGCCCTTTGTTTGCTAGTTGCATCTCCTCCTCGTCCTTGTCTGTCCTCCTCGCCTGCGTTTGCGTCTGCGTCTGCATCCTCATCATCACCTCACACCCTCTCTCTCGCTTTGACCTCCATTGTCACTGCCTTCCCGCTTGCAAACTCCGTCCTACAATTGGGCCTGCTTCTTGTTCAACCCTCTCGACTACAACAGCAAACCCCACCACCTTATCCTTGCCCTCGTCCGTCCTCTTTTACCATCTTGTCTAGAACTTGACCCCGCCTTGTCGCATCGTTCCCCAGCTACCACTGCGCCTTTGATCAAGTCTTTCAAACTGGCGGGCACAACCGACCGGAGAACCTCCGCGCATGGGGGTTTTCTCAATCGTGTCTTTGGCAATAAGAAGGACAAGGATGTAGACTCGGACAGCTCTGCTACAAGAATCACCCTCGACAGCAATAAAGCCACCCCCTCCATCAACGTCAAACCCTCCGACCAACCTAGTAGTCCCAAGTCTGAGTCTCTGACTAGGCAGTCTTCCGAGGAAACCAGCACTCCTTCCCCAGCCGGCGACAGCAAGAAGCGACGGAGCAGTAGTGCGAAAGCAAAAGAAATCTTCACTCAGGCCAAGAACTCTCTGATCCACGGTGACCGCGACGGTCCTCAGACACCCATGCAGAAGCTATCCAAAACCGATGCCGCCTTGAGCGTGCCACAAGGTTCCTTGAACAACTCCGCTGGCGAGTCACAGCCCACTCCCAATTCCTCATTTCGTGTAGGAGTAACCGAGGACAAAAACAAGAAATGCCGTCGAACCATGGAAGACACCCACTCCTACCTGTACAACTTCCTCGGCACTCCAGCCCCAGTCGTTCCTTCGGACGCAGCCTTGACCAAGAAATCTTCCATAGACGAACGAGCCAGCCTAACGACCGTGCCTTCCGAAGCTAGCCAACACGTGGTCGAGACTGACAACGGATATTTTGCAATCTTTGATGGACACGCGGGCACATTTGCTGCAGAATGGTGTGGAAAGAAACTCCATGTCATTCTGGAGGATTTGATGCGCAGGTATCCCAATACGGCTGTACCAGAATTGCTCGATCAGACCTACACCTCGGCAGATACCCAACTAGAAAAGTTACCGTTGAGAAATAGTGGATGTACAGCAATCACGGCGGTACTGAGATGGGAAGATCGGGTGCCGACCAATCACTCCGCTACGGGATCACAAGCCATCGCACCTTTGGCAGCCGCAGCCGCAAAAGAAGCGGAGAAGAACGAGGCCAAGGACGCGACCCCTCGATCGAATTCGACTGCGGAAGCCGCAGCGGCCGCCATACAAGAGGCCAAGCAGAAAGCTACTCGACAAAGGGTACTGTATACGGCCAACGTTGGTGATGCGCGGATCGTGTTATGTCGGAATGGAAAGGCCCTCCGACTTTCGTATGACCACAAAGGCATGGATGAGAATGAAGGACGACGGATTTCCAAGGCTGGTGGACTCATCTTGAACAATCGCGTCAATGGAGTGCTGGCTGTGACTCGTGCTTTGGGTGATTCCTATCTGAAGGATCTAGTTACGGGTCACCCGTATACCACAGAAACCGTGATCCAGCCGGATCAGGATGAGTTCTTGATACTCGCGTGCGATGGAGTGAGTGTTACCCTATTGGAGGTATGGCGGGACAAGACTGTGCTAACACTGAACTAGCTCTGGGACGTTTGCTCTGATCAAGAAGCTGTAGATCTAATTCGACAAGTGCAGGACCCACAACAGGCATCGAAGATGCTGGTCGATCATGCATTGCAACGATTTTCCACCGACAACCTTTCGGTGATGATTGTTCGGTTCGACTCACAGAAACTGCAAAGCAACACTAAGATCGATATTGGTGTGGAGACGGACGCCAATAAAGACGCGACAGCAATCAGCGAGGTGGAAATGATTGTGGCGGAAGCACGTCGACACTCCGGTATAGCCCAAGCGGGCGCCGTTTCGGACCAAGACTCCGAAGAACTGAAACAAACCGTGATACAAGAACAGGAAGACGAAGACCAAGAACCTGGTCCCGAGCTCACACCTGAGGGCCAACGCGAGGCAGAGAAGATCTTGTCGGAAAAACAGGATCAAGAGAAGGAAAATAGTGCGAGCTAGCGAGGGAGTTAGTGAGGGAATGGAGGCCAACCTCGGGAGCGGTTCTGTTCTGCGGCCTGCTGATGACGACCGATGAGACTGAGGAAGTACAACTTGTGGGATTATTGTGTGTGAGTGTAGCAGTCTCGACAGCTGATACCATGTTGGATGTTCTGGCATTGATGCAAGTGATCTTGGATAGATCAGGAGGACATGGTTGGCGAGTCCATGGGAGGGCTTGCAGTAGAATACGCGATGATGAACACGACCCCAACAGCAGCGGCAGTGAGAACGAGGAGATCAGGGCCGATTTAGAAACAGTAGCAGAAGCCGAAGAGGCAGTGAGCAACTTGAATTGAGAAGGGATTCGACTCTGTTTATTTTGCGTGTTTGGCTCTCTTAGATACTCGAGTTATAAATTACAATTATAACCCGAGAGAGAAGAGATTGGGGATGTGACACCGTGTAGTAGCGAGTGCTGAAGCAGACACTCCCAGTAGCAATGATGGCTGCGATGCCCGGGTCATGGCTCGTCTATCGGTAATCATGCAGTATGTCAGGTAAGGCTCCCAGAATCAGCATTGGCGTTGGCCTCAGCATCGGCATCAGATTTAGGAATGCCATGCCGAGCAGAAACCGGGCACCGAGCATATCCAAGAATAAATACCAGCGCAGCGCACGTTGTATGCACACCTAGTCCAAATCCTAAATGTCCGTACTGCCTACGATTTGCGTTATTACTTGTGATGTGTATTCGCAGTCAGCTTTTTCTCCCATATGTCCAGCCCGTTTGTCCTTGTCCCGTTCAACTTCCATTCCTCCGTCCATCCACCAACCCGACTTTATCGTTAGCGGGTATCTTGCATTATCTATTAGTGTCTTCACTAGCCGCCACTAGCTCTCGCGCTACGGCATATTATGATACACTAAATATTTAGTGGCGCTTAGTCCTCCCGTGACTCGACGTTCTCCCCCCACTTATTCAGCTCAATCTTCAATCGTCAATCTTCCACTGACAGCGAGCTATTCGTATCTTGCCCTGCGTAATCCCGCCGCCCGCGCCGCCATCAGCTTCGGTATCCTCATTCAAGTACTCCGTACGAGCAACGCTGTAAGGCTTTGCCACCGCTCTTCCCGCTTGTCAGAACCTGTCCACGTCCAAAAGAAGCTTGAATCCAAGTTCCTGAGCTTTTCCCTTCTCCCTTCTGCTCGCCAGACCCACCACTGGCTCCATAAAAAATAAATTCCTCCAGAAAGATCTTTGTTGGCAAAGGCGAAAAAGAAAGCCAGGGTCCCGCTGAGGTTGTGACTCCTGCGACACATACAGACCTATCTCTCCATCTATCTATCTCACTCATCAGAACCTGTCAACATTCAACAATCATTCCTTTTTCCCTCGCCCACCCTCCTCCCACCTCCCACCTCCCAAACCTGCACTCATGATCTCGCCATAAGCTCCTTGTCCCTCCATTTTCCCCTCTTGAGTCTCCTGCCGCCGTCAGCATCATCACAACCACCATGGCGGGCAAGCTCCCCCTCCGGTTGACCACCCTTGCGTCACACCGGTCTACTTCCTGTCTGGCAGCTTCACGTTCAATCTCAACCACGACAACCCTCAAATTCCGACCTTCGACACTGATCTCCAAGCAGCCTACTCTTCTTTCGCAGCCTGCCTTTCAACAATCCTTCCGTCGTGCTTTCGCTGATCAAGCTCCAAAAGTCGAGCTTTCCCCACAACCAAAACCAAAGAAGCAGTTCAGATTCCTCCGCTTCCTGTGGCGCGTGACATACCTGTCTACCGCGGCCTTTCTTGGTTGGATTGGATATAGTATCTATGAATTGCGCAACCCGAATGAACAGTTCGAACCAGATCCGAATAAGAAAACACTCGTTGTACTTGGTATGTAGTATCTGTCGACCATTGCAGAGGCCTCTAGACTCAACTCAAGGGAACACCATGTGCTAATCCAAGGCCCGGCTACAGGTACTGGCTGGGGTGCCGTCTCTCTCTTGAAAAATCTCGACACCGAAAATTACAATGTCATCGTCGTTTCCCCTCGAAATTTCTTCCTCTTCACCCCTCTACTTCCCTCCTGTACAACCGGCACCATCGAGCATCGATCTATTATGGAACCCATCCGAAATATCCTGAGACACAAGAAGGCTACTGTGAAGTTCTATGAAGCTGCTTGCACCAAGATTGACTACGAGAAGAAAATTATCTATGCACAAGACGATTCGGACATCAAGGGAGATTCAATGGAGACACAGATCCCTTTTGATATGCTTGTTGTCGGTGTTGGTGCTGAGAATGCTACATTCGGTATCCCCGGAGTCCGCGAACATGCTTGCTTCTTGAAGGAAGTGGGTGATGCTCAGCGCATTCGGAAACAAATCATGGATTGTGTCGAGACTGCCACATTCAAGGATCAATCTCCCGAAGAGATCAAACGTCTTTTGCATATGGTTGTCGTCGGTGGTGGCCCCACTGGAGTTGAATTCGCCGGCGAGCTCCAGGATTTTTTCCAAGAAGATTTGCTCAAGTGGGTTCCTCAAATTAAAGACGATTTCCACGTTACCCTGGTCGAAGCTCTCCCCAATGTTCTCCCAATGTTCAGCAAGCAATTGATCGAATATACCGAATCTAGCTTCAAGGAAGAACACATTGAGATCCGCACAAAGACCATGGTCAAGAACGTCACCGACAAGTATATCGAAGCCGAAATCAACAACCCGGATGGAACCAAATCTTTGGAGAAAATCCCATACGGCCTCCTCGTCTGGGCTACCGGAAATGCCCTCCGACCCGTAGTCAAGGATCTCATGTCCCAGATCCCCGCACAAGCCAAAGCCCGTCGCGGTCTCGAAGTCAACGAATATCTCGTCGTCAATGGTACCGAGAACATCTGGGCCGTAGGCGACTGCGCCGTCGCCAATTATGCGCCTACCGCACAGGTGGCCGCACAAGAGGGCGCTTTCCTCGCTCGCCTATTCAACACCATGGCCAAGACGGACGCATTCGAGTCTGAACTAAAAGACCTCTCCGCTAAACAGGCCACGGCCAATCCTGACGATCGTAAGGTCATCCTCGCCGAGATCGCCGAGCGTCAGAAACAGCTTCGCCGCGTCAAGCAGATCGGACCTTTCCAATACTCTCACCAGGGATCTCTGGCGTATATCGGCGCCGAAAAGGCGGTCGCCGATGTGAGCTGGTTCAGTGGCAACATCGCTTCCGGTGGTACCATGACCTATCTCTTCTGGAAGAGTGCCTATTTGAGCATGTGCTTCAGCAGTAAGTTTTTTCACCTCTTGCTTTTTAGTCGTCTGTCGAGATGTGCCACCCATACTGACTTGGGATTTCAACATCAACAGCGAGGAACCGCGTGCTAGTCTCGTTCGATTGGGTCAAAGCCAAGTTTTTTGGCCGTGATGTCTCACGAGAGTAGACCTGGTTGATTACAAAGCAACAATGAGAGGAGAAGATGGATGGGCGTGGTGAAGTGAAAAGCTGTGTACATCGTCTGCAACCTGACTTTACAAGAGGGATCCAGCTGTTTTCGACGCGATGCCGTGGCTTGTTTGTGCTTGTTCTTTTGTGTGTATGGTACATGTTTATTCCCATGATGCTGTTTTGTGGATATTTGGATGTCTGTATGTTGCGAACTTGGTTGGACCTCGTTTGCCCCCTTCACCTAGCCTGTCCATGCGCTCGCTGGCGGTGCTCTAGTCTGTTCCCTGGACCCGGGTAATGGACTGTTTCCGAGCTCGCTTCGCAAAGGACCTTGAGCTGGGTTCTCATCTGTCTGGACCTTTCCTTACCTGAAACACCTTTTATATGGATTATCAGCCATACCAGGGAAATAAAAGCAAGGCGATTCGTATACTGCGCCAGCTTCATGGCTGAAGCTGGCCGGTGGTTTGTCTTGCGGCCAGGGTACTTGAGGTCTCTTGGGTAGATCTACAGGAACTCCTGCGAGTACGCACGTCCAGCACACCCGCCGTATCTGTACTGTACTCCGTCCTCTGTACTGTCTAGTCCCACCCGCACCATGGCTGTGTTCATTTCGACCTTCCTTCGCATCGCTGCAACTTTCCTTGTTTCGGCTGCTACCAAGTTCTTTGCTCGTCTCCGTCATCCTGCTGCGTTGACCCAGGCCCTACCTACCTAGCTCAACTAGGTAGATTGGTAGTGGCACTATGAGCACTGCAGTACAAGACCGCATGGCATAGCATACCGCGAAAGTCTCAAACAGAGAGAAACTCCACGCAACACTGGCCCTACCGTGCCATGCCCTGCTCTAATGCGATAAGAGTACAGAGCCGCCGAGATGATATGAACTGCCAGGGCGATAGAGAATCACCCTGCCTCGTAAACGGTTTCGGTGCTTTTGTTCTGAGATGCCTATCCTAGGTGTATGGTACCCTGCTCAGGGTTATATATCCTGGGTACTCTCGTGGGTACGTGCAATGGGGAAAGGTACTGTGTGGAACGTGTATGCAGACAATAGGTATTTTCTTTTCGTCTTGCACCTTGGCCCTTATGAATAGCAGACACTTATATAGAACAAAACCATCTAGCATCTTCACTTCTCTTCTCTATTGGTACAAATGAATGTCGCCACAGCCGCAACTCTGGTCCTCGCACAGCGGTCCCACGCCTGCCTACCATAGCTGATTGGCCGACATGGCGCCAGCTTTCCCGGAGATGCCACGCTTCTTCTTGAGAGCTTGCACTGCCTCGGGCGACAGTACTCGCCTCCAGTACAGGCTTGGGTCCTCGCCTTCTGGCACGGTGTGTGCTAGGTAACCTCTGTTCTTCACGTCACGGTAGTACTCGATGTCCTTTCTGGCCGAGGGGTCTGGTAGGCGGTATTCGAACCCCATGGCCTTGACCCGAGATACAAGTTCCTCCGCTCCGTCCACGGCCAGAGCGGGACGGCCGATACTTGCCTGATCCCATTTCAAGCTGATATAGGGATGCATTTCGCCCGCTCGAACTCGTTTGATTGCCTGTGGTGTGTAGAATCGGGTGGTGACGGTGCCACCGAGAGCTTCGACCGCCTCGATGGCAGTCTGCGATGCTCGCGAGACAACGACGTGGATGGGCTGTTTCAAGCTCGCTGCGCCATTGGCCAGAAGTTTGATTCCGTCTCTGATGCCCCGCACGGCACCGCTTTTCGACAGCTCTCTCAGCGTGATGGGTTTGTCGGCTGCGAGCCGGCCTTGGTCGATCCATTCCTGTATCCGGTCGAGGTTTATGGGTGCCATTTCAACGGAGTGGCTAGAGAGCAGTCAATATCTGTGGTCCCTAAACTGCATTTGCCTGATCGACTTCGACTTACGAATTCTTGAATCCATATTTACCATGAACGATATGTTCGGGTGTTTGACCACCATTGAAACCTTCTGGCACCTTGCCATGCTGTTTCTGACCGTCGGAACCACGACCTGACTTCCCACCGTTGCCTGAGGCAGGACCTCTTCCACGTCGAATCCGTCTGTTATATGCGCCTGGTCGGTCGGAGAGCGAACCTAGGATTGATGCGTTTCGCGATTGGAGGTGGAGGAATGGGAGCAGGAAGGAAGGGATCGGTGATCCGGCGACCGAAATCGCAGTCGAAGCTGTAGGCTGGGAGAGCCGTGGCAAAAGTCGAGGCGGCATTTGGAGAGTACTAAGTACTATACGGATCGTGGTGATGCAGAACAGGACAAAGCCCTGGCTGCCCTGGATCTGGTAGGGGTTTGGCTTTGGCTGCAGTGCGTGTAGCTTCAATGGATTCTGTGCTTGTACGGAGCACATCAGGCTAGAGATACAAAACTTGAAGTTGCACGTGTATGCCAAGGCTGGATGGAGCCAGTGCCCCAAGGGGTACAAGTGCAAAGTCAAACCGGGATGTGACCAGGCTGAGAGCCTTACTCGTCGGCTGAAGCTCACAAGGTGCCTTGGGCACCCATCTTGATACTTCAACTCATTCCGCTGCCAGCCCTTCAGCCTTGAAGAAAAGAGCCATGTTCTTCTTTAACCTTTCGACGACTGCAGATCAGTGTTCTGCACTAGAAAAACTCTTTGTCATATCCAACCATGGCAGAAGTTTTAGGCTTGGTCTCTGGCGTCTTGACCATTGCACAAATCGCTGGGTCTGTAGGCGCCAGTGTTATCAGGCTGAAAACCCTGTGGGATAATGTCAAAATTGTACCTGACAGTATCCAATCGTTGATATTGCAGCTCGAGCTACTGGATCCAATCCACTCAGAGATGGAGAATCAATTTCCTGGGATCCAGACTCTGCTATCTACAGATAGACTGATGATGTTGAGCTTCGAGCATTCACGGAGAGCCATGCGGACCCTTGAACGCTTGGTCGACGACCTCCATCACCAAATATCTTCAACTAAACGGCTCAGAAAGGGCATCGCTAAAGTCAAGGTCACCCCCAAGAAAGAATTGATCCGCACCTCGCTGGGACGGACATTACTCCACGTGAGGAGACATCTAACACTGTGAGATGAAACTAATTGTGTTCAGTACGCATCGCTTGAAGGACACTTCGAAATGCTCCAGGGATTGTGCGAACTTGGGCTAGTCGTTCACGAGACTGATAATGCGGGTAAAATCCCCCTAGATTATCTTACTCGTTATCGAACAGACCCAAGCAAGGCACTGGACATCTACTGATAAATGTTTTCATCGAACAGCGCTTGATGAAGTTGTACAAAACGATTTCCTCCCAAGTTCCATATCTTCTATGCAAAGCGGCCTTTACAAGTTCACTTGGAGAAGCAGAGAGCTAATTGATCTTATATTACCCATTATCACCCAAATTTCTACCAGTTACCAGACAGCCATCGCTGCAAATCCATCACCTGGGAGTTCAGCGGTCCAGGAGTTCTTGTCAAGATTCTGAAACATGACAATGTTGTCTCGCCAACGATGTTTCTTGCTTAAATCCACGGTAGCTCTCAAAGCTCCTCTCACGAGCTTCCCAAGCGTTACTTTCAGGAATACCTCGATTGACTCGATTCTAGCGGCAACTTCACGGATAATCACGGCTTTTCTTCTTGGCGTGAACTCTTGAAGTGTATGTGATTAGGTGTCGAGTAGAAATGTCTGTTTGAAGACATATGCCGAAGGGAATATTGCATTTGGGATTACAGAAGTGATGATAATCCTCTATTCGCCAGCGTACGAGGAATCCAGTGTGATGCAGGGCTGCCACGAAAGCGTTCAGTCTTCCGAAATGCCGTCCTTTGACTCTCAACGGCCACAGTGGTAGGGCTTGATGTAGGGTGTAGACTCATTCACCATCTGTATGGTTGGTCCGGTAAGTGCTATCGATGTTGAGTGCTACATATATGAATAGAATGCCCAGAGATGGGAAATCTGCTCGCGAGTCGCGACCACTCAGAGCTGCTAAGCAATTGTGGCGCTGGCGAGAATGCCTCGGTCAGATCGTCGGAGTTGTGGCACTGACCCTCGGGCGGGTATAGAAATTCTGATGTCAATAGAGACACATACCATTGTTACAATCAGATCGCAGTTATACAACATCACCCCAACATAGTCACTGTACCATCCTATTACTTTGCTTTCATTTCGACGTCAGGCCCCAAAGATCGCTCCTGGGATGGAGATCACGATGACCGGGACAATCGGGCACGATAGAGACGGAACTGAAACGCTTGAGAAGCGGCCGAGTTTTGTGTGGTGCCAGCATGTTCTTGGTTCCGCCCTGAAAACCATGCGTCATCTCGACATACAGCCTGATTTCTCGCATCTACCATTCTAGTCTATGTGGATAGTGTTCGGTCGACACCGTTGCAGAAGAGCCACAATCTCCATTACTATTATGGACTTGTCTCTCCGTGTCGACCAACTCAATGACCGAATCACTGTCTTTTGGCATATCAGCAACAGTGGTGGTGATAGTCATGGTGATGCTTTTGGACTGCGTGATGTGACTGCTCGGATGGCGGGTTGACTTTGTCCTGGCGTGTGAACCCGTATGCGGATAAAGTTGCGAGCTTTCCGTAATACTGCTGCCCAAGATACCAGGCGCAACTCGTCTTAAAAGGAGCTGTATTGCGGGCATACAGGCGCAGATAATGCCAATGTCGACTTCAAGCGTCGACATATAGCTGATGCCAGTATAGTCCCCTACTGATCAGTTAAGCTTCCCTCTTCGTGCTTGTTTGGGATTGTGGGCATATCATTGTGACTCACGTGTGAAATTCCAAGTCTTGCGGAACCTTACAAGACTCGTTAGGCGTGCCACACTGGTCAAGGTCACACTATTGACAGAACATATGTCAGACTGGAGGTTGTTCGCAGAGAATCCTTGGCGGGGCAGCACAATAGAAGGGGGGGGGGGGGGGGGGAACGTACCACAACCCAACGCTAAACATGGCAACGACTTGGGCCTTTTTCTTGCGGGACATGGTCAGCTTGAGGAGGTGAGGAATGGGCAATAAGATGACGAAGATATCGAGTAAGATATTCAAGATACCCGAAATCCAGGCTTGAATGTAGATATTGAGACAGTGGCCCTCCGTTGCACCGCTCCAACCAGTCCAAGTATAAGATATTGGTGTACATTGGAAGATATCAGTAGGAGCCATAGAGCAGAAATAGGCTATGCAAAGCCCCATCGCTACATATGTCATTCTCTTAAACATTGGGTCTCTGAATATTCGGAGATAAAATATGAGGATTGAGACTTTTGTCAAAGACACGTTAAGTTCGTAAAGTGGCTGTCTCGCATAGAACCACTATGTATTAGGGATTAGCAAATGAAATCAGCCAAATGGTTCGGTATTGCCTACCATCATGATGTGGTCGATATTATCGGGTGAAATTGTGAATACGTCTTTTCCAAATCCGAACTTCGTGACTATTATCTCGTAAGCCACTAAGTGTCAAAAAAGGATCGACTCAGACTGACGTAGGTAAGTGGTGGTTAACTCAAATAGCATAGCGATCTATTTACCTATCAGTCAAGAAGACCAAGCGGGACAAGATATAATTGGCATAGATACCGTGACAGCCGCGATTAAGCCATCATCCCAACCGAATGTGGTCTTATACGGCAACATGCGTGTCATCATTCGGAGGAGGACAAATATAAAGGCGATACCGCCGAAGAGGCCAGCAATAATGTTGACTGTCATCGATTGATCACTAAGTGGAATATCGCAGTAGACTGCAGTCGAGTTCAAAGAGACTATGTACCGGTGACTGGGTCAGCATGTCAAGGCCGAATGGAGAAAGGCTGCACTCTCTACCAAAGGTCTGTTTCACACTGCAACTGCTGCCAGCACATGAAGCGACGCCGTTCATGAGAGTGTCACCGTTTTTGCAGAGACAATTCTTGTCGGTTATGGAGCATGACAGCTGCTCGGTCAGCAGTGAAGAGCAGCTGAGCTGTTTAGAATCGATCAGTGTGAACTTGATTAGGGAGGTTCCGCAAGTCACATACAGCACAGTCCGGTAACTGACTCATCAAATCTTGCCCTTGTGCTACCAATGCTAGGGTGATTAACATCAATAGAGCGAAATGAAAATCCATGGCTGAATGAAATAAGACCATGGTTCGCAGTTGATTGGAGGGATCAAGGACAAGTTCATAGTTAAGTGCACACCAACCAAGAGTCGATAGCGAGTTAAGCCTACTCGAGCGGCAGGATAGTGATCGAACGTGAGTTGTTGCTCATGTTGGGTCTGGCAGATATACCCATTTTCTCGTTCTAGTCGGAGTGCATGCCCCTCAAATTAAGGGGGAGCAATAAATGAAATTCGGAGGCGGAGACGGAAAGCCGGAATGTAGGTTACGGAACACTTTCTCATGTACATAGGTGAGTAGGGTTGATGTTTCTGGCTGAAGATTGTGTAAATAGCGTGAACTTTCTCCGAGCATTCTCCCCCAGTCTTGCGCTAGGAGGTGTGCTAACGACAAGCCTTGCTGCACCGTGTGGGTTCTTCCAGCTGGGCTTCGTAAACTTCGAGACTTCCCAAGTCCTCGACGCGCAGGATGGAAAATACTCGACTAAACCAAGACAATAGTTCCTCGACAATTCTTCCAACAATTGATGTCACTATTTCCAGGTTGCCAAGGGTATAACTGATGGAGCCATCGGTGTAAGCTTGCGCCCTTGAAGGCCTAGAAGGAACAGAGTACGTCGACTCGAATTGCAAAGATAACAGCTCCACGGACCACGACGTGAGCCAGTGCATTTGGTGGATCGCCTAGCAAGTCGATCGATCGCTGAAGCAGCCATCTTTGGCACCCTGCATCGACTAGACTTGATCATCGTTAGCTGGTACAGTTGTACTATTAGATGGTCCGCCTTGGCCTTAGTTCTATGGGCGACAGCTTTTTGGAGGTTTCGCCCAGGAGAAGTTTGTGTAAGCTGGATGAGCACTGCTTACTTTGGACATTGGTCCCCTAGCCTCATTAGAGGCTTGGCATCTTCGATGAGATTGTTGATTCTTCAAGGAGAGAATACGAGAATGCTACAGAGTACGGAGCATGTACTGTAGTTCAAATAAGCGAGATGGAGAATCCCCCACTCGAGAGCGTCCCTCGTCACGGGTGCTCCATGCAACACGTGCGGAGTGCGGAAAGATAATACTAGCGGGTGCCTAGCTGCAGCCCTGCGTGACGGGTATGCGGATCGGTACCCGTATAGCAGAGCTGGGGCCAAAGCTGATCACGTGTTGGTGATTGGCGATGCCGCCTATCTGTAGGACGCTCGGGCCTCGTCCAACAGTACCCGTATGTATCCGTACTCCGTATATGATATGGCAGAGCCGTCAGGTGACCCCCATGAGTTCCCAGAGCTTTTGCTTTGCTTAATATAAATGCCAAGCCATTTCTTGGCACTGGCTGAGCCTCCTCCCTCTGGAGCGCCTCCCTCCCGTGACACTCGAGGACCTACATACGGAGTCATTAGGGAGGGGTGGATTTGGAGGCCTCCGGAAACCAAGAATGTGAACTCTCCATGCAAAACGGCGGCCTGCGACTCCGATGCTGGATCGGTGGCTGTTTCCACACACAAATACACTCATTCAGCTACGCTCCTCGGCCAAGCGATTGGGTCTTTCTCTTGGGAATTGCTCCTGAAGAATTTGCGGGCCCGCCGACCATTCTCGAGGAGTCGACAAAATCAATGCGTATGCCTGGAGGACGGGTGTTAGATTAGATGAAATACACCTGCTCACCTGCTCTTCCATGACAACAACGTCGAAGGTGGCATTCTCTATAGCATTCTGTTTCCAGTTCAGTAAACCTAGGGTAGAGGGAACCATATATTATTTAATGTAGCTAGGATTGCCTAAAAGTGACAACCTTCCACGAATTCGCGCTGCGTGGTTCAGTCAAGAAGGGCCGCTTATAGATAGCATCAAATCGAACTAGTTACCGAAATGCCACAGGTTTGATAACCAGGCTTCAATGATGGGAAAGGGAGCAGCGATGCTAAGTTTGTGGGCTACAGGATAAAGGGGTCTCGGTCGGCTCGGCTTCCTGATACGCTATCCGGTCACGTGATACTCACGTGCCCGCGAAGTCTTGGTCAGAAGTAGGCGCGATTGTAGGGGTCGGTGCTTGCCACTTTTGGACGTTGGTCCGCCGCGGCGTCGCCCCCAGATTTTTGTTCAACAACTTGAACGTCCCCCAAGACAATTACTTTCTACCGAATTCTTTGTACAGACTAAACCTCTTCTTGCTCTTCAAGACCCGTCCATTAACACGTCTCTGCCACAACACTTGAGACTCCCAACCGGCTCACCCTCTATGCTTCCTCAACTATAATTGTTGGCTGGCTCCAACCCTCCTCTCCGCGTCCCGTACAACTAGGCACCCTCCATGCCTCGGTGACACCCGAACCACACCCTCCCTAATCCACGATGGGCCCTATAGAACTAAACAAGCGTCGCATCTTCTTTCTGCTGGGCGGCGTCATTGCCTTTTACATCGTCTTCCATGGCTTAACCTTCGGTGGAGAGAGCATCCGAGACGTCGCCGCCCATATCCCCATCCCGGGCCACTTGACACCCACCGAACACAAACCGCCAGTAGACCAGGATTCAGACGATATCTGGGATTTGGGCCCCGATCTTGTCCCCATTGTATCACCTACTCCTAGTTCAAATCCTGCTGACGGTGTCGGCTCCGACAAGGCCGCCTCTTCTGCCCCCGCTGTCCCTCCAATTAATCCCGTATCACCCAATACCCACTTCGATCTACATCCAATTGCCCAGTTGATGCAAGAAGCTGATAAGCAATGGAGAACTTATGAATCTGGAGTGTCGACTACTTTTAGACAAACCGTTGAGAAATATCGCAGTAAATATGGGAGACACCCTCCTCCAGGCTTCAAGGATTGGTACAAGTTCGCCCGCAAGAGAAATGTCTTCAACATTGACGACTTCGAACAAATAATGGACGATCTCAGGCCTTTCTGGTCCGTCAAACCCTCTGAGATCCGTACTCACGCTGCTCATATGTGGGAGAATCCGAATTTCGGTGTTGCAGGCATTCATATTCGCAAAGGCAAGGTTGTCCGGATCGACAATGGAAGCTGGAGATCAGATACAATGGCTAAAGTCATTGAGAAGTTTGTCGAATACTTACCTGACATGGACATAGCCATGAACAGGCTGGATCAACCACGCTTGATTGTTCCCTGGGAGGATATGCAACAAATGCTGAGCAAAGAGTACAAGTCACGAGCCATGCACCCGGAAGTCTTGAATAGCTTTACACCAAACCTTCCAGATCTACTTGACATGACGATCGAGGACAAGGACTTAGACAATTCGACCAGGCTCAGTGAAGACTGGTTCTTCCGTCCAGGGAAACAATACATGGAGATCGCCTCAAAAGCATGTCCTCCCGAATCTCCTGCCCGGTCAAACATGTCCCTTGCTCAAGCAGACCGATTGTATAAAGAACCATCTGCCGGATTAGTCACGAACTTCAATCTTTCCTCAGATCTATGCACCATCGGCCCAACAATCCAGGACAAGCATGGCTTGCTCTTTTCTGCCAGCAGCATTATCGCTTCCCATAAACTGGTTCCTATCTTTGGTGAGTGTAAGGTCAACGTCAATAACGACATTCTTTTCCCGGCCAACATGTACTATCTCCACGATGTTCGATACGACTACAACGCTGAGGAGGATCTCGATTGGAGAGATAAGGCAGACAATATCATCTGGCGTGGTGTCACCTCAGGTGGGGTCCAGACTGATGATAATTGGGCCCGCATGCACAGGCAGCGCCTGGTTCAGCTCTTCAATGGTACACATGTCAAAGAGACCGATACTCGAGCTAAGATTCTCACCCAAAAGAAATTCGAGGTGCCTCAGCAAAACACGACTTATGAGACTTTTGACCAATTCCAACCGGCCCAATTTGCCGACCGACATGGAGATATTGGCTTTGTCGAGTCTTGGGGCTGTGTCCCTAACTGCAGTTTCTATGACACCGTCTTCTCTTGGAAACCACAGGTATCCCTAACTTCGCAATTCAGGTCCAAATACTTGATCGACGTGGATGGTCATTCCTTCTCAGGTCGCTGGCATGCTTTCCTGCAGAGCAAAAGCCTTGGCTTCAAAGCCACAATCTTCCGTGAATGGCACGATAGTCGACTTTTCGCTTGGCGACACTTTGTTCCCGTCGACAATCGTTATGATGATCTGTACGCGTTGATGACATATTTTGTTGGTTACGGAAAACCAAACATGGAGCATGCCCTAGAGGAACAAGATCTCAATCCTCAGGTCTACATAGCGCCTCATGCTAAAGAAGCACAAACACTTGCCAAACAGGGTCGCGAATGGTCAAACAAATCGTTGAGAAGGGAGGATATTGAAGTCTACATGTTTAGACTGCTCCTCGAATACGGTCGGCTCATCGACAACAATCGTGACTATATTGGATATTCCGGTGATGGCAGCGAGCTAGATAAGTTTGATGCTAGTGAAGGGAAGGAAGGACTCTGGGGTATCGCTGGCTGGTAGAGGATAACACATCATGGATAATCGTCAGCAATGTGTTGTTTGCTGAAGCTACCTTCAACGCCATGTGAAATGGAGATGATGTTTCAAAGCACCCTATTGTCAAATGTGCTGAAAGATACCGTCCCCGTGCGCATATTCAACTCGGAAGCATCATCGAACGCGCAAAAAGATATCTGAGATTTCAATCCTATGTGGATAGGACCCTCGAAGCGATTGACTGTTGGGACCGATCACTAATCCAAGCCAGGCTATGGCCAACCCAGAGCCTCGTCACTGGACAAGGTGATTGGAGTGAAGGGGGCATGAAATGCACTGTGAAACATATGCCTTCCTTGATGGCAGAAAGGGGTGGCTTTTGTACAGCAGACCTGGACGAACAAATGTACTGTTTTCAACGGGGTGGAAACGACACAGACTTGTGTCGACGGGCCCAAAACGAGTGGAACATGGTTGGACGATCGGTAGAATCCAAATCATAAACTGGCCCGATCTCTTTTTGTCCATTTCCCAATCTACATAGATACCCATGTATTCATACCACGTTCAAACAACCATACCTTTTGCTCTCCACTCGGAGTCATCATCACCTAGTCCCCATCTTCTTCTTCAACCTCTTCTCGGCCCTCGCATCCTTCTTCAACCTAGCATCCACAATCTTATATCTGCCCTTGACGCCCCTCGGCCGTCCGGCGATCCCCTTATTCCCACCCCTGGCAACTACAACCTTCACCTTCTCCTTTTGCTTGCCTCCCTTCTTCGCCGCCCGCGCCATCATGCGCGCAATCCCGCTTGCCTTATCCTTCTCACTCACGCCCTCATCCTCAAGCAACAGCGCGGACTTCTTCCTCAGCTTCTCGAGTCTTTGCGCCGCCTTGAACTTCTTGCGTCCTTTCGCTTCCCGGACTTTCTTGATCGGTCGGGCGTTCAACGCACGAAGCTTTTCTTTGATGGCCGCGGCGGCCGCGGCTGTTATGGGCCGGTGCGGCTTGGAGTGCGAACCTTCGTCGTCCACGAACCATTCCGGCAGGCCGTCCACGTCCCGGAACGTGTACTTGTTGAAGCTGTCGTCGATGAGGTCGGTGGGGCGGGTTTGCCGCGAGGCGAGCGATTGTGCCAGTGTCATGGCCTCGGCCGTGATGATGTCGATGTCCAGGTGCCCCGAAGGGAGGAGGGGGTCTTCGGGCCGTGCTGGTGTGGTGTTGCCTGCAGAGGGGTCTGTTTGGGATTTAGACGGTGCTGGTTCGGACTCGGGGTCGCTCTCGGACTCGTAGACATTGGGTTTGGATTTGGATTTCTTGGTGAGTCTGGGAAGTTGGGACTGTTGTGTGCCGGTGGAGGTGCTTGATTTCTTAAGAGCCGATTTGAGGGGTTTGCCGTCGGCGGTGGTGGTGATGGCACTGGTGGGTTGAGCGGCGCTCTTCTCCGGCGCAGATTTTGCTTGTGTCTGGTCTGATGACTCGTCGTCCAGTTCAATTGCGCTGTCCTTGTCGTCGTCATCCTCAATCCCGAGGTCTTGAAAGATGTCTTGGTCGAAGAACATAGCTGCCTTGGTTGAGAGTCCTTCACTCTTCGGAAGGTCAGCCATGGTGTAATATCCATCTTCGTTGTCATAATTGGACTCTGCATCAGTGGCATCGCCGCCTTTATCTTGGTCCTCTTCGTCTGACAATCCACCCCATTCATCCGTCTCCTTTTCCTTCCTTGCCTTTTTGGCGCGGGCTTTAGCGTCGGCTTCCTCTCTACGCTGTTGATACGACTCGTACATAGAGTCGAGTTGTCTCTCAAGCTGGTCAGCCTCGTCATCGGAGTCGGCTCCATTGTCTGTTTCGTCATCCGACGGTTCAGACTCGAGATTCTCCACATCCTCCATCCTGCCCGTCGTGATCCTCGTCGCATCTGCGGCTCTATCGGCGGCTTTGATATTGAACATCGACCCTTCGCCATTGGGACCCTGCTGTTCTAAACCAATATCATGTGGTGTCGTCATGTGCATCTGCATCCTGATGGTTTCTTTGCGTTTCTTCTCGTTGTCTTTCCGTCGGTCCTTCCTCCTCGCCTTTGACTCTTGCTCCCGAAGTCTTTGGAGTTCTTCCTGGATTTTGAGTTCCTCGTCCATAGGCTCCACTTCTGCGACTTCTTCTCCTTGCCATTCGGCTTCCTCAGCTTGATCCTCTTTCTTTGCTTTGCTTGACATGCCGAAAATGTCACGTACTTTCAAACGCCACCGCAGAAGTGTTCGGAATTCTTTCTTGCCCAACACTTTTAGATCCTCACAACATTTACGGATTTCCACTGTGGTTTCGGGTAATCTGTCCAAGGTCGCTAAGGCGAGGTCGCCATTGTCCTTCTGCTCGAAACTCAGCTTATTCACTGTTCCCAAGATGGCAATCGGATCCGTGGTGTGGATGAATTCGCTGACGGCAATTTCTTTATGCTGCGTGTATTCCCCTTCTTCGTACCCTTCTCGCTTCCTCTTCTTTTTTTCCGGGTTGAATACTTTTGCTTCGTTGTTCGGCGTTGGCGCCAGCACTTCGGCAAACACGTGTTTTGGGTCGAGGAATTTAGGATCCAGTCTCTTTGGGGCTTTGTAGCCTCTGCAGACGACAAAGATTTCCGCCGAGACATTTCTGGAAGAAGGTGGTTTTGTTGCTTCCACGGATGTAAATAACTGCTTGAACACCCAAAGGAGGGCGTTGTAGTCCTTGGACCGGAAAACCTTTGTGACGAATGTTCCTCCCTCTTTCAAGAATTCTGTAGCCAATTTCATAGACTGTAGGACGAGCTCGGCTTGTGAGAACGCATCCTGCACCCAGGCCACACCGACATTGGGTGCACCATCGTGAAGGACGGTATCAGCTTTCAAGTGTTTGATGTGCTGTCTGATTGTGGCTCGGCATTTATCGGTCGTGATGTCGCTCTGGAAGGAAATAACCCTCGGTATCGGCTTGATGGGCGCTAAGTCAACGCCGATGATCAAACTGCTTGGTGGCATTGTCTCTGCTGCAACCTGACACCATGAACCTGGAGCAGCGCAGAGATCCAGCACGACCCGACTCTTCTCGAGGAAACCATATTTCTTATTCAATTGGATTAGCTTGAAGGCGGCTCGGGCTCGGTATCCTTTCTCCTTCGCGAGTTTATACCATTTATCTATGAGAAGTCAGTCAATTGATTAGGTATGATTCCTTGGAGGGAAACGACGTCGTGGCGGGGAAGCACTACGTACCTAGACGGCCTTTACCATGTTTCTTCTGAATCGCCATAGTTGGCAGAAAAGACTAGTACGCCTCAATTCCTCGGCAGAATAACTCAAAGGGTGCACCAAGTAGACCAACTGGGGACATTCTCTTCAGTGCCAAAAGACCCGAGAAAAGTTGAAGCCGTTTGGAGAAAATTCATGCCAAGATTTCGGTTCGGTTAAACTACGGGAGAAGGACGAGGCCACGCCGCCCTGAGTTCATTCCCGCCAAGGCGCTATCCCTTAAGGTCGTGTGATTCTATACTCGTAATTAGTTAAAGTCGGTTAAGCGTCTCCCTAAGTTCATTAAGAGAATGGCCGCTTTATAGCCGACCTCGAAAAGGAGATCGCGCCTGACTATATGATCACCTTCCCTCAAAGACTGGGGAGTAGATCAGCAATATTGGGATATGTGAGATGGAACCGCTGACACAAATCACCTCCTCCAGAATATCGGAACACCTGGATTACAAATGTCGTGGGCTCTTATCGGGCCATCAACGCCTTTCTACCCACCCTCCGGTTTCGACAAACAAACCCAGATCACTCTCCCTGGGCACCTCGTCCTGACCCCCTTGTGAGATGCCTTCAGTACTTCAGGCTCTACTCTTCTCGCCCGCATGGATATCGACATCATCCAACAAAGCCTCATTCCTCTTTGCGGCCTCAATTCTCTTTCTCTTAAGCCTGCGCGTCTCCACATCAACGCGGTAAGTGAACCGCCAAGTAATTATGTTCATGATGATCGCCATACCAATGAACCCCATTGCAATTCCAAAGGAGGTGGCATACTTGGGTGCAAATCTTGAATTGAAGAGATGGGCACCGATTGCGCCACCAATCTGCCCGTAGCTGTTGGCGAAGGAAATGGCAAATGCGGATCCTGTGGCACCTTCGGTGGTCTGGACTCGCCAGGGCCACATCATCGTATACCTAGAGTCAATCATCAATCAAACACGTCTTTGACGTGGTAATAGACGGTGATCATAGAAAGCTTACCAAGCTGTTGATAGTCCTCCCGCAAGAATAGTGGCAGCATACACACCGCCAGTGTTTGGGAATGTGTAGAGGACGACATAACATGCTTCAATGACAATCATGAAACCCAGTGGGATTAGAGGCTGTGGAATTCGACCCGTGTTGGCAAATATGCCGAAAATGATGGTGAACGCCACTGCGAAGAAAGCCGAAGGAATGTTCAGGAGTTGAGCTTGGCCGATCGACCTGGGCTCATTAGCCTCTCAACAGTGCATGTTCCCATTGACACTCACGTGAATCCCAGGTTCGCGATCACAGTGGGCTGGTAGAACGACAAGCCGGTTGTGCCAATGGTATAGAACGCCCAGCACAGTAGGAATAGCCAGAGTTTTTTGTCTTTCAGAGTAGCAAGAAATTCCTGCCAGTTGAAGTCATCTTCAGAGGATCTAGGTGCGTTTATTGGTAGCCTAGCTGTGATAAATGCTTTTTCCTTGTCACTTAACCAGGATGCTGTGGCGGCAACTAGCATTAATGTCAGTGGCGAGCCAGAAAGCAGTCATGACGGAAATCCACAAATAACCTACAGTCTGGTAGGAATAGAAGCACTGCAATCCCCAAGAGGATGGTGAATATCCCCTCGCTCAGGATAAGCCTGTCCAACATCATCAGTTTATTGTAGCAAACTGTGCACGAGAATTGCGTTATATTACCATTTCCATCCAGATAAGCCCCCTGCAGTAACTCCATTGAACGCAAATGCCAGAACACCGCTTATCACGGTACTGAAGTTGCCTAGAAGCGTTACAAGCACGATTCGTGGGGCCAATTCATCAGGCCTATACCAATAACACAAGTGCAGCATTGTACCAGGCCACAGTCCAGCTTCCAGGAGACCCAGGAATGCTCGAACCACGTAGAGACCCTGGCGATTCTTCAGTGCCGCGTGGCAACAAAGCACTATGCCCCAGGATATCTGAGCCTGGTTAACTAGATAGGGGGTTAGAGGGATCGATGAAGAACTTTTACCATTATTCGAGCCTGGAATCTGGATGGACTCATCCATTTAACGATAAGGTTGGAAGGCGCTTCTGCCAGGATGTATGGGATCTATATCCTTATTGGCTTTGATCAAGTGCACAACTAACGACGCCCACCACTGAATATCATTCAACGAGTGTTGCACTTACATAGTATGATGTAACGACCCAATTGTATTGGTTGGCCGTCATGCTTAGTTCTGTCATGATGTTTCTTGGTGTTCCCATATCCATGATTCGTGCGTTGGAGACCTTTCATACTATTTAGCACTATTGATAGATCGTCCAAACACCAAAGTAGCGGTAAGTTTTGGTAGAGACATTTGACCTACATTGATGGCATCGACGCTTTTAACCATGTACATAATCGATAGAAGTGGGATAAGATGCCAGTCAATACGCCTGAGCAGCTTCTTTTCTTCCACACTACTCAACACAGCTCGAGCACGCATAAGAGCGGCATCGTAGCCGACAATCTGGCGTTTCTCATCCTCCTGGGCTGGCAATAGTTCATCCTTACGGGCCGCAAAGTGAAGTTCCTCTGATGAACTCTCTGAGGGGAACTCAACGACAGGAGAGATGCGACTCTTCTCTGGGTCTTTGCCGTTCGATCCCAGCCCTGCACCCTCAGGCTTCGACGCTACTGGCGTAGAACTCATGGTCGCATGAATACAGATAGGCACTCGAAGAACAAGGCCAGAGAGAGTGCTGGAAACTAAATACACTCCTGTTCCGAAGCAAGAACATTGCGTCGTTAAGAATCAGGAGTTAGCTTCTTCCTATTTATCAGAAGATACAGGCGACGGAGTTGTCCTCGTTTCTCAAACATCTTATCGGCATATACTTGTCAGTATATCTATCGCTTGAATTCGAGCCAACTATTGGTGTAGTCTGTTGATCGGCGTGCAAGGTGACTAGATGCTGATTGGTTCAGAATGCATTCGAGAGAAAGAATCCTGGAGTGTGGTGAGTTGGGCTTTTGATAGCGAATTTGAAGTTTGCAGATAGCCGAGGCTAGACACTCCATCACTGCCATTTAGAAAACGCAATGTGATTTCCAATTGTTGGCAGTTGCAATGCCTTTTGTCCCTGAATCTAAAGGATCAGCTAGACTCGCGACAATGGCCCCTGTTCCTTAAGCTTAAGGCAAGTCTCAAATTTCGTGTCAATGTATCGTTGCGTGATTCGTAGATGCACTTGGAGAAATTTAATTACCGTTCCAAGGGAATTGGCCATTTCCCAATACTGGTGTTGATGTGAGGCCAAGCATTTGAGCAAGCGAAACCATTCATTACTTTCTGATAAGGAATAATGCCAAGAAGATGTAGTTCACACATGATGCAGCATAGACTCGATAAATCCTGCGAGCTACATCTTAAGAGTGGAGAGAGATAGCAAGGATAGTTGACGGAGTCGGCCACTTCAGAAGTGGCCAGCATCATTTGTGCTTGTTCCGACACCCGTGCGATAGCTTCACAGCTTTATCTTTCTTTCCAAACTTGACTTCTCGTAGTGGTGAAGCTCGTTGAATTATACGTCAGGTGCTATTGATTTTTGCTAAGTATGACCTGGGTGTGTAAAACACAATTGCTTGCGATATGCCGCAATACCTGATATTCTGATACGAAGACGAAACTAGTGGACAAATGTAATGAATGGACATGGGCAAATCGACTCCAGTAATCGTCATCGGGCGTTCAGCATGCGGCGATACCATTGTCAGCATACCGCGAAACGGCACTAGGCCAGATAAAAACCTGGAGATGGCTCTCGTGCAGCAGCGCGACTGTGTTCAAAACAGTGAACAAAAAGTTTCATCCCAGTGGACGGAGAGTCTTGGACCTCCTTTTCTGATAGCCTTGCGCAACAACCTTATGCTTGGCATATCCCGGCCGGAGCAATGGTGGGGCCTCTCGGACACGTCCAGCCACTAAGGACAGTCGTGCTACGAGATATTATGGCACAAAGCCAAAGGGTGGCCACGCACAAGTTCTTTAGGGTTTACGAAACTCTATACCCCGTACGCTGAGCCATCGCGAGGCCCAAGGCACATCCTCGAAATCGAAGTGTAGGGATGCTGGGCGTCATTCATGGGCTATGCGAACTCAGCTGAGGCAGTACTCTGGGAAATCAATTGAAGCCCCCACTGGCTTGCGATGAATGCCAATCCCTGGAGAAATGAAGTACCTAGTTAGCTAGGCATTGTCATTAGAAGCCCTGTATCCCATCGCAAAGATCGTCACGGTTTTGTCAGAGTACTCAGGGCGAGTGGTTATGCAGATCTCGACAAAAAGAATGGTGCCTGGGCACCCGAAGGTGCGGTTGACGGACCGACCAGCATCTTTGGAGGATGCCATGCTTTTCCAGTTGATACCTCGTATCCATAGGTCCCCATACCTTGACGACCTAAAAGGCATGAGGACCTAAAATTCTCCAACATTTTGCTTCAACGTAAGTAGCCTTTAGCGTTCTGCACGCCTAATCTTCTTGTCCATTATTCTCCATCTAACACAGGGCACACTCACCTAGAACGCAGCATTGCAAAAGCATAGATCGCTGAACTAAGTCTGAACGCTTTGAATCCATTGTTTTAAAAACGCACCAAACGGAACGCACACTTCACCGCAACACCAAGTTCATCCGAAATGGAATTCTGGAATTGGGTTGGGAGATGTGCCAACGCAAATCCTGGCCTTGTCATCTCCCGAATTTTGATATGGGTGGCGTTAACGTTGTAGAGCTTTCATAGTGAGCACCAATGTCAGGAACAGCTGGAGAGGGAGAGATCTGAACTTCTTCGCGAAGCAACGAGATGCCTGCAAACAATCATAGATTTCCAGCAATACCTCGATGACAAACGCCATGCGAAGCAACATCGTGAACAAGCACGACAGAGCGGTCTCAGTCACGGAGCAAACACTGGTATACAATATCGACGTCCTTCATGGGACCTGCAAAGATTGAACAACTTGATCTTGGATTATGAACATGTTAAGAGAGAAATTGCAGCACACGGTGCACATACCGAAAGTCAACTCGGTCAACTTGACCCACGGACTGCCTGGGACCTCACTCGCCCAGAAGTCGAATTGGTAGTCGCTGCAGCACGCAAGGAGCAGGCCTTACAGGAAACGGAGGAAATGAGGACGTGGAGTACAATCCTGCATAGAGCAAAAGAAGCCCACCATCAACTATGAACTCTGCATTGATTGTATTCACATGTTCGAAGACCAAAGACTTTGACGGCCTTTACAGCCTTGAAACTGTACAAATCGCCTTATTCAATATGCAGCAGAAGCGGTCTTCGACAAACTGATACATCCTATCATGGCGGGGGGATGTTAGCCTTGTTTAAATGGAAGAAGGGGATACCCAAGTATGGCCCGTCATCCAGGCGTTCGATTAGCGCTACTTTATTGTAAGGTTCTTGTTTTGAAACCAGTGGAGGCAGGGTAGCCTTTTCAAGTACCAATACTGGAGTGTACAGACATAAATATCTGTAGATAAGCACACAACTGACTCAAGCTCAATGTAGGCTCCTGTGAGCATGATCTCAGGGCAGAAAAGATTTCTGTTGATAGTTGGGGAAAGATGCTGATATTGAGGGGTTCAACAAATACGAGATATTCCACCGCAGAATGGTAAGCTTGGGGATGAGGAAGGCATGCGTACTCTTCAGATCCAGACTCTGTCCATATTTCTTCAGATTGAAGTCTCTGGGCTGCACGCCCTTGGCGAATTTCTCCATTTCAGCTAGCCAAACCTCGCAAAATGGTTTAACAATCTTTAAAAATACTTCCTTGCTAGGTCGCTACATCTTGCGGAAGTACCGGCCATGTCTTGTGATGATCTCTTGGTCATACCTGCACACAAAGCTTGTTTTGTGTAGTCTGCGGGCCAGCAAAGGCTGAAAGACCTTACGCCACCCATCAAGAACAGATACGTTGGATCGACATTGGTCGTGATCCATCGCCTTTCATTCACGAACAAACTTGACGTTATCGCAAAGTTGCTGGGCGCATTTGGTTAGATGCAAGAGTTGATCGAACGCAAGACACTAAAGGGTGGTTCGACCATGGAAAGGATGGTATTTTCGGTGAATCGAGTGAGTTCGCATTTCGGAACCACAAACACAGGCACGTTTTTATTCTTCCACGACAAACATTTGGCTCAATTGGCATCGACCATAAGGCCCAAAGGTGCTCATCTCCAGTCATTTGCTAACACCTAAAGAGAGCTTGCAAGGGGAAGATCTTGCGGTCGCAGCGCAGAGTGATGCTGGTATTGGTGACACAGCCTCGACCTTAAGGCTACCTAAAGTATGTCGCACGGTTCAGCGTCCGCCGAATGGGATTTGGTAATAATACTTCTTGATTGAACACGAAGGTCCTCGATAATTTATCGTCAGTACGGTGCGAGGCTGAGTCAGGCATTGTAACACACCTGTGACTGGGCACAGCGCATTGCTGGGCATGCCTGTGCTATAAATAAGCTAAGCCTAAAGTAGCATGGGCGGGTAATCCTGTCAGCGGCGCATCACAGACACCACGTGATCGCACGTGCAACAAATCTTGGCGCCCGCAGCCCACAATCAGAAATCCATCCATCCTAATCTCGAGGAACCGCAGCCGCGACTTCTCTTCCAGACAATCACGCCTCAAGTTTCGTGCTCGACGACTAGGTGAGCACGGCTTCCCTCCTCTCTCCACACTTTTGCGCCCTCCTGTGATCGAAGAGAGAACGATTCCACAAGATTGTCAGACTAACTTCGCCTATCGCACGCAGTTCGATCTCAAATTTGCCTCGAAACTTTTCGACAAACACTGCAATCATGTCTCACGAGAGCGTCTGGTACTCGCGACCCCGCACATACGGCAAGGGATCTCGATCCTGGTACGTTTTACTTCTGCCTCGCAGCCTGCACATACTGGGTTTCTGGTTGCACTATACAATATTAGAACTTTGGGTAGAGGCATGCACTAGATAGAGCCTAAGAGGAGGACCGCTACAAATATTTCCTATAAAGGCGAAAAGAGCAAAAGCTAACAAGAAAACTCATTCTACAGCCGTGTCTGCACCCATCAAGCTGGTCTGATCCGCAAATATGGCCTCAACATCTGCCGTCAATGCTTCCGTGAAAAGAGCCAGGACATCGGTTTCATCAAGGTATGGCCACATAACTCCAGCCCTTTCCCAATATAACGAAAGCTCGTCGAAAACCCGCCAATGCCGAACATTCGTCTCAAAGGCAAGATATTTGGGATTTGAAAGCTGACACTGTCTTTTCTTTCGCACCATTTAGCACCGGTAAACTGTCAATGCAGCGAAGCGACGTTCAAACGATGAGAGCCGAAGGGGATGAGACCAGTTAGGAAGAGTATGTTTATTTGCAAGGCCAGGGGGACGAAGAACATGCAACGAACAAGCATCGCAAGAAGGGACCGACGTACACATCGCAATGTTGGGAACCGACTCGAGCAGCCATGGGGGCGGGATAGATGTGGTGTTTCTGAGTGGAGGAAATCAGTATCTTCACGCTCTTCGAGCGGTGATCCGAATCGACTCCACCGCCGATGCCAGTCAGTGGTTGATCAAAATCTTCTTTAGACCGGGGGGCTTCGGGCGCAGTTCTTCAGCCAAAAAGAAACACGAATCCCAGGATTTTTCACAACTTTCAAATCAAAAAATTTCTCTTCGCTTCCTATTCCAATTTTCTAGAATGTTGTGAAATTGACACTTGAACAGAGATCAGCCCCAGCTAGAATGATGGTGATAATATCCCACTAAGCACGGGACACAATACGCGGTCGTGTCCATATGGGTTGATGGCCCGGCTGGGATAGACAAGAACTCTGACAGTGATTCAGCGTGTCTGCGCCAGTGCCATGAATGCAAGCCGTGCAACTAACTGGTGTACATGATCGGTGATCAGGGACGTCTACTCCGATGCTATAATACCCAGCCGTAAAATAATGCCAGCCACGGTTTGGAAGATACATGTGATGTAGTCCATCTCAACATCACCGACACAGGATCTCAGAGACAGCCGGTAGCGTATGGCTATTGCCTCTCTCAAGGTGTCTCCCAAACCTCAAATCCTCGTCATCAAGCCAGGGCCTGGTCATCACCGTGAACGCCATTAACGACCGGGACCGCGACCGGCGGCAGGCTGCCGAGCTCACAGATGACCAGATCTAGGAATTGCGCCGGCGTGACATCATACATGAGATTGAGCAGGTACAGGCCTGCTTGGTCCTTCCAGCCCTCGAGACCGTTGCCGCCGGCTGGATTCTTCTCGTCCGAGTCATCTCCCGTGTTGCCGTCGTCTCGATCTTTCGCGCCTCCTACGTGTTTCTTACCGCTGCCTCCTTTACCACCAGAGGAAGCATTTGCAGGGCCGGGAGGAGGTCCAATTGAAGACAAGATTTCAGGCTGGGCGACCTCAACCAGTGCATCTGGATCACCGACTTCATTCATGACGATGCTGTCGAGGGCGGCCTTGGAGGCGAACTTGACAGTTTCACACAGCACGATCACCGGCACGGAACGGGATTTGTTCTTGGAGGACTCCTTGGCCATCATCGCAACCATGGCGGATCCGGAGCGAGAGAACAGCGAGCCGTTTCCTAGCATCGCGCTCGCGCCGAGGAAGCATTTCGTCACGGAGTCTTGGTCGACGACGTCGGCGATGGCGCTGAGAAGAGTGTATCGGACCTTTAGCCCTGCGCGGACAAGGCTTCGCGCGTGGTTCTTACCCTCGAACATGGGTCTAGAGTCGACAACGATCACTTTGAATTGCTTTCCCTGGCGATGTGCCGCGATCAGCGTCTTTTCCACGACGCTGCTCTTTGCATATGTCAGAATAACATCACCGTCCTCGATACGGGCGGTCGCTTCTCGTGCGATGACTTCGTCGGCTAGAGTTATGCGCTCCCGAATAAACATATCAATGGCCTGGCAGAGATCTTGCTTGGCCTCACTGTCGGTCAAGTCGACTGGCTGTGTCGAGATGAGGTTCTTGAGCCATCGGATACTGTTGCCCTGGCTCATGGAAAGAGGTCGTGCGTTGCGGAGATAGGCGATTTGGTGGTTGAGATGGGTAAGAAGATGGCGAGACAAGGCCACGCCAGGGGGAGTGCTATATCCTTGAATGACCTTCTTGAAGGCGAGTAATGTTGCGACACAGCGAGCGTTCCCTCCACATATTACGTAGTCGCGTAGCTGAAGACCCAAAGACAGAACTGCGGGATGGATCTCACGTCCTGCACCCGCCAGACTTGCTTTCTTCTCCTTTGGATAGAGATGACTGAACATGGGGACGCGCTTGGGATCCTTGTGTTTCTCCTTTTCGGGCGCTGCAGACGCCTGAGCCTGTTGCTGCTGCTGTTGCTGAAGCCCTCCGCGGATGGGTAGGCTCTTTCCACTCGAAGACAAAGTTCTCTTATGATGAGAGCCACCGTCACTCTCCCTCTTGGTCGTCGAGGGTCGTCTGTGAGCCTCGGATTTTGATGCCGTGGGTGGAGCCAGAGCTTCGGCACCCTTTTCTGCAACCTTGTCTGCACGCCTGGCCGCCTTCTCGGCCGCCTTCTGTTTCTTTAGTTGTGCGCCGGTCAATTTCACACCAGCACCTGCTTCAGCGATATCCTGAGCGATGGAGCTTCGTGGGGCGGCTTCCGGTCTCGAGTCGGGATTGTTCTTCTTCGAGCCTTGGGGTACTGCAGCAGCAGTCCCATTTGCTCTCTTGGATTGTTCAGATTGAGTGGCTCCATTGATAAGAGATGAGTCGGCGGCTGAGGGCATCTTGAACGCCGCAGCCGTGGGATTGAGGGGAGCGGCTCCAGCACCAGGGCTGGAAGGCTGGGGAACAACCATTGCTGGCTTTGCGTCTGACCAATGTTCGCAGGCAGTGTTCAGCTGTTTATCGCAAGAGGTTGATTGAGTGAGGTTGCTGGGTCTGGCGGTTCTGGTTGAACTGTTATTGAAACTGAGTCATGGCCGCACAGCCAGTCCAAGGGTCTCCAACTTTTGTTCGATGTTCGAGTTGACCAAATCGGAAACTTTGTCATACACACCGTCGCCAAGGCCAGACTACCCGTAAACGAAATAGCGCCGAATCCAAGTTGGATATGAGGGATAGGTCCAGCACTCCGTACTCCCCCGGGGAGAACCGAGATGTTCTTAGTATGAAGCCTCTGCAGAGACATCCTTCAGCATCGCCCGAAAGTTCCAATCTTAGACTTCTCGATACCGTATTTATCTGTGACTGAAAACTATCGAACTGTTAATTATCCGGACTACACGCCTGTTTGATGCTGCCCTTGGCCCTGGCATTGAATACCCAACCTGCAACTCCAGGAAACGCCTTGCTTGCTATCTGAGAACCTACCTTAACCAAACCCTCATTCAGTCATAACTTTTGGTTCGCTTTGGCCTGTGATCGACGGGTTGTGCCTTGTCCTTGGCCGCACCTCCGGCTAAACTGGAACTTCGAGACCAAACATCTCATGGTCGGCCGCCACCTTCTTTTTGAACATTCCCAAGTCTGAGATCAGGGCTTCCATTTCAGCCTGCATCTCAGCCGCTTCATCATCATAGTCCGATTCTGTGTCAAGTTCGTCACTGGAAGCCGTGTCGTCTTCGTAGATCATTTCTGGAGTAGCGACCCTCGATGGAGCCCTCTCATCTGTCATGGATTCCGTCCCGCCCTTGTTGATGACGATAGGATTCTTGAGCTCGTCGAGAACAAGTTTGAGGTGGATGTTCAATGATTCCTTCTCCTCTTCCAATTGCCGAACCTTGGATTCGGAAATGGCAAGCTTTTCTTCCATGATCTGCAACATGTTTTCATATTTCGACGTGAACTCTCGAACCTTTTCAGACTGTGCCTCTGCGCTGTCTTGCACAGCCTTCATCACCGACACACTTCCGTTCTGTTGCTGTTGATTGAGTGTCCACCTCAATGCTCGGATTGTCTCTTGCATCTCTGTAATCTGCGCATCTTTCTCTGCCGACGAAACATGGTCTTGATTGACAATCGCTTGAGTTCGGATTCGTTTGGCTTGGTCAGCATATCTGAGGGTCGAGAGTGTCTCATCGTAGTCCGATGGGGCGATGCAAGCGATCATGGCAGTCTTGGAATTGCCGCCTAGGGAGTCCTTTAAGAGCCAGGTAAGAATCGAGTCTCGGTAAGGTACAATATCGCGGTTCTTTCGATTTGAATTATTCATGCGACCGTTTTTGGGATCTGCAAGTGCTGCGATAACCCTGCCGAGGGTCGTCAAAGACTTGTTGATATTTCCTCCTTCGCGAAGTCGCTGGCCTGTAGCTTCAGTCGCTTTTGCCCTCTCTGAGCCTGCCAAATCCACCAATCGAATACGTGCCAGCCTCTCCGTGGTCTCGTCTGTTCGGTAGTCATGGTGGATCTGCTTGAGCATGATGGTAAAAACAGCATGAGAACGCGAAGACGTGTCATTCATCTTCGTTGCTGCTGTCGTTCTTGAACTGTCACCCATACGCATGTACTTGAGAATCTCGGAATAATTCTTGACCTGAATCTCTGTCAAGTCTTTCACATATGGCCCTTCGATCGGTGACTCTCGGATCTTGAGATATTGTGGAGGATCGGTTCGCGGTTGGAAGAGGTCGCGCACATGTTCGTTGTAGACCTCGAAATACGAGACTCTGACACTATAACTGATGTTTGCACTTTCGTTTGACTCAATGCGCTGGAACAAGTCCTCGCATGTCCGCGGGATTAATCCAGGCTGCTCATCTTTGCCCATCATGGTGTAGCTCTTGCCCGAACCAGTCTGGCCGTAAGCAAAGATACACGTGTGGTAGCCTTCGAAATTATGATCAAGAAACTCTTCGCCCAGGCAGTTGTAGACATCCTCCTGCGTGGCATAGTGCTCGTCTTCTGTATCGTGTGACCAAAACGAATTATCGAACGTGAAAGTCTTGTCTTCCACAACCCTCCTTGAATTCGCCTTGCCATTACTTGAGTCATGGGACGGGGGGGCTAAGAGCTTTGTCGATTGCGTGTCTGGATTCATCTCAATCAGGCACTGGGCATCTTTCTCGATCTCTGAACGGTATTTGATTAGCTTCTGGTTCTGAGAGTGCGCACTCGGGGGGTCTACCTCTGGGCAGAAACCCTCTAACTCGTACCACCACCTTCACGTTTCCACCTGGATTAAGCGTGGATGGTGCCATTGGAACATTGACAGGTGTCTTAGAGCGTAGGGAGGGACTCGAGGCTGAGGAGGCTATAGTGCGGGCGGGTGGCACCATGGCTGTAGCTGGTCGAGAAGACGAATACACTCTGCTAGTAGTGTTGAATATCGATTTTGTAAGGTAATGTTCATGAAAGAATTTCGAGGTGGTGCCCCGTGGTGCCCGTGGTCGCTAAAATCAGGTGGAGGGTTCCGCAGCCGGGGCCGAGTGGACTATTTTGGGTTAAATCCAAACAATGACGTCGATTACGTGATCGTGGTCGGGGAACGTGCACTCACTGAGTGTCACCCACCCTCACCACAATCCAGCTCAACCTTCGAAGTCGTCACGCTTTAGCGCAAAGTTCTGTATGTACGGTGGCTAGTTGTTCTGACTATGGTCAGTAATAGCTGTGTCTAGACTTTCGATTCAAACCTCGTGAATGGAAGGGCTAGTGCAGTGACTCGGCGATGACCAACATCAGATGAATATGGCAATACAGGCGACTCTTTGCCGCAAGCAGATTCAAGCAGGGAGACCCACGAGCGTTGGCTCCTGCACCAGAGGGCGGGATATTCAATGCGGACTTTGAAGGCTTTCATAGATGCAGTGTGATATATTATCACCAGCTGCAAGAATTCGTAGTAGTGAAGGGTAGTGCAGATCGGTTCAATTTTGAATCTTTAGGATTAGAGGCAGTCGGATGAGCATGGAATCATGCCCCTTCTTGATCTGCACACGGACGTCATCTTCTTGTGAATCCGAGATCACACAATCGAGATCTAATGCCTTCCAGCATCTTCTCAAGCACAGCGTGCTTTCGTCTCAAGAGAGACAACCCATGTCATTAAAAATGCTGGTTCGTTGCACCTCTCGCCTCTCAATGCCGGCCCGCGGCCAAACAATAGTAGCAGTGGCCATAATAATATGCTCGACAAAAACCACCGTCCGATCAACACAGGAGCCCTGCTCATCTCCGCGTGCTCTTCAAGTCGCAGGTTCCTTCGCAACTCGTATTTCCAATGTCTGGGTCCAGCTCCTCGATTTTCCGCTTTTGGCTGTGCTGCATTTTACCTCCTTTTAGTTGGGACAATATATCTTGCCCAGAACCTGTTTTCCATATCGGCTGTACTGTCGAGGGGTCAGAATCTCCATTTTCATCCTCATCCTCGGAGCTGGACTCGCGGAACTTGAGGTCCCCGCGCTCATCGCCGTCTTTCTCTTCACTCAAGACCCCCAATCCCAGGTTCATCTCGATGTAATGCTCCGCGTCCTCGGGGACATGGTCGATCCTTCGTTGGTCAATGTCATCCGTTTTGTCTAGCTCGGCATTGGCTCTCTCTAGCCTTGGAAGAAATGCATCTAGTCGAGATTTTAGGTCCGAAGAGTGACCCCTAATTGGCTTTGTGGAGGAGTCTTGATTTTCTCCTGGTGAAGTTGAGCCCTCCGTATCCTGGCCTTTTAGACCCACTTCGTTGTTTGCTTCTGTATCTTTGGAGACATGTTCTTCTTCGGAGTCACCGTCGCTGATGGACGAGCTTCCTGATGATGAGGTTTCATCGTCTTCCACCTTACTCTGAACTCGATCTGAATCCTCTGCTGGAATACCTGCATTTGCTGCACGCTCAGAGCCATCCATTACGGTGGTTTCATCAGTCGACATCGTTAGAAGAAAAATATATCTCAAGGCGAAAACAACAACAACAACAACAACAACTAGAGACGCTATAAAGCCATAAAAAGCGCGAGACTCCTGAGGCGATGAAGTCTTTTGAAAGGGCTCGTCATTCGAAATTATTCATGCATCTTGTTCGTGTGCGCCTGTGTATTGAGAGAACAGGGGTTATGACATTCAATAAAGCGAGATTATAGGTAGATAATGTCTATAACATCTGAATGACTGGCAGTCTACACCCATGCAGAGTGGATCTGCATCTCCCAGTCGGCCAGTGTGTCCACACTAATGATTACAGCCGGAATGCCTCGAGAATGACATGCTCGTAGCCATGGGAGACATCGAGCCGCATTGAAACGCTCTGTTGGGGTCTCTTGGTATTGCTATTGCGACACGCAGGGAATCAGAACCTGATCTGCTATAGAGGGAGAGAGGGAGGAAAAGAAGGAGGCAGTCATGCAGTCGTCTGCTAGGCTTGAGACTTCAGAGCCCATCTTCACGGCTGGATTCCGATCTTAAAGCGGCGTGGTATCCTGTAGTGAGGTCAGGGTGCAAGCGGAGGGGCGATGGCCCCGAACGACGGTTGATGTCCAAAAGCGGCATGGATTCCTGGACCATTTAAACTCTCGCCAAGGGATATTTCGGCACAACCAATAGAAGTTCCTCGACCAACAACAGCACGATCTGAGCGCGTATTTCCAGCCCATATCTCAAATGTCTAACGTTTGTGATGTTTCAGGTTGGCAAGCATCACGAGGAGGTGGGCGCTAAGGTCGTCAACTATGCAAGGAAGATGACGACTACTTGTCCAAGTGGCCGTCCAGGAGGCTCGACGAGGATGGATTTCTGCTACATGCATAGATTTTCAGCACTTCTCCTGCCTAAGCATCTTCGAGAAGTAGGTTTCCTTCCAGCATACTCCCTTGTTAGCTTCTTTTATCTGCGTAGAAGTAATCCAAACATGACAACGACCATGGCTACACCGCCAGCGACAGTGAACTCCAGCATAATGGCAGATACGAAGCCATCTTTACCGCGCCGATCATCCTCACTGCACAAAGCCCTGATCCACAAGCTTCGGCCTCTGCCTTTTCAATATGTCTGGTCTGTCTGGCACTCAAAGCCGGACCAGGATGAGGAATACCGATTGACTTTGTTGATCGACCATGTCGCCGACATCGCCGCCTTTTACCGCATCTTCAACAACATGCCGTGGACCCAGCTCAGGCAAAACGATTGCATTCATATCTTCCGTTCTGGTGTGAAACCAGCCTGGGAAGACAAAGAAAATCGTGATGGAGGGCGTTGGTTGATCAGGATAAGACCAGAAACGGGAAGAGCCGTGAAACTGTGGGAGGAAGTCTGCATCCTATGCTGTGGTGGGGAGCTGCAGGCTGCTATAACTCAGGGTAAGCAGGCCTGCAACAGCGAGTTGTAAGAGGACTGCACTGATAGATAGAGCAGAACACGACCATATCTTGGGAATGTCCATTTCACCCAAACAATACTTCACTCACATCTCCATATGGACGAAGAAAGGCGACAACCTGCGGAGTATTATGATGTTGGAACGGACCATTCTTTCCGGCCTTTCACCAGAATTACGACCGAAGTCGCATATCGAGTTCAGTTATCGTAAGCATTCTGACAAGATGCTTCAAGCAGAACCCGGCTGGGTCGTGGGTGTTTCAATACCATCATCTTGTTCTTCGTTTCCACTAGGGCGTCCCGGTCTCCATCGATCACTAACGACAAGTTGAGGATGAGCCATTGCACGCGACTAGCGTCCAGGCACATAGCGATCAATTTGGACATGATCTCGATCCCGACGAGCAGGACTCCTGTCTCTGTCGCGGCGAACACCTCTGTCTCTCCGATCATCACGCCTGTCGTCACGTCTCTCGTCACGGTGGTCCGCCCTTCTCTCATCCCTTCGATCGTCTCTTCTGTCATCTCGCTTGTCGTCCCTTCGGTCGTCCCTTCGATCATCTCGTCGTTCGTCCCGTTTATCGTCTCTCCGGTCCCTTCGATCGTCTCGACGATCGTCTCTTTTGTCATCACGTCGGGTATCGCCTCTGCTGTCCCGCCGGTCTTCCCGACGATCATCACGACGTCGTGGACTTCGATCGCGGTCTCGGTCTCGGTCTCTTTCCCTGTCCCGATCTCGACTTCTGTCGCGTTCCCGGTCACGATATCTGTCTCTGTCCCGATCTTTGTCGCGTTCTCGATCACGGTCACGGTCACGGTCTGGATCCCTATCGCGATCTTGCCGAGATTCTTCTCGATCCTTGTCCCTACCCTTGTCCCGATCCTTGTCCCCATCGCGACTCTTGTCTGGATCCCCATCTACTCGATGACTGTCATATTTCCTCCTCGAGTCGCCGTCACGATCCCGCTCAGCGTCTCTCGTTCTGCGCCGTTCTCGATCACGTTCTCGTTCCTCTGCTGTGCGGTGCGTACCGCCACCTGGAACGTAGCGATCGATTCCAACTGGTGATGCCGATCGGGGTCTGCGCTCGCGAACTGGTCCTTTTTCTTTGTCTTTGGTTGCGACGGGGGAATCTCGTTGACTTCGAGCTTCGCCTTCTTCACGCTCTTTACTGGGAGTTCGTAGACGCGTTGGTTCGGCCTTTGGTGGGATCTTTGTCTCGGTCTTTGGTGGGATCTTTGTCTCGGTCTTTGGTTGTTCCTGAACAGATACTCGTTTGCTGGGAGATCTGCTTCTTCGGTCAGGGCCACGTTTATAGCTATCCCTCGATCGTTCTCGCTTCCTCGAATGGTGATCGGATCCAGCAATTTTCCGAGAGCTGTGATGTATTTCAGACTTCTCAAAATCGTACTCTCGTCGCTCCTTCGATTTCTCCGCAAGTTTCTTGCCCTCACTCAACAACAGTTCAAGTGCAGTAGCTTCAAGATCCTGTTCGGTTGCAGGGGATTTCTTCTCCTTGCCGTGAGATGGCTCGATGAGAGAGTCTCTCCTATCAGTAGTTCGTTTTCGATCTCGGTCTCGCGACCGGTCACGATCCCGGTCCTTGTCTCTGTCCCGACCACGGGATCGGTCTCGATGGCGGTCTCTTTCACTGTCACGTTCTCTCTCATATCGTGCCTGCCGCTCCTTTCTCTCTTCCTCACGTTTTCGATGTCTTTCATCTCGGGCTTTGATCCTCTCCGCCTCGCGCTCTTCATCCTCCTTGCGCCGCTTTTCACGGGCTAGTCTTCGAGCTTCGACTTCAGCCTCTCGTTTCTTCTTCTCCTCTTCTTCACGTTTCGCCTCTTCCTTCTTACGTTTCCTCTCCTCCTCCATCTTGATCTTCGCTTTCAATTCAGCTGTCTCACGGAGTAGTTGATCCATTCTGGCTCTATTTTTTTCTCGTTCGATGATCCGGTTCTCAGTTTCTTGTCTGTACTGATCGTCCGTCTTGCTACCTTGTGCGTCCTCCTGGGCGGCAAGGTCGTCGCCGATGTCTGCTTTTCGGATGTCTCTAACCGCGTCTAGTACGGTAGACAGATGTTTTGCGATCTCTGTGTCAATCCTTGACTCGACATCCTGGTAAAGTCCACTGCGATCTACAGCGCCCTGAATAAGTGTTGCAGCTTTACCACGTTCGCGACTTAGTAGGTTTGGGTCTTTCTCGATCTCGGCGTCCGCAATGGCGTGGATCTGATCTGTGAGTGCAGTCTTTGCATCGGAGGTATTGTAGGCTGCCCATACTTGCTTACGGAGACTGTCGTAACCGCCTTGTTTTTTGAATTTGAGAAGGAGGGTATCGATGGCGGAGCGCTTTTCCTTTACAAGAGGAAGATCTGAGATTTTGAATCGTTGACGTAAAGAAAAGGGACCAGGGGAGTCGAGGGTCATTGATGAAGGATCACTCATCACAGCGTCGGTAGTCGCCATCTTGAGGGCAGTCTGAGTTGCGACAGTGCGACGGTGTAGAAAGCACCGCCCTCTGATGTGAAGAGGTAGTTAGCTAAAACTGAACGACAAAATGCCGAGTTGAACATTTGAGATTCACGCGGATGAACTGGCTGCGCGTCGCGTGAAGAAGCGCCGCCGTATTGTTAGAGCGGACCATAATCCGACTAGCGCAGCCAGTCGGCGAAATGATTTTCCCTTCCCTTGGCAATAATCACGTCGGCATCGATTCGTCGAAAGTGCAACTCTATCCATCCCATGTCCATGCAAGCTTCAAGCCTTGAGATCCCAGCAATCCCAATCTCCGAACTTGACCACGGCCACGATATAACAACAGTTCATTTTAGAAACTAGGCTCCCGTGTTTCTAGCCGCACTCTCCATTTTCGACGACAGTTTACCCTGAGCTTCAAATTGATTTAATCCCATCCGCTGCGCCGAGGGCGCCGTCCAAATTCTTTTTGTATCAATTTGCACAGAAAAGCAAAGGAAAGCCTCGAAAATAAAAGCAAAGATGGTTCACAAGATTCTATTTTGGGCCGGTTTCGGTATGCTGCAACACCGCCTCTCCCTGCTCTGTGGGGAGATAACAAACAGCTGAACAAAGCTAACACATCTACAACGACAGGCATTGCGACGCGCTTCCTTCAACTCGGCATCGAAATGCGACCGTTCTTTCAACGTGGCGCTCTATGGGTGTACCCACTGTTCGCCGGCGTAGGTGGTTCATTCGGGTACTGGCTAAAGGGGGTGGAAGACCGACAGTTCAAATTGCTACAACAACGAAAAGAAATGCTCATCGAGAAGAGAAGGCGGAGAGCAGAGCGTGAAGCCCAGGCAGATGGTGGTCAAGCTGAGACCGCAGGTATTCTGGCAAGTACGAGCTGAATAGCGAGACTGAGTTGGATGAAGGAGAATGGTCAGCCTTCCAAAGAACGGCAACCCAGGCTGAAGTCATATACAAAATGGGGGAGAACCGGATAGACGTCCTACAGGTCATAGTAGGAGTTTAGACTGGAGCGCTTTTCTCCCTCGGGATCATCGTTACCATCACTGTACAAAGGGCATCGCAACGACTGTACGAAAGAGAAAAGAGAAAGTGCACTACCCATAGCATTAATTTCTGCAAAGGCCAACCCCATCCACTTTCGGTGACCTCTCTGGATTTCGCATACTGACCTCGAGCTCAGCATTGGCCAGACATAGAGCCATGTCCGATTTCCATGTGGGATTCATCCCCATCCCGATCAACTCTGTCTTAAGAGAATGTGTTTGCATGTGTTCACATCACCTTTAACGTCAGTATCAAATTCTCACGAAGGCGGGTCCTCTTCAAACGCCTCGTTCCCTTCTGGCACCGGCATGAGGGCCCTACTGGTCCAGATATGCGTTGCTCCCTTGACCATGCCACCATCAATACCCTCCAAACAGCCCGCCTTGACGGCACAAGCTTTGGCGCCTTCGTGAATATGCATAATTCTAGTCCCGCAGTTCTTGCAAAAGTAGCAGCTCTTGGTGCGACCTTTGGGTGTGATGTGCTTGTAGACGCCGATCTTGTCAGTGTCGTTCCATCCCTGGTCGCTGGTAGACGACGGCTCGAAGACCGGGAAGATCGCAGAGATGCCATAAGAAGATGCACTCTGCCGTCGGCACTCCAGGCAGTGGCACACGTACACCTTCAGCGGTCGAGCGACGGTCGTCGTGAACCGGATCGCGCCGCATTGGCATTGGCCTTCCATAGTTGTATGTCTGAATCGTCCCAAGTGGTTGCCAGAAATGTAAATCAGCTGAGTCCAAGTATTTGTCGGTTCTCTAGTTTGGGTCTGGGGTTGCAGGAAATTAAATGATATCTCTAGAAGTTCCTGATGCTTCGTAGGAGCTGCTGGGTACAGTTCCACACACTACTTCCGAACCCACATATATAATACGTCGGTGCGCGATTATTCGCTGGGCTCGTAGTGAGGAGGTGCGATAACTCAATTGCCGGACTCCGACAATAATGGCGGAGAAATGATCCCACATTCGACGGGGAAATGGCTCCAGACGCCGATTACGATGCTATCTTGCACGACTGGGTAGGGTAGCCAAGAAGGCAGTCCAGGGCTTACTGTGGAAAGAGATACATCTCCGCCAAGAACGGACAGTTGTTTGGTTTTAAGACATGGTCGAATTGAAGTAGAGAGGTATCTGCAAGTCTTTCTAATGCGACTTAACCACAGACCAAAGCTGGCTGGGCTGGCAAATCCTTGAGGCGAAAATTCGCTTCCCTGATCCCGTGTACAGACAAATCCATTATACATTTTGATACAATGCTTGCTTTTTGCTTCTTGACCGGCGTCACACGGTTCTCTTCTTCGTTTCCATGCCTTTCATGGTTGATCAAGAATCTATTCCACAATTCTCGTGATGATACCAGTGGCAACTGTCCGCCCACCTTCTCTGAGGTTGAACCGCTCACCAGGTTCCATCACTGTATTCTTGTGGACTTCCATGATCATCTCAACGTTATCACCAGGCATGACGATTCTCTCGGGATCTTCTCCTTCAGGCCATCCCAGGTTGATAGCCACGCTTGCAGTCTTGATATATCCAACAGGTCGGTATGCCGCTCCAAAGCCACTCTTGCGGCCACCTTCGTCAGCGGTCAACACGTACATGGACACAAGAGCTTTCTTGTGTGCCTTTGCGGTACCAGGGATAACAACACATTGTCCACGCTCGATATCTTCGCGCTTGATACCACGTAGGAGTAACCCCGAGTTGTCACCGGCTCTGGATTCATCACAGTGCTTGTGGAATGTTTCGATATCAGTGACCTTGGTCTTGACCATTGGATGACCACCTCCGATGATCTCGACTTCTGTATCCTTCTTGAGAATTCCGCGGAGGACACGGCCAGATGCTACGGTGCCTCGTCCGGGAATGCCGAAAACTTCCTCAATGGGCATCAAGAAAGGCTTTTCAGTGTCACGCACTGGCTCAGGAACCCAGGTGTCCACAGCTTGTAGTAGTTCATCGATCTTTTCAACGCCAATTTCCGGTCTCTTGCCTTCGAGTGCGCACAGAGCGGAACCGAAGATGATAGGTGTGTCATCGCCTTCGAAGCCATAGTTAGTGAGGACTTCACGCATTTCCATCTCGACAAGTTCTAGCATTTCCGGATCTTCAACCGTATCAACTTTGTTTACAAAGACGACGATCTTCTGGACGCCGACTTGACGTGCCAGTAAGAGATGTTCTCGGGTCTGAGGCCTTCAGATGATATTAGAGCCAGCAAACAATCCCCCGGCGAAGGGGTCTTACATTTGTCCATCGCCTGCAGCAACCACCACCACAGCACCATCCATAAGAGCAGCACCAGTGATCATGTTCTTGATGTAATCGGCGTGACCGGGACAATCAACGTGGGAATAGTGCCGGGTTTTTGTTTCGTATTCGACATGCGCAGACGAAATAGTGATACCACGCTTCCGTTCCTCGGGAGCTTTATCGATGGCTCCATACTCCAGAAATTGTGCCCAGCCCTGCTCTGCTTGTCGCTTTGTGATAGCAGCCGTTAAGGTAGTCTAAATAAATGAGCTTTGGTACTAGACGCGGGTGAGAGCAATTTACCTTGCCATGATCGACATGGCCAATTGTTCCTATACTTGTAAGTGATGAAAGATGAGGATTTCCCAATCCAACTTACCAACATTGACGTGCGGCTTCTCTCGAGAGAATACTGCTGCATACCCTCGGGCACCGAATCTATCATGGCCAAAGACTCTGTTGACGGGGTTAGCACCTCGAGCTGGCGTCGCAATATGCCTTGAGGCGCGCAGAAAGGATGTGAGCGAGCGAGAGAGAACCATGGCGACGCCGGAGGAGGACTCTCTATCCGAAGAGAATGAGACAAAGAAAGACTCGGGAGCTGCAATAATGAGAGGAGAGTAGTGTCACGAGTGATCCGCCAACCAAAAATTAAAATGAGCCGCAGCTGCGAAGATCATGTTATACATTTCGACGCTTCACGTCCCACCGTACAAGCAATAGTCCCAATGCAGTCTAGCGATACTATTGCCAAGCAGGCACGTGAAGACGTGCCTTATCCACTGTCAACGCGTTTTATCGCGGTCGTCTTTTGAGGATGGATATGGAGGACAGGAATCGGACGAGGATGACGCTCATGGCCAGTCCCCAAGAAAACTTCCTTCGTCAGATGTGGCTGAACTCATACAATAGCGTCCCGCATGAGGTTTGTTGTAGAAACGAACAAAAGGATACTGATCTAGTGTTCCTGTTGACCACTGCTTGTCCTCATACGTGCTTGAAACTAATAAGAAGCTGAGTTAATCCCAATTGCAAGACACCTTTCCTGACATAATAATTCCTGTACTCCTGCGGACTAAGCCAGGGTACCAACAACGTTCAAGAAACTTCTTGAATTCCTGACTTCCACTAGCATTATCTAGTACAGAACTTCCACATCAGGCTTTCGTAGATCAGGCCTTCAACACCTTGGCATCTTTCGCCGGAAGTGGCAGGATAGTAGGAGTAAAATCTGCCCCGAGCTCAGGAGCTGCTCACCCTAGCCTCGCCGCTTTTATAAAGGCACGCTCACCCGCTCACCCTCCACCCACCCTTAATCACCCTTCTGCTCACCCATCGGCTCACCCTCTACTCACAACAGCATCCGGCGACTAAGAAGTTACCTTTGTAGCGCCGGACTATACTAATTAAATTGTACGCGTGCCGATGTAGATACAAGAGACTATCTTATCGCTCTACGCCCCGACCTACTATAGCGGACACGGCTAGGATTATTATAACCGTAAGGTACTCGGTTTAGAGGCGGTTGCGGTATAAGTACTATAAAAGGGTTCGGAGAGGCCCTACTCTTCGTTCTTCCCTTTCTATTTCTACTCGTTTAATTACGAATAGATAGATCGATGTCTATTTTCCCTTCTAGTTCTTTATTTTAGAAGCGATAATAAAGCCTATAGTAGCTACTTATAAGGCTCCAGTAGTTACTCATAGCTATAAACGGAGCGAATATCATAAGCAGCGCCAACGGCATGAATTATTTTTGTAAAATCAGCCAACAATGTCGGGTGATGATTGATATGACAGTGGCGTTGGTGCGTGTCAACTCATTTGCCGCTCGAAGTCTAGAAGAAGCCAGGGCCGAGAGGGAAGGCAGGCTCGCCATCTCCCTGGGTGGCATTCTGAGCCTCGGGAGTGACCTTGGGGTTCATGACATTGTCAATGACATGAACAACGCCGTTCTTGATGGGGACATCGTTCCCAAGGACGCGTGCATTCTGGATGAAGTTTCGTCGCTGTTTGTTGATCTTGATGTCCTGGTCTCCCAACGTCTTGAAGGTTGTGCCGTTCTTGAATTCCGAGGAGTAGGTAATCTGATTAGGAATGATGTGGTACTGAAGCACAGCAGCCTGGTCGGCCTTGCTGAGGCCATAGAAGGCTTTCTCAACTTGTCTGAATGCTTCGTCGTTTGGTGCGAAGATGGTGACCTGACCGAGGCTCTCAACTTCATCCAACAGGCCAGCGCGGCCAAGAGCCGCAATGAAGTTGGTGGCGTTTGCTGCTTTGTTGTTCAACTCGTAAGCGACACCACGAGGAAGGTTAAGCACGTCGTCGATAGCATAGATGATGCCCCCCTTGAACTTCATGAATGTAGGGGCTTGGGTGAGCAGGCCTCTGCCAGAGACGAAGGCGGTCTCAAATGTACGTGTGTCGAAGCGTCCTAAAACAACTTGGCCACCTGGGACAGTGGTCCATGGCTCCTGCTTGACAGCAGTCTTGTATGGGGCGAAAGAAGTGCTCAAGTTAGTATGGACGCCATCGAGGATATGGTATCCAAGTATGGCCTGTAACAAATCGACGCTAGCTAGCTCCCACTCCTCGTAGTACCGGGTATCCCAGGGGAAGAGTCTCAGAGCGATGTTGCTGGGTGCGAGGACAGTGATGTTGGTAAGGTTGTTCAAAGCGCCAGCGAGAGCAGGAATCTGACCGACGTGCTCGCTGAGGTAGCTAAACCCGGCCGTCTGGTTTAAAAGGGCGACCAGGTCTAGCGACGAGGTGTCTGGTAACTGGACGGGGACAGCCAAGACAGAGGCAGCCAAGGCTGACACGGCGAGAACCTTGTTCAACATGGTGATTAGTGTTTTCCGGTGAGCTTTCTGGAGGAGAATCGGCCAGGGACTTGGGACTGTTGAGAAAAGAATATCTCCATCTGGGGTACAACTAATATATATTTTTTCCCGACCTCTTTCTACAGTCTCTCAGTCGGCGTCTACGCAAATGTCCCACCTTCCAAGAGAATACTATTGCAAAATAAGCGAAGAAAATTCCTTATTCGACCACCCAGGCTGAAGCTATTCTAGAAAGAAAGCTCCGGCCCCGACCACCAGCTCTTGGACATGGAAGACACTGTTCTGGCTTGAACCTTTCCGGACCTTGTGGGTCCAGGGACGAAGTTCATGTATGATATGGGGCAAGCACTGAGACTGACAAGAGTCGAGCGGAGCAACATAAGATGTCAAGCTGTCGTATTGTGGTGTTGTATGTTCTGCTACCAGAGAGAGAAAGCGATCTCTGCATAATGCTAGGCTATAATGAGGCAAGCGCCCCGAGAAAATGTGACAACTGTGGTAAGGGCTCAATAGCGATAGGGTATGAAGTGACCACACTGGTGATGGGACACTCGGCACAAGGGTAGAGCTCGGCTAGATTCTCAACTTATCTGATAAGATCATCTGATAATCAGAATGAGTCCTTCCCCGCTAGCTTCCCTCGCTTGGTCAGCCATGTGATTCCAAACAGTTTTTTAAATGCCATCCTCTGTAGAGCCAAGATGGCGGAAGGTCTTGGCGCACCCGACTTGGACAATATTCGGTTCTGTACCTCGGAATGCGCAGGAGGCACATTGATATGTTAGTTTTCACTTCGCAAATATTGTTACCTTTATAAAAGGGCCAATAAAGGAGCACGTGATGGGTTCATTAATACCATCGATCACGAACCACTGTGTTGTTGCTTCGACCTTCGACTGCTGCCAGGCGCGTAGCTGTAGGTTGCAGTCCTCGACAGCATTCAACCGAATGTGGTGCTCCAGAGATACGGTGCCAAGTCCTGCGCGCCAAGACCTTTCCTCATCTTCTTCCTTTGGATGTCGTCATTCCGGTTTCGGAGGTCCACCAGCCTGTATACGAGATGGATAAGAGACAGGCTCCGGTGTCGTCTCGATGTCTCGAAGCCGAATTGACGACGGAGACTACATACTCATGGCAACATTCTGCAGAAGCCAAGAACAACACTAGATAGAACGCAACATTTTGCAAAGTGAGGAAACTATCACCACCTCGCTATGCCGCAGTTTTATGAAATCCTATGGCGCCACCATTTGGTATGGGGTTTTGAACTCGCCATCACCATTTTGATGCAACTTGGCTGCTCTCTTTGCGATGGCGTTTCTTTGGTTCACAGCGATCTCGGCGTCCAGAAATCAAGCCGACACTGACTTTAGCACCGAACATGGAACTGAGAAGCCAGGCGAAAGACAGAAGCGGTCAGTAGGAAAGAGGAAGATTTTCCCATTCCCTTGCCATCTTCTGGATGAAGCGGGGCTATTCAGAATTTTGAACAGTCGCTAAATCTAGTGATGTGATCATCTCTGGATGTTAAATATCTCTTTGAATCTTCCAGTGGGAATCATTTCCTTCCCCCGAGTCAAGACCTACACCTGAGAAGCTTGGTGATTCACTATAACCATGTTGCGCAAGGCTTTTGTTCTTTCCGCTGTAGTCGCTACTGCCTGGGCCCAGGGTGGCGGCTCGGATGGAACACTCCCTGATATGATTACCTTGATCAACCAAACACAAGGATTCTCCTACCTCAACACGTACATAACTATCCGGGTGTCAAGGATTTCGTGAAGGGGTTAACAAATATCACTGTCTTGGCACCTAGCAATAATGGCGCCTATAAGTTTTTCGAGGGCGAGCGATATAAAGATCTTAAGGCTAGTGGGGAAGATTTTTTCCAGGCTTTAATCGCCTACCACATACTTAACGGAGTTTATGACAACATCACCGACTAGCGCGCGTATAACACTCATCTAACCTCGCCTAAATATACTAATGTTACGACTAGTTAAGTCCTTTTCGGCTACTATAACTTATATAGATTCGAATATAGATTCTACTCTAGCGAAGATGTCTATAGCACCGCTCTACCTCTACCTATCCCCTTTAATAGAGGGATCGTATACCTAATTAATAATATCCTAAATATTCTCGGTAGCCTAGTAAAGGAAGTTTCTAGAGATTATAATAGAATATCTTTTATTAAGGCTCTTAATAGAACCGAGTTAAGGGAGGAAGTCGAGTTTCTTAAGGACACTACTATCTTTATACTAAAGAATACCGCTTTCGCGTCTATCGAAAAGAGTCTCTCGAAACTCTCTACTAAGGAGTTAGTCGAAGTACTTAAATATTATGTCGTTCTCGGTATAATTACTTACTATAGTACTCTAGAGAACGGGATTACCTTAACTACCTTATAGGGCTAAGACTTAACTATCTATATTAACGAAGAAGAAGAAATATTTATTAATAGGGTAGGAGTTAACTCGGTCGATATCGCGGTAGCTAATGGTGTTGTTATCATCATCGACAACGTACTTAACCTAAAAACTACTGTTTACACCCCCGCGAGTGATGCCGAGGATGGTGTTCCTGTATTTCCAACTAGTAGCTCGGCTACTAGCGAAGCAGCCGCATTAACCACTTCTACAGCGGCCGCGGAGACTTACACTGGAGCTGCAGCGTTACTCAAGACTAGAGGTGCAAGCCTTTTCTCCTTAGTCGCCGCCGTAGTAGCTATTGCTCTTGTTCTCTGAGTGATCAAAAGAGCAGGCATATATTATTATGAAGTGATTAAACATTACTATGACGATCCTTTTACGAAATATAAAGAGAAAAAAGTAATAGCACAACATTTTTATAGAAATCAGTCAATAAACTTGAGGTAGAGACATACTGGGAGTAGTCTAGATGGATTTCTAGTAATGCAGATATCATTTACCACCATGGACATAGATTGATTACATCCTATAGTTATCTAGATGCCATAAGAGGCTACGGGGCCTTAAATTTTGATATTCTCTGTGCATTACATGTAGAATCAACCAAAGGCTGGGGCAGCCAGTCCTCCGTCTCCTGGAGTTTGGCTTTTGGTTGCTGGAGATAGTTACTGTTCTCTTTATCATATCAGGATAATGCTTGTCTTTCCTCGGGTCTGTACTGACTGGCAGATTGGCAGCAAATGAGACAACTAGAACATACGGGACAATTTTCAGTAAATATTGACCTCATGAATCCTTTCGGAAGCTACACAGAGGCTGCGGTCATGCTGTGAACGCGTTAACTGATGTCAAGCTTGGCTTGGACCATTACAGTTGAGCATTGTCAAAGTATCACCGCTTGATTATATTCAGTTTCCATGCGAACGAGGTTATTGGTGTTAATAATGCAATATAATAGTATTATTCTAGTCATTACACATTTAGTGACTAAATGAATGCTCCCCCACGCTACCCCTGTCTGCCCACCGCTAAAGCCCGACAAGTTGACGCCCAAAGGCTTTTCAAAGTGGGTGGGGAGCTCAGATTACCGCAAGAATGCCCACAGCCATAGCACCTAAAAGGGCGGGGGAGACAATAGTACTTGCTGCCGCAGCGTTCTCTGTCTGCTGTGCCGGCCCGCTGGATTTACTGGCGCTTGCGCTGGTCCCCGTGGCTCCGGTGTCGGTGGAAGTTGTCAGAGCCGTGCTAGCCGCATCCCCAGCTGTTTCTAAAGGGCTTGAAGAAGTGGTGCTAGAGCTGAGTGTTGTAGGGGTTGTAGCTGTAGCACTACCGGAACTAATTCGCGTTGTAGTGGGCGCTACAGTAATTGAGTTGGAGGATGCACTGGCAGTGGAAGGTGTTAAAGATGTGCCACTAGTGGACATAGTTGGAAGGTTTAGGTCGACATTATAGGCAGAGCAGAGCGTCTCAGTAAAGTCGATAACCACTAAGGATTTAAGTCAGAACGTAGACTAATGAAACGACAAGTAAATACTGGAATGAATAGACGTGCAACTTCGCTAGTAGTGTAAACCGTGGGGATAAGTTACACCAAGCCATTAACAAAGCCCTCGTTGGCACATATACAGGCAATGTCGGTTAGAGGGCAGCCCGATGCACTGATAGCTTCAAGAATCGGCTGCTGCTGTTAGGATATCGATGTCAGTATCTGGGATATCCTTCCATCAGACAATTATCCGTACAGCACATTGTGGTATACTCGTGATATCTTGTGCTATGTACGGTGCCGCAAGAGTCGCAACAATTGCGCTGATGGCGAATAATCTCTTCATCTAGACGGCACGGCTTCGAATTTAGGGACACCAGCAATAACTCTCCGTGTGAAGAATCAAGCGAAGAATACGAATACAAGAAGAAGCAGGCAACGGAGAAGTTTAGTGCAAGTTACAACAGCGTCAATGATTGGCCGGGAGCAACCATGCTCTTCTTAACATCGTCCTTCCCATAGTCATGCAATGCTCGCAGCTGCGAAATCGGAGGTCTTGGCCATGCAAGCGGAGGCCACCTAGAACCAAGGTGCCAATGTACCAACAATATTGGCATGAAAAATCTCGTCTCTTTTTCCCGATGTAGCAACTAGTGTAAAACCCATGGGCTCCCTGGGACTGGGAAGATTCCGGGCGTTTCCCATGTGGCAAGGGTGTTGTAGCCTGACATTGTGGGCTTCGATCATGCACAAGCATTGCAGGAAAACTTCTCCGTTCAAGACCAAAACTCTATTTCCACCGCATGCCAAGGACTTGCCGAGCTATTGTCCCCCCACTAAGTTCCGACTGCCTCACTACAGGATCCTCGTAGCCTTGCACGCACATAATTGACTCGTGCGTCTCTCGCCTAACTTATCCATAATGAGCGATGGGATGGAGCAATACGCACTTGGATAATGGTTTGAACTAGTTTCGTATCCACATCTCGCTACTGACCGAGGTCTGTTGAGATCGTCTTGAAGCTGAGCAGGTGACCACGATGCTAGCATGCATTTGACTCTTCCGATCGGCGATATGTTTGACTGTAACCGCGGCACAGGGTTCACTGAGACCTGACGCCATCGGCAACGTGCTAGAGGGAGGATTTTCATTATGTGGGAGGAATGCAGAGGATGACTTTGCGGACCAATCGTGGCTCCAGCCTGCCTCAACGAGTTCCACTTGCAACGAGTAGTCAATGCCTACGGTAGGAAAGCTTGTAGTGGAAGACCAGAACTATTACTAGCATGGGGTTTGAGCGTGACAGGCATTTTCAAATGCAACCATCACTACATAATTCCAGGGTTAGGGTTGAATACGCCAAGTATGCACCTAGCATGTCCGGGGGATAAGATAAGATCCGCGTCCGAACAAAACCCATTTCCACTCTAGGATGAAAGGCCTGGGGGCATCTCCAAGAAGTCTTGCATGCTTGGTGCCCTGATCAACGAAACATAAAGCGGCTAGTCAAACACGCCGTGACGTAGAAATACAGTGACGCTATGTGTAAAGTCAGAGACAGTGTAATTACAAACTTAGTTCCGTGTAAGTGTTTTATTACCCAATACCCGTGTATGTTACTGCCGTGGCTCCTTAGTGATTGAGAGTTTACTTCACAGTTTGGGGACGCCGAGGCATCGAATCGACGAGTTCTTGGTATACTACATCATGTATAAAGACATTGAGCTCACCGGCGCACATTCAGTCACTGTCAAATCCCATGGCCAGTCGACCAGGCATTCTCGCCCTTTTACCTTGATTCAAGTGAAGTACTATTAGCAACAATCTGGAACCTTGGCTATGTAGCAACCTACCCCTTGAGCATATTGATCAACAATCGTCTCGAAAGAAGAAACCTTCAACTTTCTGGGTAATCGGCTCAGCTTTCCAGATAGCTATGACCATCAAGCTGACTTCTCGAGACCTTCGACCCGTAAGGCTGCTAGAGCCATGGAAAACGACCTATAAAATTAGAATTACTTCTAAGGCTAACAATACTATAACTTTAAAGTTAGTACTTACTATCATATAGTAGCTGTCTAATTTATAGGATCCTCTAGAGCCTTTACATAATACTTCGCTTATACTTAGCGACCTTACGAACGGCCTAAGACCGAATATACTAGAAGTAGGCGATAACTCGCCTTAGGCCCGTTTTCATCGGAATTTATTATCTTACGGGTCCCTCGTACCGTCTTAGGGATGATTATGTCCCCTTCCCATTACAGTTGTAAGGTCAGTCTGTGAAGGAAACCGGGAGAGTACTTTCTTGAACAGTTTGACCATACGCCCAATCGTAGTTCAAGCTTGACAGGGCGTGGGACGATACCTTTAGTGCCCAATGGAAGAAAACACGAAATGCCATCAAGGCCAAGCCAGGAGTTCAGACCAAGATTCACAGAACATAGTAAGACACGGCTGCAATTCGAAGGCCAGCCTGACTCCAAGGCGCAATATCTCAAATATAGCGAAATGGTCTAGCCAGAGTGGAAGCGGTGATATCACAAGGGGCACAATGATAATGCTCATGCTGTCTATCGTGAATGCGATCTAGGAAATGGGATTGGAGGGTACGATCTGGAATCTCCTGCGGATCGTGCATTCACCTTTGACTACAATCACTTGATGAGCTCAACCACATCATCCCGTACCGTCCTGAGATGGGGCCATTTGCATTCTTCGACACCACGAAGGCTCTTTCTCCTCCGTCTTCTCATCGCAAAACTTCTTGGTGGCTATGATCTGAGGTCTACTGCGGACCGTGTATTCGTCTTTCATTACAGGCACTGAGGAAGGCTTGACCATATCGCTCCATACTGCCCCGACACAGGAGGATTTTGGATCCTTGGCCATCGCCACGGCTCTTTCTCACCTGTGTATCGACAAGATAAGAGTAGACGGTATGACTTGATGTCAGCCACCGATCATATCTGTGCGTTTGAATTTCGACAAAGGGGTTAAGTCGATCATCTCGCTCTCTATCGCCTCGAAACCGGTACAACATGGATCCTTCAACATCGAGATGGATCAACCCTGTCTGTTTATGGACAAGGGAACCCTGGGCAAGGCACTGGGGGCTATGATCTACATTCGCCCTCTGATCGCATTGTTGCGCTTGATTATAGACACAAGGGAAGGTTGGATCATCTCGCGCTCTATCGACCTGGGTCAGGGACCAATGACAGATCATGTGGATCCTGGAAAATGAAGAGGGTATTCTCGAGCCAATCTACCAGCAAAGTGAGCCTGAAGAAGGTATTGGTGGGTATGAGCTACAATCAACTTCAGATAGAGTGATTGCTTATGAATACAACGGCAAAGGGAGTGCGGGCTATGTGCTTCTGTACCGTCCTGGTACAAGAACAATGTGGATGTAGCGTCTGGAGGATGAAGGATTGGCATTAGAAACAGGATGAATGGAGGTGTTCAGAGGGGATCAACGCCGTTGGTCAGTTCAAAGAGACGAGTGTGGCAAATTGTATCTGACCCTGACCTCCTACGTAAGTCGGGAGGACTGCCAATCGATGCGTCTTGAATCCACGCACAACAGTGCTCTAAGTCGGCCAGTCCAAGGACCACGGGGACGGCTAACGAATTTCTTCCAGGCTAAGGTATCATCCCTGGATATGTCCACGGATCCTGTGTAACATTGTCCCTAGCCCTACGTCCACATAGCTACCCCTGGACTTATACCATGGACTAGACTCGCTTAATAGCGTGTGCTTGCGCATATTCACCAGATGCTCAACTTTCAGAGGACACTTATTGAGGTCTGGATCAGGTCGCATAGTATTTCCTCAGTCATCTTTCGGTAAGTAGGAGTTACCCATGAATCCAACACAGGTTTCATTTCATGCTTATATCGCGACCTCTACTTTGCTTGGCACTCCTAAACAGACTCACTTCGCTAGGAGCCGAGAGTAGCTAAGCTCTTAACAGTAACACTTGGTACTTCAACGCAATCTATAAATCGACCGAGTTCAATGTATCTTTGCAGGCGTCAGTACTTCACCTAACAGTCAACAGACTTCCCAGCATTGGCCAGTGGAGCCTGCAATCATTCGCCAAGAAGCGTACTGACTGTGGATGTAGCATCAGCTCACTTAATATGTCTGATAGGCATTGCAACATCATAGCCGCTTGAGAGGCCTTGCCCCGCAATCGTCAGCAGGCTCAGCTTTTGTGGACTCTGGTCCGATTCCAAAAGTACAACAACTGCAACGGTGGAGGAAATTCGTTTTCGCAGTGGGTTGGGATTATGGAGGCTGAGCCTTGGGTGCCAAGGATTTTCTAATGACGAGTACATTTAATTAAGGAGTAAAGTATTCGAGTGTCCTACGAGGCTACGATGCTCGGGGTAGATCTTCGAAGGACGACAACGTATTGGACCACGTAATTACCCTACAATTCATTACTGCAATGTGGCAGATGCTATTCGTTGACATCGAAAACCCGGGACAACACATCAACCAAGGAGGAAAGACTCGTCCAACGTGAAGAAGTGATTCACCTAGACCTCAGATCTTCAACGGTTGCTTGTGGGACAAGAGGCAGAAACGAGATTCGCCGATGACGTGGACGTGGACGTACTGCAAAGAACACTTTTGCCAAATAGCAGGTACCAACACAGTCCAGCGAGCATTCCAAAGCGTCCACTAGCAGTATCCCGAAAAAGCCAACTGAGGGTGGGTTTGCTCATAAGACGTTTGCCCGGCCGGCACTCTCCAGATATAAAGATCGGTTTCTCATCCTATGTTGGTTGATTCCTCACATGAACCACATTCAAAATGAGGGATCTTGATTCTGGAGGCAACGAGCGATCTCAAGATCCAGAAAGATCTATCGCCATAGCAGCAGATCTGGAGACATCGGCATGGACGAGATTCGATCACATGGTATCTACAGGAAAGATCACATACGGTGCAACCGCGGGTGAGACTCTGGAAGATGAAGGATTCAAGGTCAGTCACAAGTGGTGCAATCAACAAAAGATCCTAGCACAAGGCTACGATATGTCTTCTCGATAACTCACCGGCTAATGCGAGTACCTACCAAACAGTTTGAGCTCCGGCTCGCACCAGCACTGCAGAAGAAACCTATTACCAAAGCCGATGCTCCAGAACGAAAAAAGCCGACGGGTAAGAACCCATTTCTCGACCCAAATCCGGACGAGATCTTGTCGTCTGTGGGGAAGTATCATACGCTCTTGCTGAACATTTACGCCTTCTACCGACCCAGTGTATTGCTCATCACAAAAGATTTCATTCCACAGGACGATCCCCTTGATAACCGTGACTTGATTGCCGCCTGGGCTGTCCTTCAGAACTTCTCACGGGAGCAGTACTTCATGATATACAACTGTGGTTACAATTCAGGATCGAGCCAAGGACACAAGCATATGCAACTCTGGCCGTACCCGAATGAGAAAGAATTGGGGTTTGAATTGTTCCCGAAAAAGGCTCAATCGGAAACCGTCGTCTCAAAGGACATACCAACAGTGCCTCTCAAGCATTTTGTGCTGCGACTCCCGCCGCATGCCAATGCTGCTGCCGTGATTGATGCCCACCGCCGGCTTCTCCAAGAAGTCCGACAGATTCAACAGCAGGCAGGATCTGGACCGGCCCACAATGTTATTATAACTAAGGACTGGATTTGCTTAATTCCACGTCGTCACAGTGGATTTGAGCGAGGAGTGGGAATCAATTCTGCGGGAGTCCTGGGCCTTGCCTGGGCAGTCAACGAAGACGAGAAGATGGCTTGGCTGTCTATCGGTGCTGCTGAATTGCTTAGATTTGTCGGAATACCAGTCAATGCATAGATGATCTGACCTATTTATTCACCCCTGCCAGGCAGTAGTCATACAAAATGGGGAGATGGGGAGATGGGGAGCTAGCTAGATAACAACGATCCGAGTCCGGTTCAAAGGCGGTGAAATCATTCATAGAATTGTGTCTTAAGCAGCACCGAACCCCATGTCTGTGCTGCTCCCATTTTCGTCGTGAACAACGGAAAACCTGTGACATGATGCCATCTCCAATCTCAGCCTTGTCCATGGGCAAGGCTGTGCCTTTGGTGGGAGGAAGGTTAGCCGATAAAATAGACCCCTACATCGAAAAGACGGCTTCCGTTTCCACTCCGCTAGGCGCAAGTTGAGGATCCTGCGAACAATCATGGGCAAAGGTTAGATCGCATCCTGTTCGCTCGCATCAGTTCCACTGACGGGCATCATCTAGGAACGGATAAACTCTATGTACGGCCACCACCACTCCCTCCCTCACTTCATGTCCTGGAAATGAAGACCGCAGCCAGTCTTGTGTGGCCCAATACTGACTAGACCCACAGATAACACATTCAGAATGGGCCTCGAGCGACGCTTATTCGGCGTCAGCGGGCTCTGGGGTGCGCGCGGGCGGCGGTGTCGGCAAAGGCGCACAGGCAGCGTTCAAACGACTTCCGTTTAACTTTTGCGCACTGAGCTTGCAGCCATTCACGACACCGGTGTGCACCACCGCCGGGGTCATCTTCGACCATGAGAATATCCTGCGGTGGCTGTTGAAGCACGAGACGAACCCGACGGACGGATCGCCGTTGAAACAGGGGGATCTGATCAAGCTGGAGTTCGCGCGGAACACCGAGGGCGAGTACGTCGATCCTGTTACGTATAAGGTCTTCACGGACAACACGCACATCGTGGCAATCAGGCACGGCGACACGGCGAACGTGTTTGCGTATGATACGATCGAAAGGTTGAATATCAAGCCTAAGATGTGGCGGGACCTGCTGTCGGACGTGGAGTTCTGCAGGAAAGACCTCATCACGCTTCAGGACCCGCAGAACATTGAGTTGAGGAATTTGAGTTCATTCAAATATCTGAAAGACGGGGAGGACTCGGGTGTGCCCAAGGAAGAGGCCTCGATCAATTCGGCGTCGCTGGGGAGTGCAGCAGACTTGAAGATTATCAAGGCGAAAGAGGCCGTCGCGAAAGCGAGGGCGGAGAGGGCGAACGCTCAACTTGCCAAAGCGGGCGACACCAAATCCCTAACGAAGAAGACAACCCTCGCTTCATCATCGTCATCTACAAGCAATACACAATCCAGAGCTACGCCATACAACGCCACGCGACACACCACGGGCCTCGCCGCCGCCAGCTTCACATCCACGGGCGTGACTCCCCACACCTCCGCGTCCCTGGCACTAATGTCCGACGAAGAATACCTCCTCAGACGCGGCCGCGTGAAAGAAAAGGGCTACGTCCGCCTAACAACAACACACGGATCTCTCAACATAACCCTCATCCCCGAACACGCACCCAAGGCAGTGTGGAACTTCACGCGGCTAGCCCAAAAGGGATACTACAACGGAGTGACCTTCCACCGCAACATCCGCAACTTCATGATCCAAGGCGGAGACCCGACAGGCACGGGAAAAGGCGGGTCGAGCATCTGGGGCCGCAATTTCAGCGACGAATTCGAAGGCCCGTTGAAGCACGACGCGCGCGGCACACTCAGCATGGCGAACAAGGGCAAAGACACCAACAGCAGCCAGTTCTTCATCGCGTACCGTCCGGCCCGGCATCTGGATCGCAAGCATACGATTTTCGGGCACGTGGACCTCAACCCCGAGGATGAGGCGGGCCAGGAGAGTATTCGGACGCTGAAGGCGTTGGAGGAGGTGGAGGTGGACAGTGGCGATCGGCCGAAACAGGAGGTGAAGATCCTTGAAGCGAAGGTTTTCATCGATCCGTTCGAGGAGTTCTGGAAGAAGAAGAAAGATTGGGACGAAGAGGAGCGGAGAAGGGAGGAGACCAGGAAGCTGGACCGCACGACCTGGACGGGCAAGCGGATAAGAGATCATGATGCCGACCCCGGCGGTGGTACCATGGGCGTCGGCGGTGGTGCTGATGGGGTGGGGAAGTACCTGAAAGCGTCACTCGCAAGCGCTCCTCCACGAGCGGAAAATGCCGACGACGACGAGATCCTTGAGTTCATCGACGAAGAGCCTGAACAGCAACCAGTCCGGAAGAAAACGAAGGGCGTTGGTGGTGGGTTTGGCAATTTCGACGGCTGGTGAAGTCTGAGCCGGCTGTGCGTGTGAAGGCCTTGAGTTGCTTTACTCCTTACTCCGTCATCGTCGTCGTCATCGTCCATTGGCTGTAACGTCGCGAGGTATGTACTCTACGGGCTTTGCCGGGGGTGTATATGTGCATACACATGAGAATTGCAAAAGCTTTTCTCTTCTGTTGCTTCTCTGCTCGATTAAGCATCCAACTGAGCGGCACACACAGACCTGCATCCTACCTGGATTCACCCGCGTAGATGGAAGCAATAAGGTGCCCTGGGAGGAAGGCAGAGTGGGGTTTTATGTACAAGATAATGAGAATACCCGGTGTGCCTGGCCCCTGACTGCCTGACTTCCTTCGCTTTCCGAGCTCATGTTCATTTTCATTTTCATGTTCCATGTTCAAGATCCAACGGCTATTCGTTCATTCCAATCCAATTGTTTTCATTTGCTGTTTGTCGAGTCCATCCATTTGACAAGAGGGGTCTCATCTCACATCAAACGAACATTTGGTTCGGCGTATGTACCATTTTCGGCCCTTGAGCTACTCTCTCGCGGAAGGTGGCAGAGAAGGAGAGCGCAGCAAAAACCAAGGTCCAAGCCCAGGCCAAGGGAGACCAGACCAGAATGACAGCCCATGTCGAACGAGGAATAAGGCGAGCTGGCATTAGAAGAGCGAAGCCCTGTTCTCCAGTCTCCATCTACTCAATTCCTTCCAACCTAGCCCGATTCCCGTCGGATCTGCGTCGTATGAGCTCAAGTCGAGGATGCAACCCACGTCGCCGCTCTAAAAAACCGAATCTGCGCCCTGACAGCTCCAATATTCCATATCCCATAAACGCGATGGGTCAGAGGAGGCTCAAGAACCAAGCAAGAAAGTCCGCGGAAGCAAACCAGACACAATAAACCAACTAGTACTTGTACCCCGCCTCGCGCATAGCAGCAAGCCACTTCTCCTTCAACCTGCGATGCGTCTCGCGATGGCTCTTGTCGAGACTGGCCTTGATGTACCAGCTCAGGAGAACATTGCACTTGATCTCATTGCGCTCGATCAAATTAATCACCTGACCCTGCCCCTGAGCTCCTTTATCCGCGTCATTCCCGACCTTAATCTCCCAACGGCCGTAAATCGTAACTCCGGACCCAGCATTTGTGAACGCCTCCATGCCCATCTTTGTCTGACGGATGGCCGCATGGTAGGTCAGGTCGGTTGTGTACCCGAACATAACATTCAATTTATCGAGGATCTCGAACTGCTGGAAGCCGCCGGGGGACGCGGTATCGCCTTCGCGGAGTATCGCATAAGGCACGTCGAGTGCGACGCCGAAGCTGGGTGCGACGGTGGCGACGTCAACGGCTTTTGGGTCTGTTGAGGCGAGTTGTTTGACTTCGTGGACGAGCGGGTTGAGTGTGATCATCGTGTTGGGGGTGTGTACGGAGGCGAAGATGGCATCGAGCCCGGTCCGGAGCACGTCGTCGGGTCTTTGGCCTTCTAAAGGGGCGGGTAGTATCAGGTCCGTGATGTAGCCTGATTTGAGGCTTGTGGAGAGGAACGCCATTTTGGAGATTGTGATTGTGATGATGAGTAGAGAAACGGACGATGTTCCGCCTTGGTCCTCAGAACTAATGGAGTAGCTGTGTCGTGAATAGCAATTCTTAGATCCGTGATGACTGTTTGGCTCTAAGCCCGTGATACTTGTGGCCTCGATCTGAAAGGCACGGTTGGGGCTCTCCGGGAAAGCTGTTCTTCAGCCCGGCCAAGTCCTAGAAAACCACCTTCCCCTTGGTTCCCAGAGAGACGGATATCTTGACACGCGAGTGATGCTCGCTATCGAGGGAGAAATTTGTCTCCGGACGAAAGAGGAGAGCTTCGTTCTCGAAAGCTCAGCCGTAGCCAAGACAAGAGAAGTAATTTTTCAACACTTCTCAAAAGCACGGGGCCAGCACCTAGCGGCGTGTAATTGTCTCCCAAGTACCAGTATCCCACTGATGTGAACAACAACCCTGGCTGGGATATGATTCCCTAGGGTCGAAAGCGCGCAGCACAGCCACGCGGATACCGATCGAAGCGAGTAACAAGTACTCGGTAAATTTGGGAAGTGTCACAGATACCTCTCGCTTAACAAAGCAGCGGCGACACTCTACGTCAGTCCTGGTGAACCAGGCCACTGAGCGGCGGTACTCTGCAAGAGCAATGCCGTGTTGGTCGAGAGATGGTAAGTATCTATGTATTCGAGGTTATCAGAGATCCAGGTCCCGAGCTGGCGACCACCGAGCGGTCACGGAATGGAGCAGCAACGGTGTTAGAGCCTAGGCTGACTGATATTCAGGGCGCCTTTCGACTCGGCAGCTGTTCGTTAGGAATATAGAGAGATGTATACCATGTATGCCGGGTCCTGGCGAAGAAATGGAAAAGAAGACAAGAACCTCACCAATGCCAGCAAGAAGGTAAGCTGAACTGGACGGTGAACTGAACGGTGCTTTGCGAATTAATTACTACTCGGTAGTTGACGTCGAGGACGCCAGCCACGTTCAGCCGCACGGTGCACTGCGGCCAGGTCGAGTTTGGCTTTCGGTCGGTGGCCGCTGAGACGGAATACGGAACACGGACAGGGTTGGAGGATTGCTGACTGGACAACGTGGATAGACGATGGATTGTGGCTTACGGATGGATGTGATGGTCTTGGTCTTACCCCTCCCTCTCTCTCTCTCCCCCTCTCTATTAGGAACGTTGTCGCGATGACAATTTCGCTCCCAGCACGAGTAAGGAGTAGGCTGCAGGAATCTTATTAGTCAACTCTTTAGCGACGCGGCTAGTCGGCATACTAGAGACTTAGTACGGCGCTAGTGGCCGAAAATAGCTGCAACCTGGTCGTCAATGGGGGTGCAACTTAAGGCAAGCACACGGCCATCCATTATCCGATCCGCTCCTTCCCACAAACGACACGTGCAGTGCAGGCTTGCGCCTCTATGTCCGTCACATCGTTCAAGACCCAAGACTCAAGACTCAAGACTCAAGACTCAAGACTCAAGAGGCCCTCGTTCCCAGTCAAGGAATCGCTTAAAGTCTTATTTTTACTCCTCTGCTTACAGTAAGCATTGTGTCTGCTATCCCTCCTTTCACTCCTATCATGTCGTCCGAGAAACTATCCCATTGTTAAGAACGAATGCTCTTGTTAGTCCATCCCTATTTATTTCTGCTCGTGCCAACTACTGATACACACTTCCGGGTTCCTTCCGCTTGAACGCAGCAATTGTAGAAACGATAATGATAATAAAAGCGTAGCAACTCAGTGTTCCTGCAGAGAACGCCATCTCCATGAGACCAATGGCAATGGTCCCTTGGTGTGCCTGCTATCTTCTTCGCCCAGTTACTCGAGACATGCCATGTTGACCGCCTTGGTTCAAAATCATGTCTGAGGACCAAGAGCAAACTTCAATGGGACTACCCACTCGGTCCCAAAGTCGATACCATGTTTTCGTCTCGAGCCATGTTTATTCCACGCTGCAGCTGAAATGCCAACGTCAACAACCCACACTTGCCAAGCAGCTTCAGCACCCTCCAGGGCCATCGCATGAAGAAGACCGGTTTTGGGCGCTCCGAGACTGATGATGTGTTTGCTGGCCATCACAAGAGATTGACCATCGTGTTCTGTCAACAAACCCGAGCTTGCCGACAGACCACTGGGAATATCGATCGACATCACCGTTGACGTGCGGTTGGCCCATCGCGTCATTTCCAACACCGTTGCCTGGTCGTCCGTTCGGAGTTCTTCAAATGCCACATGGATCCCAAGGAGAGCGTCAACGATCACATCCGGAGCAGGACCGCCTGCCGCCGATTTGGTCTGATATTCGTCCCATTTCTCCACGTAGCCTGATCCCTTTTTATAAATACCTAGCTGCTTGCGCATCACCTCGAGAAGTAGTTCCTCACGTTCACCACCGAGAACAATAATGGTCACTCTGAGTCGACGATTGCGTAGGTGTCTGGCAGCAGCGATGGCCCTAGCACCGGACTTGTGATTCCCCACCAAGAAAACCACGCTTCTCACTTCAGGCACCTTCAAGATCGCCATCGCCATACTACGACCCGCATTTTCCGAAAGCATGTCTTCAGTCAGTCCCAACTCCGAAATACACAGCTGTTCAATCTCGAGCATCTGTAGCGGCGACAAACAGTGACATTGCTTATTGTTCGGGAGCTTGAAAGACGCTCGGATGCCAGACAGTGATCCATTCAGCGGTGACGCCGTATGGATCCTGGCCAAAGGTCGAGGCGACTCTGTCCGATCGAGGAGGCTAGGAATGATGCTCCCTTTCCTCGATGGATGTGGCCGTCTTGATGCGGCTCGCCGTGATCCCTTTCCACTGGAGTAGTGCCCCTCCAACGTATCGTCTTCCGTCTCCCCTGCCTCACTTTTCCATCGATCCTTGTCTTTGGCGTCTGGCGTATCCATGATATTCTCCGTGTAATGTAGATTTCGACCCCCGTTCGTTCCCGGTCGAGCTTTTCGGTTGAAACTGACCAACCGATCTCCTTCGGCCGTTTGATCGTCTTTGCGAATATCATCGAAAACTCTGCGCTTATCAAATTTAGACAGGTTTGTCTCAAAATCGAAATCCCCCATGTCTTGAATATCTGTAGCATCCTCGGTAGCCCAGCCATTGGCATTCTCGGCGGTTTTTCGACCTCTTTGGCCCTTCTTCTGGCTTGGTCTCGGCACCTCTTCGATCAAAGGTGTCTGTCGCCATCCCTTACCTTTCCCTGATTTCTTAGCTGGCTTCAACGGTCCATGGTTGACATCTTTCATGTCGATAATCCCTGGACCTGTCTGCGAAGGTGCATCTCGCACGCTGGGCGCCTTAGGGGCAGCTTGCTTCAATTCCGACTTTGCCACATCATTGCGCAAGCCTAGTGCGTCAAAGGGCTCCGTCAGAGTAGCACTTGCCGATGTATTTCTTTTCTCATGCTTGCGGGGAATAGCCGTTGCGATACTCGAAACCGAGCTCCCACCGTGAGCATTGCGGGGGTTTCTAGCTGACGGACTGCTGACAATTCCATCCGCTATCATGATAGGGGACACTGGATGAACCTGTTGGCTGGACATGGGAGGAGGAGGCTGAGAATGTGGTCGCGTGTAGCTGATAATGGCGGGGTCAACGAAATTCGAGGCATTTTGCACAGGTCGGGGGTGGGGTGGGAATGCGGTGTTTTCGACTCGAGGGAAAGCAACAGGAGTTGTTAACTCTTCTTCCCGCTCAAATCTTGTTACTTGATGGGGGGAGAGTTCGAGATCAGCGATGGTGGAGGACTCGATGGTGTAGGACGAAAGCCGCTGGCCATTCCATAGAAGAAGAACTGAGAAAGATTCAGTCATAATCCTGATCACAAAAGCATGAGTCCATCTTACCGTCGCGAAGGAACAGCTTCTGATTCACCACATTGGAAACAACACCCTGGATCTGGGGTTTATGTGGGTTGTCAAGCGTGACCAGAATGGTATAACCAATGAAAGCATCGGCCATGACGAAGGCAACAAGAGCACCGACTATGACATAGCAATAGGGTGAGAGACGGTTGTCGGTTAGATGCCCTGTCACTAGTTCAATACATGGCTGTAGGCTGAAAGTTATGTGTTTGGAGGCTTGGACATCGAGTTGAGGTGGAGGGACACGGAGCGACTGAATACTGGTCGTCTTCTTTTCGGACACAGAAAGTTTCCCAATTTCTTCCGCCATTTTGATTACGATCTTGCAATTCGAACCGGAAATTGACAGACCGCGGAAGCGACCATCTACGCCACCGTAGAACTTTACTCTTCGCTAAGGGTCACTCTGCTGCACCGCACCGTACAACCCCTAAATTAACAGTCATGGGAAAGGCAGGTGAGACTACATAGTCATCTTACGAGTACATGCAAGGTACCCCCAGTTGGATAGATTCTTTTAGTATTAAACTCAAAACAGTATTGTCTTTATCAGTGAGTCTTCTGACTTCCGTAATTCATCATGTACTTTAAAGCGGCCAGAGACGCTCCAGTCAAACAAAGTCTCGCAGGGGCTGGCAATACACCCCGACAAGCCCTACCTGGCTGTACCAAATGTTTCTCTACTCTTCGACTACCGACTCCCGGTAGCATTCAAAAGTTCATTTTCCGCCGCAAGCATGTCTTCGTAGGACAGGTCATCATCGAAGTCGTCCTCATCGAGATTTTGGGTCACTTTGGCCTTGTTCACAGCCGTCTTTGACATGACCGGCACACTCTTCCTGTCAGGGTCATGAACCAGTGTGCTTGTGACTTTGCGTGCTTCCAGGGTCTCGTGACCTCCTAATTTGGAGTAGAAATGCAGCACTTTCTGGTGAACCATCACCTTCCGCTCGTCAAATCGAAGCACTTGTAATCCCTGTTTGGACGTTGCTCTGCTCAGAGCCACGTACGCCTGACCTTTCTCAAACACTTTTCCTAAATCAACCTTGACACGGCTGAGAGTTTGGCCTTGCGCTTTGTGGATTGATAATGCCCAGGCTAGAATCAGAGGTACCTGCGTACGCTTGGCGAGGACCTCACCATTCTGGGCCTCTGTTTTCCAGTCATCTGGGGTGCAAAGCACATCTCGAGACGTTCCGTCAGCAAGGTTGAATCTCACCATCGGCCACAGCCTCGTTGAGCCCACTGCACTGGCTTTCAGCCGTGCAGCTTGGATCTTGTCTCGGGCGGCGGCTGTTTCTTCCTGATCGGGACCATCTTTTTGGGCGATCAGAAAAGTGGGTTCATCTGCTTTGTATGTGAAAAACGTTCCTTCGTCCATAAATGATTGCACAATCCCAAGCGAACCATTGACAAGTTGAGAATCAATATTCTTGATCAACATAACTTGTGCCCCTTTCTTGAGTTCCAGTCGTTCAGGAGCAATGAAATTTGCTAATAGATTCTTTCGCATGGTATCGTCTTTAATACCCGTATCTACTGCTTCAAACATCATAGTTTGCCCAGACAATTTTCGCATGCGGTTTTGATTTGCATTTTCGACTTCTTCGCGACGGGGGTATCTGTCAAAGTCAAGATGTATACACTACCCCATTTGAAGAACACTCACAATTCAGTCGCCTCGAGATCGTCGTGGAAGTCCAGTGGTCGAGACAAGGATTTGAATTCTCGAACGGTCTCGTAGCTCATTTTACCCAGCCTCATTTCATTGAGCATGGTTGCAAATTGTTCATCCTTTTGCCGGAAAACGTGAGTGAGAAGAATTGTATGCTGGATGCACGTGTCCCAGTTGGCTGCTTCAAACACGAATTTCGCTTCAGTGTTTCTGTCGGGAACCGGTGGAAGCTGGAAGAAATCACCCGTGAAGACAAGCTGAATGCCTCCAAAGGGACGGCCATTATTCCGGAGGGTTCTTGCGACTTGTTCAAGTTTGTCGAACAGTTGTCCGTCGACCATCGAGATCTCATCGATGATAAGGACTTTTGTCCTCTGCCATCTCTGTCTCGACTTCATATTCCGTTTGATCTTTTTCACTAACTCGGGAGCCGGTTCCTTACCAAGGCCGATGCCTGCCCAACTATGAAGGGTCTGCCCTTCAAGAATGCAAGATGCTAGACCTGTAGATGCTGTGATTGCAATACGATCCGGCTCTGTCCGATACTTGTGTCTTAGTTGCGCAATGATGGCTCGCATTAATACAGACTTTCCAGTACCTGCAGATCCTGTAAAGAAGACACTTTTGCCTTCATCCATTACCGCCTTAACCACAGCTCTCTGCTCGTCACTGAGAAAGGTCTCGGGTACCCTTTGGGCGAGAGATTTTGGGGCAGCGGGTGGTTTCATGAACGTCTTTAGGGAGCGATCCGAAGAGGTCCGGGACATGGGAGCTGTTTGTCGTTGGCGATTAGACGATGCCTTTTCGAGCATTTGCGCCACTACAGATGAGCTCTTTTCTCGGGATGTAGTAGAACTAATCTGGTTTGAGGCCGAAAACTGATCGAACCTCCCAGGCACCGAAGATGAGACTCCCGTAGTTGGATTGCCGGACTGCTGGGGCCCTCCAGCAACATATTGCGTTTTGCTGTTCGTCTTCTGCCATGGGGATGTATCCGCGTGCAAAGCCGGGCCTGCGGCGGGAACTGGGGGAGCGAAGGATCTGGGCAAAGCTCTCTTCTTGGGTGGTCTTGCGGGCTCTTGAACAGTATTCTTCAATGGTGACGAGCGCCTGAAAGTAGGCTTCTCGAAATGAGAGTCCGGAGAAGAAGACCAGGGCACAGTTGCACTGCTTGATGGTTCGCCACCATCGTGTGGCATGGGGGGAAGTGAAGGATAAGAGACCGTGTCCAGACCAGTGAAAGACGGGTAGTCGATATCCGATGGTTTCTCGTGCGATGGCGATGTCAAATCAATGATGCCATTGTGTGGATGATTTTCATCGAAGGAAGTTTGGTCGTGTAATGAGCCCAAGTTGCTCGATGAGCTCATGGACCGCTCGAATTTCCGTTTAGAAAAAGAACGCGCAGCATTGACTGCAGAAGGGTTGTTTTGTAGTTGGGATTGTCTCTTGCCGGGGTGAGTCGAGGATGCATGTTTCTCAATGGCGCGACCTAACATTATTGTTCTAACGAAGGCCTTAGGGGACCTCAAACCATCGAAGGAAGAGCGCAAGACAAGATTGGTAACTTGTGCATGCATGAAAGGTCGATCTTTAGGAAGGAGGGGAGGGCTTGAAGACAGCCCGCTGCAGTTGGGTCGAACAACACTGCCAACTTGCACGAGGTACTCCTTGGTCGGTGGCAGTTAATGGAGGTGGAGGTGGAGGTGCCTGCGCTGCCAGCAACAAAGTCTGGCACATGGGGGAACGCGAAAACGCGAGTCGCGTCTTCGACCGGTCTTGGCGGAAAAATACGTGACAGACAACGGCTACTCAGTCTACATACCCAGTCGGTCCTCAGGCGGCTCTGTTTTACCTCGCAAGGCGTGTAAGCCTAGTTCATCTTGAGTTGTTATCTACCTACGTGTTACTACATATTCATGCTGGCGCAGAGTTCAAGAGTTGGCGTGGAAGCTCTGCAAGGCTCTAGCCGCTATCACGGGCCCGGCTACAGAGTATCGCCAACTCATAGCCGAGCTGAACACGGCCTGCAGAGTGCCTTTCCAGTTTGAGCAGACACGGGGGCGTCCAACCAGCTTGCTCAATCAACGGCAAAGACAACATGGTTCTCACCCCAATTAAAATGGTCGGTGATTTTCTTCATAGTACCTTCAAGTATTGGCCTTACCTTACATCGTACTGGAGAATGTGAGAAGATTCGTTGGGTTTCTTGCTGCATGTCTTTGAGACGACATGCTCGGGGCAGTGAAGGCCCCATCATATCAATGAATGGACGGTTCCGTTGTATACCAAGGAGACTGTTCCGGTCTATGGAAAGCTAGCATGAGTTGACCAGGGGCGGTGTGCCTGGCGTGGCTCATTTGTTCTTGATTTGGAAGGTCGCGGCGCCGGGCGGGGATCATCACTGCAAGGCTGAGGTCACCAGGCTGAAAAATGCTCGGGCCCGCCGTGAGAAATTGTCAATGCACACGTCGTCCGTCCCTTTCATTTGGACATACAAAAGCACCCCTCCTATTTCGCACAGGCCAGTTCTAGCCCCTCATTCGTATTACCAGTATAAATGTCAGGTGTCAGTATAGATAAGCAAAAAGAGGTCATCTTTCACGTGGGGGGATTCCAGCTGGACCACCGAGTTTCTGAAACTACAATCTCAAGAGCCAGATCCCGCTTACTCCGACCGAGTACTACTCCGGCTTCCATGCAAGCTCCTTTTTGGATCACCTGATCCCTGCGACATGTCACAAACTGCCATAAAGCATATTGAAATCGCTCAATAGCATAACCAATCTGATCAAAACTGAGAATCTTCCGCAACAACCGTTCAGGTCTGATATCCAGGATAGTTGTTTCCAAAAGATGGCTGGGGTTGATACAGGCCACCTGGGGCATTTTGACCTCGTCCATATCCACCAGCCGAAGGAGGCACGTGAGGAAATGCCGATTGTGGGCTTTGAGCGTATGGGCTGACGAGATGGTTCGAATCCCAGCCGGGACGGCCACCGGGACTAGGGCCTTGTGGGTAATGTCAGCTGTTGCTGGGGAAGAAGAATTGGTTCGGACGTACCTTGTGGCGTGATGGGATTTGGCCCACCGTATTGCGGGAAATAGGGTGACGCTGGATTATACGCACTGGGAGTGTTGGCTGAACCAATCGACGTCTGAGGGGAGTAGGTATCGAATTGACCCGTTGGCGGGCGGTCCTTGCCCCACTGGTCGTGTTAGTAATTGGAAAGTATCATGTAAATCGTCGACTTACAGAGCATTTCAAGGGCCGGCCATTCACATTGTAGCCGGACAGCTGACAAATAGCCATGGCTGCATTTTCATGTGTGTCCATCTTGATGAAGGCAAAACCACGATCTGATTGAAAGCGAGTTTCAACCACGTAGCCGAAATTCTGGAATAGTGGAACCAGGTCGGTTTGGGTGGTGTAGGGCGTCAGATTGCCAACATAGCAAGTAGTCTGCCAGGAGGGGGTTTGGTTGGCCACCATTTCGTAAGATTGCACGCCTTGAGTAGGGAAATGATGATGTCCAAAAGGAGTGGTAGGAGTCATGCCCATGGCAGCCATGGCCTGTTGCTGAGAGATGGAAGGTTGCCCTTTTTGATTCGCCCAGTTGCATCGGATGGCGCGACTACCCAGCCATTCACCATCCATGGCAGCCAAAGCCTTTTCGGCCTCTGCACGATCACGGAAAGCGACAAAGCCATAGCCACGCGATCGACCAGTCTTCATATCCCACATGACTCGAGCCTCAGAAACGGAACCAAACGCAGAAAAGGCCTGGGACATGACTTCATCATTGACTTCATTGCTCAGATCACCGACGAAGATATGAAAGTGGTTGGAGGTATCTTCTTTGCTGATAGTGTTGGACTGATATGCCCAGTTGACCCTGATCTCGGCTTGGTGAACGCGACGGCCATTGAGAGTGTTCATAGCACGATCAGCGGCGCCGGGATCATCGTATTCGATGAAACCATAGTTGAAGCCTTTGGAGTTGAAATTCTTGTCTGGAATGATCTTCACACTGATCACATGGCCAGTAGTCTCGAAGATCTGCTTCAGAACATCTTCGGTTACTCGAGGATCGAGGCCACCAACATATAACGCGCGCTTGTTGGGCTCGGGTGCAGCCCTTCTCACCTGGCCTCCTGGAGACAAGGCAGAGCCAGGGCTGACTGCGGTAGGAACAGGGTTGTTGTTCTGAGGGATGACAACAGGTGGAAGAGCAGGAGGACCCATGGCAGAGCTAGAGTGACCATTAGTCACAGGCGGTTGTTCATAGCCTGGAGGAGCGGCGGTGGTGATAGAGGGTTGCTGAGGCAGGGTGGAAGGTGGTGGAGGAGCGTTCTCATCCATGACGAGTGGAGAAAGTGTGGTGTCGATAATAGATATAGATTGAGTGTAGGTGGATGTGGACGATGGATGGCCGAGGGCGAAATGGTACGTTCAAGGAAATCGCTTTCAAACAAGAGGTGTCGGACAATTCGCTATCAAGATTCAAAGCCAACCCAGCAAGACGCAGCGCTAAGTAGAAGATAGGTAGGAACTCGAAGGATGACAGAACGGACGGAGGAACGAGGTCGCGGCGAGACAAGAGAAGGGTGGCGATGGAGAGTAGATGCAGATGGAGATAGAGACGGAAGCGGAGAGGTATAGCAGATAGGGATTGGGGGTGAGGTTGTACTGGAGATGGGTTGCGTAAAAGAGGTGTCGCAGGCGGCAATGAGCTAAGCGAGGAGGAGAAGAGGGATGGACTGAGATTGAGATAGAGATGGAGAGAGATGGAGAGAGATGGAGACCAAAGACAGAAGAGATAAGAAATCGCTCGAATCTTTTGATGCCAACGCCCAACTTGCAATGCACAAAAGTCCAAGCGACGACAAGATGAGGAAGAGAGAGATGGAGATGGAGAAAGAGATGGAGAGAGAACCAAAAGAGAAGGACGAGGCAAGTAAGAAGATGGAATAGCCCAAGTCTGAGCCTGCGTCCGAGAGTGTGTGGGATGTAATTACTTGTAACTGAGGTGGCTTAACTAAGAAGAGAATAGCACCGAGTTGAGAAGAACTACGAGTAGGAAGAGGCAAAGGAAGCTTGAGAAGATTGAATGCCTGAATTATCATTCTTGAGAACCCGCGGCGGCTGAAGACTGAAGTGCGAGAACAAGCCGTGCTCCGTACCCTTGGAACCGCTCCAAGCTGCCAGTCAGCGGCGGGTGCCAGGTACCGCGCTTCTTCCGGTTAAGGGTCTAACTAGACTGAGCTGGTCGACGGGCGCCATGGCTTAAACTTCCGGGGGCTTCCCTTAACCAAGACGTCCACCTGGATTCACTCATGCGCAGTCTTGACTTACCTGACGCGGCCGGTCGTTGTGGATCTTGGGGCAGCCATGGGCCCTCTGGCCGCTGTGGCCCCGGTGACTTTGTGGCACCGGGTGGCACCGCCAACCACGAACAATGACAGGCACCTCACAGGTCACTTCAGACCTTCCAGATCACGGGCGCCCGACCCACAGGCAGTACGAGTAAGTCTCCCCGTGCCTCTCCCTCTGCTTCCTGTGCGTCTTCCGGGCTCGTGCTCCTCCGTACCGAGCACCAGGTCCTCCATACTCTGTACTTCGTACTCCTCGACCTCTCTACCAGGTTTCATCATCCTCCATCATCCACACCAGCCTGAGACTCCACCCCTGGTCAATTCTACACTTTTCTCTGTTCACCTTTTGCGCTTCCTGTCTCAACTTGTCCATTCTTTTCTTCTCTTCTCTTTCTGGATGAATTCTTCCTCGTTATTTACGTGTAATTCTCCCTCCCACCCCCCTCCGCGCGCTGTTCAAACGCGCATGTGCTTCTACTGAGCGTTCGCCCGCGACCGACGCCATGTCCAGCGCAAAGCCTGCCTACGACCCGGTGAAAACCGTCGAGGGAATGTTTAATGGCTCCGTCACTCGCATCGCCTATGTTTTGAAAGACCCGCTTAACTACGCGCAATCCACAAAAGCCGTCCTGGCCGAGACCGCAAAGAAGTTTCAAGATGCCCTAGACGATTGCGAGATCCAAATCCTCGACGTGAAATGGTATCTTGAGCGACAACTCACCCTAAACAAAGAGCGCAGAGAAGCAAAGGCAAGGGAAGACAGCGCAGCTGCAGTGTCCGCCAAGAGAAAGCTCGATGACATCAAAGACGCCAAAGGCAAGGCCCAAGACACTTCACAAGACCATGCGCCCAAACGTGTCAAGACTGCTGAGCCTGAAGAGCCCGTCCAATCCAAACCACAACCACCCTCTACCACTGCTGCTCCTGTCGCTCCCAACGGCACACCCAAACAGCCTGCCAAACCCTTGGACAAACCTACCACTACAGGAAAGCCTGCCGATAAATTCCATCCCCAGTCCCAGTCCTCCGCGCCAACGCCAGCTGCTAACAGAAAGCCTTCTGTATCTACCGAAACCAAGGCGCACCCATCAACTGCCCCACCAAAGCCAAAGGCACAGCATAAGCCGCCTGAGCCAATCCAGGTTCCACCTCCTGCCACGATTTCGACCTCGAAACCTCTCACTACGCATTCATTCACACTCGACGACTATCCAAGAGCTACGCCACAAGATACACCTGCAGGTGGCAATGAAGACTTCAACTTCGTCTCAATGTTTGGGGAACCTTCTGGCACTGATATGATGGACGGAACCAATGGCGACATGAATTTTGACATGAACATTGGTAACGAATTTGATATCGATCCTACTGCGGCCGCAGCTGCTCAGGACTCGTCCTTGACGTCATTGCTACCAGGACTTGAATCATACGCACATCAAACCAGCGATGACAACAGCTTCAATCTCGCTGGAATCAACATGGATGGAACAGACGGTGCGGGAGCCCTGGATTTCAACGCCAATCCACAGCAGCCGCCTCAACCTGCCGCACCCGGTGTGAACGTCAACGACTTTGGCCTCCCAACACTCGGACCAAATGAATTCGATGACTTCCTCAATTCCAACGACATGAGTTTTGATGCTGGGGATGACAACATGATGAACATGGAAAGCATGGAAAGCATGGATTTCGATTCCATGTTCAACTGACCACAACGCAGAACCTAATACGAGATATTAGTCAAATACCCACTATCTCACCAATGGGTCTGGAAATTTATATCAACCAAGGTGTCTTAGTAGGGCGAAACATTAAAAGTGAACTTTTGCAGAGCCGGTCGAATGGTGCAGACCAGAGAGAGTGTTGTGACTATCACACGGGACACAACCCCGTGTCACTTACGCACTTTTTGGGCGACCCGGCGTAAATCTCCGGGACTTTTCTTCATTGCGAGGAGTTTGGCGGACACTTATCATTTGTGTCTTGATTATTTTGACGAACGATACCACGGAAAGCGAAAGCGAGGCGAGGCGACACAAAACCCTGTCTGTATGTGTATGTGCCTTACAGAACCACAAACGCGTTTGGAATACTGTACCTGATGTTTATTTCTTCATGGTACATACTGGAACCTACTTATTCTGGGGTGAGGTGGGTAGGTAACGAATTCACTGACTACTGAACTATATCCGGAGTGGGGATGACATATGCTTCTCGGCGTTTCGATGGACTTTGATGTATCAACAAGACGCAGCGGAATGGAGTCGGGGGGTTCATAACCATTATTTTTTGGGTCTTCGAATCGATATCAAGACCCGAATTTTGCTTCCTTGAAGGTCTGGGAAGGGAACGGAAGGGCACGGCAGGCATGGCACTACGCGGTAAAGCGTGTGGATAGGATACCCCCCAAATACGAGTTTTGGAGAGCCACCAAGCGGCAGTGTCAGGCAAGACAGAACATTGAATCTGATTATTTTATTTTTATTTCATTCTCGGTCCTTCTTTCAGATGACTGACCGAGCACTTTTGTGGTGTTTCCCCCCTTCCCTTGTTTGCACGCATCCTCCATGGAACTAGGCGGAGAGCAACATCAAGAACAACATCAGTACAAACTCTGTGGCCCATTTTTGAATGATCCTCCGTGCCTCCGTGCCTCCTTGACTCCTGGACCGGGGCAAGCACTTACTAAGGCAAAAGACTGCCGCCGCCCCCTCGCTCTCACGGAAACCCTCACATCATCCTAGCGGTGATCGACGACATGCACCTCCACATCAAGCGTCCTTCCGTTTCTCCCCGCCAGGCTGGCGAGCAACATTATTATCACCAGCCGCCTGCTTCCGCGCGTCGAAGAGACTCTCGCTGGACGAGGCACTGTCTTTGGCATCGTTGATATGGACCGAGAAGTCTACTTCGCCGACGAGCTCCTTGACTCTGTTGAGCACCTGGTGCATCTCGAGCATGATGAGGATGCCGGCGACCTCGAGCACCGCGAACGCCGCGTAGCATGGCTCGCGGATGTGCTTGACGCTCAGGATGCCTGGGTCGACGGCACCCAGCTGGTCTGCGAGGTCGACAGGGCGCGGGACGCGGATGTGTGGTGGGAGTGGCTGGGAGTTCGCGACGCTTGCGGACACGAGGCATAGTGTCGATGTGAGCTCGTGGGATGTGACGCGTGAGGATGCGGTAATTGCACGGAAGTCTCGAAGCCACTCACTTTCTTCGGCGGTCGCAGTGGATCCATCGGTGGAGAATGCGTGCGACGAGTAGTTGATCAGTGCCATGTAGTTAAACAGGCTCTGGAGGTGCACGATCAAGTCATCGTAGGTCTCCTTGGGGAACCGGCCGCCGAAGGTGGGTTCGTACTTGGTGAATGCAGAATGTTCCCGCAAACGGTTCATCATCACAAGCATCTGTTCGAACACTTTCAACCGTGCCTTATCCAGTTTGCGGATCGGTTCGGACTTGTCATGTAAGGTGGCATACGCACCATGGCGAAGCTTGTACTCGACCGTCGCGTGGGTACAGGAATAATACTTGGCAAGGAGAAAGAGAGTGTCGCCGAGATCTTTTCTCAGTGTGGAGTGCGTCGTGATCGGATATGGGAAATATGTCCAGATGAAAGCTACACCGAGACCTGCAAGTACGGTAACAAGTCGGTACGGCGCGAGCAGGTAGATGTGGTAGTATTGCTGACCATTTCTTTCAATACGCGCGGTACCTAGCTTTTGGTCCTGTAACTCATAACCGACGATCAATATTAAAGTCACAATGGAGATAACAGCCGTGATGATATGCTTGGGTTTCTTAAAGAGGAAATAAAGCGCCAGGACAAAGTAAACATATGATAGAGGAATGATGGCAGCGGGTTTCTGGTCACTCATATACCAGATCGCCAACGACGCCACTGAGGCAACGATTGTCCCGAGGATTCTGAAGATGAATCCTTGCACGCCAGCTCCGGCATGAGGTGACATGGAGATTGCCACCATGATGACTGCCCATACACCACGTTGTGAGATATAGAAAGGCGAGGTTTGGCGTAGATATGTGAGGATACCAATAGACATGCTGGCCACTGCAGCTCGAAAGCCAAACGCAGACTCCGGTGAACCTAGAAATTCAGGGATGGCCCTCAGATAATTGGTTGCATGCTGGTACAAAGTCGCTGGAGGGAGATGCTCGGGGTCCTTTGATCCAGAGAGCGCATCCCCTACCCTGATAAAAATCCCGGATGCCTGACTCTCAGGGAGCGTTTGTTCAGCATCAACTTTTCTGTAGGAGTTTTGTATCAATTTGCGGATCCGTCTCCAGCCTGGAAAGATGAATTTATTCTTGCTCATGGTTCCATCTTGGACCTTGGAGTCGGCAAACAGGACCATATCAAGAACAGCTTTGCCCACAGAGTTCAGTAAATACTCGAGATACAGCACCAGATAGAGTTGCTGGTGATTCTGTTTCTGTCGCACGACTTCTTGGAAAGCAGCCGAGTCTTGAAAGTTGTATTGCACTGAAGGATCCTCCCAAAATCTGGCAGGCACATCAATCCCTTTCTTCTTGCACCATCTTTGGACGGTGCCCTCTCGATGCTCTTGGAATGCGTCTATGCTGGCCTTCAAATGTGCCGCAAACCCTGGATCTCCTGGTGCAGGGACATTTGGTGCGTTGTTTTCGACATCCTCCACCCCAATTTTCGGTCGTGGCACAAGTTCAAGGACATACATTACGTGAGACAGCCCACCCACAAGTGCAGCTTTCGCTTGTTGGAAAGGGCCACGAGATTCAAGGAGAAGTTCGCGCCATTCCTCTGCTTCAAGTCTCATTATAGCTTCAACCATATTTAGGTTTTCGATAAAATCACTTGCTTCCGTTTTTTGTCGCTTCACAGACTGCAAAATATCAACGAAAGTCGATAGCCCGGCGACCGGGAGTAGAATGTGTTGCATATGGGTCCAGATATTGTTGAAGTCTTCTGGTGCCAATTTTCCCCATCCGATCTCCTTTTTCGCGAAGCTGATCTCAATCTTCAACTGTGCAAACACTTGGGACGCCTTTTGAAGAGTCAGTTTCAATTTCTTTGCATCCTCTGCCGCTTTCTCAACTGATGCATATCCGTGGGGATTCTTTTCTGTAACAGCAGAGAAACCACTCTCATCCACAGGTTCTGCTTCGTCAGCATGACGTGTCGTAATGCCGTGCAAGTATGCCGAGTGGATTGAGAGCGCGTCTTTCATCGAGTTGAGGACCTGAGCCATTTGTTTGTATGAAAGCATCCTGGATGAGACAGGAAGAATGATCAGCGAAACTCCTGTGGCCAGCCCTTGCCCAGTCAAGAAAACTTTTAGTATTCTTTCGACGAAATCCATTCCAGCCTCCATCGTCGGAAATGATGGTGCATATGTAGAAGTGACGATGGTGAATAAACAATACTGTATGGAGGTAAGGAGAAGTTGTGGCCTGCAGGCTCGGATCGTGTTTGCGAGGTACAAGTTGAAGAACAACCAAACAGCGATTGTAACATTGGCGGCGGTATTGTATTCTCGAGACTGAGTACTGCCCGAAGCGCCGGTAGATGTGGAACTTGGTGTAGGAGACGATGATTGTCGAGCTGCCACAGCACAACAGATCTGCAAAAGCGAGATGGCAGCTGCGAAGCAGGTACTGAATACCGTGACGGTGATATTCTGGATAAACTTTGCTCGTGGTAGAATCGGCAGAGAAAGAATTGACAAGATCGATATCAGGTATCCGAGAGTGGTATACTCCTCTGCAAAGCGATCACTCTGGTATCTGTGATCCGTTGGTAATGTCTCAAAGAATAAACTGGGATTACCTACGCTGCAAGTCCAATTGCCGGTGCAATTGCACCTCTGCATCTCTTGTCAGCCTGGTCAAGTGCCGGATTGGTTCTCGTACTTTAGCATCATCAGAAAAGTAGGTACATCGAGGTCTATCTTGGCGGCGATTTTCCCGAAGAACGACTTCTCCGACGGCGTCGATCCCATCTTGGAGTGCATGGCGTGTTCGCGATCAGGCGTGTATCCCTATCCTCAGCCTGCTCCGTTGAAAAAGGTGGAAGACGCTCGGTTAGGAACTGACTGATTGCCAATTCTGTTCAAGAGCACGGTGAAGGTAGTTTAGAAGCAATGACGAAGCGCATCACGATGGTCAACCAGAGAAACCTTCCCATTCTCGCCATTAGAAGTTCGTACATAATCCCTTAAGTAATCTGACTAGGTAGTACTGTGGTTGTCACCTTAGTTTGCAAGGTCAAAGTGCTTTGCAGGCCCCTTCCAACTTCAGCCAATCCTGGAAAGGCCCTGGCACCTCAGGAAGCAGGCTCGCCCTGGTCTGCTAAGTACTGCATAAAGCTATGTGGAGACTTACATCTTTAATTTGGCAAAAGGCTTGCGCGCACCTATCGGTTAATGAGAGAAGGGTTGGACATTATCCAAGAACATGGAAATAGACAACCTTTCTATTGGTTGAGTTGAGGTTTCGGCGTGTTCCCGCAGCCTTCCGGCATCCAACCGGGCTGAGGTGAGTTGATGAGTCAGGTGCGCTAGGACTGAAGTGGCAATAGGTGAGTCACGTGCTTACGCATCACACAGAAATAATCCCGTGACCTGAGATTTGCCAAGCGTTCAGAGCTCCGATCGCCGACTTGAATCTGCAACTTTTTGATCAGAGTGAACGGAGAAAGGAAGCTAGGAGTCTAGGTGAGAGCTGGTGCTACACGCAAATCAAAATGGCACCCTCTCGGGCACCCAGCACTCTGTTGCTTCACTCGTTAAGATCCTTGACCATCGAGAAGCCGAGTTCAGCATCAGGGTCCTTCTTCCGAGCCATCTCAACCAGCCCTTCAAATCTTCAAGATGCCGAAGTCCAGAAGACCTCATATTATCGAAACCCCGACCCTATCAATGTCTATGTGCCTCGACTTGAGCGAAAGCTTGTCAGAGCCGGAACGCGACTAATTGGCTCGCGACGACGAAGAGCAGCGATTGCAAAGTCGCCTGGAATTGCATTCGATCAACTACCCTACCAATGTTTCCAGGAGGCCCGCAACATACTGATCGCGGATCGAGAAGAGAAGGTCAACAAGATCGAACTGGAAAGGTCGCGTATTGCGAGACTGCAAGCCGTTGATCCAGCCACCTTCCCTGGGGGCGAGGCATACAAACAAAAAAGGTTGAGAAGCATGGAGGCGGAACTGGAGAGGCTCAAGATCCTGGCCGATGTCAATGATCCAAACGTGAAGAGACGGTTCGAGGATGGCAATGGTATTTACAACTTTCTTGATGCTATAAAATGTGGCTAATTGTTCCAGGCGACATGAACAAACCGATATACAGATACCTCGCTGAACGAAAGTGGCAGGAGTATGCACGAAAAGTCCAGGTGCAGAGAATCACGCAGATGAACGTGATACCCGACGTGGTCCCAGCGGTCGATCCTATCTTGGATATCAAGGTCGCATTTGGCAGGCGCGTCTTTCCACCAGGCGACTATGTTCCATCTCGAATCAGCGAAGAGCCTCCTCGATTGACGCTTCAGGCATTCGAGAAGGGCGACAAAGTAGTCACCGTGGCTGTCGTCGACCCAGATGTGCCGAACGTTGAAACCGATAGCTTTGACTCAAGATGCCACTTCCTAGCCTCCAACATAACCATATCCCCCACACAAGCTGTTTTTGATTTGGCCAAGCTCGCAAGCGACACCCAGGTACTGCTACCATGGCTCCCTCCCCACGCCCAGAAGGGCAGTCCGTATCATCGGCTTTCAATTATCGTGTTGCAACAAAAGGACAACATCCCCATCGACGTGGCAGCCGCAGCAAAGATGGTCCAACGAGATGGTTTCTCGGTGCGAAGGTTCATGAGCCGCCACCTCCTCAAGCCAATTTCCGCATCCTTATTCCGAACCATCTGGGACGAAAATACGGCCACCGTGATGGCCAAGGCTGGTCTCGGAGGTGCTGATATCGAGTTGAAGAGGAAGAAGGTGGAGCCCTTGCCTTACAAGCGGCGCAATCCCTCCAGCTTTAGGTAGAATGATCTGGTGGGGTCTGTACACTATAACTTCGAACCATGTAGCCCTTTGCACAAATATACATCGGCTCCCAGAGATTATGCCCTACAATATCTGCATCTCCATGCCAAAATCCAGTGCTTGCACATTAAAACTCCTGAATTCGTCAACCAGGGCCAGCGTCGTCGGGTTCCAGATGGATCGTATCTCTCCGTGCGGGTGGCAGCAGCTGCGGCGTCCGGAACGAAGTCCAATTAAACCAGCCATCGCCATTATACAGCGCCTTGCCCTTGATCAGCGCCATGGGCACCGGCCCGTAAAAGCGCGAGTCTCTGCTGTACGACAAGCTATCGCCTGCGCACCAGACATGGCCTTCTGGGACCTGCACCATGAGGGGCTCGTCACGCACGCGCACGGCCTTCTCATCCATCGTATCCGTGATGCCAGGCACCAGGGCGCCGCCGACGGTTGGGCTCTGAGAGGGATCGCGCAGCACGAAATCGCCGGGCATGCCTATCACCCGCTTGCATGCGCCCTGGTGTAGGAAAATAGGATTGTCGTAGAGGATGATGTCGCCGACTTGGAGGTTTCGTCCGCGTCGGTGCCGCCGTGAGTAGATCGTGTAGGAGAGGCCGCTGGTCATCGTTGGGTACATGGAGGGCCCGGAGCAGGGCTTTGCGGGAAGACGGCTTGTTAGCTTGGAAAAATGAAGGCAGGCAATGCGGTCTTGGGCACGGGGGCACGGGGGCCCTGGGTTGGCCGAACGTACATAGTATGTTATCAGAAAGTGTGAGATCAAGGCGGTGGAGGAGGACATGGCTATGAAGATTGCTCCGATTCTACGGAGGGTACGCACGGTACCGATGTGAGCCGGCGGGACCTGCTTTGTTATTCTGCTAAAGGCTCCCATGTTCGGGGAGATGTTGTTGTTTCGATGATGGGCTATAGATGGGGATATGTTCTATATCCGGAAGTGAAGGAAGCTGGGGTTGAGCGCATGAGTGCCATTGTTGGGAGTACTCGATATCGACTGTGAATTGCAGCTGCAAGGCTCGACATATGTCACAAGGGCACTACTCCTACAAATCAAGCATTTATTTAAAGCCTCTCTTAGCGTTCTTGGCGTTGATTGCGCCGAAGAATTAATGGAATCATGAGGGACGGGTTTCTGGATATGTTCTTCGTGTCGCACTACTCTTGGAGCATGTTAATACTTGACCGCCGTACACCGATTCGGAGCAAATAGTTCTCATTCAAGACACTTTCAATGACCTCATGTTTGGCGATTACCATCTATGATGCGGTTGGTCATCGAGAGGGACGCATTCGGGATTGGAAAATAGATAGGTTTGGTGATGGTCACTAGGAGAGCTCTCTGGTCGATCCATTGGTGGAACAGATAAGGTGTGGCGGTATAGTCCCAATAAGACCCTCATACAGACTAATCCTGCTAGCGTCTAACCATTCTGGACGGGAGAGTGGCGAACTCTCAAAACATGTCTATTCTTTCAAGTCCGAGCCCTCAAATCACCCTGCCCATGTCTTCCGAAACTGAATACTTCATTCTGTATATATTTACGGGAGCGTTGAGTCATTGAAATATCTTGACCTCTACTTCCGTCGTATTTAGGAAATCGTAATGTCGACAACCCAAGTACCCGTACTTATTGTTGGGGGAGGCATAGTTGGACTCTCGGCTTCCCTCTTCCTCTCAAGCCATGGTGTGAAGTCGCAATTGGTCGAGCGCCATACTGGTACATCCATTCATCCGCGAGCACGTGGGCTTAACCGTCGCACAATGGAACTCTATCGTGGACTTGGAATCGACAAAGAAGTCCGTGCAGCGGGAGCAGCTCTCGCCCCCAGTGAGGGTATATACCAGGGCCACTCTCTGGTTGAAGTCATCGAGAGGCACCCTCGCAAAGAACGCACGGGCCCGCCCAGAATGCTAGGAGCGGCATATTTCAGTTATCTTGGTCCGGTAGAGGGTACCCGCGGAACTCAAGACATGATTGAACCGGTCCTACTGTCAGCTGCTCGTGATCGTGGAGGCGACGTGATCTTTAATACCGAATGCATCAGCATTGAGCAAGATCCTGACGGAGTAGTCGCAACTATACGCGACCGGACCACTAAACTTCAGTCGACGATTCATGCAGCGTACTTGATCGCTGCGGACGGTGCAGGTAGTTCAATTCGGCAGAATCTTGGTGTTCAGACCACGGGTGTTGGAAGATTAGGGGCCCTCTTGAGTATCCTGTTCCATGCAGATCTCAGCGAGCTGGTACGAGGTCGAGAATTCAGCTTGTGCTTGGTCAATCAGCCAACAGTCAGAGGGTTGTTCACATCCATTAACAACCATGACCGATGGGTGTTTCATCTTTCGTATGACGCCACCACAGAAGAGCCTGGAGACTTTTCTGCCGAACGCTGCGAGGGTTTGCTGAAGCTTGCGCTCGGTCTGTCAGATGTTGCTATCGATATCAAGAGCATCATGCCCTGGGAGCCAACTGTCAGAGTGGCGGAACAATTCCAACATGGCCGAGTGTTTCTTGCAGGGGACGCAGCTCATCAGATGCCACCATGGGGCGGGCAAGGAGCAACCACTGGCATCGCGGATGTCCACAACCTGGCCTGGAAAATTGCTGCCGTTTTGAGCGGGCAAGGGAGGCCCGCACTGCTGAAGACCTATGATTCCGAACGCCTTCCCATAGGACGTCTAGTTTCGGATGAGTCAGGGGTAGCATCTGATGCTCATGGATTGTTTTCAATGCCGACAAGTATTCCGTCCGTGATGGCGCTCATTCGGAGGATACCCAGACTCTCCGGTTACGGTTATGTTTATGCATCTGAGGCAATCATCTCAGAGGATACCACGCCTCTTTTGTGGAAAATAGTCCGACTGCTACCAACTCTGTCGCAGATTCTCGGGATTGGTGGGAGTGCCGGGTCTCGGGTACCTCATATCTGGGTCAAGCACAAAGGCCAACGTATATCGACTCTCGACCTTTTCACCCGGAAATTCACCATTCTTGCCGGAGCGGAGGGGAATGAATGGTGCTATGTGGCCCCCAACGTTGCATCTTCCCTAAATATTGAGATCATTGCGCATCGTGTTGGGAGTGAGCAGGAAATTGCAGCACCTGATGGTCGATGGGAGTCTGCTGCAGGCATCTCGTCAACAGGAGCTATTCTAGTTCGTCCTGATGGGTTTGTTGCTTGGCGCTCATGGGGCACTCCTCTTAACATTCAAGACAAACTTGAAGAAGTTTTGACGAAAGTGCTATGCCGTTGAAATTCATGAGTCTCGTTCAATCATGCCGGTGGCGACAAGTATGAGGTGCCCTCCGCCAACGATGATTGTCAGTTCCAGGTGTTTTGTTGTCCTGTGACTGGTGGATATCTGGCAGTGGAGCAGTGGTTCAGGTAAGAGACTGTACGATTAGCCCTTGCAGAATAATTCCATGATGGAAGCTAAGGTTCAGTAAGGCGTTCAGAAAATAACAACCACTCTTCGAATTTGTAACAAGTCAGGAGGTTCAAGGTGCCATTTCAACCTGTCCAACCGAACCCCGGATTGATATAATTCAGCTCTGGCCAATCCGCAAGTCGCGAGTCGTAAGCGTCAGGGACTGAATGGGTGAGTGAACAAGCCTTGATGCGATCCTCAGGCGACGGTGTTGACGGAAACGGTGGGAATGGTCGTAGATTGCTTTCATCTTCTTCTAGATGGTCCTGTCCATCTGGCCACTCGACTACATGTGAGGATGACTGCCGTAAAGTTTGGGGCTCGCCAGGCCCCTCTGGCGTTCTCAAAGGTCGCATCAATGGCGAAGTCAAAGCTTGGGTGTAGAACTCTGATGCAACAGACCAGTTTGATAGGCTCTCCATGCTGCTATCGAACAACTCCGAATACGCATATGTGCCCGTCTCTTTGTGCCTCCTGCATACATCTCTCAGGTCATAGTGCCACTCGAAACGTAGGTTCGCAGCAAACCAAGCGGACCTCTTCTCATTGCTCACTATTGTCTTTGTGAGGATAAGGTAATCTCGAACTTCAGGCCAAACAAAGTAATCCGAAAGCACAGGATGCCGGATGGTTTTCTGCATCTCCGTTGGAAGCATGTACTGTGGCAGCTGGCGTCGATTCGGGACCTGCCCATATGCTTTATGGATCAAAGTGTCTCTCACGATCCGCAGATGTGCCAGCCTGACAACGGGCTCACTTCTGGTGTATAGGCCTTGATCCAGAGCCTTTAACATTTGCCAGCCCAGATCAAGATCATACTTGTCCTCAACCTGGCCCCAACCATGGAGAACTGCACGGATCGCAATGTCATCATCCACGGATTGATCCAGCGAAGTAGAAGCGGCTGATCGAGTGTGAGTTTGCACGAAATCAATGGCAGTGTTGAGGGCACCATAATAATTCCTGCTGCTATACTTGCATTGCAATGAGGCATCAAATGGTGTCAAGGAGGTTCTCCTTGGTGATGGCACGACCGAGACAGTTCGGGGCACCGGCAATTGAGGTAAGATCGTTGCATTACTTAACGGGACGAACTGATCAGAGATGGAAATGGTTTCTTCGTCTGCCTGCTCCTCCGCAGCTACGTACTCCATCAGCATCATATTAGAACGACTCGCGATTCGTCAACAGAGTCGCAATATCTCTTCGGCAAGGAATTTTTACTCACCAGGCGCGGTATTTGATGTTGGGGGCGCCAATAGCTTCTGCACACTGGAAACGAGCGCGTTCAGCCGATTAATCTCGGCCTGCTTCTGTTGAATCTGCTTCATCAGAATTGACATCTGCTCGTTGTTGCTGTTCTTCTCCAGGGCAGCAATAGTCTGCTCGAGGTTCGAGATGTATGCCTTAGTCCGAGCTCGAGTGGCTCTCTGAGATTCACGATCCACTGCTCGCCTCCTCTCAAGCCGAGCAGCGCTCATCTTCTGTCGTCGAGACAAGCTTTTGTTGTCACCCTCTCCTGGTGCACACTCAGAGCGGTGAGGCGCCTCTCCTTCACTGCTGTGATCCGACATTGCCTTGTTTTCCATGTCAATAAGCGATTCCAGAATAGGCATCACGCGGCAAGCGCGCTCCAGCACTGGGGCTAGATGTCGAAGAAGAGTCAGCGATGAAGTCAAAGCGATGGAGTGGGGAAGATCTCAATGTAGCCGAGGCTCGCTTGCCGACACCTCCCTAATTCAACACCTTCCGACTCCCGAGGGCTTGGGTACGAGGCACGAAATCTAAGCCCAATCCTGTGTTTGAAGAGCTGTCGATGCTCCTGGCGAACCGCTATGTCTTTTCTTGGGAAGTGTTCGAATTGAGGGCACCTGATGGTTTTGGTATCGCCAATCCCCTGCGTTCTTGACAATACCTCTGTTGCTATTGACTTTTGATACTGAATGCATCGCGCCTTCCCCCAACATTACCCCACTTGCCAAGGCGACAGCAACATGTTTTGCAACGTGTCTACAACTCTGTTACCTCCCCGTTCTTCTAAGAATCATCATCAAGCGAGTGACGAGTACCAAACCGTTTCCGTTGTTATTGTTTGAAGGTGCTGAAATACAAAGCAGCCTCCCATGAGTGATGACGGATTTTTCTCAAGATCAACTATCGGGATGAGTGTGATGGCTACCCAAAGACTATCGGTCTGAAGCTCCCTCTCTCCAGGCCTTTCAAAAACCAGCAGGCAAGTCCTGCCTCTCGCCAATCTCTATTCGGGTCTTCTTTGCATCGATCTCAGCCTTCGAAAGGCCCTCCGATCCATCATCGTGGGCTTTACTCAATATCTCTTCCGCCCATATTTCTACGTCGATGTCCGTCCCCATCGGATTTTGATCATACAATGGCCCTTTCATGAACGCGTCTGCGTCCTCAGGAATGTCAAAGTTGTCTACCTGGAGCTCGACCTTATTTCCATCAGGGTCTCGATAGTAGAGACTGGAAGTCGGTCCGTGATTGACCGCCCACAATGGTTTCAATGGGTTTGAGAGAGTCTTCAAGTAGGTGTACTGTTGGGCCATCGCGGTCAATGTCGGGTACGTGAATGCAATATGGTCAAGCCCGGCGTGACCAACATCTTTTGGTTTGGGTTGGGTGTCTGGTGTCTGAATGATGGCAATCCGATGATGTTCCTCATCATACCGGAGAAACGTCAGCACAGGCGTAGTATGCACAATCGAAGCATTTAGCAGATCCACGTAAAACTGTATCATATCTTTATAGGTGCTTGGAGTCGTCCGGAGGACCACATGGGCGAGCTTTGCCGGGCTGTGTCGAACACCTCGGTGCTTGCCAGTTAGATCGGAGGTGGTTTCAATCGCGGATGGTGCCATTCTGGCTGAGATGGATGAGATAGGTGAGATAGACTCCTTGAGTGTGCTAGATATGGAATGATTGACGAGGGAACACTCCACTGAACATGGACTCAGGTCGAATCGAGGACAATAAAGAATGAGAATAGGTCTACGTGCAGTTGAATTTAACATGTAAGTTCGTTCACAAAGCCTACTTAGGTGCAGCTGAGCCGAGCCGTGCTTCGGCGTTCGGGGTCTTGCTCACACAGGGTCCCTGTCCTTTCCATGGGCTACAGGTGACAGATCCAGCAAGACGTACGAGATGCCCTTATGACTGATGCGGATGACGATGGAGGAAGAATGCAGCCAAAGACCAGACAGGATCGGTCTGATCTTTTGCAGGGACTTGGACTCTTAATCCCGAAGATGCTATTCCAGGCTCGGTCAACGCTTTCTTCCGGCACTACTCGACCGTCACACAGTGCAATGTATACTTCCCTTAATACTGGGCCTTGGTGACTATCCACAAGCCAGACAGCTTCGGATACCGGAGTAAACTCCAGGTGGTCCCGAGATTTGACAGCCTTCACTTCCCCGAACTTTTGACCAATCAGACCGACGGACTCATACCAAGTTTTGCAATAATGGACGCTCTAAGTTCATACTTAGCATGACGAAGGCAAGAAACAGTGATTGAGATGTATATGACTATTTTTAGATTGTCTTGATCAGCCCCCACCGGCAAGATAGTCCTCCGGCGGGGCCGAGAATGACAGCGAGAAAATGATCATGTGCTAACGGTAGGCTGCCTTAGAAGCAGTGATTTCCAATATACAGAAAGAATGGGAAGCTTCAACATCGACAGAGCTATATCCTCATTGTAATGAGCCAACTGGATCACTCGCCAGTCTAGAAAGTGGAAACATGACGCCCACCAAAGCAGAAATCCTCCTTGCAGAGGTCGAGATCCGCCACCTCCTTGTTCGGGAACGCTACTATCGTGATACAGCACAATGGACGAAGTTTCGAGAAAGCTGGCACCCAGACGCCAGTCACACAAAGATACAAGTATCTTGGTTCAGCGGCAACATCGATGAATTCCTTGCTGCGTCACAGGAGATGGTCAAAGGAGGCACGCTGGCGACACACTTGATCATGCCTGTAGATATTCACTTGTCTCCTTGTCACCAAAGGGCTGTATCTGAGTCTACAGGGAACATCACGTTCAAATTCAAGGTGGAGGAAGAGACATATGAGCTGGTCAGCTGGACGCGGTTTATATCAAGGCTCGAGAAGGTCGGCGAAGATTGGAAGCTGGCAGGACTGGAGGCCATCTACGATCGGGACAGTATAACCGTCGCCATGCCATCCACACATGGAGATGGAGCACATGGTACTTCGTTTAAACATGTGGGCAGACGAGAAAGTTATTCCAGTCTTGCGTGGTTTCTCGAGCAGAGAGGACTACCTGTCAGCGACGACCTTGCCGGCACGGACAGGCCACAATCGGTGGAAGAGCTTATGGTCCGACAATTTGACTGGCTGGACAAGTAGTTACTCCCCAGGGATACCATACTCTAGAGTGAAGGATTATCTTATACGAAACCTAACATGTGATAGTCTCGGCTCCTAGGCTTGCTCTCGTGCGTGAAGTCTTTGGGCATCGGACAAACTGCCCATCATACCTCGCGAGGGACGAGAGAAAATACTCAAATCTTCGGCTTCGAGGGACCTGGCATATCCACAAACGGAAACCACCTCGGGTCCGTCTTGGATTCAATGTCTTTTCCTTCCAGCTTCTTGCGTCGGTACACTGCTTGGCTCGGTGGCACAATGCTTGGCTCGGTGGCATAATGCTTGGCTCGGTGGCATAATGCTTGGCTCGGTGGCACAATGCTTGGCTCGGTGGCACAATGCTTCGGTATTGCCAAGCCCGAACCTCCGAGCCCTTTCCCCTGAGCTCAGTTTCTGAATACCAAACTGCCGCAGAAACGGGCGTCTGGAATTCGTTCCCATCAAGGTGCTCAATTCAACAGAGTATAGTCATTTCTGAACGTGGCTCTGTATGGGGACCAAACCAAATACATCAACATTTGCATGGGTCCAAGGGCCTGCGTGCCGCTTTCTCTATGTCCCATACGAATACTTGGAAAAATAACTTTGCTAGTATGACTCTCTGGGAACAGAATACATTCTTCCGGGCTGACGGACAGTAGGCCCAAATTCTATGCAACTTAGTTCCTATGCTGCTAAACTCCTAGTCTCTAGGCTTGGGCAGGACAGAGAACGAAACATCTGGATGTCGACTATTTGCCTTGACCGCTCAATACGTGTATCGATAACCTGGGTGTTTATCACCAAGCGCATCTTGTTGATCTTGCGGAAGCTCTAGCAAATGGTTTCGTGCCCCAATGCTCTTCTGCTTGTTTTCATACCAGGCGTATGTCAGATAACCGACTGCGCAGATCTGAGTGAGAACAACGCAAGAGATCGACACACTGTATCCTGTGACATAGCGAGGGGCTTCACGCTTGAGGTACACAGTGCTTCCGATAACACTGCCACAACTGCCAGTCCCCAAAAGGACTGCAGTCGAAATGCCTCTTCTTTTTGAGCCCAGAATGTTGTTATTGAGCCATGATACTGTCACCCCAATGGATGCGAAGCACCCACTGGTGACAAAGAAAAGCGCCATGTAACGAACTCGAACACTTGTTGAGTTGTGTGATAACAGTAACCCGTAGCCCAGGAGGCTAAAGAAATTTGGGACGATTACAAAGGGCGAACGAATTTTGAAATGGTCCGATAAATACCCACTCAGAACTGCAAACATCAGTGAGCACATGTGGATGGGAATGCTCATATATTGAGCTTTGAGCGCAGTCCAGCCTAGTTCCACCAGAATGGTTGGTAGAAAGTACGCGGCAGCCGCGCCAGTGAGAGCGATGCCGAGATACATGAGCGAGCTTCAGAATTGCCTTAGTAGATGGTACAGACATATGCAGGTCCTGTCCTTACCTGAAGAGGAGCTTTGGGTCGCACATGCAATCCTTGAAAACTTCCCAGGTCGACTTTGTCTCAACATAATCTTTGGTATCGTGGGCCAATTTTCGAAGAAGCACTGTCCTCTCGTCGTTGTCCAAGAATTTGGCTTGTTCTGGCCAGTCCGGCAACACATAGAAAGCGATGCATGAGGAGAGAACAGTGAATGCCCCCTCGAGGATGAAAATCCATCTCCATGGTCGGTGCCCACCGACACCATCCATGTGACCAATTGCGTAGGCAAGAAGCTATGGATTTCATCAGTAAAGAGCACATCACGAACAGAAGCATAAACTTACTCCACCAAATGCTATTGAGAGCACACTTGCTGAATACCAGAGGTTGACTCGAGTACTAAGCTCGTAGCGGGTGTAATACATCGACAACAGATATAAGGCGCCTGGAAAATAGCACGCTTCAAACACCCCAAGCAGCGTTCTGCAGACTACAAGACCTGCAAAGCTTTTGGTGACTCCCATCCCAATCGTCACAATGCCTGAAGAAAGAGCATCAGCGTATATTCTGATGTGAAGACAAGAAGACATGACAGGAACGGGGAGAGGGGCCTACCCCAGCAAAACACAATCGTCGGCAGATACAACGAGGGTCGCAATTTCTTCATGAGGATATTTGCAGGGATATCGAGAGTGACGTAAGGTATGAAGAAAACGAACAGAGCAATGTTGTAGTCGCTGCCCTTCATCCCCAGTTCAGCTTCTAGGCCCATGATGCGTGCGTTGCCAATGTTGGTACGGTCCAAGAATGCGACAAATATGAGTAGCAGCAGTATAGGAACCAATTTTAAGTCTGTCTTCCTCAAGACTCTGCGCTGAAGTTCAAGTTCTGCCGCATCCGCAATTTCGTCTTGAACACCACCCTTTTCAATTTCCGCAAAGCTTGCAGCAACAGCTGTCTTCGGCTGGAAAGGAGTATCACTGGGCTCCACTTGCTGCGGCATGGTGATTGGTAGCTTGCTTGAAGAGCTTTTGCTGAAAGTGGTGAGCACCTGAAGCATTGTATTACGAGGTCATCACTGATGACTTTATATTGACCCCAGGATATCACCGAGTCCCACTTTCCTGTATGATGAGGGGGGGTCCGGGGGTTAGCAGCATTTAGACGAACAATTCTTAGACTCACGCCGCGCAAGGTCTGGAGTCTCAATTTCTCCTCCGAAGTATCACATTTCGTGTTAGACGAGATACACTACCGTATCCCTGCGCCGAGGGTTAGTCGAACGAAGCCGAAAGCTGCATTTTAACCAAGGTATTCCATGGAAAATACCCCAGATGTGTCCAAGCTCTTCCCCAGTCGTAACGATGTTGACACTACGTTCGGACCTCTCACAGAATGCAAAAAATTGAGACCGGCATAGCATATCAATCATAGATCTCTCCGGAAGTTGTAACCGTCAACGTCCGAGCACCGAAAAAGCTCCCGAACATCAGTAATGTCTGGGTGTCGGCGGTGGACGTTTCGAGAACAACCGAATATTCCTCCCCAGTGATATTGGCGATACTTGGGATCGAAGACACCGTGTGGCCACTAGAACAACCATAATGAATCGTTGAAAACGCATTTAGTCGAAGTTCCCTTCTTTGCCCCCGCCTCACTATTTGCTCTGCGAAAATTTGGGTTGCATCTCAGGGGACATATCATCTTCTGGAATGGCTCCAATGATAGATATTCCGGTGGTAATAGTGGGAGGTGGAGGATGCGGCCTCAGCCTCTCTTGCTTCTTGTCAAATTATGGAATAGAGCATGTCCTTTTAGAGAAGCACCATGATACGTCGGTCTTGCCGAAAGCCCATTATCTCAACCAGCGTAGCATGGAAATTTTCCGTTTACACAACCTTGAGGACGAATTGAGAAACAAAAGCTGCCCAGCGCGCTATATGAGCCAGATTGCATGGATGTCGACATTAGGTGGCAGTGGCCCAACCGACCGGAAACTTATTTACAAAACCTCTTGCTTTGGAGGAGAAGATGGTACAGATAGGAATACCACATACCGGTAGGTTAACAAGAAGGCAGAAGAATTTGATGCTAATTTTCCTTGTAGGAATGACGCTCCAGTACGGTCGGTAAATCTTCCACTATGCCGCATGGAGCCGATATTGCGACGCCTGGCAACCGAGAAAACCATCGCCAGAGTGCTTTTTGACCACATAGTTACAGACATTAGGGACGACGGAGACTATGTTTACGTAGGAGGGAAAGATACTGACGGTGTGGAGTTCAGATACCGTGCCAAATATCTAGTTGGAGCTGACGGTGGCCGGACTGTTGGCCCTAAAATCGGCGTGGAGATGGAAGGTGAAAAGGGGCTCACGGACATGATCTCGGTGCATTTCCTGGCAGATCTGTCGCAATACTGGGACGAACGCTTCTTCGCATGCCATATGATCAACGGCAATTGCGGCACAGTCTTCGAAAGTGGCGCTATCGTTCCCATGGGCCCCAATTGGGGCAAGCACTCTAAGGAATGGATCTTTCACTTTGGCTTTGATCTAGATGATGAAGCTAGATTCGAAGAAGAGAAGTTGATCCCACGCATCCGGGAGATCTTGAATATTCCCAACCTTGATATCAAGCCAATAAAGACAAGCCATTGGATCATCGAAGCCGTACTCGCGAACAAGTATCGGCAAGGGCGCGTTTTTATTGCCGGTGATGCAGCACACAAGAGGCCACCCACGACTGGCCTTGGACTGAATACAGCGATTGAGGTAAGGCCCATCCATCAATCCAATACGTTAGTTTAACGATTCAAAGGACTCGTACAATCTAGCATGGAAACTCTCATTAGTCCTAAAAGAAAAAGCAGATGCTAGGATTCTCGACACCTATGAGTCTGAAAGAAGGGCTATTGGGAGAAGAAATGTGGACTGGGGTCTTTTCACGTTTCAGAACTCTGCCGTTATCAATGCTGTGATTGGGCTTGTCCCTGGACAAACAGCGAGTAATCGGGCCAGATTTGCTAAGATGTTTGAAGATTCAGAGATTGCGGCAGCATTGCGCGCACAAACTGCCAAGATCATTGACTCCCAAAGAATTGAATTCTCAGCCCACAACATTGAATTGGGCTTCAAGTATGGAACTGGGGGATTTGTTGTCGATGACGGCACGGAGCCCGATGAGAGCGACCCATTGGGCCAGAACTATGTTCCTAGTACTCGACCTGGAAGCCGCCTTCCGCACGCGTGGATCGAGCTTCTTGACAAGAAGATGAGTACTCATGATGTCGCCGGGAGCGATGGCGGCTTTGCATTATTTACGGATGATGTGGGTGAAGCATGGATCTCAGTTGCTCATAGGTTCGCAAATTTCATGGGCATCAAGATCTCAATTGCACAGTTTGGGCCACTGCTTCACCATGTCAAAGACTGTGATGATGTTTGGGCAAAGGTAAAGGGGATTAAGCGAGGAGGTGCCCTGTTCGTCCGACCGGACAATATCGTTGCTTGGCGATCTTTGCACAAGAGCAGAAGTGAAGGAGGAGAGCTGATGCAGGCCCTTGAGCTGCTCTTTGGAAGGGGCATTGCAACTATGAACGGTGTGAATGGTACCAAGTAGGAGAGACGTGTTTGTCAAGGTGTGATTTATTTAAAAGTTGTGAGGAGGAACCACAATTGCGGCACGTGATGCGGAGCGGGCGCTCACGTGATATGCCAAGGTTCGACCTATGGTTTCTCATTGCTGTAAACTACTTTACCGCTATTCATTCAAGCTGGCATTAATAATCAAGACCTTAAAATTCAGGCCCCACAGCATCTAGGGATGTCAAATCGAGTTACAGCCGTACAGGGTCCCCCTGAATTTGTGGCCCATTTTGTGGGATGGAGTCTCCACATCCCCCACATTTCGGAGTTGGACTGAGTTTTCACCGAACTCCGAAGGCTGTTTTCAACGTCGACAAAGACAGAGCACAATCCCAGGTACACACTTTGTAACGTTGTATTTGGCGTATTGACAGAGCATCTTGAATCAGCTGGACCGCCGGAGCGGTTTAGAGCAGTTCTGCGAATGTCAGCCCACAGAGAAGGATCGAAATTTGCCACGGCATGTTCCAATTGTCGTGATAGAAAGGTCAAATGTCTGTGACTAGAAAAGATGAAACCAAGTCGAAGCAAGCACTGACCTTCAAGCCTCAAGGTGTCGATGGTATCCCCTGCAAAGATTGTCGTAGAAGAGCTAAAGAATGTGTTGTTCCTCCATCTCGACGGAAAAGACGAACCACCACGGCACCTCAACTCTCTGCACCGATCGAGAATAGAATCGCACGGATGGAAGCTTTGCTCCAGAACGCAGTCACCACCGGTCCAAAAACTTCGAAAACGATTCCTACTAGAAACAATGAGAAGCTCGATGCAGAGCGTGTCTCTGGCATTGCAACCACAGCCACTCCTTCCGATACAATCTCAGAGACTATTGCATCAGGTCGAGAAGAGATTGAGACCGCCAAACAGCTAGGGAGACCTGATAATGCTCTTGGTCGCTCCTGGGAGAATGTCCCTAGAGGGAATTACCGGGCGACTTCGCACGGTTTCGCACTCGATCATTCGAATGGCTTCTCTGAAGGGCTGTCACATGCTTCGTTGTCGCCAGAGCAACCCCAAAACTCAAGCACCAACTACCCTGAAAATTCAAACCCTCTAGACAGTGAAGATGGAGTAATCCAGCTTCAAAGTGTTAACTGGGAGCATCATGGTCCTAGTTCCTGGGTCTCGGTATGTTCTCCACCAGGTCTAAGGTGGGTTTGTGAGAGGACGGGTACAAACGAATTCATAGACAGCGCGAGGCTCTTAGTCCACACCTGGTCTAGTCGCCTCACTATGAAGACCCATTCGGTCACAGCCCAGAAACCGCCAGAGCCAGATGCTACGATGGCTTGGGCGTACACTTCAGGTATGGATTCTTCCCAGGCCCACTGATAGGGAATCTCCACATCATTTTCAGGATGCGCTGACTCTGGTAAGCGTACTTTGAGGATTGTTATGATGCCGTTTTTGGCGTTGTACATCGCCCAGCGTTTGAAGTTCGTCTTTCCCAACATCTGGAACAACCACAAAAACAACAACCAGCAGAAGAGGATCCTGCATGGTACGCATTGAGGAACGTGGTATATGCTGCCGGTTGTCGATGCCTACTCGCCCGAGATCGTCAAGTACCGTTTGCGAAAGCTCAGGCGGAAGCTTGGGGCCTATTCTCTAATGCTTTGGCTGTGATTGCCGATTTGGTATTTAAGCCCAGTGGTCTGCTCACCGTGCAGGCCATCACTTTGATGGTAACTCTCCGTCACAACTTCTTTTGCGGGTTGTCCGTCAAGTAACATGGTCCAGACTTTTTACGCGGAAGGATTGGGTAGCCCTGCGTTGGAATACTATCTTTCCGGGTTAGCAGTGCGAATGGCCCAAGGGAAGGGCCTTCATCGTCAGCCAGCAAAATCCTGGCGATTACCAGAAGCAGAAGTTCTTCAAAGAAATTGGCTTTGGTGGACAATCTATTGCTTGGACAAGCAATTGGCTTTTCGCTCCGGCCGACCGTCAGCGATCGACGACGAGAATATCAGCGCCGAGATACCAAGAGCTGCTCCTCCGGGAAGTCCTATTGATGTCAACATCTTGACCTATATCATTAGACACGCTCAAATATCAACACAGATATCGCGCCGTATCATGTCCGTCAAGGCATCTCAGCAATCACTAACAAATCTAATCAACACCGTCCGTGACATTCATCGTCAACTGGAAGAATTCAAACAATCTTTGCCGCCAGATCTTCAGATTGAAGAAGATGTTCTTCCACTCCAAGATCGACAGTCCATATCACGCCTCATACACCTGGTCTACATCAGATTTGCGCTGTACGGGAGTATAATGGCTGTGCATATCCCATTCTTCTATCCCTGGATCGCTGCGAGACTCCGAAGTACAGAAACAAATGCTGCCCTGGACGAACAGATTGCGCTGTCTTCAGCGGCTGTGGCTGCTGCGGCACCCAAAATCATCCTGGCACTTCGATCTCTAACCATCAACGTTTCCGTGCCTGCCTGGCTTGCGTTCTACTACCCGATGTATGCGCATATCAATATGTTTGTGCAGATTTTGAAGAGTCCCAGTGCCCCTTCAGCAGCTTCGGATCTAGCACTTCTAGATGTTTGTGCAGGTCACTTTGGGCACATTGATTTTGTCACGCTATCCGAGATTTCGTTCCCATTCGCAAAGGAGTCTGCGAACTTGGCTTACAAAGTAGTCAAGGCCTATACGGAAACAAATCAGCACGATGACTCACGGCCTATTCCAACAAATTCAAAGTTTAGCAATGGCCTTCTCGCGACAGCAGATACTGGTGACAGCCGATGGATTCAGGCGGGATTCGAGCAGCCAAGGTATTTCGATTCGATGACTGATGTAAGTGATTTTTGCCGCCTTGATGTGGTGTACATGCTGCAGTCACGGGTCTTGATCTCTAATCTAGTGATAGAACAATTTCAGTTTCACAGAATTCAACATGGATGCTTGGAACATGTTCAGCTCTGTCGATGATCTGGATGGGTTTGGAGACATAAGTGATTTCCGTACCTGAAAGGTTTGACGAATATACTGCCCCTGGGCAAACGAAGATGACCCAGTTGATTAGCGGCAATTCTGCGTCTTTCGTCTCCTCTAAGTCTATGGCACACAGGGAATATGGATGCTTGGTGTCAAGAGAGATACGACGCCGCCGAGTCACTGTCTTTCTCACGGAGATGCGACGGAGACACATAAATCTTTCATGGCTCTGACTAGGCGAAGTGCTACAAAGGATAGAGGCTGTACGAAGGGCGCAACATTAACTCTAATGTATATGAATACATACCCAGCACTCTCTGCCAGTGCGTCGGACACAGGACAGGAGGTCCTTCTACCTGCTGCGTCTCGTAGTCCATACATACAAGGTAAGTGTATTGGCACTGCACCGATGATCGAGGATGGCGTTGAGGATCGAAACGACCCTGTTGGCGGACGCTAAATGTTTCGGAATGCTTTCCATGCCAAAGCACATGGATACGGGGACATGTTAACCTGCTTCCCATTCGTCCGGGGTGATCTTTGTGGCGCAAGGGGACGTACATAATTGCGTTATCTCCCCAGGTTCCGTTCAGTTTCTCTGCCAGGCTCAGCTAGGCCGATAGCCTATGGATCACGCTAGTCTGTCCATCTGATTTTCAGTTTGTGCACCTCGTATAAGTTATCGTCGTCAAATGCAGTATGTTCAACTATCTCGCTTTTATTTGTCGGCCTGCGCTTTTATACGGCCGTCTGTATCATAAGGCGCGTGGGGATAGATGATTGTAAGGCTTTTCCACTGATGTTCTTGCGACAAAGCTCTACTAACATCCACAGACTTGTTATTTTCGTCCTTGGTATGTCTGCCCCAGATACGTTTCCAGTTCCTTACTCATCCGCTATCACGAACTCTGCTCTTCGCGCTAATGTTTCTATCTTTGACTGCTTGAGTAGGTGATTCATGTTTCCTGGCCAAGATGCAGCGGGCACTGAATGCTCCCAGATCTGAGGTATGGACTTGGACGATATCTGCGGGATGTCCATATTCCACGTTAAACCCTTGGTTCATGAAGGTAGGAAGCTTCCACGCCGCCAGGATCATCCATGGACCTCAAGAATAGTCGGCACTGACACAGCTCAGGTTGGGGTGATTTCTGGCGTCTTTTATGGATTTTCGATCATGCTCACCAAGCTCTCTATTCTAACACTGTCTCTTCGGATTGGTGCCTCGAAGGGAAACTCAGAGCCACCATCTACGTTGTCATGGTCGCCGTTGTGTTGTACATACTGGTGGCCGCGTTCGACTGGGTGTATTCTTGTCGGCCGCTGGAAAAGTACTGGGATCTGGCCATCACCACTGGTTCGTGCATTAACTGGGTAAAGATCGCAGTCTTCTCCGGTGTCATGAACGCCCTTACAGATTTTATGCTTCTTGTCCTGCCAATCTTCATTTTACGCCATCTGCGGCTCCCAAAAAGGCGAAAAGTCGGCGTCATACTTTCTTGATGACTGGAGGGTTGTACGTATTAAATACATGATCCGCTGAGCTGCATAAGGAGGAACACTGGGCTTACTGGGCTTCTAGTGTACTGTTTGTTAGCATTGTCAAATCCAAGCGCACAGTTGCCCTAGTCAACAGCTCCGATCTTACATGGGATCTCGTTGGTTCCACGATATGGTGGTAAGTGTGCACGGCGTCAATTTTGAGGTGAAGGTCAACAATATAATTCTGGTGACGTTCGAGCTCATAACAGGGCACTTGAGGTGCACATGGCCATTGTTTGCGCCTGTCTACCAGCTGGAAAACCCTTCCTGCGGAAGCACATGCCCAAGCTCATGGGCAGTAGTTCCAGCAACACGGATTCCAACGAAATAAATAGAGGTCTAATACGGCACAGTCGTAGTAGACCATTCTCTTCATTGCCGAGGGCGGAGACTGCTTGGATACCCAGGAACTGGATGTTGAATTGGGTAAAGGATCGGACGAATGCTTGGGATTGTAAAGGATGCTCGCTAGCGAGTCCGGGACTCAAAGCCTCAGCTCTTGATGGGACGACCACACCCATAGTCGAAGCAATAGCACAAAAGACCGACGAATATCAGGATCCCAGCTTGGACTGAAGGATCGATCGCTGTTGGTATTCGTTTGCGCCGGACTTCAGACCACGCGGAACCTTTGGGGCTGCGTTGCTACATGACCTCAGGTTCAGCTTTGCAAAAGCCATTTGACTTTCGATGTTTGTATTAACTGACAGCTTACCATAAGGGGAGAATAATCGAGGCTAGGGATTACAATGCCGATTTCCAAAAACCGCAATGCTATTTTAATATTAGACTTTGTGTATCCTCTACGAGTAGCTCGCAAGTTAAGGGATTGGACAAGACAAGGTGGTTCGCCCGGCCTGATCTGGCCAAAAATTGCTTCGGGAAGGGGTCCCTGCGTAATTGACTCTCGCGATGCGCGATCGTCTGAACAGAACAGTAAAATAAAAATTGAAAACGAAACAGTCGTGCCGTCATCGGGTTCACGTCCCCCGTAAAAACCTTATATCCCGCACCTCTGGGGATCCAGTTGTGTTTGCCACTATGTGGGTGCCAGGGGCTTTGTGTGTTTGACGGAGGATCTGAGATGCGGACCTGATCGCTGTTTATTTATTGACAAGTAGATCTGAGGGTTCCGAACGGCTTCCTTGAGCCCGGCTGTCAGAGTGCTCCAGGGCGCTTGACAGGGCTGTAAACGATCTGGTAGGCTAAGCTTGGACCGCAAGGGCCCCCAGGATTGCGAACTGGCGAAGGCAATATACGTCGAGGATGGATTTCAGTCAGTAGACCGAAGTGGAATCTGGTCAATACTAGTCAGTAGTGGTCGTTCTATCGTGGAATTTGTCTCTGCCGAGAGAAGGGAAGGAGTTGACAGGTACCCGCGGGCACCCACAGGCAGCCACACCCACGCTGGGGGATTGGGATTACCTAAGCTAATGCCAAGACTGTGGGCGACTGGTCAGCCTGACTAGGGTGGAATGTATGGAAATATCGCGCATCAATGAACGGTGAAGCATAGAGCCCTCTACCACTACTCTCTTTGCTAGCTTATGTCGCATGGGGCTGTAGATTCACGTTGGACTGATTAGTACTCGTCGATAGTGTCGCGACTTGGGACCGACTCCCCCGAGAGGCGCGCTCGAACGGCCTCCCACCTCCCACCTCCGATGCCACTGGACAGTGTGCAATGACACTCGAACATCGCTCCGTAGTCTCAGTCCTCATCTTCCCACCCAACCCATACGCGACCACACCGCATCGAGTCCTGCTGTTCCGCCGATCTGACAAGGTACGGACCTACAGGGGAAAACTCGCGCCGATCGCGGGGTCGATCGAGGCGTCGGATGCGTCTCCGTTGAGTGCAGCATGGCGCGAGCTGAAAGAAGAGACGGGTCTTGGTGCCGAGGATATAGAGCTTTGGAGAAGAGGGCCGGGCTTTGAGTTTGTCGATGAGACGGCCGTCAGCGCTGGTGGTAGTGGTAAGGAAGGGAATGATGAGAACAGGGGTCGCACATGGAAGGTCTGGCCGTTTGCGTTCCGCCTCAAGAGAGAACTTGAACTCGAAGTGCCAAAGGTGGGTCAACCGCGGCCAGATGAACCGACTACTAGTCGTACGACGCAGGTGAGCATTGATTGGGAGCACACTGGCTACGAGTGGAGGACGATCGACGAGATACTGGGCAATGGCAAGGGTGAGGGCAAGGAGACGGCGAAACTCATAGTAGACGACTGCGTCCCGAGATTGGAGGTAACATTAGGGCAGGTGTGGGTTAGTCCGGACAGTGCCTTGCATCAGGGTCTAGAGAGGCTGCGGCTGGATCACTCCAATGGAGCGAGGCAGCTAGCGACCATGGCTGTGGAGACTTTGGTCGAGTTGATCACGGATTTGGATACCCAAGCGGATACCCTCGACCAGGTACGAGTACATGGACCGGAGGCCTGGTGGAGAGACTTCCGGCTGCAAGCCTTCCACCTGGCGTTCAATGCGCGTCCGAGCATGGCTGCCGCGATATCAAAGTCTGTAGCTACTGCTCTGTCGCGGGTTGGAGATGTTACGGATCTAGACCCAGAGTTCCCAGGTAAGGTCAGACTCGCCTTGAAATCCTATCTTCAGCAGAGGAATGAGCTCTCGAAACGAGTGGGTGTGGCATTCTCCGCGGTTTTGAAGGAGAGATACAAGACTTGTGAGCAGGAGGAAACGAAGTGGATCAAGATCTTGACGCTCAGTTCTTCGTCTACGATCAAGGCTGCGGTGATATGCGCACTCGAGGACAATCCTTTGCTCCATCTGGAGATCCGCGTGCTCGAATCCCGCCCGCTCTTTGAAGGAGTGAGTTTCGCGGAGTTCTTGACGGACGCGGCAGCGACGCAAGGGGAATCAGGTGCTGAGACGCAGGGATTTCGCAATCGCCTGCGCGTCGTGATTGGCACGGATTGTTCCGTTGGCATTCTTAGCCAGGACATTGACTTGCTGATACTCGGTGCAGACCGCATATCGGAGGCTGGGGATGTTAGCAATAAGACTGGATCTTTACCGGCAGCTTTGACGAGCAAGCATATCACACAAGGCAAGTGTCGCGTCATCTGTATCAGCGAGACTGATAAGATCGCTCCACCGGGTTCGCTAGACGAACATGGAGAAGAAGACAATGATCCATCTGAAGTCAGTAAGGCCTGGAATTTACAGGGTCGAGAAATGAATCAGACAGACTCTTCCAAGAAAGATTCTGTGCACGTCTCCAATGTTTATTTCGAATGGGTGCCTGCCGGATTGATCGACTACTACGTCTGCGAAGATGGGGTGTTGCCTGTGGCAGAGATTGCACGACAGTCTCAAGAGATGGCAGTGCTGATTGATCAAGTCTTTTCAGATTTGTAGATTCATCGACTGGGGATTCCAGCCTTCTGGCAAGAGAGGGGCGGAATAGCTGACACGTGGACGTGGACCAGCCTTTGAATGAGTCCTACTCGTACAAGGTAGCTCGACAAGGATGGTTCGTTGATGTGTGGCCCATTTCTCTGGTCGCTCCCCACGGGCAAGGATCGACAGGAACAGATTTGACTGCTCATGGGGATGCAACCGTGAGGAGACGGTGGTACCAAGCAATGTGAGACCCTGAGCAGCTCTCAAGGTCGCGGGGGATCTACGATATGCCGTCAACCCGTTGTTGGGGAGGGTGACAACTTCGGCTACAGACAGGAGACAGTGATTTGTCGAGCGAGCACGAAGTAACGAGCACATGCTTGTCGTCGAGGCAGGGAATTTTATCGGGTAAAGCTTGCAAATCTCAGAATAGGGGAGCTGATTGCGCTCTCATTCGTTGCCATCGACTCGTCCAGCCTGCAGTGCGGAAGAACCTTCAGATCCATGATGGGCACTAGTGCAATGCATGCATATTCTAGAAGGTCGAGTTAGGCTCTTGAGCTACGGCCACTTGTAAGGGCTGAGTTTGCTGGACATCGGGCGAGCAATGAGATGTTTAGCATGATCCAAACTTCCGCTCGCATGCTTGAGGCATGGATTGGAGCTCTCCATGGCGGAAGAGGTCTCAACATCTAAAGGTGTTCAAATGCGAGCCCGACGCCACCTCCCAACGGCTTGGAAGTTCGGCGTTGAAATGTGAGATGGAGTGCTACCAACAACCCGCGTCTTAGGCTTTTCGTAGCCCTACTTAGTACTCGGGACGAGATACTCTTGACTTGGCCTTCGTGGATTCTAAACCAAATCTCACATGGACAGTAGTAGTAAGATCGATGGTGCTCGGGACAGGGAGCGAGGCAATCATGAACCATTTCAGATTCCATGCCGAGAACATGCAAGCCACATCGTCGACGACCTAAAGCGAGAACGGGAGACTAACAGCGCTCAAGAGCCGTACTCGGTAGTGCAATGTCAATCTCAAGACCCACGGAACCAGGGCTCGCATTGCAACGTCTGTCTCTGTCTTTTGCGTAGCGTGTCGCATATGCTCTCCGCGCCACATGGTTTAAGTTTTCTTTGGATGGGAAAAATCTGCGCGCTCAAGGGAACGGAGATGCCGCGAAGTTGGAAGGCAAAGACAAAGGTTCAAGTGAGGTGGGGTAATTGCAGGGGCCTCCACCGTCAGCGGGCTGGAGGCCTGCTCTGGCGGCCGCGGAGTATCGGTGGATACCTGAATGGATGGCACCAGCTACTAATGGAGTATTGGGCGAAAAACTTTGTATAGAGTTGGGACTATAGTGGGTGGGTAGGTAGCCCGTTGCGCATACAGATACCTACTTAGGGTAACTGATCACGGAAAGAGGTTTTTCTCACGCAAATTGGGGCAAATGAGCTTCCTTAAGGAGCTGGCACGAAAACAAAGGTGTCCTGCTGGAGGCGTCTGTAGTGGCTTTGTGGAGGGGCACCCTGTGTTGGCCACTGGAGGACGGCGGGAAATGAGATGCAAATGATACGGCGGAGGAGGACGAGGAGGGTGAGTCGTCGTCGTCGTCGTCGTCGTCGTCCTCCTCCTCCTCCTCCTCCTCCTCCGCGGTCTCCGGCAAGAGCAACGCGCATCGAGTGCATCGTGAGCCGTGAGTCATAACTTCCCTCGTACCACTGGCGCATCACATGTTCAGGGTGGAGGTCTACCAAGGAAGCAACCATCTCACCTTCCCCAGCGTCTCAGTCAGCGTGGCAGGCTTCGAAGCGAAGGAAGGAACGGCCAACCGATAGGCGGAGAGCAAAGCGCTCTGATGCCTGCGGAGCGTCCAGCGGTTGGCCTCTAAGTTGTAACTCGTTGCATCTCTTCTCACACCTTGCAGCCCGCACACGCACCCCTCACACCACGTTGCGCTCAGGCTGACCTCCAGACCGACTACCGAGTCCATGGAGGAGTGCAGGTGAAGTCCGGAGAAAGGGGGAGATAATGAGGTCAATACGTACCGAGGATTCTGTGTGGAGGGGATCTTCCTTAGGTTACTTGTTGGGCAGAGAGGCAAGCGCCGTCGCAGTGTTACAGCAGCTAATACCATGGAGATCAGGTATCGACTACGAAGGCGGGCTGCGACGCGTATGGCCGGACAACGAACGAGCGGCATGCCGTGCCTTGGGCGTCTCAGCGTCATCACAAGTCACGAGTCCCAACTCTCCAGGAGCGCCTAGTCCACAGGACTCGTACGGACCAGCGCTACCTGAAACATGGTCCATGCCTCGTGACTACGCTCGTCCAGGCTCCTGTCTCGGGCTTGGACATGAACTTGGTCTTCGTGTGCGGTCTTGTCGCGCCTCTCAGCGCTGGGGACGGAATACCGAGTATTATTGCCATGTTTGGGGCCCAGCAGAGATCACGAACACGAGCGGCGACTATCACGGTCAATCGGAACGAGTGACTCTGGGACAGAAGTCTATGCGTCACTGGCAGGAAATTGAGGCAGACACCGCATCCACCAATAGGTCACCAAGCATGCAAAGCTTTTCTGCGGTGGAGCTTCGAGCGCACATCCTTCCCAGAGCGAAGACAGCGAAGGGAGATTTCAAATGCCACTCCCCGGGAAGACTACGGTAGATTACCCACCACATCACCAGTGGACCTCCAGTCGAACCAGAGCAAGGGAGTAGGGGTCCCCGCCCCGTCCACAAACACCCCTAGAACCCCGCAACAAGGTATCATTGCCAAGGGACGGGCGTGCGTTGGGCGGCGGGCTAGCTGAAGCTACTCTGGCACTCGATCCAGGCGTCACCCAAGACGACTTATACCTTACCCAGGTGGGACATCGACCCCAGCCCATCCAGCCTCGAGCTCGGGAAGCATGATCTGGTCGCGAGGGTGCTCGGTACCTTTGGTACAAAGTGACCTTTGCCAAGCTGGAGTTCGAGATTGGCAGTCAAGGTCAGCGGCAAAGTTAGGCGGGCATCGAAGAGATGGACGCCACGGTCGCCTCAGATTTCTCGGGTCTGCCATCGAATTGACCTGCTCGTATGATTGAGCCGCGTCGAATGTCTCGAACGATGGGCCCGGGGGCTATGGATCATCGTAGTATTGACAGCAATGGCCGGCTGGGGCAATGTCAAGCAGTCAGATGTGGGGACGACCACAGCACCAGACAAGGCTTGTCCACCTTAACTGATGGAATTTTCCTGGGAGCTGGCGGGGGATCCTGAATGAGAAGATGCTCCGTGTGATGGCGTTTGCATCTGTCGCTTTGATGTCGGCAGTGGATTCGAATGGTCGATCGGGGCTCTCTGGCCCAGGGGAGACTGGGTGGAGGGTCACATGCGGCGAAATCAAGGTTGCACAGATCCACCGCGGACAATGGCAAATGACATTCTGGACCAAGACGCAGTGGATAGGGAACAATCCCAATGAGGCATCGTCCTGGTCCTTGCTGGCAGCCCTGGTCGGCATTCCAGTCCAGCTGCACGGAGTTGACGAGTAGCTCCATCTGGAGAAACTTAGATTCTGGCAGCCCTGGTCGACGAGGCTACCGTCTAGCGTCACTCGAACCTCCTCGTACTCCATACCTGGTACTCCGTCCTGCGCAAACTTTGCAACACTCAGGCTCAGGTCACAACATCTCTCGATCTTTTTCTGCTTGCCCCTCGACTGCGTCCTTCGTCGCATGGCATTGTTTGCATTGTATCCCTGCCTGCCTAGCGCATCCTTTCCCACCCCGGCTCTGGCTCTGGCTCTGGCTAAAGGTGGAGGCCCGGTTCACCGCAAAACATGCCCTAACACCAAGGAGCAGTCTGTTGCGAGTCGTGAGTCGTGACTGCCACGAATGCGAGGGCAGGTGGTTCCAAATGGATTCAATCCCGATAGGATGCACACTAGCAGTGACGGTACGGAGTAGCACTCCGTACTTGTGAGTCTTGTGAGTCCTGAGTCGTGACTGCCTCTCGCCTCTCGCCTCTTGCCTCTTGCCCTGGTCCTTGCACCTTCACTGTCCATTCTCCAATGCGCCTACCTTCCCAGGTGACACCTCGTTCACATACCATATAAACTTCACTTCCTCCCCCATTCCTGCCAGCAGCCCTTCTCTTCTTCCCTCCATTCCCCTGTTACTTGGTATATTCCAGCCCACTCCATCACCGTGGTCCATTCACCACCGCAGCCATGGCCACCAAGGAATCTCCCCGTGCTTCTCGAAGCAACTCAATGGCTCTTCGCACCACCGAGGATGTCAACGCCATTGAAGCCCCCGTCACCTGGAAGGCCTACCTCATCTGCGCCTTTGCCTCCTTCGGTGGGATCTTCTTCGGATACGACTCCGGTTACATCAACGGTGTCAATGGCTCCTCCATTTTCATCCAGGCCGTCGAAGGCCCAGATGCCACCAAGCTGTCTTCCTCCCACCAGTCCCTCATTGTCTCTATCCTCTCTGCCGGCACGTTCTTTGGCGCCCTCATTGCTGGTGATCTGGCCGACATGATGGGTCGCAAATGGACCATCATCATGGGCTGCGGTATCTATCTCATCGGTGTGATCATCCAAATGATCACGGGAATTGGTGATGCTCTTGGTGTTATTGTCGCTGGTCGTCTCATTGCCGGTATCGGTGTCGGTTTCGAATCGGCCATTGTCATTCTCTACATGAGCGAAATCGTAAGCTCCTCTTGCCCTGCCAATGGTGCCGCACACACCCAACTAACTTCAACCCCTAGTGCCCCCGAAAGGTCCGCGGTGCCCTCGTCGCTGGCTATCAATTCTGCATCACCATCGGTATCATGTTGGCCTCCATTGTCGTCTACGCAACCGAGAAACGCACGGACACCGGTGCCTACAGAATCCCCATCGCCATCCAATTTGCATGGGCTATCATTCTCGGTGGCGGTCTCATGTTTCTCCCTGACTCTCCTCGATACTTCGTCAAGAAGGGCAGACTCGAAGATGCCACTATCGCTCTTTCCAAGCTCCGTGGGCAGCCTCGTGAGTCCGAGTACATTCAAGTCGAGCTGTCTGAAATCGTGGCCAATGAGGAATACGAGCGTGCCATGATCCCCGATGCTGGATGGTTCAACAGCTGGATGAACTGCTTCAAGGGTGGCCTAGGACATCAGAAGTCCAACTTGCGCCGAACCATCTTGGGAACCTCCCTCCAGATGATGCAACAATGGACTGGTGTCAACTTCATCTTTTACTACTCCACACCCTTCCTGCAATCCACCGGTGCCATTGAGAACACTTTCTTGATCTCCCTCATCTTCACCCTGGTCAACGTCTGCTCCACCCCCATTTCTTTCTGGACCGTGGAGAGATTCGGACGCCGCACCATTCTTCTCTATGGAGCTGCTGGCATGTTGATCTGCCAATTCCTCTGCGCCATCATCGGTGTTACCATTGGATTCAACCACACCCATCCCGACCCTGCTGACTCCACCAAGAGCCTTGCCAACAACATTCCCGCAGTCAATGCTCAGATCGCCTTCATTGCCATCTTCATCTTCTTCTTTGCCTCCACCTGGGGACCTGGTGCCTGGATCGTCATTGGCGAGATTTTCCCTCTCCCCATCCGTTCTCGTGGTGTTGGTCTGTCCACTGCTTCCAACTGGCTGTGGAACACCATCATTGCCGTCATCACCCCATACATGGTCGGAGAGGAGCACGGAAACTTGAAATCCTCCGTCTTCTTCGTCTGGGGCGGTCTATGCACAGCTGCATTGGTCTACACCTGGTTCTTGGTTCCCGAGACCAAGGGTCTGACCTTGGAGCAAGTTGACAAGATGTTCGAGGAGTGCACTCCTCGTACTTCTGGTAAGTGGAAGCCAAGCAGGACCTTCGCCTCCACCCTTGCCAGAGATGGCATCCTGGAGAAGGAGATTGTCGAAGCTACCGAGCGCCGAGGATCTGCTTTCTAAATAGCTATCAAGGTCTATCGCCATAGCTTGTTAGACATACGTCAGATTCCATGACCAAGGTTACAGTCCAGAGTATGACTTTGAGTTTGTTATTGCTTTGTCTCACTCACTCGATTCAGCTCATATGAGGGAACCGTGCGATGGGATATCAGACTTGGACTACTGAGCACTCTAATAATCGCATTCCTTTGAGATTAAGAATTAGTAAATAGTCAATAAGATTTGCATCTTACAAACAATGCTTCGTCCCCGTGATACGCGGAAATATATGTCTGTTCTCCCAGTCTTGGTTTCCTGCTGATGTCCACCGCATCGGCTATATACATGAACCAGTTGCAAGTGCCCGGAACTTATGGGTCCGTAGTGCCAATGTTACCTAGGTAGCTCAAGGTGACGGCCGGGTCCCTTCAAGACGGCCCGAGCCATCCATAACAATAATGTGTCACTACACTCGCTTCACTGCGAGCGAAATTCAGAGGAATACCACTCGTACAAAGCCTCTATGTTAGGATAACTCCGGATTACCTCAAGTATTTCCATAGTCAACTTGCTCTGAGCCTGGTAATGTTCAATGCAGTTAGTGCTCACACGGGCTATCTTGCACCTGCTATTGGATATCTGTATTTGGTAACCTACAGTAGGCGGGTCATTTGAGGATGATTGAGATCTCTGTCACCGAGTGGAGTACCCATGGTCTGTTAATTATAACGCGGCACGTGTATCCAGAATTAGCATACGCTAGTGAGGTAGGTCTTGGCACCAACAACCGAGGTCATCCTGGCATTGACGAGGCTCCCTCACCGTGCATTCGAAGCGTGATGAAGCGTAATTGAACTCGGCCGATAACTACTTCACCTTGACTCAACCCGTGCGGCGGGTGTCAAGGTCTTTGACCTTTTCGAGTTGGACCCGTTGTGGCTATCTCTTTTGATTGCCTCCTTATCAACGGACAACGACGAGCCCACATGGTTGGTAGCGGAAATGGCGAACGACTCCTCCGGTAACCTAGCCCTCTTGATTGATGGTGACAACGTCTCGCCCAAGATCCTCCTTGGTCTGATGGCCGAAATCCCTAACTATGGCAGGGCCAGTGTGCGGCGCATATACGGGGACTGGACCAACCCTGCGCTCAAGAGTTGGAAACCGTTGCTGCTAAATCATTCGATCTTACCGATTCAACAGTTCGCGTATACCCAGCGAAAGAACTCTACTGATGGGGCCATGATCATTGACGCCATGGATCTATTGTACACCGGTCGCTTCTCCAGCTTCTGTCTTGTGTCTAGCGACAGCGACTTTACGCGGCTCGCAGCCCGTATTCGCGAGCAGGGTGTTACCGTATACGGCTTCGGAGAGCGAAAAACAAACGCCGCATTCATCGCCGCTTGCGACAAGTTCGTATACTTTGACGTACTCAAAATGCCGTTGTTTGAGCCTGACGAGCCGCCAGCAGCACCTCAGTCGCCGAGCGCAAAAGTGGACACTCTTCCCGCAGCAGATACACGCTCACTGGTTCATATAGAGCCATCGAAGAGGCCACTTGACCAGGTCGCGCTTACAGGACTGGCAAAGGCAGTGCAGAATAGTATCGGCTATGAGGGTAATTATGCCAATCTTGCTGCAGTTGGCAGTTATCTTACTAAAATCTCGCCTGATTTGAATGCGCGGAATTACGGTTACGATCGCCTACGAGAATTTGTGGAGGCGTCTGGAATTGTGCAACTGAAGTGGTTGAATGTAGGAGACAAGCCTCCGGTTGCGCTAGTCCGCCTGACAGGAAAATATGCCTACCATTGACCCTGCTTCAACGTCCTCTGTCACCGTCCCATTCAAGGCCATGGACATCCGAACCACTTGGGGACTGGGTTGACTAGCTGGACTTAGGGCTAGCATTTTCCACGCGGTTACAAGATCACCGTCGTCATGTGAGATGCTGCCTGCCAGCTCGATGGAACTACACTACGCCAGTGCAAGAGTGGTCCTGGAAAGTAACTCATTCGTAAGACTTACCTAAACATCCCCGGTATCAGCAGAAGGGTTGGACACGTGGACCTCAACATGACTGCATTAGGAAATCAGGAAGAACTATAGTCGCGCGCTGCACACCACTCCAATTGAGAGTTATCCAGAGTCAACTCAGGTGGCACCTTCGCATGATGATCGTTTTTTACGTGGGAGAAAAGTGTGGCCCAAGACTTGCCTAGCGCGTATATACTAAACTCTACAACCAAACGCAAATGCACTTGACTTGACACACTTTAGAGAATACCAAAACTCCACCGTGACGGCGCTAGCCACAATGCCTCCTTTACCGATTGAGCTGAACGCTACTACTACATACTTGGGCATCATAGTAAGGAATTCTGCAAGTAACTCCACTACGGTGTAACGAGGATGATCACTCGGACGAACCAGAAAAAAGGAAAACCCATCTAAACAAAAATCCTCCAAAGAAGCATCGTGAGCTGTTTGACGCTCGCGCTTCCCCAACGACCGAATCATGTGAGTTGCAACTGTGCTACAACTGTAGTACGATGACACTATTTACATAGGCCTCGCTGGTGCTAACTAACAAAGACCACTCTTCGGATTCAAACCGGGGGAAAAAAAGGGGGGGCGTCGATGACTACGATGGATTATTACACAATGGGACCAGGACCCGCGAAACAGGCATACGTAGAGCACCGCACAATGCCTGCCTTCGCACTGGCATGGAGCCAGGGACTGCGTCCGGGTCTAGAACCGTGGAGAGAAAGATAGAATGTCTCTCTCCAGAACAAGATCCACGCATGTACGTGCATACGCATCACGCAGATACCCAGTCGGCTGCTTACATGGAATAAGGCGATTGACCTGGCGCGCGCCCCGATCTTGCATGCCTGGAGGTCCGAGGTGTATAGATGCGGTTGGGGAGGCGAGGCTTACAGTACAGCGTCCTCTTGGGTGATGATGGATCGCGCTTTTCGACCGCCATATCGCTCATATCCGGAAGGTATCCCAGTGTCGAGCACGTACATACATGGGCGGAGATGAAGTGCGTTGCACTGCGGGTCCTCATTGTGGGGCCGAGGACTGCGTACAGAGTACTTGCTCTGCTGAATGTGACGACTGGTCACCTCGTGCTCGGCATCAATACAGTTGGGTGGTCAAATCCCTCGTGGTCGATTGCTGAGTTGGTCTGTAGTAATAGTAATGGGGAACTGCCATGTATTTCACTAGTCACCTATGCTACTGAGCCCGCGAGCTCCCTCGGCTCACTTTCTCCCAGGCAAGCAAGGTGTGGTTCCCCGCCAAATCTAACCTAATAGAATATCTCGTTAAGGGAAGGCCCTGGAAGCCTGATGCTTATTACTCGACGGTGGTTGCTTCTTGCTTTGCTTGCTTAATCCTCGGGCTACGGTTCCCTGCGCCTTGCTCTTGCGTACCCACTTGATCGGTTAACTGGTTGGGTGCTTGCTAGAGCTCCACTGCCCGTCGGTGCAATGTCGTTTCGACACGTACAGAAGGTCTCATTGTACCGAGCCCTGGTACGTGGGGTGTACTCCGTACACCAGTTTATAGTGTGCGCTTATTCGCGAGGTTGGATGAAGACTGCTTGGAGGGCTAGGGACCGCGACGCCGAACCTCATCCGTGCGGAGAGGTTGGTTGGGTGCACAATCTCGCGTCTTGGTGTCCCTGTGGGTGATATGCTCTGATTTGGTTGTCTCGGTATGGTCGGCGGTGAGCAACAGCAACTTGTATGGGCTCAGGGCAAGAGGTTTCCAATTTCTAACGCGTTTCTTGTTTGCATAGCGATGCACGCAAGGAGTTGGCCAGCCATATGGCTGTGTATCTCACTCTCTTTGACAAGGCGAGGCCTCCGATTTAGTCAGGTCTCGACATGTGATAAATATGCTGAGGCGTGTCGCCTCGGCCAAGTTGTGGAGGAGGTAGGTCGGTAGAGAGTGCACGGACTTGAGAAGCTCCAGGAGAATTCGTGGTTCTATCCCGAGCCAGGGAAGGAACAAACCACATAGCACACCTTTTCGAAGATTCGATTCAACAGCCTAGTCAGTTCGGCTATCTCGCACTGAACCCTGGAATCCAAGCACTCAGGTCACCCAGGGGCAATTGTATTGGGAAGTCGACCGACAAAAGGAGCAAGGAGGACAGCAAGTACCAACCTGCCATGTCGGAGACGAAAGTGGAAGCGCCCGCAATATACAGCATTCTGGCGGCCGCGGCGTCACCCTCAGCGGTCAACCAGAACGTGGCAGTCAGGAAGATGAAGCCACCAAACAGGCCCGTGAAGATGATGACAAATACAACGTTGGTCCGCAGCGAGCAGATCAAGTAGATGAAGCAGAGCACGGCCATGAAGAGCATGAAAAAGCCGAAGCTCGCGTTAAATCCCTTTGTGGCGAGCCCGGCGGTGATGTCGGTAGGGTCTGGCGAGTATGCTCCGAACGCGTTGAAGAATGGGAGTAGTGTTGCCCCATACGAGAACCAAAAGCCGCCGAACGAGGCGAACACGACGAAGGGGAATGTGTTGCCTGCCACCCATTCCATAAAGCCGCCCAGGAGCATCAGTACGCCGCCGATGAAGAAGAAGGCGCCTCTGTTCGGACAAAGTAATGGATTCAGCATACGACTCAAACTAGGCCTGAGGGGAAAGCTAATTGGGCCAATAAAACTTACATGGATGCAGCACCGTTCCCGCCAGCGCCCCGCCAACCCATCAAGTCACATGAAAGAGGGCTTAGGGCAAGCAGAAACCCTACGACAGAGAGAGGAGTGGGATTGCCGAACTGCCGGTGGGCGGTTTTCCCGGAAGCGTTCTCCTGCGACTTGAGGAACATTCTGTCGAACATGTCTGCGGGAATGGAGACCATCGCAGCGTCTTGAAAGGGCGGCGGCGCGGACGTCTGGTATTGTTGCGGTTGTGAGTGCGGTTGTAATGGTGCTGGCGGCGTTGGCGGGAGTGGGTTGTTAAGTCCTGAGAGCTTTTCGTCGATGTAGAAGCTCTCATATGACTGAGGCGGTGGCATTGGTGGTTTGTAGTAGTTTGATCGCGATCTTTGCAGTGGGCCGGTGATCTCGTACGCGCGGACCGACATGTTTGCTGGCTGGGGAGCGCCTTTTCGAGATATTCAACACACAGATTCTACAAAAGGCCCAAGTACCTCCTGTGAGCAAGTGATTCGTGAACACGAAAATGAAAGTGGATGACGGGAAGGGGATATGAGCAAACAAGTAGGACCAAAGATCCAAAGTGAACGGCCTTGGACTCGTTCTTTTCAACAAAGCTGACATCTAAGGACGAGCGGCAGCCCTAAGGGATGAGAGTATGTGCTGTAGGCGGCAATTAATATCGATCGACACCAACATGCATACATCTGCGAATCTGCAACACCGACCGCCTCAAGTAAGACGAAAAATACCAGGTTATACGGCCTTGACAGGCCCAAGTCCCTGCATTCCAGGACAGGAAAGGGCTGCGAAAGGGTGAAAAGAAAACACACCAGCAAGAATTCATAGGGGAAATCAGCCATCGACATCGAACTGGGATAAGCGAAACAGTCAAGAACTCTTGGAGTTTTCTTGGTATTCGACTCCGTGGTACCAGTACCTGCTGGTTCCCCGGATTCTGTATCATGGCGGGAGCGAGTCGCTTCTTGGTCATCTGAAACGACTCCGGCGTGGATGGCGCGAGGTTGGCACGCGTAGCCGAGACGTTGAGAGTCTCAAGGAGTTCCAATCGGCCTCTTGGCAGGGGGCCGGCGGATACAGGTCGGTAAACTGGGGTGTTTGCACTTGATCTCTTTGTCGCTCCTTGACTTGAGAGTCGAGAATACACCACTCACCGCGTCGAAAAGGGAGTAGATGCCTCCGACGGTGGCAGCTGTTTCCTTTTTGCAAATATGGTTGTGTGGACTGCTTGACCTGTCAAGTTTACGTACGAATATGGCTTCGAGTTGCTCTGCCCCTGAGATTGTGTGCACGTGAGCTCACGTGACTCCTCCACGAGGAAGGAACCCAGCCATCATCAGCTGTCACCCTGGCATCATAACTGAGAATACTGTGCTCTATACAAGAGAAATGAGCAAATATTTGAAGAGCGAATGATCCGTGGACACCGCTGTTCTGGGATGTGGGCTTTAGCACTTCATTAGCGGGTTTCGTCGCCAGCACCCTATCTGGCTTTGCCATCCTGTTTCAAGGCTCGCCTCTACCCGTTTGAACGTGTCGACCTCATTACCAGTCGGATATATCAACCGGACGCAGCAGTGCCAGACTCGAGACCCTACAAGATATGCTAGAAGTTTGGACTGTATTTTGTCCCCAAGTCGGCGCTTCGGGCGCCCTCCAGAGCTGTCAACTCCAGCTAAGTGGGTGAGCCTACACGAAGCCCAGTCCTCTCATCTCCTCTCATCTCATCACCAGGGCAGTTCCATGCCCTCTCTGTGCCAGAATTTCCCCGTATCATCTACGCCCTTACTCTTCAACAGCTGCCACAGTTTACTCGCAGCCTCGTCCGCCTCCACGGCCTCCTCCATCTTCCAAATATCAGGATCCAAGCCGGTCTTGGTGAATCCCGGATGCAACATGCTCACCACCACTTGCTTCTCCTTTAGCTCCACGGCCATGTTCTTGAAAATACTGTTCACTGCCGTCTTGGATGCACGATATGCGTAAGCACCCCCCGAGCTGTTGTCGGCTATGGATCCTACGCGCGACGACATCACGGCAATGTGTCTCGGTTCGTCCGCGGCGAGAATGTTCGGCATGAGTGCTTGCGTCAAGAAGAATGGGCCGAACGTGTTAATCAAAAAGGTTGTGTTGGTAACCTCCAGCGTGAGATCATTGAGCGTGTCGTAGTGTTTGTTTGGCATGACCCCTGGGTTGAAAAAGGGGGCATCAACCGACTAACTCCTTGTGTGCTTGACGAGGAATCGTGGCTTTCGCGGAGTTGATAACCTACCAGCAATATTAAGCAAGACGTTCACCTTCCGGTCTCCGATAGCAATCTTGAACTCTCGAATCGACTCGATCGATGCTACATCTAACCGACCGATTTGACAATTTTCTCCTGCAAGGCCTAGTAGGTTCTCCCCAGCGTCTCTGTCCACAGCGTAGACGTAGTGTCCCTTTATCGTTGTTGCAGCGCCGAATTGTCAGTAGAAGTCCTCAACGGCCAAACCACAGGGGATCTTGTTCGCTTTCCTCTCTAATAGTAGCGTACATACCTCTTTCAAAAGGACCTTGGCCAGGGCATGGCCTATGCCAGAGTTGCATCCAGTCACCACTGGCCCCAGTTAGCCTCCAGTGACCAGGCAGTGTTCTCGAGACCGTCACCTCGAGATAGGGACTCACCTGCCGTCGGCATGATTGGTCTACTTCCGTGGATGGCTGTTTTCTTCGGGTTTCCACAACAGTACCTCAGCCGCAAGAAGAGTCGAGTGTATACAGGATTTCTGAGAAGGGTTTTAATGTTTCACAAATTTGGCTACGAGCCGAAGTTTGGTATACAGCAACTTAGCTATAGGGGTATGTACCACAGTTGACATGTTAATTATAGCTAGGGGTGGCGAGGAGAGGTGAGGGGTCGTCTGTTATCAAGCTGGACAAATGCCTCGAGCATCAACCACAGTATGTTATGGTTGTCCATCACCTGACGTCCAAAGTTTTTTCGCGGGGACATAAGAGGAGCTGGTGAGTCGAACATTTCTGTCGTCGAAAATCCCTGATTGGCCTTCTAACTCAATAATACGCGAGGACCCAGTGAGTGCCCAGGGAGTTGCCCCCCGTTGGCTCTACTTGTAGTGCCCCCGCTCCCCCAGACCCCGCGAAGCTTGAATTGTTGTAGCAACGCCTTTGTTATCAGTCCAAACTAGCTAACGTTGCCATAAAAAGTCATAAGTGACATTAGAAGCCCAAGCCACCTAGGAAAATCCATGTGCTCAATAAAACGACCGCCAGACTGATCACACAGCTAGGAGAACACGAGAAACTGGGACCGAACTCCTGCATTTGGTTGAGGAATGGTGCGACAGCGACATAATCTTACATTGAAGTTGCTTGGAAGTCATCGTCCAGGTTCGCTCGCATGCATGTCATCGCTTATAATTTACTGCTCCCCCTTTTCCTGGGATCCAGTATATCCGATTACCGTTTTCGTTACGGCAACAAGAAGAGTCCCCGTGAGCTCCGTTCATCTTGCGACATGAGTTGCATGCCGGACAATAATGCGGATACTCTTTGACATGCTGGTCGAGGCGCTCCTGTGTGAAGTATTTAGCCATACAGGATAGGCAATAGTAGTAAACAACAGGATTCGCCGCGGCTGGGGCGAGGGTACGCGTGCTTGGAGTAGTTCCCCCTAGCGAATCAGGAGCAGTACTGTATGGCGAACCCACAAGCTCCATTGTGCTTCCGGGTACGTTGACTATTTCAGCACCTCCAGCGTAGTCCGAGTGGATCTTTAGGTGGCCCTGGTTGATGATCCGTGGTCCGACTGTGTATGGTTGGACCTGGCCGCCTCCATACGGAACCTGAACGATGCTCATACCGTCGTCTTCGTCGGCAGCGCGGTTACTGGTAGGAGACATAACTGGAAGGGCTTGACGATCTTCCTGTCTGCCTGTAAACATAAACTGGACGCAAGGCGTAATTCCACCGCGCATTGCGGTATAGAAAAACTCTTTATCTGCAGCCTTGCCACGTAGAAGGCGTTTGAGAAACACTCCGAGAGTACGCTTTAGTTGCTCAGCCTGATCAGATGGAAGAGGATGACAATTTCGAGTGAGGGATGACCTACCGAGGCCGTGAGGCCAGCATCTATTTATGCATGATGGCCCTCTCTGATCAGGAGACATCAAAAGCAATGCAGAGTGATCCCCTTATGCAGGGCGCTGAGAATTGCTACGTGTTGATTCGAGATTGGAGCCTGCAGCAGTGACCAATACTGCTTGATAGTTTGAAGCCCAACGTACCTAGGCAGGCAACCGAGATAGGACTTAAGGGTATTACTGTCAACAGATGCCGTGGATATTAGCGAAGGCGGCTCGGCTTGCACAGTGGGGTTCGGGCAACAGACGGCTGGAAGGCATCAAGAGAAGCAGTCTTGGCTGCTCGAATACATGGGAGCCTCAAACTTCGTGCGAAGGTGAGTAAACTGCTTTGAGAACATGAGTCTGCCTCGCTTACGGATCTAGCTAGGTCCTCATCAGAGAAAGGGAGAACTACTTGGGTGACAACGACCTGTTAGTCATCGCAAGCCTAATTAGAGAGATAAACTGGTCCCAACTTTAAAAGTTGAGCCCGATGATCCTATCTCGATTTGGCTGTTCCCACATCCGTGGTAGTACACTCTTCCAGGGTAATTTTGCTTAGTTTGCAAGATGCTCCGCTATCTAGTTTCATGCTATTCCCTATATAGATTACCACTTGGTATGCATCCCGTTTGCAGCGATAACATTCTACACCTCTTTGGGATTGTAGTAATCAATTGCTCCAATAGATCATTGCCAATCGTATTTCAAGCCTCTGTAACTCGTTGTCGTAGTTGATCATACGATGCCTTGTCCTCTAGATAGTAGTATGCTAACTAATCCTTAATTTCATTCCACAGAGTCTTAATTAGGTTTAAATCGGGTGAATAGGTAGGCTAGGTAATAACTATAATGCCACGATCTCTTAGATTAGCTATAGTCTCGCTATAGGCGTGTGCTAGTGCGTTATCCTATATGAATAGTAGGCCAGGATTTATCTATATCCAGCCGTGAATTAATGGAATAACACGTTATCGATATAACTCGCTATTAATCGTACCCCAGTCCTTCTCCCAGAATAGGTGTAGTCCTTTACTATTTCCTGTAAAACAGGCCCATAGCATCCATCCTAACTTACGTTGAACACGATCAATTACGCAAGTAGGCTCTAACTCTTCTCTATTACGACGTATAACAAGCGTACGTCGATGTCGCCCAGTAGTCACCTAGGTCTCATCACTCCATAGAACTTAATACTATTGCTCTTTAGTCCAATTAAGATGTTGCTGTGCCCACTCGAGGCGTACTAATCGATTAGCTTCAGATAGAGGTGGTTTACGTAGAGCAGGACGACGTCGATAGCCTCGTAGGCGTAGAGCGTATCGAATAGCCTCAGCACTCCTTTCGCCGTTTGGCTATAAGGCTAGTGCAACCTATTCCCATGTCATTCGATGTATTTATTTAGAGGATATAACGAACTCTTCCACGCGATCTACCTCCTCTTTAGTTAACTTAGGTAGTCTCCCTACTTTTTTATGCTGTGGTGTAGCCTGTTGGCGTTGACATATATATTGCACTGTATATTGCGTAACCCCTAGGAATTTTGCAATCTTAGTGTGGGTATAGCCTAGGCGGCGCATAAGAAGGATCTCCTTACGTTGATCTCGCGTTAGGCGCTTGCGAGTAGGTGTAGATGGTGGTGTAGGCATCGTAGGAGCGTGATAGAGTGCGTGGTAGAGAGCATAGTAGAGAGTGTTTTTATTACTGTATCGATCGGCTTCTCGAGGATGCTAGCGCAGTTTAGATACGAGCTAATCCTAAAAGGAATAGTTTTACTTAATTAGGTTAGAAACCTACTAAGCAAAATTACCCTGGAAGAGTGTAGAGTCTCAGATAGAAGCCACCGCAATTAGTCTGTCTACATCAGAGGTAGTAAACTTCTAGGACGCCGAAGTTGTAGCTGCCTATCCATGGCAACAGGCGTGCCAAGCAATATGGTGCGGGGAAGCGCGACTGCGTGACACCCCGCACTCAGCCTCGTCCAACTTTTTTCCACATCTCATTTCTCAATACTGCCGTTGGCCACATTCAGTAGGAGAACGACCGCCACCGCCAAAGTCCACCAGAATGCCTCACAAACACAAGAGAAAGAGAGACGAGGATGAGTCAAAGTATGTCTACGCTCCGATGATCCTACCCATGACTTTTTGTCCACTGCTGACCCCCTCTCTCCTGCACAGCTTCGACCTGGCACCAACATCACGCGCGCGAACCCTATCTGTGCACCAAAAATCCGAGTCGATATTCACCTCGGACCGCGACCGGAAAGAGAAGCTAGCCGAGAAGCAGCAACAGCGGAAGAGAAAGAGGAATAAATCTGGCAAGGGCGTCGACGATGACACGCCGAAGGCCTTTGCGCGTCTCATGGCATTTCAGAATGAAGGCAGGAGGATCCCAAACGGCCTTGACGACGGCGTCAGAGAGAAGAAGGGCAAGGGGAAGGGGAAATGGAAGGCATCGCAATCGAAGAATACGGAGAAAGCGTCCCAGCCAGATTCGAATCCTTCAACAACGGCCCAGCCCGCCGAGAAAGCGTCAACTACCACTCCTGCCGCCGTCGCAGCAGCACCAATACCCAAGATCCTCCCTGGTGAGCGCCTCTCCGACTTCTCCCTGCGTGTCGACCAATCGCTCCCCCTGACGGGCGTACCAAAGCACACTACACGAAACAACGTCCCGGGCCTGAACATCAAAACCCCACTGACGAAACACAACAAACGGCTGGCGCGGATGCAGCGGGACTGGCGGACGCAGGAGGCGAAGATCCGAGACCGCGAGGAAGAAGCCGAAGACGATCTCGCGGAGAAAAGGGAGGAAGAGGGCTTGCTGTGGCTGGGCGTCGAGGCTGGGAAGGCCCGCGGCAAGGGGAAGAAGAAAAAGAAGCGCGAGATGGAGGATGAGGCGGATCCGTGGAAGGTACTAGAGCGGAAGCGGAGGGAGCAGGAGCGTGCTGAGCAGCTTGCGAATGGCGGTGGAGCGTTGGTGGGTGGTGGTCGCACCGGGCAGAGCAGGGGCCTGAGCGCGAAAGATACCGTCCAGGCGCCGCCGGTGCTGAAACCGATCAAGAATATCTTTAAAGAGAGAACTTGAGCGCTCAGACACTTCATAAGGCAAGGCTACAAGCGAATCTAATATAGAGCAGCCATTGGCAGTCCACTGCATTGGGGTATCATTACTCTATCTCCCAAGGTTAATATCTTGAGATACGCTGAATACATCGATTGATTCGGCAGCTATCAACCCCAAGTGCCCCCACCACCGCCTCTACCCTGCCTTTTCTGCGAGCTGAGTCTCCAATCGTCTTCACCAGCAAACTTGTTGTGCAAAGGCTGGATCCTCTCGGCTTTCTTGCGCTTGCTCAAGCGGTCGGTTGGTGCGACCTTGAAGAATGTCGGTGCTGCTTCTACGAGCCACTAGTTTATACGTCAGAATGCTTGGAGGGGAAGGGATGTATTACGGAAAGCTGAGTGGACATACCTTGGGTTCAATGACCGTTGCACAGTGCATGTATTCCTTAGTGGTCATGACGAGTGTGTGGAAGATGACATGCTCAGCGGGTTTGCCAAACAAAGCGCTGCTGGGGTGCATATAGACGGGGGTGCCCTCGATAAGCGTCTTATAGCCTTCTTGGGGATCTTTGCGTGCCGAGTTCCTGAAGAAGCCTGAGCATAATGCCTGGCGAACCTTGATCGTGTTGCGTCCGCAGGAGACAATCTGGTGCTTATAACGCTGCATGATGGAGACTAATTGCTGTCGCACGTCCTTGGCTCGCCCGATCTGACGCTTTTGAATGAAGTTTTCAAAGCACCAGGGGTCGCTGTAGTGCGATGTCTTCCATGCATTGTAGACATTGAGGAGCGTGAGATGATCGCCGTGTGGGTCGTGAAACTTGCTCTTCTTCTGGTCCGCTTGTTGTTGCTTCTCTCGGGGTCGATAGAAGACAGTTTGGATAGATAACATAGCCACAATGGTCAATAGTTCTTCCGAGCAACCCATGTCCACAGAGGCAATGAGTACCTTAGCTAAAGCGGGCTCCATAGGGAAATCTGCCATTTTGCGGCCAAGTCTGGTAAGAAGACCTTCGTCGTCGAGGGCCGACAGCGCATACAACTCTTCAAGGGCAGTTAACATAGTATTTGTGGGCGGGGGGTCCATAAAATCAAAGTGCAGTAGATCATTGATTCCCATGGCTTTGAGCATGAGTATAGTGTAAGCCAGATTTTGGCGCTGGATTTCCGGAATGCTGGTTGGAAGCATTTCAGATTGATATGCAGCTTCGGTGTAAAGACGGAAGCACTTTCCAGGACCCGTCCGACCAGCTCGACCAGCTCTCTGCTTCGCTTGCGCTTGCGAAATAGGTGTCACAACCAGTGAATCCATACCAAGTTTGGGGTCGTAAGCATTCTGCTTGACAAAACCAGGATCAATAACATAGTAGATCTGGTCAATGGTGATAGATGTCTCGGCAATATTTGTCGCGATGACCACTTTTCTGCATCCGGGTGGAGCCGGATCAAAAATTCGGCTCTGCATTTCGCTAGGCAGAGCAGAATAGACGGGAAGAACAATAAGTTCTGGTACTGATGGACCTAGGGCTTTCATTCTCTCATACAATACCTCACAGCTTGTATCAATTTCCTCAGCTCCGGTCAAGAACAGTAAGATATCACCAGGTGGTTCAGTGAGATGAATCTGCATGACCGTAGTCAAAGCTGCATCCAGATAGTCCTCTTCGGGCTCTCTTGAGTACATAATCTCCACAGGGAACGTTCGGCCCGGAATGGAGAAAATGGGACATTGATTGAAATATTCGGAGAACTTGTCGGCGTCCAATGTGGCCGAGGTTACAATAAGCTTCAGGTCAGAACGTCGTTTCAATGTTTTCTTCAGCAATCCGAACAGAACATCAGTTGCGATTGTTCTCTCGTGGGCTTCGTCTAACATAATGACAGAGTATCGCTTCAAGTCCGGATCCAAGAGGATTTCTCTCTGAAGCATACCATCAGTCATATATTTGATCTTAGTGTCAGGCGAAGTCCGATCCTCGAAACGAATCGTATATCCAACTTCCCTGCCGAGTTCACATCCGACCTCTTCAGACACACGCTTGGCCACTGACATTGCAGCAACACGGCGAGGCTGAGTACAGCCAATCATGCCATAGTTAGCATATCCTGCTTCAGCTAGATACTGCGTGAGCTGCGTGGTTTTGCCTGAGCCAGTGTCACCGACGACAATAAGAAGTTGATTACTTTCAACAGCTTCCAACAATTGTTTCCGGAATTTGAACACAGGCAGGGATTCTCGCTGCTGTTTAATTGTCATATTCGTCCTTCGGCCGAACGATTGCTCTTTGTTTTGAGTAGCACGCTTCCATTCTGGTACAGCTTCGATAGCACGAGACGTTTGTTGCTGCGTTTGTCGAAGATCTGCCGCAAATTTGCGTTGCTCTGGGTTGATCATAGGATCCTGCCACTGTGCATTTAGGTCGACCTTGGAAGCTTCTTCAGCCGCTTTATCTGCAGCTTCTTGTTGCTTTAGATCTCGTCGCTCTTTTGATAGGTTTGTTCCTGCCTGGGCAGCCCGATTGAGGGAGCCCTCTGGGGCCTTCACAACTCGAATAGGTGAAAGCTCAAGCGATTGTTTTGTTTGTCCGGCCAGGAAAGGCGGTTCTTCCTCTCGGACTTCAATGTCTATGTCTTCCTCTTCCTCATCAAATTGACCCTCACCATTCAAGGTTGCGTTGTATTCTTCGTCAATATCGGGGTAGTCTTGTGCTGAAATGGCACCCGAAGCAATAAGCTGTTTGATCTCCCATCTTTCTGGAGATGTCATTCGCTTTTTGTTCCTTTTGGACCTCGCATTGTAATCATCTTCTATGACGGGCACACTTGAGCTTAAGTTCCCGTACCGGTCATTCGTCGGGACGCCATCCAAGCGCTCCATATTAGCTCCAGAAGCGATACGTCTCGAGGGTACTAAATCTTGACCCGATACTTGATCAACCTCCTTCATTGAAAGACTGATCTTGTTATTCTCCATCTTGACGACTTTGACCTTGACGTGCTGACCCCGAGAAAGGAGGTCAGAAGGATGGTTCACTCTGGCTCCATCTTGAATGGCCGAAACGTGAATCAAACCGCTTGGGTTTCCCTTGACACTATCAAGATTCGCAAAGGCACCAAAATCCTTAAGACCATTGATTGTTGCATCGTAGACCTTGAAAAGCACAGGAACTTCGTCCACTTCCTTTCGAGGAGGTTTTCGGAAGCCATCCTCATCCTCATCCTCATCCTTATCATGATGCCGGCGACTGCTCTTGTTATGGCCATTTCTCCTGTCATCGTGTCGATTCCTGTGGCCATTCTGTCGTGCCTCATAGTTGCGGCCGTAGTCGTCGTTCCGATGCCGTCTTGAGCGCTTCTCTTCCGGCGGACTGCGGCTCCGCGACCAATACTCCTGCCTTTGCCTCCTATCACTAGAGTATTCGTCTCGCTCTGGACTTCGACTTCTCTTTCTGCTACGGCCACTTGCTCTGCTGGTCCCGTTCTTAGGCTTGCTGGCAAGACCCTCCAGAAGCGCGAATGTATCATCATTTTCGTCATCAGGTATTGGAGGTCCAGTCTCTTCAATCGCCTTCTGGCCAACCATGTCATCTTCGTAATCATCCCATAGTTGTTCACGGTCTGGTACTGACAAGCCCTTGAAAACTCTTGCCTTCCTGCCGATTGCGTCGAGTTCGTCCATGTCCGAAGTTTCCTTCTGCGTTGACTTCTTGACACTCTTGTATGAGGGGTGCATGGTCAAAATCAACCTGTCGATACTCTCCACCAGACTGTTGGGGAACTCTGCACCCATTGCGGCCAATGCCTCCTTGAAGCTGGACAGATTGGCACCGCATTTTTCATGTTGGTCGATGACGAATTCGGCGAGGGTCTTGTCGTTGATCCCCAGATGGTTCTGCAGTTCCGAGGTAACCTTGGAAACCAGAGAGAGGAGCTCGAGGGATTTGAAGTCGTCCATGGCCAGAAATAGGGGCCAGCGGGATGGGTCTTCAACTAGGCGGCTCGAGGCGTTGTCGCCTTTGATAGGAACAAATTGTGTCGCTATCTCGACATGGAGGGTTTTTCTGACGACGAGGTAGGCTGCGCTTCTCCAAATTTCGAAAACGCCACCGGACGCCGAAAGGATGCCAGGCTAAGGAGCCGCGTGAAAGGGCCTCGCTTGGAATGGCCGTGGATGGTGGATGATGGATTAGGGCCCTTCGGTCTGGCGCTGGAAATCTTGCCGCATCCAAAGACTTAAAATGGACTAGCGCAATATCAAGGCTTGGCAGGCTCGCCAGGGTCCAGAGCCCCCTCCACCGGTCCATCGAGAGGCTGCCTTGCTCAGAGGTGTATGGGTGTTTGCGTATGCTCGAATGCCATCATAAGAACCCCCTCCAACCCCGCCTCACATTCTACGACTTTGTTCCTTCTCCTCCGACAAAAGCCTGTCCTGTTTCCCAGACCAAGCACAGTCCCATCAAGTATAAACTCCTAGTATACACCAAGCATTTACATCTTGAAAGCCTTTCTTTATTGCATCTCTCGAAGCCCACCATGGAGAATATCAGAGCGAAGATCAAGCGACGTTTCAGTCACAAAGATCCTGAACGTAAGACTCTCCCAGACCCGTTGCTTCCTCCTTCCTGGTCAAGTCGACGGTGTTCACTTTCACGTGGCTTAGCCCTACAAGAGTGATGACATCACAGCTGACATTCCACCAGCCACCAACTTCGACGACTACGATTCTGGTGACGAGGAGACTTCAGGTTTCGTCACTAAGGAGGCTGAGGAGGCTGAAAAGTCCGGTCAGGAGGCTGGAAGACCAGGCAGTCTATTGAATAGGATGATTTCTCACGGCAACAAGAAGACCGAGGACCAGATCGCTCGCGAGGCCCGCGAGGCCGCTGCTGCTAATCCAGGTGCTGGCGGGGCCGACCAGGCTTTCACCCAACGATAAGCAGTGAATTCAACATATTCTGGTCATCGTCAAAAGAGATTTCTGTTCTGAGTAGGTCTAGATTCAAAAGTGTACGGCGTACCTCTAGCAGTAGACAGCTCAAATGTGGAACCATGTTTTTTAATACTGCGGCATCATTGGTTCGGTCCGAAGTTCCGAGACTCGAGTGCAACTCTCTAATTTCCTGGAGCTTGGGCTCGCCGCGGAACCAGACATTTCGATATCATGCGGCTGACATTCATGTATTCTCCAATCGTGCACGGGGCACCTGAGTAAATGAAAATAGAAGTATTCGTACAGATTTACATGCATCTGATCATGCTATTGTAGACGGTTTAAGCAGCCGCTGCTACGCGTCGGACCATGGCTTGAGGCTCTGGGACTTTGGACCAGTCAATAGGAGGTGCTGAATCGTCTAACCCCGAGAGGTTCAGGTCGTCTGCGCCCTCGGGTCCCTCAGTCGTCGTGCCGTGGAAGATTTGTCTCTTCGAAGTAAGCGCTTTCTTCCTAAGCAACGGATTTGCGGAGAACTCGAGCAAGCAGGTATTGATCTTCTCCTCCGTAAGCTCTTTGGCGTACGTCGCCATATCCCGATCTTTGAAGTTGTTGATAAACCTGTAACTGAGCCACAGGAAGATAATCAACGACTTGTGAAGATTTTCCAACTTCTCCAGATAAGCTCGGTCTCCCGTCACTGGTTCTTCAAGGACTTCCAGCTCGATTTCTGGGACGTCCACTATCGTTATCTCCTGGCGTTTTCCAACAGCGGTTGCAAGAGCTTTCAAAACGACGAGTAATTGTTTGGAATTGCTTGCGGCAGGGGCCGCTGTCAGTGTAAGGCGTTGCGGGATGGTCAGGCCTTCAACATTTTCAATCACTCGACTCAAAGAGGACTGCTCTGAAATGTTGCACACCGAGAACCGGGGATGCATTTCCGCTGCTGAACAGACACGTTTGAGTATGTATTCAAAGGGTACACCTTTGGGCATCCTTGTCGAGACCTCTTCGAGAACTTCTCCAGGTGGGAGGATCCCTGCTTTTCTGACAGGTGGAGCTTCTTCCCCAATCGCTTCCTTGATCACGTGTAGATCTGTCGCATTGAGCGTGGTGACGAGACCGACACTCGCAGAGGTCGATGTTTTACTTTCACCTGCTTTCATTGCTTGATGTGCACTGCGATATCTGCCTGCGCGTCCAGCAATCTGCTTGATTTGGGGGACCGTCAGCTGCTCTATGTGTCTTCCATTGAACTTCGTCACGCTGTGGAATATGATACGCTTCACGCTCCTATAAACAGTGTCAGCAAGGTAACGCGGCAACAGGTTGGTACAGACTTACAAGTTCAAGCCCATTCCAATAGCGTCACTCGCAACTAGGAAGTCATATTCGTTATCTGGGTCATTGAACAAAGCAGCTTGCTGGGCGCGCGTCTCTGGAGGCAACCCTCCATAAACGATGGCACAACGTCGACCTGTGTCCACCTCGATTTGCTTTTTGAGGGCATGAAGGGTAACAATGGAAAAAGAAACCATGCAATCACCCTTCTTCAAATTCTTGAAGTCACCATCCAGGCTCCGAGACATGACCTTCAAGGCATTAAGTCGCTTGTATTCATGGATATGTAGAGTGTCGCCCATTGAAGCTGTCAGTTCTCGAATCAATGGAATGACTCGATTTTCTCCGCACAAATGAACTTCTGCCGCATTGGCACCCAGAAAGGCGCGCGTCCAGGCCCAACCTCGATCCGCGGATTCTATCATTTGTATTTCGTCGATAACGGCAACTTGGACAGACCTAGCAGTGTCTACCATCTCAACTGTTGACGCGGAAATGGAGACTTCTTCGTTATCGTCCAATCTGACATCGTCCCCAGTGACAAGATCACAAGGAACCCCTTTCGCCTTGAACCGCGAATAAACTTCATGGGCAAGTAATCGTAGCGGCCCGGCATAGAACCCGCTGGCCTTCTCTTCAAGCCTCTTCAAGGCATTGTAGGTCTTCCCGGAGTTTGTAGGACCAACATGAAGGTGTACTTCTCTCTGAATCTGCCGGGCGCCAGAGTACCATTCTGTTGGGAATCGCAGGTCAGTTGTAGTTGTGTGGTCCGTGTCAGTGCCGGTCTTGTGGTAGTCATGTTCGAGGACATGATCGATAAATGCATGGTGCAGGCCATATACGAGGTCATCCACCCAATCTGCGCCACTTGCTAGTCCACCAATTTTGCCCAACAGGATTGAGTCTTTGGACGTGACATCCTCGGGATCCTTCAGGATACCCTTAAGCCTTTCTGCAAACGAAGTCCAGCCCAGCCCAGTTGGGTCAAGTGATTTTAAAAGCGTCAGATCCGAGTCTTTAGCTGCTTTCCTCGTTTCCAATAGGCCCTTGAGCCTTGGTAATCCATCATTCAGCGTCCGCTTCGCAACCTGATCCGGACTCAAGATTGACTTGGACGAGGCAAGCGTATTAGCCGGTCTGCGCCGGCGGAAAGGATACGAGTGCAGTTGACCAAGTACAGGAGGGCTCGCTGTATATCTCCTTCTTAGCTCGTGACAAGACGGTCTCGATCTCGAGGTGGGCGGTAGTCCTGTTCGAAAGGAACAGACAAGACAGAGACGACTTTTGCTCGGCAATGCGAGCATGTCCCACTGGGGGGCACACTTGGAAGGTTGAATGATGAATTAGGGAGCAAACCAGCCTTGAAAGAGACAAGAACAATCTGGAATCGTGGATAGATATCTTGACTAGGAGAATACTGCATTTCATGTCAAAGGTCATGAACCAAAGTTTCTCCCCAAAAATGTCCGCAGTCAATTTTGCGGCCGCTTTAGTCAAGGCTCGTCCGCTTGGCCAGCGCCGCTTTAAATGAAGCATTAACCTCATTCCTCAGTACTCACCAAAGCATTATTTATACTCCCTCCAGGAGATTACCCACCGACAAGATGAGTTGATACAGTGATTGCATACTTTTACCAATAGTGTACTTCAAGCCAATCTAGCTAACACTCCAATCGTACTCCAATCTCTCAGCCATTGCAGCCAGCATCTCTCTTGTCGTCCCTGAGCTCTTGGCCTTGATCCACTGATCTTTTTAAAAACTCTTTGATCACATTGAGTGCCAACATGGCCACGTTATTGTTGTAGCTATTCTATGCCAGTTACGGATACCAATTGATACTGCGGACCGAAAAAACAGCCCGCCCACCGCTCGTCTTATAGTATACCATATCAGAACGAATCTCACTTGTCTCGGTCCCTCTTGAGGCAAGGATCGGGTATGTTACACACTTGCTCGCAATACCGAACCCATCCGGATGCCCTGTACTTGTTGCAACGACAATTCCGTTTCTCGGGCTCCCGTATCTAATGTCAAAACTGTCCATCTCATCACTACTGGCCCCTCCACCAAGGCCATACTCACCAATCAATTCTCCCTCTGGGATGCCTTTGAACATCCACTTGAACTCCGTCTTATCGCTAGCATTTGTCCTTTTTGTATGGCACACCTGGAGGCCTTCCCTGGATGCAGAATGCGACGCCAAAGAGCGCATGTAACGACCGGCCTTGGCAACGCCATAGACCCCCTAACCTTTCGTTGATGCTCATATGCCACTCTCCGGGTTTAAGTGCATATGATCGAACACCAGAATCCTCTCTATGTACCTCAATCCGCCAAGGTCGAGCTGGGTCAAAAGCAGTGACCCAGTAAAAGCCATTTCCACCAAGATACACCAAGTTTCCTCGCCCTTTGCCATAGCTCTTGTACGCATTATACACTTCAAGGGTGGGGTATCCGGGATGACCCCGGTTACCACAACACCGTACGGTAATAAAGATGACACTCCCTGACAGTGCAAATCATGGTCAGTCAGGATATTATATGAAATCCCGGACTGCTCCAGAAATCCAATCATCATGGATTCTGCACTAAGATCCCGAGGGCGGCCCAGGCCATACAAGACGAATCCGGGCTTCAGTTCATAATGGGCCTTTTTGCGGTCGAATACAGGCTGCCTGAATCATCGTTGTGGTCGTACGTGGATAGTCCCAGATCGACACGTCGGAGATTTCGTTCAGAGTCCACAGTTGGATTGTGTGGTATATCACACAAGGCAGCGCCGGTTGACCCTGAAGACGATCGACTGGGATCGCCCAGCTTGTCATTCGCATATGCAAGGTACGTAAATGTTGGAAGTGCGAGTGCTAGCTTTGAACTACTCGTCACGGATGTTTTAGTCGTTGTCCGAACGATGAAAGTAATCATATCGGATATAGACTTGCCCTCTGTGAAGCTGTGGCCAGTACCTCGACTGCATATATCCCCGACCTCGCCGTGGTGGGAAGTTGAATTGTCAAGTCTGTCTCCCAAGCCGCGTCACCCAGATCGTCTTCGTGGAAATGAATGGCGCCATAGCCATATCTCGCTTCTGTCCAATCGACTTCGGTACCACCCCAGTTGTGCCCACGCACCCCTCGTGCTGGAGCATTGGACCAGAATTCCATGATGCCCCGCCCTGAGATATCAAGAATTGTGTCTTCAGGTATATTGCATCCAAAGTCATACTGGACAAGGGTGCATGTCTTCAAAGACTTGATCATGGGGCTGTCAATGCGTCCATTGAAGAAGTTCGTAACCCGGGAAGACTCCTTCGTTGGCGCTTCGGCGTAGCTTCCGGCAAGCGCTAGCACGGATTGCGGCCCTGGGGTCAGACAAGAGGTTCTGAAAGCTTGAACTCTAGCTACTGAGCCGGTGGCGCTTTTCAGCGACATATGGAATCGGATCCAGAGATATGGATACAGCACTAGATGCTGGAAAACTCAATTGAAGTCTAGCCCATCTCTTGTAGCTGGGAGCGAAGTTGGTTTGTAACGCACTCACTGTCCCACTAGTGCCAACCCAGATTTCTATCAAGCCTTCCGAGTTGATCAGTACCGCAAATCCACTTTTGAGAGGTACATCAAGGGTGGAGATAATGCGTTGCTGGCGGTGAGTACCTGACCCTGCAATATGAGGTTGAAAGGACAAAGAGACATCGAAGCCGTCAATGATTGGTAAGTGAATCCATTCTCTAATCAGTGCATATGATCCACTTCGCGCAACTTGGAACCTGCCCTTGGACATCCAAGTTGCGATGGCAGTTACTTGCTCAAATCCTCGCTTGGGTGAGTGTGGCAGGTCCACTCCTTGAATCACTCGCACCGTGCCATAAGAATATTCTGGCTCCGTGCAGGAGACCTAAGAGGATAAATCTAGCATCAGTCCACTCCTCCACGCAGATCTATGGCTGCTCTGGGCTCTGAACGGCGGGTAAGTAGAGACTCAAGGTTTGGTCAATTCTTACCTTGATATCGACCTTTTCGCCGGGGCTGACTATCCACAGCTCAGCATAACCAGTGATTTCTGGTGGATACTCCGCAGGAACAGCCTCGATCGTGCCCATGCTGTGACTAAGTGGATGTCTAACTAATAAAGTATTGCCAAAGTAGAGTGATGATAGCCTGCCTTAGATCCGTAGATGCAAGTCTGTTCTCTTCAGCTCCACTTCACAGGCGGATGATTGGAGACATCTTACTCTGAAAGTATTTCCTTATCATCAAAGAGTCGATGGTACCGGTCAATCTTATACTTCAAGGAAAGTATGTGATATGGTTAGAAGCTTGGTACTCGGCTCTTCGGCTCCAGACTACACAGTATAATGCAGAAGGTGCACTGTATCAGAATCCATCGGGTTGAAATCACACATAGGTCCAGATTAGGACCTCCCCCTGATCAACAACACCATACATGATATTGAAGCTAAAGAGGGGTTGGTCTTTAGGGCGATAATATTGACCAACAAACACATAAATGCCGAACGAAATTCTCGCAAGGATTCATTACAATTTTGATCCATTGGTCGGAATAATCAGGCACAATCGAATCTTGGGATCTCTACTCAGAGCCTAGGCCTACTCATGATCTGGATGACCTCCTTTGGCTCCTGTCTCTCCCGATCTAACAGCACCATCCATGTATCCCTTCCATTCAAACGAAGTTTCTGTCCCAACAAAGTGAATTTTACCATGGGATGTTCTCAAGGCATGACCGAACCCCGTCATTACACCTGGAGGCAAAGCGGGACAAGGGCAGCCTTGTGCCCATTGGTCCTTGGACCATTCGTGCTCTGTGATGGCTAAGGGTTCAGGTACTCCACCAGTAAAAGGCCCGTAACCACGTTTGATCTGTTCAAGAACAGAATCGAATCGTGCCTGTTGGGTGCCGGTTGAGAAAGCGATTCCCAATTTGCCTGAAATGAAGCACGTCAAGGAATACTGCTTTTGCTCTTCGACGCTGCTATCACGAGTGATGCAGACAGGGCTTTCAAAGGATTGTAGAAGGCCGCATAGTCCGTGCGCTCTCCACCATAGTGAAGCGTACAGAAGTATGACTTTGACCTGATAGCCTAGTTTGGCTGCCTTGCTGAGCTGGGCCTTGGCTGCTGGCAGAGGGGGGGAGAAAGCTATTTCTTTGTATAAAGGAGTGTAGATATACGATCACTCGTTGACAGTATGTTCCCCCGACTAGAAGAGACTAGTACGCTTTTCGGAGTCTGTCCAATGAGACGTACTGGAGAGTTGAGAACAACCGACCCTTCTGTCAATGAATCTGCGAGACCACGCGAAATAGCTTGAGTTCCTAGTCGTCTTCAGGTAAGTCCCAGCTTTGATTTGAACGGGAAAGTTTCCCTCACCTCGTGTAAGTCTGAAATATTGACCACCGTTCTCTTTCTCTGGTCTCATCTGGATTAATCCCCCTCCGCTCTTGCAGTAGTCGAGAAAGAAGAGCGCACTCATGTCCGATGGTTCTAGGCCAAGCATTGCTCTCGTCCAGACCTTGACAGATGCGAGCGCGGACTGTTCTGCTCCATGTTGCTTGACCCAGTCTTCCAAAGTACAATTGTCAAGTGTCTCGTCAGAAGATGCAGGATTATGGATGTCGATTGTTTGGCACGTCTTCTCGAAAAGATCGCGGATGAGAATCATGTTTTCAGCCCCCCCCCCTTTTCGGAAAGTGCCTCAAAATCCAGTTAGTCCTAAGGAAGGACTCATCTGCTTGGGTGTAAAACTCACGTTGGGGGCCAATCCGTATGGGAATTTGGAAATACCACCGCCAATATCCTCTTGGACTACATCGCCGGATATATTGCTCAACCATCGACAAACCTAGTGATTTAGCGAGACTGTAAATATATGACTGGTTTGTGTCATTGATCCATGCTGCCCCTAGATCAACGTACTTATCACCTCCCAATAGATTGACAGACCACGTCTTCCCTCAAACTCTGTCTCTGGCCTCAACCGCAAGGCAAGAATATCCCGCCTTCTGGATGTCGCAAGCTGCTTTGAGACCACTAAGTCCTGCGCCGACAACAACGACATCCACATTCCGGACTGGAGCTTGTCTCACTGCAGCATATGCCTCAACTTCGAAGACAAAGTCGGGTTCTGCCAGCGCTTGCACCCCAACTGCAGTCGTTGCAGGTCGATGTCCATTCAGAAACTTAATCAGTGACTTACGGTAGAGGCGATTCTTGTGGTCGTAGTTGACGATATACCAGTCCAGTTTAGAAACATCTTCAACTCTTGCACCAGCAGCCTCAACGGTCCGATGAAGATTTTGAAAGGCCTGCTCTATCTGTGCCTGGGGTTCTTTGGTTGTGACGCCGTTTTGGTCCACTCCGACTTGGTCTGCTGTTGCCACGATCCGTATATGCCCCATTATGGTGGCAGCATGAGAGAAGATGGGGCCTGACTCCCAAACGCCATAAGGATCCAGAGTCCTTACACTCCCTCTTGACCTTGCATGGGGAGACATTTTCGATAGTAGAGCAAGATGTTTGCCGAGTTAATCAAATTTCTGGTAGAAATAGAACGTCAGTGTTACATCGGCGTCTAGGAGTGCGTTAATCGAGAGTCTTCATCTACACTTTTTCATTTTTGGAAACTGGTTATTCACAAGTCAAATTTTGGTGTACTCCTATTGACACGTTCGGCCGGGCCGTGGTAGCTGTGATAGCTGGAGGCATGCAGCCACAACTTCGGGGCCGTAGCCTCTGGTTCCAACCCATGCGCTATTTTGTAATTAACGAAGAATGTAAGATGGTTAGGATCTGCACTGACGGCCTTGCTGCACACCAGAAACCTGGGTCCATGCCTTCTGAGCCGAACAAAGCAAGATACGCCTTGGCCGTCGGGACCGAGAGTTTACAACTAAGTCAAGTAGATCTGATGCCTTAATTCATTTTGATTCCTTGCATCTACTAAGTGATAAGGAACTCCCCCTTTGCGGCCATATGCCCCTGTTCATACCTGAACTTCTAGTTTACAAGCATCTTCTTGTACCTGGCCTGTCTATTTACATACCAAATGTGAGTACACCATGGTATTTTTTTTATGCCATTGAAGGTGCTTATGATTTCAACACGGATTGGACGACCTTTAAAGTGTTCAATTCAAATGTAAAAGACCTGTCAGAGTCTGCGTCATACAAGTTCTCTAATCGATCCAATGTCTTCCCCCATGGGAGACGTACAGTCGCTTACGAAATTGCGACAACTCGGTGAGCACACGGCCGTTATACTTTTGACATCGCCCCGCCGCTAACAGACCATGGAAATCAGGACGCCTGGAGCAGCATGCCAGTGCTCGACATTCTCTAAGCTACTACAAAAATGTCGCCATGAGTATTTTCTATAAGTCCTGTCGTAGCATTGACGTTGTGCAACTGAGAGGCCTCATATTCCGCACAATGGGCGATGTGATTTTGCAGCACCCAGCACTAAGTGCCATCCCTGTGGACGAGGATACGCCTTCGCCTTATTTTGCTAGACTGCATCATATCGATCTTGCTAAGGCAACAACGTTCTTAACTTCCCCAAAAGTATTTAATGAGGAGCTTGGGCCTGGAGAGCTCAACCGATTGTTGGAGGAACAGCATAATGCAAATTTTCTGCCCTTCAGGCCTGATATTCCGGTATGGAGGCTAGTTATCGTCCACGAACCAGAGAACGGCTCGAAGTTTATTGCCTGCTTCGTGTACCACCATGCGATCGCGGATGGAACTTCGGGGTTTGCGTTCCATAGGTCCTTCCTCACGGCTCTTTGTGAACACACACAAGAAATCCAAGCCTCGAGAGTGAATATGAGAAGCTCCGAGGCAGAGCAAAAAGGCATCCATATTGTGCCGACATCAGAAAAGGCTCTATGTCAAAGCCTCGAAGCTCTACACCCGCTTGGACTTTCAACGTCTTTCATTCTGAAATCCTTATGGAGGGAATATTTCTCCAAACTTCCTCCTCACTTCTGGTCAGGACCAAAAATCACCGTGGACGCGTGCCGCCAAAGAAGTCGTTTCCAATCGATTCAATTCTCGCAACACATCACGCAAAATCTGGTCAGATTGTGCCGATCTCAATACACAAGTGTTACTGCCGCTCTTGAAGCCGCACTAGCCGCAGCAGTATTCACAGAACTTCCATATAATCAATATGATAGACTGCGCGTCGACGGTGCTGTGTCTTTGAGAAGGTGGTTGCCGGAGGAAGTCGTTGATGAAAACTCCATGGGTAACTGGGTCTCTCGGTACCTCGAAGAGCACCGTCGTCCACAGCACAATCGCCCAACTGAAACAACAGATGCTCTAGGCCTGTTCTCCTGGGATGAAGCAAGGAGGATCAAGGCCACGATAGACTTAGAGCTTGCAAAATGCGGTAAAGATAGCGTGGTCGGCTTACTGAGGTTTGCCGGCGACCTTCACAAGTACTTCAAGGGGAAAGTAGGTGCATCCAGAGAAGAGAGCTTTGAATTCTCAAACGTTGGAGTGTTCCAGAGTGGCCAGCAAAATGCTAGTAACAGGCACAGTTGGCAGACAGGTAGGGTCGTCTTTAGTCAAAGTGCGGATGTAATAGGGGCTGCGTTTGAGGTGTCTCTCGTGACTGGTGAGGACATGTGCCTCAATATCGGCTTCTCGTGGTTAGAAGGGGTCGTCCAAGAGCAATGGATGGGAAAGGTCATACGCACTTATGAGCATTTGGTTGATACAATTGTACTGAGTAACCATGGAAAGTAATTTACCAGTCTCGAATTCTCTATCGATGACGCCCAGCTGGTATCATAACGCTGCACTTTTGCTCAGTATCCAGACTCCCTCGCCCTCGCCAAGGGTATGGCCCTTTCAGTCTCTGATTCTTCCTCTTACCGTCCACCTCTTCCCTTCAGTTGCTTCCAAGCAACATTCAACAGCAATGACACTTGGAACAATGACGGTTTTCGAAATGTAACATTCAGATCTGCGGTGTATAAATTGCCCTCACGGAATCCAGAAGCTTTTTGGTGTATTGTGGCACAGAGCGTCAATACCTGATTGAGCAAAGCACAAATCGCCCCTCCGTGCAATGTGTCTTGAAAGCCGAGAAGACTGGTGCTAAGTTTCACAGGAAGGATGCACTCGGAGTCCAAAGACTGAGCTGGCGGTGCTGTGGCTGAAGGGACTTTGGCAGATGTTGTGCTCATCCTTGTTACGAGCGCTCCATGATGATTCCCCAGAAGCTTTTGATGAGTTAGGTAGATCCAGTGTGTGAACGTCGCACTGGTGTTGAGAGATCCTCCGAAAATGTGTCTTCTCGATCCTTATGTCCAAATCTAAAAGGAGTGACTGTTGCTTGGTATTGAGGATCGTCGATTAATTGTCGCGTCCATGATGTTGCTCTGAAATGAACAAGGTCCTTGACCAGCAGGGAATCTCTATCGCTTCGGGGCATATGGTCTCTTTACAATATTTCCGCCATGCATTCCCTCCAATGTCATCAAGAAGCCTCTCCAGTGACTACTTTTGTATGCAAGCGGAACGCCAACTTACCCTTTGACCTTGGTAAGGCTAAGGCTCCTATTTTCAGTAATAGCTCACGTGATCATACACCTCTCGGCTCCCTCGGCTCATCGGCTCCAGAAACCTTCACAGAGATTGAGTTGTCTCCTGCATATCAGCCTGCGTAAGCATTTCAAAGCTACCTTACCAGCAATGAGCTCAGAATTGAGTGGGCAGGCTCAGCCTGGATCGGCTCCGCCCATTCGTCGCCGACGTCAATTGCGAGCCTGCAACACGTGCCATCGAAGGAAAGTTCGATGTGATGCAATCGGCCGCCAGGCATGTTCGAACTGCAAAGCCATCGGAGCCGCTTGCAGGTAAGTCGCTTTGGATCCTAGAGAGTAACTTGGAGATGCTCTGATATGGCATCCTAATCCTGGCTAGATTTGACATTGTTGAGGCATTGTCCCGGAGGGGTAGAGTGTCTCAGAAGCAGGTACTAGAAACAGAGTTGACTGGTAATCCTGAAGTCACGGAACACAACTCCCGTCCTCATGCACCAGAGAGCCCTGCGTCAAGAAGATACGCCTCTACCTCAGATAGACTCTCAGAAGTCGCAGTCAATCAACAGCTTGTCGATAATGTGCTGGTCGATTTCTTCCAACATGGCATTGGCTCACAATATTGGTCGCGATTCGACAAGCTGGCCGAAGCACGCATTTGCTATGTTGGGACTTCGCTCTCTAATCTAGCATTCCTCGTGAGCCAGGAGGGCTGCGGCGATAACAATAATTTGCACTATCCGAATCCCCAAGTCCACCGCATTGTGCCATGGAAGCCGGATCCTATGTCCTATGCCTTACAGATGCGCCAGAACCTGGAGTCGGAACTGAGTTCGTTCCCCGCTAAAGATGTCAGGGACGCACTAGTGGAAGCCTTTTTCAACGAAATTCATCCCGGCTTTCCAGTAGTCGACGAGAGTGACTTCAGAGCAAGCTATGCGGACCCAGAGAACCCACCACCTCTGTTGCTATTCCAAACTATCTTACTGGCCGGCGCTCATGTTTGCACACACCCGAAAGTGGCTGAGTCTAGATCACTGGTCAGAACGGCCTTATTTCAACGTGCCAAAACCCTGTGGGACCTGCGCTTTGAGAATGACAGGGTCACATTAGTGCAAGCCGCATTGATATTTTCGTGGCATATCGAGAACGCCGATACCGTGAGCGCAAATAGTTACTACTGGATCTCTGTCGCTTGCGGAATCGCGTATGGTCTGGGAATGCACCGAAACCTGGCAGGTTCATCATCAAGCCTCTTGCCACAATGCTCTAAAAATCTGTTCCGTAGAATATGGTGGACATTATTCCAGGCCGCGGTAGCGTCATCACTCGATCAAGGAAGACCGCTGCTCGCCCGCTGTGATGACTCCGATCAGCCGCCTCTGACGGAGGACGACCTTATCGAGGTAGGTGGCTCACCGAACAAAAACATTCGGCTACAATATTGCGTACAAAACAGTACGCTCTGCGAGATTGTTGCGGATATTCTTGCACTATTCTCTCCAGGCTCGTTGCGGAAGTCAGCGGGCTTGGTGGACACCAGCATTGTTGATGCACGCTTAGCGGCGTGGCTGATGGGGCTCCCACCCGGCGATGATTATTATAGCTCCACACTACGCCTCCATTATAATACCGCGCTTCTACACCTGCACCGCACGGTCATTCAACTCGGTGAGTCCAATGTGTCAACCAATTCCCAAAAGCTGTGTAGTTCCGCGGCAGAAAGCATTGTCAGTACATTGAGCGGCATGATTGCAAACAAAACCATTAGCAGGTGTTACTTCACCTCTCTAACAGCGATCATGGCATCGGCCGTCCACTTTGTCCGCGAAATGCGCCTTGCCATCGGTCAGAACTCTACCCTTCTGGCACTTCAGTCACAGGCTCAGCTTGAAAGTTGTTCCCCGATCTTGAGGGAATTGACATTGTACTGGCCTACTGCAAGTTCGGTGGAAAAGCTATGTCAACATCTCTTGGACAGAATGAAATCGATGATGATAGCACAGCAAACGACTGGGGCTGCAGGCGAAATGCCGTTGAACTTTCCTGATCTTAATATCATTCCCGAGGATTGGGACTATATCTTGTCCACGCTGCATGCTGCCGGGCCAGAGCCTGATTGGTCAAATGCGCAATCTGGTTTGGGCTTCTGAGCCTAGACACTGTCTGGTCCTTGAATTTTCAGTTAACCATAGTGACCACTTGCCATTCCATTCGGGGACCTCGAAAGGGGCGACGGGCGTAGAACAACCAGTTGAGGGTGCCGAGGAGCATGACTGTGCCCAGCACAGCAGCAGTATAGTCTAGAGTTCTCCGTTAGCGAGATTTGACATCTGGGTCAGCTCAACCAGTAAATCAGGGAACAATACTCATGTTAGTGCCAGTGACCGGCCTGAACGGCGGCATTGCGAAGAACACCACCAGCACTGGTATGGTGAGGACTACAACGCAGTTGACAATCCAGCCGAGCCAGTTGGGCAATGCGAGACTTCGATTGGCAGGGAGGAACTTGGAAGACCGCCGCTGGTAGATGAGTAGCACCACCGGTATGAGGTATGATAGAAGCTGGTGCACCACGGTGGAGCTTAAAATTGCATTGAAAGCTAGCATTACACTCGTCAGTGAAATTGCGTTTCGATCGTCCTGATCCCAGCCAGGCTAGCGCTAGGATCAAATGAAACTCACCGATCGAAGACGCCAGAATTAGGACTCCAAGGAGCGCCACAAAGACCCAATTGAACAGCAGAGCCCAGACTGGGACCTCAAGTCTCGGATGGACGCGGCTAAGGATGTGTGAGAAAGCGAATCCTTTATCTCTGGCGAACGACCAGACAACGCGCGAGGACGCCTGAATCGTGGCGTTGAGGATGAAGAACCCGAGAACAGTGCCCGCGGTGAGCACGGCTACAGCACCTTGGTCAGAGCGAAGGCCCTGACGGTTGATCTCGAACGGGATGTACCTGTGCGTGGATTTTCGTTAGAAGACTATGTGCGGTTCTAGTCTGTATGAAGGGTAAATTGAACACCTTGTCTATCCCACTTACCCATGGCTTTCAACAATGGAAGTGAAATCCGAGATACTGTAGAGCAAGCCGATCGCGAATGGGAAGGCGGTGCAGAACCCCACCACGACAATACCCACCGTGACGCGGGGAACCACTCTATAGGGGTTTTTGGCTTCTTCGGATAAATGCAACGCGCCGTCCAGGCCGCCGAACATGAAGAAGGGAGGCACCAAACCTATCATGAAGCAGACGCCGTCGGGCCAGCCCGTCTCGTTGATGAAGGTGGTCCAGACGAATCCGCTGGGTGCTTTGGGGCTTGAGCGCACTAGAAGGCCGATGAAGTTTGATACGAAGATGGTGATTGATAGAGCAACTAGAGCAGTTAGAATACCTTGGCTTTGTCTAGGGCGCGCTCGTCGCTTACAGCCGATGGTATGCGTGAAGTCAAATCTCTTGATGAGCAGGATGTTATAAAGCACCGCCAGAAGGACAAGTCCTTGATATATTAGGAATAGCTGCCACGCCGCTTCGGGCTCCTGCGGGTTGTAGAACACGTACAGGGTGGAGATCTGTGTCGCGACGATGACGGAGACGGCGGCGCCAGTTGCGATCCAGTAGAAAGTCGTGATGAACCCGCAGACGTAGGAGATCTGAGCGCTGAATCTTTCTGGGGCCAGGATCGAGCTGAAGTGGTACTGTCCTCCGGCAGTTGGGTAAACGCTTGCCAACTCGGCGAGGCTTGAGCTGATGCAGAGATAGATGGCCGTGGTGACGATGACGCCGTAGATCAACGCCATGGGTCCGCCTGCCAGCAGGGCGATTTGGACGCTGGTCGAGAGCCCGGCCCAGCTGCTACAGATGTTGAAGCATAATGCCAGCATGGCCAGGGGGCCAATGGTCTTCCTGAGATCCCCGCCGACGAGGGTCGTACCCGCTACCTGTGTAGCTTCGGCAGGCTGCCGCTCGATCTGAACGTCGATGCTCTTGTTCGCGCCATTGCGGTCGAACACGACTGTCACGCAGGTGACCGTCAGTTGGGATCAACGTAGAGTCGCAGACTTACTCTCGTGAGCATTTTCAACATGCCTTGACTCTGCACCCCCTCCCGCGGCAGGTACAACCACATTGGCTTTCCTATTTGCCAAGAGGGTCTTCTGTTCGGTACCGTGCATTCTGAGAGGCTTTGGGCTTGGTGCCTGGTGCTGTCAACGTCCACATGAGAAAGTGAGATACACCCAACGTCCGGTGCCAACGGGCAATGCGTCTACTAAGTACGTGTCTGACCCCTCCAAAAGGCCGACTCCTCGGGTCGGCCGAGACAGACAATCATTGAGATAGTATTAGTGGCATATCTCATTCGCTGACCTCCCATGAAAGAGACGTAAGATAGCTCTAACGCCCCCCCCCCCCACATTGTGAAGATGGGTGACTCTGCGGAGAGGCAGACGATGGGATGGGACCCATGCATGGCGCTAGAGACAAGCTCAGTGCACACGGCAGAGGGGATGCTTAGCTGGATGTCTATTCTGCCCAGCTAGAGACACACCGCGCTTCGGGGCCGAAGGTGTTTCTCGTTCTCGGTTCCCGTTTCGGGATATACACTAGATCCTCGTATCTCGTATCTCTCGTATCGATAACGCAGCTTTACGGGGATTCTGAAAACCCTGGCAACGTGGAATGCTTCGTATTGGGCACTTTGCTTCAGTGATACCTCGTACCCAACACGGCTAGCAAAGCATGGCTGAGAGGGTAATCAGGTGCATAAGTACTCGAGGTGCTGGGGAAGCGCCGTACATCCTCAATTCATGATCTCTTCTTCCTCGCACCTCTCCACAGAATTAAGTATTCTCAGGTACATTTCCATTCATGCTCATCATGGACAGGCATGTCTCGTCTGTGACGATCTTCACCAGCTCACTCGCACTCACGGCCATTGGCATCGTGTGCCTCGGAATCTACCTTTTGGTTGATACCTGGCGTTATAGCCTGCGAGAGAAAGCGTTGGGCTGTGGAAGGCCAAACAGGCTACGCAACAAACTACCCTATGGCATCGACTACCTCTGGACTCTGCAAAAGGCCGACCGAGAGAATCGAGTCCCTCAGCAACTCCTGAAGATCTGTCGAGACGTCAAGTCTGCCACTTTTGTTCAGAACCTTGCTGGGCGTGATGGAATTGGAACATCGGATCCGAAAAACATCCAGGCTCTGCTTGCCCTGCAATTCAAGGATTTTGGCCTTGGTTCACGCCGACGCCAGAACTTCTATCCATTGCTGGGAAACGGTATTTTCACTGCAGACGGAGAGATGTGGTAGGTCTCTGAAAGACGTCCGTGCCATAAACAAATTACTGCTGAAAGGTTGTGTTGGAGTATGCTGATTATTCTGTGTTCAGGGAGCACTCAAGAGCAATCTTGCGTCCACAGTTCTCACGAGGACAAGTTTCTGACCTCGAGCTAGAAGAACGTCATGTTCAGGAGATGTTCAATCAGCTCAATGTCGATGCGTCAGGCTGGACTTCGTCCGTCGATCTGGCCCCCGTGTTCTTTCGCCTGACAATGGACACAGCGACCGAATTCCTGTTCGGAGAGAGTGTCAATTCTCAGAGAGCACACGCTCTGCAGCACTCCTCTGATCTTCCCGTGCATGATTTGAGATGGTCGAAAGTCGGTGCCAACTTCGATCACGGAACAGCCACTCTCGGTATTCGTGCTCGGTTGGAAGGGTTATATTGGCTGTACAATCCTAAATCATTTCGCGAGGATATCCGGGAGGTTCACAAATTTGCCGATCATTGCATCAACCAGGCTCTTAAGCGGAGACAGATGGGGTCTGTGAAAGATCAGAAGAAGTACATCTTCTTGGATCAGCTGCTCGATGTGGTCAACGATCCTGCCGAGCTAAGAAGCCAATTGCTCAATATATTTCTAGCCGGTAGGGACACGACAGCAGGGCTTCTGGGCTGGACATTTTGGTGTTTGGCACGGCATCCAGGTGTCTATTCCAAGCTAAGGACTAGCATAGTCGACCAATTTGGGTCATCAGAGAGGGAGGACACCATCACGTTTGCCGGGTTGAAATCTTGCTCTTATTTGCAACATGTCATGAACGAGGTCCTTAGGCTCTATCCATCCGTTCCATTCAATTTCCGACAAGCCACAAGAGACACAACCTTACCTCGAGGAGGTGGACCTGATGAATCTGCGCCAATATACGTTAAAAAGGATCAGAGTATCAGCTATTCAGTCTTCGTGATGCACCGTCGAAAAGATCTCTGGGGCGCCAATGCTGATGAATTCGACCCTGATCGGTGGGTTGGTCGCAAAACTGGCTGGGAATATCTTCCATTCAATGGTGGGCCAAGAATATGTTTAGGTCAACAATTTGCTCTGACTGAAGCGGGATATGTGATAACCAGAATGGTACAGCGCTTCGAGAAGATCTCGAACACTGATCCGGAGGACGAGCCTTTGCAACAGTACAGCTTGACCAGTGCACCGAAGAGTACCTGGGTACGATTGTACCACGGATAGGGACTGGATATAGATGTAATTTGAACTGGGTACGTCTGCAAACAGGCGTCACGGGATTTGAAATGGGTTGCAAATGGCTGAAGTTACCTACATAGTCAAGGACGGTCTCAGAAATCTTTTCACCCTGACAAACATCCACTGAATTGCTGCAGTGGCCTCGCCGAATCTTTCATCGTGCATTCTCGCCACGATTGAGAACAATGGTGCCATGGTGTCTACCATTCTAGCCAGGGGCAATTGGAGGCTTGCTCAGGTCCACAGCGTACAATGAGAAGTCGACACTGAGATTATTCGTAGGTAGGCGGGGTGGAACTCGTTTCATGATCTAAGCGTGTGAAACAGTGAGAAGCTTCACATATGCCTGATGATTGTGAGTCGTCCCCCAACACCAACATTTGCAGCATTAGGGACGATCAGGGGGCAAAGTGGGGGAAGGCAGGTTTTGAACAAGCCAGACTTTGAGTCGGTGTTAAAAATGACGGGGGAGGAATAATGATGTTGCGAAGGAGAAGGCGGCAAGGACCGCCCGGAGGAGGCTTGGCATAGCTGTCACTGTCACGTGGTCCAGGTGAATTGATTCCGCCTGCTCGCCTTCCCTGGCATTCAGTGTCCCGCACTTCAGCCAGGCTCGAGTCTTGAGTATTTGACATGCCACAGGTGGTAACAAACTCACATTCACTGTGGAATTTCCAATATTGCGTCGCACACCGTCTCAGCTTCTTTGGAATGTCTGACTGGTAAGCTCAATATCGTAACCCACATTATAATGTGAACTGCCAACCCCGCATAATCAACTGCTCCCACTGCCAGTTGCCAATCAACATGACAACATCATTATTCGACCTCCAGAGAAGCATTATACTCGACAACATTCGAGCTACCAGCGGACGGGATTGGAAGGTTCTAATTTTGGATCAACAGAGCAGACGTCTTGTGTACAATGTCACCAAGGAAGACGACGTCCTCAATTGCAACATAACCAATATCGAACAAATCGAGGATCGCAGGCAGCAACAGACCGACACTGATGCCATATACCTCCTCTCCCCTCAGCCTCACGTAGTGGAGTGTCTGAAGGCCGACCTTTCAAGAAAGAGATACCGTCGAGCACATCTAATATGGACCTCCCAACTCCCTCGCCCACTACAGGAAGAGATCTTCCGATCAGAATCCCGAGCACGAGCCATCGTCGAGTCCCGCGCCCTGAATATTGAGTACTTCCCAAGAGAAGCAAATGTCGTTACCTTTCGAGAGCCATGGAGTTTCCATGCCCTTTATCACCCAGCCTGTGACTCCATGGTCAGGAGCCACCTCGAGACTTTGACTCAAAAGATTGTGTCGGTATGTGTCTCCCTCGGCGAATATCCTGTCATAAGATATTACAAGCCCCCCGAACATCAAAGGCATGCCGCCGATGTGCTGTGCTATCACATTGCCAGCTTTGTCCAAGGGGCACTAGACGAATATGCTCGAGACGAGCGAAATAATTTCCCGCCTCAGTCACAAGCGGTCAGACCCAGAGCGGTGTTATTCATCACCGACAGATCCATGGATCTGGCCTCGCCTTTTGTACATGAACTTACGTATCAAGCCATCGCCATGGATCTACTGCCTATCAGGGACGACGAGGACAAGATCACCTACAGAAATGTCATTCGGCGAGGCCAGCCCGACGAGGAGGAGAAGGATGTGGAAATCAACGAACGTGACAACCTATGGGTTCAACACCGCCACATGCATATGAAAGATCTACTGGTCCAGCTCAGTGAGGAATTCCGGAAGTTTCAGGCCAAGAACCCTCAATTCGCCGATGATGGTCAGCCTGCTACCATCAACACCATCAAAGATATGCTGGCCGGGCTGCCAGAGTTCCAAGAAGGAAAAGAGGCTTTCTCGCTACATATCGACATGGCCGAAAAATGTGCCAAAATCTTTGCAGAGCATAAATTGTTGGATGTAGTGTCGGTCGAGCAATCGCTCGCCACCGGGATCGATGAAGAGAACAAGAAGCCTAAGAACGTGGCCGACCAGATGGTTAGGTTACTGGATGATGACAGTGTGGTGCACGAAGATCGAGTCCGACTCTTGATCTTGTATGTATTGTACCGGCATGGTGTTCTTCGTGGCGATATCGAGAAGCTACGGTGTCATGGTCAGCTATCGCCGTTCGACGGGGAGACTCTCTACAACCTTGTCACGCTTGGAGCCAAGATTGAAAAGAATTTGAAGGACGCAACGCCAACCCCTGCACCACTGTTTCCTCCAAAGACCGCCGCAGCCAACAGTAACATGGAAGAAGTGAGTTTGTCTCGTTTCGAACCCGCACTCAGGTACATGCTGGAGGAGCAATGCCAGGGTACTTTGGACCTCAATACATTCCCGTCGGTGAAGCCTCATCTGAACGACCCGAACGCCCAGAGCATGGCAGCACAAAGCTCGCTGAGAAACGCTGGGAAGCCTACATGGGCTCAGACGAGGGCACAATCGAACAAACCGCGACAACGGATCATCGTATTTGTCGCTGGCGGGGCGACCTACGCCGAGGCGCGAGCGTGTTACGAAGTGTCTCGAATGGCTGGCAAAGAGGTGTTTCTTGCGTCAACGCATATGGTCACGCCCAAGAACTTCTTGCGCCAGGTGAGCCTGCTCAGTGCTGGTAGGAAGCAATTGAACCTCCCGGCCGACCAGCCACCACCCAAGCTCCCAGCGTGGATGTCGGAACCGCCTCCCCAGGCACTGCAGCCGAAACCACAAGCACCGCCGAATGGTGGACCACCGACGGCGGCAATGCAAAATATGAGTCTTGGTGGTCGTGGTGCCAATGGCGTACGTCCAGGAGTAGGCACCGGGTCTTCTGGCCCAAGGCCTGCACCGGCAGCTGCAGCTGCAGCGCCTTCCCCCAAGCCATACCCGCCCTATACGCCAGCATCGAGCGAGCAAGGCCACGGCAAACTAAAGAAGGAGAAGAAACACCTCGGCCTGTTCAAGAAGCACTAGGAGTCGCTTTGACACTGACATTAGCATGGCGTCGGGGTTGTGTTGTAGTTAGTCGTCGCTTGTCGATAGTCTCTATCATCTGGTTATGATATGACAGGGGTAGTGTTAGTTTATTCTTGGGGACGTTGAAAGTGAAAGTGTTGGTTTCTTTTCTTGTTCCCAGTGTCAGCCATCGGGTCCCAGATATTGTTCCAAATCAGGCCCGTAAAAGGATTGCCGCAGCCGGTCCATTCGCTTTCTGTCCTCGATATCTTTCCGCTTGAGCTCCCTAGCGTTCAGCACAATAGGCTTCTCCACCTTTTTCACGACATGTTTCTTCTTCTTCATCGTCACCGCGTCCTCACCATCGTCATCAACTGTCTCGCGCAGCCCAGCCGTATCTTTCTTCTCTTTTACCTTGATGGGAATCGTGATTCCCCCGTCGCGCGCGCCCAGCCCTCTCCTGCCATCAACATCCCACCCGTAGGCAGCCATGTACTTGACACCCATATGCTCTCGGTCCAGGTGTGATGGCTGGTGTGAGTGCTCCAAGCAGACTTGATGCGCGATGGACGACTCGTGGGAACTAGTCAGCCCGGGGTTCCTGCGTTCGGTGGATTCCGAAACTGGCTGACTGCAGATAGGGCATGTACTGAATTCGGATTCGGATTCAATTGATCTGGTTTGTGATTCTTTCCGCTCTTCCTGCGCGATGGTCGTAGGCAGGACGATGGAGAGGTAGCGGTTCCCAATCATACGAGAGGGTTTCGCGGGTGAGGATGAAGTAGGCAGTTCGCTTGGGGTGGTGGATGCTGGTACGAAGTCAATTCTCTTGCGCTTGATCCCTGCGCCAAAGACTCTTTGCTCGGTTAGAGGGGTATAGGTGTCCTCTTCGTCCGTTGTCATTGTGTTGTTGTAGGAATGGACATTCGCCGTCGTCGAATTCTCGGTCGTGGTGGCCGAAAATAAATGTAGAAGACGATGTGACGCGGGACAGCAGCACAAGGCAGGACCAAGTGGCGTACGTCACTCGCTGGCCGTGCTTGCCCTTTTATCTAAGCGTCCCCAGGCACCCGCGACGGCGATAGGCGGGAAGATCGGCCTCGGGCAATAATCGAAAGTCCAAATAATCGGGGAGACTTTGATGGTCGGAATTCATTCTGTTCCAGTACTTGACAGATCTCGTTCGTTGACAGAGAAGAAGACCGCGCCAATCCACTTGCTCCAGTGCTCCGAAACACACACCCTGGAGAAATGCCTATCCCCCTGCTGGCAGAGGGCTTTGGTCGAGGCGTCTCCAACATCCCATATATCTGGAACGCTGGTCAAGCGGGCGTGGCCATTGGCATCGTCGTTCTTTTAAAGTACTATTTCTCTGGAGCGACATGTCGGTCAGAGCGAGTGATGCATGGGAAGGTGGTGATAGTGACGGTACGGCCATCGGCCTCTCCCAGGCAATAAAACGCAGTCATTCGATTCACAGGCTTACAAGATCACCTAGGGGGGCACTTCTGGTATCGGGGCCGAAGTAGTCAAAGAACTCGCGACTCGAGGCGCGCAGATCATCCTCCTCACCCACCATTCTCCATCAGACCCCTTTCTCGTCGACTACATTGAAGATCTACGGACAGTCACGAACAACGAATTGATCTATGCTGAACAAGTCGACTTATCATCCCTCCACTCTATCCGTGTATTTGCTACGAAATGGGTGGATAATGCGCCCCCTAGAAGACTGGACATGATTATTTTGTGTGCAAACATCATGACACCGTTCTTTGGGAAGGGCCAAAAGACCGTGGATGGCGTTGAGGCAGAGTGGGCCATAAATTACCTGAGCACTTTCCATCTCCTAAGTATCCTCTCGCCTGCAATCAGGGCACAACCTCCGGATCGAGACGTGCGAGTTCTCTTCAGTACATGCAACAGCTACATTGGTGGCAAGTTGGAGTTGAAAGACACCGAGACGGCCGCCAAATCTGGAAGTGCATCTTATGCCAGGAGCAAATTGGCACTCATGACATTTGCATACGGTTTCCAGAAGCATCTGGACGCCTACAAACGACCGGACAAACAACCCAACAATGCTCGGGCACTTATCGTTGATCCAGGACTCTCCCGCACCCCAGGAACCCGACGTTGGCTTTCTGGCGGCTCCTTATGGGGACTCTTATTCTACCTGTTAACCTGGCCTGTCTGGTGGTTAGTTCTCAAGTCGCCCATTCAAGGGGCTCAAAGCTATCTGATGGCAGCGATGGAAGCCGAATATGCAAGGGCTGCGGGAGGCAGGTTGATCAAAGAATGCAGAGAATATGAACCTCTCCGTGCTGAAGTACAGAATGAAGAGGTCGCCAAGAAGTTGTGGGAGTTTAGCGAGAAGCAGATTGAGCAACTGGAGAAAGAAGGTGCTGTCAAGCGTGCGCTGGCGAAAAAGGAGGCAGAGAAGAAGGAAAAGAACAAAGACAGCAACGAACAGGCTGGAGGCGAGAAGAAAGCTACGCCGGGCTCGAGAAGGAGTCGTAAAGCGAAATAAACGATTTGATAGCCCGAGACGGAAGGCCATTCACCATGAACTACTGTGATGGCAAATACGGCAAGTTTTACGATCTTGCTGCCTGTCATTGCAATCTCCAGCAACGAGCGCTCCTTATGTACCTGGCCGGGTACCCGGTCGCATTTCATTAGGGATCTCGTTATGGTCCTTTACCAAGGCTTGGCGACGTCTAGTCCGACGCTCGGGCAGGCAACAGACTTAGGCAAAGTTAATTTGTTCCAGTCATGGTCCCTCCCATCAGCCAGCATTGGGACTTTGATCTTGGCTGATGTCTATCCCGTTCTTGGGATGAGCACAGTCAATTGCCATAAAAGGGCGGGGGCAACTCTTACCATGGGCCTTTCAAGTTTGTCTGAAATCAAAGTCCGCCTGTTTTCTGGAACCAGAGCATTCGAATCAGCAGGCTGAATATATTGCAGATCCTTGCTCTTTTTCTTGCAAGATCTACCGATTGCGCGCTTTCACGCCTGCACACCTCCAACCATCCAGGCAGCGACTCGCAATGGCAGATCGCCCCTCAGAAATCACTGGCGGTTGCCTCTGCGGTTCCATCCGTTATCGAGTGTCATTTCTGGAGGCAGCCTGGCCAGCTCAAGTATGAATTCCTAAGGAAGAGAGAAACCATTTTGACACAGCTCAGGTTGCCACTTGTCAATGCACCATGTGTCGAAAATTCACCGGGGCACTGCTCTCATTTGATCTACTGATCCATCCATCTCAACTTGCTGATGATATCACCAAATCACCGACCTACAGAGAGTTCAAGTCTAGTGAAGCAGCAACTCGATCGTTCTGTTCCAACTGCGGCAGTAGTCTGGCATGGCGTGTCGATGGAATGGATGACATGATGGTCATCTTCTTAGGCACAATCGATGAAGAATTTCTGATCGGGAATAAGATTGAAGGAAGTGAACAGGAGACCGACTTGGGCATTAAATTCGATCGGCAGGGTGGCTTTTCGAAAGGACTTTGTAAGCCCAACATGGGCAACCTGTTCTGGAACAATGCCATCGCCGGCATCACGGATCATGATCTGGGAGGAACCAAGTTCTTACAAGCATTCCCGGAGCAGTAATTCAGCCCCAGTTAGGTACGAGAGGACAAGAACTTGAAGATTCGAAAAGAATTTTACTATGACAAGATCTGATAACATGTTTCCACACTCCCGAATCCTGGCGGCATACCGCAAAGATACCGCGGTGCCTCCATTCATGGCAGGGGAAATCCGCGAAGAAACAACCGCTCCAAGCCAATTCAGAACAACCCAACGGCAAAGCCCCAGTCATGCCAAAATGCACAGCGCTCAATTGGTTGGTCCCTCTGCCTGTGGGTGGCTTGTGTCTCCCAAACTCTGTACGCTTGCGGTGGTGCGGTTGCGTTCCGCTGTCGAGGACATGGAGGCGGAATGTATTGTTCTCCACATGCTGCCTCTCCCCTCACAAACTCACCAAACGCCTCCGGGGTACCAACACCCAATCGTCTCATATATTGCCAGAAGGTCCTCTCTTCCGTTTAAATGTTTTGTATTGCCTGGTTCATGTCCCTGACTATCATTCGGACTACAATCATACAATCACCGATTATCCGCCCTCGATCCGACGAGACACCGAACCATGATTGACAAGGCGTTGACAGTGTTCCTAGGACAGGCCCAGGATGCTCCAATTCCATTCCTAGCATTTGTGGCCGCGGCGTCGGCACTGCTCTACCTCCTCATCACCGAGATACAACGGGCTCAGGTACGGATACCAGGGTTCAGTGGTCCATCGGGGCTGCCTATGATCGGCAACCTTCATCAAATTCGAGTCAACGCCGCCGAGCAATATCGCCAATGGGCCAAATCCTACGGACCAGTCTACCAGATCATGTTGGGCAATGTCCCTGTCATTGTCGTCAACGGAGCCAAGGCAGCAAGGGAGATCTTCGGTGCCAACTCACAGGCCCTGGCATCAAGACCCGAATTCTACACCTTCCACAAAGTCGTCAGCTCCACCGCGGGCACAACTATCGGTACATCCCCCTTCAGTGAGAGCTTGAAGCGGCGAAGAAAGGGCGCCGCTAGTGCGTTGAACAAACCCAGTGTTGCCACATACATCCCACACATCGACATCGAAACCCGAGACTTCCTCAACGAGTTCCTGACCTACGGCGAGGCAGGCACCAAAGCAGTCGACCCAATGCCCATGATCCAACGGCTCTCGCTCTCCCTAGCCCTGACCCTCAACTGGGGAATCCGCATGGCCTCACAAAACGACACACTGTTCGGCGAAATCACGCATGTCGAGGAAGAAGTCTCCAAGTTCCGCTCCACCACCGGCAACCTTCAGGACTACATTCCGCTCTTGCGCCTCAACCCATTCAGCTTCGGCAAGGCGAAGGCACGCGACATGCGCCGCCGCCGCGACGTGTACCTGAGGAAGCTCAACGCCGACCTGGACGACCGCATGGCCAAGGGGACCCACACGCCGTGCATCCAAGCGAACGTCATCCTCGACAAGGACGCCAAACTCAACGCCGAAGAACTCACGTCGATCTCGCTGACCATGCTCTCTGGTGGGCTCGACACGCTGACCACGCTGGTCGCCTGGTCGATGCCACTGCTGGCCCAGCGCCCCGAAATCCAAGCGAAGGCCCTCCGTGAGATCCGCGCCGTGTACCCGCAAGATCAGATCCTGTGCGACGCGAATGACGACCAGTCCATTCCCTACATCTGCGCGCTCGTCCGCGAACTGCTGCGGTACTACACTGTCCTCCGCCTATCCCTACCGCGCGGCACCGTCAAAGACGTAGTCTACAGCGGGCACACGATCCCCGCGGGTAGCGTCGTGTTCCTCAACGCCTGGGCATGCAACATGGACGACCAAGTGTGGCACGACCCGGAGGTCTTCCGGCCAGAGCGCTGGCTCGAGGTCCCCGACGCGCCGCTGTTCACGTACGGCCTGGGCTACCGCATGTGCGCGGGCAGTCTGCTGGCGAACCGCGAGATGTATACGATCTACTTGCGGCTGTTGTCCGCGTTTGAGATTAAGGACGTCGTGTCTGAGGACGGCTCGCGGTTCGAGACGCACCCGGTCAATGGCGTCGAGGATCAGACGCAGTTGGTCAGCGTGCCCAAGCGGTATCGCATAAGGCTTGTTCCCAGGGATGAGGGCGTGCTAAGGCAGGCGTTGGCGGAGGGCGTAGCCGGGCATTGATCTTCTCTGAGGAGGGTTTCGATGGATCATGTGCAAATGAAAAGTAATCCTCTCCCCCCAAGATGAAGGGAGACGAGACGCTTGACTGGTTGCTTGGAAGGAGAGCTGTCAAAACAACACTGCACTTTCCAGCACTTTACCAGGCTGTCTAGAAGGCATGGCTTATGCGCGCTATACTCCCAGCACTGATATCAATTCTATATCCACAACAGCACCGCGAGGGTGGAGTTTCCTCGCGCTTTTGGTCCTTAGCCAGCCCTCAAATCACCATAGCAACAGGTGGATTTTTAAAGTATTGTACAATATATTTGCCGTTTTTATTTTGAGACCAAATAAAAGTTGAACCACTTTCTGTGATGATCCTTCATCCCCTGTCATTTATGATATGTCTATGATATGTCTATGTGTCGTCTATCTGTCTATGTCTCCGAGATATAGTATGTATCGTCATGAGATCTAACCTACCGGTTCCTTCTAGTCCTCTCTATCCGTGCATGCATGCGACCTCCAGCACAAAACGCAAGCTGGCCAGCCAGCCCACTCCAACTAGAAAACGCAAGTTCTTTTGTAGAAATCCAGGCAGGCTACCACCTTATCTCCCTTTTTCTTCTGTTCTCCCTTCGAAACTTGACTTGCCCTGATCACTCACATTCCTAGTTAAGCGATGGACGCACGTGGCCATTCTGCTCTAGCGAGTTCGTTCGATGACGCTTCAGGCCCTCCTCGGCCAGCTTCTTAACCGTCTTGCGGCCCTCGTAGATGTCCTTGGTCTCTTCCAAAATACTGGCCCAGGTCTGGAACGTGGTGAACGGGATGCCAGACCGCTCACAGTACGTCACCAGATCCTGGCCCTCGCGTGCGAACAGCAGATCGGTCTCCCGTGCCGCACTGAGATCACTGACGCCGTCGCCTGCATACAAAAGGGTAGGGCGGTCGTCGTTATGCGGCATCTTCGCGATCGCATCTGCGTACGGCCGGATGGTCAGGCTCTTGTCATGGCCGAAGCCGGAGTCCTCGTGCAGGAACTTGATGGTCCAGCCGTCGGCCTTGTCCAGCGAGTTCCCGGGGGCGCACAGCTGGACGCCGTTCGCGACGATCTCGATGTCGCTCATCAGCTCCTCGCCCAGCAGGTGCCGCAGCAGCGTCTCCAGCACGGGCACCATCCCGCTACTCAGCACAATCACGGGCACGTCGTTCGCCCGCGCCCACACCATGAAGTCGCGGAAGTGCGGGTCCAGCGTGATGTGCTCGCGCAGGATCGAGAGCACTTGCGGGAACGGCATGTTCCACGAGTCCAGCATCTTTTGGAAGGTGTTGAGGAATGTGTCGGTCTCGTCGATCACCGCGCGGAAGAGCTCGCGCCGCGCGGCCTTGCCCATCCCGTAGTTGTCGGTGATGAAGTCGTTGGTGTCTTGGAGTGTGATGGTCCCGTCAAAGTCCGTGAAGAAGATCACCCGCGGGCGAGCGTTGAGCGTCTCGGGGAAGGGCATCTTGGGTTCTTCTATTTCCTAGGTTCTGTTTTTGGTTTTTTGGTTTTGGGCGAGAGCGTCTTGTGCTCTATCAGGATTGCCTATTGAGGGTTTTCTATATGGAAATTGGCTACGCAGACGCAGGCGCAGAGCGGAACAAGGTTTTGGTTAAAAGAGAGCAGGGGAATAGGAACAGGTCTACGCAAAGTTCGAGACCTAAAGGAAGGCAAGAGTAAAAGATTATAATTCAAGTTGGGTCAACCCCCCAAGACTCACAAGTTCACAACACACATGGTGGGGGTTGTTTGCGCTGTACCACGTCCTGGAGCCGCCAGTGTCCACCGTCGCGCCCCGCTGAAGATGGCTCGAGTAAATCTCTGAACAAATATTATTATCTGGCGGGAAATCGCCCGAAAGAGAAGCCCGAGACCCGAGAGAGCATGACGCACTGGTTGGAGAATGTGGTGGGTTCCGTGGCACGTGGTTGGTTGCAGGATGGGAGGGTATTTATCCGTCCCGGCGGAAACCGGTGCTGCTCCTGCCTTTGTGGTTCCGCGTTCGGCTAACCTGCCCCACTCGCAACACAAATTATTCCGAGTTGGAGTTCGAGCTTCGCATCGAGCCATCGAGATCGGAGGAAATGACACTGGCAGGCTTGTCAATGGTGAGATCCTCTCGCTTAAGGACAGCCAGGTCAGGGACATCCTTAGTCCTGGACTGACGAGAACACAACTCTCGTTCTCTCCGGCAGCGATGCAGCAGACTCCCCTGCGGCTCTTCCAGACACTATGGTCCGCATTTCGAGCCGCGAAGCCAACGTCGAAACAGCTTCCACGACCTGTGCGATTCAACTCTGCCGTCCCACGCTCTCCACAGAGATGGAATACTCAGTCCTCGAGGATCATAGTCCAAGCCCGCTTCTACAGCAATAACAAGACTGAGATTAACCGGAAGGCTGGGGAAGCGAAGTCACGAATAGGCGAGAGCCTCGATGCGAGGGTGGAAGCAGCTGCACAATCCGATCAGAAGCTCAGAGACGCTGAGCATGAGGCTATTGTTCATACAATCCCTGAGGCTTCCTCAACAGTCCACACCTCCGAAGATGGTATTCATGGAGTGAAACACGGCAGCCCATCCACACCACAACCACGGCCCCCGAACCAATCATCCTCAACAGCGGACAAATTCCTTCCCTCAGATTTCTCCCAACGGTACTCCCAGATGCGAAAGCAATTCACCCATTTCATGGACAACTTTCAAACCCACGTCTTCACTGCTTCTAAACGTCTCAATGATCTGACCGGGTATAGTGGGATCGAAGCCCTGAAGAAGGAGATCGAAGTTCTTGAGACTGAAGTTCAGGCATCGAGGAAGGCCGTCAAAGAGTCGCGGAACATCTACTCGGAAGCTATAGCTACGCGGAGTACAACGCAGAGAGAAGTCAATGACCTGCTCCACAGGAAGCATACGTGGTCTCCGACAGATATCGAGAGATTCACAAATCTATACCGCAGTGACCATGCAAACGAGCAGGCCGAGGCTGCTGCCCAAAAAGATGTCGCCGATGCAGAGGCAAGGTACGAAGAGGCATCTACCAAGCTCGGCAAATCCATCCTAGCACGATACCATGAGGAACAGATCTGGAGTGACAAGATCCGGCAGATGTCGACCTGGGGCACTTGGGGTCTCATGGGGCTCAACGTTCTTTTGTTTGTCATCTTTCAAATCGCTATCGAACCATGGCGGCGACGGCGGTTGGTCAAAGGCTTCGAAGAAAAGGTCGAGATCGCGCTCAAAGAGCGTGACGATGATCTGTTCAACGCTGCTACCGCCGCCGCACGAGCACCAACTCAAACTGTGCAGCCAAATCAGTCCTCGGAGTCGGCACTCGCGGACCTTTCGCCACAGGACCAGACCGAAGCCGTAGCGGACAATATTGCGGAGCAAATCGTCGATGCCATATCTGGGGCGAGCGATGTGGAAGCTCAGCCTGTAGCACCCCCATCGACACCCATCTCGCCCTCCCTCCAACCACCCACGGCCAGCACGATCGAAGCAGCCGCCGAACAGTTAACAGCACACGACCTTACGAAAGAAGAAATCACTCAAGGTCACCCCGCATCTCCTATTCCAATTGAGGCCCTGGACCCCCAGCCACCTACTAGCTCAACAGAATCCCCTTCGTCGCCGTTGTCTGCATCAGCATCGCGATGGACAGCTTCATCTTCACCGTTCGCATCGTACGAAGACTGGATCCGTTCCCGCTTTAGCGATGATAGGCACGTGCTCCTGACCCAGCGTGAGCTGAGTACCGTTGCTATGGAAGGTTTCGCTGGCGGAATGGCGTTGATGGGGTTGTTGTTCGTGTTGTTGAGACCGCGATAGATGGCCGCGGGGTCACATTGATACATATATAAATATGCCCGTGGACGGCGTAGATGGGGGTTGGAATTGTACATAAGCCTTATCTAGAACGAGCCACCCACCGACCCCGTGCCTACGAGTCGATCGCTACAGACCAGGTACTTGAAAACTTGTATTCTATGAATGAATCCTCCCTAGACACCCTACATCCGCCCCCGTTCCCATTGAGATGGGAGGGATGAAATCCCAGCTCCCTGAGAAGCCTCCTCATTCTATATAACGTAATGGCAGTAAGTGCCATCAGGGTGCTCCGTGGATACGTATATATATATATATATATATATATACCCCGAACTATGCTTTATCCATTACCATTTCCGTTCGGGAAGGGGAGCGAGGCCGCTTTGTGATTTTAGCCCCGTGGCATGCTTGGCACGCCACCGACATTCGTTTACGGCCGATTACGATTACTTATTAGCAATGGACTTGAATGCTCAATCCTCTTTAATTGTCAATAAAACGGCCAGGCAGCCTAATTGTCGTTGGGAGGCATTGGGGTTGGAGGCAAAAAGCACCCGGGCTATAAATTAGGTAGAGCCTCTGGTGGATGCTCGGTTGCTCAGAAGGTGCCTATTCAGCTATCACGTTCAGGATACGGCGTCACACACGAACACGCCTCTGCAGCCGACCAGCTTCATCGTTTCTACCCTCTCGGATGATCGCATTACCTCCTTACGTACTACGGCACCAAGCTCACTGCCATCCAATAGCCAGTATGAGGAAGCACCGGCACCCCTCCGGCGGAGAGATGCCGACGGACTCAGTGGCTAAAAAGGTCTGAAGTGCATCGGGGGGGGGGGGGGGGAAACTACCACGTTTTCCTTTTGCAGCCATATCATTTCTTTGCTTCACGGATTGATGCTAATGCACCGCCACAAAAATGTCAAGGTCGATGACGACGACGGCCAATACACTGTCGTTTGCTGATTGTGGGCTCCGCATGTCTTGAACCGCTGTACATTGCCCGGGTCTTTCACTAACGTCATTCTAGAAACCGAGCGCGCAGAATGGAGGCGCAGGTCAGAGCAACGAAAGCGAAGAACACATTGTCGAAATGTCGGTGCAGAATGGCCAGATCGTTCGCACGGTTGAGATCAGCCGGGCTTTGGAAGCTAAGTACCCTCATGCTGGACATCCCACTCGTCGAGATTACTATCCTGGATACGATGCTTGAGATCGACTTTATACGGCCGTCGGTACAGCATGAGGGGCCGCTGGCGTGCTGTGTAAACATGCAGCCACGGCCTAGTTCTCCGCCTCATGGCATATTGTATGAGCGTCAATCATGGCAAAGGGGGACGCTTGGACCAAATAACCCGCCTCCTCGGACAAGGCACATTCGGCAAGGTTGTCTAGGTGCGCGAACGCACAAGGAACAGAGCCGTCGCCGTCCATCAGCTAGACCGGCAAACTGTTGTGTGCCTCCGGGTAGATCCTTGTCCAGACCAAATTCTAATGATAATCTATCATCCGTTACGCCGTTAGCAACATTTGAACCGAGGACTGCTCAAGGCCGCTCCCTTCATTAAGCTGGTCGTAGTCGTGCGTACGCATCACTCCATTGACGCCAGGTTAGGCAGTTTGTTACTTGTCAGATCGTTATACCCCGGCCAGGGGACTCATAACCCCAATGGATAGGGCCAGCTCCAGCCACACAGCGGGCCGGAATGTGATATTTCGAGTTCAGCCTAGCGAAAGTCTTTCGTCCACGGTCATTGTGAATTCGATCAATCCACATTACACTTTGCAAGCTTCGGCGAGCGGCGTCCCAGGATCCATTATGCCCGACAAGTTGTGTTCGGTATGCTAGGAGCGGGGGCTCGTCTATGTCCAGACCTAGTATGCAACCCATAATGAGCACCCAAAACAAGATTTTTGGAAGCTTTGATGATGCGAAGTCGATCTTGAGTAGCGATTGGTAGAGTCTATGACCGAGGTATCCGTGCTGTATGGTGCTGCTTGGCAATCCGAAGGTAACAACAATAAAGGCAAGCATCCCCAGTCGAAGGCTTTCGCCCAAATTGTCGTAATTCATTGGTTGAGGCTGAAGTAGTCGCATCTGAATGTAATCGATTTGCCTCTGGAAGGTTGCAACTCTCATTTGCCTGCCCTGCACCAAATGCTCATTGATCATGTTTGTGAAAAACTGAAGGTCATGAAATATGACCGCTAGCTTCGGTTCGCAGAGACCCTGGAGCAATTGCATTTCGCTGGCGACTTCGCTATCGGCTTGTAGCGATGGAAACATCGGAGTCCACGAAACATCCCCGTCAGACGGCAAGCGGTATCCCGTATTCAAATAGAGATGGAGTTCAAGACTAGAAACGACAACCGATTAGTGGCTTAGGAAGCATAGCAAAAAGGGTAAGCTGTACCGACCGACTGAGCTTATAATCCAGTATTGGATTGTCATGAAGGTAGTGTATACCGCCAAGAAGCTGCACCATCTTATGCAGGCCCAACAGGTGCGCCTTTATGGCATCGTGGTCGTCGAAAAGGCTGGCAGTAAGTGCCAGTAGTGCGACGTTGTAGACAGTGGATCTTTGCAAGGAGACAACTCCCAAGCTCAGTCTTTCGTTGAGCAGCGTGATGGCTCGCTGAAGGTATGACCACGTCTCGGGCACGGGTGTCCGACGGTGCAGAAAGGCATCCATGGCAAATATCGAAAACTGAACGCTACAAAGGAAAGATTCGTCGACAGGCAGCCACATCATCCCTCTAACATCTTCTTGCTCAAAGGCTATGCAGGGTTCGACGGGGTATATGATATCCTTCAGTGACAAGAACCTGGACCCTTGTGGCACCAGTTAGATGATGTTCCTAAGCGAGACAGAGTGCCGGAGAATAACGTACAGTCACGCATGGCCCCATAAGCACAATATCGAAGCGTCAATCCAATGGGAGAATGAGATGTCGTCCGTGGCGCAATAGGACGCGGTGAGCTGGCCCAGGCATTCTGACTCTCTAAAAGTGCCTGCTTGCGCGGTTTCTCTGTTTGAGAAAATGACTGTAATGAGACAGCGGCGTCGAATGGCACAGCAGCAAGAGGAGCGTCGCCCTGTGAGTTATGCCAGCTCCTCGCTGACCGTCGAATCTGGCGCTGCGTCCGACGAGAATCGTCCCTCTTGTTCTTTCCGCGCATGCAATGACGTCGAATCCGGTCCCTTCTTATGTCTTGAGGCTTTCCCTCGCCGCCATCTAATGGCACAAATTCGAAGTGAGCCGGCATTGGGTCGCGAGTAACAGATGCCCCTACCGGCTTTGCTTTGCGGCGGAACAAGCTGTGGGTCGTCGGTGCCGGGGTGATGGAATTCATGTTCGTGCGGATTTGTTAAAAGGGTGGAGTTGTAGGAATCTTTGAGGGCGAAGGGGTTCCAAGTCTGAGCGCCAGAATGTGGAGCCACACAACGACCACATTGTTGGCCCGTTTGGGAAATGTGCCAAGTCCTCAGTAATGATAGGTATGGAATCCTGACTCCGGAGGGCTGCTACGAGCCTGATCGCCACTGCGGCGGTACTAACTCCAAGATATAAGCTGATGGTGATTATGGTCGGCGTCTTTCGACATAGCCAAAGTCCGAACCAATCTCCGTCACTTGCCACGAGTATATATAGGAAGAGGAGGTACTTCTCTGCTGGGGCGTGCACGACACTACCGTAAATATTGCAGGATTGTGTTTGGACCGGCGCTCCCTCTGTCCGAACCACTGTCTCCTATTTCACTCCTGTTTGTGGCGAGTCTATGTTTCAGTACTGAAGGAAAACAACAACCTCCTCGTGTCTTGACGATGAGTTCTGCTTCGCTGCCTCCCAACGAGGACTCCAATGGCCACTATTTCTGTCGAACGCAAATCTGGACGAAGCCTTCGGCGCCGCCGCCGCATACCACAGTTGACGGCCAGGCGGCCATCATCACCGGCAGCAACACAGGGATTGGCCTGGAAGCGGCCAACGTTCTGCTCGGACTGAAACTCTCGCATCTCATCCTCGGCGTTCGCAGCGTGAGCAAAGGAAACACTGCCGCTGACGCGCTTCGCAAAGCATATCCTCATGCCAAGATAGAGGTGTGGCAGCTGGACATGGCCTCGTACGATTCAATCCAGACGTTTGTTCGGCGATGCCACTCCCTGGACAGACTCGATATAGCTATCATGAATGCGGCCTTTTCCGTTCTCGAATTTGGCACCAACACCACGACAGGCCATGAGCAGATGTTCCAGGTGAACTACCTATCGACTGCTCTGCTTTCCATCCTGCTCCTCCCCATTCTGAAGAACAAAAGCCCTCCTCAGACTCCTGGCCGATTGACCCTCGTATCCTCTACCCTGGCACTGAGGGCGAACTTCCCGAACCACAGTGCCGTACCCTTGACCCCGTCTTTCGACGATCCCCAGGTATTCGTTGGTGCCGGAACGAACAATGCATATTCTCTATCCAAGACTCTGGTTCTGATACTCATGGTCAAGCTCTCCAGGCTCGTCAACGCCGATGATGTGGTTGTCAACGCAGTGGGCCCGGCACTCACGGGAGGCAGTTCACAACTGGACCGCCATTACTCTCGACTCATGAAGCTGGGTTTGGCAGCACTCAAGGCTGTGGCTGCCCATTCGCCGCGGCAGGCTGCCTGGCTCTATGTCGACGGATCAGTCACCAAAGGCAAGGAAAGTCACGGGAGCTTCATCATAAATAACGAATACTACCCGTGAGTTGCTCATCACTTCTGGTAATGACCTCGTTGTTCGTCCAAGCTTACTAAATCCTAGTTTCCATGCCATCATGTACACAGCCGAAGGAAAGGTGGCCATGGATCGGCTCTGGAACGAGACACTGGAGGAGCTCGACTTTGCCCATGTTAAAGACATTCTCGCACAAATGTGAAGAGCGAGCCCAATAGATGGGTAGCAGTACTCATAGCTATTCCCTAAGGTTCTAGCGACTTTTAGGCGCCTTACCTCATCGATTAGGTAGCTGAATATAGTGTTTAAATCGATTTATCTATATCTATTAGTACTTTGGTAGTCGACCTTAGGCTTTAAGTTATTATAGCTAGAATTATCACAGCCCACAGAAGGCAGTCAATAAACGGGCTTCCTATATGACAACTGTCTGCCCTTGCATAGATATGGTTTAGTGTTAATAGTTACTGCGATACTGACCTCGCTAGAGCGGGACATGGGACGGGACATGGGCGTTTACTTGAGCCATGCCCGGTTAGCTGGGAGGCAGTTTTCACCGATCGACGGAGGAGCCAGACTAATGTCCCCTCCTAAGCGCAATCGACCTCGTAATTGTAAGTGAACCCCTTCACAAAACAGAGGTACAAACCTCAAATTTCTGCAGCAAATAATTCTGATTCGACTAGATTAGATGCAAATCGCATCGACCCAAACGGCCTTTTCCTTCTCCTCGTCTCGTACAGCGACAAGGGCAGTGCGAAGGCTCATTGTGATCAGCCACTGGAAATCTCCGATGAGAAGAAGTTGTGGGTCGGTTAGCTGAGCTCTCCCCACGCATGTGATCGCGCTTCATAACGTGGATGCTGATCCAGTGACTTCATTATCAACCTCCCCCCGTGGCCACTCCCCCAAATATGTCGACGGTGCGAGAACGAAGAGCCTGATTTCTTGTTTCGATGCGTTGAGAGACTTCCATATCTGGGAGCGGCGAATCCATGATCGACGCCGATACTTGCCAGGGGGCCAAGGTGTCAAAGTGTTAAGGTGATGTTGACGAGGTTAAAATTAAAGCGACGAGAAAACCATCAGGCCGAAGATGGCGGGTAGTTGGCCCGTGAGCCCAAGGGTTTCCAACCAACCAGCGTACCAGGTTATTGGGGTTATCAGTGTAACCACAGCCCTCCAGCAATGTTGAGTACTGAAGGCTCGGAGAGCTTGCTGAGGCTGAGGCCGTGTTGTAATGTGGTTGGTGCCGGTGACACCGTCTCGATGCGCCATGGTTGAGGGAGAAAGGAATGGGTCGAGTTGTTGCATGCGAAGTGCCGTCGCGACCTACGATTCAACCGCGCACCCTATCGCACCGGTAGGCCCAAAGTTACAAGGAAATTTAGGCCGCGGCGTAAGGGCAGGGAATCTGCCAGGCTCCCTAACGCCCGTCTGAAATTGATGCCTAGCCGATCGCAAGGGGGCCAGATTAGGTCCCCAGTGGATTTGCGCAGGGCGTGAGGCCCAAAGGGGACCCCTGAGCCCGAACTGGGCGCCTGCGAATGGGCAATGGGCATTGGGTAGCGCTCCCTGTGGCTCGCGCAGTGCTCGGGCGTGCTCCCCCGTACTCTGCCGTGGCTCCCACGACTCCCCCGGGCTCGCTCGGCCTCCTTAATGCTGCGTCACGTGCCCGATTAAAGCGGCCGCGCTCCCTTTTCCTGAACGAAAATGGTAAGGGACAAAACACAGTTCAGGGCATATATAATATATATATATATATATATAATATATATAACATACAACCTCGGCATCGGGAACACCGAGTGATGCAGACATCTCTCAGGCATGACAGGGCACGCCATGAATGACGGGTTCTAAAATCTGGGCTGTTGTTAGCAGCTTGGGAATCAAAAAAGATTGGAGAAAAAAAATAGGATATGTAATATTGTTTTCAGCCCGTTTTCTTTCCACAGTGCCCAACGAAATCTTCATCGGATTTGTCTTCGTTCGCTGCTTTCTTCTAATATGTACAGAAAAACATCCACGCCCACGCGCGCGCACACACTCACACACACATTTTAGAATCGGAAAGGGCTCAGGATCAGGCTCTCCCAGTTTCTGGTTTTCATTGGAATACACCTCACTTGCCGGGTTGCTCTTTCATGGCTTCGACCCGCGGCCTCTAGCTTTGTCTGTCTGTCTGTTTGTTCTCAAGCAGAACAACTGATATGTATCTTGCGTGTTGTCTGATGATAAGGTTCTTTGGAGACAAGACCTCTCTCATTGTTGAAAATTGGCCACGCTGGTTCTACCCGACCACTAATTTATCCTCCTCGGGGAAGTCGTACGCGGGGATTTCCAGGTTCAAGGGCGCGGGTCCCTTCCTGATACGGCCGGATATATCGTAGTGAGAACCGTGGCAGGGGCAGAACCAGCCACCGTAGTCACCGGCCTCACCAATGGGTACACAACCCAAGTGAGTGCAAACACCAACCATGACTAGCCATTCGGGTTTCTTTACTCGGTCGGCGTCGGATTGTGGATCACGGAGGCTCTCGACTCTGGGCGCAAAAAGATTAGATGTCGTGCAAAAGGCAATGTTGGGAGGGGCAATATTTACTTGACTGATTCGGCAGCCTTGATCTCATCTGCCGTTCGGTGTCGAATGAAAACAGGCTTGCCTCGCCACTTAATGATGACATTTTTTCCTTCTGGGATCGCCGCGAGATCGATTTCAACCTTGGCTTGGGCCAGCACGTCGGCGGAGGCAGACATGTTGACTAGGAAATCTGGATCGGAGCTCCATGTCAGCTTTCCCGTTCTTACTGTATCCCAATTGACCAAGGACCTGCTTCGTTTCCGTCCGCAAAGTTCATTTTTGGTATCACATACCCTGAACAGTCGCCTTAGCACCAGCCGCTGCCAGCAGACCCATCGATCCAGCTAGGACATAAGAGAAAACACGGTTTGAGACCTCGCTGCCCTGGGAGGCATAGTTCTTGAAGCTCGGGATCTTGGTGGTGTCGTAGGTAGAAGGCTTAGAATTCCGGAAGGGGCTCTCAAAGCTGCTGGCTTCGGCTCCAGCTGATTGTAGTCGACGTTGGGAGCTGGGGTGGGAAGCTGTAGTGGCTGACATGGCGGCGAACCGGGAGGATGAGGTTGCTGCGGACGTAGGGAGAGTGTGTCGAGTCCAGCTGCGCAGGACAGGGCCTGCTGATGCTGGTACGGGACGCATCTTGAGCTTGTGTGCAGAGGCAAGTGAGCGGGGGGAGAGGTATGGGAGCGAAAGGACAAAGACAAGTCAAGGCGAAGCCGAATCGAGGCGATTGAGGTGCAAGTTTGAGAATCAACGGAATAGAGCTGCACCTGATGCCGCCAAGATATTTCTTTTACGCGGCCCTTGATTGGTCGGGACTTCGGTAGCTCAATGCTTATATAATCATCAGTGGGCTGGAAGAACTTTATTCCGCTGTAGGAGATCTCTCAACCTCTAGGAACGAGGCACTCCGTGCCAGTTGTTACTGCTCACTCACTGAAAATTTATCCAGACCGTGACCATATCTTAGAAAGCGAACATGACGCTCTCGATTCCCCAGGTTGTTCATGTCAATCTCAATTTGCCCAACTGGATCCCTTTACGCCACCCATGCGAATGGTGTCTTTCAGAGGCGATGCTTTCATCTTCAAAAGCCCTCCATCATCCCTTAACCATGATGTTGAAGAAATATTGGTGTCCAAACCCTATTTTAAAGGTAACCGGTTCATTTTCTGGTAGACCTGGAGTCCTCTATACTTAAAGTCATTGTCTTCCGTGCCTAACAGCATAGGCTTTTGTTCTTAGCCCGTCATGTCGATGTCTCTGACCGGATCTGGATTACTGTAATTTCGTTGATGGGCCGATCTGTGGGCAATGGGAGACCCGGGCATAGTACCATGTCCATTTATGCCATTCGCTCCATTCGCTTGAGGATTCTTCATCATGGTTTGGATTGAGATCGAACTCACATCACCGTTGGCCGAGTTGACTGATCCTGCTGATACTTCGGCAGCTCTGGCTGCAGCTTCCTGGGCCTTTTCCTCTCGGAATTGGCGATAAGTTTTGGTTCTAGGTACAGTGTCTGACAGGAATTCCAAGTTATCAATTCTAGAAACTGCTGTGGCTACAGGTTGGATCAGCACCGAAATACACTTTACCCTGATTGTCGATCAAACTCACCGATATCCTTGTATGCAATGGTTCTCCGAGGTTTACGTTCTGATTTGGCAACGTTGTGCGCTTGCTCGGTCAAATAGCGGATAAAGATCTCCTAGTAACGTGTTCAGTAGCCTCCCCGAAGAATCACCACATGAGTAGAACTCACAGTAGCCACTGCTATTGAAAAGGTTGCTGTGGTAGAGCACTTGACAATATCGGGATCTTGGGCAATGATCTTCTTTACACGAGCGACTAAGCTCCTGTGTCAGCATTGAACGTAACCAAGCACTCCGAGGAATGACCTACGGGGAAGAGCTGTCGTGCCTGTGGCTTCATCAGAGCCCGGCGACGAATTAGGAGCATTGTTGGCTGGCATAATGATTGATTGCTAATTAGGATGAGAATTGCGTCGAAAGGGAATCCAAGCCAGATAGAACTCCTTTTGGTGGAGATTTCCACAATGACTCTCGTCCAGAGAGGTCAAAGCGAGGGGTAAAACTCTCCTGATAGACCCTGGCCTGGTTCAGATATCAGATTTTCGGGTCGAAGAATGATATCAGCAAGACTGGGTCTCTCCAAAGTTCAAAACCCTTATAACGCGTCGTAAATTCGTGATTCTCGTGATGGTATTAGTCGTGAACCCGTCCTCAATAGCGTTTTCAATCTTGGAATCCCGTGAAAGGTAGTTTGGAAGGTCGCGTCAAAAAACACATAGAGAGACCGCGGCCTCTGGGCGCGTCCCAAAACGGAAAGGTTTCTGGATTTGGGGGACAGAGGATGCGTATCAAGAATTGGGACTACGAGCATTCAACTCGGTCCAATCATCCAGTCCAACCCTCATTTCAGTCGGTGGACCATCTTGGGAATTCTACAGTAAACCATATCATTCCGAGCCATGATAGATTGCTCGATGTTATGACCTCGCGCATCCCTCCTTCCGCGTCTGCATCCGCTCGTCCTTCCCTCTCAGCCCGCCGGCTTTCCAGGCGCCTGTCGACAGTCTCTAGTATTGAATATGGAGACAACGTTCCACCCGTTAATCCCACGGAACAGACCATCACAGAAGAGATTGCTGAGATAAAACGTTATGAAGATTTTACCACCATCGATTGGGTCCAAGATGCTGCACAAGAACAGCTGCGCAGGAGAGCCAGGCGGAGAGAGAGCAGGTTCTTCGACAGAGACGGCGTCCTTGGATGGCGCCGCAAGATTTGGGAGGCTTATGATGCTGCCCAAGCATGGATTGTCATCACACTCGTCGGCATAGTCATTGGCCTGAATGCTGCTGCCGTCAACATCGTCACGGAATGGCTGTCCGACGTCAAATTGGGCTATTGCACGACCGCCTGGTATCTCAACGAGGACTTCTGCTGCTATGGGTCCGAGTCTGGTTGTGATGAATGGAAGAGATGGACTTCGTTTACTGTGGCCAACTACTTCATATATGCCATCTTCGCCCTTCTCCTCGCATTTGTGTCCGCATTTCTCGTCAAATCATATGCTCCATATGCTGCAGGATCGGGCATCTCAGAAATCAAGTGCATCATAGCCGGCTTCATCATGAAAGGCTTTCTTGGCTTCTGGACTTTTCTTATCAAATCGATCTGCCTGCCACTCGCCATAGCCTCGGGTCTATCGGTCGGCAAAGAGGGGCCCAGTGTTCACTATGCCGTCTGTGTTGGCAACGTCATTTCAAGATTCTTCAGCAAGTATAAGAAAAGTGCTTCCAAAACGAGAGAGATTCTCACGGCCACAGCTGGTGCTGGAGTTGCTGTCGCTTTTGGGAGTCCTATCGGTGGTGTCCTATTCTCCCTCGAGGAGATGGCTTCACATTTCCCACTGAAGACGCTTTGGCGAAGCTACTTCTGTGCTCTCGTGGCTACAGCAGTTCTGAGCGCAGTCAACCCATTCCGGACTGGCCAACTCGTTATGTTCTCAGTCAAGTACGATCGAGACTGGCACTTTTTCGAAATTGTCTTCTACATCATTCTCGGTGTTTTTGGTGGACTTTACGGAGCCTTTGTCATCAAGTACAATCTTATGGCTCAGTCTTTCCGAAAGAAATATCTTTCGAAATACGCCATCCCCGAGGCTGTGTTCTTGGCAGGTGCTACAGCCCTTCTATGTTACCCGAATATGTTCCTCCGCATCGACATGACCGAGATGATGGGAATGCTTTTCCGAGAGTGTGAAGGAGACAATGATTATAATGGCCTTTGTGAAGCCCAAAATCGTTGGTCTCTTGTTGGTTCTTTGCTTATTGCAACACTTCTCAGAGTTTTTCTCGTCATCATCTCATATGGCTGCAAAGTGCCCGCAGGTATTTTCGTTCCCTCAATGGCAATCGGGGCTTCATTTGGCCGAATGCTAGGCATCATTGTGCAGTGGCTGTATGAAAGATTTCCCGAGTCACAATTCTTTGCATCTTGTCAACCAGATGTACCCTGCATCACCCCCGGCACATATGCATTTCTCGGTGCCGGTGCGGCTTTGAGTGGAATCATGCATTTGACGATCTCTGTCACTGTCATTATGTTTGAATTGACCGGTGCCCTGACATATATTCTACCAACGATGATTGTGGTCGGTGTAACCAAGGCTACTGGGGACAGATTCAGCAATGCCGGTATCGCAGATCGAATGATTTGGTTCAATGGCTTTCCCTTCCTCGATAACAAGGAGGAACACTCCTTTGTCGTTCCTGTCTCACAGGTCATGACAAGTCAACTCACGGTCCTTCCTGCAACTGGCATGGAAGTCAAGGCTGTCCACAAGCTGTTGAACGATACAGACTACTCTGGCTTTCCTATTGTTGAGGATACGGATTCCAAAATCCTAGTTGGATACATTGGAAGGACAGAACTTCAATATGCAATCGACAGAGCCAAAAAGCAAGGTATGCTTGCCTCGGATGCTAAGTGTAGATTCTTATCCGAACGGGAAGATGAGGCAGAAACTGCAGCTCCACTCAGTCCTGCAGTAACATTTGATTCCATGGCGATTCAAACCGCAGACTTCAGCTCATTGGTTGATTGTACTCCTATATCTGTCCATCCACGACTACCACTTGAAACAGCCATGGAACTGTTTAAGAAGATGGGTCCTCGAGTCATCTTAGTTGATCATCATGGCCGACTTGAAGGACTTGTCACGGTCAAGGATTGCTTGAAGTATCAATTCAAGGTTGAGGCACAAGAACACCAAGCTACGGCACTCAGAGAAGACAACGGAAATCACGAGAGAATAGTCGACATCCTCCGCCGATTAGGAGACGTCTTTGCAGACAAGCTCAACAACCTTTCGCGAGGAAGGTTGAAACTGGGCTCACGCCTCTCACACGGGGGCTGGTCGAGAGTGGCAGCAGGCGATGGACAGGAAGACTTCGCCGACGACTACAATAACGAGCATGAGATATTAGATGGGACAGAAGATATAACGGAACAGGGCGTCGAGATGGACACTAGATGACCGCCCGGTCCAAGTGCAATGTACATTTATTCACTCCATGTATGTGTAATGATTCGGACCCTGTCGGAAATCCTGCTCCTTTCTATCTTGTCTTCACGTGTCTTTGTCATTCACGGCTTCACTCCGTCCAGGTACCACGTTTATTCTGGCTCGTCTTCACTCTGTCTTGGTCCCTCTTCTTCTACCTCTCGTCTACCAACTTAATCTCATTCTGTCAAACAATACTCCTACTTCACCCGCATGGTCGTCCCTCTGAACGGTAAGAAAACCCTCGCGCGAGTCCTTTCCGTGACCTTACAAATTCACAAACTCTAGGTCATACTAGTCGCGCTCTCACTCGCTCTCGCGATATCAGCATCTCGCGCTTCCTTGTTCAACCGTTTCCCCTATAAGTGTGTTCGCGCGACATTATCTCTGGACAGTGAGTGCATTCTAACGCGTCTCTCTTGTTATCCTCCCGATTCATACAGTCTAGGTAATACTGTGGCAAGCTTCCGCTTGTCATCAGACTCACCGAACTCCCTTCCCTCACCACAACTCCTCAGATATCGACAGTCTCATACCATCCCAACCGGTGAGAAAGCCACCTCGTGTTATTTCATCTGTCTTCATGCTCACGCATTCCAGCCCACGATGCAGCACAAGAAGAAGGGTTTGGGGGGAACGCATAATGGGTGTGAGCTTGGTGTCCAGCGAGGTGCCCGTTCCAATGAGCATGGTCTCGGGGATGACGTCGTCAGCAATGGTGATGGTGAAGGCGGTTTCCAGGAATCCAATGGCTCTGGCGACGAGATGGGCACCCTGGTAGAAACACCACCTGCTTCTCCGCCACCATATGACCAGCTTTATCAGCAGCGCTTGATCACCACCCTGCTTCGAGAGAACAATGCTCTGACCCTTGAGAATCACCGTCTCCAGGAGCAGAATGACGAAGCAAATGTCCTGCTCGAAGATCTCATGACCCACTATCGTGCCGAAGTTGCTTACAGCCGCAATAAGACCGAGACTTTGACCGCGATCTTGAATGTCCTAAGCAACGTCCGCAACCGCTGGGATAGACAGGCAGAAATTGCAAACAACGACGTGGAGACTGTTGCCAAAGCCGTAGATGGAGTTGTTGCTGGCTGGCTTGTGGATCTCCCAGATTTGGCGGTTCCACAAGATAACGAGACCGAGTTTGAAGGCGACGTTGGTGCTGAAGCCGAGACTGCCTTTGCTCACGTGGAGGACTACGCAAATTCTGGTGGTCTGGGCAGCGACACTGGCGAAAGACTCGTCTACGATGACGGTGAAGGACCGCGGTACAGCAATGGAGAAGGACAGGACGACAACACTGGAAACAATATGGCGTCCGATCATGCTACATACGAACACGCAATCGAAAACGCAACCGAAGATCCATGCTCTTGGCTCGACAGTGGAATGCCCCGTACACCTTTCCAGTACTACGATGAGGGAGACTACGCTTTACTCCGCCTCGAATTTGACCCAGGCAACAACGTCCCGTATTCCTGGTGATATGCATTCACAAAGATAGCACACGGACCATCTTGGGACGGTGCATACGACATACAAACGACTGGCGTTTAGGCACACGCGTTGTGGTTTGGCATTGGCTTTGTTCTCACTTATTTGCGTTCAATCAGGTCGGGCCATACTTGCATGACGTGACCTATCATTGAGAATTCGACAGCGAGACGAACAAACGACAGTGAGAGGCTTAACCTCTCACCACAGTGGCAGAATTCGTTAAGGACACAAACAGAACCATAGAATGAAGAAAGAGAGCAGTCATTCTCTAGCAATGGATAGCTAATGGAATGTAACTCCGATGTTCGAGCTTCAGAATTCATACTTCTAATGTTCTCAAACACTTAGTCTGTAGCGTTCTGGAAGAGCGGTAAGCCCCACGCCAGGTCCATTCTAATGGTTCTGCCAGACTCGTCTGGGAGCTCGAGCGCGTCAAGCGCTGCTTGGGCTTCTCCCGGCAGGCGCCTGATGGCGAGGTTGGATTTGATTCGAGCTGCGTTAGGTGATTCGGTTAGTGAGAGGAGAGACAGACGTGTGGTACATAGAGGTTTCTTCGACATCCTACTGTCAGGGGGTTACTCACACTCAGTCTGGCTCTTCCCCAACGGCACCGTGCCCCGTTGCACCGCCCAGCTCTGTAACAACTGACCTATGTCGACAGAATTCTCCTCTGCAAGCTTCACCACAGTTGGGTCCTTCAACAGCGTCTTACCGTCTGCCTGCTGGCCAGCAAAGGGTGAGTAGCAGGTTGCCAGGATCCCGTGCTCGCGCATGAATGAGATCAGTTCATTATTCGGCAGCCAGGGATGGGCTTCGACTTGATTGCATGAGACGGGCACGTCATCGGCGTGCGGGATGATCTCCTTCAGATCGCCAATGGAGAAGTTCGATACGCCGACTGCACGTGTCTTCCCGGTCACCACGAGCTTTTTGAGTGCGTTCCATGTGGGGATGAAACTTCCTTTCTCGCCTGTGAGGGAGAACAAGTCAGAAAGGATGATGCATGGAACTGGGACTATGCTACACATACCTGCAAGCTTCGCGATATTTGCCGACGTATGCTCCCAATCGACTACGGAGGCATTCTCGTTTCCATTTTTAGTTTTCGTCAAGATTCCTCTCTCCGCCTTCGAAGCGGTAGGGTTTGCTATGGCATTCTCCAGGGCTTGCCGTGAGATGGGCTTCTCGGCGTGTGGCCAGTGAGCGAGGTACAGGTCGACGTAGTCCAAGCCCATATTCTTCAGGGACTGGTCCAGGCATAGTTCGACGTTTTCTGGCGCTGCGAAATGAGGCCAGAATTTGGTGGTGATGAAGAGCTCGGATCTGGGGATCCCGGACTCGCGGATCGCCTGCCCGATTTCTGCATCGACCTTGAGGGAAATACGAGGTCAGTCATCGTCCGTGGAGGAGTCTGAAATCTTCGGGACAGCTAGTGGTGCACGTACTCCGTACATCCATGCACAATCAAGATGCCTATAACCGGCTTTGAGAGCGGTCAAGACGGAAGCTTTACACCAGCTACTGTCTCCTGTAGTTCTCTAATGAGCTTCAAACGAAGCCACCATACTGTGCGTGGTTGGAAACTGACCTGCTGCCCAAGTGCCAAACCCCACTGAGGGAATCTGAATAGTCTTCCCACCAGCGACTTTTAAGGGGAAATGAGGTTCGAGCGCCGCCATTGTTGTCTTTTGTCCTATAACTTGGTATTGTGTTGCATGCATTTGCATGTCGATGGAAGAATGACAGGTTCGACCTTTATAATGAAGGCTACAGGCTCTCGCGGAACGCTATTCCGCAACATTGAAGTTAGATAAGCGATTTTAAAGTTTATATAATTTTTTTCTTTTAAAGAGTGACACGACATCAATGATGCAATATCTTGCGTGCGCCTACTCCTTGGAGGTTAGGATAGGGACAGATGTACCTCCTACTCCGGACTAAATTCAGACCGGCGGTGGAGGAAAGTAGGAAGACCTATATAAGGCAACTGATGAGCCGTCCATCTTTCGCCAATCAGCCTGTGTGGGGAGACGAGAGGATGCTTGAATCCGAATATTAAGTCGTGGCCCGAGCAAATGTCTAGATTGCTATCCCATGTCGCGTAGGGTCCCCGGTAGCTTTTGTTGGCCTACCATCGCTTATTGCATATGCACATACCTATCTCCTCCTGTCATCTGGTGCATTTATTATCTGTTAGCCCCTATCCTTTCCCTGTGGATGTCAATCATATCCCTGTTAGTGCGCCCAATAACACGTGCCAATGCTCATCACGTGACTGAGGCACGTGAAAGAAGAACACGTGAAGCCAGAGGAAGAAACAACATTCACATATTAGGGACTCAACTTGGTTATTCAAGACCAGAGGATGGCTGTTATCGCACTTCCATGGCTCTTGCATGCTGATATCACCCTCATACCACTGCGAGGTGCCATGGAAAAAATAGCAATAATGGGTGACGCACCAAAGAGGGGTTAGTCAGCAGCTCGGCGGAAATATTTCCCTTTCCGACGATGCTTTCCACGATAGTCGTCTTCTTTCCACATCAGCTGTTGAACAGGCAACGTTTACTAAACTAGCAACCTCAACTGGTCCCATCATTGGGGAGTCCGAACTGCTTGAAGTGGATTGATGAGAGATGACGTCGAACTGCATTCTGCCAGGCTGGATTTTACTCCGAGATAAGGCCACTTTACCAGTTGGATTGACCCGCAACGTTCTTCCTCAGCCTGGCTAAATATTCTCCCTTTCCCTATTGGTGCAACGTTTGTCCCGATAAGGTAACACTGTCACTTCCGCCCCAATCATTCGGCCAGATATGCTGCGTGACTACAGCTCGCGACGATATTGTTTGCCCAGTACCCTCAAGAACTGTGTTGAGGGTTACTACAAAAGGTGGGAAGGATTCCTCTCGAGCTCAATTTGCAGACGGTAAATTCCCAACATCTCATTCTCTCTCTTCCTCATCCGTTCATCATATGGCCATGATTGCCTCACAGCCCCAAAACAACTACACTCTTGCAGAGGGGGCTCCTCTTCCCCGCAATGATACCTCCGTCCAGGTCCGGAACAAGCAAGGCGGGGGCCTCGTCTTGTTGCAAGATACCCAATTGATCGAGACTCTTGCCCATTTTGCTCGAGAGCGTATTCCAGAGCGAGTGGTTCATGCCAAAGCTGCTGGAGCACGAGGTTACTTTGAAGTTACTCACGATGTTTCCGATATTACCGATGCCGACTTCTTGAACGGCATTGGTAAGCGTTCAGAAGTCTTGACCAGAATTTCAACTGTCGGGCCCGAGTCCGGCTCTGCCGATACCATTCGTGATGTCCACGGTTGGGCTACCAAGATCAAGACCAATGAAGGCAACAATGATTGGGTCTTCAACAACATTCCTGTCTTCTTCGTCCGAGATCCCATCAAGTTCCCCTCCTTGAATCGATCTCATAAACGTCACCCCGCCACACATTCCGTCGATGCCGACATGTTCTGGGACTTCCACGTTGGTGCTCCTGAGTCGGTTCATGCACTAATGTTCCTCTTTGGGGATCGAGGCACTCCAGCTTCTCTCAGACACATTAACGGTTATTCTGGACATACATACAAATGGACTAAGAAGGACGGCAGCTTCCACTACGTCAGAATCCACTACCATGCTGATGGAGGCGTAAAAAGTCTGACACCTGAACAAGCCACCAAACTCGCCGGAACAGACCCAGATGCACTGATACTAGACTTGTATAATGCCATTGAGGCTGGAAATGGCCCTTCATATACTGTCTCTATCCAAACCGTTCACCCTGAGGACGTGGCTCGCTGTCCTGTCAATATCTTCGACATGACTAAAGTCTTGCCCCACGCCCTTTACCCTCTACGACCAGTCGGCAAACTTGTCTTCAACCAGAACCCCAAGAACTACTTTGCGGAGATTGAACAAGCTGCTTTCTCACCGTCAACCATGGTCCCCGGGATCGAACCGTCTGCCGACCCTATGTTGCAGGCTCGCATGTTCTCATACCCGGATGCCGCACGCTACAGATTGGGAGTCAACTATCAGCAATTACCCACCAATGCGGCTAAAGTGCCCATCTACATTCCCACTGAGCGAGATGGACTGATGACCTTCGGTGCTAACTATGCCGCGGATCCCAACTATGTTCATTCGAGCATCCAGCCCACATCATTCCATGAGACAGCCAAGTCACAGTACAAGCCGACTGAGGATGTCCTTGAAGGTCCCCTTGTATTCACCAGTGAAATCACAGAAGAAGATTTCAAACAACCCCGGGCTTTATGGAACGACGTTCTCAGCAAAGAAGAGCAAGACCGATTCGTCAGCAATGTTTCGGATAACATTGCTGCGGTGAAAAGAGAATGGTTGAGAGAGAAGGTGTTTGGTAGGTTTTTCCCGACCTGATAATATTTACCTTTAGTGTTATGGGTTTTTACTAATGTTATGTTTTCCTTCCCACAGAACTTTTCACCAAGGTTGATGCAAAACTTGGCGAGCGCATTGAGGTAGAAGTCAAGAATGCCTTGACTGCAAAGTCGACTTGAGCGGGCTTTGAAGTGTTGTAAATTTCGCTGATACGTTGTTGGCAACGGCGCCAACCCCCAAAACCATCAAATATCGACTTCGGATGCTTCGTCCTCGTGAACAGGGCTCGATATATACAAATCCGAATCCGAGCGCTCGATGGGATAAATCGTTATAACAGCATCTTAGAAAACTTAAGTTTGTATGAAGGAGTTTAAGCAGCTCAATGTATAATTTAGAAATATAATTAGCAAACACATTGTGGATACCAAGAGACAGGTATCGTAGTTTTCTATCTACCTGATGGACCGCGACCATTTTATGTGGGAACTCATTAGTCATTACTAAATCCTGACTTCTTTGCTCCTACCGGCTGCCTGTTGAGATTTAAGAAGGGCGCTTCGCTTTAGCAATTGCGTGAGCCCATATTCAAGAATATGAGCAGGAAAGTGGGCTGGCTTCCGCTGGTCTTCTAAGCCTGCCTTTAAATTCTTCGGAGGTAGAAAAAAAGGGAGCATGCCCGTATGATGAACTTGCTAATTCCTGCGCTGCTATTGCTAAAAGCCCGGCAAAGCAGCAGTTCAAAAGATATATTTGTGGTCAGGATGCGAGTCTCCAAGCACCACCATCTGCTGCGCCAAGCTCATATATTGTACTGGGGCGAGCAGCTTCCCCGTATATTCTGGGGCTTGCTTGCGTTTGTTGAGATTGGCTAGTATCGACAACTCTGTCGCGATCAACGCGATCGCTACCAGAACTAGAGAAAGCAAGTAAGTATTTTGAAGCGAAAGGGTAGAAGGGCGCCTGACTGGTGGGGAAAATCCAAAGTACTCACTATGCCGCCAACGTTGGTGCAGCAGAATGCGGTAGCGATTGCCGTAGGTCGTCTCGTGTGTGCGGCCTCATTGTTTGGCACCCATGCCAGCAGGCAAAGCGAGCTTGCATAAGCATCAGAGATGAGGAAAAACAGTCCAGTGTAACGGACAGGAGTCGTCCGGCCTGTGTAAAATAACAGAATCCCGACCAAAAAGAGAAAGCTTGTGCCTAGTACCATGGCCCCCCTTGCCTTGTATAGATCTGCCACATAAGCAGTTACGATGCAGGGAACAAATCCCACAGCAAACGGCGGAACAGTCATTAACAGAGTCCCGATCGGGCTATGACCCATCCCTTGGCCTATTGAAGGGGCAGAGATATAGACAGCTCCTAATACCAAACGCAACCCGTCTAAGAGTGGGTCTTGCGAATTCAAATCTGCCATGTCAAGTACTTGATATTGCTTGGGTATGCCCTGATAGATGCGGCGGAGTTCGCTGTCTCAGCCCAGGACGCGTGTATAAGGAAGGTTGCTATCCTGGCTAAGCGGACCTAATGCTCGGGCGAAGCAAAAGACAAGTTTGGATTTTGCAATCATGTATGATACTGATGTGGTCTCTTACTCTGGTTTAGGACGTGGCAGCCGATTGAGTTGAGGTCCGAAGTCGTCGTGGAGGAGATTGTGCGGTGGCGGCCCTTCGAGCCATCCTGGATGCCGTGTTGACGGCAGACCGATCTGGTGCGAAAACAATAGGCCGGCTTGTCGAATGAATGTCCATACACGACGTCTCATCTCACGGCGAAAAGGTGTGACGTCTCACAGGGACTCAGGATCTAGATGGTAGCGCAGACGTGTCCTCAACCGTAGGATCAGGCCATCCTGTCATTTCAAGTATCTACTCCAGCTATGTAGACCCGGACCCGTATGGCAGAGCGGTAGCGCACGTGGATGTCAAAGTATCCAGTGTCTAGTAGCCTTGACAGTGCACTCTACTCTACCTCCTGTAGGAGGAAATGTAGATGAGTCAGCTGCTGGTGAGGCTACATAGACATCCGCTCTGCACAGCGAATGGAATAAATACAACTAAAAATGCTGCTAGGAGAGCTATCACTAGGGAAGAGCACAGCAAGGCCATCATCTAGAGCTGCTCACAATGTTCATCCAAGCTTAACAACAGATGCGTTGTCCACCAGAAGAACATTTCCGTGCCCCTTGGCAGCCAATCTCCTCATGACGCTCCTTATGTCCTGGCTCTCATGATTGTCCAGGCCCAAACATCTCTCGATGTCCAAGGCACGCGATATCGACTCATCCTTGAATTGGGCGTATCCCATTCGTGGCCGCACCTGTGGAGGGCCATGCAAGTGACCTGAACGGTGTCAAGCATCGGCCCGCTGTTCCGCGTGGCCCCTCCTATCAGAGATCTACGGCCAACCTTTACTCGCTTGATCCCTACCCTCCATTAAGAGAGCACACACCACTCACGATCTGAAGCATCCGCCGATGGTTCAATGCATGCGACTGGTGAGTTGGCACTAATGACAATGACACTCGTCGCCTCATCTCCCACAAACTAAGCGTCTGCATCGTCTTTGCACGGACCAGGCGTTCGTCAAATATGTCTAGCGGGCTGAGTCGGTCTTCCAATCAATAGCACTTCTAGGTTCCACAGCTATTTTGCGTGCATCTTGGCTGCTAAAGTCCGTGATGGTCATTGATGCGTCCTTCATTCAAATCTTCACACGTTGCAACTGTACATGCAGAGCGCATCAAGGTGATATTATGCCTGCCGAGCCTCTCAAAGGACATCATGCAGTGATCAGATTGGGCCAACCCAAAATAGTTCAAGTCCTCTCGAACACCATTTCTCCTCCCAACAGACCCTTTTTCCATCGCCACCTAGCCACATGTCGCCCAGAACCGTCCAAAAAAACCGGGGGATTACCAGTACTGAGGCACGAATACTGGAATTGTTGCAGCCCGGGACCCCAAAGAAACCCACGAAAGCAACTCGTCCCGTACGTCCTGGCAGCCCTTTCCAAACGTTTTGAGTGTCACTAAGGACAGTGTTGTCGTGATTAGGTCCGTTCGGCCACAATGGCACAGACTACAGAGGGTGCTTCTGTACACCCAAATGACCTCAGCGCGAAGCAGGAGACTGTCTCTCGGAGGAAGGAAGGCGCTGATCCTGAGATTGTCCAGGTCAACACCGTGCATTTCGGTTGCTTCAACGATCGGATCCAGATAGAAGTGCAAAACCTTCAGACTGGACTTTCAACTCTGGATGATGCGATCAGTGAGTTGACCAGGCAATTCAGGAAGTATAGAAAGATAGTTAGCACCGTTGGTGATCGCTACGGCGATGATGAGACCTTGATGAGAAAGATCGATCTTCTCGAGACTGAAAAGAACGCGATATGGAAGCAAGCGCAGAATGACCGGGACTCATACAAAAAGGACATGGCTGGTGCCGAGGTGCAGCACGCAGAGCAGATGCTTGAGCTCCAAGCGAAAGCGGAGGCCGGCAGCCAGAAGAAAGTGGAATACGAGCAGAAAATTAAAGATCTAGTCGAGCAGCATACCCGTACCGAACAGAAACAGGAGCAGGAGTTCCAGCAGAAAATACAAGATTTGGAAAAAGAACATCGACAGAAAAAGGATCAGCTAGAAAAAGACAATGAGCAAAAGATTGCCAACCTAGAGAAAGATCGAAATGAGTTGGAAGAGACGAAGGCTCGGCTTAGCAAGGAGTTGCACGACCGGAGATCCGAACGGGACCAGGAGAGAGAGCTACGGATAATGGTACAAGAGAAGACGCAAAAAGATATTACAGAGTTGCAGGGCGAGCTTACCAGCATCAACAAACAGTATGAAATGGAGCAGCGGCCCTTAAGATTCTAGTAAACTCCCGCCCCTTTCCCCGTCCCCAATGATAGATGATGTGAGATGTACTGACTTGTTGTGACAGCACGGAGGAGTACAAGAAGATATTTGAGAGGGTCCACCAGATTGTCTATGAGCGCCTGACAGATCTTCCAGAAAAAGCCTTAAAGGTATGTGAAGCGGCTATCGGAGGTCTACAGAGCTCTCTTGTGTTGACGACCATTCCCCATTGGGCAGAGACCAGCGGACACATCGGAGAAATTATGCCAACAAAACCGAATCTTTGAACAAATCCCCATCGGCGAGTCCGAGTGTTCGATGATGCTGCGACGAGCCGCTGCCGAGCACATCATCATCAAGTTCATATGTGATACGTTATGGCGCCCCTTTTTCTCCGAGTATCTAGTGTCGAGCGAAGTGAATGACTCAGTTCTTCCGAAGATGTATGCAGGCATGGCCGAAGCTGGAAAGGATTTTCAACATCGGTGGAAAGTGGCCACATTGAAGACGTTAGACAACCTAGACAAGACAAATATGCCGAATGGACAACATAAGATAGGGAAAATTGTTGACCAACAAATCATCGGGCCCTTGCGCTACCTTCTGGACGACTCCCAGGCTCTCCTCTCCGACTTGAATCAAATCTTCTGTCAGGCTATTGAATTGGGTAAAGCTGCGGAGCGTGATCAGATGAACATCATCCTTGACGTCACTCCGTACCTGAGCGCACAAAATTCAGGTGGTTGGATCGAATGGTTAGGCGAGGATTATGAGTCTGATTATGGGTCTGATGAATCTCCGTCATCGCCAACTAGCACTTTTACGGCGGCTAGTTTGGTCGTCCGCACAGAGCCATTGTTGATAAGTCCCAAGATTTTGCGTCAGGCGGAGACTAACGGACCTATGGAGTTGGTTCTTCCGGGGCGAGCGATATTTCCGGAACGAGGTATTTTCCAGGACGGGGCCTTACAATGGCAGACGATCCACCATGCGTCGAGCCAGGCGGCGAGGGCGAAGAATGGGTCCAATCGACGACAAAGCACGGCCACGGCAGGGTTGGGAATGAGTTTGCACTCACCGATACAGACGCCAAATCTATGGAGTGCCTCAAGTGTGTTTGAGCAGCGAGAGTGATTGCAGGACTGGAAAATAGTACAGATAGCTGGGTAATAGTTACGGGGAACTCTGGTGTACTTTTTCCCAGATTTAGAGTCGTGTCTCTAAAGTTTCGCACAATATGAAAAAGCGGAATTTGAATCGATGTATACTTCGCCACGTGTGAAACTAACAAACAATCCTGGGGACTTACCAATCGCGAGGCAGTTGGCCCTATAGCCACATACTATTGCTTCATCCTTCTCCCAGCCTCGCACAGGCGACCTGTGGCCTTACGCACCCATTCATAGCTTACGAGGAAGGTGATTCTAATAGGCAGATAATTTGTTATTTTGTGCTTTTGGTCTTCTTTGAAACAGTATTCACATGGGTTCTATTGGGAAGAGAGCTCTACGGCGTCTACAAAGCATAAACGTTGCGGCTGAGGTCTACAACACGAACCACAAAGATAGGCGAGCATTGAGGATTAGGAGTGCATTTGAGCTCCAGCTCCTGGGCTACCATCCCCCAAAGCGAATTTAACTTCGGATAGGTTGCATAGTACCATTCATTCCATTGAAGGTGATTTGGGGCAACACCTCCAGAAAAATGGTCGGAGGAAAGAATCGTAATTCTTGAGAAAGGCCATTTTTAGCAAAGCGAACTCAACCGGGCCTGGCGACCTTTCTTAGGCTACGAGACAAGATATGATAACGGGTGGTCGCTCTGGAAAGTTGTATAGCATCTGTATGCAAAGATATCATGGCTAAGTACCTCTCGTATATTGAATGAGATAATTCCTATCACGCGGTGAAAGTGGTGATGGGCGCCAATCCTCGGTCCATACAAAACTCGCCGGAGCCAATATAGGCTCGGAGCCCCTGGGCGGACCTCACGATGGCGGGGCCCGAGCCGAGCCCCGGGCGGGGCGGGGCGGGGGGGCGGCATTGTATCCGTACATTCCCTAGATAGTTTCTGAAGGGTCTAGTCTACTCTCAAATGACATGGCAAGGCGTAGGAGCAGGAACAATGCTTAGAGCCAGAGGTATTTACATAAATGGTTGATGAGATGGAGTGCCTGCACTGGGGTTTTAAAAGTGAACTGCTCTAGAAATTTAACCCCGTTCATTTTTAATCGGAGGTCTGGATTTTTTTCGCATACCACGGTATTCGTGCTTCTACTAGGCAATGCATTCCTTCATCGCTGCTATCGCCGATTAAAGTTTTTTTGTCGATCTATGGCTCTAGCGATCCTGGAAAATCAACCGCTTCCCAGCCAGTATAGGTCTTCGAAAACTTTGACGATTAAACCAGCCTCACGCACTTCTGTTACCCGCCGCCACCTGAAACCCTATAATCTGCCTCCTTCAGCCGCACTAGCGCCCCTCGTCCGCTAACGTGGTTCTTGAAACTGCAAATCGAGGTAAGGCAGACACGCGGAATCGGCCCCTATTTTCAATATTGCAAACGCTGTGCGCATACACAAGACTTCATATTGCCTTCTTGCCAAGCGAACTCCTAGCTACAAGTTGTGCAGTTTCAGTGCTCTAAGGCACATAGAAGCTATGGCTCGTCCCACACCTATTCGCCCTGTTTCAAGAGAGTGCCCTTCTGCTGAGCCCATCCACGGAAAGACTTCTTAACTCCAATAGAGGATGCCTCCGCTTGAGGGGAAAGGTAATTCCAGTAGACTTATATTCTTTAGTCCAGAAATCCAACTGCTTTTGACAGGGTGCTCGACACTCCTCAGGCTAATTGTTACCAATATACTTCCACTTCCACTGCGGAGACAATACAAATACAGCAATATAAGCTGGTGATCTCTCAGTCAAGCCGTAGTAGTTGTTCAATTTGGACCAGCCAGAGTTGCAGCAGGAACTCATGAAGAGGGTGTCGGCTTAATTTTGCTTTGCAATCTCAAACTGTTCATGCAGGAAGTCTATTGTCAGCAGTACTCTATCCAGGGTTGCACTATGGCCTTCTGTAGATGGAGTAGCATCGTGGAAGTACCTAAGGAAACCCCCGAGCTTTCCTAGGTCTTGCCAATCCCTCTCCAAGAGTAGGTCGCTATTGTTCTCTTCGTATTGGTGACAAAAGAGGTTTATTGCAGTATTGAGCTTAGTCACACAACTGATCATTGAATACCAACTAACGCTCTGGCAGAATTCATGTCTGATCATATTTGTATTCCTGCTCTTCCAAGAATGAATACAACTACGTTGTATCCTGTCTTTGACTCAACCATGCATTAAATCCTGAAAATTGTGATTCATGGAAGCCAAAGTCCTTTCCCCGAAGTCTGGACCGGAGAACAGCCCCGACAACTGCCGTGACATTAAAACTTAAGGGGCTGTGATAGGACGCAGCCACGTGAGTAGTCCGAGTATAATGAAATGCGTCAGTCATGCCACAAATCCTCGCGAGAAACAACGCAATAGAACCGTTGACCAGGCTCGGTGGATTTGATATGGGTTCAAAGGGTGCCTAGAAGTGTTCAGCATTCTTTTTCCATATCCGTGTCATTTCGGCACCTTTCAACCCACCAACTACGATGATGGCCTTTTCGACAACCTGAACGTTCTGGTCTCTTCCGTCGCTCTCCTCTTTCACTTTTTCGGCGCCTTCGTTGCTATGGGCATTGGTGTTTCATCAGCAAAAGCACCGCTGAGGCTAACCCGATTGGACTCTCTACCCAAACCCTCCCCGGTCAAGCTTCGCATCGCTTCGAAGCCCAGAGCAGACAGCAGGGGACCAAGTGACATCACCATACAATCATACTGGGTACTGTGACCAGGAACCTTTCCTCGGCAGAAGGCAGACCTGTCGAAGCACGATAAAACATGCCAAAGAGAACAAGCAGTCATTTCGACTTCCAGAGTCCGACTTGGGACTTCAACCTGACAAAGAAGCTTGCCCTGCTGTTCGAGGACGACAGCTTTTCCGGAGAAGAAACCGGCGTTGGTACGGCTTGGTGAGGTCTCAATCCCCGTCGAATAAGCCCCGTGAGATGGAGAAAAATCCGGTCGACCTCCCCGTGCTCGTCGTCTCGGACACAACATTCTGCGGTCCCGCAACCCTCCTGATGGGACAAGCGCTGTGCCTCCTCGGTTGACACCTCCCGCTTGGCATCGCGGTAGGTCTTGTTGCCGACGAGGAAGATGGGTATTGGAGTTCCCCGCATCTTCCGCACCAGTTCCTTCGTTCTCGTCAGGCAACTCTCAGCCCGCTCGAAGCACTCCCTGGAGTGGACGGAGTAGAGAATAACGACGCCGTCGGATATGCGGACGGTGTGTTCGAGGAAAGCTGTTCCGTAGGTTCCGCCCATGTTGTCCCCAACGCCCATCTCGTAGACGGTCAGAATAACGGGTTCCTCGTCAAGGGCAATTACTTTCCGCCAACCAAACTCCAAAGTCGGGTCGTACTCTTCGGAATAATAGCCTGTTGTGAACTGGCGATATGTAAGTGGGATAATCTCCACCAAATGAACCAAGACCGGGCGCTGACCTTGGTAATGAAGCCTTGCCTGATCATGTAGTCTCCTCCAAAGACTGTGATGGCATAATTTTCGGTGGGTTTTTTGGACATGATGTCTTGACCAGGACAAGGTGCGGCGGAGGTTGATCGTGATTCTGATGGAGCTAGGAATAACCTATATACATGCCGTAGGAGTTAATGTGTTGGTAGGCACATTTAGATAAAACGTACTGTAGGTGAAGGAATATTGTCGGTGAATAACAGAGGCACTGTCCGTTGGTATGACCAATTCCAGCCTGTTGTGTTTCCCCGCGTTGAAGGCGAAGACCAATGAGGTCACAGGCAGGACCGTCCCCACTCGACGCTATCTTGTGATTAGCGATGCCAAGCGATTGTAAAGACCGTGGTCTAACTATGTCGCTTCGACGCATCCGAACTAGCTCCGAGAGCTATTCGCACGCTATCCGAAGCGGACCCGAGAGCGCCCGGGCGCTAGTATAGCACGTACTTAGGATACTATATAGTCTGACGAGTCCCTCGGACCGTCTTAGGAATGGATCATGTCCCCTTCCCATCACAATCTATCTAGTCAGTCTGCACCCGTCGAACGCAATATCTTCTGTACATATTGCTTACGACTAACGGGAGCCATTGTGAGGAATCGCTTATTACAGACGTGTAAGATTGAACTTTTCGATGATAGTACTAGGGACCCGGCACTCGCCTACACTGGAGGAGTCAAAGTATCGAGGAAATATAAACGAACTAAGAAAATTAAATATCAACAACCCTCTCTTCGCCGCAAACCTCAATAAGGACGCCTGGTTTTGAAAAAGAAGTAAGCAGGTCCTCAGCCTTCCAGATTCCCGTTCCCCACTACTCATGTCTCATCCTGAGAGCTGCCGAGACTCAGCGTCAATTTATCGTGAGCCTCGCAGTCCATCAACGATACTTCCCTCTCCTTGGAGATTAAAGGGGGCTCGGCCTCGTCGTGGATTCTATGCGCTATCCATATCCAGCGTCTGGCCATCATGCTTCTGTTTGCGTTATGAGATCATTCGTTAGGGTTTCAGATGTAGGGCGCTCACTCGTCGTCGCATTCATTGTCGCCGTCGTCAGCGCTGTCGTCGCCATTGCTATCATATCCCTCGTAGCTAGGTTCATCTTCGTCATTTGTGTCCATCCCATCCTCGCCCGTGGATCGCTCATCGCTATCACCCTCAGAATCACTGGCAATATCGCTACAACTTTTGCCATTAATCACTCCATCTTCTTCGTCATCATTTGTGTCCATATCGTCGCTATCGCTCTCGATCTCACCATCAGCTGAATGACTCGCATTTGACTCGCTCAAGTCCGTACTGGAGATGGGATGGCTACCCGTACTTTCATCCTCACGATTATGAACATCTACTGCATTGTCTCTTGGCTCCTTATCGTTGGTGTATACACTCTGCAAGTCGTTCTCGACAACGTTGTGCTGGTGCTCGTGGTGGGAATGTTGCACTAGGATCGCAGGACTGGATACAGCTCTGCAATGCGGGCGACCTCCTGCGGCTAACTCTCTGGCTTTGAGTGTCAGAAGATCAGGTTGTGAGGGGGACGGAGCTGGTGCTGGACATGTGCCAGCAACCGACGCGGTTGAGGGGCGTTTAAGTGCGGGTATTCCTCTGCTGGTGGCAGAGGCCATGGCGAATGATATGAGGCGGTCCTTTTCTCTTGCCGGTAGGATAGGGCCTCTCCGTGGAGTTGGCTGTTCTGACGATCTGGGAGTCCCTTTTGAGTTTAATGATTGTACGTCTGGATATCTTCTCTTCTCGCTGTGAGAGTGGGGCCTCGACGGTGTTGGAGGGTCATTTACGCCCACTTTTACATCGTAGCCTGGTGAATAAGCGCCAGGCAACACGTTTGAATCATCACGTTCGTCTCCAGGCGACTTTGACGGAAGTGATCGGTCTTTGGGATGAAAGATACGTCGCCTAGTTGGCTTCGACGACAAACGATCAGAGCCAATGCGTGCTGCAGTGACGGTGATCTCCGAGGCCGACGATGAGGTTGATACAATGCTGAATAATGACGATGCAGTCGACGACGATGATGTGCGGCTGTCGGACCCTAGGCATGGCGGGCTCGAACTCTCAACCGGAGTCAGAGTGGGAGCGCAGGGAGGTGGTTGTCGGCCCTGGTTGCGCATAGAATCCATACTGTTTTGATTAGGAGGACTCGCCGTGGGGGTATCATCCTTCTTCGAATCTTTCAGAACCTGCGCATGCTCGACCCAGCTATTCCCATCCGAGTCATTGAGAAAGAGCGCCGAGATTCCATCTCCATCGAAGCCGGCATCCTCATCCTCGCGAAACATCTGTAGTACGTACTTGGCCTTGAGGAAGCCATTCTCGTAGGGCTCCAGCGCGGTCATCCATCGGGCCCAGTGATCAACGGCGGCTTTTGCCTTGTCAAAACTGACCTTAAACCATTCAGTATGTTGAACCCTGCAGTCCAGATTGTGTTTACAGCGTGATTCACTGTAGCGGACGGGCCGCAGATCGGCATGGATGAGAGACTCGACGCGCTTGACATTTGCAATCTGCTCGGTAGCGTAGAGCCGTATATATGGTGACAAACATGATCGACGCCATTCCTCTAGTCGAAAATCCGGGTCCTGTGTTGTATAGCCAATTTTGAAATACTCTGTGTCGTCCGGTCGTTGTAGAATGTAGATATAGCCTGATGACAACTCCGATTCCTTGAGTTGACTGATGATGGTGGTGTGGAGGAAGTCGTCCGCTGAGCGAAGATTGTATGGAATGAACTGCCATCTGGCCGTTGGGTGCGCTTGAACTGATCTTTTCCTCCGAGACGAGGGCCTCCTGTGCTTATCGTTGGTATTCGCAGAGGCTGGCGTGGCAGGCGCTGAGACTGCATCATCCATGCGAGAGACTTCATTGATCGCCTGGAAGTGATTGCCCTGGATCACTCTGCCATCATCGTCATCAACATCAACATCATCATCCTCATCGTACAGGAAGTGGCCGGGCATCATGGGATATCCTTGAGGCAGAGGAGTAAACAGGGGCGACAGTCCCGACATCGTGAAACCCTGCACCGACACATCACCAACATAAACATCATCCACAGAATTGTCACAATCATCGTCCAGGAAGCTACCAGGTATTACCGGGTCCCACTGTAAACGAGGCTTGATCTGCTGGCAGATTCTCTCAGCCGCGAAAGCCTGCTTCAACTCTCCTTCCCACCTCTTCACTAGATTTTGCACAATAGCTTGAGCTGGATCCCGATGAAGATAACAGAACCACAAGGGCGCATACTGACGAAGCATGGGCTCTAACAAAGGGTCAGTGGGATCGGTTTCGATAAGTGCCATTCTCAAGGTATGAGCCCAACCAACGCATTTCGTGGCCGGCTTTCTGCATCTTTGGTTCGATTTTGACACGCCTAGACACCTTGGAGGTTGATTGTGATGGCCTGGTGAGGGTACTAAATGGAAGAATGAACGCTCTCTGTCGAGGACTTCTTGCCAGAATGGTCCTGCCGGCTTCGAGAAGAGGGACGCGAGGGTACTGGTGGTGATAGAGATGGTAAGGAAGAACGATGATAGCAGAGCACAGATGAATGACCACATATCTTGAGACAGCTACTGTGTGAGGGAATGTTATGGTCGAGGGCAGATGAGAACAAATGGGAGATTGGGATTGATAAGTGCCCCATGTATAGGCGCTGGAGCAGGTAGCTTAGCTACTTCCTGGCATCTCTCTGGGGATGGCAACGGCTTTTGGCAACTCAAGCCATCAGCAGGAGCAAAGGAGGAACCCTTCCCACTCCGGCATGCACCGACATGGCCAGGTGGTTGCATTAGTTCATTTCAGAGTCGAACGCATTTCAGGAGTGGCTGATGGACGATGAGCATGAAGGTGGAATCAACTGATATTTTTGTCAATTTTGTAGCTGAGAAGCCCGACCGTACCATGGGAGGTGTGTGTCTGCCTCGTTACAGTATAATCATACATATCTAAACGAACCTTCAATGCGGATAGATACAAGGTCCCACCAGACAAGGCCAATATACTGCAAGGTATAGGAATCGCTTACTCAACCCGAAAGAGGAAAGGCGTCAGGCTGAAAGCTCAGATGAAGGCCGCCTTCCCGAAATTGATTTCCAACTGGACAGTAATCTAGTAGTGGCTGTAAAGGCCTCGCAGCGGCCCCCCAGAATTTATCGAAACGGGGAGACTACCAGCGGCTTCCGAACCAGTTGACGGTGCTAAATTGGGCCCCTGTCTTGAAGAAGGTCCTGCAAGGCTGAGTTGGAGGCACGGACCACTGGTTACGACATACTCTCCGCAAGTCTTCTGGGCTGCAGGCACATTCGACCTCATGCCGAAGGCCGAGCGTTTGCGTCACTTGTGCGATGACTATCTTGAACGAGTGATGCTGTTTGAATGTCTCCATCACAGAGCAGCCTGAGTTTTTGGTTTCTTCCTCGATCTCGAGCGAAGCGCCGGGGTTGGCATTCTGATGTTTCATCACAGCCTCAGGCGGCCATCATGGCCACCTAAGGTCTGCGGTAAAGGGTAGCCCAACCCAAGTACCGAGAGCGCTTCTCACCCGGCCCAGGTGGCCGATGTTTATGCAGTCGGATAATGTTCTCGCCCCAATCGAGCAAACGAAAGTATAAGTGAGTAGGCAGCAACGATCCACTAGATGAGCCGGGAGGATATCATGAAGACCTCGGAGTGAAAGCCATAGCGGTAGGAGTGACATAGCCTTCCTTCTTGGACCCAGCGGGCTTCCGAGCTTGTTCTTCTCGAAACTTGACTTCTTTCTCGTCCTGTGCAACCACACAGCAGCAACAGCACAGGCCCGTGAGACAGTCGCCAGCGACATTTCCAGCCTCAGAATTCATGTTATATGCCTTCCGTACTCTCGTGTGTTGGATGGCCGCCAAAAAGCCATTGATTCCACAAAGCACCCCGAAGGCGATGCAAGAACCATTGATGGCGGTATAACCCAACATGTTGGTAGGGTCTTTCTTCTCTCCCCGCAGGGTTAGCCGGTACTGCGTCCTGCCATAGACGATACATGGGCAAAAGATTCCAGTCAAGCAGATCGAAGGCTCAGCACATGAGCAAAGTCCGTGTTGCCACGAGCCTCCGCGAATGGCCTGTGGACTCGGTGTGAATGTCCCAATTGAATACTGAGACATGTCTGATGGTGGAGGAACAATGGCCATATTGGTGCTTGCTCGGGTGAATTTTGGGGTTGTTGGCGACAGAGGATTCTCATCTGGTGCAATTGCCCCAGCAGTAGGTGGCTCATACCGAGGGACAGGAGGTTGCTTTACGGGTTCGGGGGATTGGGGCAATGGTAGAACGCTGTTTTGTTCGGGAGGAGATTGACCTTGTGGCAATTGTTCTTGTCGATTCTGTGGTACATGAGTATACTGTGGTTGTGCAGAATAAGCGCCATTCTGTCGCCTGTCCTGGAAGGGATGCTGTTGCTGTTGTACGACGTTATATTCTTGTCCCTGATACGGATATGCTCCGTCATGATAACGTTGTGTTTCCATCCTGGTCAATTCCTTGAGAGTGACTTCCGGTGCAGGTTGTTCAACTGGTGGGAGAGATGTTACAATTGCAGTATTTCTCGGTCTCCTTGTGTTCCTGGTCCACAATCGATGCTCCTCATCCGCAGTTGTATCCATCCATGACAAACGAGAATCTTCGGGTCTTTGGGGTGGGAGGAGAGATGAGGGAGGATGGACTCGAGGATACTCGTAGCTTTTCATATCTGCAACGCAATTTTCCCGGGCAGCTGGCTGCCCTTCGACTTGTGGATTCGTGCTTTTGGTTATTATTCCCTGGGGGTAAGCACTGATGACGATGGTGGTGGCCTAACCGGCGAGTCTCCAAGGGCGAAGAGATTATTGGAGTTTTGTACACAACTTGAAGAGAGAAAACAATGGCGACGACAATGGCGAAAGAACAGAGAGGTAAAGAGCAAGATATGACCTACCTTACGATGAGAGCATCGCCTCGTTCGACGACGCGGTGAGTCGTCAAGCCTAGCCAGAGTTGAGAAGGGATCCAGTCCTCATCACTGGTGCTTGGAGGCATCAACACAGTCGATTGGTCTGTTGAAAATCGAGCTTGAGACTCGGCGGGATCGGGGCGCTTACAGGGAATAGGCACAAAAATAGGAGACTGGAGTTGGTCCATACGGACTCAAGAGCCAGCCACAGCGCAAGACGCGTCAAGGTGTCGCCATGATTCGAAACAAGCGACTTTGACGATCGTCGTCTGTTCTGAGAGCGAGCCAGAAGATGGATGGAAGCGCCGGGGCTTGGGTTTGGGTCCAAAATGATGCGGGCGTCAAGCTGTTGAAGGAATGGGGGATGGCGTTGCGGTTGCAGGTTACGTGGTAGGGGGTTCTGGAGGGGTTTGGAGGGTTTTGGAGGGTTTTGGAGGGTTTCTGGGTCTGTGTGGTTTCATTGCTGGTGTCACGTGGCGTTGCGTCCCCGTGACTTGGGGTGCTCGGCACTGTCACCCGCGTGATTATGCGCGAAACACCCTCCGTTCATCAACACCCTGCAGGTCTAGCATCGACAAACTGTCCAGACATCTTTCGATCTTTGCCGTCCCATTGTTTCCATACCTACCTAGGGAGCTAGGCACTTCTCTTCACGCTTAGAGCAGATATGATTTTGGTCGACTATTGTTCTCATGCGCCTCACCTTCAATCGATATCACGTGGAGAGTGTTTTACATGCCAAAACCGTATTAGCCTTGTCCGTATTCGACCACATTGAAATTAATGACATGACTGGGAGCATTCCAGAGCAGACGTGCCACCCCGTGCCATTCATTGAGGCTGAAAAAGGCTGACCACCTGTATCATTTGGAGAGAGCGCTAGACGGCGTTTGTCCCCCCGGTCACACTCAACGCCACTCATAGTCGCACCATAACAATTGAATATTGTAGTACATATGTATCCTCTACAGTTCCAGCTGACGTTCTGAGCCGGAAGCTGAACCATCAGCCTGATCCTTTCCCGGTCGCCATAGATCAGGGCTACCAGGACTTAAGTCTACCGTTGGCAGCTCGGCCATATGGAGTTTGGCACTTCCGTACGGTCGGAGCTCAACTGGAAACGCTCGACCGGTACAGTTTCGATGCCCTACTAGTGGTGGATTAGGTGCATAACCACCAGTCAACTTCCAGTTAATCTCACAAGCCAGAGCTGAGATGCTGACTGGCGTGGCATCCTCGTTCCAAATCGGATTGGGCAGGTACTCATCCTCTCGATTTGGATATTCGAAGAATTGTAAAGTCGAAGTATCAATCGCCAGATTCCAGGGTGTCCGCGGTAAGATCTGCCAATCTCTTGCTTCTGGCGGTGCGTCTGTGCCAGGATATCGTCCTGGTCTTGTATGGGAATATTCTCCAGCAATAGGCAGCGCATACAGGAGTGCACCATGATATATCGACACGGTGTTATTTGCCCTCGGCTCGATGCGGACCTTCGCTCCAAACTTGACCTCAATTATGGTCCTTCCCGAGGCAATAATCATCGCGTGCATCCCAGTAGCGTTGTCCGGTTTGAGGTCATGGCGTTCGCCCGAGTCGATCCAGATGCCACTGTCTTCAAGCACTGCCCATGATGGCACCCTGATCGAAAATCGGAAAGTGTATCTCGCCTTGATGTCGTAGCGTAGGTGGTTGGAAAAGGGATAGTTTGTGTCGCACCGAATGTTGATCTGGTTTCTGTTCCACAGCGCCGTCCTCAAGTTGGCGGGGCCGAGCACAGCATGGGCAATTCCTTCTTCGCCATATCTGACAAACATGGCAGGAACAAATTTCGAGTATCCTTGCATGTTGACGGTGCAACAGGGGAAGTTTGGTTCGGTCCCAAACGTTTGGCCGTAAGGTCCCACGTTCCAAAATGGGCTTCGATCCAGTCGATGACTGATAGGCTGATTTGTTTGCGCGATATACTGATGAGCCCACCAGTGCGGCATGAACATGACTGGCAAGGCGTTGTAAGCTGCCAGCTCAACCTTGTCTGCAAAATCACGATCTCCCATAGCCTGATACAGGTAGTTCAAGGAGAACATTGATTCTACCACGCTGCAAAGCTCGGTGCCCCGAGCTGGACTCAAGCCTGCCTCTCGCTCATCACCCACTATTGCGCCTGACGGCGTTCCATGGTACTGAAATGTCCAGTTAACCCCATTCCTGGTCACGTTGAGCAAGCGATCATCGTGGACAAGTCTGCGCATCGCACCGCCCCATTTGAGACCTTGGCCAGCATTGACACCGTGAACATACGGAAACAGACTGTCCGTAAGCTCCACGGGGAACCGATCCAGGTCATCCTTCAGGAAATTCCGTTCATCGAACCAATAACTCCAATCATATGACATTTCATACATATGCACCATGCAATGATGAATCTTCTTCTCGTTCCCACCCGGATGGTTCTCGTAAAGCCACTGCAAGGCTAGAACCATATCGGCAGCACGCGATCTGCCCCACTGCTCGTCGAACTCATCGCCAGGTCTCCAGACATACCCTTGATAGTCAGTAGAAAGCATTTCGTGCATGAGATTCACAAATTTATGCATGGCGGGGAGGATCTTTTCCTTTCCCAGCTCAGGCTCTGCCTCGACCAGCTGCATCAATCCCAGAAAGAGCGGATACCTGCCCCAGAAATTTCGACGCGACAGGTTATCCTCGGGCCCGAGCCATCCGTCTTGATGTTGGCGGTCAATAACCCAGTTAGTAACACGAATAATATGCCTTTTCAGTCTTGTATCGTCCGAGAGGTACGCCAAGGGCACAAGAGCGTTGTAAGAGTACGGCCACGCCTCATTCAGCCCTGCAGGAAAGTGTTCAGCAATTCTGACCAGGGCGGGTTCAACAGAATTTCCCTTACAAGAATATTCCTGATCGCCTCCCAGCCAAGGGGCGTCCTTGATCAAACGATAGAACTCATGGGCGTGACCAGGAAGACCGTCAGCCATCAAACGGAGCTGCTGTTTAAGCCATCCAAGCGGTTTCACTGAACCCAGCGGAAGGGGCTCAAATGCCAGAGGAAGCACTACCCAGAAGAATGTCAGCGCTGAAGGATTCCAAAGGTTCCTGCATTTACAAGTGACAGGAGAACCGACGTACGACTTTTATTGTAAGAGTCCGGATTTCTAATTGGCTGTTGAGGGTCTTCCTTGGGCGTGCGCACAGCATATGCCCGTCTTGCAAATACGCCATCCTGCTCGTACAGATGCACGCTCGATTTGTGGCAGCAGACTCCTAGCCAGAGATAAGTAAGATAAGAAACGCCTCCAGCACGTGTCACAGGGGCTTTTGGATCCCTGTTGATAGTGATAAGAAGATAGATAAATGTTTCGTACCTGCATCTTCCCCGCCGCTTGGGCTGTGATCTAAAGGCTTCTGGGCGGTACCAGCAACGGGGACTATGTTGACATCTGCGTGATGAACACGAGCAACAGCAACGGACCCTTGTAAGGCCACCCAACACAAAATTAACGTGGAAATCCAGGCTGCTCGTAGCCAGCACGGGCACAACATCGTGTCTTCAGCGCGTTGTCTTTGCCAGTCGGGGCCACGCAATAAAACTCTGCGCCAGCGCAGAGAAGAACATCAAGGATCAAGAGCAGTGCCGATGCTGATGGTGGACGAAGGATCGGCTTTGGGGACGCTACTAATAAGCCAAAAGGGGGTCTCGGGCCACGTGAGCACAGCTTTCGCACACTTCTTACAGGAACAAATGAACAACTGAGTAGTAATTAGAATGCAATCAGTCCTCTCTTCTTGGCTTCTTGCTTGGGCGCATGACACAAGCCCATTGCCTACTTAGTGCTTCAATCCTCCAGCCAAACAGTGGGTGGTTGGACAATCCCCCGAATGGCATGCTTTGAGGGGGGCGAATTCTTGGTCACGCGACCTTCAAACAAGAGGGTAAAAGTCACACCGTTGTCCCCAGAGTTGGCGGTGCTGTGTTTCCTGGTCCTTGGGCCTCGGCACAATCCTACTTCGACCTTCGCATATGAGGTGTCTATATGTAGCATCTCACCAATTTCGAGATGTGTGTTGCATGGGTGTTGGGCAGAGAGTCCCTTCGATATCCAGCCTCCAGTTCGTAACCTTTCACTCTCAAGGGTTTCACGTCATCGTAAAGGTCTGATCCGAAGCCAGACTTGTCAACCGTTTCCGATAAAACGCGAAAGAGCTCAGGCTCGGTCTGGGAAGTCGTCCGTCAAGGCACTCTGTCTGTCGTCGCGACAATTCAGATCGTCCTCATGTGGGTACTGCTTACCATTGAGTCACAGGTTGTTAGCTTTCAACCAACGAGGAAGGATCAAGAGTTGTCCATCTTAGCACGAAGAGATGGAGCAATAGGTTGATGACTGAAAAGCTCAGCAGCGAAGACAGCCGTCCCCTTGATTTTGTTTTCACGTTTGCGATTGCAGCAAGTTGCGAACTTCGAATGTCTATTCCCACAGGCGCCGAGCACCATATTGGAGCTGCCAGAAAGCTGCTAGCACTCCAAGTTGGATTTAACGCCACCCGAGATATAACCTACCCGCTTGGACTCATGGTCCCAAGCAGCCTTGTCGAACAAAGTATACCCAACCTTTTGGACTCTCGGGAAGAGCCTCGGAGCACGCTGGCAGCGATGGTGCAAAGACTTCGACACTATCAGACGTGGAACTACAGCTTGAGATGTGGCCAAAGCTATCATCCTACCATGAGCATTGAGAGGGATTATCCTGTCATCCAAAGGAAAGGAAGCGTACTCGAGGTTAGACCAGCTGGTAAAACGCATTCATGCGTTCGAGGGTACTGCTATGGGTCATTATGTGGCCCTACCCCGGGGCGAGCTGACCGAAGCACAGTTCAGGTACTTGCTGAGCATTTTTTTCATGCTAAGAACACTGCCTTCTATGATTTGCGAGACAATACTAAAACCAGAGATGAATACCTGAAGGAACCCACAACAGCCGCTGAGCTGAGCATAGCAGCGAATTTCGTCCTTTGAGCAAGTTATTCTAAACTACCGTCCTTATTACTGGTCATCATGCTTGCCCACAAGGCTGCTAACACTGAAGGGAGAGATCCGACCACCAGCAAAGTGATCCAACGCCGAGGAAGTGTTTGAGTTTGCGAATCTCACCATTATAGCAGGGCCAGTGGTCGACGGAGGGTATGAAGGCGTTTTCATCTTGGCTGACCTCTGGCTACTCGAATCTCGATGGCCATACCTGTCTCAGCAGTAAGGACTTTGACTTCTTAAGAGAGGATGTGCAAGACAGCTGGCTTTTAGATTAGGCACGTCGTATTGTGGAGAGACGATTGAGTTGAGCCGAAATCCTCGTCATGAGAACTTGCTGCCTTTACCGCAGCTTGGTTCTACACAACTCCCCAAGATTGAGAGTTGCATCGCCGGCTATCGCGCATCGCATAACGCTGGACAATGGAGCTCTTGAATGGTTAAGGGCCAGATATGGTCGCAATAGCTTCTTTCCCTTGATTTCCACCTGGTGCTCGTATCTTGGGTTGATTCAGTTCCTCGGCGGGCGGGGTTAGCACTAGTCATTGGCCGTTAAATGATCCTTTCATCAGCTGGCCCTTGGGACTAGCCCATGAGCGTTGCAGACTCGGTGACTTTCGATTCGTTCAGCAATCCAAGCTACGGAATCATTCGCTGACCCAGCCATGTTCGATCTGGTCTAGGCAACACGTGCAACTTTGTTATATCCTGACACCGGTCTCACCGGATACTGCAGAACCTGTGCAAACGCGACCATGGCGATCATCGAACTAGCCCACGTTCAATTAAAGGATGGTCTGACTACATCCGACCCAGTTCTTCTGAAGAATTTGAAAGCGGTGAAGAGTGTGATTGAGAAGCACAGCAAACTGCCGACGCAATTTTTCGAACAAACCGACGACCCGACCATGCTGTTTATGGTTGGAGCATGGCCGAACAAAGAAACGTCCCAACACGGGTTCAACGGATCCCCTCACCAAGGCGAGATTCTGGACTTGGTCAAAGATCAAATGGGGATCGATTGGGTGCATTACATGGACATCGACCAGAACGCAATTCCCATTCACGCGCCACTACTAGCAATCGTCAAGGGAGAATTCCCCAAACATGTCAACCGAGCAATCGCTGATCAGGATTTCAAGACGATAGCACAGGGCTTGGGCGAGACAAGGTATGCCGCCGTCTCAGCTTGGAACCTGCGGAAAGACAAGCACGAGCCGGATGTGAAAGTCCATTTCTCGGGATGGGAGTCATTAGACAAGGCGACTGAGGGCCTAGTTGGTCTCATTGAAAATCCACATGACTTCACCGCGGAGCCAACTCTGGTGAATATTTTTGTCACCAAGAAGGTTGAATTAGACTAAGACTCGCGGCTGGCAGGGAGGAAACGAACTTTACGGACGTGCGATGATTTAGATGAAACTACGTCCTAGATTCTTAGAATCACGATTCCCTTTCCCTTTCCCCTTCTTGTGGGTGGGCTCGCCGCTCTAAGCTACGCTCAGCTTACCCTTGCCCACCTTGACTCGCCCCTGGCCCCCCCTAGTTGTTGGCCTTCAAAACTGACCTAGGGTGTGAAAGATGTATCCCACATAATTTAGGTCCTTACACTATAGATGTGCGTAGTATTCCTCTCCGATGTCCTGTTCCCACGCCAGTGACCACCATTCTGTATCTTCGCCCACCGACGTCCCTGCGACATCCACTTTCTACGGGATGGCTTGGTCGGGCACCTAGCAAGGCGCCGAGTAGCAACGGAAAGATGGCATGTTGGAACGAGATCATCGAGTTGGCCGTCAAGGTGAAGCCCAAGTCGTTGAACAAGGAAGAGGCTGTGAACAAGGCCCACCAAAATCGACCCTGAGCGATACTGCCTGATCTTGAGAATCAATGGGACCAAACATATCCAACTCAAGATGTGGAAACAGAAGAACTACATAACCAGAACTAGCGCCAATGTCTAGAGCGCACCAACATTACTTACCAAGGCCTATTAAGGTCCTATAGAAAGACTCGTTAATCATAATCGGAACTACGAACGGTATTAGTCAAGGTACGATTCCTTGATAGAGTAGGTTTAGAAGGCTAACTGAGCATAACGAAGGGTATAATAACTCGTCGGACTATATCTAAAATGTCTGTCAGGAATGCCTCTTGCCTCCTGGTAAGAGAATACCTAATAGGTCTGAGAAATCCTCGCACTTCGTGCGAGATGCTAGTCTTTGTGAGCGATCCTCAAGGACTTACGGACCTGTTGCGTGACAATATCGGTGTTAGATTACTAACGAAGTTAACTTTAAATAGTTAGGCTATCTAGAAACATATATATATATATAGTACTAGTTAAGGCTATAGACTATTCTAGACTTTAGTAGCGTTCGATAGTTCTTCTTAGTTCGTAGCCTAGTTTTATAACGTAGCCTCGTCAATCGCTATCAGCTAACTTTCCTTCCTAGTATAGACCGACTTGGTAACTACGGCGACCTTTAAGTAGCCTACTTTATAACACGGTATCAGTATAGAAATTACAACTATATAAAGAAAAGATGAATTTCTAGAGACATCTAAATTCATCAGAATAAGGGCGGTATTCCGTCTATAGGTAATATAGGCGCGAGTAAAGCTAACGGTTACGTACATAGACACAAGGCACGCGAGCCACGTGAGCAGGGCTTCAATTTATAGAGCAGAATGTGTTCAATTGTTGTCTGTCAAGGTCTACTACAACACCATCCGATCGTAGTTCGAGGTTCAATCTCATTTGTCGACTTTTTCAGACCTGTTGCCAAACAAGTATGCCTGCGTTCTTGTGACAATCCCAGCAGATCACCTTTTCACCTCATCACCTGAGCCACTCCGGGCTTGAATTTCCACCATCTAGAACCGATGGAAGAAACAGAACCGAGCCCTCATCACGGCTGTGGAGCTAGAAGCCAAAAGACAATCAACCGACAGGTGAAGCACATCTCCACGCCGATAGATTATCTGAAGTCTCATAAGACGTGACCATCGTCTTGAACGCAGCATACAAGCCCAGGACACAAGTGACGCATGAGCCGAGATAGAAGATGAGGTCAAACAGATTCCACCAGAGTTCTTTCTTGAACCCACGGATCCAGCGCTTGGCGCCAGAATCCAGACGGTGGACTTCACCTGTCTGCGGGTTGAATGTCTCCTCAGGCAAGATCGCGTCCCGCTGGGCCTTGAAGCCCATCATCAAGAATGGTGGGAAAGTGTAGGTGAATTGTAGAATGCAGCCGGCGCCCACGAGGACGATCCAGGTGGTGATCTGAGGCACAGAGGACGTGACAACCCAGGCCAGGAGCCAGTAGGCAGGCACAATGCCAACCCAGAGCCATTTGCCCCCCTTGCTTTCGAGAACGGGGAATCCAAGTAAGTCTCGTCCGACGTTGTTGTACAAGACTTTGATGCCGATGTTGCCGTAAAGCACTGCTGCGATAATACCGGTGATCAATTCGAGGATGTTGGAGACCGTTTGCCACGAGTAAGGAGAAACGCCCTGGTATGATTGGTTGTAGACGTATTGCCCTTGCATGGCGTAGCAGTAGACTCCATACACCATGTAGGCAATGTAGATCAACAGATCGGCCGCCAGAAGACCTTTCCAAAAGTCCATTGGTCGGCGCATTTCTGCCATCAGTTCCACGAATAACGTGGCCCCGCCGAAGCTGAAAACGGCGTTCATCAGGCCATTGACGTTGTCTGCAAGACTCAAACCCGGTGGAGCACCAGCCGAGACCTTGATCGGTGGCGGGTTGTTGATGTCGAAACTCGGATCTTGAGCTAGGGCAATTTTGTAATTAGGAGGGCTATGCGCCATGACACCCATCCTGTTCAGCCGTGTAAGTAATTCAAGTACCCTACACAGAGGTGTCGCCTCTGGGGGAGTTAACTCACGTCGCAAAAATAACAAACAAGTTGAGGAAGACGGCGCAAGAAGCAAGCCAGCCCAGCCTTTGAAGAGTTCGAATCTGGCCGATAATACAACCAGCAATGGCGCAAACAACGACACATACAATAAAGCACAGACTTCCTTTTGAAAGCTGACTGATTGACTGTCCGCTGGTCAAGACGATCAAAGCCACATTAAGGAAGAACTGGAACGACTGCAGGCCGTTGACTGTGTGCCGGAACCACGTTCCATAGACGCGGAAAGCAATATCTCCGTAACCCTTCATGGGGAATCGGTCACTGTCAAGTTGCAGGAACAAGCGCCAGAGCTGGTAGCCGGTATATCCGGCAAGAGCACCGAAGACAGTGAAGAGTGCAACTCCAGGACCAAGACCCATTTGAGAAAATGCATATCCTGTGTTGAAAGGTCCAAGGATGTCTGTCGTGATCAGATAGAAAACAGCCCCCCTAATACTCAAGTTAGATATTGTCATCTACAGGTGGACCCCAAGCTTACCAAGTCGCGGTTCTCGCTGCTCTAGAGGCCTGAACCCACTCTTCATCAGAGATAGGAATTGGCTGGAACTTATTCTTTGTTGGGGGTGTGTCGATACCGCCCTTCTCGGATGACTTCTCATCTACAATTCCTTCAGTCCTCGTCATTTGGGCCTCGCCTTGGGCGCTGATCGACAGTCTCGGTGTCTGGGCGGTATGCACGTCGATATCCTTACGAAGGATATTCTTCTTGATGAAGCCGGTCACTGGGCCCGAGGTTGCAACGTAGTCGCTCCCAGGACCAAAGAGTCTGTCTTCCTCCGCTCGTGACTGTTTGGCATGATAGATGTACTCCTCGATGCTGATACTTGGGTCGTGGAGCTTGTTTAGTATTCGTGTTGGATAGGAACTCTGGTCGAGGCCTTCAGGGGTGACCCGAGGGTCTGCAGCAGCGCCGATCGAAGCCATTGGATATCCAGACATACTGAGACAGTCCTACGCAGTGATATCAGTTTGGTCTGAGATGGAAGCGACAAAGTGCTTGTGTTTTTTGGACAGGGGAGACAGTCCCTTTTAAGCTCCCGGCTTGGAGAACTTCGGCAGACGGCATAGGAAAGAGGCAAATCTTGTGATGGCAACGCAGATCGCTTATTGTTATCAGGTCTATCTCCAGTCGTTGGACTTGCGAGAAGCTTAGGTCCACTAAGACTCATCGATCCATGGCTAGGCTGTCTGGGCAGGGTATCAAACAGGTGGAGGATGATTGAGACAGCGCCCAGGTGGTCCGCGGTTGCAACGTCACGGAACGATTGAAGCCAAGTGTACGTGCAAGCGGTGCTGGGAACTTTGATCGGGCCAGGAAATGATAAACATCTAGTGACCCATCCAGTAGAAGGGCATCGACTTCCTAAGCGAGAAAGGACTCCGCCAACTCCTTGCAAGACAGATTGATGTGGCAGGCTTGAATGCAGAAACCGAGTAACGGAAAGAGGCAGGAGAGCAGCACACAGATGCCGGGCACATATTTTTCCAGGTGGCGAATGACCACTCGATGCCGGGATGTGCCATTTGCTGTCCACATTTCGTGATCTCATCAACGGCCCTTGATCTGAGGAACTAGAGCCGTACGTTGTGGATGTTATCCATTTGATAAGATGATGCATTGATTTTGCCCTCGTGCATCTAATTGGGCTTGACTACGCAATGTCCATACTACGTTCCACACACGAGTGTGACCCTGTGGCGTCCCTAGCCGAGGATGCAAACGAGAATATCTGGAGATTAAGCATGACCGAAGCCATGCTAAGCTTTCCCCCAAAGCTTGTCTCAGTGTGTAATCTCTGGCGCCAAGGCCGGGTAACGCTCCCTTCACGTTCGACGGCCTTCATGGGCACTCGACGGGTATTGGTGATGATACCAATATGCAAAATTGGAAGTCCATGGCATGCAGGAAATATTCGTCAGCTACTCGTATTTATCGAGCGCTCTTTGATCTGTACACTGGCACCTGAGACCTTTGCAGACTCTGGAACCATGAATATCCCCCGCATGAGGTGTGGTGAAAGGTCACATTCGACAACAAATTTGGTCGTTAGGGTTACCCTCCCCTAGCGCCTTAACCAGTAGATACTTTGCGCCCTCGGATCCTCAGGTGCGGCTACCAACGGTTCTGTTGGACTTTAGTGACACTTGCGGACGCGTCAGCCTGTGCGAAGAAAAGGGACTTGGGTATCGCGGCCTGTGGTATCTTGCGTGCTATCCGAATAGCTCGCTTAAGATGAGTGATAGAACCGAAGAACGAAAACAAAGGAGACAACTATCAAATTAGGAAGGTGGCACTGGAATCCTGTAGCTCGATGGTTGGCATAAATTGCCTCTGGGGCAGGTTCCGGCACCAGGGACTCAGGGACTCAGGGACTCAGGGATTCGAGGAGATGCGGATTGAACGGCATCGCAGTGACCGCACCAAGAACAAAAATCGACAATCTCAATGCGGATGAGTCCGACTCCACCGACGTCATTCTGTAAGTGGCCCAGCCAAGCCTCGGCTTTCGTTAGGAGGAGGGGCGAGGTCGAGAGTGCAGAGGACTTGATGTACTGATGGGTGACTGACTACGACAGATAGCACAACATCACTGCACCACTACATAGAGCATCCAGGGCAGAACCCATAGCCTATACGACCGATCCTATTTTCACGCAGCAAGGCAACCCCTGGAGCGGAACGAAAGCAACATTTCATAAGTAGAAAAACACTATTTTCAGATCTCACGTTCGCTTTCTCAACCCCGGAGATTCAACCATTCCACGCTCGTAGGTACTTTCTTGCTCCACTGCGCGGGATCAGGGTGCGTCTGGACCCAGGTCTGGAGTTTCTCGCTTGCGTACACCACACTGATAGCTCTGCCTATGTCCTCGAAATTGCGCTGTAGCAGTTTAAAATGCGGGTAAGCCTGCAGGATAATCACAATTGTGATCGCTGGCAGGATGAGTAATATGCCCAGCGTGAGATATACGGCCACAGGAGCCATCTGGAGAATCTCCACTGCGATCTGCAAATGGACCCTGGCTGCGGCTTCGGAGGTCAAGGTGCTGTTCTTAGTTTGATATTCAGCCAGGCCTGAGTCCGTGCTTGCGTTCTAGACTGGACCGAGATTAGCAGGAAGAGCTGCGCCGACGTCCTGGAATGCCCACCCACCGCTAGAAGAGCGGTTTGACGAGACAAAGTGCTGGAAGAATGTCGCGAAGACCCTCTGTCCAAGCTCTGTCATCTGCACCGGGTCCATCAGCTTCTCCTTGTCACCGCCAGTAAGCTGGTACATGGAGTACGACATGAGACCTGTGTTCAGCCCCTGTTCTGGACGACGCAAATTGAAGTTCTTATCACTGAGGTCTTCAGTCTTCGCCACCGAGCCACTCGATGGCCACAGCTTCTTCAAGTCCAACGCGACCAGCATGGCATCTTGGAACAAAACGCCAAAACTGACAGTCATCTGGTTGTGAACAACGCCTGCGTCGACGCCATCACCAGGCTCGGAATAGTTGTGTGCGAGATAAACATCCGACCATGGCCATTCCACTGGCTCGGGTGACCCTAAAATCTCCTAATCCCAGACCTGGCTTGTTTCCATATCGACCGTGACGGTTGCATTAACCCATTCTAAACGTGGTCGGCAGTTGATCGCCGACATATCTGGAGCCTTTGACCATATCAGATGCCGAAAATCTTCGTTCTCACCATGCAAGCCTTCATAAGTTTCATTGCCCATATACAATTGGCGAGCAGCATTTCCACTAATCCATTTCAGCGTCAGGTTGCGTGGATAAGAGGCAGTCTCAAAGTCATTAACTTGATGCTGACCATAATTGGCCGACCAGTAGCCTATTGCCGATTCGCTGCTAGTGTCACCCGACGGATTGGCGCAGCAAAGGATCGTGCGTTTTCTAGAGAGAATTGGAGTCGTTGATAGCGCAGCCTGCGTTCCTAACTCCATATGGTCGTTGACTTCGAAACCCCTGTCTAGCACAGTAGGGTTCGTTGAAATATTCCACCTGTCACCATCGGACAAATCCCATTCGGTCAACCTGCTCGAAAATTTGGCAGCAGATTCCAGGAGTGTACAATCGAGTGTGCCTCGAAGGGCGGGAGTTGTAACTGTGACGTTCACGGTCGGCACTTTGTTGGCTATATTTGATGTCAAGTTCCTAGTTGAGGCTGTGCTCTTGAAAATTTCTGACTCTGGAACGGGAGACATGTCTATAGGGACAAAACGCAAACCATCTTTGCTCCATGGTGGCTCAGATCCGTTATATGCGAGTTGCAAAGTGGCTGAGTAGAGGGGAGTTGTGCCCTGATGTTGGTCGTCAACCTGCAGGTGTTAGTAAGACGTCGATCCAAGTCGTCCGAGGAAACCTAGGCTAAGCTTGTCAGGTGATCTTCGGGGCGCCATTAGCATCTCCACCTTTGGATTGTAGTCTCCAAATTTTGTATCGAACGAAATCAAACATCAGGCTTAGGATCAGCCTCAGTGTTGTGTTCAAACACAAGCGGGCAGCTTCGCAGCCGGAGATACGGTGATATACGCCTTAGCTGGGCGGTACGTGTTCCTCTATGAGGTAACACGACGCCCCCACGGTTCTCACACTCCTCAGCATGATTGAATTCATGGACTACATCGTGCACGCGTTTGGAACATCGACCGACTGGAACCCCGACAACAGCTACTCATCATTGACTGCGACCTCGGATGCTCTACTCTCGTTCAATACTCCTTCAACGTTGGCCCTACACGTCTCATCCCTGAGCACCCGGAACTTTGCCTCGTCATACACCCTTTCCACCCTTGGCCAGATCGATGGCTCCCTCTCCTACCTTTACTCCACCATCCCATTGGGACACATTCCCTCCCAGACACCGAGTATACCGCTGAAACATCTGGTGAGAGGCTATAGGGATATCAGGTTGCCGATCAATTTCCAGGGGGAGAGCAAGGTATTCACCAGCACAGGCGGAAATGGAAGGAAGCCTACGTTACTGCATGCGACATTGGCTCTTCCGCCGCCCTCGGTTCTGACAGCATTATACGCCCGGCGCATAAGCCCAGAAACCCTGTTATCCCTCTCACTATACAGCAAGTCCGTAACAGGACCGACGCTCAACTTAAGCACTCCTCCAGCGTCATGCCTTGCCCACATTCAGCACGACGCTGGTCAATACTCAGTTGAAGGGCTTGCATCAACCGACAGTGCACTGCTGGGGGTCCGAGGACTATGGAACTTCGGCGTCTCGGTTCCGGGGGAAGCAGAGTCCCTGTCATTCTCAGGACCAAGGCCAGAGTCTGCCGAAAGCGACATAGAGTTTCCCTCCGGCCTTCCTCTCCCAACCAAAATTGAGCGCAATTCGGCCTATCGCAGCCGACTGGAGTCCAAACCCTCACTCGTGTCTGCCGGCGCGGAGTTCTACTACAGCCCCTTTTCACACGTTATCGGGCTCTCAACAGGCCTGCGCTTCACCACCCTCGCACCAAACATCACACCTTCTCCACCTCAACCACAAACCGAAACCTCGCCAAACCCAACAGCCAACAAGCCCCTCGCCGGAACATCTGCCTCTCTCCTATCAACAGCAAGCCACAGCCTCCTCACGCCGTCCAACATCGCACACTCTTCCTTCCCATACACTATGACCCTAACACTCACCCCTTTAACCGGCTCCATATCCTCAACATATTCGGTGCGCCCGACGCCCAACATGGCCTTATCCTCGCGCTTCGACTTCAACTTCTACTCCTGGGAATCACGGTACGTGGTTGGCGGCGAACTGTGGCGGCCGCGGCGCAAGCCGCCGTCATCATCATCGTCCGGCGATATTAACGCGGACCCCGACGATCCACTCGCATGGGCACGCGCCAAAACCCAAGACTGGTTCACGCCGGCGGAACAGGCGCTCAAGGACGAGCGGCTGCAGCGGGAAGAGGAGAACGTGCTTAAGTTTCGAGTGGACGATTCCTGGAATGTGCGGGCGCTGTGGACGGGTCGAGTCAAGAGCCTGCTGGTCTCAGCCGGCGTGAGTGTTTCCCCTGTCGTGAGGAATGGCCTTGGCACGGCGTCGGTTGCACCCGTGAGGAGTGCTGCGACTGGTGGGAGCGGAGCCGCTCTGGGCGTGGGTGCCGGGGACCCAGATGGAGGTATCAAGCGGTGGACCGGTAGTGTGGGCGTCAGTATCGCGTACTCCACTTGAAGACCTTGTCTCGCAGCTGCGACTGGCTATGATGGTGGATGGCTTGACGTTCCATCTTTTGTTGTACAAAATCCTTATCCTTGATTTGATGCATAGCGTGGATGCCACAGACGTGGCCATGGAGAAAAGAGGGTGAAATGAAGGGAAATGAATTGCTTGATTTTCAGCGTTGGCGTTGGGGTGCTGTATTTTGTACTACTGTATATGTGATCGTACTCCATACATTATGTCTCATGGCATGATGCAGACCTCTGTTTTCGGTCTTATGTTCTATACACGAAAGGGCCTCGACCTCGCAGGGAGCTCACTATCCAAGGAGATAATCCATGCCCACTTTTGCCAATCAGCATCTAACTATCTCTCATTTTCGCCCACACCAAAGTGATGGGCCGTCTTTCATCAGGGGAATCAAATATGCAAATCCAGCCAACCAACAACCCGCCTCCCCCAATCTCTACCACTCTCCCAAATACGTAAATATGCATGAGCCTCGGCCCACATGTCATCTATCATTTTTCCAAACGAGCTTTCTCTCTTTATTCCCCCATGTCTATGCCTCAGTTATTCTTTTTCAAAGCATCCAAAAACTTCTGCGGGGGCTTCTGCCTGTAGCCGTCGGGGTTATTCTCGGTCCAGCGCCAGAGATCCTCACACGCGTCCTCCAGGGTACGCAGGGTCTTCCAGCCCAGCTCTCTGTTGGCTCTGGTGGGGTTGCTCGTCAGATCAAGGACGTCCCCAGCTCTGCGGCCGACAACCTCGTAGGGCAGATCCCGGCCGACGGCTTTGCTGAAGGCCTTGACCATCTCGAAGACGGTGGAGCCACGGCCTGTACCGAGATTCCAGGCGCGCACGCCGGGGTTGTTGGTGCGCAGGTAGTCGAGGGCCTTGAGGTGGCCCTGGGCGAGGTCCAGGATGTGGATGTAGTCGCGGATGGCGGTGCCGTCGTGGGAGGCGTAGTCGTCGCCGAAGACGAGCAGCTTCTCGCGCTTGCCGGTGGCGACCTGGGCCAGCAGCGGGAGAAGGTTGTATGGCACGCCTGACGGGTCTTCGCCCATGATGCCGCTCGGGTGCGACCCGGCTGGGTTGAAGTATCTGAGCAAGCCGGCGTTCCATTTCTTGACGGCTGCAGTGTCGCCGGCTTTCTGTGCTTTGGCGCGCTCGGCGGCAATGTGGTCGGTGATCATGAGCTCGGAGGTGAACTTGGTGTTTCCGTAGGGATTGGTGGGGCCCAGGGGGCACTCTTCGGGGATGGGGATCATGCCAGGGACGCGGGTGGCGTCGCCGTAGACGGTGGCGGAGGAGGAGTAGACGATGTTGGTGACGTTGTGGCGGGCGGCGGAGCGCAGGAGGGTGAGGGTGCCGTATACATTGACGCGGTAGTAGTCGAGGGGAATTTCACCGGATTCGCCTACGGCCTTGAGGGCGGCGAAGTGGATGACGCTGTCGATGTCGGGGTGTTTTTCGAAGACCTCGTCCAGCGCCTGTTCCTCGGTGATGTCCAGGCAGTAGTAGTGAGGTCGTTTACCGCAGATGAGCTCAATACGGTTGAGGACTTCTGGCGAGGAATTGTAGAGGTTGTCGACTATGACAACCGAGTAGTTGGCTTCGAGGAGGGCGAGGGCTGTGAAGGAGCCAATGTAGCCCGTGCCACTGGAGGGGAGATTAGTGGACAATCAGACAAAGATGTGCAGGAGAGTGAGTACCCGGTGATGAGACAGGAGCCGGCCGACATGGTTCGCAATCTATGGGACTGTGGCTATCCGAGACCTGCAGTTGCAGCTGGGAAGAAACGTGGGATGGTTGGCGGGGTAGAAGAGAAGCACAAAAAAAGAGGGATCGCAGGTAAAGTGGTCAATGGATATAGAAATTGTTGGTGTTGCGGTGTCGGGGGCAGATGCTTCGGTCTGGCCACAAGCACAAGGTAGCATCAACTAGAGATCCCTCTCATCCCCTATGCTTCCCTTGAGATGTTTTCGACAGCTCTATGCTGTTGCTCGTGTTCTGCCCGTCAATCAACAAAGCTTAGCGGCGGAGAACGAAGCAGGGATTTCCTTGGGATCCCTGCATCTGCCTGCATCTGATTTTCCCCACCACCGAACGAACCATCTCCATCATACCACAACTTTTTTATTCTGCTGGCCCACCAAGGTAAATCTCTCTTTACTCCGATAGCCGAATTGTTGCGGAATACCACCCGTTCAGGTAATACCAAGTCTGTTCCTATTGCAGACTTCTTGGTTCGATGGCGTGACAAACACGCCATTCGCACAATCCATCCTGCACGAAACAATAACCATGTCGAAATCTTCATCATCGGCCAAAAGACAAAAGACTGCAAGTTCCTCCCGCGATGATCCTCGAATCACCGATCCTAGATTTGCAAACATCCAATCGGACCCCAGATTCCGCCTACCTGGAAGGAAAAATAAAGTCAAACTAGACAAACGGTTCAGTCGAGTCCTTGAAGATGAAGATTTCACCAAGAGGGCCAAAGTCGATCGTTATGGCCGACGCCTCGAGAATAATGTGGAGAGAACCCGCCTGAAGAGAAAATATGAGTTCGACGAAGATGACGAGCAGGAAAAAGTTGTCAGCGGCAACACCTCAGACGAGGACGAGCCAGATGACGACGATGAAGTCCAACGAGAATTACAGAGGGTCGACAACTCTCGTGACCTGCTCAGACAAGGCCACGACTCAGACGCTTCTTCCCTAACCTCATCAGATGAATCCTCCTCGAGTGACGACGACGACGAAGATGATGAAGGGGCTGCAGACCAGAATAAGCTCACAATCGGCCCAACGAGCCAAAGCGACATCCCCATGGGAGAAGTCACCTCTCGCATCGCAGTCGTCAATCTAGACTGGGACAATATCCGTGCCGCCGACATCATGGCTGTCATCAACAGTTTCCTACCTGCCAACGGCTCGCTGCTGAAAGTGTCCATCTACCCCAGCGAGTTCGGCAAAGAACGTCTGGAACGTGAAGAGATGGAAGGCCCGCCTAAAGAGATCTTTGCCGCTAAAGCCAACGAAACACATGACAATTCAGATGACGATAGCACCGATGAAGAAGATGGCTCCGATGAAGAATCTAAGATCAAAGAGACCTTACTGGCCCCAGACACGGGCGACGAATTTGACTCGGCTGCACTGCGCCGCTACCAACTTGACCGTCTACGATACTATTACTGTGTCCTGACCTTCTCCTCTCCGACCGTAGCCGAGCATGTCTATTCCGCAGTAGATGGCACCGAGTACCTGACTACCGCAAATTTCTTCGACCTACGCTTCGTGCCCGACGATACTGATTTCTCCTCAGACATCCCCAAGGAAGAATGCACAAACATTCCAGACGACTACCGACCCAACGACTTTGTCACCGACGCACTACAACACAGTAAAGTCAGATTGACGTGGGATGCAGACGATGGGGGCCGAAAGGAGACTATTGCAAGAGCATTCAAAGGTGGCAGAAAAGAAATCGACGAGAATGACTTGAAAGCCTACCTCGCGTCCGACTCATCCAGTGATGAAGAAGATGGGGGAGCAGATGGCCCCCAAGCCACTAAGAAAGAAATCGAACGACAAAAGATGCGGGCTGCCCTCGGTCTCGCGCCTGAGCCCGTCAAGAAATCCTCTTCCAAAGGCGACAAGAAAGAGAAAGCACCTGTGGGAGGGATGCAGATCACATTCACATCCGGATTCTCGGCACCAACGGAAGACAACGAGGAAGACGGCTCCAAGAAGCAGCGGAGGAACAAGGGTGTATTCGAAAACTCGCCCGAACCTGACGAAACAACGGTCGAGAAATATGTGCGTAAAGAACGCGAGAGGAAACAGCGCCGGAAAGACAAGGCGAAATCCAACAATCAGAGCGACGCTGTAGCTGTAGACGACCCCACCGAAGGAACCATCGATGAAAGCCATAATAGAGAACAAGACGACCTAGGCTTCGACGACCCATTCTTCGCTTCCGCCGCGGCCGCCGAACCCTCTGCACAAGAAGAGAAAGCCGCAAGCAACCGCCTGCGCAAGGAAGAGCGCCTGAAGAAGAAGAAGGAGCGCGAAGCCGAGGAAGAAGCCGAGAAGAAACAACGCGCAGAACTGGAATTACTCATGGTTGACGACGACGCCACGGCAGACCCCAACGCGAACGGCAAACCCGGCCGGATTATCCAGCACTTCGACATGAAAGAGATCGAGCGGGCGGAGAAGCTGGCTCGAAAGAAAGGCAAGGCGAAGACGCTGAAACAGAAGGGTCAGAACCAGATCAAGGCGGGCGACGAAGCGGTAGACGACGCATTCAGAGTCGACACGTCCGACCCGCGATTCGCGCGCCTCTTCGACAGCCACGAGTACGCGATCGACCCGACGAATCCGCGCTTCAAGGCCACCAAGGGCATGCGCGAGGTCCTGGACGAGGGGCGGCGGCGGAGGGATACGAAGCAGGCGCAACCGCCCGGCGCCGAGGACATCTCCCATCCCGCGAGAGATGGCGATGGGAAGAGCAAGAAGCACAAAGACAAGAACGTCAAGTCCCCCAAGTCGAGAGGAAGTGATGAAGGAGGCGCCGATGTTCGGAGCCTAGTTGCGAAGATCAAGATGCGGAATCAGAAGTAGAGCAAGGTAGGTAATCAGGTAGCAACATTAATCAAGAACCAAGTCAACAAACGATGTAATTACTATCGATACTACATGCCCGGGCTGAGAACACCCACTCACCGGACAATTAGTGCTGGCTGATTAATAGTTGCTAATGAATGGTGGTTAGCTGGCCAGCCATCTCATCAACTCTCTACACGCAAGCTAGTTATTGAGAATATGGAATTCTGAATCCTCATGCCTGGCTCTCGACTTCACTTCAACTGGCGTGGCGTACATGAAATACACGAGGCAATCAACAGGCTGGCAGGGAAAGAGAACGGAATGTGTATTGACTGAACTGTGTGTGTTGCGTGTGTGCTGTGGGACCTGCCTCTGCACGCTTGCATGCGTGCGTGCTTGGGTCGCTAAACTCGCTCAACTCAACGGGTACAGGATGTGCCTGACCACACATACAAACATACAAAAGTACGGTAGCTCAGCTACCGAACTGCCCTGCTCTCGGACCCAGACGAAGGACGTCTGGGTGATCTGCTGGTTCGCACAGCTCGTCTAAGTAGGTCTGAGACCTGGAAATCCTCGGGCAAAACAATCCACCGGTTTATCTCAATCGACTGCTCTGCTCGTCGACAGGCATACTCGCTTCGGCTGAATGGGCCTGCGCTGGAGCCGACCCGGAAATAATCCGCTGTTTTGTGAAATTAAAGGTCGTCAAGGGGGATTGCATTGGGATGGCTCCGGTGTTCGATTCATCCACAAAGCTTGCCCACTCCCTTCCAGCTACATGTGCTCACAAATTTCATTCCCCAAACCTGCCCAATGCCTACCACAGTAGGTGAGCCTTTGACGTCAAACTCATGCATCGGCATTCATGAGTGACTCTCAATTGTGGAAGTCGGGCCAGGTCACTTCGGAGGACAGACATCATCTGTACCCTGGCATTCCTCCGTTTGCACCACCTCCTCTCAATCCGACACCTCTCCCACCCATATCCCCATACATTTCCATGAACCCACCTCTGACACCTTGAGGTGGTTCTCCCTGAAATCTTGCCGGGTAGTTCGCTCCAGGCGCACCAGGAAATCCAGGCGGTGGTCCTGCGTTCATGAAACCAGGTGGCGGACCCATCCCTGGCGGGAAGTTCGGTATTCCTGCAGCGGATGCTGACTCGCCTGTGTACTTACGTTGCGGAAGCGGACGTTGTGGTTGCTGTTGTGGTGGGATATTTGGTTGATTTGGCAATGGTTGTGGTTGCCCATAAGGCGCTCCTGGCATGCCACGTGGCATGTTAGCCAGTCCAGGAGGGAGTGGTGGTTGACGCGGGGGCTGTTGTTGCGGCTGAGGTTGAGATTGAGGTTGCTGGGGTGGCCAACTGGGATTTGGACGAGGCATTTGGTCTAGTCCAGGAGGTCTTTGAAGACCTGGAGGAACACTTTGTGGTTGACCGGACTGCATCATTCGTTGTTGCCCTTGGGTTTGACTACGTAAAAGCGCCATCAATGGATCCTCGTTATAGGAAAGTTGTGAACCGTTGGTAGGTCGTCTTGGAAGGTGTTCACGTGGTCCCTGTTCATTGTGGTACATTGGCACAGGAAGTTCGTCAAACATTGATCGACCCGTGTCCCGTCTTTGATTCATCCCGGGATCTGGAGCCTGACCTAGGGGAATACCTTGACTTCTAGGTAGCGCTTGCCTGGGGTTTGGATCTGGTACACCATACATGTGACTGGCAGACCTTAGTTCCGCGTGCTGATGCATTGGAGGGGGTTGTGGCTTGGGAGCAAGATTTGCCTGTCGGAGGAGATTCAACAAGACTTCGTCCTTGTTGATGCTAGACTGCTGGCGGGTATGAGAAGGTTGCTCGACTGGAGATTTTGTGTCTGGATATCTCTCCAGAGGAGGCGCTGCGGGACCCGTCATGCCCTCCGGAGGATAACCAGCATTTTGATTACCCAAAAATGACAGTAGGTTAGAAGAAGAGTGAGGTCTGGGCTCGCCTTCCATTTTGGCTTGAGAGTCTCTGGCATATAATGGAGTTCTGGGTTTCGGCTGTTCCTGGGTTTGAGTTTGGGTCTGAGGTGTGGGATTGTTGCTTCGTGTTTGTAACATCTCGAGGATTCGAGCAAATCCCGCTTGATCGGCATCCATACTATTGCCAGGCATCTGCGCAGATGATGGTCTTTCGGTTGCTACAGGAGCAGTGTTTTCAAATGGTTTGCCCTGCTCAGCCGCGGGACTGAACAAGGATGCGAAACGAGTCTTGGTTCCTGCCTTACTAGGACCAGGCTTCTGGCTGACAGTTTTCTGTTCGTAACGCGCGAAGAATTTGTCCATGGAGTCATCGGGCTCCAGCGATGGGAGCTTCTGTGTAGCCTTCTCTTCAACTATACCGCCGGGTGAGTCGGTGATCGTGGTCTCTGGTTGCTCTTGTGGGGTTCCACCAGCCTTCATTTTCTCCTTCCAACGTTGAAAGTCTTCTTGGGTGTGGGCTTGGAACGGTTCCTCAGGTTCTGTCGAGTCCATCCACTCAGGATCGGCTTCAAGTTTGGTCGATCGATCCCAGTCACGATCTCTTGCTCGGGTTCGCCACTCTGGCGTCTTCTCAGAATCACGTCTGGTCTCTTCCAATGCCTCTGCAGTATCTTTTCTGAACCAAGATTGTGACATCTTTGCCCTGGAGATTGTGTCACGTCTGAACCCTGGGCGAGATTCTTCCAGCATTTGGTCTTCCTCCAAATCTTGTTGTTCATTCTTTTCCCTTCCCCATCTCAACTTGCGATCGTAATCCCGACGAGAGTCCAGACCTTGGTCATCACTCTCATGTCGATTATGTCGACCGTTGGTTTGTGTGTTTCGTCGCTCTTGTGTTCTCGACTCCGAAGTATCACCCGTTTTCGACTTATCCTCGGTGAGATCCAAGATTTTGCCCGCAGTGCGAGCATTGGAAGAAGCAAAGGAACGGCGAGGAGGACCAAGCACTATCCGGTCAGGGTCTGTGTGCAGATGTTAGCCAAGGTGTGGTTGAAGTTCATGACCTGGTAAAATGTACCAGTTGCTATTCGTCGCTGTCCTTCAAGAGTAGGTCTTTTCTGGAAGGCTTCGCTTGATAGAGCTTGGTCGTCTAATTTGGATCGGGTTGCAGGTCTTCTCGCTGCTAGCTCTTGTGCTCTATTGAGGATTAGCGACGAGGATGGACTCAGTGTATGAGGTGGCAAATTCATACCCCATCCACTCCTCCATAGGAGGGAGGTTTGGTGGCTTGCATATTAAAGGTGAAGCACGTAATTTCAACAGGTCTTCAACAGAGTATTTGCCGGACATGGTTGAGGCAATGGTGTGGTGGTTGCATTGGTATGCGATTGCTCAGTAGGTAGGTAGTACTGACGGCGAAGCTGGGCCTATCAGCGCAAGGAGGGGGTTTTGAGATCGATTCGCCCAAGAACAGGTTCGGCACGACACGTTTTGTGTCTCAAGCACCGAGATCAGTCTGGGACGTGTGCAGGCCAAATTGCCTCGCAAGTGGGAGTGGTGATGGTGGTGAAGCAAAGCCAAGTGGACAGTCGCTGTGTCACTTTGATTCAGAAGGATGCAAAAGTAGTGAAGGTGAGAGGAAGGATTTCGCAGTCAAATAGCTCGGAGATTGTGTATCAAGAACCAAACGACGTCAAATAGGTGGAATGGCGCTTTGGACGGCAAAATGAGCATGAGATCGTGTCTGTACTGCGTCCTGCGGTCTTCGGTCTGGACGGCCAGGCAAGTTTCGCATTGCATTGTCCAATTAGGTTCACAAGCCTTGCCGCTTTGCGTTGTCCCCATTAGGCAATTGTGCCCCACGAACCTGGGGAAAATCTATTTTCCATTCCACAAAGGCGATTCGACTCGGACCTTCCATAGACACTGGCAGCATGGCTGGCTCCTGCCTGCCAGGCACCCACAGACATTCAGTGTGACGCCCGAGTGGGATATGTTGCTGTATCGCCGACTTCTATCTATGTCTACCAAGAGCTCTCTCACGAGACTGGAGCCCCCTCATTGTCAGGACAAGATCATTCCATCAGTTGGCACTTGGCTGCCTTACCATTGCAACGTGTTTGTACCATCCTTCCCCTTCGCCAGGGACTCTCCCCTCTGCCTTGGCCCATTCATCCCCCTTGTCTCCTCCATCTTCAAATCTCAATATATCAACCCATACATCATGTACAGGGACGAACCCAAAACTAGAATACAACTTCAAACCTTGCGGGCTTGCTTCAAGTGTTCCTGTGAGACCTAACTCATCTATCTTTTCCACGACGTGTTGCATGAGTAGTTTTCCCGCGCCACGACGGTGATGATTGGGATCTGTTCCGACTATGTCCACATTGACGTGTGGCCCGATCTCCTTGGAAAACCTCTTCCTGGTCTCGACGATACTGTTCCAAAAATTACCAACGAGGGCGGTATTCGTGTAAGGCGGCCATGTTCGTTTACTTGCATCTTTGCGTGCCTCTACGGCCTCAACGCTTGCAAAGACATCGTACTTCAGAAATGCTATGATTTGGGTGTGGTCGACGCGATGATCGGGGCCATTCTTGTCCAAAGAAGTTGGGATCTCATCGTCAACAACAACTGTGAAATACGAAGTAGGATTAGATGTAAAGGATTCCAGGTGCCGCTGTTGATTTGCTTGGATGATCCCCGCGTGACTGGACGGCGGTCCGTAGTAAATTTTGGAGTAGAGTGAGTTGGACAACCAGGCTGCGAGATGGATTTGCGAAATGGTAGGGATCAACGCAATATCTGCAGGGTTGGTGGGTGACAGTGGCTGAACTCGCAGTGGCATGTTTTTGTCTGATGTGAAAAGGCTCTTATCTCAGGATTGAAAAATATTTTCAGAGTTTCCGCGGCTATAAAGGATGGAAGCTTCCGACATGAAGGAATTGGAGGCGACGATGATTCTGTTCACTATCATGGAAGTTAGCTGATACGTATTTTCTTGTTTGCCGGATATTTGAAATGAGTCAGCGGATGGAACTCTCCCAGAATCAAGGTGAGGCTCCCCATCATCGCTTACGTATCTGGTCCCCGGCCGACATGGCGGTCCTTTTGGAGCGCCGCCTCGATAGACAAGTCCCAAATGACGACTCCATCCTTCATGGCTACATTCCTCTTTGTCTACCACTTCCCATGATCCTCGATGAGCCTTGAAGTGACTGCGATCAGCTGGGTGACTTGTCTGCACAGATGACATAAAAGCCCTCGATTTCTCCCAGCCTGGGCCACTTGACTTCTCTTCCATATATTCCCTAGAATTTCCAATTATGCAACCGTCTCTTGATATTTCCCGTTCTCATACGGTATTAAGAAGAATCCATCAGAAACCCATCCAGATCGCCCTTTTTAACATCAGGACCAACAACCACGATGACAGAATGACTGTAAGTCCAATCCTCTAACCCCTTTTCCAGCTCTTCCCTATCTTTGGATGGTTACTAACCACTCTTCATCTATGCAGAAAATCATTATGGCGCCATAACGGGCCAACCTGGCAGTTATGGACAGAAAATCCAGCCGCCCAGAGCCCACACGTTCCTCCAGGTGGCACTTCACAGCCAGGGTCGGGACACCCCGCCGCCCAAAATGCTGCTCAAGGACAAGTACAAGGACAAGCTCCAGGGCAGGCCCAGGGCACTCCATCTCAGCCTCCTACACAAAACCTGTGCCCCGTATATGCTCGGACTGGACATTTTTGGGTCCCTGTGGGCTCTGGGTATTGAGAGCGAACCACCAATGCAGCACCACCAGAGCGCTGAAGCTAAGTAGGCGTAAGTTCGCTAGTCATGGCTGACCTGAACGAGTAACCACTCAGAAGTGCTCCTTCGAGAAAGCAACATATGAAATACGCACAACACTCCTTTGGCAACGTAGGTGTATTCGTGCACGAAGGGCCACAGCGAAATTGAGGAACCTAGACCAATGGACACATAGTATCTTTGGGGGGTTTTCTTCTTTTGGGAGCTTAGGTTCGCAGCAACAAGTCTGGTTTAGCACAGATAAAGTATTACAATATAAGATCAACTGCGTTTCTGCTCCTTCGCCTTCCACCTCAGTTGGTTCATGGACTCAGACATAGTCACGCGTGCAGGGTAGGCTTAAAAATAAGGGGTTGCAGCCTTGTTCTAGGTAATTCTATACAACCAACCATCATCCCAAAGATAACGACGCCCACCATAAATCCATATCTCAACTTATAACTAGATCCTAGGAACTTGCCTTTTCTATCTCCGGAGCTATCATCCTTAATAGTTGACAGGTTGGGTGAGCTCGTAAAGGTTTTAATCCCGCGAGTACGTGGCTTGACCCCAAGCCGTGAATCACGATTCACATATATATGCACTGCGACCACGTGTACTAGATTCCATGTCTGGAACACAAGAGGCTCATACGAAGGGAGATAGAGTGAAGTGCTGCAGAGCTGCGCCCGGGTATACGTCACGCCATTTCATCGTTGACAAAGGACGGATATCGTCTGAAAGATATGTACCGCCTTGGCCTCGCGAATGTGATAGCAAATGATGGTCCGTTTGAGGCTGTGACAAGGCAGTATCCCAGCTCAATCGATGCATCCCTGAGCCCGTGGCCAAGACGGTTCGCTTCACGTATCGCATTTCCACCAAGCATCCTTTATCAGTAATTGACATGTCCCATGCCAATCTCGGTGACCACGAATCCCGAACTAACCATGACCGATGAGTCAAGAATGGCAAATGCAAATATCGGATTGACCTCTTTGTTTCTCTCTGTCTTCGTTCCTTCTCTTTTTTCCGTTCACAGATCTTATTGTTCCCCCCTTATGAATCTCAAGCCTCATTTGTACATGACCCCTGAATCGATGAATGTAATTCGCATCGCTAGTCTGAGAAACCTAATCCTGTGAACATCCGACAAAATACTCACCAGAGATACCGTAGCACAAGCTCTCGATACTAACCACACTTGGGCCAAAGAGAGGTTGAGGAGAATATTGTCTTTCGTATCGAAGACTACAGATTGAAGTTGTTTCTCCACCTCAAGGCAACGATGTCATCGCACACATACCGTGATTTCGAATCCCTGCACTACATGCGCGACACGGCCATCACGCATAGCTTGCCCGACTCAAGCCCAAAGGCAACGACTGGCCAAGCCGTATACCCGCCCATGACCACGGCCATCGGTTTCCCAGGCTTCCAAGCGCAGCCGTCCGCACTTTCCGGCATCCTCGGCCTTGGCGCCGGCGTAAGTACAACGAACATGTACGGCGGCACGCTGATTGCGCCGTCGTTCACACACGCCCACCAGGGATGTTGTCATTGCGGCAGCGGGAACGGCAGCAGGAATGGTTCTGCGTATCCGCAAAGACAAGGACAAGGACAAGGGCAAGGGCAGATCGCCGCGCCGCCACCGACAGCGAATCAGCGACCTACATACCCAAGAGGGCCGGACGGGTATCCTATCATTCCGCCGGGCATGGAATCTGAAAGCTTGGGTTATATTAAGAGAGTTTGACTGATTGGCGGGATCCAATGACGGACCTTGCCCCTCGATTTGAGTGCGGACAGGCGGGTGCTTGGAGCTGCTTTCGACTTGGTAGGGTTGCTGTTCTGATGAGGGCATACACAGTGGGTCACTTGATTGGATGAGTGCATGTAAAGGTTTCGGCGATTGGCGTAGGTGTGCGTGGTTGCTATTGGCAGCGCCGAGGAAGTGGAGTGGTGATCTTGACGCTGACGATGAAGGAGTACCTGTAGACTTGTCTGCTATCAAACAGCGTCTGCGTATTTCAGGGTCGCAACTATGCAAATATCTTGTATCATTGACTATTTCTCTTCATGTCCCAAGGCGCTCGTCACCAAAACGGGGCTACGGCTCGGAGCAGCTCATGCCGCCAACTCGCTTCCTTTAAATTTTCATTTTCTTGAGACTCATAGATCGCTCACCCACCTACCTGTGAGCTGGTCTGAATTCTCTTCTCATGTTTGCTTCTTGTGGATAAGCTATCCTAACATCTCGACATCCAAGCCGATCGCCCTCATGAACAAATTGACGTTGCCTAGCCTAACACTGGACATTTCGGCAGGCAATGCTTTGCTTTGGAGTACTGTTTCCATGACTCGATCTTTGACTCCAATGACCAATCTCTGTTGCTGATCAGGGCTGGCGCCGATACCCACAGCTGCAAGGAATTGCCAAACATACATATCGTCTCCAGAATTGACGGGGCCGGGGAATATTGTGGCAAGTATTAGCTCCAAGTGGTCAAATAGTCGGTTATAGAGAGTAGTCCACTGCTGCCAATCTGCATCAGAGACTGACCCACTCTCTTTGACCAGCTCTGCTCGACTTAATAGCATGGTTAACATTCCAAGACCAATCTTGGTGTGGAAAACAGTGACAAGATTCGTATGGTCGATCAGGAGCCCAAGTAAACCAATGACAATGTTGATTGGTGCCTCGCTTACATATCCCAATAAGCAGGGCATTACAGCATGCGAAAAGAGTTCAATTTCCTCGCGAACGTGTGGAGGTGGTTGCGATTCTCCTGAGGCAAGTTGTGCCTCTCTGATTACATCCAGTTGGTCGAGGTGAATCACAATCATGGTCAGGATCGTCAACCGCTGCTCTTGGCCGATTTGGTGGAAGACACGAGGGATTGCCTTTTTACCCTTGGAAAATGACAAAAATGCGATGAAAGGATGAACAACTGTGGAGCCTGGTACAATTGGATCTAGCACCTTCAAGCCTTGCCACAAGGCAGTGTTGAGCTCCTGTAGCTTTTGTCTCCAATCAATATGAGCCTGTACCGAATCTGCATCACCTTCCGTGGGAGGGGGTGGCATGCGTCGTTCATTGTCTTCCAGACGCATCAAGGTCGTGTAGACTTGTTCAATGTTCTTGAGGATGGTTTTGCGATCACTCGGGTTCACGTTGTTTACATTGCCAGTTGCCGGTCGGCTGTCAGAGCTTTCTTGTCTCTTGATGTTCAAAAGTGGCTTGGGGGTCTTTGCATTGCTAAATGAAATCTTGCCCAAACTTCCCTCGATGATGAGCTGCTTATTTTTGGGCTTCAATTTAGCAGCTTCCACTGCACGTTGAACTTGTTGTTGCATCCTTTGCATGTGGTTATCACCATTGACATTTTGTCGTCTTCCACCCGTACGGCTTCCGGTTTGGAACAAGTAGGTCTGCGCAAAATGTCCCAGAGGTTGAGTTGGGTGTTGCCTTGGAGCACCTCGAATCTGGCTGTAAACTTGGTAGTAAAAGTCCTCGTTCAGGGCAGTTTCACTAGTTGAATCAGTCGAAGCACCGGTTGCCGTAACAAGCTGTTGTAGTTGTATACGAGTAATGAAATTCTTGTCTTGTGGAGTCATTAGTCCGTTTCCTTTTGAAAGAAGGAAGATTTTATGGTTTCGCTTCGCCCTTTTCGCATCCTCTTCCAAATAAGCTTTGCGTTGATCTTCCGACAACTCCATGAGGTTTGGAGGGTTGGATGCAGCAGGTGCACCTGCGGGCTGGCTAGCATTTTGGTTTCTGTCGAGACTTGGCTGTGGAGAATGTCGAGGTCGATTGGGATTTTGAAGTATTTGAAGAGGGTGCTGCCCTCCACGAGGCTGTGACGGTTGAGATGGAGCGCGATTGTGTCGTTGTGGACTTTGAGAGGCGCGTGGCTGTTGCGGAGGTGGAGGTTGCTGGAATGAAGGTGCGGGCTGTGGTGGTACCGGCTGATATTGAGGTTGTGGTGGCGGTTGAGCATGTTGCATTGGAAAGGGGTAGGGTTGACGTAGTGGATATGGAGGCTGTTGAGCTCGTGACTGGGCAAGCATAGCTGCCTCTACCTCATCCAGACTCAGCATTGGTTGTGGGGCACGAGGAGCATCCTGGATGCGGGGAGCAGGTGTATCATTTGGACGAGCAGTACTGATCCTGGCCTCGTCGGTGTAAGATTGGGTTGTTTGATGGGATTTTGATCCCCAGGCGCCTGACTTTGCCTGAATGTCGGGGATATAGCCAGGATCTTGATACTTCTCATACCCCGACCTCTTTGGCTTCTGAGTGAGATGAGTTGGAGCATTCTGGTGATGTTGGAGGTTGTACCGCAGATGCTCTTCATCTATGGCACCGGCGACTTGGGCGGTGTTTCCGAAGAAATCGAACTCTTTGCCTGAAGCACCCGGGCCAGTGGTGGGGTCGGCGCCTCCACCAAAAGTGTCATCATTCTGATCATCGCCTGTTTCCTGGAGCTGATTTCCCAGCCCATCGTAGGTATCCTCGAAATCAAGACTGCACATATTTTGATTAGTTAGGGTCTCCAAGCATCTAATTCGACATACATCTCTTCTTCAGTATCCTGGAAAGCTTGCAATTTTCGAGCCTTTGCGACCTCAGTGAAAGGATTGGCATGGTCGAAAATACCCTTGTTGTTGCCGGTTGAACGGTCCCTAGGTAGGGAGGTGTCAAAGCCGAAAAAGGACATGGTGAATGTAGAGAAAGAAAGCGGAGGAAAGCAGAATGCCCGATAAATACTTTGTAAGGCAGATCGATCAAGGAAGTAAGTGGTTATTCCCAACCGATAGGTTGTCCAAGATCGAGAGCGAGGACGACGGGTTGCATGATCCCACAGGTTAGAATGACGAGTTGTAAGGTCTGGCAGGGGACTAGTGAGTCCCTCCGGGGAGATAGTCTGGCTATGAGGCGAAGGTCAATCAAGAGAATGGATGAAATGAAATTGTCGAGGTTGCAAGGTGCACACTTTGATACCGCAATATGCGAAGCGATGAAGTCACGTTTCTCGGTTTTGTGTGCGGCGTGGAAAATGATTCAAATGACTCGTCAGTCAACGCCCTCGAGACGCGCTAGACTCGCGTCTGTCGCTAGCCGCGGATGTGTCGGACCATCGGCTGGGGCAACATCAGCCGCTCTGCCGCTCTGCCGCTTAACCACGAGGGGTCCCAGGCAAGCTTAGGGCACTGTGTTTCTCGTTCCACGCCCTCCAGGCGTCAGCTTAGGGATTGAAGGGCCAGCACGGGCACTCTTTTCCAGGCTTCAACACCCGGTGCTTGGTTCCATCTCCTCTCCACGTTTTGGCCCCGCCGGTGGCCCCCTTCTGAGATGCAGGCGGTGGCTGAGGCCAGTAAGTCCTCCGTTGGTTTGCGCCGATGCCATGCCATCTTGTGTATCCACATCCAAACCTGAATTCCCCCCATTCCCCAATTCAGGGGGTCCAAAATAAGGGAGGGAAATAAAAATAAGGCATGCCGTGCCTTTCCCTGCGAAGTCAAAAATCTTGGTCGTACCAGCAGTCGTAAGTCGTGACCACGCTGTGTTCGGTTGGTGCCATGCCTGCGCCCGCTTGCGCGTCGCCCTCCTTTTCGATTAATTATTGCGTAGTCAGGAGCCAAACTGCGTATCCTCCGTACTTGTATCTCTACCCTGCATCCTGGTTTCATCTTCGCCTTTCTTCATTATTCCCATTCTTTATCTCTTTCTTAATGACCCAGTGCGACTCTGGGCTCGAGTCTGTCATCCCTTTTTGGCCGTAAAAGCGTTCGTGTTCGGCCGCTCTTTGTCACGAGCACCCCGTTTCCTGATCTCAAATCTCCAACGCTATCTGCCTCGTCAGCTTGTGAATGGCAGACACGACCTTGTCAATCCTATAACTGCGCTTTCTTATACAGATCTCCTCATCGGAGACTCTATCACGATCCTTTCTCAAGTGACCTGCGCTAAAGGTCGTGGAGACCAGCTGATTCCATCATGGCGACCGGTTCTGGACGTTACCTTCGTTATATCCTCTTTGCCTTCTTTGTAAGTCTCAATATCTGGGGGGAAAGACTGAGGGTTCTCGATTAACAGGCAAAGGGAATACTCATACTCTACTTCATATCTACATCCTCATTGCCTTCCTACACACCATCCATAGCCGATGCAGCGGGCAAACTCTCCTGGGAAGACACAAAGGTCCCAACGACACCACCACCACCTGAGAAGCCAGCTTCGAATCCCAATGAAATTTCCGATGCCTTCTCCTCGAAACCTCAGAATCCACAAGCGGGTACCTCTCCGCTACCGAGCATCACTCCTGTGGCCCCCATAGAACTTTCGCCTGCTGCGCCTGGGGAACGGGTCAATGCCACTTTCATTACGCTGGCAAGAAACTCTGATGTTTGGGAAATCGCTCGTTCCATCAGACAAGTTGAAGACAGATTTAACAGGAACTACAACTACGATTGGGTTTTCTTGAATGATAAGCCATTCGATGAGCAATTCATGAAGATCACAACTTCTCTCGTCTCAGGCAAAACCCACTATGGGCAGATTCCCGTCGAACACTGGTCATTCCCGTCATGGATCGATCAGAAGAAAGCCGAAGCCGTTCGTGAAGACATGCGCAGGCGGAAGATCATCTATGGTGACTCGGTCAGTTACCGACACATGTGCCGCTTCGAGTCAGGCTTCTTCTTCCGACATCCGCTTCTGCAACAATTCGAATACTACTGGCGAGTAGAGCCAAGCGTGGAACTTTTCTGCGATGTTCATTATGACCCTTTCAAATATATGAAGGACAACAAGAAAAAGTACAGCTTCGTCCTCAGCTTATACGAATATGTCGAGACCATTCCCACCCTTTGGGAAAGCACTAAGAAATTCATGAAGGCCCACCCCGAGCATATCCATCCTGATAACTCAATGGCTTTTTTGAGCGATGATGGAGGCGACACGTACAACAAGTGCCATTTCGTGAGTCATTACCCCCACTGTTCATTTCTGAAGGCTAATGTTTTCTAGTGGTCCAACTTTGAAATCGGAAATCTGGACTGGCTTCGATCACAGGCTTATCTCGACTTTTTCGAATCTTTGGATAAAGATGGCGGTTTCTTCTATGAACGTTGGGGTGATGCTCCCGTTCACTCTATTGCCGCGAGTCTCCTCCTCCCTAAGGACGACATCCACTTTTTCAACGATATTGCCTACTATCACGTTCCCTTCACACATTGTCCCACTGGTGAAGATCTTCGACTGAAACTTCGATGCCACTGTGATCCAACGGCCAATTTTGATTGGAAAGGCTACAGTTGTACTTCAAGATTCTTCGATCTCAACAAACTATCCAAACCGGAGGGCTGGGAGGGCCAAGCATGACTAGCCGGAAATTCCGACAAAGTCCTAAAAAGATTCGGGGTCGAGTTGGATTGGGAGATTTTGAAGTACTCGGCCATCTCATTCAGTGTTTCGCTGACCACACTGTTGACTCTCCTACGAATTCCCAAGACCAGACGTAAGATCCTCAGCTGGGCCGAAAGGCTGGCCGAGTGGCATGAACGAGGAACCGCAAGCGACGAAACGCACGAGTGACAGCACAAATAGCATGTTCGACTTGTTCGGCCCAGTACTGCTGCATCTATGCTCAAATCAAATCTATCGTCTGATCTGCTCATGAGCAACCGCGTCAGAACCTGATATCACATGACATCGCTTGGGGAGTTTTACCCGAGCGAAATCCCGGCGGTGCATAACCTTTTAATTTCAATGATTAAATACTACAACCTTTGCACAGCTAGAAGCATTGTCACAGAGTTTATTGGGCGGTTGTAACAGGCGCAAGATGGCAAAACGTTGGCTTTCCTTGGAGTTCGCCTTCTCAGACATCCGAACTCCCTATGTGATCCGAACCGTTGTACAAAAAATGAAAAATCAACTTGCATGTCTACATAGGTAGCTCGATCATGAGCATTGGAAAATACCACTTACGGCCGATGGATCTACTCCTCTCTCCATCTCACTCTGTGGGTTCTCGTACCTAGCATCATTCCTCACACCCTCCCTACACCTACCCCTCAGTTCAGACTTTTATTTCAGCCACTCGTAAACCTCTGAGCCTCAGAAGACCCTGCCACTACCGTGCTGCCTTAATCGATTAAACGCTGCGACACAGGCTACAGAGCTGCTTCTTGGGGATGACTGGGATAGATACACAAGCTAGGTATACTCGTAGATCTATCTAGCCTGAGCCATGTTCAATAATCGTTGAGACATCCAATCCGCCCACGCTCCCCGTATTTGGGACCCAAAGCATGTCTACCAATCGAGGGGTTTCCCTTCCAATCTACTACCCTGTTCCTCGTCCTCTTTGGTACGAGTAAGATCGACATTCTCGCTCCTGAACTTCCAAGCCTTGACGCCACTCTGGAACAGCACCGTCACCTCTGCATACGTGCGGCCCTTCGTCTCCGGGATGCAGAAGGCGGTAAATACCAAAGACAGGGTACACGTTCCGGCGAAGAAGAAGCCCGTCTTAGCGCCCCTGGCCCAGGCATGAAGGGCTTGATGACGTTGCTGACGATGTTGAGCAAATTGTAGGTCATGCGGGCGAGACCGACGGATTTGCTTCGCAGCGAAGAGGAGGGGATCTCGGAGACCAGCGCGTAGCGGATGAGGCCCACGGTGACGCTGTAGACGATGGTTTTTTGTTGAGCTACCACTACAAAGCAGCAGAGGAAAAAGGTCGTAAGAAACAATTCGGTTGTTGCTGAGCTGGCCATTCTTCATGGTTAACTTGTAGCCTGCTTTGGCGGTAAAGTAAGCTGGTAAGGTATCGTCGTCTCTCTTCCTTGTCCAGTGTCTCCTCAAGATTTTCGACTGCGATCACAGTTGCAGAGACTTATGGGTTGCGACCTGCCACCTGAGATTTCCCAAGTATGGCGTGAATCCAGTTGCCCTCATCCCAGGGAACAATGGAAGGGAGCTGCACCTGATTGACAAAGTGCAAATTGAGTCGTAGAGTCCATAGCCGTCGTTATATTTACCCGGGATTCCTGTTGCTGCAGAAGTAGTCTGTTACAGATGTGTCGGCTGCTAATAATGGAATTCAATGGACAGAAACTCGTAAAGACAGGCTCTGTCAAGGCATGTACAACTGAAGCATACAGATCGCTCCTCGTCGCATTTGACTTTTCTTGAACGACAAGTCAGACAACCCGTACTCTGCCTTTTCGTATGAAACCTGGTTGATACGGACGTTCCATTTGCACAGCCCAGGCCAACACATGCTGTTGCACTCCATGTCGGGGGACAGAACTGTGCGATGATTCTGATGAGAGATTGCAGACAGCATTCCGCGTGGCCAATAGTCCCAAGGTCTCTCGAGCCCTTCCTCTCCGCTAGGAAGAATTACTTACATAATAGGGACTGTCGCTTATGCAGTCCGTCCTCCACCTGACGCCAAATGTCACCTTCACTCCTTGGATTACTTGCTTTTGTTCTGCTTCATTCAGACGAGGTCGGTGGCCCCCATTACTTGCAACTCTCCAGACATCACTCGTTAGGATGGCCAAGTATGAGTGTGAGACCTGCGACAGAAGGTTCCGAATTCGAACCCTTTCCATCCAGCATATGAATGCCACAGACCATTGGACCCCAACCCTCAAGTGTGAGAACGGTTCTCATGAGTTTTGCTCAGGAAATGTTGATGGGTCGAGATTTGAAGAAGTCTCGTTCTGCCTTAGGGGCTGAGGGATTCTCCTCGGCGCGCTACCACTGAGTGTCTACCTAACGAGAAATATACATACATACATGAGAGTGACTCTCCTGCATTTCAATTATTACATACGTGAGTGTTAATACAATGTAACTTCAACCCTTCACCTCCATGCAGGCGTAATGCTGTTAGGCTCGTGCTCTGGCCTCCATGCTAGATGCCATCCGTTCCTTGGTAGCCTAGAGCAACCAGTCAGAGCGAGAATGAACGATTCATGGAGATGCCTGTGAGCGATGCGACCAGGCATTGGAGTAAAATCCACGTCGCAGAAGCTTCGCCAACATTTCGCTAATTTGAGCTCCGTGGACCGTGGAGTCTCTCCTTCATGCCGCGTCGCCATTTAGCGGCGAGCCATTATGTCTATCACCGCTTGCTTCTCCCCAATGTAACTTGCGCTGTACCCGCCCATTTCGACCAGAATATGTCTAGAAGACGACAAACTTCAGTGCAACGTTTGGCCCCTTCAATATGCCAGGGTTGGCTTGAATTCTCGATGAATTGGTGGCATGGGGTCTGGTATGTTGGAGAATACAGAGTTTGATTTGTCGGCAGTGTCGGAGCCTGGCTGATGGGAAAGAGAAAAGTATACGCTGTATGTGTTCTGGATCTCGTGCTTGGTGCATCTCTATCCTCCTCCGCATAGGTGAAAACCCAGACTCCCGTACAGACCTGACGCGCTTAGGCGGTCTTTGGTTTCTTCGTGCCATACTTCGAACGGCTTGTTGCACGATTGTGGACACCGGCCTACGCAGGAAAACACGGAAGTTGGTTAGCTTTCATGTTCTTTGGGAGCTTTCGACTAGCACGTCTGTTCCTTGCGGCATCAATCACCCAGGTGGTGGATAATTGCCAAATGCCAAGTGGCAAAGCAGAACAAGTGAAGAAAGAGAACTGACCAAATCCAAATGCCCCCTCACAACATGATAACCGACACCAGGACAATCCTGAGCTCTTCCACCACGCACTAGCACAACACTATGCTGCTGCACATTATGGCCCTCGCCAGGGATATAAGCGCTGATAATCTTGCCAGAGGTCAGTCTGACCTTTGCGGTTTTGCGCTGTCCGGAATTTGGCTTCTTGGGCTTCGTGATGCCTACTTTCAGGCACACTCCTTTCATCTCTGGACGGTTTCGCAGCGCAGGCGAGTCCTGTCGGCGTGCCTTCTTGGGTTTGCGGCCGTGGCATCTTACTTGGTTCAATGTTGTGGAGAGAGTGGGCGTGGTCGTGAATGTGCGTTTGGATGGGCTCGGTGCGAGGAAGAGGACGTTGGGTTTGCGGGCGAGGGAGCTGGCTTTGAATAATGGCAGGGCTGATGTTGTTTTGCTGCTGCTGCTGCTTGCTGGTGTGTATGGGCGCGCGAGGGTACGTAGCGCATGGAGCGCGAAGCGAGAGGGGACGAGCTGCATCCTCTCCGAATGTCGATGGGTAGATAGGTGGTTTTGTCATCGGGTGAGTTGCATTGAAGCGAAGCTCCGAAAAGTTGAACGACGTGCAAGAAGCCTGCCAAGAAAGAGCTCCGGCGTTGTGCTCCACCGTAATTGCAGCCTTCTCGAGCCTTATCGCATCTACTCGTCAGGATAGGCGGAGTTAAGATGACAAGCTGACCATCTGATATACGATTCTATGGGATGTATATTTTCGATGAAACAACCAAGCAAGGTCAAGGCCTCTAAAGCATATGGAAAACTTCTTTTTGAAGAAATTAGAGCTGTGGCCATTCCTCAGTCACTGTACGGCAATGCTACCCAGGAGTCTATAACTTTAGGTTGACTTTCGAGTCGCCCGCGGCACCACAATCACAGCCTAGTATCATGACGCAAATCCTTGTAAAACCAAATCTCATCCAAAAGCCTTCCATCCTTAGGCGAGAAGCCATACTCACGGACATAGGCTATCTGCTTATATCCAAGCCGAGGGTAAACATGCTCGGCATCTGTACCGACAGTAGTGTCTAGAAGTAGGCTCCATCTCCCGAGGTCCCAGGCAACTTCTTCCAACTTCTTCATCATCGCCCTGGCAATACCCTTTCTGCGGTGGAAGGGGGATGTAAAGAGTTTTTGTACCACACCTCGAAAGGGTCCGGTCTGACTAAAGGGTGTTGAGAGCGCGACCAGGCCGGAGACCTCTAGCTCTGATGTGCCAGGGGTGGTTGCTGTTGCTGGGATGATCGGCCAGGGCTTACCTCCCTCGGAGAAAGGAATTTTGATTTCCTTGTCTGCGTCAGACCGAGATGTTCTACTACTCACCTCAGAGAGTGAGACAATGATCTGCAGCTCGCCTGAGGTGACTTCAGCAACGCGTGACTCCCACCATTTGTATATTTCGGGGTAATTGAGCGGCGGCATGAAGGTTGCCATGGTGTTGTCGTTGACTATACAAGCTGCATGTACTTGGACGAGGCCGTCGATGATTATTGGGAGACAGGGTGTCTCTGCCGTGGCCAGCATAACGCCGGGGGAGAGAGCCATCATTCTTGCGTTGGGATTTGAGGATGAGAATCGAATGTCTTTAAGTTTGCCCTTGTGTCAATGTGTGGCTTCAGGGAGGACCAAGTCGCCTCCTGATAACGATGCCGATGCTCTGCAATTGATTACCATTCCACGATAACAAGCCGCAGAATTAGGAAGGCACAATGTCATCAAGGAAAGGCAAGTTTGGTTTTTGAGACTATGTGGCTGAGTTCCAACACGTGTAAACAAACTGCACCATAGGGAAAATAAATACCTTTTCAGTGTTCTCACTCGTCTCGGAGATCCTCCAACAGGACTAAGTGAATCAGCCGACTAGATCCTACGCCCTTTGAGCAAGGTCCTAGATTGGACAGTCGGAGATAGAGGGCAGTAACATCTGGCAATGTGCCCGATGTTCAATGACATGCAATTTGTAACTTGGCAAGCGCTTGAACATACGGGATACACTAGACACTAAGAGTGCCGCGTCCTGGACGGCCAATGAGCGTCCATTCAGGTCGACACATAGCGGGGCACGTTCCAGGCAACCGTGCATTAGCGCGAATCAGCACTGTCCAGATTTGGATAGTTCAATGAAGCAATGAATCAACCATCCTGATGTTAACGTGGGCCCAAGGATATTCGTAACGCTCTCGTGATATCCTTGATATCCTCCAATACATCTTTTGCTTTCTTTCACCTGCTTGACCGCTACCTTTCTTTGAGCAGTAGACAGTTTTGACACTTGGTACTCTTCCATTTCTTTCTCCTTCACCTCTTGAACGAACTTGAACGAGTTAAGAATTCCTTACAATCCTTCTGCTGGAAAGGTGGACGTCTACTGCGAATCGACATCGGTATCCTTTGACAACTTGGGTAGTATCAGACGAAGAGCTTATCGCTCATCTTCCCCTCGTGACTGTGCTACTCGCCGCCACGGATTCAGAGTCAGCTAACGTACAGCTTGGACCCTAACTGGCTCGGTGGCTGGATCAGGCCCAAAATGCTGCGTCATAAGGAGGCCAGTGGCCTCATTGATCGGCAATGTGAAGCCGTTGCGTCTTTCAAAGTCCTCAAATTCCTTGGTGCCCCGACGCTGATAGATGCTGTCGACTGCACTCTCGTCTAGACCCTTGGCCTTGGCGGCCGCAATCATGCGATTTAACTCCCCCTCCGCTTTTGCGCGCTTGAATCCAGCGTTACGGGGGTACCAGAATTTCCGTTCACGCACGGCTTTCCATTCTGGAAGGGAGTCACGACCGAGATTACGTAGGATGACTTGCTCAAGAAGACTCTGAGAAAAAAGTGTTGTCAGCGAAGTTTCAGGTGAGAGGTAGAGCAAGCTCACATAGTGGCCATCCGTTCGATTGAAGTCGTGCGGGCTGCGAAGCGCGACGTGTGGATTGGTGATGACACGTGCATAACGCAGATAGTTAGGGCTGGCGGCGTGTGGCAGTAAACCATGGAGGAGGAGAACATCGCCTTTCTTGGCCGTGACCGTGGTGAACGTTTTACAGTCTTTGACATGGCTGCTGAGTCTGTCCGTGACGGGGGGGTCGAAGCCTTCGGGATGGTCATAAAGAAACTTCACGAGTCCTACGCTTGTCAAGGGCTGATGGAGCCATTACGACAGGCTCATGCTTACCTTCAATACCATCCTCACACAGCATAGTCCCGCCTCCGCGTTCCGGGATATCAGTGAAGCAGTGAATAATGGTTATTGCACAACCTGTCGAGTCGAGAAACATGCGGTACCAGTCATCGTCGGTATGCCAGCCTTTGAGATTTTGAGGCTCTAGAGGTGTTTCTTTCTTGGTGACCCATTCATCGGTACCAAAGTTGACGATGAAGGCGTCCCCATAGAAGCGCTCCCGAATGGGGTCAATTCTGTCCTCCCCGCCACAGATCTCGATGGTTTTATTCCAGGCCTCGGGGGCGAATTCTTCTGCGGGGACCTCGCGATGTCGTGGGAGGTGATGGTACTGAGTATGCCAGGTGGACTTGTCATTGGGGTCGTAATCAACTCGAGACCAGAAGTCCTCCATCCATTTGTCGATGTACTTTGGCTTGATGGCTTGAGGAACTCGGAGCCATCCTTTGGTCAAAAAGTGATCAACGTCTTCGGGAGTGAGATGCTTGTAGCTTTGGTTGCCTTGATGGCTGTTTGATGCCATTGAATCAGTCGTGGTGGTTGCCCGGGGCAACGTTTAAGGGGTGAGTCTGTAACGGACTGGTGAACAGAAATCGTAGTACAAGCTTCAGGCTTCGCTGGGTGTCAGTGAGCTGTGGTCGTAGCAAGGAGCTTTTCTGAATCAAGACATTCTGAATACCCTCCACTTTCAACTCCCCAATGTTCCAGACATATAATACTCCCCTCACGGGATTGCCATTGAGGGGTCTCGGAATACGGCACGTCTTTCCCTCTCTGGTCTACGATAATTCGCCCAAAGGATATCTCAGATGGACTACCCGACCAAACAGGATTCAAAATGGAGGAGATAAAATTACTCATTCAGGCTAATTTCAGTGATAATCCAGGTTGTCGGTCTGCTCGACGCCGGTGGCTTTTCCTAGTGGTCAAGAGATTTATACCTACGATTTAAGTGTGATGTGTCCGAGGGAAGTGGCTAGGAACCTAGTACATTCGTGGTCACAGTTCTAAGGATTTACGGTATCAGTACCAAGTCTAGAGAAGCGATGTAAATTCAGCGTTACTAAAGTACTAGGCCGCTCCGGCTAAAATATAGATATAGTTACTCTAGCTATTGTATAATTTACTAAAGGAGAGAAATATCTTGTTCCCTAACTAAGATATGGGTATGGCCGCTATTAAGTAGCAATCGGCCGTAAACGAATGTAGGTGGCGTGCCAAGTATGCCACGGGGCTAAAATCACACCTTGGCACTGTCATGTGACAAGCGAAATTGAATGAATTTAGATCTCTCCCGATCAAGGCCGGGTCCTCGAACTCCAACCACCCATGTTCGGGATAGACCTCCTTCCATTAGTGATCTCACTCCTGTCGTTAAGACAACCCTACGCCTCCACCACAAGGCAATACAGGATGCCACTTAATCTGAAGAAGTTTTTCATCTTTGATCGCTTGTTGATGCGCCAGCATTTCATCAACATCCCAGTTCACGCTCACCATCTGGCCCCGGAGAAAGTCAGCTTCTGGTCGCATCAGCCACAAGGCGAGCATTCCTGTCAGCCGGACGTCATCGTGGGCAAACACTTTGAAGCCTGGATCAAGCATCTCCGTGTCGACGATTCCTGGTATCACGATGAATGCTCGCATTGTAGGGTATTCTAGTACATAATAAGCCAATCTCTCTAGACAGCTCTAGGTAGCGAAATACTGGAGGGAGCTGACCTGCATCAACGTGTTCCATGAATCTCTCGGCTGCAAGCTTCGAGGTAATATATGCCGACCACCCTGGCGTCACCAACCCAGACAGCCCGGATGAGACAAAGACAACAGTCCCAGTTGGACTTTGAGGGTCTGGTTGAAAGCTTATAAAACTCCGTGTGACCAGAAATAGTGACTTAACGTTGATCTCCTGCGCATTTTGTTAACGAGGACTCGATACAGAGGGCAAATGTGGGCAGACATAGTCATTCCACCATTCTAGCAATGGACTTTGTCCAATTGGCAGCGACGGACACATAGTGCCGGCACTGTGCAAGAGAACATCGGGGCCTCTGCCAAACCAGGCCTTGATGTTGCGGAACAGATTGGTCACATCACCTTCTACAGTTATGTCCGCCTTGACTGTGAGTATTTTGGGTTGGCCCGGCAACTCTCGCAACTCTGTTGCAACTTTCTCCAGTCGTTCCCGCCGTCTCCCAGTAATTATCACGCCCGATGCTCCCGCCATGATCCAAACTTTTGCAGCCGCCTATGTCATGTTGTCAGAAGCTGCTCCGAACAGCAGGGAATTCGTCAGGGTTCGAGCTCACCGCACCAATACCTGATCCCCCGCCAGTAATCAGTATGATCCGTCCTGGTTGGCCATTATTTTCCGGGAGTATGCTATCGTATGGCTGGCGATGAAGTCCTTTTGTCAACTGAAACGGAAGAGTGTACACCAATGACGGGTCAACGTCGTCCATTGTGTCAGTCCTAGGACCTATAACCTATGACTTATGAAATTGATTTGATGATGAAACCGGGTCAGGCAGCAGTTCGAGGAAATAGAACTCACACTGAGTGCAAAGTTCTACAATCTTTATAACTACAGCAGTAACATTATGTATCGGGTATCCACCCTACGAAAAAGAGTGGAGCCCATATCCAAGAAATCTTCAGAGTCTTCATTCTAAGTTCAAGAGTACCTGCGGTGCCTCGTAGCTCCGAGAGTGACGTCTCAATATGCTCTATACCTGGTAGAGCATAGTCAGCGGAGTACGCAACCAGAGTCTTGCTTATCAAACTCGCACAAAGCCACACACCGAGGTCCGGCACCAGTCCAGCCACATGGTGTTAACTCTACCGTATAACAATAATGCGGTTTTCATGACTTGGACCTGAGCAATACTACAAATCGCTATTAGGCGCCCTTATTCGGAATGGCCTGGTCTATCCCACCACCAGGAGCCGCATAAAGGGATCCCTTTTCGTAGCCACCGAATAGAGGTCTAGCCACTCAGAATCATCTGCAGCATCTCGCGATCATACAACATGGCAGGTTTCAATCCTGATGATATGAGTCGTTTTCAAGACTTCGAAATCTTCACCACCTCTTATAAACAAATTAGCAATCACAATATATGACTCAATATGCTCTACAAGAAAGAACTATCCTCCTCTGCCAACTCAGCTCAGCTAGTCATAGTCCATTTCCACGGAGGGGGACTAATTGCTGCCGATAGCCTCTTTCCCGACTTCTTTGGCTGCTGGCTGTTGGACCTGGCGAAAAAGCACAGAGCAGTCATAGTCTCAGCGAACCACCATCTTCTGCCAGAAGCAAATGTGACCGACATTCTCGAAGACCTCGACGACGTTTCGACATGGGTTCAATCATCCTTGCCCGAGTTTCTGAAGACTAAATCTCAGGGGAAGGTCGACTACGACCTCAAACGTATCCTCACGGCCGGTGAGAGCGCAGGTGGATACCTTGCACTACAGCTCGCGCTCAACTATCCAGACGACATCCGAACCATCTTAACTCAATACCCAATGATCGATTGTTTACTGAGAGTTTGGAAAACCTAAGTATTCGATGTCCCTCAGATAACCAAGTCAGTGATGGGCGACTACTTAGCGAAAGTCAAAGCCCGAGAAGCTGCCACTAGGACCAGAAAGTCGTGGAATCGTCGGATCCAAAGCTTGACCGGGGCCGTTGATGATCTGTATGATCCAGAATGGGCTATACCGTGACTATTTTGACGTCAATAACGTAAAGTTATTCCCTATAGATCGCTTAGAAAATGGGGAGCGCCTACCACTGGCTGACGGTCTAATATGGCATGGAGAAAAAGACAGTGTTGTCCCTGTGGAGGGGAGTCTCCATTTCAGCGATATGGTCAAGAAGTACTCTCCGGATACGAACTTAATCCTCTTGGTGAGGTCAGGTGACCATGGGTTTGACGGTCCTGCTAGATTAAACAATGGGTGGGTAGATGAGGCAGTGAAACCATATGTTGCTCCTTGGCTGGCTTAGAAAAGTATACATAAATGTTTACGAATTAACATCCCCGACTTGAGACGTCTTCAAACCATCCTACAGGGATTTTTCGGGTAGTGGTACATTCAGGTTTTTGCGAGAGCGCCACTCTACCTCCCCCTACAATCATGAATCACGGATTGATCCGCAGTCAGACCTGTGGAAAGCTGACGAGCTGCTCAGTCAGTGCCAGTGGGATGAGTCATAAGGCCCTATGTTAGTGTTGATCAATTAATCACCTACGTAAGGATCCGAACTTAAAACTTAAAACCTTGGGCGTTGGGACAGGAACACAGAAGTTTGGGAGTTCATTGTTCCCTGGCACCCACCTGGATACTGGTCGAAGATGACATAAGATAAAGGGGACATATTTCCTCGTCAGCCTATCGGGTTGATTTTCAGGAACCGGAACGTGCATAAAAACCAAATTAAGGATATCCGATTGGATGATTTGCGAGGACTGGTCCACCTTCCCCGGATCGTCTGGAATTTCTTGCTCCCACTTCCAGGCGTCCAGTAAATGTCGATCCTGTAACATCGTATCCCTCAACGGGCTCTCATATACAATCGCACACAGCGACAAGGTGGGAGTGAAATCATTGCTCTTTGACCAAACGATCACCAGGACATAATTCAGAAAGAGAAAGAACCATGGCAGGACTTGCGCTCGCCATTGAGGCTGCCCATGCCCACAAACTGATTTCTCTCATAATCTTCGCGCTCATAGCGCTGGGATATGTCATCACTTATCGTGTATTCTTCCACCCTCTATCTCGCTATCCCGGCCCATTCCTTGGGAAATTTACAGATTTCTATTCTTTCTATGGCGTCTACAAACAAAGCCGCACCAAGCTACAGTACGAATTTCTACAGAAGTACGGGAGTCCAGTACGGGTGTCAACCAATGAGCTGGTCTTTTCTGATGTAAAGACCGTCAGTGAGATTTATGGTCAGAGTTCGACTATACCAGAGAAGGAGAGAACAATCTCCGAGGCTTTGAGTGCTACTGGAGAAGGGAGCCTTCTGAACACTGTGGATAGAGTCCAGCATGGCCGGATACGCCGCCTTTTGTCTCATGGATTCTCACTACGAAGCCTCTTGGACTCAGAGCGTATCATTGCTGAAAAAATTGAGCTTTATGTCGAACTTGCGTTCAGACGCGGGGCTGGCGAGTCGGCAGCACCGCGGGACATTTACATAAAAACACATGAGTTGTTTTTGGATATTATCAGCCAACTAAGCTTTGATCAATCCTTCAACTGTCTCAGTGATGCGAAGTCGACTGCTCTGCGGGATGTTGACTCATTTGGAAGGGTGGTACCGCCTCAGGCGTTCTTCCCTGGTTTTCGATATTTGCCTTTTGCAAGTATTCGCGAAGGATTTCGAGGCGTTTACCGACTCGAAGCTTTTGCAAGGGATTGTGTGACCAGACAGATGCAAAATTCCAAGACCAGCCCAGACTCTGACTCAATTCTGACCAACATGTTCAATGCCCAGGACGCGGAATCGGGCTCTAAGCTTACTATGGGGGAGATTATCGAGAACACTATCATCTTCCTAGTAGCAGGAACGAGCACAACAGCGGTGACTTTGTTATATTTGATATGGGAGTGTGGTCGCAGGCCTGAGATTATGAGGCGACTGACGGAGGAGATCAGAGCGGCCTTCCCGAATCCCGATGAATTGCCTACCTACGCAGAAGCATCTAAACTGGTAGGCAAAACCCCATCACGCTTCTAGTTCTTCCTTGCTGACCCTGTCTTCTACCTAGAAATATCTATCTAACGTGGTTGACGAAACGCTACGATTGTGGGGACCTCTCAATACCGGGATCCCTCGGATCTCAACAGGCCGCATGATCGCAGGCGAGTACTTTCCAGCTGGCGTCGGCATCTCCAACAATCCTTACGCAACAGCGAGAGATCCAGACGCCTTCCCAAACCCAGAAGAATATGAACCTGACAGATGGAACAATGCATCAACGGAAATGAGATTAATGTCAAGGCCATTTAGTATTGGACCAAGAAATTGCATTGGGCGGCATCTAGCGCTTATTGGACTATATGTGACTGTTACGAGGATATTCCAGCTGTTTGACGTTACCACAGACCCAAGCATGACTGAAGAGAAAATGAGGCAGAAAGATCAGGGCGTGTTCTCACCATGGGATGAGACTTTGCTCGTTAGGGTGAAGCTGGCAAATGTCTGAGCGTTGTACTAGTAGTTCCTGGTTATCATTTATGTATAGCTAAAAGTGACATCCATAATGAGCTTTAATCTTTGTAACCAGAATTCTGAATCCTTGTCCGATTACTCCTACAAGATAGCAGTAGCATGGTTTATAAGGAGTATATGGCATAGTAGAAACCGACATGGCGATCCCAATGCATTATAGAGAGATATGATACAATAACTTTCAAATCAGACCTGCCACGAGTCCACGCCCAATCCGTAGATTTCTCACCCTAATGCCGTGATACGTAAAAGAAGCAATGGATGGGAAGTACTACTTGTACCAAGATTTTGAATGAACTGGAGAAGCCATCATGGACGTTGCAAACTCCCAACAACGACAGTGTGAGCCCATATCCTTACACACTAAAATCCCACAGAGCATGCTATAGATTTGCACTAGCCCCCCCTCCAGCATCACCTTACAGGGTTAAGCGTATTTTCCTTACCAGAAAATGACCCTCAGCTTGCGCGCAGTCCAGTCTCTCCAGCGTTTTCCGAAATAGTGGAGTGGAATTGCAGCAACCATCCAGGCGAAGAACAAGGCAGCCATGATACCAAAGACCTGAAGAGGACAGAGTCAGCACATTTTCCCGGTGGCAGACCATTTTGCATTCGGGTATCAGACGCCCAGGATAAGACTCACCCTAGCGTATCCAGCACTCTCAGTCCACGGAACAAACCCATAAGTGAAGCCCCATGCAATAGTATTTTTCAAACCATTGACCAAGAGCAAGCCTTCAGCCGCAACGCCAAAGTATGAATCCATGACATATGTCATCCCGATACTGGCGGCACAGTTGCAAGTATTCATCAAAGCATAGCCAATGAACATCACAATCCAGTGAAGTGAACGTTCGGCACCAAAGCCGAACATCAAGAGGCCAGTGGGAACAAGGAGGGCGGGGACTATCAGCAGGACCAAGCGAGACTCGGCACTGAAGATGCCACCATGTTGGCGGGCCCAGCGTCGGGCCCACTTGTCTGTCAGTGGACCACCAACATATGCCCCCACAAGGTTGCCTATTATTGCCGGAATGTTGATCAGGCCATTCAAACTCGGTGACCAGCTATATGGTGGAACTTGAAAGATAAACGATGTGACCGTGCCGGCACTAATCTGCCAAGCAAGGACAAGAGAGTCTTGTGTCAAAAAGTAAGCTGCTGATTCATGAATCTGGTGATTTGAACTTACAGGTAATAGTCGCCCAGATTACAGCTGGATACACGAACATGAGGTAAGGTCGCATGAAGTGGCTGAAGAACGATTGCTCGCTAACCCCAGACCAAAGATTCAATGTTTGAAGATAAGATTTCTTGACTCCAGTGAGCTCAGAGCCCTCAGGCACAGTTGGGGGGGAGCTTTCAGTAGCAGAAATGTTGACTTTTTCCAAGTGCTCCTCTTGAGAGCCATGCGCTAATGATTTTGCTGAGGGTATCTCGGTGGTCTGCTGTGCAATGGGCGTGGTACTGCGTTCAAATCTCGTCTCCTCCACAAAGAAGAAGATTGCCAAGAAGTTCAAGCATGAGATAATAGCACACAACCAGCAAAACCACCGCCATCCAGCGCGGTCAATCACAAAGCCGGAAATCAAGGGCATGACAGAATTGCCTCCGTAGAGGAAGATGATATAGAGTCCCATTTTGGACCCTCGTTCGTGAAGATAAAAGATGTCCTGCAGCGCGGGTCAGCGTTTGGCATAGCCGTGTAGTCTCACACTTGCATAAGGGCCCTACTCACATTGATGATGGCAGCACCCAGAGCCTCAGTCGATGAACCACCAGCAGCAACGATGATCCGGCAAGCCAGAAGTGTCTGAAAGTCTTTGGAGATTGCGGAGCCAACCATTCCCAAAAAGGTCATCAGAGACGCAACCACAAAAACAGGGCGTTTGCCCACGTATTCCGCAGCCGGAACCCAGAAAAAGTTCTATTGAGAAACTTAGTCAGCGCAGCGTCTAACGAAGTGCCAACACATGGAAGCCAGAAGTTACTCACACCAAGTCCAGATACCAAGAGCGGCCAGAGGATGAGGTTTATACTCTCATTCATGGGTTTTTCGAACTCGATGCCAAGCACGAATAGAGCAGGTGAGAAGCCACCCACATACCCGGTGATCATGAAAGCGAAGAGACAAACGTTCAAGAAGGCAAAATGTTTCTTCCAAGATGGCCATCGAAGCGGATCATTGATGTCTTGGGATGGCTGTGGGATGAGAACCACATCCGTGCCTCGAAGATGGAGGTTATGAACATCTCCACCAGCAGCTGTTGCAGTATTATGTGAGCGTCGAGTACATGGACTCATAAAAGAGGTACATACTGTCAATCAACCGCACCAACTGATCCCCCTGGCCTAGTTCATCGAGTGTTCTGAAACGCATCTTTTCCGTGAAGGGCTAGGAGAGACGAGGATATCTCGTGAACACGGCTTTTTCAGGCTGTCGTGTGATTGTGAAATGTACGACAGGCTTCGTGGATGTGAGCACAGGGTTACTCACCCTAATGTAGTGCATCGATGTGTGCTATCTGAATCCCACTTGCATCTATTCAACTAGTAGTGATTATTTCACTGGGGACAACGCAAAAGCCGTGGGTCGCGATTCCGGGGAAATGCGCTATCTCCGCAGCTGCTTTTGCGTCCAGAACCGAAGAGAGCCTACTGGTCATACTCCAAACTAATGTGGTTCTTACTACAGGACCAGGAGTTGATAGCATTGTGTGCAAGAAGAGGGTAATCCTACAGTCTATCCCAACTAGACGTACTACGCCAAGAGGAGATTGAAACACTAACCAAGAACGTATCCAGTAGGAACTGATGCTTCTTTCGCACCTGGTTTCCGATTGGATATCTCAACTACGAACTTATGGGGTTCGAAAGCCAAGTGAATTAAACAAACGAACCGAATTAGGTAGACACGAGGGATTCTGTGCGAATCTAGTTTGGACTTGCAGACCATCCATCAGTAAACTTCAATGAAAGAAGGAGCCACCCCCAACGTCGAACATCTGACCCGTGATAAACTCTGCCTCTGGACTTGCAATGTACATGATGGCATGGGCCACGTCCCGAGGCAATCCAACTCGTTTCACGCACTGCTCTTCTACAGCTTTGCCGAAGAGCTCCTTTTGATATTCGCCATTGTGCGTAGCAGGTGTGGAGATTAAGGTGGGTGAGACAAAGTTAGCGGTGATGCCAGGACCGACTTCTGTTGCCGTCGCCCGCGTGAATGCCGCTACAGCGCCTTTGGATGCCGCGTACACAGCTAATCCTGGTACAGGTTTGACCATTGTCTGACTGGCAGTATTGATAATTCTCCCGTAGCCTCTCCGTTTCATATGTGGTAGAACAGCCTGGGTCAGGAAAAAGCAGCTTTCCATGTTGACCTGGAATATACGCCTGTATTCCGTAGAGGTGACATCCAGTAACGGCTTAGCGGGATATATCCCCGCTAGGTGAGCGAGGATATCTATCCTGCCAAATGTTCGGACAATTTCATCGATAGTGTGGTGCACCAGTGTCTCGCTGGTGATATCACATACCCGATGAGCGACGATTCCACCATTTGAGAGCAGGGTCTTTTCGACCTGCTGAAGCTTTGCCGTGTTGATGTCTAGAAGAACAACACTGGCCCCCTGGTCGGCAAATAAAGCTGCAACTACTTCGCCTATACCCTGTGCCGCGCCAGTGATGACAGCGACTTGGCTACTGAATTTTCGTGGATCGATGATAGTTTGTGGCCTTTTAGATCCCATCTCTGCAATGTTGCTCTGTTTGACGCTCGAACATGGCTGGGTATCCATAGGTTTGTCTCATGGTTTAGATATACTGCTCAGACTTGCCTCATTCTATTGATGCGTCAGCGCTCGGCAACCTCAAAGTGCGAACTTCCGAGCCCAATATCCATCTCGGGGGCGCTCGGTAAAGCTCGACGACACTAGACTATCACATACGCTCGGAGTTCTCAAAGGGGATTGACATAACAATCTCTCCCCGCTAGATCTTTTAAGTCCGTTCGTTTGAGCAGATAGAATAGAGTTGTGGACCAATAACCTCGGGCTTTGTGAACAGTCCTATTTGCTTTCAAAGTGGAGTATCTACGACGTCGTGACTACTCTTAAAATCTAAGCTCCGAATTGGTATCTGTAACCAGAGATAAAGACTGACATTATTTATATACAAATAAAGCGATTGTAGATGCAATCCTACTCCCTTAATCAATACCGTAGGTACTTCTTGTTGTAAACTTTCAGGCGTTTGTCTGACACATCACCACCTATTTGGAGTGCCAGAAACCTCGAGTAGAAGCGCGCAAATGTGACACCGCCACCAGTATACCAGATTCCAGGGATGCCATGGGGCTTGTACACGCCTCGGAGCTCACCTTCATGATCGATCTCCCAGTAATCATCTAAATGCTCACCCAACTCTTGGCCCACAAATCGGGTGGCCTGGCCGCGTACATCATGGGAATATCCAGTACAGAATACAACCACATCGGCGTCGAGATGGCTGCCGTCACTAAACACAAGGCCTGTCTCATCATATGCTGTCAATGCAGCATCACCTTTGATTTTGATCTGTGAAGTCCATTCATGTCAGCTCAGGCTGGACTTTCATATAATTCGGCGGGGGAGTACTCACCAAGCCAGCTGATACTTTCGCAGAAGCACCAACGTCCATGTAGTGACCTCCAAGTCTGTCCGTGAGGAGCTTCCAGAGGTCCCCATATCGCTCCACGCGGAAACCCGCCCTTTCGAGCGAATCAAACCGCTCAGGCTCAGCATCCACAAGCGGTCTTCCACCGTGCAACGCAGCTAGACGTGTGACAACGAGCGGCAATGCCATAATTTGTCGATCTGCGTCTTCAATCTTTGAAGTCTCATTGTAGATTGGGTCTGACCAGGCTTTGTAATGCTCGATGGGGAAGACGGACGTACGACCGCGCTGAATCATTGTCACCTCGGCGGCTCCAGCGTCTAGCATATCCTCGGCCACGTCATGCGCCGTATTCGCAACTCCCACGATCACACATCTCTTGCCCTTCCACTCAGACGCATTCTTGTACGTAGCAGAATGGATTACAATGCCATTGAACTTCTCCCTGCCTGGCAACTGCGGCATTTTGGGGATAGTGCCACCAGCACCAATCGCGAAAACGAAATGAGGAGCTTTGATGGTTTTGGTTTCGCCTTTGCGAGCGAAATTGATCGTCCATGTGTTTATTTTCTGATCAAAAGAGGCCGATTGCAAGCAACTCGAGAGTGAGACATTGATCTGGTGCTTTTCGACGTACGCCTGGTAGCCCCGTGCCAGCTCTTTCCCACTGGGGAAGTAATCATAATCTTCGCCAAAAATATTGCCTAGAGGCATGTCACTGTAGTATTTGGAGGTATGGAATCTGGCGGAGTCGTATCTTGAGGTCCAGTTATCGCCAATGTTTTCATTCTTTTCAATGATGAGATAACTTATCCCCATCGCCTTCAATCGGCCGGCGAGGCAGAGTCCTGCGAATCCGGCTCCAACGATGATGCAATCGAAATCTGTATCGCTATTTTTGGGCTTGGGAGGACCTTTTTTTACTATTTCTGGCGAAATTGAGTCTGGATTTGGCAAGCCCTCGATCTCCTCGAGAATAGTGGTCAGAAACCAGATCTTCCAACCAAACTCCAGGTCGGGGACAATGCCAATCTGGCCGGAGCATTTGGTAATGGGCGCTCCACTGGTGACGAAGGAGAAGCGAGCTTGGATCCATGAATGACCATTTCCCATATCCACCACTTTCGAAGTGCCTTCAATTAGTCTGAACGTCGAAGGATGGTGAGATTTCTCAAGTTCTGTCCAGGCTGAGTGGATGCCTTGGGGGCCATAAAATGTTCGCGGCAGCCCAGTCAGTGCGTATATATCTCTCCAAATGCCGTTCTGACAGAAGACATCAACGTTAAATTGGTCCAAGTATCGAAGGCAGTAGTCAACAACTGCAACATGGTTGATTGAAGGCGAAATCTTAGTGTCTGGTAAGGCTCCAGGAAGTTGTTCTATTGGGTAAGAAGGAGTTCGTTGAAAAGGTTCCTTGATTGTCTCAGCTTCGGTTTGGTTATCTACCAACTCTAAAATTTGAGGCGACAAGATTACTTTCTCGAGCTCATTGCTTTGATGCTTGGAAAATGAGAATTCGACAAGTGGAAGAACCTCTGCATGGGGCGCCATGGTAAAAAGGCGGTGTTGAAGTTTATTGAAACAATTGTGAATAGAGAATGGAGAGTGGATGAAGTGTGAGGCCTTGATGCTCACTAAATAGGCCGAACTTCCGTTCAACCAACAGTTTATTATCTTATTGTGATCGGCCAAACTCCAGTAATACAGGCACCTCATTAAATTGCTGAGTTCCCCGGATACACTGTTCATCAGCGTTGCGATTGTCCAATAGGGATAGAGTAAGAAACCGCTTGGCCAATCGGAGACGTGAGAAACCAGCACCTAAGATGGGAAAGGTTATTCGGAAGACATCAACGTTACAAGAATATGGACCTCTGGTATGCTGAGTGATCATTTGCACCATATTAAACTGCTTACAACTGTAGTGGTTTGGCTAGCATCCAGCACCACCCAGTACCTTATTCGGCTGCATCACAATACTGAGCTTCAACAACATCGACGGCCTACTGCGCCTGTCTCAGGTGATAACATGGCCAACGGAGAGTTTACGGAGTTACGTTCACGGGAAAATGACAAGTCAGATGGCTTAAGAGAATCTGCCGCATCTTTCAGGTCCCTCCTTCCTCCTGAAGGCTGGCCAAAAATCCGGACCCTACCTACCAGCACTGCGACCGAATGGTATGAGAACAACAAAGACCTTCCCCAGATTAAGGAATTCCTTGATAGTCTGAGGCTAGAGAACATTGAGCCGTGGAAAGGGTTCACATGCGATGGACAGGTGGACTTAGCTATCCATGATTACCAAGACGACGAAGGGGCTCCCGTCTGCGAGATGACCAAAGCCGCATTAAACTTGATAACCAAAATGTCTGACAGCCAGAAATCTGCGACAGTATTTGATTCAGTAGAGGCTGACGAAATCCGAATATGGTCTAATCCCGAGTTCTACGTTAATCCTGGCGGATTGAGACTTGACGAATGTTGCAAGGAGATCCAAATAGCTGTACATGATCTGTTGAAGGCTTCCTTGTCTCCAGAAGGGTACAAGAAAGTGCAAGGATGTTGCCTCATCAATGGATTTCTAGGCGAGCTGATCAACGGCCAAGCAGTGTTGAATGCACACTCCTATAACTTCCGCCTTTTTGGTCGACCGCACACGATCGAGCCATGGGCGTTCACGTTTTTTGGCCATCATCTGTGCATTGCTGTATTCATTCAAGGCGGGCGGATGGTCATTGGACCGACTTTCATGGGAGCAGAGCCTGACTACATCGATGAAGGCCCGTACGCCGGCCTTCGATTGTTCAACACAGAGGAAATTGTTTCCCTCAAGTTGATGCGTAGTCTCCCAGCAACACAGAGGAAATTGGCAGCCACACATCATAGTGTCTTTCCCGCTGACTTGCCATCAGGTCGATGGGTCCCACATGACGAGCGACATGTTGGAGGAGCGAGGCAGGATAATCGAATCGTTCCATATGGTAAAGTCTCCTGATTTCTAGCCTAGGATTCTATAGCAGCTAATGTCTCGGCTCTAAACAGAAGGATGCCCTGTGTCGCTGTTCGATGAGTCTCAAAAGGGAGACATTGTTCAACTGTTCATGGCATTCAACGAGTATTACCCTGCATCTGTCCTGGAGCATCGAAAACAGGTTTTTGTTTCGCATATCAATGAAACCTATTTTGCTTGGATTGGAAATTGTGAGAATGATGAGCCTTATTATTTCCGCATTCATTCACCTGTAGCATTTATGGAGTTTGACTTCCATGCTGGAGTATTCCTGGTCAATGCCACTCCCGATAAATGTCACATTCATACAATCAACCGTATACCTAATGGAGGCGACTATGGTCGAGCATTACTTGACACGTATCAGCGGGCAAAAAGTGAACGAGGCGGGCTGAGTTAGAGGGGTAGAGAATGGACTTTTGCTAAATGCATCAAGACTACTCATCCTGAAACGAGCGTCTTTGCATTCTTTGAGAACAATTTCAATCTAGTGTGCACTACGTACATGTTCTCCAGATATGACTTTCTCTAAGCTATCACTTCTCTTGACTTAGAATTTCGACGAGCTTTGATTTTACGTGCTCCACCGTCGCGTCGGGACCGATTGCCACTTGCATCCCATGAGGCACAGCATAGGTTCGCACATTTGGCACAATATCTCGTGCTATCTGCTGGATCTGTTTACTTTCTTCTTCAGTCCACATGGAGGCGCAGAACTTAGACAATTGTAACCTAGTGAGCTGGAGAGGTTTTACACTTATTATGGGGTTACTTACCAACAAATCAGGCTGTACCCTTTGCACAATATCATAGACGTCTTCGATTCCTGCCACATGAATTAGCCTAAAATAATCATCCAAACGTCCTTTTAATGATCAAATCATACGCTCTGCATTCGCTTCATGAAGAATGGTGTACTTGTCTTTGACATCATCGCACAGTTTGGCTATCATTCGTCGAGCTCTGTCTGGTGCTGTGTTGACGGATACAAGCTTGTAGGGCCCTAAGGGCTGATGGAGTTCTGACATGATTGCAACGAGATAGCAATATTGTCTCTTGAGGCCGGCACACACCGATGTTGTTGAAGCACTTGAGATCGATGTAGGCCGCTCACGCCAAAACCCTGTATCAACTTTCTAGCTCGGACAAGCCAGGAAATCGCCGGTAAAACATATAATCAGTCTGACTGCCCACATCTGGTACGATGCAAGGCCTCGCTTACATAAAAACAAATAGCGTACTCGTCATTGAACTAGAAATCCACTAGCGTCAAGGTGGTCTGTCTCTCAATTCCGATTGGCTACAATCGAGGGAGCCGAAGCTTCCGATTGGTTGGTATATCTGATCACCTGGAGAGAGCGAGCACTCGGGTGTCACTTGTACGAGTAGGATCGAGGGTTTCAAACTGCGGCGGATGGACGACTAACCAGGGCAAATGAAGCAAGTGATGAGAGTATCAAGATGGCTACGCAGAACAGCTTCCCTCGTACCTGATAGTTTATCTGAAAGCATATCTCCGGTTATTCCCGGGTACTTTAGCATCCTTCCTTAGATACTGAAGCACTATTACTCTTTTGTTCCTTGACTTTCGATCTTTTACGGATACACACTGTTGCAAACCACCTGTCTCGTTATGGAGAGGATTGCGTCCTTAGGGACCGGCATCGCAGAGGTCGTTGTTCCAACATATGAAGCCTACAGCGCACTCCTGCAGAGGCCAGAAACCAAAGCCGCGATTAAAAGCGTCAAGAGAGAAACATTTTCATACGGACCCCACAAAAGACACAAACTTGACTTGTACAGTCCTCCCGGTATTGCAGATCACGTCTCGCAAAGACCTCGACCAGTCTTGATCTTCACTTACGGCGGTGCTTTTGCGAATGGTGATAGGATCCTTGATGGAATTGACGGAGGTTTAGTGTACGCTAACGTGGGCGCTTTCTTTGCATCAGAGGCCAACTTTGACACCATCGTTCTGGACTATCGCCTCCTCAAACACGGTGCGAAGTATCCCTCAGGGGGCGAAGATTTTGGGCTAGGTCTCCAGTGGGTTCAGGACAGGTATCAGCATGGAGGACGAAGGGAAATATATGTCATCGCCAATTCTGCAGGTGCGGTTCACCTCAGTACATGGCTGTTCTCACCGAGATTTGCCAAAGAGCGATTGCAACTGTTGAGCGCCTCGAGTGAAGTGCGGCTGACAAAAGTGGTGTTCCTGGGATGCCCGTTTCGACTGGACTATCATGGGGGAATGAAACCTGTGTTGGAAGTGTACTACGGCACCGAGGAAGACACCAAGAGGGCTGAGCCCACCCAATTGATGTTGACAGGGATCCGGGAAAAGGACTCCATCGACATGACCGTGATGCCGGGTATTCTGACTGCGGTTGCGGAGTTAGACCCAAGCTTCATTGTCGAGCCCGGGCAAGAGTTCTCCAAGCTTTGGAGAGAATGTGGCGGCAAGGGTGATCACTTGGTTTTGAGGGGGCATAACCATATCAGTCCTCCACTTTCTCTGGGGACTGGTTCAAGGGAAGAGGAGCACTGGGGTCATCAAGTGGTTGGATGGCTTCGAGGCGAGGCTTTATGAGTACATATTCAGGGCATGGTGCCACTGTTAGATACTTTATGCTCCTGTTAAGGATACTTGATCCAGTAAGCTATCTCGTTAGCTAAGCTATGGCCATACGTGGGCCACAAGTGCTGCTGTGAGGGTGGCCCAAGCAATCGCAAGGCTCAGAATCTAGTTAGTGACAAGCCCCTTTGCCTCGGCGCACGGAGGCTCGAGACCCACATCATGGGGACAGTCTTGTTTCCTTCTAAGAGATTAGCTTCAGTCCATTCTGTCCGTAGTTTCGGGGCGAAGGCATCGCTCCATATTTTCCAATCGATGTACCCCGCCTTTCCCCAAGCCTGCAGGATGACCAAGAAAAGGACTCAAACCAGCTACGCTTCCAATCTCTTTGCATTAAATCCCCCATAGATCTTCAATGGCAGAAGCACAAAGCACTCAGCTTTTACCCACAAGCCAGTACTCCAGGTTTACGGCTAAGAGGAAGAGAGGCCCACGCGCGACTATTGCATGTGAGTCTTGCAGAAGACTGAAGGCAAAGGTGGGTAATTCGACCTTCCTCGGACCATAGCCTCCAATCTAAAGTTGGGCAGTGTGATCAAAATACGCCCTGTGTTGTTTGCACCAGTATGTTGACACCTGTAATTTGTCAAATGAACATCGCTTGGATCTCTAAAGTTATACGTCAGGCAATTCTCTCGAATGTGTTCGGCGCAAGAAGGTGAAGGCGAATAGGCATGATGAGTTGCATGTGTAAGATGTCTCGACTGGCTTCTTATTTACAAACAAGCTGATGAAGGCGCTCAACAACAGCAACCAACTGCGTGGTGTTGAAGCCCTCACTCGAGCTTCCAGAAACGCTGAGAAGGCTCTGAACACAGCCGCCGAAGTTGCGGGAAAGAAACACTCGAGCCAACTCACAACTGCACAGCCAAATAATCGCATTGGACTGCTTCCCAACTCCGAAACGTCCGTAGGAATTACGACTAGACATGCCGATGGACTAGAAATCGATTATCTCGCACATTCTCATGGAACCTCGGCAAGCAATCCTAAGTCAGATCAGGATCCAGAGACGAGCCCCAGGGGATTCGGTGAGGTCAATAACCGCACTCAAGGCAAAGAATTCTACGGCCCTGCAGCGACCCTGGCATTCCTACTAGAGTTACGACGGTGCGCGCGAACCTATCAACAGCAGCAGAGGCCGCACTCCAGCGAGGTAATGCTCTCCATGAATGAAACGACAGCTGATCCTGCCTCGTCCATTGTAAATTTTCTCCATGGGGATGACGAAATATTGGCTGGTAAGACTCCTTGACTGCCTTGTTAACAGGATCCATGCAAGGACACGCTTGTGCTTACACAACCTCAAATTAAAAGGTGACATCGACCCTATCCGAGAAGACAACCTACACGCAATTGGCACGGGTACCAGCAATAGCACGGTATCAACTCCGGTGGTAGTCGATCTTCCATCGAACCACGAGGTCGAGAAAGAATGCATCAGGTTGTATTTCGCCAATTTGCATTTGATCTACTTTTTCCTTGACCGAGCATCCTTCGAAAAGCGCTGCCAGACAGAAATGTGGGCACCCGCGGCTGCTACTTTCAGCTCGGGGGACTTCAAATCGCGCCGCCGACGACGATCCAGATTCCCTGCTTTGTACAACGCCGTGGTGGCAGTTGGCGCCCTGACTGCAGAAGATGATACCTTGGTGAATCAGTGCCAAGGAGAAGTGCAGGCATTTTTGAAAAATTCTGTTCATCAAGACTCTCAATCCTTGGGATATCAACCACTTGCACTCGCTTCGATCTATTTCGCGAAAGCTAAGGTGCTCCTTGGAGACATGTTCGAGTCATGCTGCTTGGAGGGCCAGCAAACATTGTTTCTGATGTCTATATTCTGCCAATACGCACTCCGGCCTCACGGCTGCTACATGTACAGTGGAATGTCTGCGAGAACAGCGTTAGCCATCGGCAGCGCCAACGAACCAGACTTGAGGAAGAACCCTTTAGAAGCTGTTCGGACGTGGTGGTGCATGTATTATCACGAAGTTGAGGTGTGCTGCTCATTAGGGAGAGAGACGTTTCTGAGAGAACCGTCTTATTACCCCGTTTTCATGGCCAAATTCGGTGAAAGAATGCCACGAGATTTCGGGCGGGATGACGACTATGTCCTATTCTTCGCAAGGTCCATGACTGAGCTCGCACAGATCCTAAAGCGCACTTCAGAAGACATCTACCATGATCCGACATCCAAGCCAATTGACCAGAAATCTCAGAGTGCGCTGGCGCTGGATCAAATGCTGCTCGTGTGGAAACGGCAACTAGCGCCCATATTTGATTTAGAGAGTACTTCGTTGACCGAAAAAGAGCCCATCACCAAGAGGAAGGTGGTTTTGAAACTCCGTAAGCAAGACATGTTGATCACTGCTTTCCCAAGAGTATCAAGCTGACGCTCGAGCATATCAGGCTTCTACAGCGCCAGGATCTTGATCCACCGCACATTCCTGATCACTGCAGCGTATTCCAAGACCTCTAGCGCTCTCTCTACAAACGTCGACATCTGCCTCGCAGCTGCCCGAGAGACCATCCACTTACTGTACGACACGTTCATGAACCGACCCTTTTTCCGAACGTGGTGGTATAACACCACGTATGCGTTCAATGCCATTACCATCATCCTTTACGTACTGGTCTCACCTTTGCAACCAGAAAATAGCGAAGACCTGCTGAGTGACGTCGAGAAAACATTGAACATCTTCCGCGCCATGTCTGGAGTGGCTGTCGCCCGTCGCTGCGCAGAGCTTACCGAGGAGATTTTCGAAATTGCAAAGATGTCGATCCAGGGTCAGAGGCACGGTCGACAGCAGCGTCAACACAATACCGTAGCAGGCGCCAGTCGTAGGGGAGAATTGGAACTGCTTGACGGATTCGGTGCTGCGCTCCATCCTTCGGAGGCCCAGGTGCTAAAGGATGGGAACGTCAGCGTTGCGGAGACCGCCATGAACAACAATGAGCAGCCAAGCTTTGACGTGATGAACGACGCCTTTTTCACCAACATCATGGATGTGAATTTCCTGGACAACTTTGATGCCAATCTCTCGGCCATGAACTTCAATGGATCGCCATTTGAAACGATGGATCTGGATTGGAATCCGGGACTGAAATGACAGGACGGTCAGGGTACTGTAATGGAGCCTTAATAGCATGGATAGTACTATCTCGCCCCAGTACAAGTGAGATGAGCACAGAGTCCTGCAACCAGGAACGACGGCTTTACCGTCTAGTTCTACGTAAGTATGTAGGGACTACGGTAGATCTGAAGTACACACCTCACGTCTCATAGCACCTGTAAATATTATACCGCCAGGCTCCGGCTCTGCATCCGTGCTGGGCGCTGGCCAACCGGAACGCTTGATTTCAAGTTTTGGTAACCCCGCGTACCATTCTGAGTGTCACTCAACATTCTACCCGGAGATGAGTATATTACTAGCCCAGCCCATAAATGGGTTGAAGTCGTCCTCCAACAACAAACCTCTCTAGAAGCGTCTCAGTTTCAACTCCTATCATTTTCCAACGTAGTGGAAAGCGTGAAGTTGGACTAAACAACGACCATCTGGTCAGAATCAGTTCGTGTCGCTCTGCATTTACATGCCACATAATGATTAAGACGGCGATCGTGACTGGGGCATGTTCAGGGATAGGATTAGCGCTAGTACGACGATTACTCTACGACTTTGAGTCCAATGAATCTCAACAATGGAGAGTGGTGCTTGCTGACGTCAACGCCGAGGCCTACGAGGCGATAAAAGCCACACTCCCTCATACGGCTAGCACAATATCAAGGCATTTATTCGTCAAAACGGATGTCACAAGCTGGAGCGACCTGGCGAATTTATTCAAGACGGCATTCGAGTGGCCTGGTGAAGGGCAGGGAAGGATTGATTTCGTGGCGTGCAATGCTGGGATTGATGATAATGCGTTGAAGAATGGGCTTTTGGATGACGATGAGGCTGACAATGTGGACGAGGAGGCAGTGCCCGTGCAGCCCGATCTCAATGTCTTGCAGGTCGATCTGCACTCGAACTTCTATGCGACTAAGTTGCTTGTTCACTATACCCGCAAAACGAGGAGAAGGGTGACGGCGTTGCAGAATGGATCCGCCCCTGACTCGGGGATAGGGACGCCGAGATTAGTGATAACGGCATCTATGGCAGCTCAATATCCGTTCTTCCTGATCCCACAGTACACGGCAGCGAAGCACGGATGTCTTGGGCTGGTTAGAGCCTTGTCACCCGCGCTGTTGAAACACGAAGGCATTACGTTAAACTGCGTGATGCCCGGCACAGTCGACACGGGACTCATTCCCGCGCCGGTGATGGCCCAGTGGCCGAAAGAACATTTGACGCCTCTTGAGACCGTCATGAGGGCATTCATGGAACTGATTGGAGACTGGAAGAGGGCGGGGTTGAGCGAGCACGTCACGAGCGATGTACCTGATCATGAGCTGAAGAATGGATGTGCCGTCGAGTGCTCGGCGGGCTGGCTCTGGTATAGAGATCCTGTACCATTCAAGGACGAGAGTATGAGGTTTGTGGCGGACCAGAGCAAGGAAGATGGCATTTTGGGTCAATTCGTGCTGCAGATGAAGGCGAAGATGGAGGCCGCAGGGGAAGGCAAAAAGCATTGACCGTGGTGCCTTCTGGTTGTTAAAGGAGGCAGCCAAGCCAAGGATTCCGATAAAGTCTTGAAACCACCAGTCTCACAACATTTGGCTATCAGATTGTCTCGTCGTTGGGTTTCTCAGGCCGTCTCTCAGCGTTGCACGCTTCTCATAGTCCGCTCACAGCTCCCTGTTTGGACCCTCGATACGATTGAAGACTTACTCCTTAACTTACTAGTAGTAGGAGTAACAATAGTAAAGCGTGTCAAGTTGTGAACCTCGATAGGGGAAGGAAGAAGGCAAAGGGGCTCCACATGGAAGGCTGAAGCTTTTTGTTGGATTTTGAGATTCGATGCTTGGCACGTGATGCAATGGGAGATGAGTCGATGACGTCGGTGGTTGGTGATCGACACCCCTGTAACCAGAAAGTTAGACAGTTCGCGTTGTTCTTGCGTGGCGACCAGCCGTTCAACCTTTGATCATCTGCCACCATCAACATCGAGATTGCGCACATTGAAATGTCTTTGTAGGGCAAGAACCCGCCTAAGTACGATGATGATCCATGTCTTGACCTGATGCCTTCTGCAAAACTTCAGACTCTTAGTCTATACGGCGCGATTCAGCCATGTCCGACACTTTCGGCGATATCATCAACGGCGCTGCCGGCACAGCACAGGGTAGGGAGGGAACGACAGTCCAGACACTCGTCATCTCGCTTGCTGCTGGTATCGTCCTGTTCGCCGTACAATTCGGAGCGTTCCTAATTGTGCGGAACTACCTATGGGCCAAGCGAATATATCAGCCAAGATCCTTCTTGATCCCATCCAAGGACAGAGTCAAACCGCCGCCCAACAATCCTGCCAGATGGCTTTGGCTGTTGTTGAAGACCCCGAACGCCTTGGTCTTGCGGAAAGCAGGCATGGATGCCTATTTCTTTGTCCGGTACTTGGGCATGTGCTTGAAGATGTTCTGCCCTATGGCTCTCGTCATCCTACCTATCCTAATTCCAATTAATTACACTGATGGAAAAGGCACGAATACCATAGGCAACACTCGTTACAATGTCACCGGCCTAGATACACTTGCGTGGTCTAACGTGGCACCAGCGCATACCCAGCGCTACTGGGCGCATCTAGTCTTAGCGCTCGGCGCCATAATCTGGGTCTGCTATTTGTTTTATCACGAATTAATGCACTATGTCGTCAAGAAGCAAGAGTACCTTGGCAGTCGAAGCCATCGGCTAAAGGCTTCCAGCACCACTGTCCTCATCATGGACATACCCAAGCATCTGTGCACCATCGAAGCATTGATGGAACTCTATGATGATTTTCCTGGTGGCGTACGGAGAATATGGTTGAATCGGAACTTTGAGTCACTCGCCAACAAGGACAAACTACGGAGGGAGTACGAGCACCGCCTTGAGAATGCCGAGACCAATCTCATCCGTAAAGTGGTCAAGCAACGTCGGAAGAAAGGAGAAGGAGTCGACAATGGAGACTCGAACGAGATGTCGACATTGAAAGAGAGTGCAACATCCGCAAATCATTCGCATAGTAAACCTCACAAGGACGAGGAAATTCAAGCCACTAAGATTACAACGCAGGCAGCTTGCGAAAACGATCTTCAACATGATCTGACAACGAAAGCTCTATGGACCAAATTTATTACGCCAAAGCAACGGGCGAAAATGCGGATCCCTCGGCCCAATCATTCATTTGCATGCAAAATTCCCCTCCTCGGTCGCTTTTTCTCGTTGAAGGTTGACACTATCTACTACTGTCGGCGGGAACTTGCGCGCCTGAATCGGGAGATTGAAGCAGAGATCGAAGAAGCAGATGATTGCCCACAGAACGGATCGGCGTTCATCCAGTTCAACAGTCAGAAAGCGGCACATATGGCATGCCAGGCCGTTGCCAATACAATGCCCGGGCGGATGGCTGAACGAATGGTCGAGATCTCGCCCGCAGACATCAATTGGCCAGCGCTAAACTACACGCGACAGAACAGAGCTATACGACTTCTCATCTTCGTAGTACTGTTCGCTGTGCTGGTGTTCGTGTTCGGTCTGATATCGTTCTTTACTGGACTCCTTTCCAGAATATCGACACTAGCCGACTCGACTTCGTGGCTGCGGTGGATCGGCACGCTGCCCCGCTGGCTGTTATCTTTCATACAAGGTACTCTCCCTCCGGTGATCCTGGTTATTCTTTTGAGTGGCCCGACGCCGATTGTCCTTCGAGCAATGACAAACAGCACGCGTGGGGCCACTACGGGCTCTCGAGGGGAGCGCTCCCTCCAGCTCTGGTACTTCATCCTTCTCGTATTCGAGGTCTTCATCATCCCGACCATCTCATCCGGGCTCACTAGTATTGTGCAGGAACTCATCCACAATACGGCGTCTGTTCCCCAGATCCTGGCCACAAATCTGCCCACGGCAGCGAACTACTACTTCTCATTCTTGGTCCTTCAAGCTCTGTCAATCAGCTCCAGCTCAATCCTGCAGACAATCCGTCTGTTGAACTTCTACATTTTCACAAGCGTCAATACTCCGGATGACGTGTACGGCAAATTGAGTTTCACCTGGAGGACTAGAATCGGATCGAACATTCCATGGTACACGACATTTGCCGTCATCGGACTTGTCTACTCAGTCATCGCACCGCTCATGTTGGTCTTCATGTTGCTGACGTTCAGTCTGTTCTACGTCGTCATCAAGAACAATGTCCTGTACGTTGTCCGCACGGGAGACGTGGATAGCGGTGGACTCTGGGTCCCCAGTGCAATCAACCAGACTTTCACGGGTCTATACTTCATGGAGGTCTGCCTGATAGGCTTGTTCTTCCTCGTCCGCGACGCAGACAATAACGTTTCGTGTGAGGCACAGGGCATCATCATGTCCATCGCGTTCGTACTCACTATGATGTATCAGATTTGGCTGACAGTCCACTTCAATGGTCTCTTCAAGTATGCCCCTCTAGAGCTGCTGGCGGGAGAGAGTCAAACTTTGTTACGTGACCAACCATCCGAGGTGGAAGCCTCACGCCCGACCTCGAGCGTGGAGCCTGAGGACACTAGAGTGGCGAGTGACGACGACGCAGCAGCAGCAGCAGCAGCCAATGAGAAAGAAATTGATACCGTGGGGAAGAAGGATGTCCTTCTTCCTCCAGAACAGACTGAGACTGGACAAACTGGAGCACCTGAACAAGCATTACCGTTCCCCTCACTCGCCGAAAAGCGACGGCCTTCCTCAAGATCACAATCACAACCACAACCACTAGCTATACCAAGGCCGCATCGATCTCGCCGCGAAACAGTGTCCGACATGGAAGAGGCAAAGGAGCACGACAAACACCACGCCAAGCGGATCCTCGCGCGCTTGCACCGACCGCTCAACGAAGCCCGGCTTGCCGCGCTGGAGTCACAGCTCTCCTCAACTGAGGGCGCCGCCGCCGCAGGGGCTGTCACCAACACTAACACTGCCAACACCAAAGCCCTGCCCACGTACATCATCCCCCGCAAGCGCGAGATCCTCGCACTGATGATGAACGACCCAATCAGCAAGATCATCATGCAGCACAACGACGACCTGGAGGCGTTGACAAGCGAGGAGCGTGATATGTTGGTCAGTGTGGCGTTCACGCATCCCGTCCTACGGGAGCCAATGCCTAGTGTCTGGATCCCAAGAGACGATATTGGTGTTGGGGCTAGTGTTAGTGACGATGAAGTTCGGAGGACAAGGGAGGGGAGTGGACGCGGGTATCTCGCGATCGACAATCGGGGGGCGTTCTTCAGCCGGGGCAGGAGGTTGAAGGTCGCGGTCGATAAGCCGCCGCCGGATATGAGTGAGTTTGCGCTGGTCATGGCTGAGTTGTGAGCGTGTACTTCTAGTTGCTCTCAGTTTGATTCAGAAAGCATTGCGAAGGTCGTGGGATCGTGGGTTTGCTAACTTGCACCAACATCGCCCAGGTTGTTACGACTGTACTCGGAAACTAGTCTTAGCGATACCTAATACTTAGCCTTCTAGCTAATAACATGATAGAGGCGTAACTATATCTATAATATTAGGGAACTATCTTAGCTAGTACTAATTACCGGTTTACATTATGATAAATACTGTATGTGCTGCAATTATTCCTCAAGATATCCGCAAATTGCGGTCGCGTTTCCCGTTGGAGCTTGATACCACCTACCAGAACACATTGCGCAGGATTGGAGCCCAGTCGAATAAGGAATCGCTCTTGGAAATGCGTGTTCTTGCTTGGATGACCATTTACTCGACGTCATCTCACTACAGCCGAGTTATTGCATGTTCTGCTCCAATAGAGAAAGTGGCAATTCCTTCTTGGACTCTTCAGCTTTTTTAGATCTCGAGATCATTATGGCTTCTTGCGCTGGCCTTGGGGACTCAGTCAGTGGAGTCCACTTGGATACCAATGAATTCCTTGACCTCTACATTACAATGCAGGGCCCTAAACTTTCCGTTGCATATGTTCACAGAAGCATTGAGGAATCCATCGACAGAAACAAAAAGTCGTTATTCCCATCCGCAAATCGACGTACTCGTGGTGTATGGCTTCCGTTTTAGGTAGCCCTTTAGGTGCCGAAGATCCTGAGATCAGCTCAGCGTCCCGATGGACTTTCGAACGCGTATATGCATATACATTTGAATTGACTAACCAGGAAGAAGTACTCTACTGCGTGAGGCTTATAGATCTGTCATTGACTCTCTCCATGCATGTGAAATTACTGGTGAGCTTGGGCGTCATTTATCAAAGCATATGTTGCCGTGTGAAACAGCTTTAATATGTCGTCAGTGCCACCCAAGCGCTAAGGTTTCCCACGTCGCCTTTTGGGTGGCAGAAATGACTGGCTGACTTCTCTTCCTCCTAGTAGAATCCGCAAAGTGACCCTTCAATACCCAAATTTTACATTTGGCCGACGGAGCCAACACCTAAACCAAAGAAAGTCAGAGCAGTCCTCTCGAGCCCTAAGGTTTGGAGCACTTACAAGAAAACATACATATTATTTGCATGATCTTACGTCAGTTCTATTCCACCTTGATCCTGAAAATATCTTGGTTCAAGCTTTGGATCCACCAGCAATCTAGCGATCGCCAAGTAGACATCGGCACTCTTGTGCAAGATGGCCGCCGTTGCGAGCATTCCAACAGGTTCTTCTGTCAAGATAGACTCCTGTTTTGCGTAAAAGAACAAAGCAATGGTCAGGCCGAATACAATGCAGAGGATTGACACGACTGGGTAGGCCACAGCAGGAACAACAATCAGCCTAGTCCGCTGAACAGACATTGTGGCTAGCTGTTGCATGGGCTCGTCAGTGGGTTGTAGGAGAGTGGAAGTGGCAAATATTGCATACATGGTAGGAAACAACGTTTGAGCTGCGTCGATAATCACTTCAGGCAGTAGTGGGGAGGTCGAATTTCGCGTTTTGGCAATGCGATACACCTGGCGGGGAAACTCAGTACTCCTGATTTCCTCCATCGGGTCATAGCAACCAGTTTCCTGCATTCCCCACTCAAGGGGGAACCATATGGCGTCGGCTTTCCATTCAGATCGACTGGTAGCTCGGAAGTCTCTAATGCCAGGGGCCGTCATGGGATCCTGCAACCAATCCGCCGTCAGACTCCCGGTCGTGTTATAGTAAGAAGTCGTGCATGAGATGAGACCGAAGTCCGCTAATTGTTCATCTTGGGTGATTCGGCCTGCAAGGAAGCTGAAGCGACTCCACCCAGAATGTGCAGGGCATGTAGTCGTGGTCCAGGAATGGATGAATCTGCTTGGTGAATCTGAGTTCAGCTCCAGATTCAGGGAACTCCCTATCAGACAACCGCGATCGTTTGCGCTTATCATGATAGTGATCGCAGGAATGCCTGTCTCTCCAGGTAGCAAAATATGCTTCCGGTACTTATCCTCTTCGAGATATACGCAGTCTGCTTCGGCTGAGTATGCGATACTATTGTACGTGACATTACCAGTTCCAACGGCCATCAAAGGGGTAGAAGCGGGAAACGCGTACGTCTCAGTCGTCCAGGGAGCCCAACTCGCATTTTGAATGTGAATGGCTGCAGCTGCCTCCATGAATCGCAAACTAGGAATGCTAGTAGAGTTTTGGAAGATGCTGGTATTGAAATTTCGTTCGATGGAGATTGGGAGTGTGCTATTGAGGCCAAATTCCCTCGTGGTGAACATGAAAGCGGTCACAGGTACGACGAAGAAGATTAGAGTCGCAGATAAGAGCATACAAGCAGCCAACAGCAGATGCCCGTTCTCAATAGCAGAACGTACGCAGAAGATGTAAGGCTCTGTGTACTCAAACATGAGGGTCTTCCTGGAGATTTCACCTGTCTTTTTCCGTAGTTCCACGTAAGGCTGCCTTTTGACGAACGCCCCCAAGGCAGTGTTCCAAGCAGTATGAAACATCGTCATGAGAAAAGATGGAAGGGCAGTGTATAAAATGCCTTGAGACCATATTGCTTGTTCGACAGCTTCGTCATGCGAAAGAAATGAGGGTGCACTTCCAATATCCACAAACCCGAAATGGCGTCGTGACATAATATCGAGACTTATTATTGTCGCAATGATAAGTAGGTCAGTAGTCGTAAGTAGTAAGAGCCATTTCACCGAAATTTTCCAAGACCTCTTCTCGGAGGGGTTTAGGTCTGTATCATTATGGGGTGCATCCAGTAGAATAGCATCTGCACCGGCGCCAGCATCGGCGCCAGCATCGGCAGCCGTACCAGCACTAGAACCAGTCAGCTGGGAGCTACAACCAGACGACGTACCACCTGAGGATGTTGGAGAGCCATCTGAATGCAACGCTGTAGAATGGTTGAGGCTTTCCAAATGCGAACGACTCACATCACCATCTTGCTGGGATGCACTGTCTTCGAGGCTGGTGTCTGTACTTCCTAAGGCGGTTGAGGCTATGGCTGCCGCACCCTGAGCTTGGTCGCTACTGCTTTGATTACCCTCCTGAACTTGACTCTCCTTGCCTTCGACTGATTCAGATCCATTGATATGATGCTGAGCCTGATGTCGAGCACTTCCAGAGTCGATATGTGGAAGCGTCAAAGGCGTGTGCATGACGTGACTGTGGCTCGGTGCTTGACTCTCCTCCAGAGCCTCTCCATCGTTGTTAGATAAAACACGAGAGTCCGAGTTGGGATTCGGAGTAGTAGTCGACTGGTGGCCATTCGCCGCTGTTCCATCGTGTGGTATTGACACCATGATAGGGAAACTTCGAGCGTATCCGAAGGTTGTCTCTAGAAATGGCTCAGAACTAATGATGATAATGCTCTCTATCGATATGAATGTTTCCAAGGCCGACAATGAGGCGCAGATGCGACAATTTGAACGCATTCAGGGATCTCGAGGGCTCCCCCCAACGTAAGCATGCGGCATGCCTAGCCAGCATATTAGGAAACTGTCGCAATCAGGAAACTTTGGTTGTGATCTGTGCCACGTACCCTTAACTGTCAGCCTGAGCTACGGAGTACAGAGAACGAAGCCTTACTTTGGTAACCTACTGCTGGAGCGGTGTGGACCAGGCAGAGGTAAACAGGGTATGGATAGGCGTTCGGGTGGCGTCGTGATGGCGTTTCCCGGTTTCGATATCACAATATCGAACCAATCAGGCATAATTAGCTAGCTCAGCTTCCATGAAACAAGTGTTGGCGAACAAGCAAGCGTAGACGTGCCAAGGCGTTGTGAAAGAGGCTGAACATTCCTTCTGTTGGTGACGACGTCGAAGGACTATTTTCAGCTCTAGAATCCTCAGACGTCCAACCTCCGCAGTTAATCGCTTTCTCCATCGTAGGAGCCTTGAAAACGATGTATCTCGGTTTGCTTGCGTTAGTTGTCCAGATCTGTGTCGCTGCGGCAGGGTTCGTGCCTCCAGCGGAGTGGTGTGTGCCTGATTCGGGGCTGAAGGAGCTCTCTGGGTGTATTGAGTGGACAAATCTCCGAGATGAATGCGACAGCAAAGGAAATCAGGAGGAGCGACTCAAGTGCGCGTGCACGCAGGAGTACCTGTCTTCTCTCTATGCGTGAGCAAGAGCGACCGTTACTCCCAGGGCCAAGCTGATAAATCTGCAGCTGCGAAAGCGATGTACAGCTTTGCCTCGCGTCACACTGGTTCGACAATCAATTCGAACAGAAGATCGCTGAGTGGCACTCGGCCTGTGATAGCAGGATGACTTCAACTGTGACGACCCCCCCGCTGCCAACGATCACTAGCACACTCGACTTGGGGGCATGCAACCGTCTCCATCGGAGCTGTGTCAGCGGGCATCGTGAGACGCAATTGTGTTCGAATAAACACCTGCCTACTTCCAGCCTCTCGTATCTATCGTGTATATGCCAACCGCCAATATACTCGTTGTTCTCGGAGTGCCAGTACAACGGCAACATCAGCTGCAAAAGGACAACAGCCGCAGAGTCCAACATCATGGGATACTCCGTGTGTTCGTACTTCTGGTCAGGATCGGTGAGTTGCAAGCGATCGCCCATAATTACCTGGAGCGAATGAACAAAGTCTTGAAACTGACAGTCGTGCCATAGGAAACCTTACCATCGAGAGATTGGACCTCGGAGCTTGGGATCACGGGCGATGCAGACGTTCAAGCAACTCGAATGCTGATACACACGCTTGACAGGTTCCGGGAGCCCACGCCTGTGAGTGACTCGCCGCCGGGGCCAACCGGCCAGAGCACTGAGTTCGCACACAACGGCGAGCTCCGAAGGAGAGGGTTGAGATTTGAAGGCTGGTTTGCAAATATTAATGCTAGGATTTAACAAACTTTTGATTGAGTTGGAGAGGAGAAGATATATCAAGGATATTGTTACATGCGGTTACCCACAATGATGCCACAGCACGAAAACAGAGAAGTAAATATAGTGTGCTAAGCTATATTAAATCCTCGTCGCGGTTATAATTTCGAGGACATATTATGGGCTGGGCTACGAGGAAATTTAAAGGTCTACTCGTAACTAATCGACGTAAATATTTCTATGGATTACTCGCCACTACAAGATAGTATCTTCTACTAGTGTATAGGACAGTTCTCTATGTTTCAATACTAAGTTTTTACTACAGAGAGAGCTATCCTAAATGGAGTTAAAGCCTTAATATATATATAGTTTAAAACTCTTTCTTCTTTCTATCCTTTAGTATAGCTTCCCCATCGAACCGTTGTCACGAATGACCTGCGCAGAATGAGTCCCTCTCCCCCGAGAGAGGCGAGCCCAGAAAGACTGTACAGCCAGCAAACGCACCGAAAGCCACAGCATTGAGATTGTTGCAATTTTATTAGAGGACTAACATTAGCTAGGTACAACACATGTCCTGTCCGTCCCCACCGCCCTCCCTGAATGACTTGACCATCGGAGCTGAGGGAACCGAACAATTGCATACAGCGAGAAAACCGCGACGGGACGCGTCTATGTCGCCACTGGGGGCTCACAGGTCGTCGCAGATGTGGGATAGTTAATCGAGCCATGGATGATGAGATAGGCTTGAGACCCGCCGGAACACGTAGGATACTGGAGCGGCGTCGGGTTGGCGTAGACGGGGAGGTTCGGGAGCGCGCCGGAGTTGAACGTGTATTGACCCGGAGCGCAGGTATCAATCGGGAGACAATCCAAGTCGATATGAGCTTCATCGATGAAATACCCGGGGTCGAGGCTATACGTAACGGTCACGCCACCGGTAGGGCTGGCAAACGCCGTCCAGTCTCCGACGTTAATAGCATTCGCAATGTCATTACCGCCGGCGCCAACATAGAGGATACCGCTGATGCCAATCTGCAGCTCCGCCAATGTCGGCGTCTCGTACCAACCCCAGCGGTTGCACCCATTCCCGGATTGGGTGTTAAGCGTGATGGAATCGCCTTCCAGCCATCCCATAGCAGTTCCTAGCTCACATGTAGTCACGGTGGGCGGTGCAGAGCTGGTCGTGGATGCGCTGGTCGTGAGTGTGCTGGTTGTGAGGGTGCCGGTCGTGAGGGTGCTGGTCGTGGAGGCGCTGGTCGTGAGGGTGCTGGTCGTGGAGGCGCTGGTCGTGGAGGCGCTGGTCGTGGAGGCGCTGGTCGTGGAGGCGCTGGTCGTGGAGGCGCTGGTCGTGGAGGCGCTGGTCGTGGAGGCAATGCTCGAGGAAGGCAGACTCGACGTGAGAACACTAGATGAGGGCTCACCTGACGTGTGGGTGATCCAAGGCATGCGCGAGGCATAAGACGGCTGGTTCCCCCCCAAGCACCTGTACCGGTGAGGAGTGCCACAAACACCGTGGCCCGAGCCCGGCAAGTTGTTATTGCCCTGGCCCGGCGGAAGTGCAAGTACCAGGCCGCAGCCGACAAGGACGGCCCCAGCGAGACTTGCCCTCATGATAAGAGAAGGGAACGAGCGTGGTTGATTTGGGGTGAACGAACGACGACGGGGGGATGAAGCCAGGGCACGGACTCAGACAGCAGCGTTGACAGCCTTTAATAGGATGGCCTCGGCCTGGGAGAGTACTCGTACAGTATCTCAACATCGTCGTGTCCGCGTCTCTGGCACCCTCAGGACAATACAAATGCTCAATCTTGTGGAAATTTGAGGCTGAGGCGGCATACCGCAACCAGCATCAGCCCCATATGGCGATATGTGTGATTCGATGATTATTAAAGTTCACGCCATCTTGAAATGGAACTTTCCGAGACTCTTGGCGGCAATTTCTGATTTAGTGCTATACGATCTTGACCATCTCGACCATCTCGACCATCTCGACCATCTCGACCATCGGGCCTGAGAATATCATGTACAAACTACTAACAAAAGTAGTCATACAATAGCCCACGTAGCGCCAATAACCATAGATGGACCAAGGCCCGTGGTGCTGTTGTTCTTCGTCCGCTGTGCTGGGGACCTAGGGTCTACAGGCTGTCAGGAATGCCTCGGGGGCCTCCTGGTACGCATAGCTAATAGGGCCGAGATCTCCTCGTACTTCGTGCGAGATTCTAGTCTTTTTGAGCAATCCTGGAAGCCAAAAAGGGGCGGCCATGAATTGGCAAGCTAGGTTATTCTTTGTTGCCTCCTTCAATAACAAGTTTTCCCCGCTGTTGGACATCCTTGTGCTGAAATTTAAACTTGGGAGGCTATCGAGAGGGATCTACCAGATCGAGATGCCCCTCGCGCAGTAAGGTTCAATCCAGCAAAGTCGGCGATCATTTCGGGGAACTAAGTCGGGGAAGTAATTCGGGCTCCCCATCAACATCAGTCGAATATCGAATACGAACGGATATTTTGCACATCTTGTCCGACATCTATGCGCATAGATCTCAAGAGCACGATCTTCCCAACCTCTATTATATTCCATCAACCACCAATGGCGACTAAGACTACCAAACATCAACCATCAATGACGACTACGACCGCCAACGAGCCACAGATACACACTGTGTTTGAGCCTGTCACTGGAACATGGCAATATGTGGTTGCCGACCCAGACACCAAAGAAGCCGTCATAATCGATTCGGTGCTTGACTACGACAAGGAAGCCGGGATGATCAGCACCAAGTCTGCCGACCAGTTGTCGAAGGTAGTATCAGACCATGGATACACGATTACTCGGATCCTCGACACACATGCACATGCAGACCATTTGACTGCATCGAGGTATTTGCAGAACGTGCTGGCGCAGAGACAACCCGCACGTTCACGGCCGCAAGTGTGCATCGGAAGACGCATTCTAGATGTCCAGGAAAGGATGAGGGAAATCTACAATATCCCACAAGAAGACATACACGAAGCGTTCGACTATACTTTCGACGATGATGAGACCTTCGCTATCGGTGGTATTGAGGCCCGAGTCATTCACTTGCCCGGCCATACACCCGACCACATTGGCTATGTTATTGGGTCAAATGTGTTTACCGGCGACTCAATGTTCAATCCTGATGTCGGATCAGCTCGATGCGATTTTCCTGGGGGCTCGGCCACGGAGCTGTACAACTCGATGCAGAAATTACTAGACCTTCCAGGCCATTTCAAGCTATACACTGGCCATGATTATCCGCCTGAGACGCGAGAAGGGCCGGTGGGAGCACATGGCACCAAAGCCGTTCCATTTACGACCGTGAAGACCCAAAGTGAAGAGAACAAGCATGTCAAACGAGGAACCAAAAAGGAAGAATTTGTGAAATGGAGGTCGGACCGAGATCAAGGCCTTGCAGCGCCAAAATTGTTACAACAGTCTATGCAAGTGAATGTTCGAGGCGGTAAGCTGCCTGCAGCCAGTTCGGACGGATTCAGATTCGTGAATGTGCCTCCGGACGTTGCACAGGTAAGAGGAGGCTAAAATATAGCGACTTACTCCAGAGAGCTGCTTTGCGATCAGTCAATGTATTTAAGTAGACACGAACCTCACTAGAGCATGTTCGCATATCCTGGCAACATATATAAGTATTGCAAAAAACAGCCCTGAACTGGTTACTACGACTGCTGCACTGTTGGACGCTAATAGGCCCACAGAGTGTCGACATCAGATATGACGAATAATTGAGCAATCACGACACTAACGAGCGACGTAGCTTTAGCTGCCCTCGCATAGGCAAGATAGGTACGTTTAAAGGCATGAAAGTCCCGCGGATCGTGCAGAAATGAATTCAAGGGACCATGGTACAGAGTATTTCGACCACAGTCGAGCAAGGATGACATCTCCCGGAAGGCATCTTAATTGCAGTCGCCACAACCAAGTCGTTTGTGAGGTACGCGAAAGCTGGGGTGTTTGACTCAAATGGTTCAAGGAATGGCTCATTGCATGCTTCCCAGCCTCATCTCCATTCTCTAGCTGCTACCTATCGACTTAGATCGCAGCGGCGGCGACCCCAGCAAACGAATGATAACAGGTCATTGGTGAGTAAATTCTTGAATGCATACATAGTACTCCCCAACGCCTGTAGCTTTCTCGCCACGAAGGATGCTCCTAGGCTACTGTCCATTGGAAAATGCCAACGACTGCTGGGCTAGGGCCATCGAGCCAGTAGTCAGACTCGCTAGTGAACCTGAGCCTTAGTCGCCGACCGTCTGCGTCATTCGCCGACAATCTATGCAGTCACAGACCGTCTGCCTTAAAGAGCTGGTATATATGTGCAAGTGCGCGGCGGTCATCTGGACGCTGGAAAGGTCCGACGATTCGACATCGAAATTGGATACCCACCCGATATTGATAAGCACACTAGATCATCGAGATGTGCAAAAGGGCTACCTGCAGTGTTTGCAGTATGGCATTCCACTATCCTTGCCATTTTAATAGGAGATCTGACCCTACGCAGAAAAACCCACCTGGTGGGGATGCGGACAACATATTCCGGCGGTCATGGATGCGGTGCCCGAAGCTCAGCGCTGTAGTTGCGAGCCCAAGGTCGAAGTCGGGGCCAATAGCTATCCCCCCAAGGCAGAAAAGGTAGATGAGAGACCTAGAAGGCTCCGAGATGGCGGGGGCTAACGGGTGGCATCAGTGGCAAACTATATTCGGATCGTGGTTCAAGTGATGCTATATTAATACTATATTGATATATCTACAATGCTAAATAGGTAAATTATAATCAAGTCCAAGTCATAGTACTAATAGTAGCGATGAAACAATAAATAGTATATTGTATATTTTATTACTAAGATCCTAGTAGTAGTTTTATGAAATAGTACGTACTAGACTGAAGGAACGACTCTAAGTCCTTAAGAGTCGTTAGTATTTGATAATATCAGTTTCGCGATAGAATGTCGCTCTATAGAAATACTATTACTCCTACTATTAGACATAGTTGCCCTATTTATATAAGATGAAGAGGTATAGACTATAGCACGAGTAGCACTATATAGTAGTACCTTGATTTCAGAACACAACTATTCATATACTTTATGCTATGGAACGATCACAGTCCTGATCCAAATGCCTGCTGGCAAGCGAAAAGGGGAAAAAACAACCGTTTGCGTAAGAACTTGCAGTCACTTCGTGGGAGGTACCTAGAAGGACAGTCCAGCGGCACTATACTCGGGATACCGAGTATTGATTACATCGTACCTTACCTTTAGTTACTCAGGCACCCAACGGAAGAGACGAGTGACTTTATAGTAAAGCAAGCAGAAAACACGGCTTGCTATACTCTAGTGGTACCTCAGTACCGACTTGGTTGTGAATTATAATGTATTGAAATCTTATGCGGAAGAGAAATACAATGCAGCTCATGGAGAAACAACAATTTCTCCATGTACAGGAACGCTGCCTGCACCATCACATGCCTCGTTGTCAGTTCGCAGCTACGATGTACTATATGGATTAGACATCGCTCCGGCCCCCTTGCTCTCGCGCATGGGCACAAAACGGATGCGGACGTACTTTCTCTACGCACCCGCTACTCGGTACGAGCAACACTTGCACCTTATTCGTCCGAGCTGCTTCAGGAGCCGGGACAAGAGAAAGGACCTTGCCTTGGTTCAACCGGTAGCAGCACTGGTCCATCGATCGGGTACCTTTTCCGTGATTTAACGCGAGGCTGAAGGTCTACCCCGGACCTATGTCCGCAGAACCTTCGCACGCGAGCCAGGCTGTGAATGAATTGAATTGAGCAAGATGAGCCTCGCATTGGCGTCTCAAGTGATTGGCTTGATTCATTTCTTCGTCATAATTATGACTTTACTCGGTAAGTGAGTCCGCCCTTTCCCTCCGAAAGCTCTGCACGACTTAGAGCATTGGTGGTTGAGAGGAGGAGGATTTCATTCATTTCTCTTCTCCAAATCAAGAGAAGTGGCCTTGAAAAAGAATACCATGCGAGCCAATAATGCTCACCAACCTGCTCTTTATCAAGGGTGTCTACCGAGGCTTGATCTCAACGACGCGTACGACGGACTCAACCATCCCGGTCCAACTGGGGAATCTCCGGCAAGAAATCGAAGCGGAGCGTGCATTTCTGCGATACCGACTTCGCGAAGACGATCTGTACCCAGTGTTTTCAAAGGCGCTGCGCAAGCGCCACCGCCGGAGACGAAGCGAGGTCGGGGCTCTGTTGAGCCTGATCATCAGCGATCTGTGGCAGGAGTTCAAGGATGTGGAGCGGCCGTTCCTGATCAGGAATCCGTTCAGGGCTGAGAAGGTGCGCAGGGGCGATTTTTGGGGCGAGAGTGATCTTGATGAAAAACCGGTTACACAGGGTGATGGTAAGAAGAAGGTCAATAATCGCATGTGCACGGCTGAAGCGGGCTTGTATTCGGATCAACAGCAACAGCGGTACTACAATACCGACCTGGCGCATCGATTGACCTGGTGGCAGAGCCGCACTGCGGTGGAGAATATGCTGCTACAGGTCCAAAGGATCCGGATTCAGAGGATTGAAAGGGATGCATTTGAAACAGACGAACTCATCAAAAGATATTTGAGGATCCTGAGTGGGGGAGGACCTGCTCGTGGCGGAAGAAGCCGCAGTCGTAGTAGTAGTGGACCGGGAAGTGGTGATGGCGGTGGTGGGCTGAAGATAGCTCAAAGGCGCAGTGTGAGACCCGGTGCTGGAAGTGTGCAGCGCGTACCATCTCGACGAGCTAGCAGAGGTGGAAGTCGATTCAGGAAGAAGGTAGAGACAAGAGAAGACACAGTTCATGCGGAAAGTCGGGTCAATACCAGAGATCCGGAATCAAGCAATACTGGTCCGCCACGAGAGCGGACCCCTCGACCTCGATATGAGTATGAGATGGTACAGGCTGGCAGAAGCTATGGTGAAGGCGATGAAAGGCCAGTGCGACGTGGGGACGTTGAGTATGTGGATATTGGTCAGACACCAGGCCGGCGACCATCCGAAAGGTTGAATAGTCGAAGAAATGGCTATGTGGGTGACAGACCAGAGCGGCGATATCGTACTCCACAGCGGTGACTGAGAATTGTGGACAGGTACCTTCGCGCCTGGAGCCTGAGATGACAACATGAACCCTTCTCGTGCTCTTATCCACTCAGTCCCAGATGGTCAGCTGCTTCATTCTTGCTTCCAAGCTTCAAATTCCTGCTCAAGGTGTTCTTTCAGCCGCACAAATTTATTCCCAAATATCTTTCCACACCGCCAACACTTGAAATCCTCCTTCAAGTTCCCATTCTGGTAGCTTATGCTTCTCCGGCGATCATCCTTGGCTAGAGGGTAATCATCCAAGGGAATGAAGAAGTCGGTGTTGAAGCTGTTATAATGCTTCCTATGCTTGAGTCTAGCAGAGTGCATATCCCGACTGACGATGTGGATGTGGAGGTGGTTCATGGACGGATGTGCGTGAATGCCGACACGAAGTTCTTTGGAAAAGTCTCTTCCTGGTGGGAGCGTATCTGGAGGATCATTGCTCTCCATGGCAGCGATCCTGGCCTTGTGCGTTTCAGAGAAAGGGCCAATCAGACGGGATAGTTCTGAAACTGCCAGCTTGAGACTTGTAGTGACCTCTCCTCTTATCATCTCGAGGAAGGCTGGATCGTCGAATGCCTCGTGTGGATGTAAATCTCTCTTGGAGGCATGCCGTGGAAGCAGTAATAGATGGAGCGTGGCCTTGGGGAAAGCGTCTCGAATGAGGACTGTGTTTTCATTATAAGTGATGATTTGTTCTGGGAATCTGTCAGGTCTCAAGACGTAGGCTAGTAGAGCGTTCTTGGGGTTGCCCAAGTTGGCTGGCTTTGAGGTTGAGGACGGGGTGATGGCGGTTGATTTTGGATGCTTGGATTTTGGTGACATGAGTTCACTGAAGGCGTCTTTTCGCTTGTTTGCAGTGGTACGGGAGCCTTGGGTTTCATCCTCGTTCGTTGCCATTTTTAGTTTGGGTTGAGTTGCTGTGTGGATTTCGTGGACGAAGGGAAAGGGTTTTTAGACGAGTATGGTTGGGGGTTAATTTAATGACTTGGATCTTGCATAATGTACGGAAGGAGCAACCCTCTCCCAAGTCACGATGCTACTGCCTACATGCCACGGCCACGGCCACGTCACCTCGTCTTGATGCAATGAATAAAAAAGGCTTATCTTGTTATGTTTGATGGTCGTTCGGAGGCAGCCAGTCAGCTCGTGCAGAAGGATTCGATGGTCTGGCCTGTAAAGTGACAGACTAACTTGATGCACGTGGGGAGAGGATCTATTATTATCAGTCAGTACTATCATCTTCAATGAACCCGCGTTTCATCACCGGGGCTGGCTGAGGATCAATCAGGATCAGGTCGGGCGAAAGAGAATCCAATGCAGGAATGGTTCAAATATGGACTAGCATTAATACACACGGACATATCATTCTTTGCTAGAACGAGGCACTGGAAGCCGAATATGACCCGTCGCCGTCTTTCTGTAGGCTGGGGATCAGGGAGTAGAAACATGCAATACCAACATGCGGCAAGTAAAGGTAACGCCAGACAGCTACTCTTTCTAGACTGTCATTCCAATAGAATATCCCTAGTTGGTTGGGCGCAAGCCTCGGAGAAATCTGTTCTCAATGACTTTTGTGCACCCTTCCCAATATCAAATGCAAGCCGAAGCCCCATCCGTTCGCACAAGACGCGCAGCACTCAACTCCATGCGGTGAAAGAGCCCCAGCCCCAGCCCCAGTTCCATCCCGGCCCACATTTGACTGTTCGATTTTCTCATTCAGTATGATGGTGGTAGCATGCGGATATGGGCCTTGTCATTTCCCCTTGCCCTGTTACATGACCACGCACCGACTGCAACAGCCTGCGTTGTCTGCTTGATTGTCCATCTCAAACTTCTGACCGGGTGCGTGGGAGCCGAGCTGAGGGCCGCCTGAGTAGCCTGAGATCTCACGGTTGTACCTCCTGATTTCTCGAACAAGATCGTAGAAAGCATTGTCGACATTTATTCTGGATTTGGCCGAGGTCTCGATAAATTTGCAACCGAAATTCCGGGCTAGTTGTTCACCCTCCTCTTTGGAGACCATTCTCTCGTTATCGAGATCACATTTATTACCCACTAGGATGATGGGAAAGTAATCTTTATCTTTGACTCGCAGGATTTGTTGTTGGAAGGTCATGATTTCTTCAAAGGACTGCCGGGAAGTGATGGAATAAACGAGTAAAAATCCTTCGCCTGTCCGCATGTATTGTTCTCGCATTGCGGAATATTCTTCTTGGCCGGCGGTATCCAGAACATCGAGCAGGGCGACTTCATCATCGATCATGCATTGCTTTCGGTAGGAATCTAAGGGGCGCAATCGGGTCAGTGAGGCTTGGGTTTGAGGAGTGGCTGTTCGTACCTTCAATAGTCGGGTCATATTCATCGACGAAATGACTTTGGATCAGTTGAATGGTCAGGCACGACTTTCCAACTCCTCCTCCGCCCACCACAACCAGCTTGTATTCGCGCAGAAACTGCAGAGGTGGTGTTAGTCCTGCCATTTGTGTGGAGGAAGTATGAGACAAGAGGGTCAAGCAACCTTTGAAGCCATGACGGCCAAGTACGAGGAAGAAGAGAGAAAGAATGTACGAGGTAAAGTGGATGTGTAAATCTCGCTAGCGACAAAGATTCCAAACGCGAGGGCGTGGCGCCGAAGCTGGGAGACTGGGGAGTTGGAGCGAGATGCGATACCAGGAGGCCTTGGCAGGAGGATCTCTAACGGTCGAGGTGCGGTAGCCACTCTAGGGGAGAAGCAGGGCCGGATTCCGCTGGGAAGCGAGGATAATCGATAGTATGTGATTGACGGATGGCGACCTAAGTCGGTGGTCGGTGGTGCTAGTGAGGAGGAGATAGAGTAGCAGGGCAAAGGAGAGACACTGTTGAGTCGGAATCGAGAGGGCGATCCAACGTGAAACCTGTGTCTTGGGGATCGCTGTAACAACAGGTACGAGTCCTCGTCCGGAAGACGGGATATACGACTGGCACTACGGGGTACCGATGACTCGCTACTGGGGTGCCTGGTAGGGGTAGATCAGATGAAGAAGAAAATCAAGGTCTGTCTTGCTGTGGCTGCGTCGGTTGCGCGTCGAGGCCAGGATCCAGAGAGAATGATTGAGGATGAGTCGGATCAGCAAGGAGAAGTGATCGATAGAAATGGCTCGTGAGGAGAAGGGGGACCTTTGTGGTTGAGCAGCGGTTACTGTCAGTTCAGTCGTGGTCGTGTCGGAGTTTGGATGATAAAGTGACGGACAGGGAGCGCAGGGTACTTGCTGAGTTCGTCGTAGCACCGAGAAGGCTAGAGACTAAGGCTAGAGTCTAAGGCTAGAGGCTAGGCTAGAGGCTAGGCCCAAGTAGAGGCTGAGAACGCCAGAGCCCTGAGCCAAAGCGCAGAGGAACCAGGGTAAAGGACTCTAGGCCCAAGAATACTCCGTATGCGAGCCAGGGTTTGGGAAGGGGAAATGGAAAGGGAACTAACTAGGTGAATTAAATCCCACAATTCTTGACAAAGGGGGGGCACGAGGGACCACCTACTCTGTATGGTGAACATTTACGAGGACCACTGCCATCAGAGTTCAAGTTCGTCTAGTCTTAGGAGCCGAGAACTCGGGCGGGAGTCTGTGCAGGTGCCGGCCACTGACGATTGAAGCGCAAACAACCAGAGAACCAGAGTTAGGCACCATAGGGCCGCCAAAGAAACTGACACATGCCCAGTGAGTACTCCGTAGGTCGTGCGCTTGGCCCCTTACATACTTGATTGACCCCCGATACAGATACTCGCGGTTATACTCCGCACAAGCAGTAGGCGCAGCGCTGGTTATAAGCATCCCCATTACAATCATGAAAACCTGAGCTACTTACATAGTGCGTCCTTCCGTGGTCCCAGGCAGGCCCATGTGCCCTGTGCCTGATGTTCATGCCACTCTGCACTCCCAGTCCAATGCCCAGTGCCAGGTTACGCAGGGCGGATGGGCCCCCGAGTCACAACCTCGTGCCTTGGTCCTTGATGATGCACCTCCCGCTGTCCACGGTCCACGGTCCACGGTCCACCCCCTCCACCCCTCCTCCCCCCCTTATGCCGTCTGCCCTATGAACCCAAACTTGTAGTTGCCAACCCAAACTTCTTCCAGGCACGATCCATGGTGAAAGCCAAAAGCCACACATCATGCAGGCGGCAAACCCTTCTCTTTACCCCCGGCCCTCTTCCTGTCCTTCATCCCACACCATGATAACCATGACGCCTCCGAAAGCGCCCCCTGATGCAACGTTTGCCAACCAGCAACTCCAACAGAGACCCTTGGGCTAGGCCAACGCGCCGGGTGGACGGTAGCCTCTGAATACGCGCCCAAGGTCAACTCGCACAACAGTTGACCCTGATGCTTGCACACTTGCAGGTGCCATGCCGTTTTCTGAGAAATCTCAACCTTTTGTTCTGGCTGTCTGCTCTCTGATTCGGCTATATTCTCCATCACACGCCGTCCCGTCGTCTACGCGCTGGTCTGCATTATTAGCATCTCTAGCATTGCGCCTAGATGCTAGTGGACGGCGGGATCCGCACGCACAAGCACACGTCCACCCTCTTTTCCTTCTTCGGGTTGCCATGGTGGGCTCCCGTGGGCATTTAGGTAATTGGCTAAACCGCAGTGAGGCAGCATCTTGAATGGGGGTATCCCTACGATGTGCAGTACGAGTGCTGTAGTGGTGCCGACTTCAAGGTGTTGATGATATCGGACGATCCATCAGGTACTCCGCACACGACGGATGAACAAATCACTTCCTCACGTGCCGGGACATCTCCAGTCTCAATATTAACGAGGTAATGCGATGCAGAAACCAACGACCTTGCATAGAAAATGCCACCTTGACCCTTGGGCCTTAAGGGCACCTACTGTACCGAAAGGATTCCGATTCCTTTCACCTTCCCCAGTCGCTGATCACTCAGACCTTGATGGGCATGATCTGCATTGCGTGGAGAAAAAACAAACTGGGAGGGAAGGCAACTGTACCTACGAAAGGGAGATCAACAGGAGGTGGATTCTCGAGCTGGGTCCGCAGCCGCAAACCGAGGCCATCCTGTCTCCCGGGGAATTGGATGGTCCCAGAAAAGACCAATACGACGTGACATTTCTGGAACTCTACTCAATGGTGAAGGATTAAGTCCTTTCCCCGCCGATGTACTCCGAACCGAGCACGGCTGATTGTGGCACGGTACCGAGAGAGGTCCGGAAAGACAATAACCCAATAATTTCCCCAGGATCACGGGCCTTCAGTTATAATTCAAGGCGAAGGAAAAACAAAAAACAAAATAAAACATACGCGCGCAACTGCAATAGTAACAACCCTTTGGGGCGCACGTGGCTCCAGGGTCCACCCTCGGCCCCCAACTTCCAAGATATCTACTCCGACCTGACGGACCAAATAGGGGGACTCAAAGGTGTGCAGAGCCGAGACAAGTGCAGCCCGAAAGGGGACCGATCTAGGCCTCATGGCAGCGACGATGCATCGACGTACATAGAGCACCTCGTACCAAGTATGGAGGAGGAACAGACCACGCGGCCCGTGCTATGTTCTTGACTGGCGCGAGAAATTGGTGTTAGCTTGAATATATTCTTTATTGTTGCATTGCTTTATTGCTTTATTGCTTTATTGCTTTATCCCTCTATTGCTTTGTTGCGGTTTCTCCTCAGGCATCTTTGTCCTTCTTGACATCCGTCTCATCATCAGTGTCATCCTCTCCCTCGACCGAGACTCGAAGACCTTTGACGCCTTGAGCCACTTCATCCACCAAGGAATCCATGAACTCTCTATCTTTCCCAACCAGCGTCACCACGTTCCTGTTCTTGCCCCAACGCGGGTAGCTACCGACCTTGATTCCTTTCGGCTCGACCTTGGCTGCCAGTTCAGTAAGATACCCGGCAACCTCGCTCTCGGCCAATGGTGTGCTGAACAGGATTCGATACGAGCCCTTGCCCTCGGAATCAGCTAATCGAGGGAGAAGTCTCGGTTTCAAGCCCTGTAGCAAAGTCTCAAAGATTCGCGGCACCCCTGGCAGAATGTGAATATTCCTATTCACCACCGCGATAGGCACCCAGAGATCTTCCTTAACAAACACCACTTGCTCCTCATCCGGAATCGCAGGATCAGTAGGTAATTCAGCCATCCGATACTTGGCTGTTAACGCTGGCGACGGAGTATCCCACGAGAAGTTGGGTTGTGATTTATGTGGACGGGAGTACTTCTTCATCTTTTCCACTGTAGGTGTATGGAGCTTGAGTTCGAGGTTGAACGCTTTGGCTATTGACTGGTAGGTAATATCGTCGTGTCTGTGGAAGGACCGATGATGGTCAATTTGAGTCCCTGGCTCTGAGTGCGACTGTGATTGGGAGAAGCATACGTAGGACCGATCCCACCACTGGTTACTACAAAATCATAGTTTTTAGACATGCGTTGAGCAGCCTCTATTATCTCGCCCTCGTCGTCGGCGATGACTTCTACTCTTTTCAATTGCATGCCTAGAGAGAAGCAGAACTTCGCCAGGTATGCCGAGTTGGTGTCAACAGTCTATCAATTTCACCGGTTACATCATGTTAGAAATCGTAGATTATGCATTCTCTTCGCTCCTTTGGAACCGCACCACACTGGACTTAACGGCAATTCTCTATGTATGCGACTGACCTTTCCGCCCAAGACTTCATCGCCGATTATTATGCACCCTGCGGTATGGATTGGGCTCTGTTTGCCGTTGGGCGCAGGGGTTGCGGTCGACGATGATGATGTCATGTTGGACGCGGAGGAGGAAGAGGGAGGGACGGCGGCGGCGGCAGATCGATGCGCGAAATTGGGCAGTGGGCGTGAGAAATGACGAGCTAGTTGAGACAGCCGAGAGAACATTGGTCTGTCTTGGACAAGAAGGGAAGAAGAGCCTGCGGCAGGAAAGGAAAAGGGAGGGAATGAGGATGGGGACGGGAATGGGTCTCGATGGTGAAAGGTGAAGGGCGAAACTGCGCTGCTGCAGCAGCAGGAGGATGAAGAGGGATGATGCAAAGCAGTCTCAGTTGGAGAAGTACCCTTCCCCTCTGGTTTGTATGTGGAGTGACTCGGCCGATGTGAAGTACTCTTTCACTCTGGTTTGTATGCGGAGTGACTTCCATTCCCACTTCCCGCTGATTGGCTTGTGCCCCACCAACCACCCAACGCTATAAGCCTGGAACAGGATGATGCCTCATCTTGAGATCTCAAACATGACTACCGACTACTCACTCGCTATTCAGATATACTATCACATACTCCGTACTCCGTACATACCAAGAATATCTCGCAAGTCTTGTTTCATCGCCTCGCTTGCTCAGCTCTAAAGCCCACTCGGATTGTGTCACCTCGATCACACCACCTCGCTTGTACTCTATCTCAACCACTCAGCTGTACAGTGGAGTTGAATCGGCTGATCAGGCTGACTTTCCCATCCTGCTGCCTGGACCATAGCGACCTGCTCAATACACCACCTTGATTCTGGGTGCAATCTCCTAACAACTATCTTGCCGAAGCTTACGACCCAGGAAGGAAGCCCCTAACCAGCAAGACAGAACCTGCTTCACCCATCAGGTAAAATGGTAAGTCAGCTCGTCTAGAAACCCCATCAGCCCACGGCCCGTGCCTGGGATATACTCTCTCTACAGAATACTGTCTTTGAAACACCCACTAAGCTAGCTTCACTCGCACGGCCTGGGAGACGACACACACCGAGGCATTCAATCATTAACACAGTCAGTCAGAGTCCAGGCTCTACACATTCTCCCAGGAGACCAAAGACCAACTCCGCAAGTTCCGCCTAGGAACCTCGAGAGCCAAGACCCCTTTGGCTAAGATATGTGAGTTGTCTTCCCGAATCCTGTTTGGTCTGGGCTTCTTCAAGCATTATCCCCTCCCGCTGCATCCACATCCAACGTTCGAGCATTTTGAAGGTTCCGCACCGAATCCACGAGTACGAGTACATATGTGCAGTGGAGTGGGCCTCGATGGTCCAAGTCGAAGATTTGCCCCCCCACATTCCGTTTCCCCCGGGTTTCGTTCCAAAAAGACCCTTGGGGAGGTCGAAGGAAGAGAAGAGAGCCTTGCACCCCAGACATGGCTATCTCCTTATCCTCCTCGGGGCTGACAAGGCTAACCACACATGATTCATCGCCCCTCTTTGCAGACCAAATCGATGTGAAGACCCAAGAGATCAAACCATCCTCAGATGAGACATACTCGGACCTTCAAGAGCTCGCAGACGATCTGCCTGATTCATCCCCTCGTTTTGTGCTGTTGAGTTATCCGTTGACCCTGGTACGTTGTCACCCACCCAATTTATCAATACCATCTGCAATGTTGCTTGAGACAATCTGAATCTGATCTAACCTGGTGCTATCATCAGGCATCTGGACGCCTCTCAGTCCCTTATGTCCTGATATATTACCTTCCCGTTAACAGCAATCCGAACTTGCGTATGAGCTATGCCGGTGCCGTCGAGTTATTCCGCGGTACTGCTGAGGTGAACCGTGTTTTGGAGGTCAGCGAGGCGGAGGAAGTCGTCGCGATTGAGTCCAGGTTGAAAGGTGAAGACTAGATTTGGCTCAGCTAAGGGGTTGTTGGCATGGAATCTCGTTATTATGGCTGCCGAACAGGCCCCCAGTACTTGCCCCGCTGAACTTCTGAGGTCAAGACAGTCTGGTTCGATATCGCAATTGTATTCACACCCGATCTCTTTCGTTAGATGCTCTACCGAAAATCTATGCCAATTGCCCGAACTCCAGTATAATTAATCGCCAGCGAGAGGCTGAGTATCTTACTAGAGATATCCCGTCTGACTTAACCTCGGTAACTAGATAGGGGATTGTGTCGCCTTTCTACGTTCAGCTACGTGAGAGATTGGCCATAGAACCCATTCTTTATGGCCTATATATGCACACGTTCAATCATCTCATGGAAAGAAAGAGAGGAAGAAAAGAGAAACTTAGTAGGACTAAGCCAGTCACTACCCGGGTACCTGGCTGCTACCCAGCCGCCCAAGAGTTGTTGGTGATTCCACCACCACAGCATGCAACATCCATCTTGGGGCCCCTCCCCTCCCTTCCCTCTCTCGCCTCTCCGCCTCACCCATCCATCAGCCCAAAAACACCAACTCGCCGTCCTCGTTACTGACCTTCTCATCCAGCCTCACGCGCGCCCATTTCCAGCCGCCACCGCCGGTGCCGAGCTCCGCCTCCAGCACCTTCCCCCCCTCGACCAGCCTCACGTTCCTCGCGCTCGCGGCGAAATTCCCCCCGCGCGCCCACACAAACCCGCCGTGCTGGTTCGACAGACAGCCATTCAGCGACAACGACGACAGCTTGTACTGGCCCTGCACGTTCGGACACGACGCGATCAGGTCGAAGTCCCGGTCGAGCGTGATGCTCGTGCAGCTCGCGCTGAAGTTGCCAGCGAGGGTGCTAGTGCTATTGGGACGGTGTTAGAGCTGCGATGGACTTGGGAATAGGGGGGTGCAAAGGGGATGCATACGCGCCTACCTTGTGTTTGTGCTTCTTCTTGTGGTCGGAATCAGAGGATGAAGAACTACTGCTGCTTGAAGATGAACCCCGTCGGGAGCCGTGCTTCGCTGGCTTCGAGCCATGCGCGTATCCGCCGGCGCCAGCGCCGGCCTTGGTTTTCTTTGACTTTTTGTCCTTCTTGGTTTTCTTCAATGCGTCCTCGGCCAGTGAGCCCGTGATCGCGCCGCCCACCGCTCCCAGGAATCCGTGGTTGACCTTGTGCCCGCCGTACGCGCCGATCGCGCCGCCCGCCAGCGCGCCCATCAGGCCGCGGTCCTGCGAGTTGGGGTCGTGGACCATGGAGCCGTCCGGCGTCATCGCCATCGTGGTGCCCATGCCAGGCTGGCCTGGATACGCTTGGTGGTTGGGGTCGCTGTATTGGTTGCCGCTGGTGGCGTTGTAGTTGCCGTCGTACCCCGATCCATGCTGTTGCGCTGCCGGGTTGGGCGAGTATCCGCGTTGCTGCTGGGCCGGGTCGTTGGTGCCATAGCCATAGCCATAGCCCTGGCCCTGGCCCTGAGATTGACTGTCATAGCGGCCTTGCTGACCATAGGTGCTGTCCTGCGGAGGCGAGAATTGGTTGTTGTAGTTGTTACCGCCGTAGTCGGCAGCGGGATATTGACTTCCATGCGAGCCCTGCTGATGGCCGTATTGCTGCTGCTGGCCATACTGTGACTGCTGGTTGTACTGGTCGTAGCCCTGGTTGTTGTATCCTGAGCCCTGATCGCCGTATCCATGGCTTGGTGGTGGTTGCGGGGACTGCCCCCATTGCTGCTGGTGCTGACTGCCTTGGTCTCCAGTAGTATATCCATATGGATTCTGGTTCTGGTTCTGGTTTGGGCCCTGGTTCGGGCCTCCTTGGCCACCGCCCCAGTAGTCTTGCGCCGACATCTTGGATCTGTAGGAGGGAAAGCGGGGGAACTTGGAAATGACAAGAAACTATGGCTCGCTTATTTTTACGGCTTGGGCCTTGGAAGGCAGTTCAGTCAATCCTTGGAGAATGATGACTTTGGCACACAATCTCAAAGGCAAGGAGAGGAAAGAAAATGGCGAGTTCCCGCCTGTCTGGGTTCTTGTATCTATACTGAATACTTGTAGTAATCACGCCTTGAGTGAGATTTGACCAGATGTCAGAGTTCAGGCATCATTCAACTGAAGTCCAGCTCGCTTACATGTTAGCGGAATCAGGAGGGGCAACGTCGCACCAGAGATCGAAAGAGGATTGTGGCTGAGGCGGCATCCGGCATGTGCACAGCCACACGCTCAAAGGGGGCTGAAAGTGGCGCGCCCCTTCACTGGGGAGCACTTGACAGTATTGCTGTGAAGATGTCTGGCCATTGCAGAGGGATAATACATGGCCTAGTCACTACTGAAAAGGTTGTCACCCTGGGCCAATGAATGATTCCACTCCCTCTCGTGCGGCGTCGGTGTGCATGAATATGGATAGGTGGAGTGTTGTTCGGATAGTTTCCTCAGAGCAAGACAAAGATGAATACGAAGGTCCTCAAAAGGACGAAAGCATTAGGCAGTAGTGCTATGCTACTGAGTCAGCTGTCTGGATCAATATCTACCCATGACGAGCTATCCATCCCTACCCATGGGACCAGGACGCCCGACTTCTTTTGACAACAAAAGTGCAATATTCGCTCAAATCAACAAATAGTATGACAAGCACGATGCGCATCAGATCAATCACAGTTGTGCACGAACATGCTCGGCACCACCACCGAGTCTTCTGTCTGGCGGCGATAGGGAGTTTTGGGTGGTAAAGCCCTTGAAGTATCCCTCGAGCGCCTCAACCGTGCCGTTACCCTCGACCAACCGGATAGCAACACCAACATGTCCATCGGGTCGCACTACAACCACAGCACCTTCACCGTCTGTCAGGCCAGCCTTAGCATGTGCTGAAGCTTTTGCGTCCAGCACTTTGAGGTCCCGTCGATCATCTGCATAGATGCGTCCACTGTAATCATGGAACAACTCTGGTAGCTCTGAGATCTCAATTTCAGGCCTCCTCGCAGCGAGTGTAAGTGCAAGAGAAAAAAACCGAGAATGTGGGTTGTCGCTGTCGTGATGGATGTCCCTTTTCTGGTCATCATATGCGAAACGAGAATAGAATGAACCGGCTTTCAAGAGTCCAGATGACAGGTCAGCGAGAGCCTTATGTTGTCCCTTCTTGGGAGATGCAGAAAGTCCTCCAAACACGAATAACCGGAATGCGCCATTGAATGGGATCTCGTTTTCTAGATGCACCATGTTGGCATCAACAACACGTGTTACATCTGCTGGGGGAATAATGCGACCTGAGCGGAGTGTCGGTGAATCTGTGATCAGGAGGGGATGTTGAAAACCATGTTCCTTCGTATGGTTGAAAATGTTGCCATTGTAGGCGACACCGAAACCAGAAGTGAACTCGCAGTTGGCCTTGAACATCTCCACAAATGGATTCTCGGCTCCCTCGGGGCCTTTGGTTGCATCGGAGACCTCGTCTGCTGTGGGTTGTCTTTGTGAGAAGAGCGCCGCATACTTGTTGTCGAAGTTGAGCAGGGTTTCAGCAATGAACTTGCGTTCGACCTCGTAAGTCTCAAGCGTGTCTCGTTTGGCAAAGCCTGACTCCACTAGATGCATCTTCCATGCGAAGTTGATGGCGTCATGGAAAGCGGTATTCATTCCTTGGCCTGCCTTGGGAGAGTGAGTGTGGCAGACATCACCTCCCATGAAGACACGATGGTCCAGAGTATACTTGTCAGCGATACCCTGGCCAATCGGATAAACAGAATACCATTCCACTCGATCCCACGTGAGATAATAAGGCTGCAGGATGCGCTTAGCAGCCGCCTGCACTTCCGCGACGGTTGCAGTTTTCCGTGGGTTGAAATCGGGATCTGTCGAACTTGCAATCTGAATGTACAGTCTGACCATATTGTTCTCGCGAGGGATGACCATAATGCTGCCGTGGTCGGAGTGAATGGTACATTTCATCTTGATATCCGGGAAGTTGGTACGGACAACACCATCCATGACACCCCAGACGTGAGAGATGGGATCCTTGTGACGGATCTGAACGCCTAATTGCTCACGGACAAAGCTTCGTGCTCCTTCTCCGCTATAGAGGTACTTCGCACGGACAGTCTCCGACACGTTGCTGTCGAGATTCTTCAACTCGACTTCAACCGGGTAGTCGGGATTCGCATGGTTGGTTGCGAACCCGGCAATAGTCCACGGCCGTTGGACTGTCGTTCCGTTCTTTTCGATGTCCTCGATAAGCACTCTTTCGATCAGTCCTTGATGGAGGAGTGCTGTGAATGGATATCGGGCGTCAAGGAATTCCGGACAGCTTGCCCAGGTACCAGTTCGCACAATTTTCCCTTGAGGAGCTGGATCCCAGAATGCTACCTCGAATACTCTGGCCGGATGATGAGCCATAATCTTTGATTTTAATCCAAGGTTCCTCAGGATTTCAATTGATCTGGGTTGAATGCCGTCTGCTCTTCCAGTAGCAGTAGGTACTGGCCGGTTATCGATATGTTTGACTTTGTAGCCCCATCTCGAGAGGCAAACTGAGAGCAACAATCCTACAGGACCGGCACCGATGATGACGATGTCATACAGGGGAATCTCCGACGACATGTTGAAAGCAGGCCAGTTGCAAGAAGAGTTTGGGAATGTGCAATGGTCGCAAGTGCAATGTCGTGCTGCAGACTAAGTCAAGAAGGAAGAAGCTCTGTGCAACTCAAGACAATGGGAGAATTCCGCTTTCACAATCACCATCCCGAGGTTTGTGAAGGAGGCTAGTAGATTTATAGCAAGGAAGAGAAGGAACAGTCTTACCTTCGGGTCAGATCATGGCAGATGAGGGACGACACCCATGGCACCGACGGCACAGGGCGTTTGAGGCATCCGTCCCCAAACTATTGACCGAAACCACTTGCCGCTCAGAGCCCAGATTTTGGGGCAGTCTGTGATGTGAAGGGTGTTTTTCCGAGCCAGCCAGAGCTCTCGGCCACACGGCCGGGCTGGGAAAGCCACAAATATGGGGAAGCTCATCAATGGTAGCGGTGCGAGTCCTGAACTCATTGGACATGGGAGGCAGAAAGGAATCCAAGGATTGTCACGGTCGGCTCCCCGCATGCCGGCTGAAGATGTCGGCAGTGTGCTGGTGCGACACGTGGTCCAAAGTCACATGATCATGCATCACGTGACATTTCAAAGACATGCAGTATCCACTAAAAGCTTGACGTCGCACCTCCTTGTTTCTCGTCCTTTCTGACAGAGACGAATGAGATGCGACATGCACTCCGTGGGAAAAAGCGATTTATTATGCATCAAGCTGTGATGTGAAGTCCAGTGCGTCTGGGCGCGCTTTTCGTGCTGTATCATAGCAGCTGCTCTTCCTCTACTCCGGGACTGCTGACGTCTCTACTGAGTCTGGGCACCTCTTGCATGATTTGGACTTGCCTACAATTCCTGCTATGCCTTCACATATGATGGGAAGTGGAGGACGCATACCGAGGACGCTGTTGCGATGCAGGAACCCCCTTTGACTTAAAGTTGATGAAAGATGCTATGGTATATCTAAGCCTCCTCATGGGCGTGGGCGGAGGAGAGCCTTGGAAAACCCTCGCAGCCTCCTCGAGACTGTGACCACCGGAGCCGGATAAACAATACAGCGATGCGCTTGGCATCAAACACCGGCAGCGACAATGTCTATACTTGATCAGCAGGTTTGCACACGCCTCTTATTTGTTTTAAAGAACACAAAAGATCAATTCCAACAGAGTGGTGTACCGACTAGTCCTGTCATATCAAATGTGGTTGGTTGAGTTCATTTGCTACTCCCTCATCCAAGTCATCCCCTTTAATTGTGGTACTGTCTTTCATTGCTTGAGCCCCAACCCGACCGCCTGCCCTCCTCTCCTCACAAATCTGCCAGAACCGTGGATGAAGACGTTCGCAAACACGCGAGAGCGATGAAGATGCCTAACCTAGGATATGTCTCCCTACCCTCACCGGAAACGAGCCCAAGGTTGGCACAACACGAATCGTTTGATCTATCAAACCCACACCACCGTCGCGCTCTAGGCGCGTTCGACGAAGAAACCTGTCGCTACTTCCTTCGCACAATTGGTGCTGAGATCGTCCCATGCTACCCCTTCTCATTTGGCATGGAGGAGGTGTACTCTCGCATTCTGGAAACATACGGAACGAGGAGAGCCTGCGACGTGATAAGCGTACTGGAGGAACTTCTGGAAGACGAGACATCTGCAGGAGGCCAGGGAGACGACGGCGATGTCTTCCGTTCATGGCGCCATGGCTGGCGATATCGCAACGTTTGTTCTCCCGTCCACATACCTCATTGTTGCACCCATCCGCTAACCCCTATCCCCAAGATTGACTCATTGAATCCCTTCATACCCAAAGTCGGCAAATTTGTCCTCCTCCCAGCAACCCGCCGCGACATCCGCCAGGCGAAGAAAGAGAACTTCCTGGAGCTCTCTTTGAACGGCGGCCTCAACACACTCAGCGACTCCCTCACAGTCAACTTTCCAGATGACCTCTTAGAGTCCGCCAGCCCAAAGAGCCGTCTCGCTGGGAGCCTGAGCTCCGAGCTGCCCATGATCGCTATCCCGCGGCAGCGAAGTCGCAACGCCCTCGCCGCCGAGAACCGCGACGCGCGAATCATAGAGGGCACAATCTTCAGCAGAAAGGGCGCCGCCAAGAGATTGTCCTCCCTGCCCTGGGTCCCGCCTCTCGTGGCTCCCAGAAGCATATCGCGGAGCAGCTGGTTGCATGAATTGCGTGGTGTCTTCCGAACTGACAGCGTTGTCAAAGTCCGTGTTTGCAGCAAGGAGGTCTGAAGCAAGTATGCATGCTTGCAAGGAATTAAGATGATGAGACGAGACGAGACGATGTAATGAGTAATGAATAGACTGGAACTGGGTACTGTCCGCCAAACAGAGCGGTCGCGGCTCTTGCTGGATCGACAATGTGAGATGTTAATGAGCAATGAATACAAATGCGTGAACACGAACGAACTTTTATTTTTTGGTTCTCATTCCTCTTGTTTGGTTTCTACAGGCAACACATTTCCTCATCATCTATGTCTCACCCTGTGTTGTATTATGGCACTCGTAGACTGTGACCCAATCACGAAAATCGTCCATCTTTCACAGGACCCAAACCTGAAGTGTCCTCGAACTGTCTTCGAATCAGGAAAAGTTCAACCAGGGATGAAAGGACGGGGAGATTGATCAAAACTCACATCAACAAATCCACAGAGAGCAACCAAGCCGGTGTAAGACCTCACACACTCAGCAAGGTAAGGAATGCTCTTCTCATTGACTTTCCCAGTTACGCCTGCGTATTTCTTGAAGATACCAACCATGTGAGGGCGGTAATCGGTCAAAAATGCACGAGCCTGGTATTGGATTTGCTCGTTTTGAGGGCCGCGGGACATGAACGCCGAGAGCAGTAGCCGGAGTGTCGACGCGACGAGGGTGTAGTATGTACGCAGAGCGTGGTGGGCCGTGGTTGCGAGACTGGAAGAGGCGGACTCGCCGTTGCTGGATGGCATCGCGATGCCTAGATCTGGGTCGGTCTGGAATAGAGCCGAGTCGCGCGTCACGGACATCAATCCTGCATCGAGAAGCGCACCGGCACCCTCACGGGTACGTGAGATTTGCAAGAGGACAAGCATTCTTGCCTCGAAGACGGAGAGGAGATGAGGGCGATCTAATTTTCGTTTGGTCAGCCTTTGCGTTTGAAAATGATTGGTGGGCGATGAGGAGACTTACTAGCTGGCTCTGCACCCTTGAACTCTGCAGCAATGTATTTCAGAGGATCGATGAAGATTTCAAGCGCGTTTGCCTTGAGAAGTGACTTGATAACCAAAGAAGAGTTCTCGGTTCGAGCTAGAGATGTAAGGAGCCCGAGGAGGTTGAATGCATTTATGCGGCAGGCGTCGATACCATCGTCGGCATCGTCGCATATTATCTGGATTAAACGTGCACTGGCGGATCGAACACAATCCATGGCATTCTTTCGGGACCTAGCGTTGACGTCAGAATTTGAATCACTGTTTGAGATAAGACGGCTCAAATATTGCACGCAGATGCTGTATAATGTCGTTCGCAAGGCGGGACTCGTCTGAGATGCTGGGATTCCTTCAATCGAAGCCCTGAAAAGTTGAAACAGTTTCTCGGTGATCATATCCTCCGTATGAGAATTAGTTTCTGGTGTTCCAAAGAGGGTAAACAGTAAAGCATCAGCTGCTCTAGCGAGATCCAATACATCAGAAGATTCTTCGGCGATGTACGCATCAAGCTTGGGTAGCATAATTTGCAACATGCGAAGAATGAACTGAGAAGTTGTATTCGAGTCCATGGGACAGCACTCGACGACTGCAATTACCAAGTCAACATACTCGTGTAGAGTCTCTGTCCGCATCTTCCGGGCAAAATCGGCGCGATTTTGAGCTTCTAGGATAAGGATAATGCTGTTGGCCTCTGTTATCAGCTGTGATTCAATCACATTACGCTGTTTTTCGGAAACTCTTTCAAGGCGACTAGTTTTAGCGGCATTCAACCACTCGCGCGCTAACTTGAGATCGTGGACACTTGTAGGTCCTTCACTTTCTATCCTGAACATGCTGAAGTCAATATCGTCGTAATAGTTGACATCGAGGTTGAAGGTAACAGTCAGATCCAACTCCAAGAAGTCTAGCAACGCGTAGATATCTGCGTGCAAGATCAACGAGCCATCGGTATCAGTTGTTTTGCCTTGAAGTGTCGATAACGCTGTTCGTAGAGTATTGGTTAGTTCACCCGCCGCTGCAGCTCTCAATTCGGTCGCAGAGTAGTGATATAGTGAGGCACGATAAGCGAAAAACTCAGCAAGAGCTTCGGCAGATGTGGTGTACCAGAATAGGGGATGTGAAATCGAATTCCCATCCCATAAGGTCTGAGGCGAAATAACTGGTTGTTGAATGTATTGTGTCTGCAGAAACTGTAGTCGGCGCAATTGACCGATAACAATCTCATTGGATAAAGGTGAGGTCCACAAATGTCTGAGTACGCGAAGGGTGACCGTCCGTATATGTATCAGCCATGACATAAAGTCTCCGGCATCCGCACTGGGATAGCTCTGAATCAAGTCGGTCAGGGTGTTGAAAACTGCCGTGCCTTCATCAAGAGAATCTGAGAGAGCTAATGTTTCACCGAGACGATCAAAGCCGAGGAGAACATGTGCAACATTCGGTAGGTCGGGTTGTGTCTCGAGACAGGCGCTGAAAAAGGTTAGGATACCATCTTTGATCAAGTAGCCGACAGACTGGAAGCCGTCCTCAAGCTCTCGCATATCCACGGCTAGTCTTGCAGATAGATTCGCTGACACTGGCTGCAACTCGAAGCTCGCATTCGGACCAAGTGCATCAATGAGCCTAGTTGAACGACCGCGCACGATCTCTGCTGTCAAAAAGTGATTGTTGAGCTTGGCAGAACTGGAAAGTTTCTGGAGAAGTGCCAGAGATCGAAGCGCCAAGTCCGAATGACTTGTCGCAGCGAACTGGCACAGTTTAAGGACAACTTGAGGATGTGCCACAATAGAGTCCTCAATACAGGCAATGCTTGATCGTATGTTGCGTTGCTCTGCGAGAAGAGATTGGTTCAAAGGCTTCACGATGTCAAAGTACGTTGGCTGTAGGTCAAGAAGCCGATTGACAATATCAATGGCACGCTGGAGACCTAGCAGCAAAGGCGACTCCTGAGCGGCTGCTTCTACCGTTTCGGGGTCGACGAGCAACGATTCCATGATCAATTTGTTCAAATCCGTGCTCAGAACCCATTGCATCAGCCTTGCAAAGGGACTGTGTTGAGCATAGACAGCAGTTGGAGGTAATTCTGATGGCGATTGCTTGGTGGCACTAGAACGATCCAACATTGTCACATAATCCTCATTGAAACCCTCTATACCAGTGGCTATAAACTCCAAACAGTGAAAGACTCCAATCAGGCGCTGTGTCTCATCGTTCAGCTCCGGTATCCGCTTAACGAAGACTTGCCCACACACAAAATCAACGTATGGAGCTATTCCGGGAACGCGGTAGGACGAGCCGAGATCGATTGGAAATGGAAGGAGGTCGGCACTGGAACCCGTCGAAGGATTGGGGGTTATTAGATCACGTAGAAATACCACAAAGGTATCGTACTGGTCAAACGAAAGTGCTATCGAATTGAGGGTACTCAACAATCTAGAAGTCGTGGGCCTCAGGGGTTGAGCTGGGAGTGTAGCCGGCACACGGAGGCCATCATGTCCAACTGATGTCCAGGTGTCCAAAGTTTGCCACATCTCGGTCGTGGTCTGTAGGGTTTTGTCTGTGAGCAAAGCATCCAAGGTGGCAAATATGCTGGCCTTCAGATAACTGGGTACTGGTCCGGAACTGAGAATAAGCAGAGACTGTGAGAAGCTTGGCCGTGACTCCAGAATGAAGCTGCGTGTCTCGCTCGGCTGTTTGCACAGGTGGGCCAAGAGACGAAGGTAGCAGGATAACATGACTGGACTTTCCAATTCATTCATGTCTGTCGGGTCTATCTTCCTTGCACTCGGGATTTGTGATATAGTAACCCGTTCGTGTACCTTATTGGCGTAGAGTTCTAGGACCTCAAACATCTCGTTGTAATTCATTGAAGGATTTCTTCGGCCGCGGGAGGAGGCTGGCAATGACTCGTCTAGCAAAAATTTGTGTGTTGCTTCGGCACATTCCTTGTCTTCTGAGATGGAACACAAAAGCTCACAGAATGCGCTCACTCTTGGCACTGTCTGCCTTGAAGATGCCCATTGCAAAAAACCGTAAAGATTATTGTCGGAGTCCTCCCACCATTGGGAGGCAGCATCAGGCCGCTGCTCAAATGCATAGGAGATGAGAAGGAGGAAAGATTCGAGATGGAGCTTGCTTACGCTTCCATCACTGTGATTAAGTGGCAAACCCTCCTGGACTGCAATCAACTGATTTAGTCGCTGATCATCCTCCTCTGTTTTCAGGCGGCGTATGGAGTCCGGCATGTTCGTGATGAAAGCCTCGACAAAATTCTCCAGAGATTCCATGAGTAAGGCTCGAAAGTAGGTAGAGGTTTGATCACCATCCAGAGAAACCGCAGTGGTCTCGCTGAGAAGTAGGGAGACCAATTCCTGTCTTGCGGGATGTCTCCAGACATCGGCGTTTGTTGTGATACATATCTGCAGCAAGAACCCCAGAGCATCATCCTGTAGTGCGGTTCTTACGACGCCAGCTCGTTTATCTCGACTTCTGTCGTCGAGCGTGTCCCGAAAACGACTACTGTACTCGACCGTCCACAGTAGCACAAGTACTGTATTGAAAGGGCGAGAAGCTGTAGACGAATGATCTTTGGGAATAGTGCTTAGGACAGAATTCAAGGAGTCAGCCTGATCAGCTTGAATCTGACCACTTTCTAACGAGCCATAGCGTCGAAAAGCGGAGGAGAAAGCGGGAAGGTAATGGATCAAATTAAAATCAAGACGTGTCCAGGCTTTGGCCACATTATGAAGTTTGCGTAGGTCTTCAGAATTTGTATAGTCCCCGCGGAAGAGGAAGGCAAGAATGGATGCCAATGCCTCATGCTGCTTGAAAAGGCTGTCTCTTTGAAACTCAAAAGTGACGTAGAATTCTGGTCCGCGTGGTTCACCCAGGATGGCTTTGCTCTGGAGAGCATCCGAGATTCTGGCCTGAAAACTCTCAATGTCTCCCAAGGTGTCAATGCACTTTCTCGTAAATAATGAGCCATTTGCCACAACGCCGGACTGAATATCTAGGACGTCCGCAATAACATTTGCCAATGCATTTTTGTAATCCTGGTCGAGTTCTTCAACAAGGGATTGTTCAAAGGTAATGCGCAAGGACTGAAGGAGGAGATCGCGCCGGTTATGGAATGCGCTTACTGAGAGCGCAACGAACGATTGGCTGTTTGTGATGGAACCTCCGTGGTTTTGAATCAGGAGTCGACCAGCCTCAATCTCATCCAGATCAAGAGTGGTGCCAACGGCCCGGCTGATGTGCTTGAATTCGTCATTGATACCAAATTCCTGCTGATCGATTTGAATCTTGCCTGAGATAAAGTCAGTAAGGCTCTTGCTCGGACCATGAGCATCACATACCGCTGTTATACCTTTCGCGATCGTCGGCCGAGGGCGTAGGCTTGTCCAAGAGTTTCCTGAAATCAGACACGGTGCCTTGGAGTTCCTGTACCAGTCGATCGATGTTGGCCAGCCGCCCCTCAGTGAAGGCTACCAAGTCGGCGTGAAGCCCTTGAAGACGCTCCAGGCTCTCCATATCAGTATGCAGGATGGAATTCGGACTGAGAGGTAGAATTGACGCGTTGTTTCGTGTGCGGATTGGATCAGCGCGTCTCCAATTCTACCATGGGAAAAGTCTCCAAAGAAACATTCCTTGCGGCGAGCAAAGCACTGGCCCATCAAAAGAGGCACGGCTGCGCAGTTACAAATGGAGCTAGCGCGTGCCAAGATACAGTATCTTCAAGCGGCATGAGTAACTGCCTTGATTCGTGCAAGCCTCGATTCAGTAGGATTGATTACAACCAAACTTCATTTGGGGAAGCCACGACTTTCTAAGGGACGCGTCGATTATCTCGAGTTGTTGAATCATATGCCACGTCAGCAACTCCGAAGCATGTGTTCTCACACTGCTGGCCTAGTTCGATTATTCACTCCGCAAGATGGCGGAGGTTACTATCACTATTGCCTCAGCCATTGGTGGGTGACCTAAGCCTCGCGTTCTTCAGCCTCGTCCGCTGACAATTCCAACACAGCAAAACTCGAAGCAGATACGCAACAGGGGAGAAGCGAGGGACTTGCAGGTGATGTGGACCTCAGACTCCCGAGTTTTTTCTGGACTGATAGTGACAGAACTCAAACATATCCTGGACCCGGACAGTTATTCACTCAGAGCGTAAGTCAACGGTGTAAGTCCGGGGCCAGGTTTATTGATATTGCTCAGGGACCCAATTCCAGAAGATGCTCTCCACAAAACATTTGAATTGCTCTACAAAATCATATCCAAGCAGAAACCGGTTTACATTAGAGCGTCAGCCAAGCCAACCACCAAGAACAATGCTTCCTCTCGACTTCAGGTTACTGCCGCCGCTCTCCGTCTAGCAGTAGAAGTGCTTGCTCCTGTAATCAAATTCAAAACAGCCCTTTCAATCTTGGATCATATTGTTGAGACGCTACCAAACTCCGATGGCTCCTATTGTGAGCCTCTTTTGAATGACTATCTCAAAAGCTTCAAAGCCCTCCTGGAATATGCTCCTCATTGCGAACACATGCGGCCGAAGCAATGGCAAAAATATGCAGACTTTGCTCTTGCTTTATTGTCTGTTGGTTTGGACCTGACACAACCCCACGATGTGGCGACTAGTCGAGACAGTCGTAGCGCATCTAGGAATGGCATCCACATATCGCTGCGGCTTAGCCAGAGAAGTGGGCGAGGAAAAGGGAAAGATGGAGTGTCATCACATGCAGATGAGCTCGTCGCTGCTCTTAAAAGCTTGACCGCCGTTACGAATGCTCCTATCATGTCTCGTTGCGCTGCTATTGCCGATACCATCAACGAGCACCTGGTGGCTGGATTGAGAGCTCAAGAAGGTGCTTTTGAAACATTGAACAATGTCATCTTCGTTTCCCTCGCAGAGGACGTCAATTTCACGCGCGGTCTTATACGCTCCCTGCTACCCACGATCCGGCGACTGTGGTCTCACAATTCTGCTCTCCTTCGAGAGCAAATGCTGATCACTCTCTGCTCATGCCGGTATCTTTTCATATCCAGGAGTAATATCTGGCCCGCAGTCGAGTCAGATATTCTGGAACCCATGCTGGACACAATGTTGACCGAGTATAAGTCGAGGGGTGACAGAGATATTCTCCTCTTGGAGGACCTACAACTTTTGATCCCAGGAGAATATGCTCCACTGCGTTCAGCACAATTTCTGCCAATCCGGAACTCAGCTCGCGCCGTCCCCGCCTGGGCTTCGCTCTCAATCATTGCCTGTCTCATCCTTGGGACAAGGAAGACGCCAAGACAGGAAAATGCTCCCGAGTCTGATGCTGCGGAAGGCCCACGCAAACGGCAAAAACTTCATGTGCCGGGTGAGGATATATTGCAACATGCGATTGATGGCTCTGGACAGATGAGGCTTGTTGCACTTCAGATTCTGGTTTTCCTCTGTGAGCAGCCTGTGCATCATGAGGATGTACTCCCAAAGGATCTCGCACTACTGCTTCCGGGGCTTTCCCACGAAGACACCACTATCCAGTCTTGGACGTATGTGCTTTTCTCGAGGTAAGCAGCTGAAGTTCGTGAGATATCGGCCCACCCTGTTAACTCAACCAGACTAGCGCTCAAATTACCGCCATCTGTGGAATGTTCTATTGAAACATGGCTCCTTGTCTGGCACTCTGCACGTCAGGCTATTTCTGTCCCAGGTACGGCGAGGGCATCGTGTCACACTCTGGCAGTGCTCCTTCAGACCAATCATCTTCGCGCAAATCTAGATGGAGCTTTGGTTGACACTACTATATTCGGAGGAAGTAGTAATGGGCCTTCTACGCTTACAGACACCTCTTTGCTGCTCATGACGAACGCACTGCGGTCGAATTATTTTGATGATGGTCGGACATTCGAGGCCTTCTGCTTGAAACTTCTCAGCTGGCTCTCCATGCGTTGGACCCTCCGTAAGTTTATCCAGGCTAATGTTGTATCGAACAAGCTTTGCTGACTCGTGAGAAGCTTCCGTTCTAGATCGGTTCCACAATGCATTTCTTGTGGCCCACGTACGACCAGAACTTCTCTTCTCCCTTCTCACTTCAATCTGTGGGTTTCCGGAACCTATCAAGCCGTACGATGATTGGTCTCCGGCTCATTCAATCTGGAGGGCTGCAATCATAGCCTCTGCCAACGACGATTTTCTGATGTACCTACTCGAAATACATCCAAAAACAAGCGATGATGTGAATATCCTCGCCTCCCAAAGTTTCCGCCAATTCGATTCCTCTCTGCTGTCCCGTCTCCAAAATGCCGTGGCCACTTTATTCGCCGGTCGTCTGACAGACTTTCATTCCGCCTTTACCATTTTACAGTCTGAGCGAAAGTCAAATATCGGTACCGACATTGTTGGGGTTATGACCGTTGCCTTGACTGTCTGGGCTTCCCTCTCCCCTCGCTTGGAGTTGGCACCCAACATTGCGCCTTCGGAACTGTGGACAAGGGCTTGGGCATCTCTCAATAGCTTCGTTTCCGGTGAAAGGGGTGATATGGCCCTGATGACGAACCTGATGTGCTCTTCCGTTCTGCGTGTGCATGCACAGATTCATAAGATCGAAGCTAACTGGCCATGTGATGAATATCGTACAGTCATCGAATCGAGTCTGAAACTTACTCGCATTTCTATGAATTCTCCTCTGTCTAAAGACGACATGGAACTGGATCTTCTAGATGATGATGTGTGGACCTCTCAATCTACCCAAAAGGGCTATTCCAACGCAGCGACTAGTCAATCTCGGCAGGCTATCCCTTTGAATTGTAACGAAGCCAGCCAACTAGCTTCAAATCGCGTCAAGCTAGCTACCGCTCTTCAATTCTTAAAATCAAATGGAACTCTTGTTCCAGCAGCTATATCTCTCATTATCGATGAGGTAATAACACTTGAGCCTTGGCTCCTACTTGCCGCTCGCGGTGCCGTGTTAGAGCTGCTGGCACTTAAACCTGGCATCAAGCGAACTGATGCTGCACAACTCCTGAAAGCATTGGGCAAGACGTACTTGCAACAGGAATCTTTTGAGAGGTGTGAGGCTGCGCTTTGCTTCTGCTTGAGTGTAGTGCAAGGTCTTGCAGACCTATGGGTCTCTGAAGACGAGGATGACCCAGTCGTCGAACTTGCATTTGATGTGTACAGCTACACTCTCAGCATTACACTTGGAAAGTTCCCTGCATCACCAAGAGTGCTTTCGCAGTTCTCAGAAGTACTATACCTGCTCCTTCAGCTGAATCCTAACTACGGTACGGAAGACCTGGCATCTCCCCGAACCAGCCTGTTGAGGATCCTTCAGCTCGCAGCACCTGCTATAAAGTTCCGACTACCTGAGAAACTTTTTCAACTATTCGAAAAATTTATCCTCACTCAACATGAGGCCATTTTTGATGACGTCGTGGAGAATCTTCCATCGGACCCCGACAACAAGGAAGGCATTGCTGTGCGTCTCTATGTTCTGAGCCGATTGGGTGCCCGGTGGCACACAGTATTGCGACAAGCGACATATCACTTGTTTGAAACAGCGGCCAATGTGCCTCCCGCGACCTCATTGGCCCGATGGTGCATATCTTTCACCTCGGAGAAACTCTATCTAAATTCATCGACAGAGCTCTTCAGACTATTTGTTTCACAGATTTCGTACACATGGCTATCGAAAGACAGCATCGACCGGATGCCCTTTCAAGCGTTTGGATATGTAACATTGAAAGATATGGTACTAGATAATCTACAAGAATTTGTAGGTCAAATAGCACTCCGCGGATCCATCGGTGCAAATGAACTTTCAGCAATAGCAGAGGATTCGTGGACCTCTCTCCTTACAACAGCGTTTGCCACCGCGTTGGCCTACACCTTGTCGTCGGAGACGAGCCTGCCGAAACAAGACCGTCTCTATGATGGTTCTGAAAAGCTCATGCGGAAACAGCTGGGGTTTGAGCTGTATATTCAGCTCCTCCGACATTGGTTGCCAGACATTGTCGCCCAGCTCATAATCTCTCTTCAAAACGACCGTGCGATAGACAAGGCATTCGACAAAAGCCAACATGCATCTGCTCTGAGTGCTTGGGAAGAAATGTCCACCCAATCTACCACCAACTTAGAATTACCGTTGTCTCAACAACCCTCCTTTCGAGCTAGATGCCTAGGCGAGGAGCTCAATTATATTTGTTCTCGGCTTGAACTTGGACATTCTGAAATTTGGTCACCTGCTTTAACTGTTCATGTCTATCGGTCACTACTGAGCAAAGCAAAGCCTGCCCTTGGCCCGTTGCACGCTTGCACTATTATCCGCAAAATTCGGATCGCCATCAGCCTCGCAGGCCCCATAGCCGTGACTGGCTATCCCTTAGAAATGCTGCTCCATAATCTTCGGCCCTACCTTACTGTGTTTGAGTGTGCTGAAGACACGATGGGGATTTTCCGCTACCTTCTCCACCATGGCAAACCTCATCTCAATTCACGGATATCCTTCATTGCTGGCTTGGGTGTGTCTATTTTCGCTTCGCTCACAGGATTTATTACGTCATCTCAAGAGAGTACGACACAGGAGAGCCATTTCCTTGCTACGATATCGAAAGCTCAGGAGTTTCGCATTTTTCTAAGTCAATTTCTCGAAGGCATGGTATTCGTGGACGTGTCACCGAATACGCTGTCAATGTTTAAGAGAATAATTCTGCACGCGAAGAATATTACACATCCCGGTAGCAGTGCCCGAAGTAAAAGCGAGGGTTGCCTTCTTCTTGCTCTCCTCGAGGATAGAAGTTCGGACAGTCCTTTACTTACTAGGTTGCACTTTGATATCTCTCTCGAGATTCTGTGCAGGAATTTCACGACTTCTTCAGACCCTGCAGATGACATACTCGCGGATGACTTAATCGCCCTTCGGGCTTCTATGGTGCTCAACAACGCGCTTCAAAGCATCAGCACAAATGAAGAATTCCGCATATGGGCTGCAAGCGCCATCGGGCGGGGTTATCTCATGCATGGCATGATGAAGAATTGTCTGATGTCACCTCACACAGATTTTCACTTGACCACTCTAGCAGGCTCAAAACATGACAAGGCCAAAACACGTGAAGACCTATTACGAGAAGACATGGTGGCTTCCTACACAAGCATCATAGATCTACTCCTCGACTTGCTCTGGAGATCCGATTTTGTTGCAGCCGCATTTGCTGAGAAGACTTTGCAACTTATCTCCAGCAACATTGCCGAACACCAGGAAGGGGATATTCTTGCAAAAGACTTCGACCGAAATATCTTTTCTGAGCTTAGATTCCGAAACTTCCCCTGCCCACCAATAGCACAGTCGAGATATCAAGCAATGGCCTCACCCATCAGAGATAATCATGGCCGACAGGCCCGATATTCAAACAAGTGGGCGGCGAATCTCCTTCGAAGTCTGTGTTCCGGGGCGATGAATGACCCTGTCCTACGTCACCTAGTACCCTTGATTTCGGACGTCCCAAGTGTGGCTAGCGCCTTGTTCCCATATGCAGTTCATGCTATCCTCGGAGGTGAGCCCAAGTTGGTTCAATATTCGCGAGATCAGTTGTCGCAGGCCTTCTCAAGCGTTCTCAAAAATGAAATAAGTGAACCTGAAGAAGCTCGACCATTGGTGTTGAGAACCATCTTGTACCTGAGAACACGCTATCTTATCAACGAAACTACGATGGCCCAACGGAACTCTTGGCTTGACGTTGACTTCACCCAGGCTGTCGTGGCTGCTACTGAATGTCAAATGTTCCATGAAGCGCTTTTGTTCCTCGAAATCCATCATTCCCAGGCTCGACTCCAAGGAGGGCGCTCATCTCGGAAATCGTTCGTGTCACTACTTTCTAGTGTGTCACACGCCATTGAAACTTCCATTTATGAAAATGTCGATGACCTTGACTTCTTTTATGGCAAGCACGAAGATTCGGACCTTCATTCCGTGCTTGCGAAATTGGCGCATGAAGGGGCCAGCCAAAAAGCATTATCTTTCCAAAGCGCACTTCTCGATTCTCATTTAAGCATTGATGGCGCCAAGGGTCTCAGCGAGACTACTACCATGACTGCCTTGGCACTTAAATCAGCGAACATGCACGGAGTTGCTGAAGCTGTGAAGCAGTACTATGATAATCCAGATCAACGGTTTCAGGTCGCACAGGCAGATAATACATTTTCATCTTTGACACAATGGGATTTGATGCCCTCAAATGAAGAGTCCAGCCTCTCTAGCAACATAGGGGCTTTGTTCCGCAACATGCATCAGGCCTCAAGTAAGACAGGTCTAGAATCAGCTTTGGACCAATCAATGCTAGATTCGGTAGCGCGACTAACTTCGGGAACTGTTGGAAGGGCTCAGACTGACACTATACTCTCAAATCTAGCCGTTCTTGCAGAAGCCAGACAGGTGTTCACTGCTAATACCCAACAGGAAGTTGATTCAGTATGGAAGTGTGTAATTGCACGGGACAAGCAGATTCAACTCGCCGAGTGAGTGTTCTTATCGCCTTAATTTCACAACTGACGCGTGCAGATTTAACAAATTGTCCCCTATACTCCTGGGAAGAGAGGCAACATTTGCTGCATTGCGCCGGAATCATAATCTCCAAGTGGAGCTCGGATTGACTTTCCAACAGTCACTTCTACAAGAAATTCAAGTTTTCCGCCAATCATTGCACTCGGTAGCCGATCATAACGTCCCCCAGTTCAGTCTTAATAGAGCAATGTATTTGTCAAAACTGAACACCTTGGCATTGGACGCTGGTCTCAATGTAGAAATTGCCATCCAATACGACCTTGCCACTACCCTTTGGGCACAAGACGAGCCTACCGGCTCAATCGGAATTCTTCAGAATCTCATGAGCAGAAATGATGGCAAGCATCAGGTTCTTGGGGTGACTATGGCGCAGATTTTGACTGATCTAGGCCACAAAGTTGCAGAAGCCCGTCTTGAAAAGCCGGACGAAATTATTAAAAGCTATCTGCAACCAGCTTTCAATGAGTTGCATGGTAAAAGTTCTGGCTCAGAAGCTGGTCGAGTTTTCCACAATTTTGCCGCATTCTGCGACATGCAATTGCAGGATACGGACAACTTGGACGATTTCACTAGAATTAGCAAGATCAGAGATCGCAAGCTAAGAGAATTGAATGACTTGAAGAAAATGATTGAGAACAGTGACGGAAAGCAGCGCGATCAATTAAAGGGACATCTCAACAAGACTAGAGTTTGGTACAACCTCGACGACAAAGAGTTTAGACGGGTTTCTGAAAATCGGGAGAGCTTGATCCTTCAATGTCTAGAGAATTACCTCCTCTCTATGAAAGCGTCCGATGAGTATCAGAACGACACACTCCGATTCCTGGCCTTGTGGCTAAACCAGGCCGACAGCCCGACGGCAAACGCAACAGTAAGCAAGCATCTCAGTTCAGTGCCGACGTTGAAGTTTGCTCCTTTGGTCAACCAATTATCTTCCCGACTCCTGGATACAAAGGATAAATTTCAAGTTCTGCTTATGGACCTTATGTTTCGAATATGTTCGGATCATCCATATCATAGTTTATACCAGGTCTTCTCGACAAGTAAGACAAAAGCACCAAAAACCGACGAGGTAGCATTATCTCGAAATGCTGCAGCCAACAAACTCGCTGATTCAGTCGCAAAGAAGAGTCCATCTGCCGCGATTTGGATTACTATTCATAACAGCAGTATTGCTCTATTCAGAGTCGCTCAAGAAAGAATTTCGGATAAAGACGCCAAACCTGGTACGAAAATACCATTTCGCAAACTTTCTTCCGCATTGAAACTGGAGCAAATGATGACAGAGGCTCATACAAAGATACCTCCACCAACGATGAACATTGCATTGAGACCAGATCGGGACTATTCAGGGCTCGCGACTTTTAGCAGTTTTGACCAACAGATCTCTGTCGCTGGAGGCGTCTCGGCGCCGAAAATTGCAACAATGGTTGCCTCTGATGGTTCTGCGTATAAAATGCTTCTAAAGGGGGGAAATGATGATCTTCGACAGGATGCGATCATGGAACAGGTCTTTGAACAAGTTTCAAACCTGCTCAAGGATCATCGCCCCACAAGACAACGAAATCTTGGTATTCGAACTTACAAAGTCATCCCTCTCACCACAAATGCCGGCATTATCGAGTTTGTGAAAGATACAATTCCTCTCAATGACTACTTGAACCCTGCGCATGAGCGATATTTCCCCAAAGACTTCAAACACACCCGAGCCCGGCGAGAGATTTCGGATGCCCAAACGAAGTCATCATCGCAAAGATTGCAAGCTTACAAGACAGTGACTGCCAATTTCCATCCAGTTATGCGCTTCTTCTTCATGGAGAACTTTCTCGATCCTGACGAGTGGTTCCATAAACGCTTAAACTACAGTCGTTCGACAGCCGCCGTCAGCATTCTTGGTCATGTGCTTGGCCTTGGAGATCGGCATGGGCACAATATTCTTCTCGACCATAACTCAGGGGAGGTAGTACACATCGATCTTGGTGTCGCATTCGAAGCCGGACGCGTTCTTCCCGTCCCCGAGGTTGTCCCATTCCGCCTGACGCGAGATCTGGTAGATGGCATGGGCCTCACAGGTGTGGAAGGTGTTTTCCGCCGTTGTTGCAATTTCACCCTGGAAGCATTGCGTCGGGACCAAGAAGCCATCATGACGATCCTGGATGTTCTACGCTACGATCCGCTCTATTCTTGGTCCATCTCCCCTCTCCGCCTCCAGCGGATGCAGGAACACAACGAGCAGGTGGCTGATGCGATGGCCGCAAGTATGTCCACAACAGCAGGAGCTGGCATGGCGCTGGACGCCGGTGTTGGCGGTGTAGTCGGTGCGGCAAGGAGAGATATCTCAGAGCCCAGTGAAGCGGATCGAGCGCTCACAGTCGTAGCGAAGAAGCTAGGCAAGAGTCTGAGCGTCGAAGCCACCGTCAATGAACTCATCCGCCAGGCAACCGATGAGCGCAATTTGGCCATGCTATATTGCGGTTGGGCAGCTTTTGCGTAAATTGACACTACCCAGAAACACTGACAGGTCATGGAAATGAGAGATGGAAAGCCTTAAGAATCTATAGGTAGAGAATTCCCGTTCGCTACGTGATTAAATAGCTGGTTGGCTATGGCGCTGTCCCAGAAGAAAATCTGAGGCCTCGCAAAAAAAAAAAGGCGAAATTTCATCCGGCGTTCAGCTTGCGTTGCCGTGGTCAGCGATAAATTGGTATCAAACATAATTCGCGAATATATGTTTGAGTTTTGAAAGAGCTTGGCTCCTTGCTCCCCATTTGCTGGTTCTTCAACTCAGTAGCAACAGAGAACGAGAGGCATATTCACCTCGTGAGATCACATGCACACGGCAATTTACTGTAGCCGATGATGTTACAAGAGTATTGTTTGACCATAAGATATATTCATTAGCTTTACGAATAGCCAAACCGCCATGGACAGTTATTCAGAATATGTACATAGGGGTCATGGGTTGGGACCGCCCTGCCAATGGCTTCCCATTCCCAGGCCCTGGAACGTTGTACAGGCATCTTGATCTTGCTGTACAATGACACTACCTAAAACATGAGTGCAGTACATGCATATATGTGGTACATAAACAGACGATTGTCGCCGCCCAGGTGTTTTTCAGTTCCCAGTCCCGTATTTCGTCTCGTCAAGAGATTAGATCAATTCAGCCCCTAACGTGATGTGAAGATCGTAGAAGGAAACATCAACCCCAACGGGATGTAAAGGTACAACAAGAGTGATGAATCGAGGTGGAAAGCAGTGTGTTATGAGGGAACAGAAATGGACCTTGTCGGGGAAACTGGTCGGACTAGAATCGCTAGGGAAATGGGTTTTGGTCGTCAGACCTCCGAGCTTGAATGGGCATTTGCTAACGGGCTCCTAGGTTCAAGATCATCAACCAATCAGTCAAACCTCCCATCCGTCGCCAGCCCACCGGCTATCCCAACTCTGGCCGGTTGTTAACCATGGCTTGCTGGTTCCGTGCTGTCCACTGTTATTGTTCGCGAAGGCACGCTTGTACCCAACGTTCCAGCGATCCTCGATTTCCATGAGCATCGCACGCTGCGGCTGAGCATGTGGTGGGATTGGAACTTGAGGCTTGGGCCGGCGACCCCTACGCACTGGGGTGGTTGTGATTACAGTTTTATTTGTAGATGAGGAGTTGCTTCCGCTTGGCGATGTGCCAGGAGTTGAGGGTTTGGCGGAGTCTTTCTCGACATTCTTGATTATTTCTCTCAGTTCTTTATCAGAATCGGTGATCTGAGCGCGAATATAGGTCACATCATTGGAGTCAGTCAGCGTTGACATGACGGTCGGCCGTGGGATGTAGGTGAATTTGTCCAAATCGATCGGGCCATTCTTCGGAATTATTCCCGGGTCAAGGAATGCTTCTTCACCTTTGGCAAGCAGTTGGTTGATGTCTAAACTCTCACCATGTGGGATTTTGTCTGGATGACTTGGTGTGATACAATCCATGTCAACCTCCTTGCGGAGAACATGATCGATATCCACAGCGGAGAAGAAAGCGCAAGATTGCGGAAGGTCGTCGATACCCATTTGTTGGCTGAACATGGCTCGTGTCCACAAGTTACTGATTTGAAGGGCAAAGGCTGCTTTGTACCGATCCTCATTTTTGACAAGATATCTGATTTCGTCGTGGACTGTAATTGCCAAACGCGCATCAAGGTTGAATCGCCTGATAAGATAGTCCATGCTGATTATCAGCAAATGCAAATAATCAACACCCGATGATTGAATGGCCCAGTTGATACGAGATGTCATAAAGGAGCCTTGATTGATAAATCGTCGCATCAAGGCTTCGGTTATGCCTGCTCCAAGAACGGGTGTCCGCGGTCGTTCTTGCTCTGCAAACTCTTCAAGCTTGTTGAACACAAACGACTCGGTGCCACCCCTCCAGAACGAACCGCTACCTAATGCCTTCCGTCTGGTACGTGTGCCTTTGGTCTCTTTGTATAGATTTGACGCAGTGTCAGTTGTCTCCTTCTCCGTAAGAGTAGGGTTGAATTGCCGTAGGAGAGTTGCGGCGAATTTCAAGCCCGCACCATAGATCCGCCCATAATTGAAGACCTTGGCATCATTTCGAGAGATACCAAGAATTTTCGCAGTCTTCGAGTGCAGATCGGTGCCAGCAGCCTTCGTTCCTTCCAAGGTCATGAATCCAATGGCGTTACCACCGTGAAGTTCAAATTGCGCGTCTCCGACTAGAGAGGCGATCCAAAGTTCTTCACTGTCAACGTCCGCTCCCACAAAAGAATAACCCACGGGAGCTTTCACCATAGCTTTCAATTCGGAGCCAACTCTGTTTGCTTTGGCGTTTGAGGCTGTGAGCCAGGTGTTTTCTACAGCACGTCTTGTGATAGTACCCATAGGAATGACCTGGGGTAAGATGAAGCCTTGATCCGTCTTCCCCAGCAGACCAGGATCTCGATCGTGTTCCCTTACTACCATTTGTGACTTGATGCGATCCCGAGCAGAGATCCAATACGAGCATGACGCATTCATCTCCAAAGCCTCTCTTGCCAGAGTGAATTCCGAAGACAAAATCCCTGCTTCAAAGTATTGCAGATAACCTTTGGCTAACGGTGAAGTGCAACGAGCCGTTGGCCCATCCTTGTGCGGCAACTTGAAATAGACATGTTGATTGTCCGATGCCAATGCCAAATTCGTTTCCTCAAACATGTCACATCTGACAGCGTTGCTATTTTCATATTTGCCAGCTTCATTATAAGGTACGCGGAAGGTCCATCCGTTCTTCGTAGACCAGATCAGCGGGTGTCCATCCCAAGTCAGCTTGAGTAGAATCGGGGCTATTCTCGTCCGCACGGTCAAACTCATCGGGGCATCGTTTGTGGCGAACAAATCCTTGTACCAGTTTGGAGCACCTGGTTTTTTCTGTCGGGCTCTTGGCACCGGCTTTTCATCCTTCTTTTTAGCCTTCTTATATCTGATCTCCTGTCCACTCCAGTCCAATTGACTTAGCCAAGGGTCGTTTTCGTATACATCGGGTTGTGCTTTGACTTCCAGAGCTTTTTCGGATAATTGGACGAGTCTCTGCTCAACAGCTATCAGTCGTTGCTGGTAAGTGTTTTCAGCATTCTCCAGATATTTGTCCCAGGAATTGTTGACTGGCAAGATAACAGATGCCAGATGCCGGAGCGCTCCAAAGCTGACAGGATGAGGACAGGTTTCGAGAAAGTTCGGAAATACTTTTTGGAATACCCGATGTGTAATAGCAACGTCGGCGGCACAATAATCAAGCAGCTCTTCAATTCTCTCGCATATACCGTCCCGATCGAGCTCACCGAAATAGTCCCGCTGGGTTTTGTCAATTGTGACGCCACAGTGAAACTTAGCGACGTCGCGTAGCGAATTCAGTGAACTTCTTCCGACCCAGAGTTCTTCCTCCTCCTCACTGAGCATCTTGTTTTCTAGCATGGTTTGGAGCTCAATGGAGGTGTTATCACCAGCCATCTTGTCTCGTAGATCTCGGTTCTTTTTGTGCTTCATCCAAGTCGGTCGTTGTCCAGAACACATCCCGTTCACTGCCACATGAAGAGACATAGTATCGATGAAGAAGTTTTGGGATTGCTTGAGGTCGTACTCTTCCTTCACCCTGGCTCGATCATAGCCGATGTTGTGACCAACAATGATTCGGGGTTTGGCAGGGTCACCAAGAGGGACAAGCTGTCTGGCATTTTCTGTTTCTCCCAGTAGCCATGGTGAAATCCACGCGTACCATGCATTGGGACTGGCAGCCGTCGCCATGACCGCGAAAGGTGTTTCCTTCCACATCGTTTCAACATCAAACGAAAGCATGGTCTCATCCGGCGCATCTACCTCTTCGGTCGTCATATCAGCATTATATTTTGTCCAACCGCTTCTTATAATCCATTTACGAGGTCTCGCAGGTGTATTTGCTCCAACAAAAGCCTTTGCTTGGGAGAGATAGGGCTCTGAGGCATCCATGCCTAGCCTTGTGAAATGCTCGTCGAGACTTGAGCCGTGTATGGAAGGCACATCGAGACCAATTGGAGAGGAATTGTCCTGGTTCTTGCCCAGCAGCTCATGTCTTCGTAGATGGTCTTTGGCTAACTCCACCAGATCCGGTCGTGGCAAAGTAGCACCAGCAGGGAAGATCTGAGGATGAATATAATCGCTTAATTGTTGTACACCAATATCATTATATCTTGCATTCGCGTCCCGCGCGAGTGTCACTTTTCGGTTTTCGGGAGAATTAAGAGTAGAGGATTGATTAATTTCACTGGCGTAATGTCGTCGCAGGATGGCTGCAGCCCGAATTGCATAGGGTAGTCGTATTCTGAACTTCTGAGAAGTTCTGATGTAGCCACGCGCGCACTGCGCGGGCGCTGGAGGCCATAGCATCGATGCGACCTTCGGAGTATGGTCAACTAGACATGGTGCATCCGACGGTAGAGAGTAGTTGGTGGAAGAAAGTCTTGACGTCGTGATTAATTCAGGAGGCACGAGGCAAGACGTTCGATCTGTAAAAGTGGCAGGGCAATCAAAGATAAGACTTATCGTCACGTGCTACTCCCCGGTTCAGCCTTGCGCCGCCTCTTCACCTCGGAGCTTTCACCAGACTCGGATTGCCCGTCATTCCTAATTCGAGGCAGAGTGTCAACAATTGAGGGTCTGCGAGGGTACATCCATCGCAACGCATCCTACTAGGAAACGTAAAATCCAAGTTACCATCCGTGAGAAACAGATTGTCATGATACTAGTTTGGTTCGTAATACTCATATTGGATGCCGTCTCACGGCAGGGCTACCTATCCCTTCAATTACATAAGAAAGATCTTACTGTACAATTTCCTACCTAAAGATCAAATTTTCCTTGATAGACAGAGCCTGATGCCTGTATCTACCCCGCATAGGAAGAACGATTACCACCAACGCCTCCGCCAGAGAACTTGAAAGAAATACACGATTACGTCAATTTAGCCCCGGGTAAGGCTCTCCTGGAACAAAGTAGCATTGCTCAGTTTCCTTTCCACAATGCAGATAGATATGCAAGAGAGCTGGCGTAGTGAGGACTAGCGAAAGACAAGAGGCAGGCATCGGTGACCAGGCCTAAAAGGAAAAGACGTGCGATTGTTGAGGGGATGAACGATGCCAACATGTGTCCAGACAGCATGATCGCCGTGAATTTCCACAGAGACGACATTGGAGGTGCTGGAGGAACGATAACGATATTGTTCTCGCTGTACATAGAAAATGTTGGAGATGGCATACCTGGAGAAGGAAATCCAGCTGAATGCATGCCTGGGGATGGGAGACCCGGAGAGGAGAGTCCAGGTGAGGGATGACCAGGTGACAGCATACCGGGTGAGTTCGGCGCAGATGTCTGTTTCAGAAGGGGCGTTGGCTTTTCCTTTATGGGTGAGGCACGGTCAATCACGAACGTTGGTCGAACTTCGTTGACTAGAGGACTCCGCTGAATGGCCTGGGATGTCCAATTATCCGACATGCTTGCAGAAAATGACCGGTTCCGGATAGCCAGAGTCTCCTTTCGGAGTACTGAGGTCATGGTTGACTTCACCCCAGACAACTCATTCAAAAAAGACATATTCGACCCATCGACTTCGTTCTTCAGGGCCAGCACTTGCTGCTGTAACTCCCGGATCTCGTCCATGGCATGACCGAATCGCTTCTGCCACACAAGTTCAGGGTTCGCCGCGTACGCCGGTGGGGGTGTAGGCTGACCGATCTGAGGAAGAAGCCGCTTAGAAACAGCAGAGCGTGGTGCGGTGCTCCTGAGCTGGCCAGGTGCAACCATAGGATAAACTAAATTGGCAAATGTGGCATTCGTGACTATAGGACTTCCCCAGCTAGCGGTACTGCTGCTGACCGGCGTGAATTCATCATCTTCGAAACGCCAGGGAATGTTATTGAAGGTCGTCTTGAGGGACTTAATCAGCTGTTCGTCGGGGCAAATTCCAGTCGCCACAGACAGTTTGGGCTGTCGGGGCGTGGCGGGAGGGGTCGTATCCTTCATCCGGATGCGTTCCAATGCGGTCTTGATCAACGGAAGATGATGAGCAGTCGCCCAATTTCCGATTGACTCAATCCATACAAGAAACTTGGTGAACTGCTCGTCATCGCTTAGGTCGAATGTATCAAGTGGTGCCATGGAATATGTATCACTGTCAAACCAGTGAAAATTCAATATGGCAAACGTGTTGTCGATGGTGCAGGAAAATGAGATAGGCATTTCGGGTATCATTTGTCCCTTCCAAGCCTGGGCATACAGTAGCTGCAGTGCTCTAACGCACCATGATCCTGCGATGGCACACTGATTCTTGGCAGATTCGAGTTGTGTGTCACCCATGGTACGCTCGAACGTGAGAAAGGGGCAATAAAGAGGCGCGCCTGGAGAGATGTACCCTGTATCGAAATGTACAACCGTTCCCGTTGTCATCAACCATGAAGGCATCGTGCTGATTTCTTCGAAAGAGAGTGCAGAGGCAGAGAAGCCACAACCGAGACCGGATCGAGGGACGGACAGTTCATAGAGGGGACTATTGTGGTTTCTTGCCCGTACAGGTAATGCATCTCGACTGAATGTTGGAACCATGCACCGGGCCAGACGGTTTTCAGAATCGATCGAAGGTAGGATGTTCGGTGGAAATAAGGGCGATGGACCGAAACCTCGGCCCTGTTCGACCTGTTCTCGGAAGGCTTTCTTTTGTTGATCAAAACGCTCCGGATTCATTGTTTCCCTTTCTATCAAGGTGAGAAGGGGTTCAGGGAGCAAGCCTTGCATGGGCGATGCGTCATTGATCTTGATTCGATGTGGTCCAAGGACATCCTCGCGAAAGACCTTCCAGGGGAGATGGCTCCCATCATAGGATGATGGTGGGAGGTCGCCGCTCTTGGGAGTTTGAGTGGAGTCGACATTTGCTGCCATCTCGAGCACAGTGAAGCGTATATGTATTAATGCTGATATGACAATGCAAGCTCAACAAGTATGCCGAGGCAACAACAAGATAGGAGAAATCACCACCTCTGGTTTGAACAAAATTCAGAATGGGTCTTGAGAGGAGCGTCAGCAAATATGAAGATCCATAAGGTCAATGTTCACAGTAATGAAAATGAAAGCCAAGTGAGAAATCTAAGGAGCTGAGGAAGTGGGACGGAGGAGATAGACAGGAGGGAAAAGTCTAATCTCAGGGTGACTATGAGAACAAATAGTTTTTTCTTGGTGGAAGGTCTTGGTGGCAGGAGCTAGGCCAGGATACTGAGAGGTCTTGGAAGCGCCGACCCATGGCCATGAAGCCCAGCACCGACATACCCCGGCAATGATCATCCGGGGAGGATTCTCCCAATAGCAAGAAGATGGCTACCTCATACCTAGGAGCTGCGAAGCGCCGATGCGAGCTGTTAGGACCAAGTTGGCGTTTGCACGACTCTGAGAGACGCCATATCAACCATTCGACCAATGAACTGTTACGCCATCTCCCAAGCGGTCAGCAAAATGGGCATAGTTGACGGGGTTGATGATCGCGGCTACTTCTGACTGGCGGATGGTCTGATGGATGGCGTGCTGGAAAATCATCCCCACGAGCTTCAACAGAGTCCTGTACTTGAGACTAAGTCCTGCTTAGGCATATTTGGATGCAAAAGGAAGAGAAATAGGTGTGACTGTCGACGCAGGGGCATGAATTTGAAACTTGCCAGAAGGAACGTGATAGGTGGTGGGTCGGCGTGATAAGGGCCAGGAGATAGTGGGCTAGCTGGATTAGGCGTAGATCAAGGTACGCACTTGTTGGAAAGCGCTTAAATACGCGTCTGTGACTGGCTGGCTTCCCACTCCAACCCTTCCTCAACAATCCCACATCATTTATTGTGCAGAGAACCAGAAGGCCTTGCAAGGGCCTTCCATAACCGGACAATCCTGCTGAAGTACTCCGTACGTAGTGCCCAGTAAACACAACTCTCTCTAATGTGGACATAATTCCGCCTCTAAGATTTATGCTCATGGTAACACAAGAGTCCGAGCTAGGCACAATGCTGCTGGCGTTTACTTGCGTTATCTCCAGCATGTGTCAAGGTAGCAGAGCTCGCTGAAACCAGACATCAAGGGCTGCTCCTATGCTTGGTACCAAGTGACCCGCTCACATATCGACCTATGGCCTCAACAACCCTGATAGCGCCGACAACATGAAAGGCAATTACAGGTTGGACGTGGGGCTTGCCAGGGAACCAATTATCACTGAGAACTTAATGGACATTATCTATATTTGAAACTGCTCGCTATGCTATATTGGGTCCAAGTCTACCCTTGTGTGCTATGTGACTCTTGTACTGGGGAGACTGGTTTTGTGCCGAATCAAGCAATGGTCCGAATCCATTTAGGTAAGCCTTCCACGAGCACACTCTTGATGATTGTGCTCGTCCTTCTGTGTGACACCATTCCAAAGTCAGCAAGCTCCAGGGGATCATAGCAATGGCCCGAAACTGTGGCTGGGGCCTTGGCCAAGCGCACACGTCGTTCAAACTTCTCAATCACGTCTGCGATTGAGGCCAACCTGCAATTTTCTGCCCACACCAAAATGCTTCGAATGCGAGACACCAGAGCTTCCATGTCATCTTCGTCGTCAAGCCGGTATGTCCTGATAGCGGCAACGGCATGAGGCAGGCAGCCCTCGGAGTTATGCGTGTTTAGACATGCAGTCTTGCCGTTGATCGCCAAAGAGAAAGATTGCACGGCTTGATTGAGCTTGTTCAGAAATTTGATGTCAATGTATCGGTCTCGTGCTTCCTCTGCGGCGCCTGCAAAGATCATTAAACCGTTGTTGCACGTAGCAGCAGATCCCGCACATGCATTTCGTGCGGCTAGCATTGACTCATCCTGCGACTCGACGACAAAGAACGGCCAGTAAACATCCGGGATGGGCTGTGAAACTTTCTGCAGATCACATGGCTCATTTCGATTGTTTGCAATGATGCCTTGTTGCAACTCCAGCTGATGCGAGTTGAAGGCCGTCTCAGAGTAGCCTATGGTAAACGCCGGCTTTGGCGTAGGAAGCTGCATTTTCCATCCGGGCTCAACTTCGAAATCCGGGACTTCGTCTGGGACGCTTTCACGGTGAAACTGTGCCATACTCCTGAATTTGATTTGCTTGTGTTGCTTGACAATCGAGCGGATGAGCGGATGGAGCATTTCAGAGACTTGTTTACTGTTGATGCCTGAGCTTCTTTTCTTCATCTGGATGGCGAATCTGCGAGCCTCAGGATATGCGCGACGGATTTCTTTGCACGGCATGCTTAGAGCAAATGCCAGACGACTCCATCGTTCGTCGTCCATAGGTTCATCCTCGACAACGATGTGATTTGGCTCCAGGGTCGCAAACCGATATTCTGTCGAGCCTAGAGAAGCTTCCCTGCTAGCAACTTCATCAATATAAGAGGCTGTCATTTTGCGGGAACGAATAGATGAAGTGCTGCTCCTATATGAATGAGGCATGATGGGCGCGTCTTGGAAAGTGTTTCAAAGATATTGACAGAAACGTAATTTCTTAGAAGTTATGTCTATAGAAATTAACTCGTAATGTTCACGATCTTGAAACGATGTCGGAATCATTGATGCAGAACCCCAAGGCTCATTATATGCTGTGCCACGACAGCAAGTCCATCCCCGCCCCACGATCAGATAAGTCATAGAAGCGCCAGATATACGAAGGATTGCAATAGTCGCTATACCAAACCCCCACTCTGGTTAAGGAGCCAAAGTACATCGCTGTGAGAAGAGCGCTTGGATATTTTCGATGGTGGAGTGGAGCTGAGCTGACAAGCAGAGAGACCAGAACTGTCCTTCTCGGCGCCTACGTACTTTTGGTACCCAGTGCCTCGCTCTGCCCAATTGGCTGGCAAAAATACATGTCCCAAGTGGCAGCTCACACTTACGTAGATGCTAAAGGCGGCCTTCATGCGACCGGGCTGCATTGCTCTGCAAAGCTCATGCATGTAACCCCGCGAGGAAGGATGGAGGTGGTAGTCATTATTTCTGGGAGGTCATCGGCGCTTCCAGGTCCGCGAGCCTTTCCCAAGCTATCTATCCCAGCATGCTCGGAGATGACCTCCACATACCCCTCGTCATATGATGATTCATAGTGAACGGCGGGGAGGGACAGATCTGCTTAGCAGTGGATAATTTTGAGAACAAACGTCGTGCTCGGTACTTGCTAGTGGTATGGCGGCAACTTGTTAATTAACGCCACCCGCAAAGGGAATGTCCCTAAAATAGCATGTAGAGCAGCTAGGAGCTAGGATCACACAAAGTCTGATCACGTGAAGTGCAGTTGCACACGAGCCTTCTGTGCTTGACCGTATGTGTATGCTCTACGGCGAAGGTTATATTCCCAAAGACCAAGCTAGCTTTCTCAACAGATGAGAATGATACCAACTTACCTGGGTACACAACTAAACTGTCAGGCCTTTCAATTTCATCTTTGTACTACGCAAATTGCCAGTCCACATCTGATGGCATTCAACGCGAAGAATCTGCAGTACAATAAACAAGAACCTGCTTTTCTCCGGCGACTAAAAGGGGAATATGTCGGTCAAGATGGAAGGCAGAACTACCAAGCGCCTCGACCAAAGAGGGACAGGCTGAAGGCTGGAGATGAAGACGATGACCCTGTAATAGTAGACGAGCAAGGTGAGACGGTTGGCAAGGAAGCCTTCGAGAGGAGGATGCGAGGCGACGACGCGGGTGAAGTGTCAAAGGACGGCGATGGTGAAACTAGACCGAGTGAGGGGGGAGGCGAAGGAGGGACTGGAGATGATGGATCCAAGGTCATGGCTATGAGCAACAACGAGAGGCAGAAAGTCACAGAGATCGGAGGTGCGGCTGCCTTGAAGAAAAGAAAGGTGGGCAAGATTGTAGGTGGTGATGAGGACTTGGAAAATGGTGCTGGAGATATTTCGAGAAGCGCAAGCGGTATGAAAGAAGGACACGACGAAATAGCGGTTCCAAAGAGCAATGAGCCAACTGTGGCAAAGAAAAAAAAGGGCAAGAAAATCAAGCTGTCGTTCGACGAACCTGATGGGTGAAAGGCCTCGGAATTGGGCTTTTATCAGCGACAGAGCATACGCTCAGCTCAGGAGCAGCAAATGATACTTCCCTCGACGCGACGTTTCTGGGTGCTTACCTCCGACGCATACCTCCAACTAGGCGTGTCCATGTCGGACGGGCATGAAAAGAAGCGTGCGCTCTACTACAGATGTGACATCCAGTTCGTGATTCGGCACAGAGTCATCTCAACACGGTCCGAGATATGCTTGGCTCACATTACACGCAATTCGCTGTCAAAGAAGGTGTGACCTCGGCGGATATCGAGGGTGATGGAAGAGTTGATACAGTTCAAGGAGATATGAACTCCGAGCAGAAGAGGCTGGTCACCCTCTCACTTAACGAGACAATGGGTTTCAAGGTGCGGCATTCATCTCATCTCCCGCATGATCCGCTGGATCTCTCTCTTCGCAAACCTCTCCCTTTCAGTGGGTGACATCTCCGAGCCCGCCTCGCGGATTGCCACCACCTGTTCCATCAGCGCTGGCAACTGGTTGACCTGGAAATTCTCGTCCTCAGGCTCTGTCTTTGGGTGTGGTGGCCGAGTGTTGGAGTCGTCATCGTCATCGTCATCGTCATTATCGTCGTTACTAAGCATAGAGAATTTCAATTCCATCATTTCTCGCTGCAACTCACGGTCGAGACCGGAGAAGCGATCAGAGCCGCGTATATTGGTAGACCGCGTGCTCGGGAATGTAGCGTCGTCGTCATCGCCAGACCCAAGGTCTATCTCTCCGGCGTCATCCTCATCACCGATGATATCCGGAGATGCTGACCAGTCAATGCCTTTGATGACTTCAAGAACGCGCTTTATTCCCGTCTGCTCGCCATACTCGTTCCTCTCCTCCTTCCCGTTTCTCCCTGCGTCCTCTACCACTTGACCATCCCAAGCCACAAAGTCCCAGCCTAGTATCCCTTTTTCGGATAGACATACTTCTTCCAGTTTCTCCATGAGGGCATCCAAATTATCCTGCTTCACTGGAGGTGAACTTCCCTGGAGGACCAGCACGGAAGCAATGTCTCGGCCATAACTGTCATCCTCAATTGCCTCGCGTAGAGCATGGACAGCCTCGATGAGAGCCGTGAAATGAGCCGGAATGCCAGGAGACGAAGTTGTAGAAACCGGTAGAATAACAACAAGTCCGCCGATGACTCTCCTCACCTCCGCTGCAGCGAGTGAGAGCATCTGCTCTTTCCATTCTTCAAGCGTCGAAGTGTCTGTGCCAGTCTCGGGCGCATCCCCCAATGTGGCGTCGCCAACAATTGCACCAGTCACGTTATCCTCGAGCGGTCCACCAGAACTTATTTCACGAAGGGTTTCGTGGCTAGGTTTTGGTCCTGACAAGGGAAGCTCATCGCACCAGATGCTCACAGATGTTTGGTAATATTTCGTCTGGAGCTGGAGTGGGGGATGTGATGTGTAGCCAGCAAACGAGGTCACATCTTCGGAAGGGAGAGAACCACCCAACACTTGGAGCAGCGCGGGGAATGGTGGTTTTGATGTTGGATCTGTTGGAGGAGCGAGGATGAGTAGTCGTAGCGATGATGGTTTGAATTCCGTGCAGTCTGAAGTCATAGCTGACTCCTTCTTACGAGCGCCGTTCCGAACGGCTCCTTCGGAAACGGAATGGCCGAGGTGATTTTTGTTTTCAGTATATCTTGACGCAAAATGCGGTGGCTACATTATTTTCAATGGTAATTACAAAAACACTCGAGGAGGTAAACGACTTAGTCAGGTATTTGATATTGAGCCTTGGCAAGGCTTCAAATTTCGGTTCGCAAGTCTACAACTTGTCATAACAAGTGCAAGTACTATAACTAGGGATTTTCGCACGTGATTCGAGTTGTAGCAAGCCTAGTAGCATGCCCGCGACGTTGCTGAGCGGATTGCATATTCAACGGGCCCCTCCATGTGCTGGAATTGGGCGATCGTCCCACTGCCAGGCAACTCTGGCAGCGTCTCGCTGCCGGATCGACCTCTCCTTTGAGCCGAGCTGTGTCTGGGGATCGGTAGGATTGACTTTCCTTTCCTTTGTCATAGTCATCAGAATTTGCTTTATGCGCCAACACACAATGTTGTATTTCTCAAGTCCTGCGGCCGGCCCTTGCTCTGTTCACAGTTGCTCTTCCTCTTGCCAATCCGACACCACGGCCTCTTATGCCTCTTGATCGGAACATTGGGGCATTGCGTAGCATGTCTGGCACAATGATAAATCGTACATGGCTGCCTCGGATGTAGACCTGGTCCAGATGTGACACACGGCCGTCTCTGGCTGTTGCTGTGATGTCCTTTAGTTGAACGTTCATGTTATCTTCGGCTACAGTCGGAGTATGAGTTAGCGATGTTTCTCAGAGTACGCTGGGGTTGGCGCAGAAATTAGTAGCGCAATAGCAGATTTTGTGCGCTCCCACCTTCAAGTAGTTTGCCACGGTATACCTGCCCAGACGTGAGCTCTAGTGTGACGACATGACCCTAACAGCTAACGGTCAGTTTATGGTGTTGCGACACTCTTTCATCCTTCTAGCCACTGACCTGAGCCTCATTGAGCAGTTTTATGGGAATACCGATTGTGGATGTGAGTTTACCCATGATGGGCGGCAACGAGGATGATCGGGCAACAGGTCTAGATGGAAGGCAGTCTTGAGGTTGCTGTCTGCGATTTGTGACCCGAAGCGATCAGATTGGAGCTTGTATTGTAGTGGGTAGTTGTCGGTTGTGGATGTGGTGGGTGCGTGGTGGTGAGGCAGAAGGCCAAAGTGAAATCGCGGGTGCGGGTGCTGCTGGGGCGGGAGGGCGCATGATTATCTCCGTGCTTATCTCCGCGTTTATTCCACGACGCCGCGGTAGACGACAAAAGGGCAACATTCTCTTAAAGGATTCACAGCCGCTCAAGAGTCAAGACGCATTGTCAATCCGAAGACATCTTCATCCTATCGACCCTGGCATTTGACATGCCTCTCCTCTCCAATGTGCCGGCATTACGACTGACACTGGCATACGCCCTTCACGACCCATCTTGCCTCCTCCCCCATGCGACCATTCCAACGCTTCTCTCGTTACCGCTCCCCGTCGGCTCTGCCCTTCCTTCAGTAGACAAAAGCGGCCAGAAGCCGATTATTCGGGCCTTGGTTCTGGACAAAGATAATACCCTCTGCCCACCTGAGACTGCCAAGCTACATTATTCATATATCCAGAAACTCCAGAAAATAAAAGAAAGCCCCGAGTTCTCCCACAATCCAAAGAGCATTCTTATCGTATCGAATACTGCAGGCAGCACGCCAGCGTCCATTCATGAGGCTGAAGCAAAACAATTGGAGCTTGAGCTTGGCCTTCCCGTGCTAAGGCAGGCGCCCGGTCGCAAGAAGCCCCTGTGCGGACCCGATGTACTAGCATATTTCAAAGAACATGGTGTGACTGAGGATCCAAGAGAGATTGCCGTCGTTGGTGATAGGCTGGCTACCGATGTTCTTGTGGCTCGTGAGATGGGGAGCTGGAGCATTTGGTGTAGAGATGGCTGGCGCAACCCGGAATCCCTTGGTCGCGATTACAGAGGCTTTTTCAGTAAGATGGAGAGCAGATTCGAATGGGTCATGAGAGCTGGTCTGGGCAAGACGGCCCCTCTGCCAAAGGTTGCATCGTCCCGGTGAAAGATACAGTGTTAACTGGGAAGCCGCACATGGTTTTGCTACATGACTATACATAATACGCTGCTGACCAGGGTATCAACAACACCGACATGGACCGGGACACTTCGCAAAGTGTTATCAAGAATCCTCTCCTCCAAATTGACGTCCCAAGCCATTCATTCATGGCCAAACAGGCCACACTCCCTCCAATGCGATACTTGTTCCTGCGTCATCCGACCACACCTCGTTGCCTTGCTGATCGGGGTCGATATTACATCGGTCAATTGTGGAGCTCGATGATAACGCGCAAGATTGTTGGATCGAGGAACGCCCGGGCCTTGGCGCTTGAACCCATTCTTCAATTCCAAGAAGCCTTCATACTGCCATCGAGTTCAGCCGAACTTCCAGATGTCACAGTGGGTGTGCTTGTCACTCCGATAATAGTGGAACCTGAAGGCCGAAGTCCAGGGAGAGGCTTCTCCTCCCTCGGTACCGCGATGGCTGCCGGTAATTCTGGAACATTAGGTGCACTGGATCCTCCCAGCTTTGTAGTCGATCGGTTCGCGGTCAGATCGGGCAATTCGGCTGATATGACAGGTGAGCCAACGGCTTTCTGTAGGTCTCTTGCCACTAATTGGGATGTGTCGGAAGTCATAGCCCGAGCGGTAATAATAGCCACAGCATCCTTCAGAGTGAATTTATTCTCCGTGACCTTGACTTCAAGCCTTCCTGAAACCGGGACTTTGATCCAGTCATTGCTTCCAACCACCGACAAGAATCGGACACTCTCGAAGAAAACTGTGTGATGGGAGCCTGTATGTTCAAGGCAGTAGGCATGCTTGAGATCAAATTGATGCTTGCGGTACTTGTCTCTCGTCGTAAGTATGTCCTCAATAGCTTCAGCTCGACTGATCGTTCTGTCACTTCCGTTCTCTGTATCGTGAAAGCCGGGAGCCAGTAGAGCGTCCAATGCTGTGCGATTGGGGTTGTCGCTGTCGTAGAAGCTGAGTAGTTGCTTCAAGCATTGAAAGCCTTGTGGTGCCTTCTTCGAAATCGCCGCATATGAACCAACATGCTCGAAGAACTGGACCTTTGGCATTGTTGTGATTGTTGTGGTTTGGCGCGAGTGCCTGATGAGGGGGGAAATTTGCAGGGAATAAGTAATGTACCTACAACGGCATATGAGCTGCTCTGAGAAGAGCTCTGCTTCGAAATGGCTTCTCCTGAGGGGTTCCAGTGGTGTATGATTACTACTATATTGCCAGCACGGCCAGAGGTCAGATTTGCGATATTCTACAAAGATGGAACGTACCCTGAGATTTCGATTCGAAGAGGCGGCCAGGTGTGAAACACGGCGCGCACAGATCGGTTCGAACAGGGATTGTTCTCAGCCACATGCCCTGTAGCGCATATTCAGGCGTCCAGTTTGCGAGGACCGAAGATCAAGCTCCAAGGCTAGCTCACCTTGGATGGCGGATACGGCCAGCGGGGTGCCGCTTGCCCATCTCCATGTTTGGGGCAATCGAGCTTGTTATGGTGCCAAGCAATGCGTGGAAGCCGAAGCAGATTATTTATGTGAACCTTGTTCTGACTCTCCTTTGCTTTGCACCGTCACTTGCACGAGGCTCGCTGTACACAACGAGGGTCAGTGCAGTAGGGTTGTTTCAAGTGTGTCACGTGCCAGTGGGTGCTACCGAAGGCTAAGCGCTGCGTTGCTTAACTGCGGCAAGAACGGCCTCTGTGCCTGCCTTATGACTACGCGTTCACTTAATTTGGACCGCAATCAAAGTCTTGTGCTACTGAAGAACCAAGATAATGCTAGCAGCTCAAGAATTTGGCTATGGACGGTGATACCTTACAAATTCTTCAACATTCGACTGCCTCTAAATTCTCGGCTGACACTCATTTCCCGCGTCGATGGTGTCGTTGTCGGATTTCGGCATCGCCAACTGGAGAGATTCAATATGCTCTTGTCTAACCATTGCAGCCATCTTGTTGAGACTATTGTCTTCGACGATGCCTGTCCCATCCTTCGTGAGATGGATCACAACTTCATCTCCGAACAGTGTAGCTAGCTCTTCCATCGGAAGGTTTCTAGTCTCCTTGATGAAGAAATAGATGATAACTCCGCAAATCAGGCAGAGGCACATGTATAGAATATACATTCGCCAAGCGCTTTAACATTCGTGAGCCAATGCCATGATAGATCGTGAAGGGGGGCACTTACATGGTCTTGAATGCCAAAGCACTTGGAGTAGTGTAGGTCAGAGATCCGACAAAGAAGGAGAAGAAACAAAGGCTGATACCCTTGGCACGATATGCCGTCGGCCATATTTCCGATGCCCAGATGAACGCCGGAGCATCAACTAGTTGAAAGGTGAGGATATACAGGAAAAGGAATAGCAGACATGCTGCGAGACCGCCCTGGTTGTCAGTGCCAATATACTGACTTTGTAAGACGGCTTGGACCATTACAAGCACTGCCAACATAGGGTAACCGTATACTATATTTTTGAAATGTAGCCGTTAGTGACTGAAGGTCGGCGGGAATAACTTCGAATACGACAAACATACGCAGCAAAGTTCGTCTTCCAACTCTGTCGACAATAAAGATGCTCACAATAGCCATGCTGGTTCCGAGCGTGGTCCAGATTCCTATTGGCAGTGTGAGATTTCAGCACACAACATTCGCGCAAGCATGACTTACCATACATGACTAGTGGCAAGACACCACCGAGACCGAGACCTGCAAATATCGGTGGAAGGTAATTCGAGATACCGATAATCTATGCTCCAGTCAGCAACAAGGACACGAGTCAAGAGTGGGAGACACCAACCCCTGTTGATGGGGTTGCAAATCTGAGCAGTACGTCAGTTTCTAGATTTGAGCACGAATTTATTTCAAGACGTACAGCAAGAACATCCCAAGGACAGCCCTACGTCGAAGAGATCCTTTTCTGAAAATCTGGACCCAGCCAACTTTCATTTCTTCATCGTGCTCCACTTGAAGCACAATTTGCGTGTACTCAGCGTGAGCCATGCGGTCTTCTGTATCACCAGGTTTAAGGTGCAGACGGCGCAAAACATCATAAGCTTGTTCTTTCTTACCGCTCCAGATTAGATAGCGAGGAGTTTCTGAAGCGATAAGTTAGGAAAGATTGTTACATATATATGGAATTAAGTCACTCACCTGGAATGGTAGGCAGACTGACGAGCAGAAGAAGTGGCGGGATGCAGGCAAGCGCAAGAGGCACACGCCATTGTACGGTTGCATTAGCGTAATAGGTACCAACTGCAATCCAGGAGCATCTGCACAGGGGAATTAATTAGTTCAGTCTTCTGTAAGGTTCCGGATTGCCCTACACGAAGTAACCAGTTCCAAAGCTAACGACGGTCAAGCCAGATATAAGGCCTCGGTGTTGGGGAGGAGCTACCTCGTTGAGATAGAGCGGAACCAGGGCCAAAATCATCCCCAATCCAAAGCCTTGAAACAGACGCACCACTATCAGCATAGCCACACGAACCGATGCCGCCGCCAATGCAGTTCCGATGAGGGAGGTCATTCCCGCAACTGCAAGTGCAATCTTTCGGCCATATTTATCGGCGAGTGGGGACTGTGCCAGAGAGCCAAATGCTGCACCAGCAGTAAACAAAGCGTTGACTGCATCAAGAATGCGAGCGGTATATGTGCTTGTTGGATCCAAGCCGAAGTATTGATAGAAGCCCGGCTGGCCTTGAGCTGTGACAAAGACTGAGAATCCGAAGCCGTAAGAGAAGCCCGCGAACGATATGACAGTGTAGATCCAGGCGTTGTAGAGACTGGTAGGAGCCATCTTGTGTCTAATCTAACGCCCCAAGAACTTGTCAAAAATAGACTGAGGTTGGGCCGGGAAACTTTGATGATGGGGGCAGAATAGCGATATATATTGTATGAGGCTATGTGTCACAGGTCTAGTCACAGCGGCCCTCACTCCCCACGGGGAAGCTCACAGAGATCAGTCAGTGGTGGCGAGAATACTCTAGTCTCTTACAAGTCTGTGGGTGGCGTTGCCGCGGCTATGGGCTCGAAGGAGCAAGTTATCAGAGTTTAACCACCACTGAACAAAGTTTCAAGAGATGGACCGGACGAATATATCGAAAGCGACCAGATTGCCATGGTTGCCATGGCATGTGGTCATGTGCATTAATTACTCATGCAGATGAGAGCCGCCTTTTTCACTCGGCATTCTGCTACTAGGTTGAGATCCCAAAAGTAGACGAAGACCAATTTTACAGTTTATCTTTGGTACAATCGATTATCTGTGTTGCACAGAGTATCCACTATCAAAAAGCCCGCTTGTTTCTCTTTCTTCATGGAACTGGTTCTCAAAGAGCCCGAACTCAGTCAATGTCCAGGGTATTTGGCTCGACAAGGACCAGTGCTCTTGATGATCTGTATGGTCAAAAGTGCTGCTTTCACAGTCGAGGAGCGTCGGGTCAAGCTCGAAGGTGTTTGTGGTATTTACCAAGAAAATCTCATTCCCCATTGCATCAGATTCACCGCTATACATGTCAATAGGCGTGGTTGCGCCAGACGAGATACCCTGCGTCTCAGTTGACGTGGCTAAGGCGAAATCTGGTGGTATCGGCGAAGCCTGAAGCCCAATGACCCTTGCTGTTTCCACCTCAGGCGCACGTATCATGTGTCCAACGATACGACATGTAGAGTCCGCTATCTGCCAAACCTCCCTTAGACTCCAGAGTCCTCTAATACACTGCTGTAGATGCTGTTCTGAGGGTGCTGCAGGATTTGTGCATGACTTGTCCGCGGTTTTCATCTCGACCAGAAAGTAAGCAACCGCCGCTCCAAGGCAAGTGTTGGCTACCGGAGGTAGGAAACGGAAAAGATCCCTTTCCCGTAAACCTTGAACAAGTTCAGCAGTACCGATCGCGCATTTCCTTACAATAGGTCGGGACTTTTGCTGGAGAAGGGTTCTCGAGATTGTTGCTTCACCTCGAGATAGGCTCAGCGGTCTATGGAGCGCTTCGGTAACCAATAGGTGTAGCATCTTGAGATAAGATTGATGGAGATAGATAAGCGCTGTAGTTGGTGTATCTGGTTTTCCTGATTGCGGCATTTGGTATAGTTGATGCAGTTGAGTTCGCCACCTTTCAAGCTCACTCTCAAGGCTGTCGACTCCTTTTGAATCGAAACCTGCAATTTTCGGGCTGTACAGTGTCTTCGGACCACTAGTCGAGCCGCCGAATACCTGGAGGACATAAAGACTCTCCACAACCCTACCGTTGATTGAGGCAAGTTGGATTTGGGCGATACAAATTTGCGCTAAAGCGACTTTGCAGTCGTAGGTCATCGCGGAGAGGGCGTCCTTTACCGCAGGAATGGCAGTGGTCGGTGCGTGAAGATCGAAATCATCCAGTATCAGCATGGGAATGTGGATATCTATATCCCTATAACGCTGAGGTCTTCGCGCAGAAGTTGACAAAATCCGGTCTCGAAGATAGCAGCACCAAAACAGCCGCCGCCAAAGCTTCCTGGTCTTGAAATCTTCGTTCAGGTATGTGATCCTCTCACTCAAGCCCAGAGTTATGCCTAAAGAAATGCACACGCCTGCCCAGTGCCATGGGTCTTTTTGGTCGCTTTCCGCAACGTACCAGTACGTATGAAGTAACATAGTCTGAATAAGGGTGATTCGATCAACCTCCCAATCGAAATCGTAAAGAAGCTGCAAACGGTCAGCACGGCTCCAACGATGCTAGGGCGATAACTTTCCTTGATTTTTTGATAGAAGAATGCCCTTGCACTTCGACGATCGTCAAACCCAGCTCGATGCACATAAAACTCATCCACGAATGCGGATCCCGCGAACATAACAGCATGGAACAACATGAGGCTGATTTGACATTGACCATCGCCTTCCAAAGCTTGGAGTAAATCATCCAGACAGATGACCGGCAGGAAAGGGTGGCTATACAGGATGAAGGCACGGAGAAGCTGATCACGAAGCTCATCTTCGGGAATAGACAGAGCACCTCTATGCGCCAGAAACTGCAAGTCGTCGTCATTAACCTTCCGTCGTGGAGGAAGGATATATAAAGGAAGATTTGCTACTTCCGCGAAGGTGGACGGGCTTGGTTGTGCTATCTCATGGAGAATGCCGCCCTGTCGTCCATAATTGATACCTTCCGCGTGGCTAGGAGTCTCATCAAGCAAGGCCTGAGTAGATGCAGCAGCCGTAGGTGAAACTGAGTCTGACGATAGCGGTCGACACGGTACCCCGGTCGCTGTGTCACCGACGACATTTCCAGAAGTCGGCTGACTCAGGTTTGTATGCGCTCGAACAGGAAAACAGGAAAGCAAAGCACCATTTTGTGTTCTCAACGTGGGAGTACTTGGATCTTGGCGAAAGTCAGCCAGTTCAAGGTCAGGGACACCCGCATCGCGGCGGCCTTTCCGTAGTCGGTATCTTCTGCTTCGTCGACATTCCGTTGTCTCACAACTAACACCATCAATTCTGCAGTTGTGGCATGGAGCACCGAACAAGATCAGATCGCATTTGATTTTGCGTTTCCGGCAAGCACAGCACGCTTGTGATGCTCTCGTCTGTTTTGATCGAGCAGTATCATTTCCTCCTCCCCTGAGCAAGCTACAAGTGTCGTTATCCATCCATGCTAGTGCGAAAATCTTAAGGAGCGGTGCATCAGAACAGGGCTCCTCTGGAAGGAGTGGTGCGAAGTGAACGTTGAAGAACGGACTTCATCAGAGGCATGGTCAACAGTCCCCATGGGGAGGACATGTCTACAATTTCTCCACATCGGCACACCCCACAAGGTGGATTGTGGCCAAGCAAACGAAATGGCCAGTACGATGTCATCAGTCTTTGATAGGCATGGTCCTGGCACGGAGTATGCGTGGTCAGAACTGTTAGTTCTGACGGTGGCGTCAAAGCGTGTGCACTAGCACTCTTTCGGCTTATTTGCCATGGATATCAACCGCGTAATGGGCTCTTTCATGACGATTACCCGCGGGAATTTATTGTGACACGGCAAAGACATTCTGTGAGCTACTCAAGGAACGTCCTGTCAAATCAAATGATTGGCTCTGTATCAGGATGACCTGATGGAATCCTGGGGCTGAAGAATGAATTCGAATGGGACTGTCGACGATGTGTACACCAGGGACCATGGAGTACTCCACAACGAGACCACGATCAAAAGAACCCCACAGCAACATGGTCTAAGATGTCACGTATTGTGGAGTATCATATCTGGAGTTTGGCATCCATTAGAAATTAATGGAGAACAGCGAAACTCACATATCATACTTTGACCGTCGACGAAGTCATAACCGCGGCTACCACAAATCGAGATATTTGTTATTTAATTACATCGGACAAGAAGGAAAACCAAAGTGGGTACTTTTCAGAACCAAATCGCCCACCTCGTCCTCAGACAGAATTTTGCAGGCAGAATGGCTTTCTCTAACTGCCACCAGCACGTTAATGGCGTGTCGAACTCTCACTACGATGCCATCGTCATTGGTGCTGGCATGAGTGGTATAAGAATGTTGCATGACCTCAAAAAAAGAGGCATCGATGGTAAATGCTTCGAGGCTGGCTCAGGCATTGGCGGAGTGAGTAAACAGTTGTGTCTAAGTTCTAGGCTGTGCTGATAAGAGATCGTGCGTATTTAGACTTGGTACTGGAACCGTTATCCTGGAGCAAGAGCGGATAGTGAAAGCTGGGTGTACATACTCACATTTCTGGAGGAAATTGGTATGGACTACAAATGGAAAGAGCGCTTTCCCACTCAGCCAGAACTTGAGCGTTATGTGAGTCCTACTTCTTCCTTCCGCTGGAATGACGATGCAAGAACCTTGCAGCATGGTCCTCTTCGGGTTGCGTCAGTCCATGCATAAAACTAACTTGAGTCCACAGCTCAATGAAGTGGTAGACTATCTAAAACTCCGTGACAACTTTGTGCTCAATACTCGCATTGGCTCGGCGCATTATGACGACTCGAAGAATATTTGGCATGTAACCACATCCAAAGGCGAAAAACATACATGCGACTTTCTTATTACTGCAGCTGGTCCTCTGTCGACCCCGCTGAAGCCGCCCTTCCGAGGCCTCGATAGCTTCAAAGGGGAGTACTATCAAACAGCACTTTGGCCAGACAAGAAGGTGGACTTTACTGGTAAAAGAGTTGGCATCTTCGGCACCGGAGCGACTGTAAGTCGATGTCTCACTTGGAAAAATGATACTGCCAGCACCTTCAATCTCAACATTCTATCACTGCTGGGAAAAGCTAATGAATGTTGCTAGGGCGTGCAACTGGTTCCATTGATCGCCCATGCCGCCAAAAAGCTCACCGTCTTCCAACGAACGCCCAATTATGTGCTTCCTGGGAGAAACTTCGTTTTCTCCGAAGGCCAAGAACGCGAGCTCAAGCAAGATTTCAATGGGATAGCTAAACGTGTTAGGGCGCAGCCATTTGGTGGAGACATGGGATCAACGACCAGAACCTTCCTGAATGTGAAGGACAAAGAAGCCCTCAATCAAGCTTTCGATTATGGATGGGAGCAAGGAGGATTTAGATATATCTTCGAGACTGTCAACGACATGCTGACCAATGTGGACTGTAATGAAGCAGCCAGCGAATTTCTACGGAAAAAGATTCGAGCTCTTGTCCATGACCCTGTTACGGCCGAGACGTTGTGCCCATACTATCCGCTCATGTCGAAGCGGCCACCTCTAGGACATTTCTACTATGAGGCATTCAACCGGCCCAACGTCGAGCTCGTGGATATCAAGAAGGACCCGGTCGAGGAAATCACCCCGACTGGCCTGCGAACTCTTGCAAGAGAGTTTGAGTTGGACATCATCATTTTCGCAATAGGTATGAATTCTTTCCCATTCGCTCCATCTTGAGATTGTTATCATACTCAAGAATAAATCAGGCTTTGACGCAGTAACCGGCACGCTGGACTCAATCGACATACGTGGGAACAAGGGTAAACCCTTGAAGGCTCATCTAGAGTCCAACCTCGCCACCGCCTACGGCATTACCACTGCTGGATTTCCCAACCTCTTCATGGTATTGGGGCCTCAGTCTGTGTGGGCCAATCTCCCCGTTGTCATCGACAACACCGTCGACTGGATCGGCAAAACAATGTCTCACATGCGCGAGAGCGGCCACAAGCGCATTGACACGAAGACTGAGCTTACCGAGAAATGGAAGGAGGAAGTGGACAAACAATTCTGGGGCACGCTGTTAGGGCAAGGTGCGAGAGCCACCGGAGCGTGGCACGTCGGCGGCAACGTGGAGGGCAAGCCTCTCCGTTGTTATTGGTATTTTGGTGGTGTCCCGGCCTATATCGAACATTGTGACCAGGAAATCGAGTCTGGCTATCCCGGATTCATCTTTTCGAATCCAATTGAAGCACACTAGGCAAGCTCCTACATGAGTTAGCATAAATCACAGTATCAATGAGGCCCCTTGAGCTCCGCATGAGGTGGTCAACAGTATGATGAAGTGAGGACAAGATTCATATAGCTGAATCAATACTACCACTCGCAAGTGGTATGATATCTGGCGTGGCTTACCTAGCCAACACCCAGACGCCAACTAAGATAAATGCTCCTTGAACCATTCACTCCCCTGCTACTCCGCAGCATCCATAGCTTTCTTATTCTTCTCGCTACTCCAATCGCTCCAGAGGGCGAAACCATGAGCTTGATCGTCATAAATCTTCACTTCGGGACGCCGATATACTTTCCCTTCTTATTCATTCGCGATGATCGCCCTTTCCCCGAAAGCAAAGGTATGATCAATGGATCGGTCATCTCTAACCATGGGGGTGCGCTCCATGGCAGTTTGAAACAGTGACATCGTCCCTGGACACGGAACTTCTCATTCGAAACTCGAGAAATGGAGCTCTAGAGCTTCAAAACGGAGCCTTGGCACACTGGGTCGTAGAAAGGTGTCATATTGCGCAGCGTATAGGATCAAATGACTCTAATAGTACGCTCTGTTCCACTGCTATGCCTGCGCATAGTTGCGGGTACTTATGCCCCTCGAAAACCCTCCTAGTTGAGGGTCAGTAGCCACTCCTGACAGTCTATTTTATGATGAAATCGCCTGAGCGCGGTGGTTTGGTAGTCAAAACCGTTGTCTATGGAAGGAACGATAATTGGGGTCGGCAATGCGCGGTCTTTTCACGGTCTATTCTATATAAAGTGTTCATAAGTCCTTGTCTATTGCCATTTAAGCATGCTCGCAGAGGCGAATCCTATGGTCTCCAGTCCGATGTTCTCGAACATGTGACTAGGCCGCTCTTCGATCGTGGATTGCATGCTGAATATCATAGTCTATAGAAGTTCACAACTTTGTCTATACACCTTCCCCATTCTTCAACGCTCGCACCGTAGCTAAGGCCGTTTCTAGGCCTATGTGCGCGTGATAAAAATACTTGTGGCTTGATTGTCTACTGGCCTGCCCGCGGAACGTTCGCAGCCTTGATGACGTGGCTAAACGTTGCTCCACCCACGTGCTGGAAGATTTTGGCGATTTCCTGGTTTTTGCCACTGCCTTCAGTCCGAAGATCAAAGCCAACTATCTTACTGTATCAATCTAACAATTCGTCGATGGTTGGCACGCTGGCGGCCTTTCGATTTTCATCTGTGCATGGGGGATAGTGGTAGAGGGAGTATGGACGGCCGATCTTGTAGGGTTCGTTCAAGAATGGGCTGAGCGTAAAAGCAAGGTCCACAGAAAAATAGCTAATCTTGGAGAGTTCCCAGTCTAGGTTACCAATGACACGTGGCTCAGTTGGATGGAGAATCTATTGAGCCTTGACTAAACTAGACTGTTTGCCTTCAGAGGTCTAATTTACCACGTTGCCAAATTTAAAGTCACCGTGCACAATTGCGGCCGATTTCCCGATAAGTGCTTTCGAACGTAGTCTATCACCTCGTCGAAGCCTGCATGTGCGTGCCCGAGAATTCCACCCGTCGTCTTTGTGTTTGATGACTGCCTGTGCTTCAATGGGCGAAAAACGTGTTGCACTGTAAAAGTCTACATTTTTTCCATAATCTTGAAGCCCAAGAGAGTCCGGGTCTAACGAATGGAACCATCCGAGCGTTTCGATCAGAGAAAACCAACTAGACTGGGTATTTATGCCAACTTGTCCCTGTACACTCTTCATTCCGCCGTCTCCATAGGTGGGCAACTTGGAGCATAAACCTGCATAGTAAGTTTTATATTTCCAGTGGTACCCTCCTCTTCTTTCAGAGTCTGGCTATGGACAAGTGTTGGGCGCAATAAGCACTCGTTCAACATCGGGAAACCAAGCTTTCTTAAATTTTCTGCGATTGCAGCGTCCGCAGATGTGAGCTGCAGAATCCAAGATGCCCTATCCGGCTGCGCCTTATTTGCGAACTGGGATTTTGCATCTGCGAAAAGCTTCGGAGACCCAGCACCAGAGCCCAGAGTAGAGAGCCTTGGTTCTCTAGGGTTTGGACGTGCTGCTATGGATCCACCGCTCGCATACCAGACACACGCGGCTCTGGCCTCTGGAAGGGTGCACGCGATCTTCGAAAATATCTATCTACATTTAATACTAATTTTAGAATAATGCTGTGTAATATCGTTGCAGAAATAACTTGATGTCCTTGTGATCTGTAAGCGTAAGGTGGTACGTGCATGAGAAAACGGGGCCTGACCATCAGACAAAGAGAATCGTGGACCTAGGAAGAGGACTGGAATCCTCATTCCCTGGTTGAGTGCTCGATTCATCCATACTCAGAGCTGAATACTGCAAATTATAGTGTGCAGACGGGCAACTTTAGATACCTCAGCTATATGGGAGAGATTGTGGAGAAGATGAGCGTAAACTGATATAGAGTAATACTAAGTTGACGCTAGCCACATTTATATACAGATAACCATTACCCTGACGACCTAGAAAGCCTCAATAATTTGAGCCAATAGTAGTCTATGCTGCTTCGAGCTGCATCAAGACAACACAGATGACTTGCAAGTTGGAAAGCGAGAATTTTCGATGCCGCGAACTCAAGCTGCCTTTGCAAGGGAGGACCAGCGCATCCACCGCAATCAGCCGTCTCCATTGGCTGAAAAAAATTACCCAGGTCGTTGACTGGGTTGTGGCCTGCCAGAGTCGAGAGGTCTTGCCTAAGATGCACATGTAAATGGATGAAGAGTCGGGATCCAGCAATCCAGAGCCTTTGCCTCGGTCCTTGCCAAGATTGCCACGACCACATTCGGCTGTACAGTTACCATTTTCCGTGGGTCCGCGCAGCCGGAAACACCAGGAGATCCGGGCTCGATATTTTCCACGTGTCTCCAGTTTAGATTTCTTTGTATTTGTCCTTATTCACCGTCGCCTTCAGCACACTCCTGTGCTGGTCTTTCGAAGGGGTAGTCATTCCCAGGTGTAAAATTTCGGCACGAGACTGGGTGAAGGGAGAAGTGCTTCCGAAGTTTGGAAGCTCTCAAAGAGCCTCTTCCTCATGGAATATCGTAAACAAAAATTCAGGAACAGGCTCACATTGCTAATGCGGCCAGTGGTAGTTGTACGGTTTGAGGAAGTCGAGAAAAGCATCCCCTCGCCGTAGATTTCTTGACGTCGCGTGCGTGCTTCAAAAAGGATCTCCTCGGCTGGGATTAATTAGACTGGCACCTACCTTCCCAGGTACACATGTAAAAGTGCTTTTGAGGAGGCGGAAGCGCCAAGAGCAAGAGCGGAGGAGTAATAAACCTCTTCACGTGGGCATATGTATTCAATTTCCCAAAATCCATCCCAGATCAACTCAGGACAAACCCGCCGGGCACCCGTCCTTGGGGGCAATAGGAAGGCGTGTTGATGACGGCCGGAAATTTCACATCCTCTCTCTCGACGGCAAATATTCCTCCTCGATCGGGTTCGCGACAAAAATCCTCCGCCAGGGTTTTCCCTCCCTAGGACCGCCTGTGATGCAGGGGCTTCTAGGATTAGGTTTTTGCTGATTTGGGCTTTTTCTTGGGTTTCGTTTTGATTATTGTGTGAGTTTGTAGGTCACATGTATATATGTGTTGCAACGGCAAAAGGTGAATCGCTGACTTCAGTGAAGAGTATATACAGGTCCGGCCCGTCGCCGTCTGGGCCGTCGCCGTCTGGCGACGGCTCGATTATTCTGGCAACCGCTCTCAGCGGCGAACACGAGCACGTTTGCGCGTAGCGAAGCTGTTCTGTTTCCAAGACGAATTCCTTCTTCACTTCTGCACCATCGATCTTCCCCTCTCAATCTGGTCCATCTGATCCTAGTCCTTGGCGGTGTGCAAAATAAGAACGCATGCGAAGGTTGTCTTCATGTATCACCTAGGAAAAAGGTCTCAACTTTGACAAGGCGGGCGCACTGTGCCCAGGGTGAGAATAGGAGGGGACTATTGATCATCTGATGGCTCACGTTACTCAGTGGAAAGTTATTGAGCATTGTAGATTGCAGACGCATCTCGGAACGCCGTGATCGAGAGCGAGGGATTTTTCCGGCTTGGTATAAGGCAATCTTGAAGAAAGTCATCTAAAGCTGAACGAAAACCACCAGACAGGCGCTGCCAACCCGTTTATTCATATTTTAGGTATTTACGAAGCAGGAAATTCCCTTCACCCAGCCTATGAAGAAATCATTGTATGAGAGTTGATATAGGAAATGGACATATTTCCAGAAGGCAAAAAAGTCGAGCAACTCTCCGCGCGTCAACCACAACCCCTTTCACATACAAACATACCAGGAGCCGAGCTGACCTATATTGAGACGCGACACATCCTTCTGTTACGGACCAGACGAGAGCCGGTTCTGAGGGCTGACTTCGGTACCTACTTCTAGCTCAACTCCAGATATCAAAGATTCGCAGTTACTCCAGGCTGAATGCTTTCGAGAATTGCTGACAGCTCACTCCAAACCTTCTCGGATGCTTTCTTTCCATCGCTGCTTCGTGGGAACGGCGCCAGTGCGCTGTCATCAGCCTTGCAATCGCTCATGTATTTGCCGTGGGATCCACGTCCGGCCGCAGCACTGGCCACTAGTGTCCGGCTTCCTACTTCGGTCGTCCGTGGGAGGCGTATGAAATACATGATTTTCAGCACGATATTGCCCTCGCGACCAAGCGCGGAACGACAGAGTCCCGGGTTGAGGTAGTTGAGAATGACACCAGAGCCATCAAGCTTGGGCGCAATTTGTCGAATTGTGAGGACTTCCAGTAGTTTACTCGTTTGGTACCGCTCTTCGTGGTTTGTCTTTTCCTTGTTGTCAAGCGCATCAAAGATATTGGGTTCTTTCCACTCCGGGAATTTGGTCCACCCGTGGACTTCGCTGGAGACTATCACGAGCCGCGGTTCGGTGTTGAATCTCTTGGCTGTTAACTTGAGCTTAGGGAGGAGGAGCAGCGCGAGTAGAAAGGTGCTGATCACATTGACGGTGATCGTGCGCTCGTGGCCTTCGGCCATAGACCAGTATCTTGTGGCTATACCGGCATTCTCAAGAAGTACGTCGATGCGGTCTAGATTTGATGCACGTTCAGCAAAATCTTTGACTGATTCTAGACCGGAGAAACGCAGATGTTAGTCTCAGAGCAGAGATCTTTGGAGATTTGATTCCGATGACGGAGCATCCGAGGAGAAGTACTCACCGTAGGAGGAGAGGTCGAGCGACCACACCTCGATCACCGACTTGCCACAATTTGTGGTACTCTCAATATCCTTCTTTGCTTCCTCTCCTGCCTCAATGTTGCGGACGGCTAAGACGAGTTTTGAGACACCTAAACGCGCAAAGTGTCGAGCTGCTTCCTTGCCCAAACCAATATTCGAGCCTGTCACGATCACAGTCTCACCAGCGAACGATCTTGTTGGGTACACTGGTCGGACAAATAGTTGGGAGTAGAGAAAGCCCATAGTGAGTGCGGGAGGAAAGTAGTCTGCCCTGAAAGGTGGCCTTGATGTCCAGTTTCCTATCAATGATGGAAGTACGTGAGTTGAGCGAAAAATAGAGCGAGACAGACACTCATTTATATTTATAGCACAGTCACAAATTCCAACGGGCATGCGAAGTGCAGCATTAAAGCCGCAGATCCTAGCATATCGCCGGTATGATGAACTTCGAAGAAGATGGGTCTAACCTGAATTGTGTTTCTTTAGGTTCCCTCCGGTTAGCACACTTCAACAGTAAGGTTTCTCTAATTCGCCTTCTCTATCAGCTTGGGTTTGCAAAACTCTCATTCGGTGAAATACTCCAGGCTGTTTTCTTGGGGATAAATTGAGGCGGGCCTCATTCGTCAAGCTTCTGATCGTGGAGCGGGGCCAAAATGCCCATTCCATGTTACCTGTTGGACGCCCAGCTCGGGATTGCGGGTACGCTGGCGTATCCGGTCTGGGGCAAGAAAGAATGTCTTCACAAATCTTTCTGCGAACAAGCGGTACTGGTGTACCCGAGGGGCGCTATTCCCAACAGGGCGAATCCTTAGCGACCTTTTAGCCTCATGAAAGCGTCATGGACTCATGGTTGGCTGGCTACGTGGCTGGCGGCTTGCAAATGTGCGCGCAAACAAGGAGTTGTTCAATCTTGTGACAAATTGGTATCATTCGACAGTATTGAAACGGATAGTTGAGACTTAATCGCCGACAAACTCCGTACAAATAATGCGCATCTTTCTCTGAGAAGAAACAAGGCTGGAATGCCCTTTAAGATTGGCGGTCCCCTATGGAACCAAAGAGGGCAAGCCTTATCGCCGAAACGGAATAACATTTGCCCCGCCCCACATGATATTCCTGGAGAAGGCAGATACGTTATGGCGTACTCCATGCTCGTTACGGCATTAACAAACACACCTGTCACATCTGATTCTTTGGAGTAGCTCGGTAAACATAATTGCTGCTGTGCCCAATAAGCTCATTCTCGTCTTCACAACTGCACTGGATGGCTGTTGTCTCTCTAGAGCGCAGATCTCCCATCTCACGACTTCACAAGTAGTCGAACGGTCATCAGTGATCGAGAGTCTGCACCGCACAAGGATGCTAAGCAGTTTATGTCTCTTATCGCCCAGGAAGGAGATCAGAATTGTAAGCTGCTGCGGACAGGGGGAGAGGGAGAGTTCATGATGGGGTTTGGTCCTTGCGTAATTTGCTCACCAAGGTCCGAGTGTATTAGTTGTGATGATGAAAGCGACAAAATATATGCGGGTGCATGCCGAGAAGAAGTTATTATTTTGTAACCAAGTAACTTCCCGTCCTCATGAAGAGGAATTATAGTATTGTTGTCCTAATGCTTGAAACCCCGCAACGACTTGGGCGCTGCTTATGGCAATGCTGATGACAGACAAAAGAACACTAAGACCGCCCACAACAATCACTGCCCAGAAAGCCCAATATCCCACGGTATCTCTACGATCTTTCCAGACTTGTCGTAAGTTTCTTGGCTTCTGCTTCTCCATATACTTTTGCAGCTCGCGAAGTCTTTGACCAAATATAGGGTAGGAGGAATAGCGTTCCATCTCATCAAGACTGGTCGACCGGGACAGTTCGAGGAGGTAAGAAATGTGCATCCAGAAATCCAGTGGATATGGCGGACCTGCGTTGAGCAAGTCGATGAGTTTCCCTGCTGTGGGCCGTCTGAGGGGAAACGAAAAGGGGTTATAATTGTGCAAGAAGTGCCAGTTGTGCTTTCGGTTGGGTCCACGATGTCGCTTCCTATCAAGCTCGGGGCGCAAGCTGAGAATCGAAGGCGGAATCGATGCGCGGAGATAGTATTTCAGAGCTTGACGAGCAGAGGATCTCTTGACATTAATTCGTACCCTTGGAGCCCCTAGCATGATGCTTTCAAGATCATGGAGGACGATGCCAATGTCATCAGAAGCGGATCTGTGGAAATGTTTGCGAAAGAATCGGTCCAGGAAACGTCCATCTGGATTCCCAAAGATTATACGGTAGCTCCTCTGGAGTTCTCCAAGCAGTCCCGTAGAGATTGTGGAGTAGTCAGACACCCTGGTAGACTTTTCACGTTCCGAAGTTGGGTCTTGATTCATCCACTGAGGCCAGTGCGTAAATAGTGGCGATTGTCCAAGGATACTCACATCCCAAAAGAGAAGAAGGGTTTTAGAGCTGCGAACCAAGCGAAGATGCTGACTATAAAGGTGAGTCCAGGCAATCTTGAGACCGCCGAGATCAGTCAAGGTTTTAAAGCATAACTCCTTTGGTGAGAAGTGAAGAGCGTCATCAACACTTGGCAATTGAGAGTTTTGCGGAGTCGCTCCTCGAATGTAGTTCTCATCGATCACATCAAGAATGAATTGGTTCAGGGGCTCATCGACGGACAAGGGGAGTTGTTCTGGTAGAACGGCGACATGATTCAGGCATCGAAGAACAGTCCAAATGCGGCCAAGACGTGATCTCACCTCTTTGGCTGGATCCTCAGGAGAAGGTGAATCTACGTCCGTCTGCTTGCAGCGTTCATACAGCTTAGACATCGTGTAAGTTTGTTTAATCGCCTCGCCAGCGCCAGACAGATTGCTATATTTTTTGATATCACCGGCCAAGTCCTGAAAGAAACGGCCGACTTCAATAATCAATTCTGTACCTGGACGGATTCTTCCCGATGCGTCCTTGATACGATGCAGTTTATACCCATAGGTATGCTCCAGTTCACGTAAGGGAAGCGTTTGTGGTAAATTTTCAGGCCAGGTGCTCTCAAAATCGAAAAGTGCGTCCAGAAGCTCATCCCGATAGTAGCCAGTAGTAGCGATGCATCCGTGTGGGCCATCGGCGGTCTTTCCAACAGGATAAGGAAGATGCTTTTGCAGTCGATTCCACCAGTGGTAAGGATCTATCCCACTGTATTTCCTTGTTTTGTCATATGCTTCGAGCTCCTGCCGGTATGTGCTTGAAGGGAATGATATATCTGTGCCTTTGAGCACTTTGAGCTGCTGCGTAGAACTTTAGAAAACTTACATTTATAATCGATCCAATGTTTGAGACGTAGCATTTCCGCATTTCGACGCTCAATATATCGTTGCTTCGCCAGTTCATTCTCCTCGTCGAAATCCCCACGAAGTGAAATTCTGCAAACAGGAGCATCGACTGGGACCTCTGTGGTTGAAACTGTGGCTTTTGTCCTCTTGGAAAAGTGATGTTCAACTCGATCAACTGGCTGCACAGGGGCAGTCGACAAGATTGTAGAAGGAGGAGACGACGCATGGTCACGAGCACAGGCCAAAGGAGAAGAGGCATGAAGCAAGCCTGTAAGCTCAAGTATAGCGGCGCGTAACGCACGATTGGTCTCAACTAATTCATCCATCTGAAGATGGGTCGAGGCTAAAGATGAGTCAAGATGCTGGGTCGCCATTGTCATTGACAACGCCCAACAGCTGAGTTGTCAGGTCCAAGGGAAATTTGCAGAGCTGGAAGCTTTCAGCCTTATCCTGGGGAAACATGATCATTTTGTTGCTTCTTGACAGATCGGCTTTGACAAGGTTCCGTTCAAGGGGCCAGAACACGATGGCGTAGTCTAGTCTCAAAGCTGACCACAGCATAGGCGAATTAAACCGCCCTCTATGATTAGTGCCGCCGGAATTACGAGAAGGATGGATTGGACCAATTAACATGTGCGACATATGGTCTGGATGGCTTGAAGAGTCCGTAAAGTCCGGTTCTTCCTCACTCCTCAAGGCGAGTAAAGCCCATCTGGATTACGGAGAAGTGTGATTGATAGATTGAGAGTTGTTTGGTGCCTCGTAGTCATTTTCCGGCCACCTGCAGCTTTGAGGGAGGGATGGACTGATCAAACAACGTGATGAAGTGGGCTTGGCACTCTTGTGCACCTGGGAGAACATGGGTTAACTTGTGCGACATATGGTCTGGATGGCTTGGACACTCGCCGCTTTAAGGCCTGGTCGTCCCGGAGTTAAGTTTCTCCATCGCGGGATGACATAACCATCCTCATCCGGAGATAGCAAATTAAAGTGCAGTGAAGTGAGGCTGCTTCACTTGTCAAAGAGGAGGCGACGGCAATCTCTGTTATGTTTGCTAATCACTATGGGCATCTGACGCCGACTGACAATGGTGCCTTATCGTAAGATATAATATCAACATCTTTCAACTATCTTCATTCGCAATGAGTTCCACCTCTGTCTCCCTCGGCGATTCCTTTTCTCTCTCACCTGGCTCCGACTTCGAACAGACTCCACCCAGAATTCAACACCACCATCAACACCACCGCCGCCGCGACTGGTCGCCACCTCCAACAGCCCCGGCCGATCCAGCAGGACCAAGCAACAGTTCAAGACCTGCGCACCCTCCCCGCCTGCCTTCTCCCCGTCTGTTTCGTGACTTCTTCAGTGCGATGAGCGACACTGCCTCACGCAGACAAGCCACCCTACCCCCAGCAAATTATTCCGAAAGTATTCAAGACGTCAATCGAGCCCTACAGTCTGCAAATAGAGCCTTGCAGAACGCGCAAGAGGCCTTTCAGATCCGCAGATCCAGACCTGACCGTCAGAGTCTTGTGGACTTGACCAGCAGTAGCCCACCGAGCGACCCCGCTGAAGTCAATTTTCTCTCAGAAACCACCCACCCCCAAGACCCTCGCCCACACCGAACAGGCCAGCTAAATAGCCTCAACGAGCCAGTTCACACCTTTGGTGCTTTGGATTTACCTCCCATCAATCTTGGCAACACCGCCACGCTCCTCAGGCTGTGGCCCGTCCGACTGCAGGACTCAGAATCTGCCATTCCCATCCCGTCTGACGTGCGTCGGCTACAAGAAGAAGAGGCCATTCATCGGCAGAGAGAAAACCACAACAACTGGCAAAGGACTCAAGCAAGGACTCGTGAAAGAGAACGCATCCAGGCCAACCAGACACAGAGCATGTCCCCCTCTGCCTCTTCTTCGTCATCTCAACCCGCTAGTCGTCCCAGGTCTGCAATTCAAAGAGCAGAGGATCCAGCAATAGAGTCAGTCGATCTGACCGAGGTGGATGACAATGTAGGTTTATCTTCAGCGCTCGCAAAACAACGACAAGATGCAATTCTAGCACAAAATCCCGGCACGGAATCTGGGCGCACAAAATTGACCGCCTACAAGTGTCCTGTATGCATGGACACCCCGACTGACGCCACCTCCACCGTCTGCGGCCATGTTTTCTGTCACCGCTGTATTATCGACACCTTGAACTGGTCCATCGATCAGCGACGCGAGGACATGCCCACAAATCGCAAAGTCAAGGGCGTATGCCCTGTCTGTCGAAAACAGCTGGAGCTGAAAGATACCGGCACTGGACGACATCTCATACCCCTCGAGCTAAAGTTGATGATGGTGTCAAAGCGTAAAAGAGACCAGGACAAGGAGGCTACCAAGGGCAAGGGCAAACAAAAGCTGGTCAAAGCGGGAACTCTAAGTGAAAACGATGAAGACGATGCACCTGAGCGGAAGAGAAACAAGGAGAGCACCTGGGCACGCAAGGCGAGCACGCGAGAGTCAACCGAGGATGCTCTCTGGGGCGAGTTCATACAGGAGCCGTGAGTTGTGGGTGTGTTCTTGTTTTCTCTTAGTTTTCTTTTGATACCCACGAGTTGCGTGAGAGCATGACAGCGTGACAGCGGCATGAAATAATGAATTGACGGACACAATTGAGCATGGCGTTGTTTGGTGAGCCAGAGGCCAGGATATCAGCAGACAGTCACCCAGCAGGTCTGGCAGACGAGTTTGCCGTTTCGGCTACAGAGCACCGGGCCGGCTTTAGATACACGCCACGGCGAAAGCAGGTTGATACCGCTCCTAATAATATTGCGACCACGACCAAGAAGATTTCTTCATTAAAATGGACATCCATGTATCACTCGCTTGGGTAACAGCATTACATGGCGGCTCACAGTTCATCGAACAAGATCCAATCCATCCTTGGAGCCATACGAGCAACCTGCTTGCTCTCCACAGGTTTCGACTCAAGAGGCTGGTCAGTCTGGGAAGGTCCTCTTCATTGCCTGCTACGCCAGCTTTCTTTGCGATGCCAGGACAACGCACTTTCTCGCACTGGATAGATGTGCCGTTGCCATAAACCCTCAATCGAAGGGTTGGCGCTCGCTCTCTCCCCATGCGAACCTAAAGTGCTCCGAAGATGGTAGCAACCTGACGTTTGATTTTTCGAGCCTTTCTCGTCCGCGTAGTTTCATCGAGTCGAGGCCATTGGTCTGCAATGATGCAGGCTGATCAGGATCTTATGCTGATCTGGCACGCGCTCCGCTGGTCATGGACTGCGGTTTTCGCATTGAGCCGGACGAGAACTGATCAGCAGCTATTTTGCTGGACCTCATTTGGACTGCTCAGTCAGGCTAGCCCCCAATGAGATGTGTTTCTTGATTCTTCCGGACTGGGCTCTGTTGTGGAAGCACCAGGGGCGTCTCAATGCATATTCGATTTACGGGTTCGATCATCGTCTGAATAGGGGAATCAAATCATGCCCAACATGTCTTTTTCAAACCGAGAATCTCCAATTCCACTCTTGTGACGATGTTTCTTCTAGTGGTTAAGGCTCTTAAGCTTGAAGGTGAGTCTTTCTTTGGGTGTGGCAGCATTCCACCAATCACTAGATCTGCCGATCATTGATCAGCCTTGAATCTGTGCCGCATCGCCAAAAGCTTACCTGCGTATCAGAACTACTTCATCTTCTTGCATATGGAACAGGCGCACATGCGCTTTGAAGACACCGACGTAGAACCAACACATCTCGCCTCTTGGACAACTCAGACCAAAACATCTGTAGAAATCTGGGTCATGCATGCGCCTTAGGTGTCTTTCAAAAGCCGTCGAAGTCGAAAAATTCAGCCTACGCATCTTGCAACTTTCGAAAAGGCACTCATATCTGCCACGGCAGCCATTCTCGTGGCTCCTGTGCTTGTGTTAATAGGGAGTCCGCCCCATAATTTGATGAAGAGACTTACCTAGCATCCGTCTGCTCGGCGAATAACATTCCACATTTCTTGCATGCATCAATCGTTAACCTTATTTGATTCCATGGAGCAGGGTCAATTGCTTCTACGGTAGTAAACGTAGCGGAACCTGAGACACCATGTTGCCAATTTTTCTAAGGGGTGGAAGGGCTAGGGTGTGCATCGTCTCCAACAACCGAGAGGTCTATATCAAGGGTTGTACCCAGGGCTGGTAACTTGCTTTTGGGATGCTGTGATCGATCAAATACAACAGCGTCGGTTGGGGTTGTGCCATTTCCTTGTTTAGAAGCCTGGTCAGCCTTTGGGGATTCCGGGCCATCGATGGGGCGTGTGGAACCTGCTACACTTGTTGGCTGAAGTGGTTTTGGGTCGGTAGACGGCGTGCCGACCAATTCGTCCCAGCTAAAGTCGTCTAGATGACCTATCTTGGCGGGATAGTAGGAGTAAGTCTGGGCACCATGTAATGGGCCAACCGTGTAATGGGCCACTCTTTGCCATACAAAATACGGAAATTATATCCCTATAAACTTAGTTAGTTTTATAGCTATAAAAGTCTAGTCTAAAAATTATTATAATAGTAACTTAGTATATTATAATAAATATATATATTCTAAAAGTAGATATCTTAATCTTAAGATATTACGCGATTTAAATATTAGGGCTTAAAACGCGCTATCTAAAAGTACGCGTTATAATAAAAATAATAAAAATATTCATATTCTATATAGTAGAGAATACTATAGTTTAAGTAGAAATTAAGTTAAAAATATATAATTTCTACTAAATAAGTATAAAACTTAAGTATTTTAAATTAAATACTATTTATAGTTACTTAAATTTTATCTCTTTAATAACTTTACTATAAATTATACTTTTAAAAATATTCTTTATCTTTACTATTTATAAGTCTATTCTCTACTATATAGAATATTAATATTTTTATTATTTTTATTATAAAGCGTACTTTTAGATAGCGCGTTTTAAGCCCTAATATTTAAATCGCGTAATATCTTAAGATTAAGATATCTACTTTTAGAATATATATATTTATTATAATATACTAAGTTACTATTATAATAATTTTTAGACTAGACTTTTATAGCTATAAAACTAACTAAGTTTATAGGGATATAATTTCCGTATTTTGTATGGTAAAGAGTGGCCCATTACACGGTTGGCCCATTACATGGTACCTAGACTTAAAATCTACCCCGAGCTTAGGAGCTACTTACCCTAGCCTCGCCGCTTTTCAAAAGGCACGCTCACCCGCTCACCCTCCACTTACCCTTAGTTACTCTTCTACTTATCCATCGGCTTACTCTCTACTTACTATAGTATCCGGTAATTAAGAAGTTACCTTTATAGCGCCGAACTATACTAATTAAATTATACGTCTACTAATATTAATAGAAGAGACTATCTTATCGCTCTACGCTCCGACCTACTATAGCGAATACGACTAGAATTATTATAATCGTAAAGTACTCGATTTAGAGGCGGTTGCGATATAAGTACTTTAAAAGGATTCGGAGAGGTTCTACTCTTTATTCTTTTCTTTCTATTTCTACTTATTTAATTACGAGTTAATAGATTAATATTTATTTTTCCTTCTCGTTTATTACTTAAAGAAGTAGTAATAAAGCTTATAGTAGCTACTTATAAGGCCTTAGTAGTTACTAATAGCTATAAACGAAGCGAATATCGTAAGTAAAATATAAGTCGAGATTAATATAAGTATAGAAATAAAACGAAAAGGAACTATAATAGCGTCTTACGTCGCTATATACTATTAGGTACTACTCGTACTAATAGGTAGGACTACTAGTAGAGTCGATATTACTTTTATATATATAGTTAGATAGAGAACCTATAGAAAGACTCTAGAAGATCTCGCTTATCTCGTTCCTAACATTTAAAGATAATTAGTCTTCTATTTTCGTTTCGTAACTATAATTCGGAAATACGAGTTCTCTTATTTTCTAGTTTATTTAGAAGTTATATTTTTCTAGTTACTCTATTCTTAGTATAGCGTTATATTTTATCGCTATTATATCTAGAGTTACTTTTTCCTAATAGGTTTCTATTAGTAGTTCGACTTATTATAGTTCTTTTTTTATTTATTCGTTCTTAAATTCTATTAGCGACTCGTCTACTATCGTAAGTCGGTATAGTTCTATCTTTACCTTTATATAGTCTTTTAACCTTTACGCTACGTAGTATAAGATATAATTCTCGTTTACTCTAGAGTTTATTATAAGTTATGCGGAAAGATTCTATAGAACGACTATAAGGACTATATATTCCGCTTTACCTTCGTTTAACTTATTTAGAGTCTAAGGCTATTACTACGAGTAACCTAGCCTTAATAAGTTATTTCCTTATTATTACGGGATAGGACTACGATGGACCCTAGAAGTACCCATCCTATACTAAGACTAGTCCTAAAACACTAAGGAGCACGGTATATAAGACCTTAGGGGCTATACGAATCGTATACGAGGTTTTTAGACTCCTTAAGTTCTTATAGTCGATGTTCTAAGGACTATATAGTAATTAATCGATTATCTTAGTATTTTCGTTAAGTTACTTATACTCTTATAATTCTATAAGAACTTTCCTTAACTACTATACTAAGGAAAAGACTTAGAGTATAAGCGGCGTAGTTAAAACGCGTACTTAAAGAAGGTTATTAGCTCGGATAGAGTAAATAGAAAATCTATCGCCCTAAGTAGAAGAGCTATCGGGCTCTAATTAACGTATAGTAGCGGAAGCGCGGAAGATACGCGGATCTCGAGCGGACTCGAGTAACCTACTATTATCGCTTAGTAAAGCTAAGGTAGATACTCCTTAAGGAAGCTCTAGAGCGTTAAATATCGTATCTATATCGGTAGTATAAGATCGCTACGCGTAACTATAACGTAGGCTATTAGAAAAGAAATAGCTAGATAAAATATAATAGATAGAAGTAGAGCTTCGAAGTAAATAAGTTAACGATCTAGTAAATATTCTAGGTACGACGCTACTTCTTCGTAAGCGTCTAGTAAGCCTATAAGAAGATAGTCTAGTAAAGTATATTAAGATAGAAGAATCTAAGGTATATATAGATACTTCGCTAGCTAGCCTATAGAAATTCGATATCTATTAGTAGATTCGTTTTTCTATACTACTTAATTTAATAGTACTATCGAATACGAATTATATTAACTTAGCGGCTATATTTCTTATTAATACTACTACCTTAGTATAGGCGCGCCGAAAAGAGGCCGTCCTAATATAGAAAGATTTTATCTACTTTCTACGAAACTTAGTATAAAACCTAGCGAATTAATTAATATTCTATTACGGACTAGGTTATAAATGAGGTCGCCGGAATAAGCGCCCTACGTTCTAGGGAATAGTTAAGAAAGGTTAGCCGATGGAGAACGAGGCTGCATTATATAACTAGGGGATGCATTACTGTATTATTACATTAGAATAATATAACAATATACTAAAGTAGTACTTTAAGCATTATATATATACGCTCCTTTACCTAGATAGTATAATTCGTAGTTAACTTCGTTAGTAATCCTA